GATAAAAAAGAAAATATACCTTATATCGACGGACGAGTAGACCCGACGTACCTATTCGGTTACTTTAGCTACGCGGGAAGAAGCTATTAATAGTACTTTAAGATATACTAATACCTATAGAATATAAGCCCTAATTAACTTCGGATTCCGATTAGTAAGATAACGTATCGATTAATAAACGAGTATAACGAACGCGCTTATATAGTAGAGTTAAGACTATACGTATATTTAAAAAACGATAAGGAGATAACCTATTAAGGCTAGGTTACCTACGGTAATAGCCTTAAACTTTATATAAGTTAAATAGAAGTAAAGTAGAATATATAGTCCTTACGGCCGTTCTATAGAACCTCTCCGTACGACTTATAATAGACTCCGGAGTAAACGAAAATTACGTCTTATACTACGTAGCGTAAAGGTTAAAAGACTACGTAAAGGTAAAGACGGAACTATACCGACTTATAATAGTAGACGAGTTACTAATAGAGTTTAAGGACGGATAGATAAGAAAAGAACTACGATAGGTCGAACTAATAATAGAAACTTATTAGGAAAGGATAACCCTAGATATAATAGCGATAAAATATAACGCTATACTAGAAATAGGGTAGCTAGAAAAATATAACTCCTAAATAAACTAGAAAATAAGAGAATTCGAATTTCCGAATTATAGTTACGAAACGAAAATAGAAGACCAATTATCTTTAAAGGTTTTCTTCGTAAAGGCGATATAGGTACGACCGAGAGGTAGAATATTAGTATAAACTAATATCGAAGAGCTACTCTCGAAATATACGAAATATAAAGAACTATTTATAGAAAAGGAAGGTAAGGTAGCGCTTCTAGAATATTAGCCTTAGGATTATCGAATATCTATAAAAGAGGGAGAAGTACTTAACTATAAGGAATAGTTAAAGTTACTCTTAAAGAAAGAAGAAGACTTCCTAAAGGACTATATCGAGAAACTAGAAGTAAAGGGCTTAGTAAGAAGAAGCTAACTAAAAGTAGGAAAATATAGATCTATATTCTATAATATACTCTTCGTAATAAAGAAGGATAGATTATTACGACTATATATTAACTATAGACTACTTAACGATAAAACTATTAAAGACTATTATCCTATTTTCTAATAGAATAAGCTATAGGATCGCCTCTTAGGCGTAGTATAGTTTACCGTATTAAATACTAGGAATATCTATTACCTAATTAGAATAGCTAACGGAGAAGAATAGAAAACGGTATTCCGAATAAGATAAGGAGTCTACGAATTCCTAGTTATACCTTTTAGACTTACTAATATACTATTAACGTTCTAAGAATTTATAAATAACGCTCTAAGAGAATATTTAGACGTATTCGTTATCGTCTACCTCGACGATATCCTAATCTTCTTAAGGACTTACGAGGAATACGTAGGGTATATAAAGAAAGTAATAGAAAAGCTAAAGGAAAATAAAATTCTACTTAAGCTATCTAAATACGAATTCTATAAGAATAGTATTAGATTCCTAGGCTATATTATATCTTCGGAAGGACTCGTACCGAACTAAGAAAAGGTTCGAGCTATTAATAAATAGCTAGAACCGACGATAGTTAAGGAAGTATAGGTATTCTATAGATTAATTAACTATTACCGAAAGTTTATTAAGAATTTCTTAAAAATCGTAGTACTAGTTACTAACTTAACTAAGAAGGAAATAATCTTCGATTTTAGGGAAGAATATAAGAATACCTTTAAAGAGCTAAAGCGATAAATAACGTCCGCGCTAATCTTATATATTTTCGACCTAGAAAAGGAAGTAACCGTAGAAATAGATACCTTAGATAAAGTAATAGGAGGCTACCTTAAATAAAAAGACGAATAAGGAAAGCTTTATCTAGTAGTATATTATTTAAGGAAGCTAAGCGGACCCGAGGCGAATTACGATATCTACGATAAGGAACTACTCGTAGTAGTAGAATACCTAAAAATATAGAGAGTATACCTAGAGAGAGCTAAATACCTAGTGTAGATATACTTAGACTATAAAAATCTAATATATTAAATAATAACTAAAGAACTTAATAGGAGATAAGTTAGATAGGCTAAAACTTTAGCCTCTTACGATTTTAAAATTATATATATTCGAGAAATAGAGAACGTTATAGCCGATACCCTTAGTCGAAGAACGAACTATATAGAAGGACTAGAACTAGAGCTAGCGGCGCTCCTAGAAAAAAGAGAAAATTACTTAATATATAGAAAGATAGAAATAAGAATACTTATAATATTAGAAATAGATTTTATACTAGAATAAAAATAGAGAATTATATAAGTAAGATATAATAATAAAAGCGTAGGATACTTAGGTATTAATAAAATAATCGAACTAGTAATACGAGATTTTACCTAGGTAGGATTAAGAAAGGACGTTAAAGAATACGTTAAGAATTACGATATATACTATAAAGCTAAATACTTAAGATATAAACTATATAGCTTATTATAACTAGCGGAAAATATAAATAAAGTATAGTTAAGGATAGTAATAGACTTTATAGTTAAGCTATCGTTATCGAAAGAACCTATAACGGATATAATATATAATAGTATACTTATAATAAACGATATCCTAATAAAGTATATTTATCTACTACTATATAAAGAAGTATTAATAGTAGAAGAACTAGTATATATAGTTATAAGAATAGTATTCGCGTAGTACGAAATACTAGAAGTTATTATTACGAATAGAGATAAACTATTTAATTTATAGTTTTAGTAGTCGTTAACCGACCTATTAGGAATAAAATATAAAATATCTACATTATATTACCCGTAGATAGATAGATAAACGGAAAGAGCGAATTAAACGATAGAATAATATTTACGATACTATATAGATTACTAATAAAGGAATTAGATCGAGCTATTACTAATAGCTTAATTCGCTTTTAATAATAATATATCGATAACCGGCATATTACCGTTCTTTACGAACTACGGAAGATACCTAGACTTTAAGAAAGAACTATTAGGCGATAGACCTATAGTAGAAAAGGTAAGAATAAAAGTAGAAGACTTATATAAATTATACTTTCTATTAAAAACGAAATTAGATAAAATATTAAGAATAACTATAAAAACGACGAATAAGAAAAGATTTAAGGAACTAGATTTCTAGGAGGGAGAGATAGTTTATATTAATATAAAAAATATAAAAATATAAAGACTAAGTAAGAAACTAGATTATACGAAAATTAGTCTATACCGAATTAAGAAAATACTAGGGCTAGTCTCTTATAAGCTATAATTACTAGGAGGACTAAATATATACCTAGTATTCTATAAATTATTACTAGAGAAAGTACTAGACGAAGCTAGACTAGGACTAGTATATATCGATAAAGAAACCTAAGAACTCTATTATAATATAGAAACTATATTCTAGTATAGATAAGAAAATAACTAAATAAAATATCTAATTAAATAGTTAAGATATTTAGAGGAGGAAAATACGTAGGAATCGGAAACTAACCTAAACCTAAAACTTATAGTCCGGTACTACCGGACTATCGGATAATCTAAGGGAATAGGACCTAGAAATTAGGCTAGGGAATCCGGCGAAAGGTTAAAGATATCTTTAAGCTAAGCGTTATCTATACTAACTAAAATAGTAGAGGAAGCCTAGGGCGGAGGATTAATATAATCTAGCGCGTCTAGGGTATAAGCCTCCTAGATAACTATTTTCTTTTATTTCTCTAGTAGTAGTTCGGCCTCTTTCTCGAAACGCGTACGCTCGGCGTTAGCCTAAGTAATAGAAGAAAGTAGGCGCTGTATCTCCTTACTCTTTTAACGAATCTCTTCGCCTTTTTAGCGAGCGGCCTCGGCTAAGCGGCTACGCTTAGCTAAAAGGGCCTCGAACTCGGTATTAGAAAACACCTCATTATAGTCTTTTCGGTTATTACGCGTAAAATTATTATAGCGCGTATAACTATTTAACATAAAATAAATAATATTTACGTTCTAGTAGGGAGTATAACGACCTATACCTTCGTATTTCCGTCTAAGGGTTTTAATTTTAAGCGTAGTACATTAACGATGAATAGTAGAGGACTCGGAACGTTTAATAATACCTACGGGCGATATAGTTAGCTATAAAGGAAGAAAGAAATAAATATAAGGGAGGCTTACCTTAAGTACGTTAAGGATAACGACTAGAAGGAGGAGGGAATAGTATTACGAACTAGGTTACTTAAAAGGTTACTAAGGAAATTAAGGCACCTACCTAGGAGGGAAGTTAGCCGATAGAGAACGAGGCTAAGTTACGTAACTAGGAAAGGCTAGATCTCCTAGATCCCCTAGATCCCGTGGGATCTCGAGAGATCTAAGGGGAGCTACGAGATCTAAGAGAGCTACTAGTACTATATATATACGCCTACTACCTATATTAAGATAGATCGTAGTTAACTTCGTTAGTAATCCTATACCTACGTTTTAGGATATAGTCCGACGAATAAGTATTCCCTTTATTATCCTGGTTAGTACTCTTGTACCCACTCTATCAAGGAACCCTACCTTGGTTAGAACTGCTTACAGCTCGGATTATAATAATACTCTTGTTTATTGCTAGAATCTTGTCGTAGGTTTTAATGCGGTTAGTTTCGATCTATAGATTCTAAGATACAGTATTCCTCCTTAATAGCTTTAGATCGTCCAAATTAGAGCACATTAGGCTCTACGTTTAGATCCTAGCCTATTTCCAGGCTAGAGCTACCCAAAATATCTTATGAGATGTTAGATAAAGATCCAGATGGAAGATCCTCACTAGGTGCTGAATAGAAGCCATAGTCTGAACCATCAAAATTCAAGAACTAGGAATAATTTAGACAGGCCACCATGGAAAAAAACGATTCTCTTGGCACCATGGGGTGTGAGCACGGGTTATAGAGAAGCGCAGAAACATGTCAGAGTAGTCCAATATGCGAAGACAACTATGAGCCTACCCGTGGATACTTTATATATCACCTAGCTCGGTTTGAAGCAAGGCCCGCTGTTTATCAAGCCGCTCAAGAACCTGAGCCGTGTCATGGTGCGATGTTGCCCTCGCTACCGCATCTCGCAATATCTGTGCTGTTTCGGCATAACTGTTGATATGTCGCTTTTTATCCTCAATCTGGGCACATCTCCTGCCTGTACGATCCCGGTTTGAGGAGGAATGAAGTAAAATTGGGGGATCACGGCGGCAGAATTCAATACCACGCTGACACGACCAAAAGCACATGCCAGCACAAATGTTGCGCAACGCAGATGGTGCAAGATCAATCAAAGAGTGCCGTCTTTCACCTTGACCGCGGATCTCGTACTGCTCCATCCACCGACATATATCGATCATGTCATTCAGCGCTTTTACACTTTCATATTCGACACATATTGCAGTCGTCTCTGCCACTAAGCTTCTGCTGTCGTGTATCCCATATTCAGAGACACAATGCTCGATCTGCAATAAACAGTTAATCTCGAGCGCCCATAACACTGCACGATGTATTTGACTGTGTTTCTTCAACGTATTGGCATTGGAATCCCCGAGGTAGATATTTGCCAATTTACCTGCAGGACCTTCATGCCTCCGTAGATGTTCTGGACAACCATTGTTCCTCCAATGATAAATCTTTTCGTAGAGAGTATGCACATCATTTGGATCGACGCCTCGGCGTTTAGCGGCGGCGCTGCACAAAGCCTGGATGATCTTGCGCGCAATAATTGCCAGGGCAAGTATAGCATCGAAGTATCCCTCGGCTTCACCTTGCGGAAGTCTCTCATTACTACCGGCATGGTCGTCTGGAATATAGGATATTTGTTTAAGATCAAGGCAGTGAAAGGCGTCAAGTCCATAGACATGCCAATAGAGACGCACGCGACGCTCGCCAGCCCTTGTCAGAATTGATGACGAATTTGAAGTCGTCGAGCTGCGATCACAGATTCGAGACTGCAACGTCATTAAAACGAGCGACTCATGCTTTAGGAAGAGGTTCCCCAGACTTGAATGCAGCAGTTGATTGTCTGCATCCTCGTATACGAAATCGATCATAAGTGCCAGAGCTTCAAGGTCGTCCAGTCTGGTAATTCCATCACTAGATGCGGTGCTTCGGGCTTTAAGGAATGCCTCCCGGAATTTGAATGCAAAGCGCTGTTGAAGATCCCACTGGTTTAGAGTTGCGGTGAAGGGCACACCGCGGCAGGCAATGGCATTTAAAAGAGGCTGGCCACATCGACCCGCACGGTAGTCTTGCCAGAAGGCGTCCTCGAGAATAATTGGAAGAGATAGAGCCGCGAAGCTGAAGTAGGAATGTAGTGCTGCAGTAAAAGTACTCGAGTCTGCAGAGTCTCCCGACCAGGAAGATTGATCGAGCGTTTCAACGGAGAAGGTAGCTCTCTGCTCATGATTGTCTGGGGTGCCAGACTGGCCGTGGTCCGTGGCCGAAGATGGACCTTGTTGAGTTGTAATTTGTTGGCTGCCATTCCATTCTGCTGGTAGAGGGTCGCCCATGAAGACTTGGTCGAGGAAGAGGATATTGTCAAGACTCAACCAGAATGTATCATCAGGAACCAGGTTATCTGGGTACTGTGATGGTGCTGTGTTGACATCTTCTAGTGGAAGAGATTTGGATCGGGATGCTGGAGCAGAAGAGGGTGATTTATCTTGATGTTTCAACGATGTATCAACGGGAGAGGTCTCTGATTCTCGGACACAGGTGTCCATAATGCCACCATGAGCGGTGAAAATGCGGCGTCGTTGAATACGAATATCATCAGAGTCATCGAGGCGGCATTGTTCCTCGCGCCGGGCGCATTGCGAGCATGTGGCCTGGCCTTGTGTAGCTTGCAAGGATCGATCACATCTGATCTTTCGTCGATAGCAGAAGTCGCACGATTCCCGCTCTAATCCTCGTTTCAACGGCATTGCAGACTGTCCAAAGAAAGTTCCGTCTAATTTGGTGCATTGGGTGAAGCATGTAAAAGAGGCTGTAGCGGTGGTACTGTGGCATTAATATGGGCGCAAGCCTCGGCTTCCGTATCAAACCCCTGGGATTGATCATGCGTGCAGTAGCACTCAGTGTACATACTAGGCCTAGACAGGTACAAATCTTACAGGGTTATGCTGCCGCCTGATCATTGACCCTCGTCCGTGGTACCACGGACGGAGGTTTCGCGGGGGTTTTGTAGACTTTGGGAGGCGGAAGCTTTGGGGAAATTTTTAGGGCAGAAATCTGTAGACTTACTGTTCTCAATGCAGAACCAGATGAATCCGGTTGCCTAGTCCGATGCATCATAATCTCCGTTTGGATTTCCTTATATAATCCATCTTAGGTCTCCTCAATCATGGAGATAAATCAAAATAACCAATAGTGCATCATGGCTCAGAGCCCCGACATGTATGGGTACCTACCCAGTGAGCCGGCAGCGCTTTTTGGCGTCGCATACTTTGCCATCTCAATGATCGCATGCATCCTTCAGATGATATTCGGGCGGTACAAGCACTACTGGATGATTACGCTTGCCATTGCTGCTCTGGGTGAATCAATCGGATGGGGAGGTCGACTTTGGGCTCATTTTGCAGTATGTTGTCTTCCTTCAAAGAACACCAATTGCTAATAAATCATAGCCAACGGACTGGATGCCGTTCATGATCCAAATTTGCAGTCTCATCATCAGCCCCGTCTTCATTTCTGCCTTGGACTATATTCTCTTCTGCCATCTGTAAGGACTTTGACTGAACGACCCGCAAAGAAATTCTGCTGATAAAGCAGCGTTGACAAGATTGGACCCCATCTCCTCATCATTCGATCAAGATTCTTCTGGATCGGATTCATCATTTGCGACATCGTCTCTTTGGTCATCCAGACTGTAGGGGGTGTCCTGGTATCATGTGCAACGAACTACGAGCAACTGACACACGGGGCCGGCGTGATGCGCTCAGGAATCATCTTCCAGATGAGCAACACGGCCGTCTTCGTGGTGCTGGTCCTTGGTACAATACTCCGTCTACAAGGAAAGAGGGCAACGCTGGTCTCAGTGGCGGGATGGCCAGTGATGATAGCTATGTGCTTATCGACGCTGATGGTACTGATCCGTAATAGTTACCGGATTGTGGAGCTGTCGGATGGATGGAATGGCCATTTGATGCGTAGTGAGAAATTTCTCATCGGTTTGGATATGGTACCAATGGCGGTGGCGGTTGGGGCGTTGGTAGTTTTTTCTCCATCTCTTTTCTTGCGCGACAGAGACGAGGTCGTGGTGAAGACGGCGGTCCAGAACAATGGGGGCCATTTGATGGGGCAAAAGGCCTGATGATGGTCGGAGATCTAACAAAGAGGGATTTGGTCAACCGTGCACCATGCGACGCCGGCAGAGAGTTTCTATGTCACGACTCTGTTGCATTCTCAAAGCTAAAGTGCGCCCAGAATTAGTGTCAACGGATACGTAACCTCCGCATATTATTATCAGTCCTGAGCAAATTTCGCAGGCTTCATACTCTTCAATATCACTGCATAGGTGTCCTTAACTCTGTGATCCTTATTGGCGCCAACAGATCCATGCGCAATTATGGGAGTCAGCATGGCGTGATCGAAGACTGCTCCATCGAAAGGCGCGATTTCACTTAATATGAAGATCATATGCGCGTAAGTGTCCTACGTCTTGCAATTTCTTTGACTTAATTTATTCACTTAACCACATCAAGAATGAGGAGACGTAATTCTTCTCGCCCTATGAAGCTCAAAACATGTGCAAGTATGAGATGGCCGTAAGGAACTGAAAATAGGTAGCGAAGATATTTCACAGCCAAACATTGCTTCTGAGTTGAGTGAGAGCAGCTGAATACTTTGTGATATTCACGATATTCTTAAAGCTCATTACAAATTGGCCATCAAAAGGTTTGCGGACAATGTTGTGGTGGGAGTGGTGGAATGATCATGGCTCGGTCTGGGTGGATTTGTGGTGCTGTTTGATGTTGATATTATCTGACAGCTCTCTGACGAAGAACTTGCGTCCATTGCCGCAGCAAACAGCGGTACCACCAATGTGCGAGGTGGGTTGGAGGAGAAGTTCCATCGCTTTGAAGAAGCCCTGCAAATTGGGAAGTGCATTTGATAGCTATGCATTTCTCCTCTCCATGCAAGGTTTTTCCCAGCACCTCTGCCATGCTTCCCCCTTAGCTCGAGTGCAAATGCGGGAGGCTGTAGCTAGAAAGTTGTATGTAGCATATTGTTTCCTTGCGTAGGTACTTGGTAAAGTGTGGAGTTTTGGCAGGATCCCCTGACAAAATTGATGTGACCGCGTTCGAAAATGCTCTCCTGTTGCGTAGTCCAAGATGTAGTCACTATCTACCATTCCCGCGGAATGCCGGAAAATGCCATAGCCACTGGATGCTGATCGAAGATGCGAATATGTGGAGAGCGACCATCAGATTCTGAAATCCTCCCATTTGTATATAGGATATCCGACAGATACCAAGTCCTAATCCTAGTCTCAAGGCTGTCTCGGACCTACTGTGCTTCCTATTTGCTTGGCACGCGATGAGCCGATCTGCTGTCGCATGAAGTTGCGGGTTCCTTCCTGACCTGGCAAGTGTAATTTCCTTATCCGCTTATGAACCGCAATGTGGATCACAAACCAGAACTAGTAGGCTATCCCATTATTTGGGCTGATAGGCTTCATGTGGCCGCAGCCGACTGTTCGCATATAAGTTAAAGGCAAAAGCATGAATTCAATAGGTGACCACAAATCGTGTAGCCGAATGCTTGCAAAGGCTCTTCGCCTCAATCTTGAGAGACCAAACACACTACTACGAACCATGGTTTGCCTACCACGCCTGCAAATGCCTCGAAACCCATTTAAGACCAGCAGTAGGTCAAGGATACAGGTTAAGCTCTTTGCTCCTAATTCTCTTTCCGGAGAAACTGTTCTGTCCTGTCTACTGGCGTGCTGATTTCAAAGAATGCTACACCGCGTCAATCTTGCGGGACAAGACTGTCTTCTGGACCCTTGAACTATTTGTTGTATTTTCCCGAAGCACTGTTAGATGTTAATATTCTGGCCGACAGAGGTTTTCCAGCTTAGAGGGTCTGACAATTTCCCACCATCTTACAAAAAAAAGCTCCGTAATCTACTCCACCTCGGATGTTCTATTTATGTTTCCGCATTGAATTTCACAATTTACACGATGCTGTCCACTTGTGGAAGACAAATAAAAAAGTTTTCTTAACTCTCGCTCTTTAAATCGCAACCATACCGCTAGGCATTCTAAGCTCTCCCTTGTCCATACCATCTGTATCTCCGTTGACTGTCTTCCCACTATGCGTACCTAGGGCGCCCATTTTCCTTAAAGGTTCGTGCGTGAAGTTTGTACCTCCGTTCCGCCACCGCCCATCCATCCAAACTCGTTTTCGAAGGCTGTGATCTCGTAATCCTCAAATATGACCCTTTCCAGAGCACATGATGCATGGATACTACTGCCAGGCCACAGAACTGTCGCCCTCCCACGTTCTCTTTCTTTTGCATCGGCGTCAGGTAATGGGAGCTTGCATCAACCACCGCATTCAGCGGGAAAAGAAGAGTCGCTGAAGTAATGCATCACAATAATTTGTGAAGTTCTCCACGGACTTCCTCTTAGGCTCGATCATCCTAACACTGCCTCTTGATAGCTTCTCAAGCACTTGGCCAATAGAGTTCGCTATTGATTTGACAACAAGTAACAGGTTGTCGTTTCCAAGGCCGGAATCAAGACCCAGCGAATGGAAGAAATTCGGAAACTGGTCGACAGCAACACCTACATACGTCTCCGCGCATATCTTTTTTTGTTGCTGTAGATTTATACCACCTCCATAAACTGGGAAGCGGCCTTGAAACGATGCATCGAAGCCTGTCGCAGTGATTATTGCATCCACTGGTCAATGAATACCTTCGGTCGTTGTGATTCCAGCTGCGTTGATGTACGAGATCCTCGCCAAGATGAATGTCAACGTCGACCGCAACTAGGGCTTCTAGATACCCAGGTCCTGGAGTAAGCCGCTTAAATAGCGGGGAGAATTCTGGAATGAGAAGATCGGTTATATAGCTTCTCTTGTCCAGTCGTCCTCGCATGTTCTTGTTAAATGTGACCCTTGCTGCTGTTTGGTCCGCAGACCCTCGATGATTGAGCGCGAAACAGCCCTGCATTCCAATTTCGAGGGTTGAACGATGCTTCATATACCTCTCTGGATTCCTCCTCCGCTCCTCGATTTCTTGTGTAGTATACTCGAAATTACCATCGTGGCCTTCTCGTTCGCGCAAGAATTCGCTCCCGAAGCCCACCGCGAAGATCATCAACTGGGGGTCTCGCGAAAATTCCCTTATAGCTGAGAACACTATTATCATCGCGAAGTGAACCCTGGATTAGTCCATCGTCCAGCTTGAGGTGTTCTGTCAGTGGGCTGTGGTGTGCAATTGCCAGAGCCGTGGCAAAGGGCAGACTGAGTGTCAACGCCGAGAAATAACAGCTTGTTTTCATCGTAGACGGCTACTTGTTGTGAAGCTTCTGAATTCTTTCGTTCGCTTTATGAAATATTTGAGGTATTCGGCTTGGTAGAGATAAGATGGATAGACCAAACAAGAAGAGGATTGTGCCACATTTCTTCTATTTCAGGGCAAATCCTTTTTATCGTAGAGACATCGAAACAGGAAACTCTCGGATACATTGTTTACAATGAACAAGGTGATGGCGCACCATGGGAGGCTGATGTCGTTCAATTAACTCCATTCGACCTAGCCGAATCCGTGTTCAGCCACAACACGTCGTGAGCAAACCTAAAAAGACATTGAGGCGTGAGTGACGGGGTATAAGTATCCAATTTCGACATGAGAACGCCCAGCAAATATCTCAAAAATCATGGCACCCACATTTTCAGAACGCCCTACAAGATGGATTGGGAGCTTATTTAATTAGGGGATAGCGTCGCTGCCGCGAGAAGGGGCAGTCGGTCTTCGGACTTGCCTTATTCGTACATACAGTATTATGGCCAATCCGTCATACCATATATCTACCTTGGACTCCATATCTTTGGTCCTCGGTGAGAGATGGTGATGCTAATTAGATTTGAGCAGTAATCTTCCTTTAAGGAGCGTAGGAGGGATAAGGCATACATAGGTGAGATCCTTACGAAAGAGTGAGGTTAATAAATTTCAAGCTCCTGGCTCCTTAAAGATCCTGTTCGCACAACCTTGACAACGTTGCCAAGGTGCTACCTCCCCCCGCCTCTTATGGTTCAATCGCCTTGACTCCCTCGGGAATAGAAGGCCAACCTGTGTTAAGCAGAACGACCAGCATGATATAACAATAATATATTGCTAATTGTGAAGAGACAGCGCTCCCATCTCTTACGTTCTTCTCTCGATGTCAACACTCGTCGGTTGCTGAAACCGATCTTGGTGAGGACTGCATTCGCAACACGTTGTGATGTTGCTCCAGGCCAAGCCCACTGCCAATCTACCGAGAGTGCCGTGGACGGCACTCGGGAGTTGAAGCTGCGGCGTCACCCTTGATTGGACAGCAAAGAACCGAGATACCTTCTCAGTCTCGAAATGCACCATTTCTCGAAAACATTACTTTTTCCTGATCAATCCATGGCCTTAGCAAGACATGCTGGCCGTGTCGTTGTTTGTAGGGTGAGAGGCTTCGGAGCCCTTTAGCCATCCGAGGCTGAGTTATAAGAACCCCAGAAACCCCAGATAGTGGGGAGATCTTCAACGCACCATTGAGCTTTCTTGTCAAGCAAGGTAGCCTCACCCTCCGGTTTACTCAAGATGGCATCAGGTAATGATTCCAACGACAAGAGCATCATGGAAGCTCAAGTGGAAAATACGACCTATAATGATGCTCAACACAACAACGTCATGGTGGTCGAGCATATCGAAGGCGAACTCTGGACAGGCATCAATAAGCAGACTATGTTGGCTTTCTTTGTATGTTTACCTGGACGAACTGAGGCGTACAGCAAATATCCAAATCGGGCTGACACTGAGGACATTGTTCAGGCTATTTGCACTCAATTGAGCGCATACGAGTTGACGTTGATCATCCCGGCCGTCTCAGCTTCCTACATCAACGCCGAACTGGGCCCCAGCCCGAACACCCCGTGGATTAATATCACCTGGACTCTTGGAGCAGCTATCCTTGTGAGTGTGGGAGGGCGTCTATCGGATATCTTTGGACGCCGACATTTCATGCTTTGTGGAGCAGTCATATCATTCATCGGCACCATCGTTGGAGCCACCGGGCAAAGCATTGCCCAGATGATTATAGCAGGCGTCATGTTCGGGGTCGGATCGGGGTTCCAGGAGATGGGATTTGCTTGTATCATGGAATTCATTCCCAACAAATACCGATTGACCGCTCTCGGTGAGTCGAGGCTTGGGCAATAGCCCTAAAACATCATCGTGTCAGGTCTTCTGATTGATATCTAGGACTTTACGGAACTAGCGCAATTATGTGTGTTTTCTGTCCTCTTATCACCTATGCCTTCATTGCACATACCAGCATCGGCTGGCGAAGTGCATATTGGTACATGACTGGCTTTCATGCATTTGGCCTCATCTGCATGTTTTTCTTCTACAAGCCTCCGACTTTTGAAACCAAGCATAAAGACGATGGAGTTTCGAAGTGGAAGCTGGTTTCAGAGATGGATTATGTCGGCTTGTTCCTTTTTACTGCTGGGTGTGTTTTATTCCTGGTCGGCTTGAGTTGGGGAGGTAGGAAGTACCCTTGGAGGCACGCCGCTGTTATCGCACCTATCATTGTGGGCTTCTTCCTCTTGGTCCTGCTCTTTGTCTGGGTCTTCAACGCCAACCTCAAATATCCTTTTCTTCCTCCAAAACTCTTCAGACAATGGCGAGGGTAAGGATGAGAACTCCCCAGACCTCCACAAGATGGAAGCTTCGAACTAACAAGCTGTGTAAAGGTACAACGTTCTTGTCATCGTCGGCTTCTGCTGCGGCATGCTCTACTATAGCATGCAGGTCATTTGGCCACGCCAGTCGGCATTACTGTACGTGCCGGCGAACCAGCCAATCTTGCGTGGAGTATACGCAAATCTGACGCTTATGGGCACATGGGGTGAGTCACAACACATATCTCTATGTCAAATTTCTGCTCAAGATATTCTGACACCACAACAGTATCTCTCATCTCCGTATGGGTTGTGTGTGCAAGATTCGGCCACGAGAAATACCAGATCCTGGGATTCATCTGCTGCCAAGTGGCTTTCGTGGGTGCTTTGTCGACTCTGGATATTGGGCAAAATGGGAAAGCGATCGCCCTCGTCTTCCTCATGTCCTGTGTGATTAATCAGCCCCTGTATATGCTTTTCAGCATGGTGTCCCTCAACCTGGACGACCAAGCCGATATGTAAGTTCATCCCACCCCTAACTGTGTAGTCAACTGGAAAACGAGCGTTTTCTAATCTTATATTCCTTCTCAGGGGCGTCGCAATCGGAGCCATCTCCACCTTCCGTCTCCTCGGGGGTGCAATCGCAACGGCAGTCTACAGCTCAATCGTAGACAACCAATTCGCGACAAGGCTGCCTGGGCAAGTCCGAGAAGCCATCGCCGACACGAACTTTGACGTCAATGATTTGCTCGCGTTAGTCCAGGCGGCAGCTGTGAATAGTGCAGCTGCATACGCGAAAGTCCCGGGAATCACCACCCAGATCATCAACGCGGCTCAGCTGGCGGTCAAACAGGCCTACATCCAAGCCTTTCAAGTGGTTTATTACACTGCTTTAGGGTTCGCTTGCCTCGCCATCCTCAGTGCTTTGTGCATCTCAGATGTCGATCCGGCTAAGAAAAACTATGATAAGGCCGTGCACCTGGAGAACGAAAAGTTGGAGACTGTCTTTGGAGCAGGACCAAAGCAGGATGCCTTCGACCGCAAGGAAGAAGTCTAGTTTGATCGTATTGGGCAGATAGATCATCTCTAGACCCAATTGGGCTGTTGTTGGATCGGCAATTTTGTTGTAGTTGGGTGGAATTTTGACTTGACACGGCAGTCTGACGCTGAAGGCATATTTCAGAATTGGCGAACAGCTTGACTCAGTAGAATTTGGATATTGGGCGCTGCCCAAAGTCGTTTCCCATTTAATTGTTTTCACGTGCTCCCTTAGCTCATATGCCACGAAAGGCCAATTTCAATGAACCCCTGAACTCAGTGTAATGTGGTATAGGAGCACTTCTCGGCTCAGGTTTTCCCGACTGCACTGACATGAACTTCCTTTGACCACTTTCTCATTAAACTGAAGAGGCCTAAGTAGAATCAATAACAAATGACGACGCAGCTCATCGTTCTAGCTTGTTATACTTTTACTGACCCTGAAACTGTCAAGTCTTCCTACAACCAAGCAGCTCGAATAAGCTCTTGCAGTCCGCCGTGCTCCCAAGGCCATAGCACTCGGCGAGGAGGCTCTCAACAATGCTAGCATCATACAAAGCAGGCGCTTCTTGTCTGAAACGGTCTTCAACCGCTTTTGAGTCCAGCCAAGGCACGTCCGCCAACGAGTGCTGGTGGGTGCCTCCCCCCTCCATGTGAATTTCCACGCGGCAAGGTTGTCTGCCTTGCGCGAGCTCCTGGTCATATTCTCTGCTGGTCTGGATGTTGCAGCGCTGGATGAGCCTCTCCAAGTTCGCGTTGTTGTACTGACGGTATGCATGCTCGTCGATGCGGCCGAAGAGGAGCGCTGCCGATACGCTGTACTGTAGGCTCATTTTCGTTTGCTGGATCTTTTCGAAGGGACCCAGGCTATCACAGCCTGGGTATTCCTTTGCCACGGTTGTTGTGACGATGACGACGCGCTCAATTTTCTGTGACGACCCTGCTAAATGTTTATAGAGTCTCAGAGCAGCAGCAACAGGGGTTTGGATCAAGTTGCAACCTGCTATAGGTTTGAATTTGACGCCCATGATGCCAAACCCGAGGCTAGATTCCGCTACAAAGTCCCGGAACCGGTCTACAGCGCCAGGCCCGCAATTGTAGGCTTGAAATAGGCCATCCTTCCCCTCTAGCACGCTTCCACTACTTACCATGCCTGCCTTTGCTAGGTCGTAGCTTGCAATACCGCTCCGACTCGATATACCCATGTGGGTGTTGATCTCCTGCCCTCCCGCCCAAGGCCATTCATTCAACCCCGCGGCCATGTTTGCCCCGAACCCTAGGGCACTTGTAGCTTGATCGATGGTCATGCAAGGGTCTCCGACGATTCCTACTGCAGTGGCACCGAATGCACCTATGATCCCACTAGGACGAAAGTGCGGGTTGCACGTACCAGAGTGGCGGACCGAAGAACCCAGCATAACAGCCATTTCGTAACCACCTACTATACTTCTCAACAATTGATCACCGGTCCATCGTTCTCGTTGAGCGAGGGCCAGTGCCGCTGGCATCACCATCACACCAATGTGCGCCCCTGCGGATAGATGCATATCATCTCGGATAATGCTAGTTTAAGACTCGTCAGCAATGGTCATCGAAGATGATGACGAATATCGACTTACCTGTGTGCAAGAGCTGCATTGGTAAACGCGGCTACTTCAGCCGATAACGTCGAATTTAGTCCCATCACATGGCTTGATCCCTTGCTCGGGCTTACCACCTCGGCATATTGTAGCAGCGAAGCACTCCATGTGGCAGAGAGACCAGTGACCAGAGCACCCAAGTAGTCAATAAGGCATTGGACAGCCTTTTCTCGTACTTCAGCCTTCAATTCGCAGCTTCGGAGCTTTTCGAGGCGACCAACTGCCAGTCTAGTTAGAGTTGGTTTCGGTCTACGATCTTCCATGGCAGATGGCGCAGCCATCTTGTTCGCATCTGTGGGAATTGTGGTGGACGCATATTGCGGTATTCGTCATTTTTGGCTGTTGAAATGGGCACTTGTAAGTATCGAGACGACTTCTGCCTTCCAATCGATATGGGTTTCAGGCTTCACCATCGCCCGGTATCCTGGTCACCTCCTCAATGGCAGCCGGGGAGCCGCTGCAATGTGAAGAATTGTGAAAGCATATCCCCGATTTTCGCTAGGCATCTCGGCTGATATGGACCAATAGCGTCGAAGATCAATAAGCCAGCAATTTCTCAGTTTCAGACTCCGCAACGTGTGCTCGAATGATCAAGGATTTCTCCGCATGGATGACGCTCAATCGGCCTAAATCAACATTGCTATCCAGGTATGTGACTCAACGTCATCCCATTGCCATGCTGTCTCTGCAGAATTGTTGAATCTGTATGATAAAGAACTGTTTCTCACGCGCGAGAGTTGTAAACTAGTATTCCCACCGATGTCTCACAGAATTCTGCTCACTGGAGCCTCAGGCTATCTTGGAGGGACGCTCCTTGCTCGCTGGACGAGCGTCAACCTCCCACCGTACGAACGGCTATATGCGCTTGTCCGGACGGAAGAACAGGCCAAGTCTGTCGGGCAATACGCCGCCGCGCCCGAGCCCCTAATTTTCGATATCAAAGATGAAAAAGCCGTGCGATCTGCAGTTGTGGACAATCGAATCACCATTGTATATTTCCTAGTCGATGCTTTCCAGGTGGATTCCCAGAGATATTTCATTGCCGCCCTGGCCCAAGTGAAGAAGGTCACTGGTATTGATGTCCATTTCTTGCATGTAAGAAAATCACCGCAGGGTTGACGTATGAGTCTTATGGACATTCCGTGTTAACTTTCTCATTACCAGACGAGTGGAGCGAAAATTTTCTCCAGCCATGCTGGTGCACCTATCGATAGGCCACTTTTGGATACTGAAGAAGAGCTATATGATATTCAAAAGGCACAGGTTCCACTAATTCCTCCAACCCAGACAGTAAGTTTCTTGGTCCTCCTTGCGCTGTTCCTCTTTGGGGCCGAGATTAAATGAGCAAGCTATCTAACCATGGAGAGTGAATAATTGCCAGGCCATCAACACGAACAACACCGTGATCGAGGACGCTACGGCACTTGGGGTGAAGAGTTACATATTTGTTCCATGCATCGTGTGTAAGTAACTCTTTGCACCATCTATCTGCGGTTCGGGAGCTAATGGAAGTAGATGGCAAAGGTGAAGGGTTCGGAAATCGGATTTCGATTCAGACCGTCGCAATAGTTCGAGCTGCACAAGCAACAAGGCAAATGCTCAGTGTTGATCCTGGACGGCCGGTTAGTATAGGCCCCTTGTTCCCAAAGGTGGAACCGACTAAACACCGTCTGGCACTCAATCATCGTTAACCTATGTTTTCGTGACAGACTTGGCCCGTGTGCCATGTGCTCGACAATACCGCATTGTACCTCGAGCTTCTCCGATCCATCTTGGCCAACGAGAATCCTGGCGAGGGACAGCAGGGCTACTATCTCGCAGCTTCTGGCAGTGTCGCCTGGGTCGATCTTTATGCCGCAATGGCGACCAGCCTCGCCAAGAGGGGCATCATTGACAACGATTCCGTGGCCCCAGCTTCAGATAAGGCGCTGGGTGATATGGCTACAGCTCTAGGCTGTACCAAGGAGCTGGTCGCATTGCAGTTGGGAGGAATGTAGGTTCACTTTCGGTTATGAAAAATGCAGACGGATGACGCTGAGTTTACAAGCTGTGTTTTGTATGCCTTCGAATCTCGACTGACTTTGAAACAGGTGCACATTCACGGCAAAGCATGGGTCAGACATCGGCTGGACACCGAAATACGCAGCCAGTCACATTCTGGATACGGCGGATGAAGAAGTGGAGTTGATCTTGGCTGAGAGTGCATCGTCATGAGAATTTCATAAGGGCAAAGAGCCTTTTGTATGCGATAGCGTTACTCAATCTCCCAACCAGTTAACGCGGACAAGTTTTCCATAAAAGGGTCCAATGCGGCATCAGTGATATCAAATAAGTTCTGGAAATGTACTGTGGGATCGGCCAACCAGGACATGTCATCCCATAGACCTTCGTTAGTTTGCCCCGCAAGCAAAATTGCAGCTAAACCAGAGGTTTGCACAGTGATTTGTGGGAAATAGCTCCGCCAGTCGATACCGTGAAACCAATCCACGTCTGAAACTGTGGAGGAGGTAGTAGGATGGTCGGTAGCACTTGCTGTAGACTCAAAATCCGGCCTGCCGCTTCGTAGATTCTCAAATGCCTTTAAGCGGTCGAAGCCCTTCACAAAGATCTCCGTCGTAGGCCAAAGGCGTGCAAGTTCGCTCAAAGCCAGCTTAAGGATTCGAATATCCTCGGCTCCGCTTTCTGCTAACCCCTCAACCCGTTGCGTGTACAGGAGCGCCACAATAGCAACCGCAACATGCCAGGATGATATCGCACCTAGGAATCGAATCTCACCTCGGGCGAGGAAGTCTTTGAAAATGCGAGTGACACAGGACGCCGACAGCACCGCAGCTGTGTAGGCTTCCGGCCATGGCTGGGATGGGTGCTGAGAGGACCAGTTCAGATGTAAAATAGTGACTGTGGTCAGATACGGCAGGTGTAATGCCAGTACATCTCTGTCAAATGTTCGCACACGATCAGACATATTAGACAAGCCAAGATGAGGTGGGAGGTTTCGAACCCAATTTACGAGTTCTTCAGCAAGAGTGGCAGGGAAAGCGGCTTGTTCGGGATGACGAGACAAATGCTGTCCGACGCGTCCGATAATGCCACAGAGGCGAACCCAGTGGACAAAGATCTCTGCTCGAGGATCTCGTGACTGTGGTGGACCGAAGTCATCAATAGATGGCTCGCGGACATCGCAATCTTCAGGATTGATCGAACAGGGTCGACCTTGACAAATTGCTGTCAATCGCTCTCGAGCCTACGCAACAACCTTTCAGCTCGACTAGACCTTAAGTCAGACAATGTGCTCCGGACATACGAATAGAGTCCACCATATCCTCCTCCGCAGTCCTTGAATTACCTCACCCCCAACATCTTGCACGTTTTTGGGCTCGCGATGCAGGCCTGCTTGTTGAGCGTACTTAATAGCAATGCCAGTCCACCACCACGCGGCATCTTTGTGAACTTGCGATGGTCTGGGAATAACAATCAGCTGCGACCTTCCTTGATAGACGTGCTGGAAAGAAGCCAATGGGGTGGGGAAATTTGAAGGGCTGGGAGGTCTCACCCACGTGGCGCCCACCAGTAGAATAGCATGATGGCCTGCAGACAGACAATTGGATTACTGTCTTGGTCCATATAGAAAAGCATCTTGGCCCGGTTGTAGTATTCAGCGGCTGTTGCATGCCGCATGATGGGAGGACGAACCTGAGTTCCTAGGAGGGCCAGTGCGTTGATCAGTAAGGGGGAAATTGTGGTGTCCGAATTCTGCCAAAATGTGGCCTTGTCCAGGACGGGACACCACGGCCAGCACCAGTCGAAATAGGTGTCTGCAAAACTTTGCTGTAGCTCAGGCGGTGGGAGGTCATTTTCAATGCCCGTAAACACGGGCATTGTGCTTCCTGGATCACTGGCGGCAATTCTTTGAGAATCTCGAGCGAAGATCTGCAGAATGCCACTGTTTCCGAGGTAGCTGGCCCCTGGGGCCGGCGTAGCAGTCGGCTGTTGAACCTCGGATGGTTCATGGAGATGGGCATTGGAAGCAGACAATCCAGTGCGGGCTTGTCCCTCTGCTGCCGGAGGGGGAGTCATCTCTTGCGGAGCTGTGAGGGATAGGAGGCTTTCCATAGCCGCCGGCTGATGCTGCAGCGGCTCGTCATGACTTGTTGGCTCACCAGGGAACCTAAGGCCCTGCTGAGTCTCAGATAGTACTGATGGCTGACGAGCAGACGGCTCCCAGTTTGCATCGACATTGCCATTATCAGAACTATTGCTGATGGCAGGTAAAATACGAAGATGAACTGTAGGCCGAGTTGCTGAAGCATTGGAATCCGCCTGAGTGGCCTGGTGCTTTCTTTTTCTTCGCTGTGGGGATCTCGGCCTGGTATTGAGATAGGCTCGGATCAGCTTGGACGACAATGTTCGACGGCCAAGGGCCGGGACTTTGCATACAAACTTACTGGCAGAAACTTGAGGACTCGATACAGTTACCACAGCTTGACAAACCTTGCTGACTCCGGCTCTCAAGGTCACATCTCAACTGCAAGACGATGAGGTGTAAGCTAACGGGCAGTCGGCACATATTTCTCTATGAGTGTACTAACCTTACGATTATGGCACGGCAGGCAAACCCGTCGGGCTCGCAGTTTGCGAGGCTGCGGTAGAGACTCTTCTCGAGTCATGGCTAAGCAGAGGTGGTCTTAGCTGGCGTACTTTGTGGTCATAGATCATAGTTTCCTAGAATCTCAATTCCCGGGTGGGAGAACAAGAAACTAACTTCTCTACCTAGCTAAGTGAGTTGCATAAGAAGCCATTAACTAACTAGATGGTACCCACGCATCCTTACGGTCCCTTAAAATGGCGACACTGGTGGGGATCCAAAGCGGGGGTGTGCGGACTGCCGAGGAGGTTGGGCGTCCCAGCCAACCTGGGGTACCTCAGAGCCTGGAACCACTAAACCTTGGCAGAAAATGGGTGACTGGCTGTTGCATAATGACATTACCTTAGGTGGTCAAGTAAGTCGCATCTGCGGGGTGTTTAGCTGGCTAGCCTAACTTTAGGGGCAAAGGCGCCGTCAACTCCCTGACCCCGAGCGCAAACCCTGCACTACCTAACTATAGAGGTAGTTAAGCTAACAGTTCCTTTGCACCCCCCGGCCATTTTCACAGGCATGTCATTAGGCACGCTCTTCATCAAAGCAATTCGTTCGAATTCTAGGACAGTCTGCCCCCTTGGACCTGGCAGGCGGCTAACTTAGATAATTAAGAGACCAATTGTCACAGACGTCATTGATCTCCCATCCGAGATATACACGCTTCTAAGTACTTGCGCAGCTGTTCAACGACCTTCGCTTCGACACTCAAAACACCCTGTTTCTTGGCGATGCTTCTGCTCTGGCTACTCCGTTCATGGGGCATTCTCGCTGGTCCCTGGCCTGGAAGCATCTTAGTCTCCCTAACAGACTGCGACAACTTGTCCGCACATCCTTTAACACGATCCAAAGGCTGAAGAATGCTTGGATCAAAAGCCAGAACCAAGTACCCAAAATCAGACAGCAGGGGTGTTGGCTCGGCGCTCCCCGCAGCAATGCCCAGAAGCTGCACCATGATGGCAAGGCCACTGCCTTTATGACCTCCCCATACAGACAAGGCGCCCTGCAAAGCCTTGAGAGGATCTGTCGTCAAGTTTCCCTCATTATCATACGCTGATCCTTCTGGGATGTTAGTTCCGAGTCTCTCGGCAAGTTTGACTTGCGCATACATGATATTACTCGTTCCGATATCCCAGATGATGGGTTGGTCGAGCTCATTTGAGGGAAATCCGATGCAGAAGGGATTGGTGCAGACTTTCGGTTCGTACCCTCCATGTGGTGCCACAATGGGCGTACCGTTAGAGGCAATAAAGACGATCAAGTTCTCCCTAGTCGCCATCTCAGCATAGTAGGCCAGATTTCCAGAGTACCAAAATCCGTTCGCCCCGACAACGGCCACTCCAGCGCTCTTAGCCTTTTCAACGGCAATCTTCGTAGCCTCGTACGCAACAAGGTTGCCCACGGCGCCGTGACCATCGAGGTGGGCAAAAGTCAATCCGGATCGCGTCACTTCAATTTCATGCGCGGACGGCGCGACCGAGAATTGTAGTTGCTCGACAATGCTCAGAGCTCTTGCAAGCCCTGCAAATGGGTGGCCTCGCATCTCAGCGTCCACAAGGTGATCTGTAATGATCCATGCTTGCTCGGGGGAATATCCGGCCTTTTGGAGCATATTGTGACATAGCTGAGTGGCTTCTTCGATCGAGATCTGAACTTTTTGGTCCTTAGGACCATTGGTTGCCGGCTCCTGCGCTGATCGATTCAATTGGGAGCTTGGAGAGGCGGCCATGATGATGAATTCCAGGTGTTAAGTTTTAGCGAGCTGACTGCACTTATCCTTGAGATTTCTCGTCTCCTCTAAAAAACGTACATCCAGTAAAGGTACACTGTGGCATATTGATCACGTAAGGAGGACGGCATTCAACACGTCGGCCTTTTATTAGAAGTCTTGAAATTCGAGAGGCTGTCAGTCCCGGGGCTTTTGTTCGATAGACCTGACAGCCTGCTAAGCTTTCTCGGAATCGCTCGAAGAGTAGTCCCATCTTTCGGTTTACCGGTGTAGTCCAGCATAAGGTTGGGCTTGGGCTTGTCGTCCACGCCCATTCCCTGGGCCCGGCCGCAGGCCTGTGGTTATTGGATCATAGAGCCGAGATACCGAAGCTGAAAGAACAACCAGCTGACCCATCCACTTCAATCACGGCCGGGGGTACCAACCAACATTTGCTATTTTGCCTCTGAGAACCAAGGCGTTTCTATTCACTCCAGGATGAACGAAAGTTAGATGCTCTCTCAATGAATGAACCTCGGGTGTGCTGCACTGTGAGAAATTTGGTTTTCGGTTGATATCCTCCTTGCAGTTTCCGGTGTCTGTCGGTTCAGGTCTCGACTTTGCACCGAAGCATAGTACAAAACACCACTATCTTCCCTTTAATCGGTAAATCCCTCTTACAAGGCTTGAAGAAGCTACTTAAAGGAAAGAAGAACAAACAGCAATAGAATGGCTGCCACTCAGAGTAATGGTGTGCCCAGCGGGCCAAGGCCAAGATTGAACATTCCTGGCTCATCTGTGTCGATATCGGTCAAGATCATTGACGCATCGACCATCTCTAACGTGCCTGCTCAAGCTTTGTTTACTCCACTGGTCCCTGGATTTACGACAGCGGCCGCTGCACCTTCATTTTGCTTTCTCCTCGAGCACCCCTCTGGTCAGAAGGTGCTGTTTGATCTCGGGATCCGCAAAGACTGGCAGAACCTTGCCCCGGCCATCGTCGAGCGATTTAAGAAGGTTGGACACCAGCCGAGCGCTGAAAAGAACGTTTCGGAAGTCCTCGATGAGGCTGGCGTTGGCAAGGAGAATATTAATGCTGTGATCTGGAGGTAAGTCGAAGAGGGAGGCACATCACATCGTAGTTCAAAATCCTGCTTTATCATGCCCCTAGCCTTGTCAGTCCTTGCTAACATGGATAAAAACTAGTCATGCCCACTGGGACCACCTAGGGGATATGTCCACCTTTGGCCCGCAGACTGACTTAGTAGTTGGTCCAGGTTTCAAGGATTTTTTCCTGGGTGAAGGGAACGGCAAAAACTCTACCCTGGGGAGTGTCCAACCAAGCGACGTGGAGTAGGTCATGCCCGTAGAAAACCAAATCTGTCCAAGATATTCGACCATTCTGAAACTAACACATATCGTGATTAGAGGCCGAACCGTCCGTGAAATCGATTTCCAAGGAACGAAGACCCACACGATTGGCCGGTTCAAAGCCCTCGACTACTTCCAAGACGGCTCGTTATATCTTCTAGACACTCCCGGCCACTGTGTCGGCCACCTGTGTGCCTTGGTCCGGACGACTACAAATCCAGACACGTTTGTCTTCTTAGGGGGTGATGCCGCACACCATTGTGGCGAAGTCCGCCCGTCAGCTTATGTCCCGATGCCTCAATCCATTGCAACTTTGAATAGGGCAACGCACGCGGACCGGCAATCTGCTAGCTTTACTAACAGCAACATGCCCGTCTGCCCTTGCTCCTGGTTCGATGAATTGCAGGTCTCGCGCAATCGCGATCCTGCCGGTCCACTATGGCAGCCTGCGTTTGGCCATAATATGGAAGAAGTGATGACAACAATTGAGGGCATGCAGGAATATGACGGAGATGGGAATGTGTTTGTCATATTGGCTCATGACCCATCCTTGCGATGTCCTGAGGTGCCGTTCTTCCCAGAGCAGGTTAACAACTGGAAGGAAAGGGGACTCGGCCAAAAGTTGAGGTGGGTATGGACGGAAGAGATCCTTGCTGCAATAAAAACAAGTAATGACCCTGTGGACTTCTTCCCTCGTGACATTTCAACTAAGATAGCTACTTAGCACAATACTATTAATAGTCAACGCAAATAGTTGTCAGGAAGAGGTGAATAACCTTAAGCTCGTTGTAGTCGTAAGTACGTCCAGACGAGCTAGTCAGTCGTTTAGTGAATAATATGTTCTGCCTACAGTCTACCTAATTACGACCTACAACTGTCGCTGAGTCTGATTGTCTAGCTATGGCCTCTATTATTGGGCGTAAACCTGGACTAGAAGCTTACGTTGTTGGTTAGAGCTAAGATCTATCATTGACATGGTCACGGGGATGGCTTTCCGATGTTAGGTCCCCTGTCTCCTCCCTTTTCCATTGATCAGCTATTGACGTTCTGCCTCCGCCTTCTTTTGAAAACCATATTCACCAAAAGATCCTGGCCAAAGAGTGGCATTCCCAATGACAGATAACTATAGAGTGTGCGATCAGTGCGTAAGGTCTGTCGAAATCGTTTCACCCTCTATCTAAGTTTATTGTTAAGACGTAATAACAGTCGCAAAATAAAATGTACGATATCCTTAAGAAGGCCAACCGTTCTCAAGGGTCGATTTAATATTATCCCTTAGGTGACCATGGGAGGCCAAGTTGCTCTCGCTGTGTTGAGGATTTTCACGACTGTACTTACACGCAGAAAAAGCGTAGGCCGGGGCCAGCAAAGGGCTCGATGAGAAAACGGCTCAACACTCAACACAGGGCAGGAGCAATGTCTTCCGGTCGAAGACACCATCGCGGCAGAACTCTGTGATTTTTTGGATGTTAGAAAAAGCAGAGGTATCCATTCTAGCTTTCCAATAGCTATACCCTTATTCTGAGTCACGCTTCTGACATTCTCCATGGGTTTATTGCCTCAAGGACTACAAGTTACGATACCAGACACCTTTCGGTCATCAGCGCTAGATTTAACCCACCAAGCAGGTGGGAGGGCTACCAGATGATTCATGGCCATGGTGATCTGGCTTTTGGGCCGGCTGACGAGAATTGTATGCGTCTGTCATGTGAGGCAGAACGAGACCTGTACACATCATACTTCTTTGTCATGGTCGCGCGACTAACCAAAACAGGCTCGATGTCTTCGTAACCAATGTTCAATGTCATTATCCGCTATTCAGATATCAGGATCTCTTTCAGCAATATGACAATGAGCGGATTCGACCCAGATTGTTGGCTCAAGCATCTCCAGACGCCCAGAGGTTGTAGCATTTGGCGCGAGAGAGCTGGGTGATTTCTACGCCGAGTTTGCGCGACATGCTTGTCTACCAATAATGTTGTCAGGTGCCGCAGCTGATCTGGACGATCTTCGGACGTTATTTCTCCTCTCCCTTCACGGCTACCGTCGAACCACGAGTAAGAAGACTTATGACAATGTATCTCTGCTGGTGCGTTTGTGCTACCAGTATGGTCTTCACCAAACTGACAACCTTGCCAATTGCTCTTTCTACCGAGCCGGTGAGACAACATGCGAAGAGATCCAAGGTTGGAGATATCTCTGGTGGTCGATCTTCCTGTTGGATACTTGTTGTACTGCTATTGCTACAACACCGTCCAACATTGATAGGGACAGCGTCTGTGTGGCCCTGCCCCACGGAAGCATCGAGGAGTGGACCAGTGGAAAGGCGCTACCACGGCCCACAGGTCGTCTATTCCTACGTGGTGATCTTAGCACACTCGCCTAGGTGCTTCACTGTGCGTCGGCTTCTTGGGCGCGAACCCCAAGCAATGGACCGGATGTCGACAGTAGCTTCGTCATCCGACTCCTCAACGCATATCAGCTCCGCAAGATTAGTAAGGTGCGCCGCGCAGCGATTGAAAACCCACATGGAAACTTCACCCTACGATTGGACTCTTTGTCGACCAGGTTGACCGTTCTTTGTGCCGCTTTACCTCAAGCTTATCTCAATCCAATCTTTATGGCAGATTCGAATGAATCTCGAGATGAGCATGCAGTGAGACTGATAAATCTGTTTGGATTGTGTTTACTAGAGATTCTTTTACTGATGCCAAAACTGAGCGAAAGTGATGCATCATGGTCATCGAATTGGAGTGACCTCGAGCCCATTCTATCGCAAACACTCGAGATTGTGCGCGGCTGGGATCCCAACTTTTGCTCTATCACAGATCCTGCAGTTGGGTACATTGCATTTACAGCCATGACTCTCCTGCACATATGCTCAAGGCTTGAGACCAACAATACCACAACAAGCGTACCCAATGCTAAATTTGAAAGCTCCTGGAACGTTTTGACCTTTTTCCTCAAGCAGCTCAGCCGTTACTGGACCCTGCCGGAGATTCTACTACGTAAGTGCAACTTTTGGAAACGATGGCTTTCCCCTCTAAGTGACATAACACTAGCGCACAGCCTCTGTTGTTGCATCCAGAGTCGGCAGAAGCCTTCCATAAAACCGCAGTCTCCTCAGTAACGCTAAAAGATGCTTACTACATCGTGGAGAGTTTGCAGCGGCCAGTTCATTTCCATCCTTCTCCGGCACCATAAACCATTGACCACGACGAAGCGTTCGAGGCGATTTCCTAGCATTTCAGCAATGATGGAACAGGACCTCGTTCTCTCGCCATTATCTCTTCGCATCTTCTTCCATCCCCTTCCGTGTCCATTCTTCATTCTTTTTCAAGTATGCTTTGAAAGTTTCGGGATCATTCATCATTCCGTCTACATCTGTTTTGACCGGCACGTCAAAGCCCTTTCTGAAAGCTCCAGGCTGACTAAGGCAGCCCTGCCATCCTTGGACATTGGGGAATTCAGTGGCATCCAAACCGCTGAAAGCTAGCCACAAATTAGATCCATCCACGAAAGGAAGTCCCAGTTCCTCAAGCCTACTCAGCAGGTTAGCCCAAGACGAAATAGCGATGTCCGCTATCGTCAATTTATTCCCAACCAAGAACTTGGTCTTCGAGTCGCTCAAGTGCTTGTCCACAGTTCTATAGAGCCTGCGCGACTCGTTGATGTATCGATCGGTCGAGTACTTCTCGGGCAAGTCTGATAGTGAATACCTCACGAAGTGGTTCGCTTGGCCCTGCATCGGGCCGATACCTGCCATTTGGAAGAAAAGCTGAATAGATTTTCTGCATTAGCGACGGTTCACTCTCAAGTGGAGAAAGTGGAAGCACGATTACCCAGTTGTTTGTCTGCCAATGCTCTTTCGTACCACGAGGATAGGAGATATTGTGCTCGACGTCATACCTTTCCACGAGGTATTGCATAATCGAGCCTGATTCGAAGAGATTGACGGGAGTCCCGTCTGGTAGAGTATCTGTGAGAGTTGAGATGCGGCCACTGGGGTTGATGTTCAAGAACCACTGCTCCTTGTGTTCGATCTTGGGCAGGCTCACATGTCGAACTTCGTAGGGGATACCCAGCTTTTCGAGTATAATTGACACTTTGTGCTCGTTTGGCGACTGGGCCGTGAACAGGCAGATTTGGCTTTGTCTGACATGATTTGGTGGACTTGTATTGTTTCAAAGACTTGAACTTTGAAGATTATGAGGGTTTTCGATGTGCATCGAAAATTCTCAATGTTGCGAGCATTTACATTTTATATACCTGCGCGCTGGGATAGAAATGGCTTATACTTGGATCATGTGCTGAGATTCATAACCTCTCCTCGCCAGATACATGATCAGGGTTCGGAATATCAGTTCAACCGCGGAAGAACCAACATCCCCCGGTGGCCGGGTCTATGCCGGGATCGACCACTAATCAGTCGGCACATTAACCCAAATTGGATAGGATATGGCCTCATTCGCGTGCAAAGTTGTGTACTATTGGTCACCAACATCGACCGGCCCCGCTTTTGGGGAACATCAGGGCTACACTTAGGGTATATCCAATGCGCAGCGCCGACGTCCACGACAATTTATATGGGCACGGCTGCCCGGCTCTCAGAGACCTAATAATGTCCTACTATCGCACTCTCCCCGTGTCAGAACGTCAACGTCAATACGATTATAAACCCTCTGCTCTCCCTACTTGGACCTACCCATACATGCTCTTATGCCTTTCTACGCAATAACTGGTGCTTCTAGAGGCACTGGGGTATGTATATTTACTAGGAGATTTAACGGGACAAATGTATGCTAAAACATATATCTACGTAGCTGGCAATCACAGCCGAGCTGGTAAGTGAACCACACTCAGGAACAAGAAGTAATGCTAACAGAACTGCGAACAGTCTAAGAATGCATCTGACCAAGTATTTGCTATCATCCGCAACGAGACGATTCCCCGACGCCCTGTAGGACCTAGTCTCTTCTCGCAAAAATCTCCACGTTCTGAACGCCGACATCACGAACCCAGAGCAACTGCGATGCGCGAGGTCCACCATCTCGGACGCTACGGGAGGGTCCCTCGATGTCCTATTCCAAAATGCAGGCTGGAATACAGACGCAACCGCTGCCCTCTCGGCATCCGCCGTGAGCGACGGGGACAATCTTCCGATGATAAGAGCCGCATTAGTCGACGCTATCGATCACAACGTCATAGTTAGGCTATCTGTCATTAACATCCTTCTCCCGTTAATCCATAGGGGAGCGGGCAAGAGGATCGTCGTCCTGAGCACAGCACTGGCTGATATTGACGTGACTCTAAAAACGGGAATGAGTCACCATATCCCGCACAGCTCTTCCAAAGCAGCCATGAATGTGGTACTTGCGAAACTGGCGATCGATCTGCAGAAGTAAGATATAGTTATGGTGGGTGTGTCGCCCTGGATAGGTATCGAGAGGTGAACCAGGCATCTATATCTCCACATTCCCGGCGTCTGTTGCCAGGGAGTGACTCGGCTGATCCAATGTTTTCTAATACTCCAGCCACGGAACAGCAGAAACAGATGTTGGGATATCAACGGCAGCTATTAAGGAAGGTCAAGCCAGATTTAGAGCGGCAGCTGACTCCTGCAGAGTCGGCAAGCATGATTTTGAAAGTCGCCGACAAGCTGACTATTGCCCAGGCTGGTAAGATGCTCTCCCATACGGGGACCGAGGAGTGGCTCTCAAGGTATGGCTAATTAGATGTCTTTTGGCTTTCGAAGCATTGTGGCATCTAGATGCCGTCAATGCCACCAAGGAACATGGACACACCTCAGTATCAATCTCCATAACCCGCATTCTCATACTCAAGCCCATCTTGGGCATCGAACTCCCCCGACCCATAAACTTCTCCCGCATAAGCCTCCACATACATCATCTCCCCAGCAGCCACACCCTCCTCATATGTTGCATATTCAGGATATACCCCTACATCAGGACTTCCTTCGGCCTGAGTGTACGCCATGTCCTGCGGCATGTACACCTCATACTCCTGACCCGAACTCCCGGATTGCTGCACCACCATTGTTTCGTTGTTGGTAATGACTTGTTGCTGAATAATAGTCTGATTCTGCTCGATATATATATTCTCCTTCTGGGGTGCCAAGATGATAGGTTGCGAAACTGGCGCTATCGCTTGTGTATCTTGGTATATCATAGCCCCTGATTGTGGCTGTATGATATTGTACGCTTCGTAGCCTACAACGCCACCAGCACCCGCTGTACCAACTAGAAGCGTGGCTTGTTCTTGTGATGAGCTTACATAATGCGGGCCGAGCTGTTGTTGAGGACACATTGGGCGTGGTGGCGGTCGGCTTCGAGACGATACACTTTGTATTCGAGCCGTTGGACGATGTGCAGCCTGGCTGGAAGCAGCAGGCTCGTTGGTTTGGACTGTCTGAGTGTATGGTGGAGGGTCTGAAGTGTCAACAGATGCCTGGATGGTGACACTCCCCTGCGCTTGGAGTGAAAGTGAACTCGTCTGGGTGGGTTTCGGAACAACTGAAAGGGAGGAGAGATTTAGAGATGTAGTTGTTTGTGACAACTCGCTTGTGTTCTGTTGCGGCAAAGTCGACTGATGGGTCGACCCTGGTGGCTTCATGATTGCCGGGCTTGCTCCAGCCTGACTGACTTGGGCGCCAACGTCAATCTGTAGCTCTACAGTGTTGTAGTCATCATATTCAGCTGGCTCAGGATGTGGGATTGATTGTTGTGCAGGGGGCTTGTTGACCTGGTTAGAGTGCTGAATCTGGTTTGCGTAAGTTAACGAAAGCGTGCCATCGATGCTGACCGGGTGAGCGCGAACTGGCCTACGTGATGGAAGCCCGGCATTTATCCTTATTGGCATCGTACTAAGTTGAGAAGAAATCGTGTTTGTTGCGGAACTTGGCCGAGGGTGTGATGTGAGTGCGTCCTGCTGCTGCTGATATTCGTCCTCCTGAATATTTCCTGAACCTTGAGGAGTTGGCTGAGCTGGGTGTTGAACTGGAACTCTGATTTGGTATTCAACCTGGCCATCATATGGGATGAATTGCCGATTCTTTGGTTGATATTTGCCTTTCTTGTCGGCAGCTTCGACCATTTCACCCATCATACTTTTGAGAGCTCGACCAGTTTTGATTCCAACAGCGCCTGTCTTGACAACCATTTTCCTGGAAATTTTTTGCATCTTCTTCGGATCAACCATAATCTGTCCTGCGACTTTGGCTTGTCGAGTTGCGAGGCTTGCACCGCTGATAGTTGCATCCTTCATGGCAGTAGTGGTGAGTGCTAGGTCGGAGGCGAATTTCTTGGTGAGGACTGTACTGTTGTTACGCTCCGAAAGCTGGTGGACCGCTAGGGCCTCTCCGAAACCGGGCACCGCTTTCCTCATAACCGCCGTATTGACATTCGTGGACATTGACGAGTCCTGGGCCGGCTGGGCTGGGGCAGTCTGACTTCGAACCAGGGTCGGCGTCTGACTCTTTGGGCCTCCTCCAGGCGTTGTAGTATACCTGGTGATCTGAGGCATCTGAGGAGCCGGAGGCTTTTGCGGAGGTATCGGTGCTAGAACTTGTGGGGGAAATTGGTATGAGCATCTTTGCGTTTCTGGATGAATGAAAATTGTCTTGCCATCAGGGGTCTGCGATTTCATCCACCCGGGCGGCAATTGACGAGAAATGGGTCTCTCCCAAGAAGTTTTATCTGCTGTCGGATTGCAATAAAGCGTTCTTCCAGATGGATCTTCCATCTCCAGCCATCCTGGAGGTAACGGTGATGATTGAGGCTGAATGGGAGTGTGTGTGTGTGCAGACACCAATGGTTTTGGGTCATAGCCTGGCTGCACATGAGCGGAAATGAGTGGGTCTTGCAGTGCAGTCACATATTCCGCCATCTTTTGGGTCGCAATCAAACTCACAACGGGTCACGTCTGGATCGCCTGGATCTTTTGCAAGCCAGACGATAGTCAGGAAATGATAGAGAGAAAGTGGACAGCGGGTGTCCTGAGAATTAATATTGTATTCTTCTGCCCCTCCAACTTCGTGTACGCAAGTACGTCCAAGACATCTGGACAGGACATCGTACCCGTGTGCCGCATACCAAGACAAAACACGAGGGGTCACTCGTTTATCATTTGCGTGGAGCTGAGATCCAAGGAGAGCTGGACCAGCCCTGTGACCAGTACCATGCATTAGGCCAAGCCACATTATGCAGCAAAGCTAAGCCAAGCCTGCGCTTGATTGAGCCAGAGTTGGTTAGAGTCACACAAGAAGCCAAATGTGGATCATTGTACTCTCGAGGTCCTAGTGTCGAGGAAAGAGGGCAGGACGATTGCGTGAAATATCAGACGCGTCAACGCGCAAGAACCCTATGCATTAGAAGATGATCGTGAGTTCCTTCGGGTAGGGAAGACTGTTTGTATCCTCTCCGAGAATATCAGTGCTTTCACAATTTTGATCCTGACCCAAGATGGAAGTTGTGCTACCATTAGTCCTCTCGCAAGGATCCGGCTGGAGACTGAACGGGTCTAGACAAGGTCGCTGAGCAGTGAGATATGCCGGAATACTCACCGCTTGGATTCATGACCGAGCCGAAGTCCTCTCATTAGAATGCCATACCCTATAGCCCGTCGCTATATGAGTGGGCTGGCGCAGCTTGGTTGGTAAAACAACTCACATCTAATGCAGCATGGCCCCGAGGCTGAAAGAAATGACTAACGGATCGCCGCGAAACGGAGCGTGGAGCTTGATCTTTCTAGACTTGCAGCGCACTAGAGATATTATTCCGAGCCGGAATAGCTTCCCCAGAGTACTAGCCAACTGTCTTCAAGAGCATTTCGTGATTATCGGAGGAGAATTGTTGCTAAGATAATATTATCGAGCGTGAAAAACACCCGTCATAATTCGGGACTTCTATACTACAGGGAAGCCTTCGGACTCTGGAGATACTTAGTTCCGGAGTTTCGCTTGGGATGGGCCTTGGCGATTTTGATCACGTGCACATAATCACGGAGCCACCGAAACCCGGTTTGCTTGGATGCACGCTGCCACAAAATACCAGTCAATCTAGAGTCGTCGAAAGTCGTGCCAGCGTCTTCACTCTACTTCTAGAACGAGCGCTGATGAGAGTGCTGATGAGAGCCTTCCATCGCCGGCACCGGAAAACAAATGGCCTCTTTGCTCAAGGTTTGGATAATGATTGCTATTTACTTACCACGGGCTCCTTGAAACCTGGTATCTCGACGTCCCTTCAAAGAGCTCAGCCCAGAATGGCTTCTACCTATAGTTAGAGTAAATCGCCTCGTCAACAAAACATTATCAGGTCTTGTATAGCCAAGGAGATACACTCTGCCTATAATCCTCACAGACAATACTTCGGGCCCAGCTTCCTCCCACGAAAGCTTGATCCAGACCGTGAGGCCGCATCACGAGTTGATGACAACACGGCAAGTTGATGGAATCCTAGCCTCGATACGGCCCCGAAGCATAGCAATTCCAGCCACGTCGTAGGCCACAAGGCGGTGCAAACCAGGGTATCAAGGGTTCAGAGATAGCACGCTGTACTCCGTAACCTTCATGCCCGCATCTCAGCGCGGAGCGCTTTGCATCGGACCGGCGATGATACTGGATTTAGACTTTCTTTGAGGATAAGGGAAGATCCGCTGCAACCTCAAGGTGCGTACTATTCCAGAGACGCTGTAGCAGGGCGGTGACAGGTATTTCTGAGAGGTTGAGAAGAACATCTACCTGCCTTTGTTGGTAGCCAAGGGCATAATGCCGAGCATCCAAGATATTGAAGTTACCAGGGACAAAACTTTTGCCTCTTGATCTGGAGAAGTCGCGGAGAAGTTGGCAATATGTTCTAAGCGGAATACTGACAAGTGAACTCGACTAGTGTGCATATCGCTTGGCGCATCTTGGCTTTTCGCCCTATCAAACCAGGAGCAACATTGAGGTTGCTTAGGGATATTTGTGATCTTCAGAACGCGCAAAGCCTGACTCAAGCGAGAAAAGGTTGAGATCCAAGTTGCTCGTCACATATTATAAAGGTACTTCGAGATTACTGTTTCAGGCGCTGCAAATTGAGGCCTTAAGGCCCTGCGGGTCCTTCTTGTGTGCCTCGGAAGTCAACAACGCCAAGGTGATCACCCTCTTTGCCTATGCTCTGCTATCTTCTCAGGTTTCATCGGCCAAGCATCTGCTGTAGTATTAGTCGTCATAAACCTGGTACCAAGCCTTGCTGCCTCCACCCAGATATCTGCACTGAGGAACTGCACATACGAGGATGCCTGAGATGCCGTACGGCAGATAGATCAAGGTGAGTAAAGATCATGTACTTAAATGGATCGGCCACTCTCTTTCGAAAAGACTGTCGTGTCATCTGCAGCCATTCGGGGAATCGCGAGGCAAGTATTTCATGCATTAAGTGTTCTTGCTTGTTGCGTTGACTTAGTTGACTCTCCACCATGGTTCATATCAGTTCTCTCGTCCCTCTCTGCTCAGCCTTGATAGGCATGAGCAGAGCAGCTGCTCTGGGGTCTGCCGAGCGATATGCTTCTGGCGAAGTCCACGCCTATATCATGGGCATAAAGATGGTAAACTCCCTAGATGTCCTGCCTTCCATCTTGGCACAAGGCTGACACGTCTTTGCAGGCACAATGGGACGCCGAGATCGCGGCCGGTCAAATGGACAGCTCTCAATATCCCGAGCTTGGTTATACCAAGTGTGAGAATGGATTTGCTGCGGCAATCCCTGGAGATAAGAATAACACCTTCAGGTGTAACAATGTAGGCTCTCCCTAAGGCAATGTGTCAATGACCGAAACAGCTGACATACCAAGATTGACCTCTATCACTTCTTGTCACACGCAGATCTGGGTAGCTCTGCTGCTCGAGGCTCATCCTCGTGGGGATGGACCTCTGATGACGGCAGAGAGTTTGTTGCCATTGGACAATACGACGGAACAGCTTTCGCGGAAATCAGTAGTGAGGGCAAGCTAGTGTATCTCGGTCGGGTGCCTCAATACGATCCCATTGGCTCAAACTGGAGAGAAATTCGAGTGCTCCGAGGGTATGCTGTTATCGGATCCGAGGCTATTAATCACGGTGTCCAGATCTTCGATATGCGCAAGCTCCTCGATCTCGACCCAGAGAACCCCACCAACTTTACCCAGGAAGATCTGACAGGCCATTGGGATGAGCTCCCCGTCGGACGAACGCACAATATCGTCATCAACGAGGAGCTCAACTATGCCATTGCTTCCGGCTCGGTTGGCGGCAACGAAACCATCAGAGTTAGAGGCGACCTTCCTTGTCGTGGTGGCTTGATCTTTATCGACATGACTGACCCATCCAATCCAACTAGCCCAGGCTGTGCAGCTGGTGACGGATATGTCCATGATGCACAGTGCTTAGTTTATCGTGGGCCAGACAAGAGATACGAGGGCCGCGATATCTGTTACGGCTACAACGAGGATACGCTCACGATCTACGACGTGACTAATAAAGTCGGCAACACTACAAGCATCATCTCGATTACTACCTTCCCTGGTGCGGAATACGTTCATCAAGGTGTTGTCAACGACGAGATGAACCAAGAATATATTATTCTTGATGATGAATTTGACGAGCGTGATGCAGAAGTCGGCCCCATGACTCGGGGTCTCCCGACAACGCATATCTTTGACATCCGTGACCTCGAGAATCCACACTATACCGGATACTACGCTGGCAAAACCCGTTCTATTGACCATAATCAATATGTCGTTGACGGCTACAGCTACCAGTCTAACTACGGCAATGGACTGAATGTCTTGGATATCCGCTCGTTGCCTGAAGACCCAAGTGGCGGCAGCATCTGCGAAGCTGGATTCTTTGATATCTATCCGGAAGACGACGAACTAGAGGGTGGCGGCACGGTCGCGTTCTTAGGGTCTTGGTCTTCATACGCTTATTTCAAGTCTGGATTCATCCTCGTACACACCATCGAGCGTGGAACCTTCGTCGTCAAGATGACCAGCAAGCAATGCCCCGTTCCCAAGACCTGTGAACCCAGTGAGTGTCTCACGTCGCTGCGCGCCAGTAGTATTGAGGGCCGCCTTGAAGAGGGCCAGGAGTTCTGCCATAATTTCACCATTCGACAGGTTGATGACCAGCGTGAGATTCCCAAATTCGCTGTTCAGGCTTGTGCGGGAGAAGGCGGGGAAGAGGCTCTAATTGCTCAAGTCAGCAGTGCCTGTGCCTGTGTCCCAACAATCGCGGTTCCCGAGCTTCCCAGGACAACCAGTCGGCCACCTGTGCTGACAGTGTTGCCACCTTAAGGAGTCCAAAGAGTGATCTCTGATGATGTGGCAAGGACGAAAATTGAATGAGTAGATGACAAATGGCCATTTAGCAGGCCATGCGGAAGTTGGTAGCAAGCATAAATGAACACCATTCATATCTTACAACTGTCATTTAAGTGAATAGACCACGACACACGCTGTAACTACTAGTAATGAAGACTGAGCGTTGAAATGCCGCGAGGCTTTATTGTCATGTGATGTTCCGATGACGGCCCAGAATAAGGGGTAATATCTGTTCTAACCTTGGGACACTGAGGCAGATCTTGGAGAGAACAACAATCATGAACCCTGGCAATTGATCTGGTAGATTTGGCTTGCTCATTTCTACGAGCATTTCGAACCTCATCCTCACCTATGTACTTCACAATACGTCTCCTTTGCACACGTTCGATAGCTATTCTTTTCAGTTGTTCTCTTCCGGCTTCTTTAGCTCCTAGTTTGTATTGCCCACTGACGCCGAGCCCATCATCATCAATATTCGTTACCATTTCATGTGAAACACACTAGCATTGCATAAATGGCCTCGATAATTCTGCTCGTTACTCCGCTCGTTCGAGCACCATAGTCAGCAGTAGTTCATTCCAAGAAATGCGACAACAGACCGCGCGAGAAGTTTACTGGTGTAGCTTTGAACCATAAGTCGACACATATAGCCGTCGCCATCTCGTGATCAAAGTATCTTCGACCGCAAGATATGCATGCAGGAACAAGTCGAGCCAAACGTGAAGAGTTGGCTTGACTTCGGTGGAGACACCGAGACCCCAGTAGATGTGACAGCAATAGCTGCTTGTATGTGTGTATGCTGCAAGCTGTTGTCGAATGGTCCGGCGTGAGAGCTAGTGAAGCATGCGCTCCGGTTTAGTGACTGGAGCTTCGGTATGATGCTAGATGGCGATCAACTCTCCAACTCCTTCAGTCTAGCTTCCCAGCCCTCCACACCACGCAGCATTGTTTCCAATTCTTCCTTCTCGTCCTCCAGCTTGATTCTCCGCTCGGCATCAAGCTCGCTGAAGACATAACCTCCCTGACCATCGAATTGAAGTATCACACTGTGGTACTTCCACAAGCTTCTGCGGTGGCTCACAGTCATGAGCGTGGTGCCCAGGCCTTTGGCTGTTTCATACATGGTCCTTTCCATCTCTAATGTAACCGAGCTTGTGCACTCGTCGAGAATGGCGTATTTCGGTTTGTGATAGAACAGTCTGGCCATGGCAATGCGTTGCTGTAGGCCACCGGAGAAGACATCCCTCCATTCTTCGATGGCGTCCCATCCATTGGGTCGGTCAATGATTGACTCAATTTCCAGGATGGTGAGGATTTCTCTTAGAAACTCTTCTGAGCCGTTCTTGGCTCGAAATTCGTACAGAGAATCCGGGTAGATAATTTGATCTCGCAAAGTACCTCTGCTAAGGTACGGTCGCTGGGGAATATAAAATATATCTTCAAAACTGGGCTTTTTGACACTCCCACCATACACGGGCCACAGTCCACCAAGGATCCTGAACAAGCTCGACTTGCCACATCCGTTGGGGCCAACAATTAGCAGGTGGTCTCCAGGCTTGATATGAAATGTCAACTTCTTCACGAGAACATCACCATTCGGACTGACGATGGGCACATCCGTGAATTCAATGTTCTCACATTCTTCGATTGTACCACGTCCCTGCAGAACAAGTGCATTTTCTTCGATGCTTGCTGAGCTCACGAGCTTTTTCTGGAATCGGCCAGCCGATACTTCATCCATGACGTCCAGGAGCCCAGAGACTCTAGAAGTATATCCCGCTAGCTCCGTGATCTCCTTATAAGAGAACATCAGGCGTCCAAAGGCATCTGAACTGCTAAGCAGCATTCTTCTGTTTGTGACAAAGCTTTCAGTGTGATCACCGGTGTTTTGCAACGATTGGCCAGGAATCTTGAAGAATACTGGAAGTGAGCATAAGAGCAGGCCAAGAGCGCCCCAGAAATATTTGATAACGAAATCCTCCATAAACCCATGGTAAAACCTCCTCCGAAGAATGCGATTGACGTGCTTGATCAGGGTAAAGTAGCCTTTGTCCAACCCATCCTTCTCAGCTTCGTGTCCCGCGTAAAGCGCAATCTCTTCGCTATAGTCGATAAGTCTGGTGTGCTGGAACCTGAATTCTCCTTCTAATCTGGCTTCATCGGCAACATATTTTCCAAAGGGAGGTGTAAGAGCTCGCATCACGTTTGCAGAAACCTGAACAAGCAATGCCATTGCAAACAGGCCTTCTCCGCCGACAGACTTGGATAGGGAGTAATTGTAGATTACCATGTCGAGTATTGGTTTTGCAAGGTTCGAGTACAATTCTGCCAGTGAATTGCTGAATCGTGAGACGTCCACAGTAATGAGCTGATCTGCATTCTTTATCCGGTCATCCAGTGCCGAGAGTGTATAGAAGGTCATGTTGTCCAGGTACTTCTCATGAACATGGTTGGTCAGGCGGGTGCGATAACAGAGAGCGAGTTTCGTCTGGTGGTACTGTAACATCGAATTGGTAAACGTCGCAGGCACTGCAACCAACATCCACCATACAAGGCCCAATATAAAATCCCGACCGCGGCCTTTGACCAAGGCAGAGACGACTTTGCCATCCAGCTCAGCAACATATAATGAGAGGAGTGTTCGCAGAACCAGGAACACGCTGTGGCTGATCAGGAGACGTAGTTCCTTACTCCGAAGACCCGGGATCACAATCTTGAGTAGGCGCAGAAGGCTGCGGAAGAATTCTCTGTTTATCTCCACCCTCTTCTTCTTGTGCTCTGTATTCGCGGCGTCCGCATCTCCAATAGTTGCGGTTTGGTGGGCTCGCAATTCGGCTTGCCTTCGAAGCGCGGCCTTCTGTTCGGAGATGGCATTATAGACTCGGTGAATGAGCGCGATGACCAAGGTTATGTAGACGGTTCGCGAAATCTTTGTTCGATGTTTTAGGTAGAGAGAGGTCATCTCAAAGATCAATTGCCTAACCGTCCGTGCCGGGGGTAGTAGCTTGGATTGCACCGCCATGATACACCGTCTCTGTGCAGTGTCAGAGATGAGATAGATATCTAGAGGATTATTAGGACGGCATTATCATTTGAGCCTGGAGGAAGCACATGTTGTTCGCACAGCAGTCAATCTGCAAGGACATGTCACGTTGTGTAGTGTGTTCAAGTTGCCTCGGATCAACCCATGTGAAAGTCAGAGCTCCGACGTCACCACAATATCTCCGACGAAGTCACGTGTATGAGGCTTGGCATTTTTGTCGAGCTAATGTTTAGGGCGCGTTGATGCGAACTACATAAGACCAGGGAAGTTGCAGCTCCCTTGGACACCCTGACAGCATTTCGGTTTCAGAGAACAGCTATCTCGAAGGTAGCCATTGTTGGAATTCTTAGATGGTCAATCAAACCCTATTGATATTACAGAGCTAAGGGAACTCGTAGAAATCCGCAAGGTTATACGATGGATCAAACAATCCAGCGAACTCGTCGCATATCTGCGAGTCGAACAGCATAAAGCTTTCGCCAATTTCCAAGTCCCCTAATTCGCAATTGTTGTCCAGACTGGCAGATTCCTCACTTGGTCTCACGCCCATCCCCGCAAAGTCATTCAAGTTCTGCTGTTGCGTCTCAGCCTTGCGTCGGCCTGTGTTCAAAATTTTGGCCTGCAAGTCCTCCAGCCCTTTGAGCCTGTCCCAAGCCCGCAGTATCGGACCAGATCTGGTGCTCAGTTTTCTCAAGAGCGTCGAAGCTGCGTGGAATGTGTCTTGTATCTCGGTCCAGTACTCGGTTGTGGCGTGCACCACAATCAGTAAGAGGTTTCCCAGACTCGAGACAATGAAGTGCTTGAAGAAGGTGGCGTGGATTTGTAGTAGGTTTGTGGTTGCATCGAGGTCGACAAATGCCTTGATAGATTCTTTGGCGATATGGAGGGCAGCGAGGCTGTGCTCTGGGTCGTTTTTGATACGGGATGCTGATTGTAGGAGGGGTCGGTAAATGACATTGCGGAGCTGGTTGGCGCGGACAAAGAGGGCAACGCTGAGATACAATCGTCGCAGGCCGTCAACCTCGCCGCTCGTCATTTGGGGAATTTCAGACGACCCGTAGCAATAGCGGAGCGAAGTTGGGATCTGTTTCTGCCATTGTAGAACTTGGTAATCGAGGTAGTCAATCTCTTCGCGAACCACGTCGGGTTCCTTGCTGGAAAATTCATTACTCATCTGCCAGGCTCTCCCAGAGATCTTCGCAAATGTGATCATGCTGCGCAAGTAAAGATGGTCAAACTCAAGGGAAGCTAAGGCCGGATCCACCAGAGTATCTTGAATGACAAACGGAACTCCCAGGCCGAGGCTGGATCGGCGATCGAGTGTAAACACTGACCAAAATATCCTCAAGGCCGCTTTACGCGCCTCTTCCACTGGATAGTGTTTCACAATTGTATCGCGACGATGAAGGCCCATTTCTAAGCATCGCCTTGACGCGAGGCAAGAGTACCGGCTAGCTCTGAGCTCTTCGTCCAGGTTGTAGTAGAACAGTGCCTTTGGGAAGGGGGATAGCAAAGTCAGACTTGCGGCGAAAGAAGGGGGTGCAAAAGTGGAATATGTAGGTACTTACGATCGAGACAAGAACTTGGACACCGTGAAGTCCCTCCAGATTCATCAGGGAGTCATCCGATGAGTCAATCACACTTTGCACAAGCTCCCTAGCAATGTCTGTCCCCGCTACGCCCAGCTCGGTAATCATTCCAATCGCAACCTGGATCTTTATAATCTCTGTGTCGACGCTGAACATCATCTCCACGAGGCTGCCAACTCCGTCGTTGTATCGTTGTGCTTTGGCAATATCCAAAGAGTCAAATAGGAGTTGTAGCTTAGAAGCAAGGCGGGGACCATCGGTAACAGGATACATTGCCCCTACTGTATTGTAGTACAGCTCGAGATATCTCAACGCATCTGATCGGGCAACCGTCCACAATGGGTTCCGGCCCAAAAGCCTTCGGACAAGTGTTTTATCCGCCGTAGGATTCTGGGGAATTCTAGGAATAGGAAAACATTCGACAGGCTGATTTGAATTGCTGGCTGTGCATCCAACCCTCAACTCAGTCAAGCTCTCATTTGCCACTTCGAATGTGAACTCTGAGCTAGTAGGCCCATGGTATTCTGGGACCATCGTCTCTGGCTCATGCATCGCACTGGGCTGCATCGACTGCTCGCGTGGCCTTGGGCTGGTCAGCTGTAGGGCATTTCCTGGCGAACACTGTTGGATCGCTCGCTCTTGGAGCACATTGACACCAGCGACGGACTGTTGAGCCTGCTGATATTGGCCGGGAGGGGATACCGAACTTAGTCGCTCGTTTAAGTTATCCACTTTCGCCATCACCGTCCGTAACTGTTCGGACATTTGACGCAATTCTCTATCCAGCACATTTTGTGTCTGCTCTGGAATTGAGAAACTATCTGTGGCAGGCGATTGCCCAGATCTACCGTCCTTATTTCGGGATGGACGTTGATAGCTGCACAGCGTCATGCTCTTCATACATCTCTGACAGGGTTTTTCTCCGTCACATTTAATTTTGCGCCGCTTGCACTCATTGCTAATGGAACGAAATTTAATGCCACTCTAATGGCAAGAGTGGTAAAACGCGGACTTACCAGGCGTTTGAGACATAGTGATGTCGTTTAGATCTGGGCGCATGCTCCGGGCTGTCTGGGGTTTTTCGTTTACGTCCAGATTGAGCGGCATCTTCAGGATCTGCATGGACTGTCATAATCATTATGAGGTGGCCATGCAGGCCATACACAGTGTCAGAGGACAGAAAGAGGGGAGGTAAAAAGTTGAGTTGCCTATGCACACGAATATTGGGTGGTGGGGGGGTGTAGCTAATAAAGGCGTGGATGGGATCTTCCTAGAAGTGCGGAGTCTCTGGCGGGGGGCCGCAGCGGGGCCCCTAGCGTCTAAACGCCTAGTCTATGGTAACGAGGGCTGGCCCGCCCTCGCCCTCGCTGCAAAGCTGTTAACCAGATCCCAACCAAGCGTCTCCGTATCGAGATACGCAGTACCTGAGCCTTACGCCCTATCAAAACCTTTAGATACGTACTTATGATGTTCTTCACCTAACTAGACACTGTATAAAATGCTCCATTTGCTATCTGCGTTAGCTCTCTCTTCCCCCCGTCTCAACCTTAGGCGCTGGGAGCCTGCTCATCCTTATGGCTAATGCTTCTGTTGCAAGGCTTTCTCCAAGAGTGGCAACTTGTGTGGAATGAAGCGAACCTTGTATTCCTTTGGTTGCGTTGTCAGGGATGCAGGGTTTGCGACCCCTTCAATCGGACGAGTCTCGATGAACCCGTCTGGAACAATCTTGAAACTGTTCAGGACTCGCAAGAAAAGAACATACAACTCTCGATATGCCAGCTGCATGCCCACACACATTCTAGATCCTGTACCGAATGTGAAAATGGGGCTCTCTGGCCGCTCTAGCCAACGGTCAGGACGGAAAACCTCCGGATCGTCCCAAAGCTTTGGATCTGTTGGGCGACAAATTGTTAGACAAGTTAACATGGGGAGACCTTAAGCATCAATATCTTACCCATGTTGCAAGCCCAGACATTCAAGAATATAACTGTCCCCTTTGGAACGACCTTGTTGTCATACACAAAATCCTGTATGGTACACCGGGGCAACGAGAGCCTCGTCACCGAGAAATATCTAGAGGTTAAAGCTCAGTATAACGGGGCATCTTGATGTAAGAAAGGATGTCTCTAACCTGAGGATCTCTTTGATGACTGCCACAAGATATGCGCAGCTTTGGTCGTCGGCCGCGTCACAAAGAGGGCTGTCAATAGGATAGGTCTCACGAATGGCTGCAAGTGCTCTATCCTGGATATCCTGTCGCTCTGCCAATTTAGCAATACCCCATGAGACAGCAGAATTCATGGTATCTAGGCCTGCAGCCAACAGCGTGAGATTCAGAGAACTCAACTCCAGTGCGTTAAGCCGTGCCACCTCGTCAACAAGCACATTCGCTCTGATGCATGGTTTATGAGTCCCAGCCTTAATGCGATTGTCCAGGTCCTGGTCCAGGTGCTGCATATACCTGTCTCGGCGGACTTTCATATCCTTGGCCATTGCGGACTGAGTATTCCAAGGATTCAGACGGACAAGCGGGATATAATCCTGCAAGTTACCCGTTGTACTTCGAAAGTTGCTGATCATATCTTCGACGTGGACAATCTCATGAAAGAGGTCGTTTTGCGACTCCATCCTGGTTCCCCAGTGGAGAGTGAGACCGATACTCATGTTCATGCGGAGGAACAACGGCATCGGATTGATGCCTGTCTTGCCACAGTTGCCGTCATTGAGCGCCTGTGAAAGGAACACCCGAGTCTCTCGATCAAGATGAGGAATATAAGTCGCCACAGCCGGTCGGTTGACGGCTGTTGCTATCGCCTTCCTTCTCCTCTTCGTAGACTCTGACCATGGGCTTGTGCCCAAGGTTGTCCCAGCCGTGTCTGAAATGATCTTGGCACGGTGTTAGTTATTCCGGCATAAACAGGTTCAGCGTTAAAGAGGAGGAACTAGGCTCACTTTGTGAAAGGTATAAAACTCTGGCCTCGAACTTGTCGCATGCGAGTTCTGATTGAAGATCGTCTTCGCTGAAGCTGCCGAATTGACAACGAGAACTGGAATATTTCCCAGCTGAATCTGGTATACAGGTCCGTATTTCTTAGCCCACTTCCGATATTGTTCTGGTGCGTCCTTCTGGCGAATCTGCCATAAGTTGCCTACAATCGGCCTGCCAGGTGGACCTTGAAAGCCAGGCAAGCGTGCCGATAGGCGCACGATCTCATAGACGGCAAACACGAGAACGGTCGCTGTGAGGAGGAGAATAGGTATGATCCGTCGATCCTCAGCGAGGCTGGCAACAGTTGACATCGCCATCTTCACGGGTAACGTTTTCAGATTCTACCAGCTGCCAATTCTCAAGTGAAAACAGATAGTGCCCTTGCTCACAAGATAACATGGATCTTTGCAATGATCACTCGTTATTGTACATACCTGGCATTCCGAATCCAATATATCAACCAATGGCATAATCAACAAATTGTCGACTGTGAAGCGTTCGATTTCATTGCGTTTTCATTGCGTGCTAATAGGGAAGGGCGGAGGATCCTCCGAGATTCCGCTTTCCTCGGTAGGGCTTTACAGGATTGATTCCGTCCCGGACCCTGCAGTCGCGGCTTCCATGCTATGATTTTAAGTCTCTTGTTGGGTTACCACACTTGAACTACACAGTAGACATATGTGGCGACTTGTGGAAACGATCATTCAACTTCAAGACACGCACATTCAATTGCACTCAGTTGAACGGAGCACCAGCGGATGGGAAGCCTACTAGATACTCAAGTACTCCGTACAAGGTTCTGTCAATGCCACAGCCTAGTCAACGCCGAGGGACATCACGGCCAACCCATGCCTATGTATAGATAGAGTACGTCTGTTTAGTTGGTCCTACCCTGTCCCTAAAAGACTACGCTCCAGGGACCACTTGGGAACCCCGCAGATCTACAAGCTCTCTGTGATAGACATTTTTTGAACCAATTACCTAGAGGTTGTCTTCGGCAATAGACCTTGACCAGGGATACAAGCATGGTCCGAGCCAGGAGATCTTTCACAGAGGTCGAGTCGACCCGTTCAGACTTTGACCATTCTGCCAATTTCACCTTATCGAAGACCGCACGACCTGATTGGAAATGGGGCGACGCTGCTAACGATCATGGCGCGGGCCTCGCGAAGAGACACGTCGAAATCAATCCCAATGCCGCTGGGCGATCAGCCATGAGCAACTACAAGTTACTGATCTCAGGCATAATCCCCCGACCGATCGGATTTCTGAGCACTCGAAATGAAGATGGAAACTCACAAAATCTGGCCCCATTCAGCTACACTCAAGTGGTAAATCATGATCCTCCTATATTTGTGGTCGGATTTGCCGGTTCGAATGACAAAGACACGCTGAAGAACTTGAAGGCTACTGGCGAGTGTGTAATAAACATCATCAGTGAGCATTTTATTGAGGCTGCCAACGCGGCTGCCATTGACGTCCCATATGGCATGAGCGAATGGCAGTTGACAGGATTGACCCCTGCGCGTTGCGGGCAAGTGAAGGTAGATCGAGTAGCAGAGAGCATTTTCAGCATAGAAGGAAACGTACTCGAGATCAAGGATTTTGAAAGCAAGTTTGAAAAAGGCGTCAAGTCCGGCTCCATGGCTATTATCGAAGGAGTTCGCTTCTGGGTCCGGGAAGACGCTCTCAGTGAAGACCAAGCGACCATTGATCCAGCTGTGCTGCGTCCGGTTGCGAGGCTGGGAGGAATAATGTACGGCCGAGTCACGCAGGCTTTCGAAATACCCAGGCCTAGATATGCGGACTGCAAAGAGCAGATATCAAAACGATAACATGTGATAGTGGAGAAATTCTGGCAGGCAGTACACTAGATGCGAGAACTCGAGGATACATCATATATCCAGTCTAAGCAACCCCATAGTTTTCAAGTCTTCCCAAATTCTGAGCTCGCTGCCATGTCATCGCGCTCTCAAATTAAATCTCAGAGGGCTCGAGGCTAGAGAAGCGGTCCATGTTCAAGCGGCAGCCTTTCCGAGACATTCGGAAGACCAGAATCCAAGTGCGGATACGTCCAGCTAAATGCAATGGAGCTGGTCAAGTAGATAACAATAGATCGTTCTTGATCTTTGAGCTTCTCAATACATACCTCAAGTATCGTTTGACAAGACAAATACTACTATAGACCAATCTGAAAAAGCAAGAGGAATTCACACAATGGCACCAGAATCATGGCTGGACATCGCACCTGATTCTCGATTTTCCCTCGCGAACATACCTTTTGGCATCGCTACTTTCCCAAGCTCAGACAAAGAGGCAATTGCCGTAGCCATAGGAGAGCATGCCCTTAATCTAGCAGTCTTCGCCTCAAACGATGGGTTCTCCAAGATGCCACTGATCCAAAAGCATATTCACGTCTTTCAACAACCAACGCTCAACGCCTTTGCAGCCCTGGGACGACCACTCTCCGGAGCAGTGCGCCGCTACTTGCAAGATATCCTCAAGGCGGAGACGCCGTACCCTCAGCTGCTCAAAGAAGATAAAGACCTACAAAACCAGTGTCTCGTCCCACTGAGTCAAATTCAAATGCATCTCCCGTTCGACATCGGAGGTTTCAGCGATTTCTATGGAGGTATCAACCACGCATACAATGCAGGAGCCCTCTTCAGGGGCCAGAATGGGGCACTACTACCAAACTACTTGCATCTCCCCATGGCGTACCATGGTAGATCATCTTCGATATTCGTGTCTGGAACCCCGGTACGAAGGCCATGGGGCCAGATAGTAGAAGATCTCACCGCGACCGAGAAGCGACCAATCTTTGTTCCATGTCGCACCATGGATTTCGAACTTGAACTCGGCTGCTTCGTATGTGGTGGTAACGCGCCGTTTGAGATCATCTCCATCGAAAACGCCGAAAACAACATATTCGGCTTTGTCTTGCTAAATGACTGGTCGGCGCGAGACGTACAGCGCTGGGAATATGTGCCCCTTGGTCCATTCAATGGCAAAAACTTTGCGACCACAATCAGTGCTTGGGTAGTATTGGCGGACGCTTTAGAACCCTTTCGGAAGGCCGGAGTAAAACATCCTGGGCCGCTGTTGCCATATCTACAGGAACAGCGCGAAGACTTCACCTATGATTTGAACCTAGAGGTGGAGCTTGTGAGTGGCAGCTCAAAGAGCACAACGAGGATTTGTTCGACGAATGCTTGCGACGGCCTCGTTTGGTCGTTTCCTCAGATGCTCGCCCATCATACGATTACGGGCTGTCTCATTAAGCCAGGTGATCTTCTCGGATCTGGGACGATTAGTGGTGAAACCACCTCTTCTCTAGGCTGTCTTCTAGAACAAACCCTTAATGGGAAGCAGCCGATCCACTTAGAAGGGGGCGAGAAACGATTCTGGCTGGAAGACGGCGATGAGGTGATCCTGAAGGCTTGGGCAGGAAATGAGCAAGACGGACTCGTGGGATTTGGCGATGCGGCTGGTGTGCTGCTTCCAGCTCACATACAGATTGGACTAGATACGCTTTAACATAGGTTTTACGACTAAATTCCTGTCGAGAGACCGATCTTGGAATCTTGACTCTATAACAACTGTGCCCTGCTCCACAAATCTTGGCATCATTCTGAAGTCTACAAGTTATATATTAAAAATTCCGAGTTCGTAAGTCTTGCCCTTTTGCAAAGTGTTCTCCAATGACACCTAGTCCATCGAAGGAAACACTCTCTGCGTTCACTCTTTGACTGGGAAATTGATCGTCCTCGGTAAGAGTCAAATTGTTGTATGGAAAGTGAGGGGGCGGGGTAACCCTCGGAGACGGAGAAGAAATAGGGGAAGCCAATGCTCGGAGGTCCTCGGAAATTTCCGAGCCTTGTCACAGAGGGTGCTGGCGGGAGAGCAATCTGCTATAGCATAAGGTGTAGTTGCCAATATTGAGAATTGGCCCATTCGATACCATAGTCTAGTGATATTAGATTTCCCGTTGAATGCCTGTAACGGTTAAAAGAACGCTCGCAGATGCGACCGGGTCATAGCATACCGCCCCCCTCAGAATCTCTCTAAATCCACTGACGAGGACAATGCCAGACTCAAAGTTCACAACACCTGAAAAGTACAGGTACAGCACAGGCATCGGATCTTACCAAGAGTAAGTAATTAGCTTTGTTGATTTCATAATCGAACGTTTCAAACTGATCTGAGAAACTATGAAAGGTCTGAAGCTATCGAGGGTGCTCTACCAATTGGGCAAAATACGCCACAACGTCCACCACTAGGCCTATATACAGAAAGAATCTCAGGTAGTGCTTTCCAAGCAGCCCGACCTGAAAACCAACAGACTTGGCTGTATCGCATCATCCCGTCAGCAGCGCATGAGCCGTTTGAACCAGAACCATTGAACGACGGTGAGCATGTCGCCAACTACAATGCCTATCACGATCTTGTACACATCCCGACCCAGGTCCGTTGGGACCCGTTCGATATCGATGAGAAGCTGGACTGGGTGCATTCAATGCGCCTGCTGTGTGCTGCCGGAGACGTATCGACCAAGTCCGGGATGGGTTATTTCATTTTCACAGCGGGACAGTCCATGGATCCTAAGTCCGCCTTCTCCTCCGCCGATGGAGAGCTTCTGATCATTCTCCAGACTGGTGTTCTCGACCTTAAGACCGAGCTGGGACATCTTCTGGTGAGACCTTTAGAGATTTGTGTTATTCCACGAGGCATCAAGTACCACGTCTCGCTGCCTGAAGGCCCTGTCCGGGGATACGCACTGGAGTTGCATCAAGGAGTTTTCACGCTCCCAAGTCTTGGACCGATTGGATCCTTTGGCTGTGCCAATACAAGGGACTTCAATATCCCCGTTGCGGCATATGAGCATAAAATAGAGACCGAACACCGGATCATCACCAAATTCAACGGCCGACTCTTCGAAGCGAAGCAGGACCATTCGCCCTTCGACGTCGTCGCATGGCACGGCACATATTTCCCATATAAATACGATCTTGGCCGCTTTATGACGGTTGGAAGCATCTCCTACGACCATCCAGACCCGTCGATTTTCACCCTGCTTGCTTCTTCCGAAGGTGTGGCGGAGATCGCCATCTTCCCGCCACGCTGGCTGGTCATGGAAAATACGTTTCGTCCTCCGTGGTATCACCGCAATACCATGAGCGAGTTCATGGGTCTAATTCATGGCGAGTACGACGCTAGAACGGACGGGGGGTTCCGTCCTGGCGGAGCCAGTCTCCACAATGTGATGGTTGGCCATGGCCCGGACAGCGCGACGCATGCCCGCGCGTCGGAGATGGAGCTTGTGCCGCAAAGGGTTGGCGAAGGCAGCATGGCGTTTGTGCTCGAATCGAATATGATTCTTGGTTTGAGTGACTGGGCCTGGTCGAAGTCGAGTAAGAAGCAATTGAACTATAATGCTGAGACGTGGTTGGGGCTTAAGAGTCATTTCAAGAAGCCGGAGGGCGCAATTGAGAACTTACCATTCCTGAACAGAGGCTCAGACTCGAATGGACATGCGAATGTGAATGGCCATTGATGCTTGAATAACATTCTCTCTGAACTACCAAGTCAAATGATGAAAACTTTTATCAGAACGTTAGTATCTTTCTCCTCTCGTTTTGAAAGTGATCATCTTCCGCGGGCATAGTAATTACGCGTAGAATACCGCGCTCATGAAATATGGCAATGGAGGCCGACATATCATTAATCGCGATTCGACGGCTTCACGGTATTTGACAACATTTTGATCACTACTTGGGACGACTGACCATGTCATATCACAATGGCGCTGCGGTGGTCCTCTGTTGCGATATCGGATGTCCAATTTGTTAGTCTAAACATTTCCTGTCTTGCTAGCCATTTTTACGTGTGTGGGTATCCTATACTACATCACATAAGGGGCAGATAACCGGGCCATCCAACTAATGACACCTTCGCGCTCTGACAAGCCTTTAGCTCTCGTGTATTAGACTCTGGGCTTTCTGAACTCCATAGTGACTCCAAATTTCCTTGCTCACAAAGAGTCAAAGACCCTTTGACTCCACAGCCGCCAGCTCTCTAACGAAGCTCTTCAGGTCCTACAGAATGAACCGGAATTTTGGGTCATCGTCGCCCAGGTTATCCAATTCATCGGCTGGCAGGGTATGTCTCCAGTCTCTCCTACCCGCGTCGCGCGCTGCGTTTTCCCTTCGAAGGTATATGAAGTAGCCCGTAGCCGCGAGGATTCCCGCAAATAGCATACCAAGACCGGTGCCAAATCCAGTGTGGTATGTGGGCGCTTCGGATTGGAGATAGATAAAGCTGGCAATGATGCCCGCGATGTTGCCGAATCCGATCTGAGACAGGAGTCAGACAAAAATTAAATCAATGATGGATGAACAGGGCAAAGGAGCCTTTACCTGCATTGCCACTCCTATTGCACGCTTATAATGACCTCCCATGTTATTACTCAGCCAGACGATGCTGATTGTTTGTGCGGCAAATCCACCCCCGGTCATAAGATATACAGCAAAGTATCTCGCACCTACTGGGACGCTGTGCATAGCGAAGAGAATCGCATAGCCGATTATTGTCAGGAGGCAACTCGCCATGAGTATCTCGTACCTCCTTTTCAGATGGTCGGAGAGCACAGCCGCGCTCAGCGTGAGAACAGCCGCCACTATAAAGACTGGGATCGACATGACCTGGGCCCGGATGGAGGTCCATCCTAGCTGTTTGAGAATCGTAGGCAAAAAGAAGACCAAGCTGTAGGTGGTGACCGTGATTCCGCCGAACATGATGATGCTTGAAGACCTATTAGCTACGATAATCAGAATATGAAGAGGATGGAACATACCCAAAATAGATCTTGGGATCACCGAACGATCGTTTGGCTGCCTTCTTGTCTAGCCTGTTCATTGTCACCCCTTCTACATCGGCACGAAGGCGGTTGGCTAGAAGAGTCCGTTCTTGGAAGCTTAGGAACTTGGCTGTGTTTGGCCAATCCGGTACAATGAAGACTCCCGCCAATGCAATGAGTACGGTGGCGGCCCCTAAAACTTTTCAGGAGTCGACTCTTCGGAGAAACAGGACGCACTAACCTTCGATAATGAATATCCATCTCCATCCACTGTATCCTGCGCGGCCATCGAGATGAGCGATGCTATACGCTAGCAGGCCTGAGAAAGCCCCGGCGAGAATAGATGCACAAAAGAAAAGATTGATCCTGAGCTGAAGCTCAAGTCGTCTGTAATACCTGTACAAGATCAGCTGTAAACGCCAATATCTTCTGGTCTACTCACATAGAAATTAAGTATGCACAGCCAGGAAAGAAGCCCGCTTCAAATATGCCCAGCAGGAAACGACAAGCGACGAGACCGCCAAAGGAGTGCGTCACCCCCATTCCGATGGTGCAGACACCCCATGCTGACATGATACCGGAGAGGTACCACGATGGCCGCATGTTTTTGAGTAGAAGGTTTGACGGCACCTCACACAGGATATAAGGTATAAAGAAGACGAACAAGGCGACTATGAACTGCATTAGTGATCGTGTGCCTGAACATTCGCTGTGCAAGCGTCTGGATAAGCAGAAGAAATCATGAAGACCCTCACTCCCGGAATCAAGGGAATCACTTTCAAGGTGACTTAATGGCAAGGGGGACGTAATCATACTATTGTAATCCTGGCCAGTCATGTTTAAATCTGCTTCAAGGCCCTGAATCCGCGCATTACCAATGTTAACTCTTCACGGCGTCAGCAAGAATCTCTGCAAACAGTGGTGTGAAAACATACCGGTCAATGAAAGCGCAGAGATAAAGTGTAAATAATATTGGAATCAAATGGAGATCGATCTTGCGGACCAATCGCTTCTCGACAGCAGGATCAAGCATCCCTGAGATGTCCTCAATGGTTTCAGTAAGATCTTTCACATCCCTGTGGTCTTCAGCTTTGGCATTCTCGAGTGCTGCCATGTCGAGCTCAATCTTGGTCGCCATTGCAAGAGGCTTTACAGATATGGTTTAGAAAATGCTTAGCTGAGAACAGCATGATACATCAAGTCGTGGCCGTGGCCGCAGGAGGCCCGGGGTGTAGATGAACTTCAGAAGCGGAATGTCGAGCGGAACCTTTACGGCGCTTGTTCTCCCTCGGATCTAGTTAGAGGCCTTGCCAGTACTTCAGGATTTGAGCCGGAGATGAGATGAGACGAGAAACTATTATTGCGTATTTGCAATGAGTCAAAGATAGAATCGATTGGGCTGAAGGAATTCACGTATCTCGCCGATCGATCTGGCGGTTGTCTAGACCTGGACACAGCGGGTATTGGAACTGGACCTCGATATTCCGTTATAGTCGACGATTCGACAACAAGCCTGCATTCATTGGCAAGGCCAAAATTTAGACAGCCTCGCAAATCTTTCCATGATCGCACCGATTCGCAAGACAAGCAGGTCCTCCGCCGAGGTCTTCGGCTGAGATTCGACGGAATGGCCTCCGAGCGCCAGATAGTCGGACCACGAGTAGTCATTCGTAAAATGCAATACATCCGGATGTACGGAGCACGGCACATTCGAAGTGCCTAGATAGTAAACTAGTCCAATGGTACAGATCCTCAAGTTGTTGCCTCATTTGTGTATTACGGCGGGATTGCTCCTCTACGACGTAGGCGAGACAGCTTTGGCTCAGGGGCCTCGATACGCAGATAGACCAAGTCCCTGGCCCAGATCGATTCGGACCAAGGTGGAAGGTATCCTTGGTGCATGAAGGCCTTAAACCAGGCTAGATTGTATGTGGTTGGGCGTCAAATCCAAGCCCCAGTACACTCAGGATAGGTTCTTGAATCTAATCCACTGAAGAAATACCTGCGGCGATGAATAATTTCTTTCCCCTCAGCTTTGGACATTCTGTGTTTGAACGAAAGTATCGGACTTGGCAATGTGAATCGTGGTAACATTGTCTTCCACATGAATCATTATCTACACTGTCGCCACGAACTACTCGTTGGGATCATGACTGCGCTCCATTGCCTCTCACCTTGGCCGTTGAGGTCGTTCGGCGTCTCATTGTGCAAAGCTATCAATAAGCTCCTTCAATGTGATCGGTTTCCTGACAGCATTTGAGAATCCCTCATGGAATGAAAGCCACACACGACCATTGTCCTCCTTTCTCGATGCGTTGACATTGGCAGTGTTCTTTCCAGAGGATGTTGGTCTAGCCTCATTAATGATACGACCAAAGAAATCGCGTTTCATACCAGCGTCTCTAGAGAATGAGGTTGCCGCTTTCTTGAGTGAGTCCGAATTCTCCTTATTCTCATCAGCGTCGAGATCTTTGAGGATCCCGGTGGACTTTCGAGCATGCCGCGCGAGGCTGTTCTGTAGCAGTCTCTCTTTTCTGGATTCCTGGTCGAGAACCTGACGAACTGCATATCGTATTGGTGCCACCGGGCGAGTCGATTTCTCAAGCCGAAGATTAAGCAAGTTATCCAGTGGACTGCTGCCTTATTAGTACAGTTCTGGTAGATCGAGGCAAGAGAGGTAACTTACGGTTCCATCCTGTATATATACCCGCCATTCGAATGCGCACCACCGCCTTCGATCTCCACTCTCACCTTTTCGAACGAGACGTCGAGAGCGAGCATTGTCTTGACAGCATTGCTAACGCATTGCTTTTCCGTCTCTTTTCTCACGCTTGCAACACTTGCAGACCCAGCAGAGCCGCCAATTACAACAGGCTTTACATCTGGAGCAAGCATTCTTCCGATGTTTGGAAGCAGCTCTGTCGCGATTGCGTCCACGGAGCTAAAGAGTCTCAACATCGAACCCGAAAATTTCGATTGGAGCTCTGTCAAGAGTGTTCGATTCTGTTTTTCGGCTTCATAGGCGGTAAAATCGGCCTTGAGCCCACTAAAGGGGTGCAAATCCTCTGATTCATCTTCCAGCTTGCTGTCTTCGTGCCACGCTTTATTGTCCTTATCCATTGCTGCGAACAAATGGTGGAATCCGCAAGCACTCGTGCTCAGATATGGAGTCAATTCCCACTCCTGTCCAGAGAAAACGCGACTTGAGAGACGATCATGGAAATGAAGCCATTCGTAGCTGGTATTAGGTTTCGAGAGTTGGACGTCATCTTGAAAGACTCGGGTCGGATATGTCGCGAAACAGTCAGTCATCAATCGGTCATGGTCTCCACAAGTATCGACCATTTCCCGCAGAGCAGCTATGGCGGCACGCTTGCGGAGGTCTGAGACACCTGTTGGGCTTGACTTGGACTCTGCGATAAGTCTTGCATCATCGGCTGAAACAGAGGTTGGGAGGTTCGGCAAACCAGCGCCTTCCACAAATATTCTTTCCACAACTTCGCGAACGCCACCCCGTCCAAGTCCTTTCTGCCCTTGCTGAGAATTGTCCAGATGAGCTTCAAGCCACTTTCGCGTTAGTTTGCCATTTTCTCCTCCCATTCGTAACTTATGTGCGATCCATTCTGCTTGAACAAGGACACCACGAATATCGCCTTCACCGGATCCTCGAGATCCCTGGCCTCTTTGCTTTCGCATTGCTAGGCCCCAGGCATTTTCACAAAGTCGGCGTGCAGCATCGTTGTCACACGCAATGCGTTCTTTTTCGAAAACAAATTTGATGCGAGAAATCACCTTGTCGATAGGAGCCTTTCGAACATGGACGATTTCAGCGATTGAGGATGTTCGCAACGGCCGTAGTGAAGGGGCGTACACATCATTGCAAACCAGGATCAAAGGCCTAAGCATCCGGAACTTGTCGCGATTTCTCTGCCCTCCTTTGCTATTCTGGGAATTTCCTTCCTTCGAGGAATTCCGCTGATCCAGTTGGACAAGATCAATCAATGCCTTCACGAACCCGCCTTCTCCGCCAGAGGAGCTGTTACCGGTTGTGACACCGTCGACTTCATCCACGACGACACAGACAGGCCGCCCAGCTTTTCGGGCTTTGCCCGGCTCCTTAATCCCGCGGACAGTTTCGGTACCAAGCACATCTTTTATCCTTCCTTTGACAACATCTCTGCTTCGATCATCACTCGCGTTGATTTCCAAGACTTCGTAGCCAGCTTGTTTGGCGCATACATGAGCTAGGGTTGTTTTACCAAGGCCCGGCGGCCCAGTAAGAAGAAGTATTTTCTTCTGTTGATTCTGGAATTGATCTTTCTCGTCATATACTTTGATGCGTTTCGTCCGACTACTCCCAGGAAATACCAAATCATCCCAGGACTTCAACCAGCGAAGGACAGATCTGTGAGTTCGTTCATCACCAACTAGTTCTGTGAACTTCTTCGCACGATATTTTTCGGTCCACATTTGGGTGTAAGTCGACTTTCCAGCAGACACTGGAGTCTCGTCTGCCACTTCCACAGTTGGCATCAGGTCAAGCTTTTGCTGTTCACTCTCCTTTGCAAATTTATCCAGTTGTCGTTGAGTCTCGGCATCATCCATAAGAGTGTGAATGTCAACTCCATAGTAGGCTTTCTTCGCGAGTCCCGGAGCAGTCATCGAGCGTTGAGCTATCAACTGCTCATACGATGAAGGAGCAGATTTCTGTCGGATCGGAATTTCTATCGCACCACCGCTGGCCAATTGCATACGGACTGTTTTTGCCGGCAGTTTTCTCAACAGTAGACGAGTGGGAGGCAGCGGCGGATTAGGGAATTCCACCTGGTGCCCATGTTTGGTCGGGGGTGCTTTATCGGGTTTCTGCAGGTCCTCCTGTCGTAGGTTATTGATTCGCCCATTTGTATGTAGTGTTTCAACAAAAAATGTTTCCGCGATAGGAGCATCCTCTTCATCATCATCATCATCATCATCCTCATCATCACTGTCTTGCAAGAAGCCTCCCACGATCTTTACTTTCTTCGGTAGAGGTTGAGGCGCTGTAGGGAATGGTTGGAATAGTCGGCGCTTCTTAGTAGGAGCAACTGCTGGTGGCGATGAACTTGCCGGGTACAGTACCGGAGAAGATGAGAACGTCATATCGGTAGAGAAATAATCGAGCTCTAGGTCGGTCAGACTAGAAGGGAGGTCGAGAGGGTCTTTCCTCGCTTGCTCGTTGTGTCTAAATTTGCTTTGGCATTGGACTCGTCGAGTTGATAGGCAGATTCAAGGTCGACGTCGTTAGATTCGGATAGAATGAATTATATATCTCCGTAGTTAGTCATCGATATCGTTCATGAATAAACGCAGTTGCAGCCTTGTCAAGCATGCACATCGAGATGGAAATCCGGCGCATGGAGGTGTATACGAGGTAGTGCTCCTTCCTGGTCAATCACTTAAGCAAAACGCGACGCGTATTCCCCACCTACGCGACCGCGTCAATCGAGCAATGGTCCACCGTTGTAGGTGGGTCGGCACACCTCCCTCGCTCGCTTGGGGGCTTGGAACGAATGACAGATGACGGGTTTGCCCCTCTTTGACGTTGCAGGAAGCATCAACAAGCAATGCAAGGTCACCAACCAACTACATAGTGCCAGCACCGAGGGTCGACCCGTATGGGACTGCAACTGCAGAAGCAAAGGTCAGCTTCGGATCAATGTGTCGAGGACCAGGTCGCATTTGAAAACATCCCCAGAAATGTCGCATGGGAAATGTCCTTGGCCTATGCAACTGCTCGCAGGCGAGAACAAAATCCAAAGGCAAGGAGCGCATTGATGCGAATGCGATATCCCTCCCACCCTCAGCTTCAACTTTAATCATCTCGTCCCTTACGCCGCTGCTCTGCTCCCCTCGAAGAGACATGCCCCGAGAGAACATCGGCGATTCATCTGCGAAGACCTTTGCGGAGTAAGTTTCCGCATTTCATCATCTACAAACCATTTCAATCTGGATTCGTGCGCGGGGTGCGCTGACAATGCGCCTGAAAGGTTACTCTCCGGCCCTCTGCTCGACATCTACGTCGGCGCCGACGGGCGCAAGTGGACTCTGCATCAAAACCTCCTCATTCACCATGCGCAATTCTTCGACGAGTCCTTCACGATCAACGGCGAGCAAAAGGGGATAAAAGACGGGAAACTCGAGCTGCGCAACGAGGATCCCGCTGCATTCGAGCTCCTCATCAAATGGCTGTACCAGGGCAAGATCGACGATGTGTCGTGGATGCCCAAGGATGTCAAGTGGGACTACGCCTTCACGTGCCAGAAGCTTTACATCCTGTGCGACACTCTGGGTCTACATGACCTGAAGAATCTCGCCATTGACCAATTCCGCCGCGGCTGCCACGAAGCCGGATTGGTGCCGGGCCCAGACGAGATGAAACCCATCTACGAGAAAACCCACATCAACTCGCCCTTTCGGAAGCTCGTGAGTAGGATCGCCGCAAGACAAATCATGGACCCCGGCTCGGAAAAGAACGCAACATCTTACAGGGAATGCTTCGCTGTTTCGCCCGATTTTGCCGTTGACGTGATCAACGCGATCAAGCAAGGCTCTGGAGGTTCACTGTTTGACGACCCGACCGAGGGCAACTCATGCAGGTACCACGAACATGCAGAGGGCGAGACATGCCAGAAGAAGACGGTCAAATTCAAGGACATCCCATCATGATCCTGGTCACGAATATAGTCACGCGCCACGGCATGGTCCTCAGATACATTAAATACGCCATCAGTTCCAATCCTTATTTACTATGTACTCCTCACCTATATCTTACACCTCCAACCACGCAACCACTCTCCAACTCATTAGCTCCCGCCGACCATTTCCACGCCAATACAACATCACATCCGATCTTTCTCCTTGGCTCTACGTTCCTCCTCCTGAATACTATACCCCACATGGTTCAACTACGTGCGACTACTCACCAGAGCAACACCCCTCCCCCACACGCACAATGCAATACCCTCCGGGCATGAAATAATGGGACAGAGGAGGATGCGACAATGACTGACTGCTTGCCTGCCGATGTCGACGAGGATGATATACGTGTACAAGTAATTCCATCTAGCTCAATCCGCCCGGGCCCCGTGTTCCGGTCTGGATCTCGGGTCTAGCTTTGGTTTTTGTTTGTTTTTGCTCATCTGGTTCATTTATTTGATGTACGCGGCTTTTGACGATGTGCTGCAGGATACTATAAATATCTCGGGGGTGCTATATTCCGATATTCCGACATTTCGATATTTCTGGCCCTCCAGCAAAAATATATAAACATTAATTGTATGTCTTCTCGTACAGGTATCTCACTGACTCGGTACCCACCTTGGTATCTGAGATCGTCTTGGTGGGCAAGCTGCCCAAGTCGCCGCACATCGTGCAATTGGTTCACCATGTCATTTTCCCGAGGTCATGTTTTCTCTCTTCGACTCAAAGAATACCTAGTATGTAAATTTCGCTGAAAGACAGGCTAAATAAGCAAATGATAATGGAATGTGGCAACGCCTGCCTAGTTGAACCCAGTAGTAAAAGGTTCAAGAATGACCAGTGCTCCCTATGTGCAACTCTCACCCTCCTCATCCTCTGCTACGCTTCCTACCAAAGACAAATAAATCAGGTCTTTTCTTTCTGTCTCACTTCCTTTTCCAAATATACCAAGTCTTAGATTAGCCAGCCACCATATTCCTTGCGACGACACATATCATGGTCAGCTTCATCGTGGGTATCAAGCAGAAATGATGCTCAGCTAGCGGTATAACGGCCACTGACAAGCCTTTTACGTGTGGAGAGCAACTCCCATCTCTTTTCATCAGCGCTACCTCGGGCGCTGCTGCCTTCACCTCCATCATCTGCGAAAGGGTCGGCTTCTCTCTCTTTACCATTTGGCGGGAGGATCTTCTCCACGCCAATTGATGAGGCGACCCGTCCCGGGATCTCGAATTTCATTTCGACAGTTCCCTTCTTGGCTAGACCGCCTTGGGTAACGAACCGTACTAGAAGTCGCTCTTGCTCGGCTTTGACAGTAAGGTCATTGAGTTTCCAAACCACTGCAGACGTTTTCCGTTTGAAAGTGGCACCAGCGGTTGGGGACATCATAGCTGAAACTGGCTTTCCAGTCCCTTCCCCCGAAATATCAAGGTTGACGCTTATGACAACGTTCTTGAGGTTCACTGAATCGCTGCCGAAGAGGGGGTTTAGACTATACAACACGATCACACTGACCTGACCCTCAACGATTTGCCATGCTGGAGTAATCAAGACTGGGCTGTATTGCGCCAGATTCGCATCTTCAAGGTGGAGTTGATACTTCAGTCCAACTAGAGGTGAAGATCGCCGAATGGGTGAGGTCGCAATTGTGTACGTCCCTGCTTGCTCCTCTGACAAGGCTGTGCCACCAGACTTTGCTTGTGTCAGGTATATAGGATTAGCAGCCACTTTGTCAAGCAGTTCAAAATGTTGCAGACGAATTGTTTCGTGTTCTGGGTCAGTGCTACCTGTAAGGTTGTATGCAAACGCGATTTCCCCAAGGACAAATGATTTGCTAACACCAGAATCTGTGAACCAAGAGTGGACTGTCTCAAGGATAGAGACGTTAAGACCAGGCTCGTGCAAATCTGCATGATTACTAGGCGCGCCCAAACTTCGGGAGGAATATATTGAAGTGGTGTCAGATCCAACGCCATGGTCCTCATGTAGAGCCGGCGCAACGGGGAGTCGTTGCATTGGTGATGCGAGAACATTCTCATTGGACATTGAGGCCGCAGGAATACTAGTGGCCAGGGCAGGTCCACCCTGCGGAATTGCAGGGATTGAGTCTAGCGCATCATTAGGAATGAACATAGTGTTTCGCACATCTCGTCGACCTCTCATGCTGCCCTGGACACGATTAATACCGGAGCTTTGTGCCTGAGTCCGTAATTGATTTGCGATGTTGCTCAAGGCAAGCTGAGCTTCACTTTCGTCTTCTTGAATTGGTTGATCACGGATCTGAAAATTGCGGGATGATTCATCCCCAGCCAGGGCTGCAGCAGCGGCATCTCGTTGCGCTTGAGTTATAGGATCCTTTGCAGGTGTTGCAGGAGCCGGAGGTTCTTGAAATGCAGGTTCTAATGGCGGAGGAAGGTGAGTTTCAGGTGGTGATTGCTGTGACGTCGCCATTTCCATCTGAGAGTCCTGTGTAGGTTGCGGCGGAGTAGTGCCGTTCGTGAGGGCAGCAGGTACAGGGTCCTCAGCTGGCACGTGTGCAGGTGGTTCGTACCTTCCCTCGGATGGTGCGACGGGATAGTCCTGAGAGGCGCTGGGTGTCAAATCCGGACCTGAAGCTTCCAGGTCCTGGAAACTACGGGACGAGTCTCCTCGCCTGAATGGTACGAACGACCGTGTCTTTCTCTTCTCCTCGTTGGAGGTCTGGTGCGGTACGGGCGGTGCTGTGCTCTTCCTTCTGCTCATGACGGTGCCGAGGCGCTTCAGTCCACCCAATTTACTTTTCTCTTTCTGTGGAGTAGCATCCGGTACTAACGTCCGAGGTCAGAGGCGCAAGATGTAGAGTGACGCCGCTACACTTACATGGAGTTAATCTATCCTGGCCAGCCGTTGAAATTGACCGCTGGCTTCTTCTGTCATCAGCATGACGAGGCGGCGGAGGTGTTGGTGGTGGACGTAAATGAGAGCTTGCAGGTCTTGCGCTCGGAGTGGCAGAACTGCGCCTTGTAGTTAGGCTGGGGCGCTGGGTGGTTGCCCTTTCCGCCCATGTCTTGATCTCGTCTGCTGTTTCGACATTGAGGAGAGCGTTCAGTATGGATTCGGCACTCGCGCGACTCTTCTCAATTGCGTCCAACTCATGGGTCTGGAATTGAGTGAGGACGTCCCGCAAGTGATTGACCCTCGTTTCGTCCAGGGCTTGAAGCTGCTCAAAGATGTAAGGAGCTTGTGCCTCCCATTGACGGGTCGTCTCTGCGACTACCGAGTTAGCACTTGCGGCATTTTTACCTCCTTTTGCGGCCTTTCTTTGAGCGTTGGCAATGTCCTTAGCAAGCAAAGCCAGGTTTCCCTGGGTCGAACTCAAAGCTTGTGAATCTCTGTTCCGGGTTGCGAAAGACCTGAGCGGGCTTTCGACGTCGGTTTCGAGCTTGTTGGCGAGAATCTCATGGGATGCGGCTAGATTCTCGGTTCCAGAAACAATGCGCTGCCAGGATGTCTGGAAAACTCTGAAGTAGAACTATGATTAGTGGAAAGGCAAGCAGCACAGTCAAGGTCCTAGAACATACCCGAGGATTGCCGATGCGTCCTGTTGAGGCTTTCGCGCAAGTTTCCGAAGCCCTGCGACGTATGCTTCCTCGACCTTTCTGCGCTCCTATACTACTGTTTAACATGGCTTTCCCAAGGAAAGGTAGGTTAGGTTGTTGGACTGACCTGCAACCAATCGGCTATGTCGTTGTTTATTTTAGCGATTAAGGAGACGCGGTCTTGAAGCAGTGTAATGGCCTGCTCGGGTTGGACCGAAGCCTGCGCGAGGGATAGTCAGTGATGGAGGTCGAGGCCAGCGGAGGGTTGGTGGTGGAAGTTTACCAGGAGAGTGGGATACTCAGTTCGCTGAGAGTCCATGTCGGGTTCCCGCAGGCTTCATTCGAATTCGGAGTATATGACGGTAGGACTTCAAGTGTAGGAGGATATGGGTGCGACGAGGAAGAGTGAGGTAGGCCAGCAGAGTCCAGTCGAGAGGAATTATACGTGTGGTGCAGAAAAGATTACTCGATATCCGTACACGATAACGACAAGCAGGCAATTAGTAGGAGACGGGTATTTAGAGCTCCAAACAAGTCGTAGACTCGTAGTACTGTAGTAGCCGCACTAGTATTGCGTCTGTACTGTGCTGGTATTACCCGGACCAGCAAGAAGCGGTCGCTGGGACATCCAAGCGGTTGGTCTCGGATCAAAATTACGCAGCATTTCTAGTTGGGTACGGAGTCGTTAGGAAAGTGCCCGTGGTGCTGCGGATTACGCGGTACATGGCTCGTACGCAGGGCTCCGTCTACTCGTGGCTATGTACTCCACACAGAAGTATGTACATACAGTATGTAATCGTATGTACAGATACATCTATACTCCATATTACTATCCGGTTACAATTCCAGAATCTTTGTCAGGGAAAAGAGCCTTTCCTTCGCCATCCCTTCCAAGCCTCCCGTTTGTTCCATGGGGCACACAAACCCCCGGTCATCCCCTCCTAAGCCGCTCGGGGGGCTAACTGCTACCGAGGATCCCTACCTCGAACGCTCAGATCCTCAGAATTGCTATCCACAACAGTGCTGCACAACACCACTTCAAATACTCTCAGCCTGTGGGCAGCCAAAGCCTGATATTGCTAACGCTCTTGGAAGAAATAAACACCAGCAACATATTACGCCATGTATTTGGATCCCAATCGGACGACTAATCTATCAGCCTCGTGTAATGCTGCAGAGAGTCTGACACAGATATGACTGCTTGATCGTCCAACGCCAACAATTCTCCTAACTCAACACACCAGCGACTATCTGACTAATTCCGTATCGGATGTTATTTAACGTTTTCATGCGTAAACGCTGAACATGCCTCTCGATGTCAGCTTCTCTACGAGGCTGACTAATATTTTGTGGTTTACAAACGCTTTCATCACAGCTGGAAAGGATGCAGTCGCGGCTCGAAATGCGGCCAAAGAGCTTGAAGAAGAGATCTTGCACAACGCTGGATCCCTGGATGAATATGAGGAAATATGCAGCTCCACACTTGCGGAGGTGGGCGTGTCTGGCTCACTACCTGAAGAGCCAGCAGATCATCCAGAAGAAGCGCAGATCTTGAATGTGGAGGGTCCAAGCTATGGCGGGTATCAGTATGCGACATATCATGCAGACGGGCAATTTTCAACCATCTTCAAGGCCCAGGCCAAGGACGAGAGCGCTGCCGTGCAGATAGTTGCTTTGAAGGTTACGCGGCCAGCGATGACAAGTCCTCCGCACAATCCTGAAAGGGAGGCACGACTTCTGACGGAGGCAAAACACCAACATGTCCTTCCGCTTATCGAAACAATCCGCGAATCTGGTGGTGTCTTTGTGCTCGTCTTACCGTTCCTCACTCAGGACCTGGAGAATTTGCTTCGATCGGGACGCTTGGACAAAGGTCAGGTGCGGATGGTATTCTTGGGCCTGTTCCGTGCTCTCACTCATATACACAGCCTGGGCATAATACATCGAGATGTAAAACCAGCAAATATCCTCCTCAAAACCATGAATGGACCAGTTTACCTAGCAGATTTTGGTATCGCTTGGTCGCCTCAAGACAGAGATTCTGAACCTGCCAATTTGAAAATCACTGATGTTGGTACGGCCTGCTACCGCCCACCAGAGCTATTATTCGGTCATAAGGCATATGACACATCCTTGGATATGTGGGCAGCAGGCTGCGTGGTCGCAGAACTACTCAAAGACGGTCACCATCCCTTGTTTGATGCCGGGCCTTTGGGGAGCGAGCTGAGCTTGATTAAATCAATATTCTCGACACTCGGGACACCGAATGATGATTCCTGGCCTGTGAGCGTGCTTCATCCTCTTTACTTGCGCCGCAGCTAATCCCTTTTAGTCAGCACACACGTATCCGGACTGGGGCAAGATGCGGTTCAAGGACTTCCCGCCGCAGCCATGGCAAGATCTGCTTCCTGGCGTCTCTGACGCAGGAATATCGTTTGTGGAAAGCACCGTCTGCTATGAGAGTAGTCACCGGTTGACGGCTGGAGAGGTACTGCATTCTAAGAAGCCTGTGAGAACATACTAACCAGTCACAGGCACTTGAACATGTCTTGGCTTCAGAGATCCAGTCATAATGCAAAGCCCAAGAATATGATATTTCCTTCAGTGTTCAAGGAAGAGAAATAGCGAGATCTGTCTTGGCGATATCTGCACTCGGCAAGTCCAGGCCGCACTTGCGAAACAAGATGCAACAATCGATAGAGTGGTACAGTACAGAGCAACGAAGGCAACACTGAAGATTGGAAAGGAAGCACCATACTGGGCGACTCCCCAGAGTGCCTCACAGACCGAGCAAGGGACGACGGCCACACCATTGAAACTATTGTACTATCAAACTCGTTCCTCGCTCTAGAGCTGGGAAGTTAAGATTGGTTCGCAAGCCTATGGTTAGACAAATCTAGTCCAACATCAGTCAAGCTCAGGGCAATCTTACGGTGGCAGCAGTGATATCTGATATCAAGGCAAGATACGCCTTGACGATATAGCCCTGCTACGAGTTCTCGACAAAATGCTTGTCCAAGTAATTAGTTGCAGGGGTCGGATTCAAGCGTCCGCTAAGCACAATTGTGACAGCTCGGTTTGACAGAGATTGGCAGTTGGCTAGCTGTGTTGTGTACTCGGTACGACCAGCACCCTGTCCTGTCAACTACGGTCATCATCACTGTTGGCATGCAGCCTCAGGGCAGGTAGGACAGAGGTCGGAGTAACCTGGTCAAGCCCGTGTGACATGCCAATTAAGGATGATATCATATCAACGGCGCTTTGCTAACAACTAATCTTGCATGGAGCCTCTATATGGAGAAATGGCGTCTGCCACCAGAACCCTACCAAGAGCAACGGTCCAAAGATCTAAAACGGCCGTGTGCTTCAGCCTTGGGTAGGATGATGGGCACACATAGATAGAGGTAGTTGGCGATTGAACAGTAGATCGGTTATGGGAGATAAGAATACGCGGCATGTAGAAACCATGTGGTTGGACATGTGAGCAATTGTTGCCTAACGAATCACCATGGCTTGTGGGCGGTGGTCTAAGAAGGGCAAATCAATAGCACAGATTGGCATCGTTCAAAGTGGGACATGTGAAAGAGGGTGGGCAGTGGGCACCGGAGCAAGTGATTTGTGCAGAGTACGCAGTAGCAGAGGCCAATTTGTTGGATGACAGCGAGACGGTTGTTTGATGGATCACGGAGTATCACGAGCAGACTGATCGAAGCATGACGACTTTGCAGCTGAAGGGTGCACGAGTATACGGATACTATGAGTACTTGTGCTCGTTCTTCAGGGTCATGGCACGCCGCCTGGAGATAGTCGGTGCAGCCCCTGAATGCTACCTGAGCCTGGTACCGCTGGCTTCTGGGGGGTTTCATGCAGCCCACTCGTTTAACAACAACGCCCCCAGCCATTTGAACTCCCCATCTGTACGAGTATTCCGCACTCCGTACTACTTCTCATCAATTCAACTGTTACACAGCCACGACACAGTGTGCATATGCCGTCCACGTCTCAATTACGAGTACAGTACAATTCTCCTCGTGCGACCCATCGGGCATAAAACCCAGGTTGTGCGGTGTGTGTGTCCAAAGCGTCATCTTATCAAGGCCTTGCTCTGGACTGCGTTTTTTCACTCATTGCAATCTCGCAGGTGGAGGCCCCGGCGCCGGTCAGGGTGATTAGGGCCAGTGGTGACCGCTGCAGGTACTTGTAGGCTAAACAACTTCTGGGGTTGGGCCCGTGTGGCGCCCCGGGTCTAAATTCAGGTACACCAATAACGGCGATCCTGGGCCTGCGCAACCCCTGCCATCAAAAGCCTAATCTTGCTCCACCGGACGCCCTCGACGTCCCCGATCGAGAAGAACAATCATCTATCCGCTCCACCTTCGATCCATCGATCCCATCATCCCATCATTCCATCTCTGCTCGTGCAGTCCACGCAGTCCATATTGGCGCTGCCCACAGCCTCAATCCCTACCCACAATTATCTCCCCGTTAACAGTAACCGCGTCAGTCCATCCTACAATCCTTTTCCTCACCTTCACCTGCTCTCGCAGCTTGTTGTTGACGCCTCTTTCCCAACCTTTGCTCGTCGACCGCGCGCCTCTCCTTACCTTCGTTTCTTCAACCCGATTTCGCCTGTTTCTACGTTCAAGAGTTGATTGTCGCCCTTCTTTTATCGACAATCACTCGATCACTCCTTTGACACCCACCAAGTCGCTCTTTTGGTCCCTTCCAGACTTAATCTACTCCCAAACCCGAACCCTGTTTAGTCGAGCGTGCTGGATTCCAGAAATCGCACATCGAAACTCCTCTCCTTAATACACCTGGTTGTGCAAAGTCCTATCTCACTACTCTTTGGCAAATTGATCCTCGACAGCCAGAATGGATCACTCACATCAACATTTCCATAACCAAATGGCCAACCTCGCCAAGCGTCAGGACGTCAGTACGGATGGAGGCACCGTCTACTCAGTCGTGTATGTGACTGCTGAACCGACCTTTACTGGCGTTATTGGCGGGTTTACTACTCTCACTGATGAGACCGCTGCCCCTACCGATACCCAGACCTCAGTACCCATCGATTTTACCACTGCCCCTACTGAAACCGTTGTCGGACCAGCAACTACGTCAACACCAGAACCAACTTTGTCCAGTCCCACGAATTTCTCCAATGCAAATACTAGTGTCGATACTTCTGTGGCCCCTGCTGCTGCTACGGGCGGTTCTTCTGCCAACTCTGCTGCTTCTTCGAGCTCCTCGAGTGAAGGCATGTCAACAGCGGCCAAAGCCGGCATTGCTATTGGTGTTATTGGTGTCGTGGGAGTAGTTGCAATCATCCTCCTATGGCTTCTCGGCAAGAAGAAGAAGCAGCGTCAAGCACTCGACAACAAAGACAATGAGAAATCTGGCTATGGTACTGGTGCCGCTGCTGGCACTCCTCCTACAGAGATGCTTAACAGGAGCCCAACCAATGCAACAGCCCCTCGCCTGAGTCTCCGCCCTGTTTCACGAATGCTCCCTGAATTCATGGCTCCTGCTAAAGGTCGATTGAGCAGTGGAAATATGCTCAACACCATTGGTGAGGGACCTGCTCAGAAGAGGAACCTGTCCCCATCGCCTCAGCCTCGTGATCCCAGTCCTTCTCACCAACGTCCTCGAGAGAATCCCTTTGCAGATCCTCAAAACCCCTTTGCGGATCCTGAGAAGCCGGTTCAAGCACCAACGCCTTTGTCCCTCTCTTCTGCTGTCACAAAACCCGCGCCACTTCTTCCCATGGCTGCCACCATTGTACCTGCTGCCACCGCGATTTCTTCGCCCGCTGCGGTCACCGCTTCTCCTCAAATGGCCCAAGTCGAGACTCCCACACCCCTTCGCTCTCAGGCTCCAGCTCCAGCTCCAGAACCCATTGCCATGCAATCTGCCGTCCCTGCTTCAATTCCTTCGACACCTGTTACTCCTGGTCCAGTAATTGCGACGGGTCCGGGTCCCGAATCCGCTCAAGGCAATGTATATCGCGTTATGATGGATTTCAAGCCTTCGATGGAAGACGAGCTCGAATTGGTTGTCGGACAATTGGTTCGTATGCTTCATGAGTATGATGATGGATGGGTAAGTTTAAAAGAACAAACTTCAGTCATTGAAAGAAACTCCTGTTGACACTGATCATAGGCTTTGTGCATTAAACTCGACCGATCTCAACAGGGCGTTGTTCCACGAACCTGTTTGGCTGCTAAGCCATCCAAACCCAAGCCAGCTCATTTGAATCAGTATGCTCGTGGTAACGGCGCCAATAGCCCTCAACCAAACCGTCCAATCCAAGGCCCTGGAAGTCCTATGTCTCGTCCCATGTCCCCTGCCAACGGTGGACCGCGTTCCGGTATGCCTCCATCACGCCCAATGAGTCCTGCAGGTCGTCCCGGTCAACGCCCAATGAGCCCCGCCGGTAGACCAGGCCAACGCCCCATGAGTCCGGCTGGCAGACCAGGTCAACGTTCCATGAGCCCAGCTGGAATGAACTCCCCGCGAGCCATGAGCCCCGGCCCCTACAACCAAGCACCTCGACCTCTTTCACCAGGGCCTCGACAGTCAAACCGAAGTATGTCACCGGGTCCATATGGAGGTCGTGGCGGTCCACCTCCAATGGGTGGGACCAACTCTCGACGACGAAGCAACTCCGCCAGCGCTGCGAACGTTAGAGACCGCCGAAACACTCCCCCAGGCCCTTCGAACCTGAGGCAGGGCACAAGCTCACAAGGACCAGGGATTGCGCTGTAAAGGCAAAGCATAATACAAATGTTTAAACCCGATGACAAATCTCCTGGAATGACCTGACAAACAATCTCTCTTAACAATGAAAACGATATCAGATGCTTCTTTTTCTCGCGGAAATGATTCCACGATCAATCAGTTCAAATTTCTAGCTTCAATCAATTGTGATACCTTTCGTGCTGCGTGCTTGGACCTTTGATGGTGTCTCTCGGAGACACTTGCTTGAGCTATCTCTGTTCCTTTTCGGCACGTCTCTCGGTGTATTCTGCAGACTGTCACACCAGTCGTAGATCCGCTGAGGTGTGGCACCGATATAGCGGGACGAGCTGAGCTTTTATTTGTAAGAACCTTTACTCTGCTAGGTTAGGATTTGACAGCAAGGGTCGGGGGTCAACCGAGAAACAAACCAGTTCAGGCATATGAATATGGGTATGGGTGTGTGTGTATGCCGAATAGATAGATAATGTCAGTCCATACCTTATTCATCCAATTTTCTGATCTGTGGCTGGGTGTGTCACGCTCGATCCGCCCCTAATACAGTACACTCCGCATACTATGGATCTTCCACATCTCGGGACCCGGACCCGGACCCCCGTTTATGTAACTTTCTGACGAGAATCTTGCCTCGCACCCAAGCTAAGTCACAACAGCACTTGGGGTCAACAACACTATCATTGTTATTGTCATTGTTTATCTTTGACGCACATCTTCCATTCCAGTTGGCGTTTCCAGTTTTCTTTGGGGTGTTGCTGGCTCGGCGCCTCCACTCACAGTGAAAGAGACATAAGGGAGGCTGGTAGATAGGGATACGGCGAACCAGAGAGAGGGGGATCGAGAGCGAGGCATCCTTTGTCTTTGTGCAAAGCCTGACGATGAAGGGATGGGATGGGATGAGGTCTCTCACATGAAGCAAAAAGAAAAGAAAAAGATTGACTATTCCGGCCTGTTGGTGGCTTCTTTGGTTTCAGTTCATGGCGTCGGTTTTGTTCGTGTGTCTGGCTCTGTTTCACATGCTCCCTCTGTGTATGTGTGTGTATGGCGAATTTTTCTGCTTTGCACTGCTGGCCCAGACTGCTGGGCTGGGACGGGTGAAGGATGCGAGGCAGTCCGTCGACCTGCGACTAACAACTGCCTTTCATTAGCGTACGGTAGAGGCAGGCAAGGTGAGTGAGTGCTGAAAGATAAATATCTCTGTGTGTGCTGGAGCCTTCAATGCAAGTGCGTTCTCTATCCTCTCGATCAACTGACCCTTGTTACTCTAGATCCCTATATCTCGCCATTTCAGGACGCTGACATAAACACCTAGCCTCGAATCAAGCAGACCAGGAGAGATACAAGAGCGCGATATCAAAAACCTATTTGTTCAACGAATGCGAAGATATAGCACCACCACATCTTCTCTCAACCAGAAACCAACTTAATGGCGACTGGCGGCGACTCAAACTCCGGCGGCGATTATTCAGGTTGGTCTCGATGGGGAGAGGACGATCCAGACTCCGGAAGCGATCATCATGAAGTGGCGCCTCCTCCACGAGAATGGGAAGCACCGCCGGCACATCTGGTAGGAAACAGGGCCCCGGTGCCTTTCTGGGATGAGATTCGAGAGTTCCTGGATTGGCCAACTGCGTTTGACGACAGTTACTTCTCATCGAAGGGTTTCCGTCGCCATACTGCTATCTGTGCGGGCAAGCCCTGGGAAACCCCTGGATCTCGACCTCGTGCAGTTTCCCTGGACAACTTCGGCTCCACACCAGCAGTCCATTTCCATCAGAAAATATCATAGAGTATGCAGTCGGCCCTGCTATCCTTGGAATAGCCGGCAAGAGTCGCCAACCAAAGACTGTCCCGAAGTCACAAACTGGCTCGGCTCCATCTGACATGGCTCAGGCATCCAAATTTGACTCGAACCCAGAAGAATATCATTCCAACATCTTGGGTGAGGCGGCGTGGATGAGCCAAGGCCATCAGGCTGTCTTGGGGCCTAGTCTCATACCAACAAATGAGAACGCCAAGTCAAATGCGCCGACCAGCCCCAAGGGCAAGAAGAACTGCAAACAGCAATTCGAACGACATCAAGCTCTCAAACAACCCATCGCGCAGCTCACGGTCAACGACCTGATTACGAACCTCTCCAAACACGATCTGCAGATCACAGGTCCCTCAGACTGCCCTTGTGAAGTTGATAGATGGCTTAGCCAGCGGAGCCACGAGAATGCCTGCTGCTGCCTGTGCCATCTAGGCGAAGGCGTCCGGGCTCCCCCCTCTTGGAAAAATCTTTCTTACACCCACTACTGTGAAGCCTATCTTGAATGGGTCGAGCTGCGTGACCGATATGACTCCATGCCTTGCAGATCTCTCTTTGTTGACGGTGAATATGTTGTTGACTTTGCAGGACATCATGGCAGTGATAAGGATACAGGAATGGGATGCTCATATGATTATATCTCTTTCGATGATGTTGTTTCATGGGTTGAATCCGAAAGTGTTGCAGAATCTCAAGACGATAATGATGATCATGAATTTGAGGGTGGTTCCAAAGCTAGCCTGTACGGCACTTCAGACTTGCCGAACCCATCCTCAGGAGATCGTCTGCGAGAGTCCACACTTACTAAAGATCACAGTGCAGAGAATATAGGAGTGGAAGCACTTCACCATACCGATCCTATCGTGACTCAAGCTGCAACACCCTCTGAGGTCGCAAACGGCAATGCAAACGAGTCCTCAACTTCCTCTGTTGTCTCCGCAGCTGTCACTCAGACCCAGGCTGAGACTCATGCTCACCAAGCCGATCAGAATACTCTCGTGAGTGGGAATATCTTCGGTCCCGTATCGGTCGCCTGGCACACCGTGGTAGCCACCAGTATGGATAAAGTTATTGCAGCAGCACGCCCAGGTTCGGTGGTGTCACTCTTTCGACGAATGATCAACTTTATCTTCTCCTGCCTGGTCGCTATGGCCGCTCAGCCTTCAATAATAGCGAAGAAGATCAACGGCTCGGTGCTTGAATTTGAAGTCCGGCTGCGACGGGAGTTGGTGGAATTGCGGCAATGGCAGAAAATATCCAAGCAAGCGGCAATCAAGGCAGCTGCTCTCGACAGAGCTATTATTCGCGGGTACTCCACCGTTGCCAATTTGCTTGAGCATTATCAAACATTCACAGATGCTGCCGATACTACTGATGGGGTCCGGGAGCTTTCCGATGTGGATGAATTCGTCCTCTGGTGTGTCCTGCTTCAGATCTATACGGTCTTGCTGTTTTCTTCCATCACCGTTGTCGAGGTTGTGTTAACATTCCTCGGGCTTGAGCTAATAGCTTCGTGGGAGGTCCTCATAGAGTGGCTCTGGATATTTGAACTTCTTCGTGCTATCCAGCATACCTAGGTAGCGGGAATGAGCACAAACAAAATGCGGGAGGAGCAGTTGTTGCGTTTGAGAGCGTTTGGGTGGGAACCGCCATCGATGATAGAAGGATGGTCTCTTAAAGGAAGGTTTTGGTTTCGCCCTCTGTCGAATGCAACCAGTTGCACCATCGCTGAGGAATCTATTGTGTGACATAGTTCTTTGACACTGTCCTTGGGATTGCCGGAATGGTCGGTTTGGACGGAGGCGTTTGAGGAGTCTGTTTTTTTTGGTTGTTGTTTTTCCGCCTTCGTTCAAAGGCAAGGTTTGGATACGCTCTCATGCAGCGTCCATTGAATCAAATACATCAAACGTAAACATCGCAAGCGAGACTTTCATTCGACGAGGTTGGTCATCGTGATTTGGGGTATTGATTGACGATGTAATGTGCCATAATGTGTCGAAGTCACTACCCAAAAGAATAACATCTTATCGTGGGTGAAATGAAGGGAGGTGCGGTGTACCACTACCCAGTACTGCTTCGACTTTGGTATATAAGCCAATCTCGGTGCATTGCTGTGTAGACTCCTTCAGTTTTCTTTGACACATGAGAAATTGACAACCGCGATGATAAGTAGCCGAATGTGATTTTAAATTTGATTATTTTATTTGGGCTTCAATCCGTGTCGGACATCAGCGGGTAGCGCTGCGGAGTACCCAGCTCAACATTTTATATTTGTTCTCCCACGAACCCAACTTGTACTGTAATGCTCTCTAGGTTGTGCAATCACTACTTCTATTCTTTAGGCCAACTATTTTAGAATCCCTGTGAAACCAGGAGACACAAGGACGATGTCAGAAACGGATCCGGGCTTCATAGCGGCCCTCGAAGAAGCGAAGAAAGGATACGCGGAGGGAGGTGTTCCTATCGGTTGATATGCCCACTCACGCCTAGAGCAAATGTTCGAAGTCTAAATTATAATCTGGTAGGAGCATGCCTGGTCAGCAAGGACGGGAAGATCCTAGGTCAAGGGCATAATATGCGGGTGCAGAAAGGCAGTGCGACTTTACATGTAAGTCGCAACGCCTCCAAAGGCGAATGAGGGGAGTTTATCAAGGCTGGTAAGACCGGATTGAGGAGAACATGCTAATTGACATGGAAAATTACTGGTAGGGAGAGATATCAGCACTGGAGAATTCAGGTCGGCTTCCAGCCTCGGCGTACAAGGGCGCAACGATGTATACTTCCCTCAGTCCATGTGATATGTGCACGGGAGCTTGCATTCTATATAAAGTTGAGCGGGTGGTGATAGCCGAGAATAAGACATTCTTGGGAGGTGAGGATCATCTCAGATCGAAGGGAATTGACGTTGTGGTGTTGGATAATGAAGAGTGCAAAGAACTGATGAGGAAGTTCATCGAGGAGAAGCCTCATATTTGGTACGTGTTATTTTCATTCCCCGGCTGGAGCAAGTGGCGCGAGTTGACTGAATGATATATTGTAGGAATGAGGACATTGGTGAGCCGTAAATACATCTATAGAACTTTTAGATACCTCTGTCTAGGGCATACACACACCTTGCTCAAGCGGTGAGTCTGTGAATTTCTTCGAAGAAGAATTTCAGATCATCAGGGTTGACTCCTGGTGTGATCCCATGCCCAAGATTGACGATCCAACGTTCTTTCCCTCCACCGAATCCTTGGACCATGCGTTCAGCGACCGCGGTGATAGACTCATGGCTGCCATAGAGCACCCCAGGATCGGCATTGCCTTGCAAGGTGACCCGTCCCCTTGCCGTCTTGACCGCCTCTTTCGGATCATGCAACCAGTCGAGACCGACCACATCGTAAGGAGTATCAGCCAATTCGTCCAGAGCATACCATGCTCCTTTGGCAAAGACAACCATAGGGACGACGTCTTCGCCCATCTCTTGAAGACGCTTGGGCAGTTGCTCGGCGATATATCGTAGCCACGGCAGGGCGAATTCCTTGAACGAGGACGGTGAAAGCTCACCGGCCCATGAATCGAAGACCTGGACAATCTGTGCTCCCGCGGCCACTTGCAACGCAAGATGTTCGATGCAGACTTCGGAGATCTTCTTCAACAGTATCTGACTCTCCTTGCCATGTTTGAAAACCCAGGTCTTCGCTTCCCTGAAAAGCTTCGTGCCTCCGCCTTCTACCATGTAGCAAAGTAAAGTCCACGGCGCTCCGCAGAACCCAAACAAAGGGACCCGACCGGCAAGTTTCGTTCTTGTCAACGTTATTGCTTTGTATACGTAGCCGAGCTCTTTAGCTACATCTACCTCACGCTTGACTATCTCTTCATACTGCGGATCCGAAGGTGAGCGCAGGGGGTTCGGGAATTTGGGACCAATCCCGTCCACCATCTTGACGTCCATTCCCAAAGCCTGTGGGATGACCAGAATGTCAGAAAAGATGATAGCGGCGTCTATAAGACCGGCGTATCGATCGATCGGTTGCAGGGTCAGAGTTGATGCGATCTCCGGAGACCGGCAGCATTCGAAGAAGTCATGTTTTCCTTTTGCTTCATGGTATTCCGGTAGATAGCGGCCAGCTGGTCGAGGTTAGAATGTGCTATCACAGACATACCGACAGTGAGGCACTGACCGCCGCATACCTTGTCGCATTACCCATATTGGTGGTCTGTCGACTTTCTCGCCTAGGTCATTTCAGTACGCTGCTGGACTGAGTCGGAGGTTAGATTTGAACGAACCACGAGCAGCTCGAAGGAGCCTGTCATTTTTGAGAGGTGCGAACTCCTTCATGTTGACCTCCAAGGGATATGGAGCAGATTGAACAGGGAGAAGTCGTAGGTTTGGAGGGGCTCGGGGAGGACATGCCCACATTGTGTCAGAAAATTAGTTGGAGGGGAATTCAGCGATATAACCGAGGATTATCCGTGTCACGAGGCTGGACTTTGGAGGGCAGTGTAGCCAACTGCGTAGAGACCTAGACGTACTGGGAACCCTTCTTTTGCTAATTACTATCGCATTACGTTTCATACATTAACTTGTTCAGGTTGTACGTGAGCTTCTGCTTCGACGATGGCTTCCTCTAGGGGCTCTTCTTCGTCAACGTTCGTCAACTCTTGCCACCGTTTCTTTCGCAAGTTCTCTAATCCATATAACATCTCTCCAAGCGCGCTGTATGTACCTGCGACCTCTGTAGCATGCTCGGCTGGGATCTCGGCTCTCTCAATCTTTGATGCTGCATCATTTAACTGCATCGCAAAGCTTGAAGACTCCCATTGCAATTCGACTTGATCTTTCAGCTGCGCAGTCGAGCCGGAAATATAGGGAAACTTAAAACTTTCGAACATTTTTAGCGCGGGAGTTTCCCGCGGAGCAAATGTCTTGAGAGAGCCAAGACAATGCACCGTGTCGAGACTGACGATGACCTCCCATTGAGCTGGCCGAATTCCTACATCCAAGACATTTCCTGATAGGGCCAAGGTTTGATGGTGCAGTAGCTTTCCACCATCATCAAGCATGTAACTCAGAAGTATTGGTAGACTAGAGAGTTCGTCAGAGTTGCACACCTCATTTGGAATAGAGACTTACCCTTCTAGAGCCACCAGGAGAATGTGTGGAGGCTGACTGGCACACGAAGAGTTTTGGATGACGTTATGGTGGATAGGCCAGATTCCAGAGACAACAAGGCGATTGATGGTACGCCCTTCATGATTGTGGGCCAACGCCGTGGTGATATCATCTTGGACGTCTCTTTGTAATAATCCATCATCCAACAACCGACCACTCTGCCAGTCGAAAACCTTCAAAGATGGCTCCCCACTGCCGGCCACCAACAATTTCGGATCCCAAGGCAATATGGACAAGCAACTGACAAAATCTTGGTGACCCAGGCAATAGCCTTCTATGATATAAGCCTGGGAGACGCCTCGGGAGACTCGAATATGCTCATCTCGGTCAGATGTTAATATGTATTGTTTTCGTCTCGGGCCGTCTTGTATCTCAGCGATTACAACATCCGTCAACAGAGAAACGTGGCCTAACAGGAGCTTATGTTCGAACTCAAGACCTTCTTTCTTCGGATTGTGAATTCGCTGCTCGCGTTGCTGTCGTAGCGCGTGAAGATTACCTTTAGTATGGACTGTGAGTTCCGTCGCGGATGGAGTCCACGTTGCCGGTTCCTCAGATTTTCGAGGTACCCAATCGGCTAGAGGATATAATGGCAATGTGTAGACATCTCCGAATTTATCTCCGACCAGAATGGTCTTCTCGTCAGGTGTTAAGACCACTGCACACATTCGTTTTGGCATACATCTGTAATTTGGATCAGCCTCGCGTAGCCTGATCAAAGAACCAGTACGAACCTCTTGGATTGTAATTTGAGGGTACCTTCAGACTGCACTTCGAATACATTGACCGACTTGTCCTCAGCCATCACGGCGATGACCGTAGTTCCATCGCTCGTGGCAAGCAGATGTGAAATATTGGGTTGCTGTGCACTTTCAACTTTCGGCTTTATCCGCGTTTCTTTCTTCCGCTCAGAGATGATCTCAATTGAATCTTCAGATGTCTGGCGAGACAGACAGGTCGAGTCCTCTGTGTCCAACTTCCGGCGTTTATTCAAGCGATTCCCGTCCCCTGTCGCTTCTTCAGAGCTCTCTTCTCGGGCTGTGCTGTCTTGGTTCGGCCACCGGCTTAAAACTGACCCATCTTTGAGATCAAAAGAGGAGATGAGTGGTCCTGATGCTGCAAACAAGAACGGCTGCGGATTATTGACTGGGTGTACACAGCATAACTTTTGAAACGGATAGCTAGGCATAATAGCAAGCTTTGATATGGTACTTTTGGCAGACTCATAAATTTGTGGATTACTGTACTTGCTGACTTGATGCTGCTTATGTCAACGTGAAATAACTAGCCTGGTTATAGCGCCTGTCTTCCAAGTCCAGAATTTCTGTGAGTCTTACCCCAATTCTTTAAACACTCATCTAAAACGAAGAGTAATTCACCAGAGAAATGCTTTTACTTACTACGGGAAGGGTCTACTTGCCCGACCCTAGTCTCGCGCGCCCGGCCAATGGGGTGGGTAGCGCCAAGGCCACACAGAGGTGGTTCTTGCTTGCTCCTCAATATCGTCAAGTTTTTGCCCGAAGTTCAATTGGTACAACAACAACCACCTTCAAATACAATTATTATCATTTGCCCTTAAACATCCTAACTTCATCCCTAAGAAGTCATGGGGGGCAAATCAGGCACAAAAGCAGTCTACTTCGACAAGCTCAAGGCCTTGCTCGACGAGTACAAGTCGATCTTCATCGCAAGTTCCCTTCCGAACCGAACCCTTTTGTGCAACTGCTAATTTTCCCGCAGGTCAGTGTCGATAATGTCTCCTCCCAGCAGATGCACGAAATTCGGTCCTCGCTACGAGGTGAAGCTGTTGTTCTGATGGGCAAGAACACCATGGTGCGCCGTGCTCTCAAGGGATTCATCACCGATAACCCAGAGTACGAACGCCTTCTTCCGCATGTGAAAGGTGAGACGCAGGACTCCAGAGATACAATAAGTAAAATCGTGCTGACTCGGCCTAGGAAATGTTGGTTTCATCTTCACCAACAGTGACCTCAAGACCATCCGTGACAAGATTCTTGACAACAAAGTCGCGGCCCCTGCGCGTGCTGGAGCTGTCGCACCTCTCGATGTCTATGTCCCTGCCGGAAACACTGGTATGGAACCTGGAAAGACCTCTTTCTTCCAGGCTCTCGGTGTCCCCACCAAGATTGCTCGTGGTACCATTGAAATCACAACTGATCTCAAATTGGTCGAGGCTGGCGCAAAGGTCGGTGCCTCCGAGGCTACTCTTCTCAACATGTTGAACATCTCTCCCTTCACATACGGCATGAAGGTTCAACAAGTCTATGAGGAGGGCAATACGTTCCACCCAAGTGTTTTGGACATTGAGGAGAGCCAATTGCTCAAGACATTGTCTTCTGCCATTACCACCATCACAACCATCTCCCTTGCCGCCAACTACCCAACTCTTCCTTCGGTCATTCACAGCTTGCTCAACGGCTACAAGAACGTCATTTCGGTTGCAATTGAGACAGACTACAGCTGGGACTCCATTGATGAGCTCAAGGACCGCATCGCCAACCCTGAGGCTTATGCTGCTGCGGCCCCCGCTGCGGCTGCCACTACCTCTGAGGCTGCCCCTGCAGCTGCCAAGGAAGAAGAAAAGGAAGAGGAGAAGGAAGAGAGTGATGATGAAGGTGAGATAGTGATGACATTTCCCCGAACAGACACATGCTAATATCGCCCTAGGATTCGGTGGCCTCTTTGACTAGGCACGATGATTGTTACAATGAAACAGATCTTCTTAATCCGTTTCTCGCCGCGAAATCAACTAGAGAGATAGTAGCCCAAACGGGTGCAATAACACGAAATTTTCAGCCTTTTTTCGGGGTTGCCCAAAATACTTGTGATCCCAACTTTTTGCGCCTTCGCCACGTCACTATTTTCTAACTACTGGTAAGTACCCAGCGTCTTCCTCCACTTTACCCTCGGCGTGATGAACAATTTTTAACACTTAGAACCCATGTTCTTTGAGGAAGAAAACTACGCAACAACACTCTAATTTTTTACTGACCCCTTATCTCCTCAAATATCTTTACTCGTCTCGACTTCTCGAACTCGTGCTGACCAGTGCCGAAGATATGATACAGATTCAAGTGATACTATTGCTGCCAAAGAGTTGCCCACCTTCCAATGTGCCAAACGCTCAAGCAGATACAGAAAGTCCCATTTTGCGGCGCACGCGGTGAGCAAAGTCTCCGAAGTTATTCCTTCTTTGAGACTTTGCGGGTTCTTTGCCTGTTGATTCATCGTCGCGTGTTTAAGCTTTGACGTTTTGTTTTCTTGTTGGAAGTTCCCGAGCCCCAAATTCGACCAAGGAAGATGAGATGCCCTGTCCAGGCATCTGTCCACAATTTCCCAAAACGAGCAGAGGTCCTCAACAAACTGCTTCCCACATCGAGAGCACAGCCAAATAATCCTGCATGGTTTTCCAAGGTGTTCCTTCTGAATGGCTCCATCACATTGATTCTGACCGGTTCGATCTACTTTCGAATAGTGTCTGAGCGATCATGAGGCTCGATTTACTTCACCTCCTGCTTTGCCACAGTCCCACTTGGGCTTCTGCTCTTCCCAAGTCTCCTTGTACTGACTCCATAGCTTCTCGACGGAGACGCCAACCAGGTTTTTCCAAAACTTCTCCTCGTCGTATTTCTCTGTCTTCAGTGTAGCATTTAGCCTGCTCACAGTGCCTGCACCTTTCTTGTCCTCCAGCCATTCCAGAAACCATGCTGTCTTCTGATATCCTTCGTCCCATCTCTCACCCCTTGTCTCTGGGGACTTTTTCCAATGTGGTGGTGCCAATCCGGCCTTTAGCCGAACAAAGTCTGCAACTCCTTCAATTAGCCCCCCCGGGCAAGTACCATGCCCATTGTGCTGGAAACAGTGAACCATCTCATGTGTAACGACTCCAGCGATTTCATGGCGGATCCCCGTTGAGTTTCGAGATTGAACAGCTTGAACATAGTCCAATGATAGATGGATCTCCTTATGGAGATCGTCTAGCGGCAAGCCAGTAGTATATGCCACTCCGCCCATTGATCGCAAGACAACAGTCACAGATCTAACCTTAGGTATTTCGCTCAATCCATGGGGTTTGTAGAGGTGGGTCAAAACATGGTCAATGGCTCGTGCAAGGTAGAGCCCTCCATCAAGAGAAGCGTTCGTGATTTGTGTTGCAGAGTGAGTAATGTCATCCAGATGAAGACGCAGAGTGGGTTTATGCTGGGTTGACGGAGGGATCGGAGACATGTTTTGAGAATGTTGTGCAGATCTTTGGTTGATGGAAGGGGCTTTCCAACAATTGCAAATTTGTTTGTAGGGACGTCTGGCGAGTTAGGCAGCAGTCGGGAAGTCCCAGGTGGATTGTGGCTGATCGTAAGCGTTATTACTTTGTAGGCCTCTCCGATCAGGCCAGGGTTATGGGACTTATAGAGTTGATAGTGTCTAACGTTAAGTCACGAGCGAGAAACAACAGAAGACGTTCAGCATAAGCCAATCACTGATGCAGCCAATGTGAGTCTGTTGCCAAGTCTAAATTCCACCTTTCCATTTTGGGTATAGTGGGCAGGGGGCAAAAACATCAACACCATGGTCCAACAACATCCTGTTCACAACAACTCCAAAGTTTCTTCTCTCTACGGCTTTAGAACCACTTTATGATCCTCTTTCAAGGCAACCGTTCTCTATCAAGAACAAAACAAAGCGAGTCTCTATTGAACAGGTACGATGACTTTTCGTCTATATAACTTGAGTTCGCCTGTGTCCTTCCCTTGTCTGCCTTCCACCTTTCGATTCATCTCTCCATCACGTGATAGCTTTACTCAGTTACCACCATTGATACTCTTTGTACCCATTCACACCATTCCTCTGTTATTTTTGCTTCAATGCTCTTTAGCATTGTTGTAAGACTCAGTCGGCGCGTGCTCCGCACCACTGCAAGTCTCAATTGGTGGTTGCTCTGCACCATTACGAGTCTCTACTGGTGCATGCTCAAAGCATCCTGCCGTGTTGTCATCAAGAAACCCTTGGAATTAACCTTGGCTATATTGTCCAACATGGAGTTGTGTATGAGATGCTACAAATTTCTCTACTCGTGCGATGCTGACGTTTTTCTTTTGCAGTCAAGACAATCGACAGCTATATTCCCGCTGCCGGAAAGTCTATCTACCTCACTATCATTGGTTTTAGAGCCAAGATGCTCGGCCATAGCTATGTAGATGTGCTCACGTTACTTCACAATGAACTCAATCAAACGGAAACCGAGGAGAATTGGAAGAAACGCCAAGATCTCCTCGCCAAGCTCTCCGACATCCTGGAGAAACGAAAAGAAGACAGTACTCTCCCAAGAGACTTTGTCGAAAAGTCCAAAACCGTTTTACCAGCAATCGTCAAGGCCACGGCTTCAGAGAGAACCACTCTGTCTGGACAAGCATGCCGTACCGCCAAAATTGTCATCGAAAATCTGAAAACAGAGGTTCAACCTCAACTCGACATTATCATGTCCGAGCTTATCACTCTCTGTGGCTCCACCAAAGGTGTCAACCAGAAGAATGCAAATGAAGCAATCCTCGCCATTTGCAAACATGCTGGGTACAATCACCGCCTCTTCTACCATGTCTGTGCTGCGTCTAGGGACAAACGTATCCCCCCTCGCACGTATGCACCTGAGTGGCTTTGTCTTCTCATCAAAACCTATCGTGGTCAGATGGATGACAACAAGGACGGCGATGCCGCCAGAAAGGCCATTTATGAAGGTCTCACGGATGGTCAAGTCAAAGTCAGAGAGAATTCACGTGCAACATTCTGGGAGTACCACAAATACGATGCCCAGGGAGCTCGTATGATCATGGGTGGTCTCAACACTTTCGCCGCAAATGCGTTGCGTGATGATCCAAACAACCCTGACAAACCCCAAAAGCCTACCAAGGCCCCAAGCAGACCAGGATCTGCCCTTGCTCAAATCAGAGCACAAAGCAAGCAACGTATACATCAGCAGCAGCAACATCGTGGCTTTACACCTGCTTCAGTCAAACCAGACGACTTTTTCTTTGGATCTCTTGAAGACGTCAACCCAGAGCCGCAAAAGACGTCCAAGAAACCGGCTGCAGATCCAACAAGAGAAAAGCACGAGAAGTCCCAGTCCAGTCATTATAGCGAGGCTTCCGCCTATTCACGTCATGGAGTATCAACCCAATCTCGTCCCACTCACCAAAAGGTACCTTCCAGAGACAACAAAGTTGACTCCAAAGATACCAAATCTGAAAGTTCACAAGTTGACGCTCGACCACTTCTATCTGCTCCAGTCCGCAGAGGTCGTATCGTTGCCACACCCATGGCACCCACCACCAGCCACCGTCCTGGCTCGCGAGGTGAACCCACCAAGAAGCCGACAGAAACCAAAGATAAGATCTCTGGCCGCCAAACACCAGTCCTTAATACCGAAAAGGACGCTCCTTCCTCTGTACCTAGCCATCACCGCAAGACAGCGAGTAGGCAGGAAGCGATCATAGCTCAAGAGAAAGGTACAACTGTTCAAACCCAGAACAGGAAGAATGGAAGACAGACACCAGCCAGTGCTGAAGACGAGCCCCAGGTTCCTCCATCAGCACAGAGCAGCAAGAAGAGTGGACGTCAGACTCCAGTCATTTTGGAAGACAGGTCAGCTTCTGCTCCGACGACATCCAAGACGGCAAAGGAATCAGACCTGACTTCAGAATATGTCGCACCCACCCAGTCGCTCCCTCTCCGCCCTGTGCGGCCGACTGCACAAGAGCAACAGAACGTTTCATCTGCTGAACGCCCAGTCGACAAGACCCGTCAACAAGTTGCTGAGGGCAAAGAGCACACCAGTACTGCAGGTCAACACGTTGCTGTGGGCAAAGAGAACACCAACGTCATGAGGCCGCGTAAGAAGAAATCACCAGCGCGATCACCTCAACACTCTCCCGATCGATCAGAGCAACGATCACCCCGCCGTCGAACTAGTATTTCGTCTGCCAAGAGGACACTTGGAATAACAATCGAGTCCCTCCGACATGGTACACTTGACGCACTGGGTTTTCGCAGGCTTAGAAAGCTAATTGAAAGTCATCCACATGTTCTCATCACTCGTCAAGTACAATTTGATGAGCTTTTCGAGTTACTCATAAAAAATCTGGGCTCTTTTGATGAGATCACCGAATCTCGAGACAAAAGACAAAATCTCAACCACCCTGCCTACAACCGACACACCATGCTGGTCGCTTTGATCGATCTCTTCCAGCAGTATCCACAGTGGCCTGAACCACAACCGGGTATGACTCTCTGTGCCCTTCTCATCGCCAGATGTAATCATAGCTCAGGCTACGTTGCAGTCTTGCAGGCGATTGACGATTCCGCGTACCTCCTCTGTACGCACTCCCAGAACCCCTTACCAACTATTGACGCAGTCCTAGACACTCTGGAACAAATCGAATACATTATTACCACCAATGACCCTATTGTTACACCTAAATCTACCACCACTGTGTTCCACAACAGCCTTCAGAGCTTTGTCTCTGATTTTGGGCCAGAACGACCTAAGTTTGCAACCCGACTACCTATTGTTATGTCCTTTGGACTGAAAGTCCTCAACGCTCTCCTACAACGCCTCAGCGTCTGTGGTCAGAGCCTCTACACAATTCAAGAGGACCGCCTGGCTTCATATGCTGAGCATCTCCTTGGAGCGTACACGTCCCTCATCAAAAGACAAGTGATGGAATACTGCACTGCACTGCATGCGGTTATCAAGCCAGAAAAAAGATTTTACAACTACTTCAGCAAGGAGTCGGACAAGAACCTCATCCACTACTACGTGGCTGGCGCGTCAGGTGGTCTCTATGGCTCCTTAGGAAACACAGGTCGAGTTGTCATGCCTGACACAGGCGTCGACTACATGGAACCAGAACCTTCCACCTTCGATCCAGGTTCGGAGGTTTCTGCCAATTGGAAAATGGTTGGAAGTGACAGCAAGCACAGTGATGTCACACCGGGATTTGAGCACTCGACCTCCAGTGCTCTCGACTCCATGGGCAGTGAGGTGGTCGCCTCGGAGGGCTCAAGCAATTGGCAAGTTCTCGGCACCACAGCAGATGTCTAGAGACAACACAACACAACACAACACAACACAACACAACACAACACAACACAACACAACACATTGATATTGAAATTGAAGTCGAGGAATTCAGCATTGTGTATTTTTATCGTTATCAACATGTTCGTCGGTGTGAAAGCTGGACCATGGTTCACGATGTGATGAAGACGTTTCTTTTCACAAGGACACCAGCACACTGCAGAGGGGAAATCGAGTTATTGTTTTTGTACTCACCCATTGGGAAACATTCATTTGGAAAGTGTCTTGATTGCAATTGGAAAGTTCTTTCGGACAAGAAGGGTATGGTAGAGATTGATTCTTCACAAGGCCAGTCCAAAAGGTTTATTGATTTTTATTGTTAGAGATTAGGGCCTACAGAACAGAGTCAATGAAGATTCATTTGAACAATTCTCTTCCCTCTTGCTTCTCGTGCAGTGACCGTGTTCCGGAACAAAGTGATAAGCGTGATCGACTACCGTGCAGTGTCGGTGTTCTATGCACCAGTTAGTGGTGGAGAAATCCAGATTATACTACGTTTCAAGAAGTCGGAAGAGTCGCGGGAGCCATTTCAATCCAGGCGGAGGATGGCGTGTTTCGGAAAATTGACAGGGGTTTTCTCTCATTCACGACTACTTTCTTCAAGTCAAGTCGACTCTTCAAGCACTATTGATCTACCGGGTACGGGGGTACAGGTTACATTCGGCTCATGGTAAACGAATTCTTATACTTCGTTATGGAGACTGGATAGTGCTCTGCGTCAGATTTAGTGGGTTGATTGTTGCTCAGGCTATCGGATAGGCACTACTACGATGGAGATTCCGTGGTCGTTGGCGTGGAGCTCGACCGCAGGCCATTGCTCACTTGGGCCTGTGCCAGGACCATTGCTGCGAGGTGCACTCTGGTGCTGAGTTTTGAATTCCGAAATCCCGATGAGTAACGTACTTTGATCTTTACGAGGAATTATCTAGACGTTCCGCTTCGCTTCGGGTCGCGGACTCAGGGATGGTCTCCCCTGCTCAGAGGTATTCAGCACATGGGCTGTACCTAATTAGAGCCACCACATTATTGCATGGGCATATCTGATGCGGTTAGCTAAAGTTGTGCTCCGCACTCGGTACCTCGTGTAAATGTTGACTACAACAGAGACGCAAGCACAGTGTCCGTGCTTGAAAGAGGAAATATGTGTTGATCCAAGGGGACAGATGAAACGACGAAAAGTGAACCTTCCTCAGGAAACCAACGTATGCAGACGCCCAGCTCCAATTTCTAACCTACGAGTTGAGTTCCGATTGAAGTCAAGTGATGGACCTTTAAAAGCTGTGCCCTCTTGTCCTCCAAATGATGGACGGACCACGTGGATTCGACATGGTGAGGCACAGCATGTGTACGAGGTACGTGTGACGTGTGACGAAAAGGGGAAGCCAGCAAAGTGTGGTGACACGCGGACAAGGGGACACGGCTGTCGGCAGACGTGCTTCAGATGTCCATCAAGTCCCACAACTGGCGGAAGATCATAACCAAGCCACAGGAGGAGTAGCAAACTGGTCCGGGAAACCTAGAAGCAGAAAAGCGATGGGTCGGGAAAACGTATTCCTGAGTGCAAACTACGCACTACCCATGCCGTTCAGCAATTTCCTGGAGGAGGAATCTTGCGTATGTTGCACGAACCAGCTCTGCACTCAAGGGCCTGGAGTAAAGACGGATTGGGTACCTGCTGCAGCCAAAATAAGGAGTCAACTCTCTGCAGCCAGGCCGAGGGGGCCCTAAGCCCGTCCGGGTAAAGTAGTAGCCCCTTAAAAATGCCCTTCTCCATCCTCTTAGGCTTGCGACACACGCTAGCATCGAGCAGCACAATTGCAAGGCGATGGGCGATGCGTGTGATTCGAGGCGAATAGGCGTGACTAGTTGACTAGAATGAACCAGGAAAGCCACTTCTCTACAACTAGAGCCGTCCCCTGTCCAAACCAGCACGTCAGCCAATCCACTGTGGAATGGGCTGCCCATTAACAAACACATCCAAGTGGGCGGTGGGCTGGACCCTAGAACTGGTCCCAAAAGCGACGACCAAGACTCACGCCTCCAAAACTCAGCGTCTTCGGTGGCATTTACGAGTAAGTGTCTGGAGACTCAAGAGTCGAGACTGACCACTGTCGATTTCAACGGAGCCCACCCCGGCTGCCCATACCTGGGAGAAATAGCTAGCCTAGCCGCACATGTCATTGGGGGTTAGCCTGAGCCTGTACTCCGTAGTGCCCTATATCTGTGCCCTAGACCCTCGCTGCTCTAAGCTTGGTTAGGGTTAGTTAGTACTGCTCGGGGGCAAGGGAGTTTAGGTGTCTCCTGCGGCTGCGGCTGCCAGTGCCACTGTATCTTTGTCCCCCAGTGGGTGCCGGTCCAACTCAAGTCCAAAGTCAATCAGGCTCTCAGCACAGAAACCCATCCATCACTAAACACTCGCTATTGCATACCACCACCACCAACACCACCAACACCACCAACACCACCAACACCACCACCATCTCCTTTACGTCTCTCTCTTCACCACCCTGCAAGAGCCACATTAACAACCCTCTCGCGCGCCTGCTTTTCTCTTGCACAATCGTTTGCACATTGTCTGTCTTTAGCCTTCTCACCATCCCCCGTTGACGCGATCACGAACCATTCGCTGTGCTGGGCCTGCGCTGCGCACTTCGTCTTTGAGACAACCCTCGAGACTCCATTTCACCACCAGCTGACAACCACGCGCTCTACACTTGTCCGGCCTCATATCACATAGAAGCACATATAGACAGTACCCCCGAACCTCTCTTAATTTATCTGGACTTCCCTCCGTTGGGGCTGACTATTCACCACCAAGTCCCACCCTTGACCGCAGCCATCGCCGCAGCTGAGGCCGCGCGACCGTCATTCTCACTCGATTACCAAACATATTGTGTATGCTGCAGGCCAGCACATTTTTGATCAAACCTGGAGTGATACATGTCCCAGATTCAACACATTTTCTCTCCTGCGAGATCCATTTATGAATTGGACGCCCATTGGTACAAACAGAGCCTGGGTGAGAAAAAATCTCGCATCAGCATTGCTTGAACTGGCAGGTCCACATCATACAGACAACACCAGGAAACAATATGGCAACCGCAATGGAATCTCCTATGGCATTTCCAGAGTCTCCCATGGATGGTGACGACATTGCCTATCCGTGCAAAGGTTGTGGACAGGTGAGTGACCCCAGTGGTCGCGCGACCGTTCACAATTGCTAACGATTTCGACGAAAGATCCTCGAGGAAGGAAAGGCTTTTGAACTAGGTATGTCGTCGTCGCTTCTGAATCAGGACTCTTCACTAACTCATCTCAGCCGGAAACAGATGGCACATCGACTGCTTCCGCTGCAATACCTGCGGCACTCTCCTTGACTCAGACGCCAACCTCCTTCTACTCGGCGATGGCTCCCTGATTTGCAACAACTGTACATACAGCTGCAGCAACTGTAACAACAAGATCGAAGATTTGGCAATCTTGACCGGAGACCAGGCTTTCTGTGCCAATTGCTTCAAATGCCGGAACTGCAAACGGAAAATTGAGAACTTGCGTTATGCGCGCACCTCACAAGGCATCTTTTGCATGGACTGCCATGAAGCTCTGATGGCTCGGAGGAGAAAGAAATCCAAAGCGTCGTCAAGATCTAAAGCTGCTGGGAACAGCGGTGTTCAACTCGACAAATCCTTACCTGCCATACCACCCCCTGAAGCTAGGAAGGCCGCCTATGGGCACGAACCTGATCCAGTGTACGAAGAGGTATACCACGAGTTGCCAACGCCTGATATCCCATCTGTTGGGAAAACTATGAGCGAATTGCAAAAAGATGTGGATTCGAGACCATCCTCTGCAGACCCCAATCCCCCTCGTGGTCAGCAACTTGACTCTCGCTCAATGGCTCGTCCACCGGCTGACACTTTGCCTACAGACATGCTCACTCTCCCTTCCACCACATATCGGAATAATAGACACTCTATGATGTCGCAGCGGTCAGATTTCTCGGGAGGTGGTGAAGAGTTCCTGATCCCCCTGGCCTTTGATCCTACACCTCAACCACAATCACAATCTCCTAGCATCTCGAGTCAGGCTACTCCGCGAGGGGTGGAAGAAAAAACGAAAGACTACTTTACAACACGACCGACACCACCTCAGGCTCAAGCACCAGCTCCCAAACCCCTCACTTCGAGCCCTCACATTGCCTATCAAGAGAAAGGTCGTCAAACCTCACGTGAAGTCATAGACTCCGTACGCAAGAGGGCAGACGGCAGCTCAGGTGGTGGCTCTGTAAATGCATCACCCTATTTACAATCCGAGCTTCCTCGCCGTTCTGAAGATTCCTCGCGCCCTGCGCAGACTTCACGTGGTAATAGTGATCTCCCGTCAAGTGAGAAGTTCCAACTACAAGAGGCGCCCAAGAGCAAGAAAACTGAACGCGCAACCACAAGTTTGCGGCCTGACCTCGCCTCCCCGCGGGGTGAACCTGTCGAACAATTCACAACAAGTACCAGGACGATATCTGTTACCGATAATGATACGCCTTCGGACAATGGGTTTTCAACACCAAAACTCTCGAATCATTCCAGTCCTGCTCAGAGCACCAATAATGATTCCCCCAAACCCAACAACCTTGCATCGCAATTACAAAGCTTGCCCAAACGAGGGGACTCATTAGATAGTGCAAAGCGGAATCAAACTATTGCAAGGAAAGAAGTCAATGCTTCAGCGAATATTCCATCAACCCTCAGCTCCGCTGTCAACGGCACCTCTTCGCCTCCCAAATCTTCTGCCACCACGCCTGCCAACTTGGCGAGGGCAAATGGAGGAAAGGTCATTTCCGGTCCCATCGGGTCGCCAAATTCGAAGAGTATCTTTGACACAGCAGACGACCCTCTAGAATCATCAGACAGTCTATCAGGCCAAAAGGGGCTCACCTCTTTCCAGGATCCTCGAGCACCGCCTCTACCACCATCGGACCATTCCCGGTCTCAGTCTGTTAGTACCTTGCAGCAGAAACACCCAGACGGAGAAAAATCACCCGGCCTCCCAAGGTATTCAACGGGCGGAGACTTTACCATGGACGAGGACATGGCGCGTATCATGGGTGCGGACGAAGCTATTGCACACGAGTCCTTCTTGAAGAGAGTCTCCAACTCTGTCCGGCATGGGAGGAGTTACAGTGACAAAACTGGAAGGCTCTCAAGAGATCGTTGGCCTCGTTCTCCCGCAGTGCCTCCCTCATCAATCGCACAAGAGATTAGTAGTCCGAGCACGGCCTCTCCAGAAAACCGTGATGAGTTAGCATGGTTCAAGAATGAACTTCGGCGAGAACGTCAAAAGACAATTGAGCGAGAAAAGAGAATAGCTGAGCTGCAATCTCAACTAGAGTCGACAGCCAGTATCAAGCAGGTTAACTCCGAGTTAAAAGAGAAACGATCTACCATGGTCGTGCTTGATACGCAGAAAGAGATTGTCGTCCGTGAACTTGAGATCCTGACTGAGCATCTTGCCGCCGCTAAACGCAGTGGTGAACCATTTGATGTCGGCAAAATGAGCAATACAGTTCTACGCGATTTTGCAGAAGCTTTGGAGAAGCTCAAGAACTCTTTTGCCCCGCAAATCGAGGATTCGATACAAAGGCGCAATGATCTTGTGGATGAAATTGCGAATCTAACACAAATGAAAGATAAGAGCTTTATGGAATTTGAGCAGCTTTCATCCAAGAATGCGCAATTGGCAGAGCTCAATAATCAACTTGTACATCAGATCCAAGGTTTGTACAAGGCCAATTCAGGAAGTGTGCAACCCGAACCGACCAAAGCTCCGGTTAATGGACTGGGAATCTACTCTCATCATAAGGATAAATCAAACGTCTCGTTTGAAGCCAAAGACATGCGAAGCTTTTCAGCAGACAACACCAATATTGACTCTTCGAGTACTTTGTTAGCTGGGGAGGCAGAGCCGGTGACGGTAATACAAGGACCACACGTTGTCAATATCAAGAAGGGCCAGGTCAAGAAGTTCGACTGGAGAAAAGGACAGAAGGTTGCTAAGGGCGTGACCAAGGGATTGAAAGGCGCATTCTCTTCCACACAACAGAGTTACAGCCGTGATCTACAGTTTGCTGAAACTGGTGCGTATGGCAATAGCCCGGTTGGTCAAGAGTATTCGAGTCTGCCCAAGAACAATCCGGAGCCGATTACCAATAAACAGAGTGGCTTTGGCTTCTTTGGTGGCAACCAGAAAACAACCACTAAAATGAATGGACTCTATGGTACGCAGAGCAACAACAGCAACCCATCGCTGGGCGTGGATGCATCTCGTAAGAATTTGATAATGCTGGGGCTCGAGATCGACGCTAACTGTTGATAGAAGTATTTGGATCGGACCTCGAGCAACGCACCGAGTACGAGAAAGCGCCCATTCCAACAATCGTGAGGAGATGTGTTGAGGAAGTTGAAACACGAGGTGAGTGGAGAACCGTTCGATGGCTTCTCGTGTGCCTTTGTCTAACCATTGGCTATTAGGAATGGATGTCGAGGGCATCTACCGAAAATCCGGAGGCAACTCACAGGTTCAGCAAGTCAAAGACTACTTCGAAAACCCGACAGGAGACTTCGACATATCCGATCCTGATCTGGATATTCATGCGGTGACGTCGGGGTTGAAGCAGTACTTCCGCCGGCTGCCTATGCCTCTGATCACGTATGATGTGTACGATCGACTCTTGGACACCACTACCATCCAAGATCGTGATGCACGTGTGGAGTCGATGGCGATAGCCCTGGAAACACTTCCTCGGGCCCACTACGAGGTTCTCGACTACTTAATTCAGCACCTGGCCCGAGTGGTTCTACAGGAGAAGGAAAATCTCATGACAAGTATGAACATTGCAGTGGTGTTTGCGCCAACCATTATGAGACCGGAGAGCTTGAACCGGGAATTGAGCGATACTAAAATGAAGAACGAGGTGGTGATGTGGATGGTGGAGAACTGTGAAACGATATTTCAAGTCGGAAGATGAACAAGGGACTTGGATAGCAATGTCTACTCAGGTCGGATAGGTGGGATTTGAATGAGTGAACCGGGCTGGGGGGTTGGCTGAAGGGGGCAAAAAGCATTGCTTCCATCTTCACGACCATGATAATACTTCGATGTAACTAATTTCAGCCAGGCGCCATGGGGATTAGGGGGAGAGCTAGCATGCAGGAATCTGGTCTCAGCCTGGGATTTATCTGAGCCCTGTGCATTGTTTTCTAGTTGGAGCTACTATTGTGTCTGAGTGAAAGCGAGACTGGAAGGCGGCGATCTAGTACCACCTTGCAGCGATTGTGTGCTTATCTGCGTTGGACATGGAAAGACAGTGTGTCCCAGCGATGTGTTAGTCACCTTGAAGACCAGGGGACTACTCCGTACCACTGCCGACATTATGCAGCGAGTTGACGGTCTCAAAACAAATTGTGATGTGAGAACAACTCCGCTACGCGTACGCAGTACGCAGTACGCAGTATGTACGAGTATCTCCTTTTCCAGGCTATGTGTCCATTCTGGGTTTAGATCCCCCCGTGACCCAACGGGACTACCGGTCGACGTCTCATCCCCCATTGGCCCTGCCTCCAGACAATTGACGGCCTCTCCCACTGCACTGCAAACTGGCACTGGCAGCCATTGACCGGGCTCGAGTCGGGACGATACACGATACCATTGCATGAACATACGCACGTTACTAGCTCATATCTCCTGTCAATGGTATAGCTATCCTGCACTTCATTCAGTCGAACCATGACTCGACCCACCTGATCATTTCTTGTAGAAGATGATGCCGTCTCCCGCTGTCTCCATCCAAGATGAATCAACAACCGTTGTATGCTGGCAATCGTCAGCCTGCGTCCTTCTCCAATGGCGAGCGCAACGGCTCGCTCAGCGTCCCCGGTGCACGACCTCCCGAACAACCTGAATCCATCCAGTCCCGTGCGGCGCGTTTCGAAGATGAGAAGAGACGGATCATCGAAAGTTGCTTCAACAAGAGAGACCCCGATGGCATGCAGCTCGAGTCTTATATTACCCATGTCAAGATCTACGAAGATGCTTCTTATCCCTCGTCGCCCCCTCCCCCCGACTCCCCTGCTGGAAATAAAAAGAGCAGAGTCATCCTCGTCGCCGTTCGTAGATCAGGCAAAGTAAGAGTCCACAAAGCTCGCGAGAATGCCAACGGTACATTCTCCATTGGCAAGACATGGCCCTTGGAAGACTTGACTCATATTCTGTCCTATGCCTCTCTCGTCCCCGCGACCCGACAGCAGGAGATGGAGAAACAGTGGGCCACGAACACCGGCTTCACCATCACTCTTGGGAAGCCTTATTTCTGGCAGGCACCCACTGCAAAAGAGAAGGATTTCTTTATAGCAAGCCTCATCAAGATCTTTCGGAAATACACTGGAGGGAAAATGCCCGAAATGTTGGGCTTCTCTGCACAAGAAGTCACCCAGCTGATCGGTGCCTCGTCGGCGCCTACTCCGACACCCATACAGAAAGCAACCTTCTCTCCAGTCGTACCACAAGACCGCACATCGCCTCCGCCTCAGCTCTCACCCCAGCCCCCGGTTCCTGCGATTAGTGCAGCCCGCCCACAATCACCATACGTTGCTCATCAACCCCCACCAAGCAGGGACGGTAACAGGTTTGTTTCTCAAGAACAAGATCGTGCAAACAGTGGCCAATATCGTCCATACCCTCGAGAGAGCCAGCGGCCACCATCCGCCGGCGTTCAGGACCAACCTCCACTCAGATCCGAGCGGGGAACACCTGTTCGCGAGAATCCTCGACCGCAACAACCTTATGGCGCTCATTTAGCTGCGAGAGACGATACCCGTACCCCATCATTATCCAGTATTCAGCAAACACCCAGACCCTCGCTCAGCCCTCAGCCCTCAGTAAACTCACTACGGCCTTCTGAACCAACCCCAGAGCCACCAAGTCACAAGCCCAATGGATATGGAGCACCCCGACCTCTCGGCCAGGGCTTGCCAGGGAAAAGACTCGGACCAGCCCCGAGCCAGGAATCATTCCGCAATGCTGGGGCCAGCGAGTCATTTGCAAGCTCACGCCCTAGCACGGCGAATACTGATCGTAGGACACCAGAACCGGCGCCCAGCCTTCCTGCCCTTAGCTTTGATCAGCCCTTACCCAACCGCAAGATTTCTGTACCCTCAGTAGACCTCAAACCACCGCAGGCAGCCACCACAAACAGCCAAAGCAACAGCACTTTCGTGACGCCATTGGGCACACCAACTGGATTGAATGAAGAGACCGAGAAGGTACCAGGCGCAGCCTATTTTCCTACAAATCCAAATGCTCAACCACTCAAACAGCAGACAAACGAGCAGGCTCTGCCCAAGGCCGTAGCTAGCGAGCCCCCTGTGCCACAGCAAACCGTACAACAAAGCATAACAAACGCACCAGTCACTGCCGAGCCATCGGAGACTGCATCTACAAAAACCGAGGAAGAGCACCGCCCTGGTCTCGGTCCAATGGTGAAGAAAAAGTCTTCAAAGGATATTGCAGGACAATTCCGAAGGGCTGCCCTCGCAGCAGCTGCATTCCAACCTCGACAGGGCGGAGCAGGTGCCAGATTAAAGGCTTTGCAAGATAAGAACTCCAATGAGCCTGATGGCATTACAAGCGTTGTTCCGGCACCATTGCTAAGAGGCATGAGCGGCGATAGTGCGCGAAGCGGAACTCCGGAGGTTGCGACGCCCACCACTGAGAAGGAACAACCTCTGACTCCCAAACCCACCCCTGCTGAGCCAGTCCCTCGTGTGCAGATTGAAAGGACTGCAACCACTGACAGCGTTACGCGGCCCAGTACTCCCGTAGCCGCTCCGGCGGCGCCGAAGCTGAAAGAGAAACGAGAAGAGTCTCCCGACAAGGCTCGGTCAGGCTCTCCCCAGAGAAAGCGTCGACAAAGGCTGGAGGCAGAAGTCGAGAAGCATTGTGCGGCATTGGGTATTGATCCGCGGATACTGGATGGTCGTGGAGCAGACTTCAACGAACTTTTGACCGAGTTTGGTTGGGATGGAAGACTGTCCAATCACAGAAAGGTCGAAGACTTCGAAACCGAAATTCGTAGAGAAATTGGCCGTGCACAAGCAAGCGGTTGGTTGGGGCATGTTGAACAACAAGAAAGCAAGGTGCAGGAGCTCGCCAAATCGTTTGATAAAGCCATTGCCGAGTGCGAAGAGCTTGATGGTTTGCTCACTCTCTATGCCCATGAATTGGACACTCTCCATGACGATATTGAGTACATTGAAGCTCAGGGACAGGGTCTCCAGGTGCAAACCGCGAATCAGAAGCTCCTTCAAAAGGAGATGGAGAGTCTTCTGACAACACTGACAATTTCCTCTGGCGATCTGCGTCCCCTTCAATCTGCTCCCATCGACAGTCATGATGGTGTTCAAGCAATCGAACAATCTCTGACTCTGCTATACCGAGCAATGTTAACAATCGATCCTGACATCCGTCAGAATAAAATTCGTCAAGCGTCTTCAGCGAACAGGAGTGGAGTGGGTGTCTATGCCGATACTGAGATCGGACAGATGCGCGCAGTTCGGCAAAAGAAAGAGGAGTACAAGGAAGAGTCACTGATGTTTATGAATCGGTACAACCAATTCATGAAGTCAATGTTCTCGAATGCGAAGCGACGCGTCAGTGAAGAAAATATCTCAACCAACAGCTCTGTATCGTTGGTGTCTATGAATCTCAAGGCGAATACTACTTCGAGGCAGGAGCTCTGGTCATACAATCCGATCATGTTATTCGTACGCGAAGTCAATCAGTATGAGTGGTCTTTATTGATCCGCAACTACGAAATTGTTTTCAAGGAAAATTATTCTGATCAATTCCGTGATTATGCAATGGCAATGCGGAAGAATGCCAGAAGGCCAGCGGGTGAAGAACAGGAGATTCTCTTTACTCATCAGGAGAAGGATAAAGCTGAAGAATCATTGACCTCTACAGCTGCACGCAAACTGACGGTCAAGCGAAACAGGACGGTCAAAACCAGTGCCTTGCGGCAATCCATTGGTGGTAAGCAGGATGGCAGACCTGAAGCATGGAATGTTTTCAATACTGTGCTTGAGCAACAAGCCGCTGCGATCTCGGAGGAACAGAACTTCATTGTGCAATTCTTCCACCTTGATTCACAGTCAAACGCAGATTTTGCTGAGGTTGTACAGTCTCGGTCTCCCAGTCAGAGAAAGCTGCCCAATCTGCAATCCAAGCAATCTTACGATCCGGATAGAGAGATGGCGAAGATTGTTCAAAATACCACCGAGGGAATTTATTCTTTCTGGCCCATGGAGATGCAGAGTCTGGTGGAATGGGTCCTGAAATTGGATCAAATGCAGGGGGTTGGTGTCCTTCTGGCACTCGAGCAATGTTTGACCAAGTATGAGGAAACCAATCAAGAGTTCATCAGTCGAACAGTGAGAACACTGCACGAGCGACTTACTGGACTGTTCCACAAGTTTGTGGAGGAGCAGGTTAAAGCAATCGAAGAGACGAAGGTCAAGGTCAAGAAGAGGAAAGGCCTGATTTCTTTCATGAGAGTCTTCCCTGAGTTCAGCGCAGCGGTTGAGGATATGCTCCCTCAAGAATCTGCGGGCCACCCTGCATCGATGGAAGTACGATTCATCGTTAATGACGCCTACATCAAGCTTCTCAAAGCTATGTGGGAGTCGCTCAATTTCATCGCAAAGGATAACCCAGCCAGCTCGGGAGGAGCGGTCCATTCAAGTGGGCCCTCAAGTGGTGATCCTGAGGACAAGGAGGCACTGAATTATCATATCCTTCTCATCGAGAATATGAATTATTTCGTGGAAGAAGTCAAAACACATCACAATGTTGTGCTTGAGGAGTGGAGCGAGAAAGCTAGCCATGATCAATTCATGCACTTGACACAGTATACTGATGCCGTCATGCGAAGACCACTGGGCAAATGGTTAGATTTCCTGGAAAGTACAGAAGCATTGATGAAGTCCACCGAGTCGTATGCCAGCATTGCCAGCAAGCCTAGTCACTCGAGAAGCTCAGCCAAGAAGGTGTTATCGGCTTATGATGCGAAGGAGATTCGCAAGGGTATCGAGACATTGAAAAAGAGAGTCGAGAAACACTTCACGGATGCCGATGATCCGTCCAACTCAAGCAAGACTCTCATCGCAAGGGTGTTGGAGGAGTGCAATACACGATATACACTTGCGTACGATCGGATGAAGGCGGTGGTTGAGAAAGTTTACGATTCGACACTGGAAATAGATTGGCGAAAGGAGGATGTCGCAGCTATGTTTAAGAGATGAACCACCCCATGATGACGCTCATGAAATCTTTGCTTTCTTGAATCGAGCCACCAAGCACCAGTGACATATTCATCATCGTTAAAGGGAGCATGCGGTTTTCAATGTCCGATTCCTTTTCATGTCACCGCGATCATGGCGCGTGTATGTATGTGGGTGATGATATCCACCACGATACGATGCACAGGACCTAGAAATCAATCAGTCACAGATGGAAATTTCGGTGCACAGGTGTTTCGATTTGGATTTTGCTGACGGACATGCGCTGCAAGAACTCGTTTTAGTTCGTGCGATTCGAGTCTGCGATGTGGAAACTAGCGAATTATGACGGTGAAAGCAAAGCGATTGGGGACGAAGACTCTGTACAAAACTACCTAAATTGTGTCGAAATGCATCTTTACGGACATTTACTTAACTTGCCCTATCTTAGTAGGACTGTATCCGTACGTTGTGATGTTGTATCTCACCAAACTGTTAGCCATCGATGGGGGAGTGACTACCACCATCAACCAAACCTGCATATGGAGGAATCTAACCTGGTGTCTCATAACCACGACAGCCAACAACCCACACTCAGAGGCGTCAGCAACATTAGTGGCTGGAGCCTTTGGCCAAATGATCCTGGGTAGGCACTTCGGAGGGATCCTCCTCTGCTCGCTCGTATCGAGTACAAGTTCATTCAACCTCGATCGCCGAAACGGCCGATAGGGCCGAGATCTAGCCTCGATTCGCATTTTCTTTGTTGACTGCTCAGCCTGGGTCGGAATAGGGAGACGCACGCACGCCAGGCAGCCAGATTTAAATAAATGGAATCTAGAATATCCTGCTACAAGTTCCTTTTCTTTTCGGGAGATTCTTGCCCTTTTCACGTTTTACTGTGTGTTCCTTACCTCGGGAGGAATTCGATATCTTCGTGCCCAGACGCTGCCCGCCACCCGACGCAAAGAAACTCAACAGGTGCCTTGAGGCATCGAGAACAAGACAACAAGAAGACCATTGTGGGACGAAGTACGGCCCTAACCGTTCTGGAGTCGACACCGCAGTTACTCCTCGTTAGTTACAGAGTACGACAAAGGCCTACCAGAGCCCGGGCTGCGTACAACTCGCTCTCCGGCCTCCCATTTGCAAATCATCGAGATTGGGCGGTGGAGGTTCCGCAATTGATTGATAAGATTATCGGCACCCTGGAGGAGTGATCCACGTTCCCGCCTAGCTTAGTCTACGCTCTCGATCCAACCATATCACCCCATCATTACCATTTGCCCCCTGTGGAGCACCTCACCCTGCGCCTGAGCTTGCCGTGCGCCTCGGAATACTCCAAAGAAACGAAGCCAAAAAATTCAAAGTACGGAGGCCTAGGAAATCAACGGTAGGAAGTGGGAAGGATAACTCCGGCCCGCTTTTGTTCCAAACAAATATGTCATTATCAACATCTGCTTCGCGCGATCATGATTCGAAATCCAAGAACTCTTCCAACCTCAACGGTCACCACCAAAACCAACACCACAGCAGCAGCAAACCGCCTAAACTACCCGGCCGGCCCAAAGCCATCACGGCGAGCATGTCACTGCTGCGGAGCGTCAGGACGTTCCTGACGCCCAGTGGATCCCAGGCGCAACTGGGCGGCGATCAAGGCTCGTTGGGGTTTCGCAAAGCGAAGATCGAGACGGATTTGTTCCCGGCGACGAACCCGGAAGTCGACGGCGAGGATTGCCTGCACGATTGCAACGACTGCACGGTGCACTATCCAGCAAAATTCAAGATCGACGAGCACGACACGCTCTACGGGCACGTTAAAGGCTGGGAAACACATTTGATTGTTGGAACGGGCAAGACCGATTGGGTGCGCGATGTCACGGATGAGAAGGCCTCTGTCATGCAGGCCGTCGGCAGGGTGGGTGTCGACAGGAGGAATGGCAAGGTCATGCTGAGTGCCAGTAACATGCCGGTTAGCAGTGAGGGCTGCGATGGGGTGGAGGATGGGGTGGAGGAAGGCGCGGATTGTCTCCTCCTGCCGGCGTGGACGCTCGTAGAGAATGTCAAGCCCAGTCAGGTTGACGTGTTGATGAAGGAGGTGGTGGAGACGAGTGTCACGAATTCGACGCCCCTCGGTGGGAAGACGAATGTGGTTGTTGGGAATGGCCAGGCCAATGGACGTGCGGCAACATCAGAAACCACGAGTGATCAAGACGATACGCCTGATGTCTCTGTCCTACAGATCGGAGGCGCCAATGTGGCAGAAGCGCCCTCGACACCATCAGAAGGTACTCAAACACCCCAAGGAGAACCACAACAGCAACAGCAACAGCAGCCGCAAGAAGGGGGAGCCGGCCCCCAAAACACCAAAACCCTCACATCGACGCCCCTTCCACCCTCAATATCCAACACATTCAAGACCCGCCCCATCCCACACTCCTATCTGATCCTCATGTGCAGCCACAAGACGCGCGATGCCCGCTGCGGGCAATCCGCGCCGCTCCTGCGCAAGGAGTTCGAACGCATTCTGCGCCCCATGGGCCTGTACCGCGATCTGCACGACGACCGGCCCGGCGGCGTGGGGCTTTATTTTATCAATCATGTGGGCGGGCATAAGTACTCGGCCAATGTTATGATCTATAGACGGGAGGGAAGTACGAGAACGAAGGACGGGCGGGAGGTCGATGGGCATGAGGCTCAGCATGGAGAGGCGGTACAGTTGATCTGGCTGGCGAGGGTCACGCCAGAGGATTGCGAGAATATCGTGCGGTTCACCATCCTGCAGGGCAAATTGGTCAAGCCGCAGAGGCAGTTGAGAGGTGGGTTTGATCGGCAGAGGGGCTTGTTGAGTTGGTGAGACTCTTCGAAAATGAAATATGCAATGTTGATGGAGAAATATCATGAGCGCGTAACTAAGCTTGCATTTCTACGGATAGAAACATAAACGGCAGAGCGACACTGCGCAGATGTCACCGGACTAGGTGGTTAGATTCAATAGAGAAAGAATGACTATGAGGCGAGATAAGATGATATGAATGAAGAGAGTGGTACAGTGCACATAGGTAGATGAATTCCGGCTGGGAAATTCGATTCGATTCGATTTGATTCGTCAGCCTTGACTTCCACAGTGCTGGTGAGTTCACGTTCCACATCTGAACTCAGCATTGCTCTGTACAATAAGGTGCATATGTTTGTTTGTTTTGTTCCCCGAGGCAAAAGAACGACAACGAAAAGAGAGCAGACATTGTAGGCATGGGATTACATAGAATGGGGGAGGAGGGTATGGGTCCTGGGATGAGTTCTCTGGAGAAGGAATGTAGACAATAGTCTTGGTTTTGCTCAATGATCATTCCTCGACGAGGATCAAACACCAAGCTTGGGAATAAGACGTCTCCCTACTTCAGCTCTTTCAGCCAGCCGAGCGCAAAGACAGAACAAACTGTCTGCGCTGCAGACCAGACCGGTCCTGTTTCCAAGACGCAAGAAGCCTTTTCGGGTTACTCTGAGTTCTGCTCGACCTAAGGGATAAACATTAATGGAGGCGCTTAATGTGCTTAATAAAGTTGTCGAGAGCGCCAGCTGCAAGATAACAACCGACCGAGAGAGATCTTCCGGAGAAGAAATCACTGGAAGGGATCAAGCGTGACTCAGAACTGGTTGGTAAAGAAGGAAAGGAAGAGGAAGAAGCAAGGGAGAAAGAAATTTGTTTGATGGTATTTGATGCCAAGCTTTATCTTGCACTAGAACAAAAGCGGCCTAGGATTGTTTTCACGTGTTGCTGGCGGGCGGGACGTTGTGCATGCAGGATACCTGCCTAGGTACAAGTGCGTGTTCCTCATTTTCTACAATTTGCAAAGAACCATTTTAGAGTCTGCTGCCAACAATTTCTCTCCCTTCCTCTTCGGCCAAGTCATAGTGTTCTTTTAAGCACTCACTAACGCCACGATGTCGGCCGCGGACATTGAACAGATGAACAAGCTCCGCAAGAGCCTGGGCTTACCATTATTGAACGTAAGTGGACAACCGCCACCTACATCTGAAGGGCCAACATTCAAATCACATTCTGCAAGCGATGGCGAGGGCGAGGACAACGATGATGGCGAACCTGCATCCACCCTAGAGACTCGTGAAGCTGCCGGCTTCGACAATTGGAAGGCCCTGCAAGAGGAAGAGAAGCGGAAGGCTTTGAGAGAACGGAGGAAGAAGGAAATCCAGAGAGCAAGAGATGTTGCGGCCAGGGCGGCCAAGCTTGAGGGGAAGGGCCTAGGAGAACTCGACGACGATGCCGGCGACCTCGACGCGAAGGCTTGGTTGAAGGGCCAGAAGAAGCGGCAGAACAAGATCGAACGAGAACGCGCGGAGCGCCTGGTTCGAGAGCTCGCTGAGCGAGAGGCCCAAGCTGCCATCGAATATTCCTCCAAAGACCTTGCTGGCGTCCAGGTCGCGCATGAGCTCGAGGATTTCGACAATGGAGAGTCGGAGCATATTCTCACGTTGAAGGATCAGGAAATCGGAAACGATGATGACAGCGACCAAGACGATATTCTTGAAAACAGTGAGATTTTGGCCAGAGAGAACTTGAAGGAGAAGCTCGATCTCAAGAAGCGGAAGGTGTACGACGTCAATGATGACTCTGAAAAGGGTCTGCTCTCGCAATACGATGATAAGAAGCGGAAAGCCTTCACACTGGATGGCCAAGGTGCTACGATGGAAGAGCGGGAAGCCAAGCGTCAACAGATTGGAGAAAAATTGAAGAACACATTCAGCCTGGACATTCTCAAGCCTGATGTGGTTTCGGACTATATGGAGATCAAAATTAAGAAGCCCAAAACGGAGAAGAAGAAATCCAAACGGCAGAAGGCCGAGGACGAAGACGAGATCTTTCCTGTACATCAAGCCTCTAATGGTGATGCTATGGAAATTGATTTCGGATCGGCTGCACCAGTTCGCCCTCCTGGGAAGCCTCGCTATTCAGAGGACAATTTTAATGACGACGATGACCTGGCGAATGCTCTGTCGAGAAGTAGGCGCGTGGCCCTGAAGAAGCAGAAGCGAAAACCAGAAGATATTATCAAGCAGTTGAAGGAAGAAGAAAGCCAAGCAACTCCAGATGTGGAAGCTGAAGCCGGCCTTGTTCTTGATGACACCAAAGTCTTCCTTGACAATCTCTCCTCACGGCCAAGGGAAGAATTCATTGAACGGTCGATACAGAAGTCTGTGGAACAACCAGAAGCGGAAAGTACCCCTGAAGTGAGAGTCGAGCAAGACCAGCAAATGGGCGAAGCGTACGGTGGTATTGAGAATGAAGAGGAGCTTTTGGATCGCTTACGTCGGGAACAATCAACGCATACTCCAGATGTTCCACATGCGGGTTTGGAGGAAGAGAAAACACTGGATCAAGGCATGGCAGCCGCTCTGACTCTGCTCAAACAGCGAGGACTTGTCAAGGAGAGTGACTCTGGTGACAGAAACAAATTGTACAAGGACCGTCAACAGTTCATTATCGAGGCACGGCTGCGCGAGAACGAGGCGGAACAGCGAGCTCGAATGCAGCGTGAGCGAGATCGACAGTCAGGTAAACATACAGGCATGTCCGTCAAGGAGCGGGAGGAACACGCTCGTTGGCAAAACACACAACGCGAACATCAAACGTCGATCCAAGCTGCGGCTGCTTTCAACCGCGAATACAAGCCGGACGTGAACCTCAAATACATCGATGATGATGGGCGCTCAATGAACCAAAAGGAGGCGTTCAAGCATCTAAGTCATCAGTTCCATGGCAAAGGTAGTGGGAAGATGAAGACGGAAAAGCATCTCAAGAAAATTGCGGATGAGAAGAAGAGAGAGGCCACGAGTGTTCTGGATAGTAGCAAAGCCACAGGTATGAGCAATGCTCAAGGCGCCATGGGGAAGAAGAACAAGGCAGCTGGTGTTCGACTGGGTTGAGGCTAGAAGACCTGTGACGGAGTGAGAATACTGCGAAGTGCGTACCCATTGCTCGTGACTGGGCAGTTCATATACAGAGTATGTACGGATACAATATGGAACTTTGAGGACACCGCCTTATGGATATTCGCGGTGCAAGGCTTCCGACCGAACCTGACAGACCACCTTAGCTCGTACCGTGCCGGGACTGAACCAGGGGCATACCAGGTATTTTGGCGAATCTATCCTAAAAATGAAACGTAGAAGGCGGTCGGAACGTCGAAGGAGGAGACAAGGCCATTGGGCGGCTGAACGGATCTGCAAGGGCCCTTCTGGGTGGGTGGAGGAAGGAAGGAAGGGCGGAAGGGCCCAAGTGCCCAGGACGTGGGTGGGCATGAGGCAAAGGCAGAGCCAGAGCCACAGGCAAAGGCACGGCTAGGCACAGGCACAACGCATGGACGTGGGCGTGTAGGGGTGATGGCGTGGGCGGGCCCAATTACGCTTGAAGGGAGATTCGAAGAAGCATGTTTAAGGAGGGAGGACAACTGGGTTGGGGGAGCTTGGATACGTATTGTATGTACGAGTACTACAGAGTAGCTGGGCGCTAAAACAGTCCGTCTCTCCCTAACGACAGTACAGAAGTCACTCCCGGTAGCGGCCGGTGGTCTTAGGCGGTATGTAAGGGTGTGGGCACAGGCGTGGGTGAACACTGAACAGGCGGTGTCGGAGTTGGCCACCCCTTGGACCCGTTCTCCCTTCCCTCCCTCCTTGGGCCCCTGGGCTCCCCTTCCACGGCTTGTGGCTGTTGCTGGGGAGCTGCCAGTGGTGTCATTCCGACCCATGAGTCAAAGTTGGAGAAGCAAAAAACCGTTTCGCCTATACTGCAGTTGGGGATCGCATCCCACGATCCTTGACAGCTCCAGCACCAAGAAAGGTCCCTCCCCAAGCTGGCGAGTGCGATGTGAAGTGGACAGCTTTGAAACCCGCATCTCTCAGCTCCTGTCCCATTACCATTGACAATAATTTTTTTTTTCATTGACTCACTGTTCTCCTAGTCATCATCTCTCTTGTGTCCTATTTCATCTCCATTGCGCACTCTTGCTTGCTCTCTCTTGTACACTATTTCCTCATCTAAGCCTTTCGTCATCATGCTCTCCACACTTCGTCCTGTCGCCCGGACTGCGATCCGTCAACAACAGGTCCTTCGCATTGCTAGTGTCAACGCGTCCACATGGGCCAGCGTTAAGGAGGGTCCTCCTGATGCCATCCTGGGTATCACCGAGGCTTTCAAGAAGGATAGCTTCAAGGAGAAGATCAACTTGGGCGTTGGTGCATACCGTAAGCGACTGACACCACCACTCAATTGTGTACCCATCTGAGTTTCTTGCCAGCTAACCCTCTGTCATCCTGCAGGCGACGACAAGGGTAAACCCTACGTCCTCCCCTCCGTGCGGACCGCCGAACAGAAGCTCGTGCAGCAAAACCTCGACCACGAATATGCCGGCATCACTGGTGTCCCCAGCTTCACCAAACATGCGGCCGTCCTCGCCTACGGGCCCAACAGCAAGCCTATCAAGGAAGACCGCGTCGCCATCACACAGTCCATTTCTGGCACGGGTGCCCTGAGAATAGGTGGCGCTTTCTTCGAGCGATTCTATCCGCACGCAAAGACCATCTATATCCCGACGCCGTCGTGGGCCAACCACAAGGCCGTCTTCAGTGACTCCGGCCTCGAGGTCAAGCAGTACAAGTACTATAACAAGGACACCATCGGCCTCGACTTCGACGGCTTGATCGCCGACCTCAAGGCAGCCCCAAACAACTCCCTCTTCCTCCTGCACGCCTGCGCCCACAACCCGACCGGAATCGACCCAACACAAGAGCAATGGCAACAAATCAGCAACGTCTTCAAGGAGAAGGAGCACTACCCGTTCTTCGATATGGCATACCAGGGCTTCGCCAGCGGTGACACCGATCGCGACGCCTACCCGGTCCGTCTGTTCATCGAGCAAGGGCATGGTCTCGCCCTCGCGCAGTCGTTCGCCAAGAACATGGGCCTGTACGGCGAGAGAGTCGGCGCCTTCAGCATCGTAGCAGACAGCGCCGAGGAGAAGAAACGCATCGACTCCCAGGTCAAGATCCTCGTCCGCCCACTGTACTCCAACCCGCCCGTCAACGGTGCCCGCATCGCGAGCGAGATCCTCGGTAGCCCGGAGCTGAACAAGCAGTGGCTGGGCGAGGTCAAGGGCATGGCCGACCGCATCATCGAGATGAGAGCCCTGTTGAAGCAGAATCTCAAGGACTTGGGTTCCAAGCATAACTGGGATCATATCACGAACCAGGTGAGTCTTGATGTATATTGGGGTTTTCGTTTCAGTCGTGCGGTCCATACTGACATTGGATCTTGACAGATCGGCATGTTCGCATACACCGGGCTGACCGCCGAGCAGATGGACAAGCTGGCCAAGGAGCACTCGGTCTACGCCACCAAGGACGGCCGGATCTCTGTCTCAGGCATCACCACCGGAAACGTCAAGAGGCTTGCTGAGGCTATCCACAAGGTCACCAGCTAGATTGCCCAGTCAAAGACGCGGTGCATGTAAGCAGGGAAGCTGAGCCGCCGCGGTCAATGTATCACAATTGGGAAAGCAGGTACCAACTCTGGGGACCTAGTTATGTGGGGGGAGCATTTTGTGATGAAATTCGAACCCTTTTTCTGCATCTCACATATCTGATACCCCTTGTTCTGGCGGATTAACTTGTTCGAGAAAGAAGAAAGAAGCAAAACAAAAGCAGTTACGAGGAGCTAGTGGCTGTCATTTTCTCATCCGGTCCTGCGATTTGCATAGAATGAACCCATAGATAAAATGGCGAGATTCTGTTCACTGGTCTACAAACACTTGCCCCGGGAGAAGAGCCTTGTCTGAAGAGCCTGCGCACATTCGGATTGGGTGTGATGCAGCGTTAGGTCGCATAGCTGAGCCCTAGATAAAGATGGCGTGTGGCGTGATGCTATCCATCTACTACGAAGTACATGCGCGAGCGGCTCGTGACGTTTGAGAGCTCGAATCTTACCACGTCTCATAGTTGGAGTTCACAGAGAGAGAGTGGGGGAGAGAGGCTGCTCATACAGAGAGGTCGATGTGCACAGGATGGGCGACAGGCGTTGCCATGTTGTAGGTGGTGTGCTGGGTGGCATGGCATCGCATGTGAAAGGAATGAGAGCTTGCGATGTAGTGGTACATACACGGACCAAAACGGCGGGCATATTTTGAGGGGTGGCCTTAGTATCGGATACCGTGAACGAGGCACTCCGTGCCCCAGACTCATCCCAGAACCGTGGTTCTCAGGTTCGAATCGCACTTGGCGTTTTGCTGCCTCCTGCTTTGTTGGGGGCGGAGTATCTCGTACAGGAGCTGCGGGCTAATTTGCATTGGCACGGGTGGTGCTGTACGGAGTACCAGGTGCAGTGTCTGGTAGTTCTACTTCGTACCAAGATGCCGATTCGCATGGGCCCCGCGTATTGAATCAGCATAGGTTGAGCGTACGATGTTAGGAGGAGGACTAAGGGAACTGGGCGTGTGCATCCGTGTTCCGTAGTCTGTCCTGCTGGCTGAAAAGATCCAAGTTAGGTAGGCAGCTAAGGCCAGGTCCCTGCCGGATAGGCTGTAGGCTGGAGTGAAACCATCTTTAGCCATCTGCAAGGGATCTCTGTATTCCCTTCCTGATTCATGGGTACGTGCTGGCATTCCCGATGGGTGCATATCGAGCAACGCAATATCTCCCTCTGATCAAACTCAAATCGTAGCTTTTGCTTATTTTCGCTCAAGCGTTAGGTTTAGCCGCCACGGATGACAGTTGCAGACGGAGGGCAGAAGACATTCGCAACCAGGGGTAGACATGCATTGGAGGTATAGCGTTTTTTTAATACCTGGAGCCACGCCCAAACATGTGGTTGTAAGGCAGTCTAGGGACTGGAATCCATCGTTACCGTTCAGGACGAACCACCTGCTGAGCAGCCTGCCACCCAGCCTGCTCTAAGTGTCTAGGGCTTTTAGTTTTGTGATACGGATTGAGACGTAGTGGCTTTGCCTTTCGGGGAACATCTCAGCTAAGCCTTCATTCAGCCAGAGTCCCTTTTCTTTTTATCGATTGCTCTGTTGCTGGTAGTCGGCAGGCGGTAGTCCGTCCTCCGTATGAAGTACTCAGCATCCGAGGCTCGAAAGAAGGGACCTTCAAGGGAAAGCTTAGACTAGTCAGGTGTTCGTCCCCAGGCTCGTAGTTCTCGGGTCATGTGCATTCATGTCTTCCTACCGTCGTCCGATCAAACCCGGTAACTACAGTCCTCGTGTCTGGGAAAGGTGGCAATCGGCTCTGTCGGCGAAACTGCGTGACTCGTAGGCAGACTGGGCCGCCAGCTTCTGGGTAAGGTGACAGCTGGGTGCGCTGGGGTGGGGAAGGCTCGGACGAAGATGGAGCTGGTGTCGCCATGCTCTCAGATCCCAGTCCCAACCCGTCAGGATTGGGCCTAGTGGTAGTGCGCAAACCAATGCTAGAGAGACGCCATCTGCTTGTTGACATCATCTCCCCTTCGCTTGTGTTGGTGCTTTGTGCTCTTTCGTGCACTCCCACGACCTGGTGCCTTTTACGAAGCACTCCATTCCCCGGTGATCTTGCTTCGAGGGTGGTCTGCTGGTCGAATACTCTTTTACATCGACACTTGGTTCGACATATCAGACCAGCAATCCTCCCTTCTCACTGATGGTAGACTATGAGCAACTCAATCAATCCTGTGTCCAGCGCCAAAGAATGTGACTTGCCCAACGACGTCATTCCGCAGGCCAAAGCCAGGCGAAAATTTGACGTCGACAAACAAAACTCAGGTGTCTCTGGCGGCTGAATTTGGCAGTTGTTGGCACCTCGCAGTTCTCTAAAATAGAGAGTCGCCCATTGAAAATTCGATGCCACGCGCAGTAGAAGATGCGTCCCGCGATGGAAGAATACAACATGTAGTGACTCGTGAGCTGGTGGTACAAGAATGCTGTCAGCCCCCCCATTCCCTGCAATTTTGATGGCGATTTGCCGTATTCCCTACCTTCTAAATCATTTCATGGAGGGGCAGGAATTTGCCGGCTAGCGATATGGAGGGGTAGGTTCATTTTCTCCTGCACATTCGTCAATCAGAGTACGAGAAATGCGGCTGTGCCAGGGTCAACTTGAAGTAGCAAAGAGATGGCAGTGCCTGGTCCATAATTCGGTATGGGTATGGGTACGGCCACAGAGGGCAATAATGAGCCCGCGTCCTCTGTGAACATGGCCCTGGGTGAGCCTGAGCCTGTATCCGTAAGCTTACCGACCAAGAAGGCTGATGTGATAGAGTTGACAACCCCGGTCAGCGGCCCCCAGCCATACCAAGACGGCCGTCCGTAATAATATCTTTCGTGGTACTCCGTACTTTTTACCACTTGTCGCACACATTTTTATCCCTTCTTTGCCATTAGCTGATCCGGTATCAGCGTCGATCGTCCACTTCAATTTCCCATCAGCCTGGTGCGTACAACGTTCGTCCCACGGCAGCATTGACGTGTTGAAAGACAAACCCACCCTTACTTTCCAGATCCCTGGGACTCTGGCTTTGTGTGTTGGGCACTCGCTCTCGTCTGTATTCTGAGCCCCGCCTCTCTCCGGGAGCCGACACTTTCCACCGGCTGCTGTCCTCTCGTCGCACTGCGAGCTCGAGTCTTGAGATTGGCCAAGAATCACCGCTGCTGGTCGTAAGGAAGCTGAAGACTTCTGGAGTCTGCCTGGGAAGCTGGTGCAGCCAGATCATCAGAGTAAGTGTGAGAACTGCCCCGCTCCGGAAAGATATCTGATACAGAGGGTGCAGCAATTCAGCCTCAAAGCCTCGGGTAGTCCTATATTCTTCTTAGGTACACAGTTTTTGTCTTGTCGCCAGTTGTCTTGAGCCAATTGAGGGGTCTTAGCGGTCAAGCTTCGACGATCAGCAAGCCAGCAGGTCGTGTTTCCTCTCCTTGGAAGTACTTGGACGTCCCCGTACGTCACTTCCTTGCTGAGCACCTCCGACTCGCACTCGCGACTGCCAGTTTGGCAAAACTCATCACTGGCAACTGCCATTTTGTCCACTCACTCACTCACTCACTCCTGCTGTCCTTTGCACCTGCCTTTTGCCGATACTTCCCTCGTGCTCCTTCCTACGCACTGTTCACCTTTTTTTTATTTGTCGCAGACACGACGCAGATACACAAGACTTCGACTCTTGCAACTTCCATCCCCATTATCCACCAGCACAATCTCTTTCGTTCCACTTTTCCCCTCCAAGGTGTGGCAATGTCTATGCTCTGTTGATCCGTCATATGGTAATGTCATTTCTTCTCTGTTGCTGACTCTCATTCTCAGGCCAAGTTCCGCTTTCCAACCATCACTCAACCAGTTTATCCTCCGGCACTTTCATACGCTCTGGCCTTCGTAACCGGCCGCTGAGATCGATCAACCTCACTCGTTTCTCCCCAGGAAAACTCTCTTCCTCCCAGTTACGCCCGGATTCGAAGAACTGACCTTCGATCAAGGCCTGGCACTCTGCTATCCTAATTAGCGAACTGGTTGTGCCTTAACTATGGCTGAAGAAGTGAGTGCAATCGTTGCCACAGAGCGCAGATTCCTTCCCACGGCTTGGGGTACATCTTGGGCCGGAGCAGGACCCGCCGTACAAGACTGAGATTGCTCACACTTTGATATCGCCACAGGCAGAGATCGACTTCGGCGACCATGTCGACAGAGCAGCATTCGAACAGATCCTCGATATGGATGAAGAAGACGATCGAGAATTTAGCAGATCGATAGTGTTCGGTTTCCTCGAACAGGCCGAACAAACCTTTATCAAGATGGAAACAGCCCTGTTAGCATGACCATTCATCCCCGCAAGCCTTCATACCCTAATATCTTTTTGTCACAGTAAAGAAGAGGACCTCCCAGAACTTGCCAGTCTAGGCCACTTCCTGAAAGGGTCATCCGCCACATTGGGCTTCACCTTGGTCAAAGATGAGTGCGAGAAAATTCAACATTATGGCCACCAAAAGAACGAAACCGGCGAGCTCGATGAGCCAGATAAAGACATATGCCTGCAACTCAGCAAAGAAAGCATTACCAAGGCCAAGGCCGCATATCTGGCAATCGAGGCCCTGATGAAGAAATATTATGCCGACTGACTTCTCATCTTGGACTTTTTTTGTTATGTTCCCACTAACCTCTATCGAAAAGTGTTTCGACCACGCGATTTTGATCTTGTTGCCGAACCTCTGCAAATCCAGCAAGCGACTGCGTCAATCAATGTGCTTTAAGCACCTCACGAATTTTAGCCAGACTGTGATGCATGTGTGCTCGTTGGGGTTGATAAGATTATCTATCACAAGAGAGGAGTCCCTTTCTTTCTGATATCTGTGCTTAGACTTTTGGGTCCGCTTGATATGGTGTTTCTGGACCCTCGGACCTGGGTTCATCAAGAGAAGCAGAGATTTTACGGTATGACGAGCCGCTCCTTAAATAATGGATGATGGGCTTACAGCACAGAAGAAAGGAAAGAGAAACTTTGATGCTTTAAGGACCAACAAATTTCGTCCATCTCTAATCCTACATCTTCTTTTGAGCTGCCTTTGAGTCGGTCGTCGCATAAGATCTGCCGCTCCGCGCCCCCAATCCAAAGGATCATCATCTGAATACAAGCTCCGCCCAGTGTCAACCAGTTTCCGCCAACGGAACAACCACTCTCCCCAATTAGCGTCCCCATGTTGAGACCCTCCCCTTCCCCTTTTTAGCTTCCAAACGGCTCCATTCTTCATTTCATGGTCCTCTGAATTAAGATTCTCCGGGTGAAATCTCTCACCCTGAAGCACCTCCCAATTGTCCTCATGTTCCCCAGGTTTCCCGGACTTTCCCTTGAGCGTGAAACCATTGCTAGGCCATCGAGCTCTGCATTGCATTGACCCTGTTGAGCACAAGGATGCCGCTGACTATTTCTGATCATCACAGTCGGAGACCCCGTCCTGTCCAGCAGACCGTTGATGGCGAGAACGGCCTTGTGGCGACGATCCCACTGTGGAAGGACGTACATTTGGATTCAAGTATTCAACAAGCGGCTGTTACTGCAACCGGGAGGTATTGTTTGGGAGCGATGTATGTCTGGGTTCACAGGTTGGCTTGGGCTGGAATTGGCATTGTTGGATCGCGATCGCCCTCGTCCCTCGTCACCAACGTTATGATAGCCAACCAGAGCGCCTTCTCTGGCGGTCGAAGGAAGGCGCGCCTGGTCCACAAGCGCTTGATTTGAGAATGGAGGCCTCTCTCCTACACCGCGTGGCTGTCGGTGAGGCTGGACAGCTGGAGGCGCCGTGGCAGCACGTACAACCGGCACGGCAGGCAAGGTCAGACTTAGAACCCGAGGCGGCGTTCTCGCTATGGGCTGTATAGCATAAGCATTGCTCCGAACCGGCTCCTGGGACGGGTTATCACTGACCCTACTTGTATGATTGTGGCGCACCTGCGACGGATGCACGTAGGCATGCCCGTGCCCGGCTTCCTGCCCGATCGCGCCGTACGGGTTGACGTAGAGACCTCTGGCTTCCAGCTCCTGCTGGCGTTCTCTCGAGCGACCGCCGGAGGCCGCGGTGGTAGTGTTGCTGCAGCCGCCATCATCACTGGCATTTCGGCGTCGCCGTCGCAATGCACAGCCCCAACCCCTCGTCTGCACGGGGCTGCTGCTCCGGTCTCGCTGGCTCGCCGTGAAGAGTGGTCTTGGTGACGTCGTTGACCGGCAGAAGGAGCCAAACCAGCGGTGGTCGTCACGGCTGGGACGAGAAGTCCCCGTTATGGATGCGGTTGTCGTTCTGGTGGTGATGCTGGTGCTGGTGCTAGTTTTGGTGTTCCGGGTTCCCCCTGAGCGACCTTGGTCTGGAGACGGAGTCGCCGGGACTGCTTGCTCATTGCTAGTAGACGAGATTTGGATTTGCCGTTGTATGGGTGATGGTGCATTTGAATGTGGCGGAGACAGTGGTCGTGGGGGAGGTAGCGGATAAAGTCCTTGCCGTCGAGGTTCACAGTCATTGCAATTTCCATTCCCATCTGCTTGAGCGCTGGTGCCGGCATCAGACCTCGAATCAGAGGGTTCGCTTCCTCCTCCACCACCTCCGCGGGGCCTGCTGCTACCATGCTCGGGGATGGCTCGCTGTTCAGATTGATCTGCCCACGTGTTGCCGCGGATTGGTTGGCCTGTTGTCGTCAATAATGGTGGCTGCTGTTGCTGTCTTGTCTGCGCCCCGGTCTGAATTTGACCCGGAAGGACAGGCCACTCCTCAGCGTTCAATGATGACGCTTGTGCTACGCAACTATACACCGGTGGTGCGTCTGAGCGAGTATAAGTTGGTGGCGGTCGAGGTGGAGCTGGAGGATCTCGCACGGGTGTGAATCGTTGACGTCGGCGCTGCTGTCCCCGGCCTGGTACTCTTATAGTTGTCAGTAAATCCCCAGACAGCAAAGTGGCTACTGGCGGGACTGGGGCGTTCGAGCGGGCTCCCTGATCCGAGGTCGAGGTCTCTGTTCTACGGACGCCGGGACTGGCATTGAGTCGGCGTGGCTGTTGCGGTTGCTGTTGTCGTCCTCTGCGTGATGCTTGGAATGTTGGGATGACAGTTCTGGATCGAGGGGCTGCTACCGCCACCGGTGCTAAAGATGAGCGGGCTCGGTCTCTAACATGCGAGGCTAGTGTCGATGTCTCTGCTCTGCGGGCGTTGGGAACTACATGCAGGTTATGATCACCGAGTCCAGATGCTACTTCGCTGGTGCTGGTGCAGGCACGCTGCTGCTCGGGTGGATTGTCTGCATTGGGGTTTGAGGATGCTGAATGATAGCTTGCCGAGGATGGGTTTGTTCTCGATGTAACGAATGTTCCTGTTGAGTCGTCGCTGTCGGATCCTGGCTGACGGCCTTCAGCAGTGTTTCCGTGTTCCCCGGATTCAGGGGTGATAGTTGTTCTTGTTGGTGGTGACCTGGTTTGTCATTGCCTTCTGCTGCCCTCGATTCAGTGCATGGCTGTTGTTGAATTGAGTTGTGGCTCTCCTCTCCATGAAGTCCTGTCACTGTTCTAGTGGTAGATTCTCCCCCCCTGGGCGTGGGATGTCAAGGGAAGTGACATGCTTTCTGGAACAGCAACAAGAAGTACTGTAATGCTAGCAAGACTTGGAAGAGAAGACAATACACGATGAGAGCGCCCGATCGGAAAGTCCGTTTTCAACCTTTCAACGAACGAGAGAAACGCTGGAGATGAACAGGGATCAGACTTACGATTATATGCCGATATGGAATATGCAGGAAGTAGCCGGTGGGGCAATCAGCCATGACGATATAGATGACCACAGTCCTAAGCGGAGGAGTTTATGCTGCGGTCGAACAACCCATCCAACGAGAACCCACGGAGGCTTATTGCTTGTCTAAAAGGGATTATGAGCAGGAGAGATATAGGTACAAAGCAGGAGCAGTTATAATACGGACGATGATGCGTAACGAGGAAGCAAGCAGTGCTGCGCGCGAAGGGGCGCTTTCATTGTTGGAAAACAAAAACACTTTCATGGTGCGAGGATGAAAACATGCGCGAGATGCCCCAGGGCAGAACGACAGAGAGCTTTCCTTCTTGATCTGCGCGACCACACTGTCTCACAGGCGGCCAGATAGGAACAGGGTTTAGGTGAAGCCATGAAAGAAAGGCTGGGCAAGACAATCTTGCTCGTGACGCTTGGGAAGGAGACGGGAAGGAGAAGACGCAAATCCATATTCCTTTGTACTGGAGCTCTGCAGAAAAATACCCCGGTTTGCGTGCGTGGTGCGTGGTGCGTGCATGTATGCATGCATAGTACCCACCACGACAAGGCTGGAACATGCAGGGGCGGACCAATAACAACCAGAATGGAGAAAAGGTTTGCCCCCTCAGGATGGTGCAGTGCAGTACAGTACAGTTGATGGCACCATGGCCCAGAATTTGGGTCTGGAGATGTTAAATATAGAAAGGTGTGGAATGCATATTGGCCTTCTGATGGATGGACAAGCTGAGTGCCAGGGAGAAAAGCGCCTTGATTGACTCAAGCTGAGACGGCGCCAGAGTCTTCTCAAGCGGATCGTGGAAGGAAAGGGGAGCGTGTGAAGTGCGTAAGTATATGCCGGCAATGAGTAGTGTCAAGGCTCTCGAGACTCAGTAAGTTGGTCTACAACGTTGCAGACTCCCGGATCTGCTTTCCCACAATACTGCGACTGAGCGGTGCAGCTGCGGCCGAGCAGGGTTGCTCTGGAAAGCGTCTGCTGCATGCGTATCCCCAGCAGAGGTGTGATCGAAATGAGGCCATGTCGAAGAAAGCAGATGTTCCGAGGCGTCTGGCTCAGGACCGAAACCGCATTTAGCAACTCAATAGTCATACATAAGAAAGAAAGCAAGAAGGCGACGAGGGTGACAAGACTTGGGGACCCTTAGCATAGCCTGCTCCTGCCTACCTGGAAACTCATGTGAGAGAAAGATTCAGCTGCCCGTTGCGATCCATCAGCCCAGGCTGCAATCGACCGCATCCATCGCCGCCACCAACCTCAGCTGAGCACCAAATCGTCACGGCTAGAGAGCCAGGAAAGGCTATTCTTGACATACCGTAATAGATTCGCCGAAGAGACCCGTCCAGTCAAAAAGAGCGTAGGGGTCGTTTGGGCGGGGGCGGTGATCCACCACACATCCCCATCCCCATCCATGTCCACGTCCACGTTGGGGGAGGAGCTCGCTAATTGTGACATGCATGCGGAAGTCTAGAATAGTTCGTAGGTATCGCATCTGGAGTGAATCGCATCTGGAGTGACCTGCAGTGTTCGGCTAGCATCTTCCGTGAGCGCTCCTGCAGATACGAATATCCGAATGCGAAGACAGCGTCCACCCCTCAAGCCCGCATCACGCCATCCGTAATAGAAACGAAGGATTCCTCTGCGGTCGCGAGGATCTTTTCGGATGGACAGGAGGGGACGACCAAGAGGGATGACCAGACCTGAACAAGGAATGGTAGAATTTGGATTGAGTGTGGCAAGCGATGGAAACTAGTAAAATGCGCTCGTGAGAAAGTCTCTGATTCGATAGTAATCCATTATCGCTATTAATGAAGAACCTATCATGTTAAACGATAAATCCACCTAGAACTCCAGGTCCTCATAGAAGCATTGTTTCCGTTCTGACCATCGACACGCCTTGACCACCAATGTGTCTGTGCGTCGTGCGCTAGCGGTTTACCATCCGTTATTCTCCCAGACACAAGTCTAGAAACCTTAAATGACTGTGACCGTCAGACCGCAGTTGTACAGACCTTTTCGCAACCAGGAAGGGCCCTTCCGTCCTTAGATTCTGGCACACCGGACTCGTGATCCTCATACAAGAGAGAAATTGAAGGTGTAACACAAATGCGAAAATTGAGGAAAATGACAATGTTAGACAGGGTATATAAGGAGTTTGCACCAATTGTTTGAGCACCTCGACTGCTCCCGGAGGCTTCTGTAGGGCCGGTCGTGGAAGAGCACCGGGGCCCCATAGGCTGAACTGCCAGGGTGTGGCAACTCTTTTCGATAAAGAAGAGAGTTTTGCCATTCTAGTCGACTAGAGTTTCTTACATGACATATCTCTCTTGCCGGTTATCCTGGACCGCCAATGGCATGTTCCAGTCGGCCGTGATGGGCACATGGTGGGCCATGTGTGGATGGCGAGATCGTATTCCATACTCCTCCGGCTCGGTGCTTTGAGGTCGACGAATGTTGCTACCAGAGTAGTACATAGGATGTCCACCATATGCAGGCTCGGGATAAGCAAAATTGTCCATGGACGACGATCCAGGCAGGTTGCCATTGCTTGGCGAAACCCATCCCAGAGCTCCCAAGTGAGGGGAAGCGTGCCCGCTGCCTGTTCCGGTCGTAGGAGGCTCTAAAGGCTGAGGTGGGCCAAAGCTAGGAGGATGAGATGTGGTTGGAGGCCTCTGCTGAGGCGCACTTGTGAAGTGCTGAAGCGAGTGGCCAGCCATGGATGGGGTGGCACGAGGGGCAGCCTGTGGATAGTCAGACCGCATGTGGGGCGGCAAAGAGTGGGTTTGAGGAATGTAGCCATAGTCAGAGCCTTGACGCTGCATTCCACTGGTCATGGGTGGTAGTTCGGAGTTGGGAGAGACAGATAGTGTTCTATCTGCGGGCGACGCCGTCGAGTTCCTTGACGATCCGGAGGTAGAGCCATAGATCGACTGAGACTGAGGCTGTGTGGTGGATAGTTTGGCGCTGGTTTCAGCGGCAGCTTGCTCGATGGTGCCCGTATGGTGATTTTGGTGTCTGGTCAATGTCGTGCGTCTTGTAAAAGTTTTCTGGCAGTTGGCGTAGGGACATTTATATGGTCGCTTGCCCGAATGAATCCGTCGGTGTCTCGCAAGCGAGCTGGAATCAGAAAAAGGCTGTAGACAGATTAGAAAACAGTAACGGGGCCATGTGTTCTCTGGCCCGAGGCTTACCTTGCCGCAACGCTCGCACATGTGTGGCTTTTCGCCTGTGTGAACTCTTGCATGTACCGTCAGTGCCGAACGCTGTATAAATTGCTTTCCACAACCAGGATGCTCGCATGCATGAGGTCTGATACCGCTGTGTATACGCTCTGTACACGAGTCAGTAGACTTCACCACTGGATTCCCAAAGTTTCCTACCGTGCCGGGCGAGGTCACTGCGTCGGGCAAAACCTTTGGAACAAGTGCTGCAAGCGAATGCTTTCGGCGCTCCGTCATTCTTGGGTCGCATAGCACCAAAATTGTCCTCAGCCATGGACTGGTGGCTGTCATGCCTGGGGATGAAATTGTTGCTGTACAGCTGAGCACTATGCTGAGCGTGGCCCATCGGAGGGTAGCCCAGGCTAGTAGCTTGGTGCAGTTGATGCTGCTGGTGATGAAGCATTGGCGGGCCTTGACCGTGACTCATTGCGTAGGCCACTCCTCCGTCCATTTGCATTGATTGCTGTAGTTGACGACGTAAGTGAGCGTCAGCAGCGGCAGCGTTTCTCGCGTTGAGAAGGCCTCCAATTTCCATTCCTACCTTGGTAGGGAATGCTGGAGTTGGTAGGGGCGGCGGTGGTGGTCTCACAGGTCGCTGATAGACAGCCACTCCTTGAGGCTCTTGTAATGGACTGTAGCCGTACCGGTAGTTTGGTGCCTGCATTTTTGGGCGTTAGCATGGGAGACGAGAATGAACAGCGATGGTGGTTGTGATGGTGACTGAAGAGACGGGAGTTGTGGTATTCTAAGCACTCTGGCCCGCCAGGGATCAGCGCCAAAAGTGGAGAGGGTCAACGCTCTCTCCCGCCGAGGGAAGTAGATCTCGTTGGCCCAGCCCCCATGGGACCTGATATGATCAAGCACAGTCCTTTATTGCTTGGAGAATATTGAAACTATACATACCTAGAAGTGGAAAGAAGGTGGATAGAAAGTGCGCAAAAGAAGTAGGAAGAGATGTGGCTAATGAAGTGAGGACATTCAAGGCCGGAATGTCAGAGGACAACAAGGGCGGGCGAGATCGAGACTGGTATGCTGATTCTTGGCAACGAACAGTCCCAATACCGCGAGGTTCCTGCGAAAGAATTGGAGATGGTGAGGATGACGCAGCGGGGGTTCAGCCGTTCAGGTTCAGGCCAGGATTGACTTGGTGAGCCGGATATGGTTTGCCAACGCTACTGAGTCGGGTAGATCTGGTGATCCCGTACTATTGAAAACGGGCAAATAAATCTCTGGACTTTTGTCGGCGTTGATTTCGTCTTGAACTCGATGTTGCTGGTATGAGTGAGACTAGTATCTTTGGCTGGTGATAGTCTCTCCCTGTGCACTCGATAGATGGATTGGCCGACTGCTATCGCCTATTGGTGCCACGCTTGCCCTCACGCGGACTACTGGCGCAGACTGAATTCAATGTAACGTGGTTTCTCCTGCTCGACGAAGCCCCTCGTTCCAAGGTTTGTCAGGTACAATTGCTCTCCGCCTGTGCAGCAGTAGAAGTCCCCCGTTTGGATCCGAGCGTGTGTCCGGTGGAGGAATGATGAAGGACAGAACGACACCAGAACACGGGCTCTAGGTGGTCTTTGTACTGAGTATCTGAGCGGCCGGTCCGTGGCGAGACTGGGAGACGGGCGAGGGGTGGGATGTTTTGCAATCTTGAATAGAAGGACGTCGCTGTGGTGGTTGACGGCAGTGACCGTGGTGATGGGTTGTGACGGCCACGTTGACGGCACTGCACCGTGTGTAGGGGCTCAGGCACAGACTCAGGCACAGGCACTATAGAGAGATTGAGATCCAGGTGGTCAAGGCAAAGGTAGGTTACCTGGCCTCCACCCCGTGCAGTCATGGAGACGGAGAGGAGTAGAGTCTTGAATCTTGACGGGCACTGGCACTGGCAGCCGCTCTTAGACTCGAGTCTGAGTGTGCACTGGCTTTGGCCTTGGGTCGATAGCGTTTAGGTATATGCATGGAGCATATTTGGAAAGGCGTGAGGTGTGTGAGGTGTGTCTAATGCGAATCGGCGTCCCTTGCACCTCCAGAGTCAGTCGTCACCGAGGGTGCATGAGGGTCAGTACTCAGTGAGGGTGAGGCCATTTTGGAACTGGAAGTGTACGGGGCTTTGCAAGCGACCGGGATGCAGGCACAGGCGGACGAATTGGAAGGTGCACTCGAAACGCAACTGAAGGCTTGGCACCGCTTAGGCGGGTCTACCAAACTAAACACCTTCAGGTTCATGCCCAGATAGCAGATACTGTACCACTGCGCCGTACACACGCTTTGGTTCCACGACCTTAACCCACCCCCTGGCTTCGTCGAGTTTCTGCCATATTCAGTGTGCAAGATGACACTCTCTCCTAACCACTTCAGGCATCGTCTACCTGTTTGGACGGTTCCATAACATCATCAGTCTAGTCTCTGCATCACCAGCGCCATCCCACTGCGGGCTCCCGAGTATCGCCATCCGCCATCGCTTCTACCACCAGAAACCCCATCATGCTTCAGAAACCCACCGTTCCCTCCGCCTTCCCTGTGTATCTAAATCTGGCTCGCTAATGAGCTTTGAGTTAATCGCGCAACAGCCCCCGTCTGCTCCGGAAGCCGCATCTTGATGTCAGATCCAAGAGAGTCCATCACCCCTGCACGAATTAGCACCTGTCAGTTCCAAACTAGGTAGGCAAGACACTATTCAACGGCCGTGACAGAACAAACGCTGTCGTTGCTGCTGTCGCCTTCATCTTTCGCTTCGCACTGACTCCTGATCGTTCTATCCATCCCACCCATTCTCGCCACTTTTGATTGCCCCAGCATCCTACTTGGGCCTGTCATTTTCATCTTGATCCATGGACTAGATCCTGTGAAGAAACCAAAGGGGGAAATCTCGCACCACCAAGGGGGAGAAATGCCGAGGAAGCCATCTCGAGATTCTCTCTCCAGCAGGATCCATGACCATCCCTTTCCTCGTCTAACTATCTCTGGCACATCCAGGGCAGATGCCGTGTGCCGGGTTTCGAAAGAGGGTACAACTGCCCAGCACATCTTATAGTATTCGGCACCTCTTTCCCACATGACTCGGCCGTGGTGCCGAGGCCTTCGCATGGCATTTATCGTTTCATGAATACACATAGGGGATCGGGGTCATTTTCGGGTGCGCTCTATAGGCTGTCAAGCAGCCCGGCTCGCCTCGATGTGAGTTCTCACAAAAGCAGTATCAGGTGCTATTTGGGACACTCCGAGCCTTATTCGAATTGTTCTATACTCTGGCATGGGTCGCGAAGTAACGCATGGACGGTGTCAACCCACACGACTCAACCCTATCTCGATATGCTCATATGTGCTTATTTACCAGACACACGTCTCTTTTGCCGCACTGGCCTCAGACCGAAGTGGCAATCTCTCCGTGCCTTGCTCCAGGTTGTGATGGCCAAATAAGGACACAAAGACTGATTTTCAAACAGATGAACCAATCTTCCTCGACAACCAGTGTACGCCGCCAGCAATCTGGGTGGCGGACTCAGCTGACATTGCCTGATTAGCCTGGCCAAGGGGGAGGGTAGAGTGGCGATGAGCACAAGATTGTACATTTGTTTACAAGTAAACAACGTGGCATGGACACTGAGTGAACGGTGCTGAAGCGATAGTCACTACTGATCGATGTTTACAGCCTGTGCGTCCTTTATTTGGTGTGAAGCATTTGCGGTTGTTGAACTAAATACGTCACTCTACGAGAGGACCGAAGCAACAAGCAGCATCGCTGCAGGAATGTTTGTTTGCATGGCATGGCCATTCTATTTGCAGGACAGCATCAGTAAACAAGTGGCGTCGTCCTTCAATACAGGAACCTGGCGTGTAACGCAAAGTAGGTCCTAGACGCTTCACATCTCCCAAGAAGGCGGCGGCGATAACGGTGAACTATTCCTGAAAAGATACCGGATCAATAGCACCAGCAAAGACATGAGTGTTACAGATGTACCTATGTCCTCATGTAGCTTTTATATCGTCTATCGTCCTTGACGTGCACGATCGAGTCGAGGGAGAGTCACAGGCACAGAGACATCACTTCATCATCTCCTGTTCTTCCTCCTCCTCCCACTCCTCTCCCACTCGTCCCCCTTCCCTCCATATTCACACCCTCACAAACCTCAACATGCAGCGATTCGCCCTGGGCCGCGTGGTATACGCATCAATCTCCTCGATGCCGTCATCATCGACGATCTCCGTGGTCCAGTTCGAATAAATCGCCGCGACCAGCAATTTGATCTCATGAGTCGCGAGATGACTCCCGATACACATGCGCCCGCCGGACCCGAACGCCCAGAACCAGCGGTGCATCTCCTTGAGCTGTTCCTCGTCGGTGTGACTGGGTAGCCAGCGGTGCGGGTTGAAGGCGTCCGGGTCCGGGAACACGTCGCGGTTGCGGTGCAGCGTGTATGGCATGCTGGAGACGCGCACGCCGCCCGGGATGTTCGCGTACGCGCCCAGTGTGTTCCCGCCGGCAGTGTGCGGTGAGATCCGCGGCTCGATGCCAGGGATGGGCGTGTGCACGCGTAGGGTTTCCATTACGATTGCGTTGAGGAGAGAGAGGGCGTCCAGCTGTTTCGGCTCCGGGAGGCGGAAGTCCTTCAGCCCTGTCCCTGGCGGGAGCGGCCAGTGGATCGGCGGGGTGAGCGTGAGCAGCTCGGTGCGCAGCGCCGCCGTTAGTTGTGGGCGCTTGCTCAGCTCCCAGTATAGGTATGTCAGCGCGATGGCCGACGTCTCGTGCCCCGCGCCCAGCTGGTCCAGCATGTCGCTGTAGATCTCCGCCTGGGTCGTGTCCTCGCGAGCAGCGGCACTGTCGTGCGGCTCGGCGTGTCGAGTCGTAGGTAAGATCAATCGTTCACTTGACAACTCTTTTCCCGCACTCCCGTCCTTCTCTCGTAGCTTCAACATCCCGGATTTGAACTGGCTGTACACGAGTGGCTCATCCCCAGCGAAAGGCGCTGCGAGGCCGTCCCGCACAGCTGCATACCCGTCTGCCTCGTCGCACATCTCAGCATTCCATTTCTCAAGTAAGTCGTTCGCTTCATCAACAAACCGCGGCACGACCGGGAAGCCGAGTTTCTTGGTCAGAGACTTGATCCAGGGCATCTCGGCGGAGAAGAACTCGAATTCGCGCCGGCAGTGGTACAGGTGCATGATCTCATTGCGCTTAGCCACGTCTTGCGTGAAGTTGGTAGATGAGCGGAGCCCGAACTGGAACGCGGACATAAAGTCCATGGCCATGGCGTTGTTCAAGTCGTGCACATCGACGGCTTGTGAAGTTGTGGCGAAGTGATCGAGTAAAGGGAGGAAGCGGGTAGATAATAGAGCTACGCTGTTGGCGGCAACTTGGGGTGATGAGGCTATATATGATTTGCTGTAGACGTGGGCGATGGTGCGCTTCTTCTGCGAGTGTGGTAGGTGGTGGATCGTGGAGAACATATTGATGACCCTTGATCATGAGAAGAGATAGTTAGCAGATGTTGAATCATGCATCTCTATACTGGTCGTGTCTTGCTGGTCACGTTGGCTTCGCGACACCATGCATGACCACAAGGGACAAGGCGGTTGCAAAGGGGAAGCCTTACCCGTAGCTCGCAAACCGCTGAGGATACCAGGCATGTTTCTCCCATCCTCCGGCATAGATGGTGCGGATGCCATTTTCCACGCAGTTCACGCTCAACTCATTGGCACCCATCCGGACAACGGTGCCATGCTTGAGATGTGCCGCGTAGGTGACCGCGTTATTGCGTTCCTTGTACCGCTGCCAGGTGATCCAGCTGTCACCAAAGATCGGGATAGACCAGTGAGCTGATGGTATGTGTCTGAGCGGGTGGAAGAGCAATGGTTGAAGGATGAACTTGTATACGATGAAGATCCCCAACCAGCCAGCCGCCAGCATGGAAAATGGTACGGCCGCCATGGCCTCGTTCAGTGCCTGGGGAGCTGGACCAGTTCTGTGCCTTCTGAACAGCCTTCTTTGTCGGCCGTCCCTGAATACCTGCTGCAACTAATCTTTGTGGTTGAGGTGCCTTCCTTCTCGTGCGAAGGAGAGGAAGGGCAGGGGGAGATGGAACAGGCGGACCCCAGCTATTTAAGAGTGAATTTCAACGTTTGGTGTTCGCACACTCTTCTGTCATCTTTTGACCCTTATGTTAAGTGTACTCGACGGCGATAGCTCCAGTCGCCTCCGCCTTCCCTTAGGAATCATGGACAAGCAAGCCACGCCGCTCAAATCCGTTTTGGAGACAGAACTTGTGATGGACGGTGGAGTAGTCCGAATGGCCGACCTCAATCAGCATTGTGCGCCTTGCATATAGCAATATTAGAAACCGAGAAACAAGGACAAGATCATATGCAAGGGCGCCAACTTAGGAAGTTTGTAGTATCTTCCTTTCATTTGTAAAGCTATCGCGTGCTGTCAACCTTTTGCTTGCCCTTACCTGCTAGTTGGGCAGAGGGCTCCTCATCTTCACTGCTGGACAAATCATCCTCATCGTCGTCAAAACCTGCGAATCTCCGGCGGAGTATTGGCTTCGCCTTAGGCAGGAGCTCCGATGGGATCTTAAGGCGGTTCTGAAGCACCCAAATCGCATCGGCATCTCCTGTCTCGGCTTCGCTTTTCAGTCTGGACATGCCATCTTCATCAAGCTCCATCAGATCATCTGCGTCGCTATCCTCGTCGCTAGGCGGTAAGGATCCTCCACTTCCACTACTCTCGCCTTGTTGTGGTGAGACCCTTTTGGCCTTGTCCTTGCCCATGTCCTCGTTTGCAAGCATAGCAAGCTTGACGGCGTTTCTGACGTTCTCACCTACCTCTTCCTTTTGATCGACCCACTCGTCACTGATGCCTTTACGACGACCATCTGCTGTCTTTCCGGACTTCATGTCTGCCTCTCTCTGCTCAGCCAATTCGATGACTTGTTCCCATCTCTTGCGTCTCTCTTCCTTCTCTTTCCTGTCCACTTCCGGCTTGGTAGCCAAATATGCTGCTAGATTCTTGGCCTCGGTAATGGTCCTGAGTCTTCTACCATCTAGGTTGCGGGCACTTCCTGTAGCAAGCTCGGCATTCTGACGCTTCTTGCGCGAGGACATACGACCACCTGCGGCCCTAAGTTGAGACCCAAAACCACCTTTGCCACCAACGAGCGGGGCAGATAGACGCAGGGGCAGGAACGAGCCTGTAGGAACGTCCTGACATGGCGCAAAACGGCATAATTCGGCTATCGTGGTGGATGGGGAGTCGTAGATAGGAGTGTTTGAGGTGGATGTTAGAATGAGCCGGGTGTTCGCCGGCAGGCTCGCCGGGAGCACATGTCGGATGGAAGAAAATAGGTCTGCAAGGGTCGCTGACGCAGGCAGAGGCATACACAGCGTTGGAGGGAGCGACAAGCCGGGGAAGGAGTCCAACAAGATATTGACCACGGGTTCCATGGTGCAACAGCCGGCGGATGGGCCACTCGATCTGTATCTGGCGCGAAGATCCCCAAGTAGTGCCCCGTAGTCGATGCTCAATGTGGACCGTCACTCACGGACAAGCACTCCGTCGAGCGAGGTTGAGGACGGTGCTCGGTGGTTGGAGAAGGGTTCAGGAATTTGCGTATGAAACAAAATATGAAGAGAGAATGTGTTTTGTGGCTTGACGAAGGCGACCTAGAACGGAGGGATGGGAGTGCCTGCAGATGATTGATATTGGGCTAGCCGAATAAGAATGAATGGCCAGGGTTCGTATTAGGTTAGGTAGGAGCGGATGGTATGAGTGACATTATTGAGCCTCTTTCCAAGTTCCAAGTTTCTAGGCTTGGCGAGTTAGTTAGCCTCTCGGGGGGTTAGGGGGTTCGTTAGGCAGTCTTCCAAGGAGCAGGGCAGGCCAGGAAGAAGCTTCAAGGGTCGCTTAGGCTAAATTAGCAGCAGGCCAAAGAACCCTTGGGCGTGGTTAGAACTTAATAGAGCGCCCCCGGTGCTTCGTCCAGGGCATTTTCGGAGCCCCCACGGGCCTGGGGCCCTGAGCCCTAAGTTCAGACAAGCTTGGGCCTCAGCCTAACCGCTTTAGGGTGTTAGCCGCTAGCCAAATCGAGCTAGAGCGCAATCGGCCAAGCGGCCTAGGGAGGTCGCAACCCGCGAGGTCGTCGGTCAGGTCGAACGGGGGGATTTTTGCTAATTCCATTAGGGAGTACGGAGTACGTCTGCATCGAAAATAACGCCCTTTCAAGGCACGCGTTACATGAATCACATCAAAATTCAAGGGACTTTCAATATCGGGTTCTGCAACAACCACGCATCGCTATCTCAACTTTGATCCCCAGTCTCATCCGCCCGCCCCTTCTCTATATCTCCAGTGGTCTCTTTCTCCCATAGCCCATGAAGTCAATGTGGATGATTGCCGCACAGGCCCCCGGACTCAATCCACCGTTCTGGTCAGGGCCAGTCTCGACACTCTGACCACATTTGCGACCCTTAACCACAAAATCACTAATAGACCGTTGAATATCATCAGGCTATCTTTGTCCAGCCTCTAATATGCCCTGGCAGCCGCTGCCTCTGTCGTATGCGGTGGCCATCTACCCCTTTCAACCTTCTTCCTCCCCAGCTGAACTCCCCCTTCAGATTGGTGATCAACTTTATGTCATTGAACAAGGTGGTAAAGATGGCTCTTGGTGTCGGGGCTATCTGGTTGCACCACCCACGTTACTGTCATCTCTAAACTCCGCTGGACGAACCGCTTCAGAGGCTCGTGTCTTTTCTGGCATTTTTCCAAAATGCTGTATCGAAATTCGAGAACAACTCGGCTCTGCCCCACCTTTTTTGAGGCAGCCTGATCAGCCAAAACCTCCAGCACCTGTTCCAATGTTGAAAATTGGTGACGAATCACCAACTTCATCAGCTGAGCCCCTGGTGGATGAAATCTCAAGCTGCCTCCGGGAATGGTATATTCTCCATCTTCCAGACCTGGTTCTGAGGCGAGAGTATCACACTTTGGACCAAATGTCGCAGATCACGACGCGCCTGGATTACGCCCGGCGCGAGCTTTTAAACGATGTTCTGACTACCCAAGAGAGGTTGGGTGTCCGCGAGCAAGCCGTCTGGGATCTGGTTCGCGGCAACAGAATGCTGAGCGGCGAGGTCATTGTGAGGGATCCCAGGCAACTTGGCAGATTGTTGACTTCGCAAGACTCGGCCATCGAAATGGCAAAGCTACAGTCTATAATGAGTGTTCTAGATGGCACTCCTGCGGAGAAGTCCAAAGCAACCTCATTACACCATTGCCTCTTGGAGGTTACGTCAGTCACCGGTTCGGACCTCGATCAGGCGACCCTTAGCCTGGCTCTCTATCAGAAAGATGTTGACGGGAACCTGAACTCGTTCTCGGAGACTTTTAGCTCCGTTGGCTCCGCCAAAATGAAGACGCTATTTTCAGATCTAAGCACCCGAGATATAAGCAGTGATGAGCGCTTATATCTCACTATCAAGGTCGTGGTGCCTGAGGCGCCTCGAAGAGGCAGAAAACACTTACCAGATCGTCCTCCGTCGAGGAATGGGACACTTCGGAGCCAAAGGCAGTTGTCTTTGACTCGTCGAAGATCAAGCCTAATGTTTGGGAAAAAGAAGAATGCTGAGAAACCCCAACCCGGCGGCGATGGCCGATCGACCCCTCAACGCAAAGAAAGATCTTCTACTCCCAGCATCCGAGAAGAGGAAGAAGAGGGTCCAAGCAAGACACCTGCGGCTCCCGTTCCTCGAACAATTGGCATTGGAGTGGTGGACGTCGCCAGAGTTATGAGAAATGGCCAGCCAAGCGAAGAAACCGTGACCATCTGGACAACGTCGCATCGAGAAGAGGAAAAGCTACGAGACGAGGATCACATCATATCCAAGCTGCTTGACCCCTCAGAGAAAGCACACGTCGTTTCAAACAGAGTGTCCAGCATCAGCTTGAGACTCACCCCATACATCGCTCTAGAGGCAGATACGCTGATCAAGAATAACCCAACCTCTATGCACTTAGTGTCCAAGACACAAAAGATGGGTTTTTCCGAGGCGCCTTCGAAAGCCCGGTTGGACATCTACTTGAGGCTCAATAAAGCCGTCATCACTCAGGGATGTCATCTGTCTCACCCGGAAGTGGGTTCTGCGCCAATCAAGGCCCTGGGTTTGCAAAACTTGCAACTGACTATGGAAGTTCGCGACTCCAACGGTCGGCGCGTCGAGCATTGCATATTCCCTTCTTCCAATGGGGCAGGCGTTACAGCATTTCGCACCAACGCTGTTGAGCATGACATCTGTTGGGATCAAACACTCTGTCTTCGAATACCCACTCAGAAGGTGCCCGACAGCCATCTAGTTCTAAGCATCGCTGACGCTCCTGAGTTCCCTTTTGCATTAGCATGGATGCCACTCTGGGATCGTCAAGCATTTGTCAGTGATGGAAAGCACTCTTTGATCTTGCATGCGTATGATAAAGTCACTTCAAGTATTGTCCAAGGTCGCGGGGCATACTTGTCATTACCATGGGACAATGTGACGAATCGCGCCCTGTATGATGGCGTGACAGCACCTATTGCTTCGTTGGAAGTCGAGACACTTCTCTCGAGCACCGAATTTTCGCAAGATCGGACTCTGGTCAGTCTCATCAATTGGAAGCACCAAACCTCTGTTCAACTACTGGACATCCTCCAGAAATTGACCTTCGTGCCGGAAATCGAAATTGTCAAGCAAGTCAAGGATGTCTTGGATGCGCTATTTGGTGTCTTGGTGCATAAATCCGGTGAATCCAAGTTCGAAGATTTGATATTCAACGATATCGTATTCGTCCTTGGTATTGTTCACGATCGACGCTATAATCTTGGTCCACTGGTTGACCAATACACTGAGAATCATTTTCGCTCTCCGTACGCGGCATCCTGCTTAATACGCAGCTTCACACGGTTGCTGCAAAGCGTTTCCGATCCGCAAAGTGCACGGGACATGAGAGCACTATTCAAAGTCGGAAGTCAATTCATGAAAATTGTCATTTCCTCGTATCAGCAGAGACGCTTCGGGTCACAAGCCAAAGAAAATGATGAGAAGCACTCCACCTTTAAGGAAGACATGCAGGCAATCCTCTTTGGTCTTCAGATGATGATGCGAAGCGAAACAGCTGCCTTAGTAGGTAGCAAAACTCTCCTGGTCCAAAAATTCCAGACCTGGCTTCCGGAATTGCTGCCAGCGTTTAGCGCAGAAGAGGTGATGAAAGTGGCAATCGATTTTATCGACTCGTGTGACGACGTGTCAGGCAAACTGGTTCTTTACAGACTCGTTTTGATTCTGAACTATACCAAGCTCGATCAGATCTGGGTTGAGGAGAAAGATAAGAAGCTATTGGTCAAGAGCTGCATTGGGTGGCTAGAGCCATATTGGACACCAAACAATCTCTCAGACGATTGGCATGACCAGGTGAGACTTTGCTGCTCAATTGTAGCAGAGCTGACTCGATTTTCCACACACTACCTGCACGAGTTCACACCCAAGCTGATTTCAGCCTATGGCACCATTGCAAATGAATCCGGGAGTAAGAGACGATCCTTATCCCTGCTTTTCTCGGAGCAGTATCCCTTTGTTGTCAAATCGGCGGAGAATAACGACCAGTACGATGAGAGTCTACTTGAACTCTCCTCGCTGATTTCAACCATTGCGAGGATGAAGCCACCCACAAGTCCAAAGCTCCATGGACAAGACTTGTCTGATTATATCTTATCTAGCCTGACGGTGCTACGCTCCTTGCTGAGAAATGATGCTTTCCCGGCCACGTGGCTCACGCTCCATATCTACCACCATTCGTCTGCGCTCACAATTCTCGATTACCTATCTTCCCTGCTCATCTCTTCTTATCTTCCCGCGCCTGAAGGTGCCGAGACATTCGACATGCAACTCTGGAAGTCCTTCCTTGACACTCTTCTCGCTCTAGTGTCCTCTCCTGCACTTACACTTGAGCTATTTCCGGAACAAAAACGTCGAGCTGTGTGGAAGATTTCTGGAGATGTGCGACAATCCGGAGCAGATCTATTGCGTAAAAGCTGGGAAAGCTTGGGCTGGGAAGCCGAAAATGACGACCAACGACGATACAATGTGCGCAAGCTTGGCGGCTTCCAAGTCCAGTACGTCCCTAGTTTGGTGGGCCCCATCATCAGCCTGTGTCTCAGCATGCATGAAGGTCTGCGCAAGGTTGCTGTAGAGATCCTTCAGACCATGATTGTCAGCGAATGGGCGCTCAGTGAAGATCTGGAGCTTATTGAGACAGAGATTATAGGTGCTCTGAATTCGTTACTGAAAGCCAAGCCTCTGAGTGGGAACGAAGCGATGAGCAGGAAGTTATTCATCACCGAATTGTTGGAGTTGTTCCATACAATTGCCAACCAACCGGATGATGCTCTATGGACAGCATTGGAAGAGCTCGTTGGCACCGTTGAGGAACTGGTGGACTTGCTCACCACCACAGATCCAGAGGATGAAATGAGCAGCCCGGTGGGTGGGCAGCACGGCAATGGATTATTAAGCAATGGGAATGGGCGTGGAAAGGACACGGATTCCCAGAATTCCGAGGCGAAAGAGCTTGACCGAGCGCGTCGAAGCATTGATGGACTCAGCCCCAGCTCACAGCAGCAAGGGCGTGAGAGAGAGTATGGGGTGCATGCGCTCGAGTGCTATAAGCAGCTTGCAGAGGAGTACGAAAGAAATGGTGACTATAAGCGTCTCGCAAAAACTCACCGAGCCATTGCGAGAATCCACGAAGCAAGAGCAACAAATCGATTTGCCGGCGCTAAGGACACGATCAATGGTCGAGGAAGGCTAGATGAGTACGCAGAGGACGATGAGTGATTGGCGAGGCAGGAATTTGGCAGTTGGAATTGACGGCTGACCGGCAGCGGCTTCAGGAAACCCAAGATACCCCCTCGGAGTCCAGGAAGAGCCTGGCGGCACCAAAGGAAGGACAGGGAGCAGCAAACATCGTACGTTGGAGGGAGAGACAAAACGTGGAAATTTATTTTCGGATTCTAGTCTACGTTTCCGTTGCGCACTTGGTCTTAGCTCTTGAGCGTTTTCGCGACGATTCTTAGGTGTCTAGAGCCTTGTTCACAGACGTGGAGCGATCCAGAAGAGAAAAATTCAACTTCAATTTCTTTTACAATGACAGGGATGAGTATAACCTAGATTGTTCCAGTGGATATTCCCCATGTTGATCCAGATAGACTGAGAGAGTACGTTGCCGAGCCAGGTGCAATGGAGGCAAACACGGTACCCGCTTTCATTGTGTGAACGCTGTTTTTCGACTCGTGTTTTCTAGAAGTTATATTCAGCGAAGAGGGTGTCGCAGGAGCACATGCACAAATTTGATATAGTTGCAGTAACACAGGTCCCTGATCTTGTCTCACCGCGTCATACAGGGACTCAGACTCGCCATCTTCTTCTGGACCTGGCTATGTAATCATCCGATTGTTTGTCAAGCAACAATGCACACCTACCAGGTCGCCTAAAGGATGAGATGAAGTGTGAATGATTGGGGTGCCACCGAGGGATCAGCCACGCGGCCTTGGCAGCTGCAGGTTTCTACAAAGCCATTTGGTCCTGCTACAAGGTACTGAGTGCTCTGTACGGAGTGAGGCAGGGCATTCACTTGGAGGCAGAACTGCAATTGCCGGATCCATGCCTTTGCTCGGAATACATTGCTTTCAACACACGTCCGAAAGTATCACCATCGGTATTATTCCAAAGAACCACCATGTGCATAAATGCATGCCTAGGGATATCTTGATTATCCTCCGTAAGGCGCTCTGTGCTTGAGTAAGTTACCCCCTGGGTGAGGCGGGGTCGGGGATCGGAGTAAACAATACTCCCCTAGAGGCAGGCAGTCGCAATGCAAAGAGTCGCAAAGAGTCGCAAAGAATCCCATCGAAATCGGGAGATGGCTTGGCATTTTCAGCCTCCTGGCCACACGCCAACCAGAAGGCCGCCTCAGGGCCTGACTACGGAGAATGTAAATTCTGACTGGCAAACTGCGGTCACTCTGAGTTCTAATCCATCCACCCACCACTCAGGCAAAGGCCCCATCTCATCAGAGATCCTTCCAACAAATGCGCCTGTTCTGGCCGAACACCGCATCTCCAGATTTCCAATTTTTAAGTCCGTTCGCCAATTCTCTCTTCTGCAACTCCCCAAGTCACACCCACTTCTGCATTCACGGTCCTAGGTCCTAATCACGACTGTCAATCCTTCTCACACGACTCTCCCCTCTCGTCCAGTCCCCTCCGGAAGCCGTCCCTGCAGGTCTTTCTACTTACACCCTCCGTCCTTTATCCGATAAGCCTTGTCACCCCGTACTCGTCCACTTTCGATACCGGCAACTGAGTGACCACTGTCTCAAGATGGTCAAAGACACCAAATACTACGAAATCCTAGGGGTGAGTTTCTCAATGTGTCTATTGTACTTCAACAGCTTCTCACACACGACCTTAGGTGGAGATTACTGCTACTGAGGCTCAACTAAAGACTGCGTACAAAAAGGGCGCTCTCAAACACCATCCTGGTAAGCGTCCTTGACAAGTGCCCAGCCCCTGGTCCTGTTCAGCTGTCTAACTCGCCCCAGACAAGAATGCACACAACCCCGATGCTGCTGAAAAATTCAAAGACCTCTCCAAAGCCTACGAAGTTCTTTCAGACCCTCAAAAAAGACAATTGTACGATCAATATGGCGAGGAGGGTCTAGAACAGGGCGGAATGGGGGGTGGTGGTATGGCCGCTGAAGACCTGTTTGCACAGTTCTTTGGTGGCGGCTCTGGCTTCGGTGGCATGTTCGGTGGCGGCGGCATGCGCGACCAAGGCCCCAAGAAAGCACGACTCATCCACCACGTCCACAAAGTCTCGCTTGAAGATATCTACCGCGGGAAAGTGTCCAAACTTGCCCTGCAAAAATCCGTCATCTGCTCTGCCTGCGAAGGCCGTGGAGGCAAAGAAGGTGCGGTCAAGACCTGCGCGGGCTGCAATGGTGCTGGTATGAAAACCATGATGCGTCAGATGGGTCCCATGATCCAGCGCTTCCAGACCATCTGTCCCGACTGCCAGGGTGAGGGAGAAAACATCCGGGACCGCGACAAGTGTAAACGATGCGCGGGCAAGAAGACCGTTGTTGAGCGCAAGGTCCTCCACGTACATGTTGACCGTGGCGTCAAGAGTGGGCACAAGATTGAATTCCGTGGAGAGGGTGACCAGGTCCCTGGAGTCCTTCCTGGTGACGTCGTGTTCGAGATTGAGCAGAAGCCGCACGCTCGATTTCAGCGCAAAGATGACGACCTGTTTTACCATGCGGAGATCGATCTCCTGACAGCTTTGGCCGGCGGACAGATATACATTGAACATCTTGATGAGAGGTGGTTGACGGTCAACATCTTCCCCGGCGAACCCATCACTCCTGGTAAGTCTTGCCCGAGTCGGGAGCCGAGACTCGAGAAACAGCTCAGATACTAATATCTCTCTCAACAGGTGCCATCAAAGTGATCAAGGGCCAGGGAATGCCCTCATTCCGACACCACGACTTTGGCAATCTCTATATTCAATTCGATGTCAAGTTCCCAGACAAGGCACAAATACAAAATGTTGAACTTCTAGAGCAGGTTCTTCCTCCACGAATGCAGCAAAAGCTGCCTCCTCAGGACGGAATGGTTGACGACTTTGATCTGGAAGATGTTGATCCTCGTCAGCATGCACGTGCGCGGGGTGCCACTGGAATGGATGAAGATGACGAAGATGGCATCCCGGCGGGTGCCGAGAGAGTTCAATGCGCATCGCAGTAAACCAGCAGTGACCGATGAGATTATGAGACCAGGCAGACGGATGATGATTCAAGCAAACGAAGAGAAGGTGGCGGGCACCAGTCGTGCTTGGCTTCGAGCATTAGCGAGCGTGGGGTTTCCAAAGCATCCGAAGTTCCGAACTTGTCGATCAAGCATTCGCATCTCGTTGGCGTCTGGATAAAGCAAGACCGCACAGGGATTCGAAATGGCGTTTTTCTACGGTGGGAGCCCATATTTCACACGGCCAGGCCAAGGCAATCCGGCTCATGCCGGGTGAGGTGCATGCCAGCTTTGGGTCTGCCAGGATGTGTCTCGAGGCGGTGTGTGGATGGTTAGATAGCCTTGCTTTCGCGCATCATAGACGGATATTCAGGATTATGCTATTGCAAAGGACAGAGGACGTTGTGCTGGACCCGGAAGGGTCACTGGACAGCCCCGGTTGTCTTTCGAGGAGAGACTCGAGTGGGAGATACTCAGCACTGGCACGACGAATACAAACCAAGATGGGATTGACGACCATCGCAGCATGCTTGTCCACTACGTACTGATTAACCACGAGATTTTGAGATGAATGACATCCATTGTGCACAAGACGTCACCGGAGGTTGAGGCTTGATCTGATAAGACCTCCCCCGTACAATCCCTTCAGCCTGTATTCCAGACCTTGGCTCCCAAGGCACCCAAGGTATCCTGTCAAGATCATGCAGTGTGAATCTGACACTTCGGGTCATTATTACTTTGGTGCTTGCGGAAGGCGTCTGCCAAGGATGCTTGATCTCCAAGTACTACAGTAGGAGCTCGGGATGGCCTACCAAGTGCCTGCCTACTCGTAACATTTCACCTTCAGCCATTACTCCGTCTGTGCCTGGCCAAGCAACAGAGTTGGACAAAGATCAAGGAGGTTTCCCGGCGCTATTGCATCAGTCCGAGATGTATCACGCTTCCAATCACAGCCTTTACGAGATATCTCATGTCCAAGGTCGAACTAATTACCTAGGTCGTGTCTCGAATATATGGGGCCCTCAGAAGCGTACAGGAGGAATACGAGGTAGGAACGGGGAGGAGGGCAGAGTGCAAAAGCAAATGGCTGTGGCTCTTTTGATGATGGCACCGTACTCGTAGGTGAGGTGAGATTCGGGCGGGCCTTTGTCGTGCCATCTGCCTACGAGGTGCTGATTAATTACAGGATTCAGTCGAACTGGAATGTGCTTGGCTGTTTGGGTCTTAGGCGGAATCACGTCAACAGCAACACCGAAGAGTGAGAGAGGGCAAGATGTCTGATTGGTAGGGAATCAAGGTGCAGAGAGAGGGGGGTGGCGGTGTTGTCACCGCCTTTGCCTTGCGGTTTGGCTGCATATGAGGTTGGGGTATGAGGTATGAGGTGTGTACGGTATGTATGAGGTGTGTACAGTATGTATGAAGTGTGAGGTGTGAGGTGTGTACAGTATGTATGAGGTATGAGGTATGGGCGGCGTCCACACACACGGAGTCTTTACCCTTGTTGGGCGCTGGGATGGAGCCACGCTGCGGCGGCACTGGCACTCAGCGGGTCCCCTGGCTCCAGACAAACTCACCGACCCAGGAGACGACACTTGTGACCCTGTAAGAATAATTATTTAACTGGAGCCGACCCCTCCCGACCTACGCATTGATTAAAAATACTACAAGAGCACGTCATATTGCTCCTGTGAGAACCTGGCTTCGTGAAACGCCTCGTGGTCTTTCAGCTTTCAAAAAGGGTGTGTTGCAAGTGGCAACCCATCCACTGCCACCGGGTGTCAGGTTCAAGTTGGGCTCACTACCGACCATCCCAGGTCTCCCCCGTATTGCTGAAGAGAGGTGTAGCGGTCTGGCGGTCTGGCGGTCTGGCGGCCCGGCTGTGCACAGTACTCTGGACGAAATGTGCTGATGCCCCTTGAGGCAGGGCGTGGGACCTGCGCCCATCCTTAATCGCCTAACCTCAGGTGGGCGTGTTTAGCGCACTGCATGTCCCTGGGACATGTAAGCACGGTGTATTCGGTAGTCAGTTACCTCAAAGCTACCTTAAAGGTACCCGAGACACTCCTGACGGGGTACAGCATTTTCCATGCCCCTAGAATGGCCACATGGCAAGCTTCAATTCTGGACCCGGTGCAAGATACAGATACATGCTCTTGGAAAGCAAACTCGCGCACGGTAGTGCTGTGCTTGTTTTTCGCAGCCTGGCATCTGGCATGTTGACTCTCAAGCTCCCAGCTCAACTTCCCCCCCCCCAGATTGCCTCCTTCCACTGCCAAGAATGGTGTCATACAATTTTACCCTAATACAAGGTTTCTTCCGAATCTGGATGCCTTAATTCCCACCCACAATCGCATCAGCCGCAATTGTGATGAGCAACGAGCATGGCTTTCTCCTACAGCTACTCGTACCTTCTCCCACGCGTGCTACCGGCGCCCGCATCTCCGACCTTGGAGCTTGATCGCTCAAGGCTAGTTAGTCGCATGTGCAGTCCCTACATTGATCTATCTCAAATCTCCCCCCGATTCGTCAAACAACCGATTGCACCATCGCCCTCGCCCTCGCCCTCGCCCTCGCCCTCGCCCCATCACCATCCCATCCTGCCCGTCTCAGTGCCTTTTCTTCATTTCGCTGGCGTCCGAAGTGCCTTGTAAGAGTCGTACTGCTTCCATGGACATGGAAAGTCTGTGAGATCCTTGGGCTTCACCTCGGCGGGGTCCAGATCTCGTATTTCGTCAATCAGCATCCTTCCGATATCCAGCCAAGTTGAGCATCTCGCTTGGCCCCAGGGATCTACAAGGTGTTGCCATCCTCACCCGGGGGCGAACATATAAACCTTAGACCCCTTCCAACAATCACATCATAACGAGGTCATCATCTCCATTCTTGCGAGGAAAACTCTGAGCCGACTATACCAGCACCTCTCAACCCCCGTGCTTTGGGATTCCCATCGCGTCGTCAGAGTACTACACCTTCATCACCCGTTTCCGAAGGACCAACGGGCTCCGATCAGCCTTTATCTACCCTAATCACAGTCTTACCGCTCGACAAGCTCTTCTCCGGACCTCGAGCTGCTTTTCACGTCTCGACTAGCTTGCTCCTTCAGGACTTTACACGGGCCTAAGGCGTACCCTGGTCCCATCCCGCCAATCCAATCCGCAGCCCTGCTGATTCCTCGCCTTGGCAATCACCACTTCTCCCTACACGGCAGCCACCGTACGGTACCACCAACCACGCTGCGAAGGCCCTAAATAACAACAAAGATCTGCCCTGTCAGCCCCCTTTCTTGTTATCATTCTTGAACTCGGTACCACCACTTGCAACCCAGACGCAAAGCTGCTGCTTGAGTGTTGAAGCACATATTCAGGTCTTTCTAGACCACCCGAGTCGACCAGCCATGGCCTCAACCTCAACCAAGGTTGGCCACTCTTTGGCCAGAGTGCTTGGTATTGATATCAACCAGAACCAAGAAAAGGACGATGCCATCACACGAGGCGAATCCACCTATTCCGTCAACACCGCCGATACCTATGTCGAGGAGGAACCTCATACCATTGACTGGCTGAAGGACCTTGTCCCTGACAGAAAACAAGTCGTCAGCTACATCTGGAGCCTGTTCCCTTTCACTCACTGGATCTTGCGGTACAATCTTCAATGGTTTTTCGGAGATCTGGTCGCCGGTATCACGGTCGGCTGCGTTGTTGTACCCCAGGGCATGGCTTATGCCAAGCTGGCCGAATTGCCTGTTGAGTTTGGACTGTACTCCTCCTTCATGGGTGTCCTCATCTATTGGTTTTTTGCGACGTCCAAGGATATCACGATCGGTCCCGTTGCCGTCATGTCGACCATTGTGGGCAATGTTGTCAACAAAGTTGCCATTGAGCACCCCGAAATCCCCGGCTACGTTGTGGCCTCTGCACTTGCCATTATCTGTGGTGCGATTGTCGCCTTCATTGGCCTGATTCGCGCGGGATGGATTGTTGACTTCATCCCCTTGACCGCCATTTCAGCCTTCATGACTGGCTCCGCCATCAGCATTGCTTCGGGTCAAGTCCCCACCATGATGGGTATCAAGGTCACAGGATTCAACACTCGCGACCATACTTATATGGTCATCATCAACACGTTGAAATATCTCGGACACACCAAGATTGATGCTGCTATGGGCTTAACCGCCTTGTTCCTCCTATATCTGATCCGATATGGCTGCGCATTTTTGGCCCGGAAGAACCCCAGCAGAGCAAAGACTTTCTTCTTCATCTCCACCCTCCGGACAGCTTTCGTCATCCTTCTCTATACCATGATCAGCTGGTTGGTCAACCGACACCATCGTGAGAAGCCTATTTTCGCAATCCTGGGCAAGGTGCCACGAGGTTTCCAACATGCAGCAGTGCCAACCGTTAATACAGAGATCATCAGCTACTTTGCTCGCGAACTTCCTGCCTCCGTCATTGTCTTGTTAATTGAACACATCGCTATCTCGAAGTCCTTCGGTCGAATCAACAATTATACCATCAATCCTTCCCAGGAACTTGTTGCTATTGGTGTCACCAACCTCTTGGGTCCTTTCCTTGGTGCCTACCCGGCGACAGGTTCTTTCTCCAGGACTGCTATCAAATCCAAAGCTGGCGTCAGAACTCCATTTGCTGGTGTCATTACTGCGGTTGTGGTTCTTTTGGCCATCTACGCTCTTCCCGCCGTTTTCTTCTACATACCGAGTGCCTCGCTGTCAGGCGTCATTATTCACGCTGTGCTTGACCTGATCACTCCACCCAAGACAGTCTACCAATTCTACCGCGTCAACCCTCTAGAGGTCATCGTGTTCTTCGCCGGAGTTTTCGTCACTATTTTCTCTTCCATCGAGAATGGTATTTACACTACTATTTGCGTCAGTGTGGCTATTTATCTCTTCCGCGTCGTCAAGGCTCGAGGACACTTTGTTGGTAAAGTCAAGATTCACTCCGTCATTGGTGACCATTTGTTGGAAGATAAATTCCACGATGGACGCCGAGCGTCGGATGAACGTGACGAGCGCAACATCTTCTTGCCACTGGACCATGGCGATGGCTCAAACCCAGACATCAATGTTGAATCGCCCTACCCTGGTATCTTTATCTATCGTTTCAGTGAAGGCCTCAACTATCCAAACGCAAACCACTACACAGACTACTTGGTCGAATACATCTTCAAGCATACCCGTCGAACGAACCCCGACTCCTGGCCACGTCCTGGTGATCGACCCTGGAATAATCCCGGCCCTCGCCGAGGTCAAGTGGAACAAGTCAATGACGGCCTTCCCACATTGAAGGCCATCATTCTAGATTTCTCCACCGTCAACAATGTTGACGTGACAAGTGTTCAGACCCTGATTGATGTCCGCAATCAACTTGATCGCTACACCACTCCAGACGTGGTTCAATGGCATCTTGCCTCCGTCAACAACCGCTGGACCAAGCGTGCACTTGCTTCAGCTGGCTTTGGCTATCCCACCCTTCCAACTGAGGAGTATGCCCGATGGAAACCGATTTTCAATATTACAGAAATCGGGGGTAGCAGTTCTGCTGCTGCTGCGGCAGAAGCGGAAACGAACAGAAGGCTGTCGCATGCGCGTGACGAGGAAATTGGCCGACCTTTGAGCAAGTCCGAGAATATCGCGGCCAGCAAGCTTCGTGATGACTCCAGCTCTGGCAGTAACCACGACATTCAACGGCAACTCAGCAATAGCAAGGCATATCACAGGACCAACGTGTCGAAGAAGGCCGTCGTTCACAGCCTCAACCGCCCTCTCTTCCATATTGACCTGACAAGTGCGCTGGAATCTGCCATCGCCAATGTCCAGGCACAGGAGAGAAGTCGAGGCGAGCAATTCCTGTCTAGGAACAGGGAAGTCGAAACTGACATCCCCATCGAAAAATAGAGTATTCGGCAGCGTGTATGGTGTTCGGTTTGACAGCATGATATCGGTCCTTTTCCGGATTTGACGACATTTGAGCCCCCCCTCCAAGAACTAGAACTTTTTTTACCGGATGGGATATGATTATTGGCGATACACCAAAGATGGTGCTACCATGAAAGCACTATAATACAGGAGGCGAGACATTCTTAGAAGAAACCCATTTGTGTGGGATATAGGAGACGAATTCTACGAATTGATCGTGGAGTGTCATTGGCTGTAGGACCCAGCTATATATGAACTGAGACAGCAACAATTCGTTGCATTATACCGTCTTACGAGATTAGACTCGTGGCAGTAAGAAATATTGACCACTGATGTACCGTATATGTCTTACAAGGTCACAGATAGGTGGGCCAGAATGAATGTGGCTTCAACCATTCTCTGACCTACCACGTGGGTGTCATTCTACTTTCCCATGTCGATCAACAATGTGGGTATTCATGCAGCATCGCATCGAGTACTGAGTTGTCCGTACTGGCACCCCTGGTGCCTGGTATGTACAAAATCACTGACTAATGCTCCATCCCACATACTGAGGTCACGTGTGTCGTACACTCCACTCCCTTTCTGCCTAACAAACAATCAGTTGATTAGTAGTTCATTAGCGTTTCCCCGTTCGGCAGGAGCCATCATCCCGTTATCAAGGCTTTTATCTTTCGACTTCATTCAATCTGTGCATCCCCACAAACCTCACCACTGAACCATTGTCTGCCACTAAAAGAAGGCAAGCGGCCTACTCTATCGGATAGCCCTGCTAGCGAGATACTATGACTCCTCGTTTTACATCATGGTGTCGCATGCGGCTCTCCATGCGTGGAGCTATCGCACAAGCGCCCCGGGAGACGGAGTCATTCTTAACGCGTACCTATGGACGTCAACCCTGGTTCAGCTTCTGCTCCACGCACTATCCATGCAAAGAAGCACCCACAGCTCGTTCTAACCAGGAGTTCCATGAGCTAGCCAGTATGAATTCTCTGCAATAGCACACTTGGAGATAAGAGATTCTCTGAATTGCCTAAACACAATCAGAGACATCAGTCACCATCATCCACCATGCTTCCGTGCTCGACCGAGTCTTTCGGCTTCGACGTCCATGTCCGCTCACCCTGCAGATCTGTTGTGTTACCCTGCCGTGATGGCTAGCATAAAGCTCCCCAGCTAGGGACATGGTTTCACCTTCCACTCCATGTTGATTTGATTCCCCCGGCCGAGACCTCCTTTCCTGTGTGTGATCGCCTCTACCAAGATGCTATTTAACGCCAGGTATCATTGGGCGGCTCTTGTCAGCCTGGTCACTCTTTGGTGGCTTTGCGCTGGAGGAGAAGCACAACTCGTCTCGACGGGCTTTTCGGTCTCCTTCAACGATGTCTACTATTATATCTCTCCATATTCTGTTGGCAATGTCTCGGTAGACCCTGCCGTGCTCAGTACTGCGTCTGCTGTACATGGCTTCTATCCTGTCACCGTAATCCAAGCGGATATTGGGGTTAGCGGAATCAGCTCGGTGGTCGAGAACTTTACGAGTATGGACGATGTGTTTCAGGAGGCATTCTTGCAAGGCAAGTGGACTCTTTCATGCGTTACACTCGATTCAAAACAGATACACATGATGTGTTCTGTGATAGCCTTGCCGAATACTCAGGAAGACAAGCATGGAGAAGCTTCAGATAATGCATCCCGCACATCCAGCTGACCCCTCCCTTAGCCGTACTACTACCAAATGCAGTGACAGGACAACTCACATCTCCAGAGAACATCACATTCAACATCTTAGCTCTTGATTCAACTACCATTCCGAGTGGACCGTATTTTCTAGAATCATCCACTGGGTCCCTTTACCCGACCTATCGACTGTACTCCGACTTTACGGGTTCATTCTCTGAGCCGTTGTTGCAGACTCCCGACGGCACATTCACAAGTCTCAGTGCACAGATCCCTGGTACGGCATCTGTGACCATTGGTGTTCCATCACGCCTCTACTACACTCGCACAGAGGATCAACCACTGGCTGGCGTTCGCATCGCCGTCAAGGATATCTTCGACCTCGCGGGTGTGAGGACATCCAATGGAAACCGAGCATGGTGGAGTCTCTACCCTCCTGCCAATGTTACAGCACCGTCGATGCAACGCCTGGTCGATGCGGGTGCCATCATCGTGGGAAAGCAGAAACCTTCACAGTTCGCAAATGGTGAGCAAGCCACGGCGGACTGGGTTGACTATCATTCCCCCTTCAACCCTCGAGGAGACGGATACCAGGATCCATCCTCCTCATCCTCTGGCGCTGGTGCTTCAATTGCCGCCTACGAATGGCTAGACATTGCTGTGGGCTCTGACACAGGAGGATCTATCCGTGGACCGGCGGCAGTTCAAGGACTCTTCGGGAATCGACCTTCGCATGGTCTGGTCGAACTGACGCATGTTATGCCCTTGTCGCCGACTCTTGACACCGCAGGCTTCCTCGTTCGAGATCCATACCTCTGGGACATTGCCCAAGCCGTCCTCTACGACACTAACTACACCTCCACTGACCTCGCGGTACCGATAGCGTGGCCTACCAAGATCTACACATGGAGCTATCCCAGCAACGCCTCCGAGTCCAACTCATCAGCGCTCCTTGTTTCATTCGCATCCAAACTCGCGACCTCCATCAACGCAACCATTTCACCAGTCAACATCACGAGCCTGTGGAGCAACTATACCCCTCCGACCATATCTAACATCGACATCCCCATCGCCGGCCCGCTCTCCTCCTTCCTCAACCTAACATACGCGATCCTCATCTCAAAGCAACAAACCGCACTCGTCCGCGACCACTTCTACGCCGACTATGCCGCACAGCACCAAGGACGCACGCCATTCGTCGATCCCGCCCCCCTAGCCCGCTGGGCCTTCGGGGACTCCTACCCGGCCAGCGCCGTGACAGACGCCATCGCCAATAAAACCGTGTTTATGGACTGGTTCAACTCCGAGATCCTACCACGTGGTGGCCCTAGCGGGCCATGCAGCGACGCAATCTTCCTATACGTAGGCAGCACGGGCGGCGATGAAGACGTCAACACTCGCAACGAATACATCAAGCCGCCGCGCCCGCCCGTTGGGTTCAGTGCAGGACGTCTTAGCGTCTTCTCCGAGGCGCCGGACAGCGTATTTCCGCTCGGCGAGACACCGTACTACTCGAACGTGACGCACCATGAGGAGTTCCTGCCTGTTGCGGTTGACGTTATGGTGGCGAAAGGCTGTGATGCGCTGCTGCCACGGTTGGCGCAGAAGTTGGTCCAAGAGGGGATTATTGAGGTACCGAAGACGGGCAGGTCGGGGGTTGATGGCGGGGAGGTCTTGTTGAAGAGGAGGGTTGGTGTCTAAGGGGGGTTAAAAACACTCCAGTTAAAGCAATAGTTAAGGCGGTTAGATCAAGATGATAGATGTCGACCTGGATGTGCTCATTGAATACTGTTCTCATACTGGCCGGATGGGCGATCAGGAAGTTCTAAGAAATCCTGGTGAAACAATTCGAGAAAAGCTAAATCACATGAAAGAACCAATCAATTGAGCAACAGGGCTCGAATGCCAAATCCCAAAGGCCTCTCGCAATCCAGCATTTTTAGATCCGCCAGAAGTTCTCAGATGTCAATCAAAGGAACAACCAAGGCACTGGGGGTGTCCGGCCCAAAGTGCAGAACATGCCTCCCTTTATTCTGGGACAACTCGGCTCCTCTCAGAGGCGGGAACTCGGCGAGCGTCATGGGATGCCCGCTGACCTTGAGGAGGAGCGACTCGCCGGGCTCGAATGCCATGCCCGTCTGCCACAGTCCGATGTCCAGCTCGACGATCTGGCCCGGCAAGATGGGGTCGCGGCGCGTGTAGTCGTGTTCGGGGAACTCGGGCGTGGATTCTGGTGCGGACAGGGCGCGGTGGCTTGCGCGCAACGCGCCGCTGGGGCCGAGGTAGCGCAGCGGGTTCACCACCGGGACCTCGGAGTCGGGGATGGGCGAGTCCTGTGCTGGGATGGTCAGTTGTTGGAGGACGGCGCCGGACCGGTCCACTTTGCGCAGCTGCAGCCAGATGTCCATGTCGTCGTGGCCTGAGTCGGGCGGCGTCGACATGAAGAGCTTGGCGCGCGCCGAGCCGACCAGGTACGCGGAGGAGGCGAATATGTGTTGGAAGCCGAGTTCTTCGTCGTCGTCGTCCATCTGTAGGAACGGCACGTCGGATTGGTAGGACAGTGTCGTGTCGGCGCTGCTGTCGCTCGGGAGTTGGTGTTGGAGGCTGCCGTCGGCACGCAGGTAGAGCGTCTTGTACTCGGTCGAGGGGATGGGCCAGTCTGGGACGATGTGGTTCAAGATGGGTTCCTAGGAACAAGTGAGGCGGTTACTATGTATATCTCTCATCATGATTCACCAGTCATTTGGCCGGATATGCAGGTGCAACCTAGACACGGCGCGGCGCCGTCTTCCAGGACAAAAGAGAAATTGAAGGGGATGTCTTCCTGACTGACCTTGTTATATCGGTAGATGGAAACTCGGACTTTGGGAGTTTCCTCCCATCCGTTATCGATGCCTTTGGTGTATCGATCGAGGAACTTCTGTAACTCGTCGTTGGTCTCTTTCTGGTAGAGATCGTGCCATTCTTGCGTCGCGTGGACTCGGAGCCTAAGCGACATGGCACGCGCGGTGCCCAGATTAATGTCTGTTCCTGACTAGGCACCAAGACGTATTGTCTTATGGCTGGCTTACCATTTGTGCTGACTCTGCGCTTCTGTGAAGCCCCGGAAGGAGCCGAACGTGTGGAGTCCCGTTGAGAAGGAGGCCAGAGCGTAGATGGGAACATTGATATTGCTGACATTGGCGCGTTTGTCGGCCCAGTAGTCGTTCATCGATGGGTACTTCTCAATCATCGACGCCACGTCCTCCTGAGTCCCATTACCTGATGCTTGTCAGTGAGGCGCTGACTACTTAACAGTATGTAGATGATACATGTCCATTGCTTCGAGTAAAGACTGGTGTTGAAAACACTCACCGAAAAGCATACTGCCAACAAACCTGAGAAATGCTTTGGATGGAACTCCTCCGCGACAGACAAGCTCACGATAGACGTCCGAAGCACCTTCAAACGGAGCGATGCATTTCAAGTGTGGAGGCCGCTCAGCCGCGATGAACCACTGTGCCATTCCAAGCCACGAGTTTCCCACAAACGCAATGCTTCCATTGCACCATTCCATCTTGGCCAACTCCTCCGTCACATCGTAGCCGTCTCTTCCCTCCTGGGTTCCCCACCAGCTGTTTGGACCCTCTAAGTCAGTCTTGTTGGATCTCTTGCTATGGGACACACTCAGTGTTTGAGTGACGGAGATCCAAAACGTACGGGAGACTGCCTCCTTCCGAGTCCCATGAGCCTCGCACGTCAACATTGACAATGGCGTAGCCGCGTGCTGTCCATTCCGCTGGATCGGGGGCTTCGAACTTTTCATACTTGGAAAGCTTGGACTGAGGAATGCCCACTCGTCCCGGCACGAGATCTAAGTGGAAGAATCCTACAGACGGCGCAAAAGGTCAATCGAGTTCAAACCCAATTCAGCTGTCATACAGTGGGGTTTCTTTGTTAGTGTAGAGCAGCGTTTGTACCTCTGCCAGACTTCCCATAGGGGCTCCACGCGACGAGAGCAGGGACTTTCTCGTCGGAATCAGCAGGGCGGAAGATATCTGCTCTGATTCGAGCCCCATCACGCAGAGAAATCTTCACATCTTTCTCGAAAATGGTGTTTGCTTGGAATGAAGCGTAGCCCGGGCCTTTACTATGGCCCTTGGGTAGCGTCGTCGTCCTCGAATCGGCATTGTCGTAGTTTGGATCCTCTGGACAGGGCCGAAGGCTGATTTGGATGACGTCGATTGACCCTACCTTTAGTGGCATTCTGGATGAGAGAGCGATGGTTTCGATGCTGCTACATAAGAGAGCGAGTATTTATTGCCCTTTTCCAAGGCAGAGCGCGTGTCGTCCTCCCCTCAACTTCTTATGTCCTGTCCCAAAGCTCAGGCGAGCTGCGGCGAGACGCATTGCATGGCGCCAGGAGTTTGTGGGGAAAGTGTTCACGTTGTGCGGGACCTAACTTGGACGACCTCAAGTGTCCGGGCCTGAGGGGTTGAGGGGCCGCGATTTCAGCGGGCGAACTCCCCCTCCCCCGGGAGAAGAACGATTACAAGTTTCAATCGGGCTGGCCTCTTGAGATGTCCGAGTATTATTGTTTGGCGCGGAAGTAGATTAAATGCCGAACACATTAAGGTTCGCGTTCAAACAAAGTGTTCCCCGCCTGCCCACCTGGTGGGACGTCCGAGGAAATCTGCTACGGTGTACCAACACTTGCACCAGTAATAGCATTGTGCGAAGCAAGAAGTCTGAAGGTGAAGGAACCTGATGGATGCGATGGGTCTCGAAACCTCGTCTATGTTCGACGATATCTAGCTATCGAAGACATGGACTATTAAAGGCAGCTAAGCAGACCGCGCACGTTTTTCTAGCCCCCTGTACATCTTCTCTCTCATGTTTCCTTACAGCTGGACCATGTCAATCTCATCTCGTTCGTTTTCACTTACTTGCAAGTAACAATGCACGAAGATCGATCTCCAACCAAGCAACCTTCCACTTGGGGACACCGCCCAGTTTCTCCATAACCCTGCGACTCCCGATATTAGACTGCGCTGAGTCCGCATGTCCATAGTAGACGCCTTGCTTGCTTTGTGAGATCATCCTGCCTCTACATAGTAGTCCCTTGCCTACCGCCACAGCTAGGTTCCTACCCCGGTGCTCCGCTTCTGTGTGGAGGCTGGAGATGCTGCCGTCCTTGGAGAGAAACCCCCAGCCGATTGGGGTAGGATTGTCCACAAAAAACAGGCCAAGGGACTCCATCTGATAGAGCAAGGCAAGTGTACGCGGGATCGGTGTCCGATCGAGCACCATCTGGAGATGCTCGCGCCGCATGTCCGCGAGATAGTACCCCTCGGGCAGGCTGACTTCGCGATTGATGGTCGCGTCTTGAGTATCCTGTGGTCCCAAAGTAGGGAGACTGAAAACATACTTGAGATAACTGGGATCGATCCTGGTTCTGGCAGTATTATCAAAATATCGCCATAGAACTTCGTGGACCGTTCCGAAGAGCACCTTGTCCCGTGAGTATGGGATAGAGAGGTATTTCCCCGTGCGTTGGAGTTCGAGCCAGTCTTCATTTGGAGTGGTTGGCTGGCAAGGAACGAGATCTGTGTATATGTAGCGGAAAAGTGTGTTAAACAACTCCTCATGAATTTGTGCGTGTGGATCGCCCTCACCATCGAGTGATGCAGCAGGTGCGATTGAGGACGTCTCTGAAACCGTGGCTGATGCTTCTTCTGACACGGAAGGTAGGTCTGTCACAGACGAAGAGAAATAGCCAACTCCGGGATGCTCCCAGCTTGCGTATACCCAGACTTGTGTTTGGCCTTGTGTGCTCAGGTCGATGTGCGCCGCAAGCCATGGCAAGGCTGTTCCTGGAGATGAATCTTCATGGAGCCACGAGTCAAGCCAACCACGGACATGAGCATCCTCCGCAGCAGACTCGGCGTCATTCAACGCGGCGGGTTCATGATTTTGCCCGGGAACAACGGCAGCAACGAAGATTCTTGATGTTTCCGAAAGCGGATGATTGAGGTGGAATTCTATCCTCCTTGCCAGTGGGAGAGTATAAGGAAGTTCTGCCACCAGTCTTGCTTGGAGGAGCACCACCTGAGACGGCGAGAGGGTGCTATGTCGGTTGATATCTGGGGAAAGCCGCCCAGTCATTGTGATTGAAGAGCACTACCAAAGTCCTCTGTAACAAGACAAGTTTGATTGGCGAACTCGCACTTAAGTTTGATCCCAGCAAATAAATACCTAGTTAGATACATCAAGCTCTACATCAACCAAACGCTCAAGCCAATCTGTTATTATTGAACAACATTACACCTAAAGTACCTTGGGGCACCGAGTGATATGTCGGAGATAGGATAATGGTATACGGAGTACTCCGTATAGTGTGATGGACTAAATTAAGGTTGGTAGCGAACGGGTTCTTGGCGAGGCTACTTAATCTAAACAACACATTATTGAGTTCTTTATTGCCATACAAATTTGTCCACACACCTTAGCGAGCTGGTCACCATCATGCAGCGCTCTCTTTATGGCTGGTTTCCAAAACTGAAGAAATGCTGAGGTATGACTGGACCTACGAGGACCTAGTGCTCACTCTATGCAAGGGGCCATCGAGTTTAGGCTTCCAAGTAGAGGCCATTTTCCAACACTGCCGTATCCGGCTCACCGTTGAGCTATCAAAGCCTTCCTCGCTTGCAGGTGGGCCTTTAGACGTGAATGCTAGTATACGTACCGGAATTGAGGATTCTATGAAGCGCTGTATCAGTGTTGAAACTCATCATGTTGATCTCGAGCTCGTACCTTTTTGTCAGTCACATCGTCATCGTAGGCATGCTCATATGCCTCGCTGATACCTGCTTCATCACGACGCTTATTTTCCCAGACGCAAATGGATCGGTACACTAGGGATAAAACTGCAGATGCAACTGCAGTACCCACGACAGCCTGAAAGCCAGGACCATATCGAGGCGCGTCTTTGTCTTTGTAGAGGAGAGGTCCAGTGAATTGGCCTAGAGAGAGTCAGAACCATTAAGTGAGCTTTTCCTGACGGCACGAATACCTAGGCAGTATCCCAAGTGGATTCCGGACGAGCTGATGACTCGCTTAGTATAACCAGCGGCATTGGCAATCGAAAGACCCATCAACAAACCCCATGCACAAGTGAAACCAGGCAGAATGTAGCAGGCAAAGAGAAGGCCGCCCAGGTTACTAGTTGGCAGCTTCCATAAAAGGCTTGCTGCTACAACTGTGACCAACTGAGCAACAAAAATTATGTAGCACCTCGCATTCTTCACCTTATAGGCCAAAAAGGTGGTACCAACGATGCAGATACCAATAAAGATTCCTCCAGGTGAAAGATAGAGGAGAGTCTTGAATACGCCAACTTGGAAACCGACAGCTACAATGAGAGGAACAAAGGCATTCACAGGGCCAGCGGCGATCATACTGAGGTAACCCATGGCCATGACAAGCCAAAACTTCTCATCTCTCACCAATTCTAGGGCATGTGCTTTCTTGAAATGAAGGTTTCGGACGCCTGCGTTATTGACTCGTAACCGTGCGACAGCGATATATCTTTCTCTGTCAGTCAAACCTTTGGCTCGGATTGGATCCGGTGGCATGAAAAAGAAGATGACGAACGCCCACGATATGGTCATGGCACCACCAACCAGGTACATGTATTTCCAGGGCTTGAGAGATCCATTGATATGGCCTAAGCCCCAGTTTATTGGGAAACCAATAAACGAGACGAAAGACGAGGCCGAAAACCAAATCCTAAACACCTTAGGTCCTGTTTAGACATGAAGTTAGTGGCAAGACTGACCCGATCTTGAGAGCTTGCTCGTCCTTCTTGTAAAATTGGCCGACGACAAGCATAAAAATTGGACTAATGCCAGCCTCGAGAGCACCCAAAAAAAATCGCTGAGCGTATAGGCCTTTATAGCTCGTGCATACCTAAAATGTCATCACAATCAATATTCTCTTCGGAGGTTTCTACTCATACTGGCGTGAGAATGAAACAGGTACCCCAGACGAAGACCAAGCCTCCGGCAACTCGCTCGACAGGATATCTCTGTGCCAATCGAGAAGCTGGGTATGCACCGGCGATAAACCCCAGGAAGAATATGGCGGCCGCAAATGAGTAGCGGTTTCCTGTCAACTGCAGGTCCTCACGGAGTCCGAAAATGGCCTGTTCACTTACACTGAGCCATGACTTTCGATATAGAAATTGCCCTGAACACTCACCGCCAAAGATATCATCGCTACCGTTGTGTTACTGGAAAGAAAACACCATCATGGATGACTGCGCATAGTATGGACCGACTCATACCTTTGTCATAGTACTGCATAGCGTATGTTACGCAGAGAATGGGCAGCAGACGCCTGTCGATCTTCCTCCGCAGCTTCTTCTCCTCCAGAGGCTCCCAAGTTGATGGACCACCATAAGCAGCGATAACTTTCAATGCTTCATCGTTGCGGACATTGTCGACCTCGAACTTCTCCGCCTCGGGAGTATTACTCGAAATCTGTTCCTCATGAACTTCCTCAGCCTTGTCAATATTCGCCATGATAGGGTGCAGGATTTGGGTACGTTTAGTAATCAACCTAAAGAAGCGGGTTTGACCTCTTCACCGGTGGAACCCATCACGATTTCTTTGAACAATCTTTTGAAGATGGATCGGCTTCTTGGCCGGCTATGCAAACGACCTCGGGGCGGAGTCTCCACTATTCCATACCACAGACCCCCGGAATCAAATTCGATAGACCCTTCACGAGGCTATGCCAGGAAAAGCGACCGCCAATCTATGTCGCTAGGCCTAGCCCAATATACTCCGCACTATGGTGGTTGTTCGTGGATCTAACCAAGCATAGCTAACTAGCAACTGGGTGGTAATATTCCGACATCCACCAAATCACCTTTCTTGTAGATCACGTTGTTGAACAGGTTGATGTGCATAAAGGTGGTAAGAGAGTTGCAAATGGAATGGAAGCCTCGGCCGCGCACGGCAATGCAAATTCATAACATTCTCGCCACGTTGAAAAGTGTGCGGTGATATGAAGCATGCAAGAAGCCGATGATGGCCGAGGGACGTAGTTCATTTGTGCCGATACAGAGCATGCGTGTTCATTATTATTTCCGCCTCAAATCGAGAGGTTGCATTTAGCAATCATTCAAAACCGCCAGTTCTCTCCAAATAGTATGAACCACTTGATCAGTCTCGTGTTCTCGGAAATCCCTGTCTCACTCTACCCTCAGAAAATTTAGTATTCAAGCGCCGCCACAATGGTCAAGAATCCGGGTCCAGTATACGTTCTCGGGGTGGGAATGACCAAGTTCATCAAGCCCAGGGGCAAGGTTGACTGTAAGTTCCTGATCTCGATGGCCAGGTTGGATCATTGCTAACTACCTATTCTGTCGACAGACACAGAAGGTAAATCTCCCGCAGCTGGCCACTAATGGTCTCGAGGGCCCATTGAAGTGCATGTGTCTTTGAATGCGTGGTCCTTTGCACTAACAACAATCCAGTTGGCTTTGAAGCCGGTATCAAGGCAATGCTTGATGCTCAAATCTCGTATGATGAGGTCGACCAGGGCATTGGCTGCTACGTATACGGCGACTCTACCTGTGGTCAGCGAGTCTTTTATCAATTCGGGATGACTCAAATACCTATCTACAATGTCAATAGCAACTGTTCCACGGGGAGTAGTGGTTTGAACATGGCTAGACAAAGCATCGCTTACGGTGCAGCTGATTGTATTCTTGTCGTTGGCTTCGAGAAAATGGCCCCCGGCAGTCTGAAGGGCCATTTCGAAGACCATGCGAGTCCTATGGAGACTACCCTTCACGTCGTGCAAGAGACAAAAGGTATTACAAATTCTCCTTTCGCCGCACAAATGTTCGGCAATGCGGCCCAAGAATATATCGAGAAATACGGCGCGGACGCGAAAGATTTCGCAGAAATCAGTCGTGTCAACCATGAACACAGTACACGAAATCCTTACGCACAATTCCAGCAAGAGTACACGCTAGATGAGGTCCTTAAGTCACCTATGATCCACCCACCCATGACAAAGCTTCAGTGCTGCCCGACTTCTGATGGTGGGGCAGCTGTCGTTCTCGTTTCCGAAGCTTTCTTGAATAAGAGACCCGGACTCAAGGCTCAAGCAGTTCAAATCATTGGCCAGCAGCTGGGTACAGACTCTCCCGAGCTATTTAGCAAATCTGCGATTGATCTTTGTGGATACCATATGACAGAATATGCTGCGAAGGAGGCTTTCGGGCAAGCTAAGATTACGCCAGACGATGTGAGCGTGGTTGAACTGCACGACTGCTTTAGTGCCAACGAGATGATTTTGCTCAACTCGCTCGGGTTGGCACCCAAGGGAAAAGCGCACGAGCTTGTCCGTGCGGGTGGAATTACGTACGGCGGTAAATACGTGGTTAATCCATCAGGAGGCTTGATCTCGAAGGGCCATCCTCTCGGTACATCTCTTTCTTCGTTACTACCGTGAACATGAGCTGACGAAGCATTTTAGGCGCGACTGGACTTGCCCAATGCGCGGAGCTGGTCTGGCAACTACGAGGCTGGGCTAACAACCGCCTTGTCAAGGACAAGGAGACCAGATACGCCCTCCAGCAGAACCTCGGACTAGGAGGTGCATCCATCGTCACAATCTACAAGCGTGCGGATAACAAAGCAGCTCGACCTGTCTCAGACTCAGAAGTGGCCAGGATCACGGGGCTTGGATATAACCCGGCCACACAGGCCAAAGGGTTCACGAAAGAACAGGTCGAACGCACAGTTTCGCAGAAGAAGTTCTCTAAATACGCCCTGATGGATATTGGAGAGAAGGTTCTAGCGAGGTTCTAGTCAAGGGAAAGGGACAGCTCTTATGGAAGGCGTATAGGCGTAGATAGTATCACACCTACTACCTGTATTGCAGGGGCTGCTTTATTCTGAATGCTTACAGACGCCTATCAGTGAGACCTGCTCAACAGTACATTACATCCTATGCTTTGATGGTTTAATACTATGTACTTTCGTGATCACGTAACTAATTACAGGTCTACAAAATGGTCTGTCTTGTGTAATTCTGCTTCTCCTCTCTTCTCTTTTCTTGTACCAGAGATTTAGTCTATCGGTGTCTGGAGTCATCTGATACCAGGAGACCATAGTATACAGGAACTGTCAGCCTAGCCAAACGGGGTATAAAAAAAGGCCAAGAAATAAAACATCCCCCGGGGCGGATAGGCTTGGGCTTGGGGGGCCGTCGGGCCCTGCGTTTAGCTACATTCGAGTAGGTAATGACTCCACTGCTAAGACACGGCGTTCACACTAACCTTAGGTTTCCAGGCTGCCATTCGTTCTCGAGGTGCGGTATACCGTTCTGGTTCGGCTACCAGCACCAGCCGGAGTGTTGCCACGGCCTACATACCTCGCTTCGATCTTCTGAGCTACCTTTTGGAAATGGAAAGACCAAATTCGACATGGCCTGGTCAGGCCTTGCGGGGAAGGCATTGTGACCGCGATGTGCATCTTGTCGAAACCTGGTTGGCGAGATGCCTGGACAAAGTATTGTATCTTCTTCTTTCTCGTTGCACTCAGTACGGTATGACACAACCTAGACGGGCAGAGGGAAGACTCCATCGTTCTTGCTGGTAGTCAAATCGCCATCGTATTTAGTTGGCAGCTTCGATGTCTCAGGAGCCTCCAACGAAAAGAGCCGGACGGGCTTGTTTGAGTTGCCGGTCAAGGAAGATTCGCTGTAACTTCGAAGAGTGTGGCCCGCCGTGCAGCAATTGTCTCACTGATGACATTGAATGCTTCACCGCGAAGTCCAGACGAGGCAAGAGGCCTTATCGACATCTCAGGAACAAGGCAAAGGCTTCGAAGGACAGGAATGCTACAGGTGCAAATAAAACATCTTCCAATCCCAACGTCAAGGGATGTGGAGCACCCGTCCTGTTGAGCAAAGTCTTTCCCACTCATACGGCAGGATGGCTTGATGACAATGTGGAGTCGCCTTTGCTGTCTCAACACGGTGTCGATGGTATGCAACCGCGGTCGCTCCTGAGTCCTGCACATCTATTATTCCTATTAAGACTGACACTTGCGCTTAACAGCACCCAAACATTGTGTTGCTCAGTTGGATGAACGCTTCTTGCACCAGGAATTAACTTACGCATCTCTTGTCGACAAAGGCGCCGTTCATACTTCGTTGTCTGCCGCCTTGACACCTCGAAGCTTGAGCGCCCCTCCTCCGCCTTGTATTTCAGAGAACTCCTTCAAGATAAGCCATGGTGGTCTTCCAACTTTTGTTAAGCCATTATCTCCCGACCTCACTCCAGACGATATTGACTATCTCCGTATGAAAGGCGCACTAGACGTACCGTCGCCGAAGTTTATGAAAGCTATCTTGACGGCCTATGCCCATTTTGTCCATCCAATGATGCCCACAATTGACCTTTCATGCTGTGTTGGGGTCCTGGCTGGCAAGAGCGCGAGCATCGGTATCCTGACATTGCAAGCTATTGCTTTCACCGCCATTCCTTTTGTAGATCTAAGTGATATACGCAAAGTGGGTTTCGATACACGGCGCGCCTGTCGAAAGGCATTCTATAATAAGACCCGGGTAGGTGCTACCCCTAAAACGCTGTAGGAGTTGAAAATTGACTATTGCTTCAGTTGCTCTACGATCATGATGTTGAGAGTGAGAAGATCTCCATAATCCAAGCTGTACTCCTCATGGCATATTGGAATGAGAAACCAGGCGATAACAGAGGCGCATGGTACTGGACGGGAATTGCTATTACTCTTGCACAAACCCTGGGTATGCACAGGCAGGCCGAATACAAGGTCAAGTCGCAAGAAACAAAGCTGTTCAAGCGAGTGTGGTGGTCTTGCTATACTCGAGATCGAATGTTAGGGATTGCGATGGGACGATATCTGCGAATCCGAGACGAGGAGTTTGACACGCCTCCGCTTACACTTGAAGATTTTGACTTCATCAACTATCCTGGTGAGGAAGACACAATCTTTCCGAGCATGGATGACCAGATATCGCTAGCAGAGATGTGCATAAATGCCACAGAGATATGCAAGCTGAGCGGCAAAATACTTGCACTTCATTTCTCCGTTCTTCAAGACGAATTCAGCACTTCGACAGCCAGGGGGGACAACGGGTCGACAGCAACCATGCTGTTTGCGAAAAGGAGCTCACCTGGGAAAGAACTGGTGCAAATCTACGATGACCAACTTCAAGCCCTTTACAGCCGTCTTTCCCCTTCTTGCTCTTACCGAATCCTAGCCAGTCAAGGGGTCACTAGTCGTTGCATTATGGCTAATGCAGCATCCTTGTATATCACCTTTTGGACGGCTGTATCAGCCCTACACCGACCTCAACTTCGAGAGCGTGACAAAACGGTCTCAGCCGCTCGAGTTGAAGAAGCTGCCATTGAAGTCTCGCGTGTTGATCGAGAAATGCACAAATCGGGTCTGGGCCGGTACCTCCCTGCCACTGCGTCCGTATCATTTCAAATAACCACGTTTATCACGCATACAAAGCGTCTCGAACGCCAAGAGACTGAAGACGTGGCGGAGGTACTTGAATCCCTTTTTTTCTGTATCAAACTAATTGAGACGGGTCGGGAGGCATTCCCTGGCGGCGACCAAGCATTCGACATGATGTCGTTCATCGCCCTTCTCGCTAATATCACCCTGCTGTTCGACTCAGAATCAAATCTTTGGGGAGTCGAGTACCACGGCGTTCACGTCTGTCCGGGAAGTCGTCAGCTCAACTTGGACGCGAGTACCGTATCTTCGAGTTTTAAGGATGTGTCTCCCTGTGAGAATGTCACGGATCTGCCCCTTACGCGCCATGACGAGATGCCATGCACTAAGAGAGATTTACAGAGCATTGATCCGCAAGCCCTCTCATTTGATCATATGGACGCGATTGACTGGGGAAGTCTTGCTGATTTTCTGCCTCTGTCCAACACCGACGATGAGCACTTTTTCGGTACGATTGCCAATTCGGACTGCCTGCAAAGTGTAAAAATGGGGTGAGCAGAGAGACCCGCTGGGCTTAAGGATATGTGGGACTGAGCATGGAATCAGCTCTCATTGTGAGGAAGTGATGTAAACAAATACGTGTCTACAACTTTACCCTTCCAGCCTGTAGCTCCTCCCATTCCTTGACCCCGAACACTTCGAATCTATCATTTTCCGGTCTCAGATAGAAGATTCTATCCCCAGCACTGACTCTAGCAGGATCCACTCCCTCGGCCCTCATGATATGCTTCTGTTGTTTATTATTCCCCGTTGCCTTGAGCTCTGTGACCAGCCTCAAAAACACAGGCACCGCATATTTCGGCAGCTCCTTCCTAGCGTGGTCTGCTAAGTCTTTCAACAAGCTCTGGTCAAGCACAAGCCCATCATTAGCTGTAGTTATACCATGGAGTAAAGTCGCTGCACATCCAGCTCTACCGTCGTGATTCGGGATCTCGACACCATAAACATTCGCTTCGATCACGGCAGGATGCCGACCTAACACCTCGGCGACTTCATTCGTGGAGACGTTCTCGCTGCGCCAGCGGAAAGTATCGCCGATTCTATCAGAGAACCACATTCTGCCTTCCTTGTCAAAGCGCACGACATCCCCTGATCGGAACCAGGCGTCCCCCTTTTTGAAGACATTCCTCCAGACCTTCGAGTCGCTCGCTTTCTGATTGCCGAAATATCCTTGATACGTGGATGCTACATCAGCGGCGTCGAGGGCATACAGCAACTCGCCGGGCTCGCCCCTAGGGACTTGAGTACAAAATCGCGTCTCGGGATCCCTTCGCGGCGCTTCGACCTCCCAGTCGATTTCGACGATCGCCTGCGTCTTAGAGTAATACAGATCGAAGAGCAATCCGACCTGGCCGATCGCTCCGGAGGAGAAAGAATTTCGATTCAGATTCCAACTCGCAGATACCGATTCCGTGGCGCCATAGAACTCGGCAATCGTCTCGATGCCGAAGCGCTCCTTGAAGTGGTCCCAGACATCAGGGCGCAGGCCATTACCTACCGCCAGGCGCACACGGTGCTTTGTGCTATCGTTCGGCCGAGGCGGCGCCGCGAGCAGGTACCGCAAGGTTTCACCGACATACGAGACCACAGTGGCATCTGAGGCGGCCACGTCGTCCCAGAACTTGGAGGCGGAGAATTTTCTGCCTATGACGAGTGTCGCTGTTGCTTCGAGGCAGAGACTGAAACCGAGGAGGAAGGCGGTGCCGTGGTACAGCGGCATGCACACATAGAGGCGGTCGGGTGATTTAGAGGTGACTGGCTTGACGCCCATCCAGCGGTGCATTATGCCTGAGCCCAGGACCATACGCTGCCAGGGGACGATGGCTGCCTTTGGGAGACCGGTCGTGCCTGACGTGAAGATGAGTATCGCCGGCGTGCGAGCAGTAGCGTTTGAACGCGCTGTGTCAGGAGCGCGGAAGGGTGGTTCATTCTCGTTCTCCACCTCAAGCGACGATTGCAGCTCCTCGGTGAGCACAACGATTTCCAGGGGCAGGGCATCATGCCCTCGAAACCCAGCTGCTTGAATGACCGACCGCGTCTCGTCGGTCAGGACTCGCGCCTCGACCTCAGGCTCCACCACCAACAGCCGTGCACGGCAGGTTCTCACACTATGAACAAAAGCCTCATTCACAAGGTTGTAGTTAACAGTCGCCGGCACAGCCCCCAGAGACCAAACGGCCAGAACGACAAACATGAACTGAGGGCTGTTCATGAAATCCAGCGCGACGATATCGCCGGGTTGGATTGCGTGCCGCACGTGCAGGTACCTTGCGTACCTGAGGATAATGCGATACGACTCGTGGAAACTCCATGACTGGCCTTGGTACACTAGGAACGGCTCATCCTTGATGGCGGCGGAGTGAGCGTACTCCTCCAGGCGGTAGAAGGAGTTGATTTGCTTGGTTCGCTCGAGTCGCTTCCACGCGAGGATTGCGCCGAGCATGGAGCGAGCCATGTGCAGGTCGAGCGAGACGCGCCATCGTGCGTTCAAGTAGGCGAGCCCGGCCAGCGCTGCGGGAGCGGCAGCAGCGAGCGTGGCTCCCGAAATGGAAGAAAGTGCTGTGTCATGAAACAAAGTGGTGGGTTAGTGAACAAAGGGAAGACCTGAGTAGGCGGTCGGTCGACGAGAGGACTTACCAGCAGAAGCCATCTCCTCTCTTACTTACTCCGACTAGCTAGCTGGGTAGTTGTGATGTCGAGCACACCTAGATATTGCTTGTCCCCCCCGGCGGAGGATCACATAGACTGCAATTAATGGTGGAAGTGGCCCAGGGCTCATGGCAATGCGCAGCCTAGCTAAGCCGAGGGTCGGGTGTGTACTGGCTATACAACGATGCGTGTTTCTGGAGCTCTGGAAGATCCCGAGCCATCATCTCACTACCTTGCCCAAGGCGTTCCAAACCTAAGCTGCTTTCGTTCGGTTATGTACGAGTAGTCAGTTGAAGCGATATGACAAGGTCACGTCCGGCCGTCCGACCGAGTCGGTTGACAATCAGTGCCCGCCGACACTAGGCTATGTCCCAGGGCTGATGGATGACATTCAAGGAAAAAATAAGGAGTGGGACGGGGACGGGGACGGGGACGGGTTTCTCAGCCTCGTACTGTAACAGCCTTATATTCCGACGAGATGCCAAGCCTTTACGGCGGAGCTGTGCTTTCCATCAGTGTTGAACGACTGCTGCAGTGATCGATCCCATAATGATGGATCAGGAGCCAGTCCCATCACGAGTCCCATCAGAGTATCCCTCGGCGTCTCTAGAGGCTACAAGTGTCTCTCCGAGAAGCACGGTGCTAATGAATATGGATTCTTTATGGCGCTAGTGTAGAAAAGTAACGTGCGGCATAGTATTGATGATGACCATGGCTCACACCAAAGCAGACCAATACAAAGGTCGCTAAAGCTACTATGGAGAAGACAAGCAATAGATAAGGTAACTAGGTATTCAATACCCTACTTCGATCCTCGACACTAGAGTCTCAGGCATCCTACTTTCTCGTGGCAGGCCAGGCAGAAAATGGTTAGTTGGTTAACTCCCCCACCCCGAGGGCAGAGAAGTAAGATGCATCTTCCACCGAAGCTTCATAATACATTTCGGTCGTCGGAAAAGATGTCCATTCCAGAACATGATAGCAAAGAATCGAAAACACATCCAAGGTTTCGCTGCCAGAGCGAGCGTCGTTAAAATTAGACAGTGGTTGAATAAGACAAATCAAAACAAAACAAATGCCGAAAGCAGTCTTTTCTCGAAGACTCCTATTGCATATCCAATCGTTCAAGTATGTGTTGACTTTTTGCGCCCGAAGATGCCTCGGGACTTCGATTTGGTGCGTGACTTCTCTAACGAAGTCTTGAATGGCGATCGGGATCGGTCGGCGATATCGTTGGGTCCATCATGGGTGTCATTATATTTCTCCTTATGGATCCTGTATGTCGGTGTTAGTCGCATGCCTCCATGGATTAAGATTGTTGTGAACCTACCAGCTGTTCCCAATCATACTAACACCTTTAGCTTCGGCCATTCGGTAAAATTTGGCAGCCTTCTTCATATCTTTCTTGCAGCCGATACCTTCGGCGTAGCAGAAGCCAGCTTCACTCAAAGCATCGCTGTCGCCCCAGCTCCCAGCGATTTCGAAGCATCTCAATGCCAGTGCCTTGTCCTGTTCAATACCCCAGCCGTTGAGATGTGACACTCCCAACTCATATATGCTGAGTGCGAACTGAGCTCGATGAGTTTTTTTGTCATTAAAGTCAGATGCTGGCTTTGAACCAGTGGGGTTTTCATCGTCCGCGACTTCTAACATTGCACAGTCGACAGCTTTTCGAAGCCATTGAATACCTTCTTTCTGATTGGCACGCATTCCCCAACCATGACGACAAGCAAGAGCATACAAAAGCATGCCTGTAGCATGGCCTTTGTTAGCAGCAATGCGGAGATGATAAGTCGATTCCTTGAGGTTGCCGTTCTCATGAAGCTCGATGGCTTTGGCTACATGATCGTCTGCTGAATGTGATTGATAGTTGCTGACGGATCGAGTAGTTGAGGGTCGGATGGTACTATTTGACCTTGAAGAATGTGACATCTCCTCCACGGGCGATAGCGGAGTAGGAGGTGGCTTCAAGCCAGTACCGGGCGAAAGTCCAGTCGTACGCTTGACGGGGCCCGAATCGTTGGAACGCAGCGACCCGGTTGGAGTGTGATATGTGGACGGCGAGGTATCCTCTGCCGTCATGCCTCGCTCAGTATCGAGATCGAAAGAAAATCCTGATCTTTGTGGTTCCTCTTGACTTGGTCGAGCTGATGGCATTGGGGAAGGTGCTGCCACCTCGTTACTCATTTTACCCTCCGACAGAGGTCCTTGGCCGCCAGAAGTGAGAGCATTGAGCCCTAGGAAAGGGTGGGAGATCCTTGCTGATACAAGTCGGCCTCTCGGGAGGCTGTAGGTCATGTGGGTGTAAGAAGATGCCTGACCAGCCATGAAGCCAGTGGGAATATCGGCACCATCGAAAGAACTGGTCTGTCTGAGATGACTGGCTCGCATGGCTAGCGGTGCTTTGCCTGGGCTCTTCTCACCTCGCAGGTTTTGCATACTAGCAGAACTCATGGGTCGTGAAAAATTGCGTGGAAAGCTACCTCTCGTTGGTGAGCCAATTGAGTTCCCAGAAGGAGTTCGGGCATGAGATTGCAAATATGGGGAGATGGGTGAGTGCGGGACTGATACTCCGCTACTCGAGGACAGTTTCCTCGATTGTGAGAAGGTTGACCCGGCATTTGAGCTCGTATAGTCATCATCCGAAGCGTCTTGATATGGACGTAATCTATGAGAGTGAGGCTGAGGTGGTGCTAGGTTCAAGGTCAGATCTGGCTGGGAGTTGGTAGAGATCTGTCGAAAGGGATCTGTCTGAGAGTTCAGTCTTGGATTGGCTCCCTGGATTGTTGAAAAGGATGCTTCGTCGTTTAGAGGTGGCGGAGACTCTACTCGAGGCGCTCCAAAATAATCCCTGACATCCTCAGTTGAATGCGAAGGCGTAGTGTTCGCAGTGCTTTCTTGCTCTTGAGCAGGCTTTAGGGCAACGCTCATTCGAGCATGTTGGGAAGCGGGGCGATTTGAAGGGTTAGCAACTCGAGGGAAATATCCAGGGCGATCGATATGAATTGGAATACTTGGCAGAGGGGGAAGAGTGTCGGTTCCCTCGGACAAGGCGCGAAAGATGGGGGGACGATTATTTTGATGTTCGGTCAAGGATTCCGTAACGACCTGAGGTGGAAGTCTGCTCATGCGTCGTTCGCCGGCCTTTCTAGTTTCTTCCAACTCTTTGGCTAATTTCCTGCTCCTCGCTGCAATGGCATCCAAGGGTGATAAGGTGGGGGGTACATCTCCATCAAAATGCTGGATACGGGGAGATGTCATGCCATTTTTTGATAGAGCGCTGGCGGAGCGCGAGTTAGATTCCGGTAATTCGATAAAGTTTGGACGATTCATGACGGGGGAGTAGGAGTGCAGGATTCAGAGGGCGTCTGCGATTCAGTGGACAGCCAGCTCTGGCAGCAGAAGGAATGGTGGGCTGATATGGCAGGAAAGGAGCGTTGGGCGACCACAGGAGTCGGCGAAGCAAATAGTGGCTGAGAAATCGGTAGGCCTATTCGAATAAGTTGTGTAGACAGGTAAACGAAGGGCTCGGGCGGGAGGGCTGTTGGTCATAGGCCTGGCCGAGAATCAGGGCGTGAGAGAGTGACGCTGACGGACCAAGGTATCAGAATACAACGATGGTGACAAGAATAACGAATGACGGAGACCAGGCCAGCGCCCATACGGGCCGAAAAGTGGGAGCTGGAGAAGACGAGGGAGCGTTGTGAGGGTGTCAGATAGATGAAATGGTAGGTGAGAGGAGAGGAGGATAGCAATGATGGTGGTCGATGGTGGTCGATGGTGGTCGAGGTGGCGGATGGAATGCTGACCTGACCTGTTCAGCCCGAGAATTTTCCAGGAAGCAGTTCCGAAGATGCAGGATCAGGCACAGAATTCAGGTGCAGGTTCAGTGCAGGCTCAGTCCAGCGTTCTTCTCTCGTCCCCCAAACGGTTGGAAAATACGAGGAGACCAAGAAGGAGCAGCAGCGGGGAGAAGTTGGCCATGCAGAATGACTCGAGAACCCCTGGCCATTCCTTGTTAGGCTTTAAGCCTCCCGGAAGTTAAAGAGGGTGCAAGCCTACAGGGCATCAGGGCCACTCGTGCCACGCAGAGCCACCGACCGTGCAGGACCTAAGGGCCAAGACCTACGACGGCTAAGCTAGTGTCTAGGTTAGTAGTGGCGGCGAACGCCCCTGGCTAGTCTTCCTTTAGTGGCCAGAAGGGGTGCATTGCCCGCAAAAAGCTAGAAATCAGGGGCTACCAGTGACAGGCTCAGGCCGAGGGCCCTTGAGTCAACCAGAGGCCCGGCTACAGGAACGGCGACAGGTACAGGTGACGGCGACACGGGCCACACGTCTCCAATGCAAGGCTTGACAAGGCAAGAAAAAGCCAGTTGGCTGGGCCAACAGCCGCGAGCAAAGACCATGGCGGAATCTAATTGGATACCACGGAGTGTGCACTCGGAAGTATTTCTTGGAATAGATCTGATGCTTGCACTCAGCAGGCCGATCTTGGTTCTTAGCCACATGTTGTGACCATGGATAGTCTGGCAGATGGCTGGAATGCGCTGATCATGCTGTGGTGCTCTCCAGTGCTCCAGTGCCCCATACCCGTTGGGCCACTTGAGAATCTTGTGACATTCTGCAGAGGGCTGCGACACAGAAATCCCCCGAAAAACTTGACCACAGTCTCACAATAGCAGGCATGTTCCCTGCTGGCCTTGTTCCTCGAGTGATTCCATCAGGCATCCTGGGGACCCGGTCTCCACTGGTGCCACCATATCGCATCCACTGGGCCTTCTGCCGCAAATGGACCAGACGAGGGCGTTGATGCATGCCGATTGCTGAATCATCCAGGTGTGACTCTGGGTCAATTGCTGGCTAGTTCTCCCAAGCAAAGTACTCCGTACTTCCCAAGTAGTACTGTAGTACGAGTAGTGAACTGCCTAGAAGTACCAGGAATCACCGCTCATCTGCATGCCACTTTAGTGGTTCATCTACCCCAAACAGGCTGGCGGCGACAATGACGCCGGGAGGCTGCAGCTTAAGCAACACGAGTACTCGTACTCCGTAATGAACTAATGTCGCTTCCATCTGTTGTTGTGTTCTTTCTGCTATAAGTATAATCATAATAAACAATCATCACAATCATCACAATCATCACAATCATCACAATCATCACAATCATCACTATCATCACAATCGACGCGTTATTGAATAGTAACCGAGAGTCGCGTCTACATCAATTCATCCACCAACACTGCCTAGTATGCTATATTCCTCAGGCTTATCACGACTCCTGGTACTGCTCTCTACTCGTAGTAACTCGTCCCTGCTGCAAGTACGGAGTGTTTCAATGACAATGGCTTTCCTCAATGCGGCTTCCACCTCCGAAATGCGCGCCTTCCACTGAATTCCTTCCCCGCGCGTGACCTGAGTTGGCCAACCTGGCAGGCGCCACCAAATCAGTTCTCCACCAATGCAAAGTAGATCTTCGTCTTGAGCCTCGCCACCACCCAAGCAACGACCAGCTGTTCAATCCAGCTTTCATGCTTCTCTCCCTGGGAGGTTTCTTGTTGGCCACACTGCACATTTACCCATTTCACGTTTGATTTCTTCATTTCCTTTTTCGACCACACTCAACATGCACAGCTTCTCGCTAGGAGCACCCCGTCAGTCTTGAACAAGACCAGTCCACGATGCAGCGAAAGCCACTTTCAACGCTGCTGGGTGTCCCACCCTCAGGCTTTGATCCCAACCACACCTTCACCACCTCCTGGCTTCTTCCACCCCTTCTGCTCTCGATCCTGCGCCTCTTGATCTTCACGTACTGTCTTGCCACTCAATTGACGCACTGGATATACGATGGCGTCCACTCGTCGCGCTTCCTCATCGGCCAGGAATTCAGCTACTTCACAGTGCTGACCTTTTGGGGAATTCTGTTCTACATGCTCGTCGCAGGCGTCCATACCCTCGTCTATGCCATCAAGGGTCGCTCGTGGCTGGATCGCTGGCCAAGATGGCTGCAGGCCTTGCATAGTTTCTACTACACCACCATCGTGACGTTTCCTATTCTTGTCACCATTGTCTACTGGGCCATTCTGTATGATGGTCCTTGGTTTCCATTGACTTTTAATGCCTGGTCTAATGTGCGCCAACTTCCCAATCTCTCCTGCTACTAGATGCTGACCTTTGCCTTTCCTAGATTTCCCGTCACGCGCTCAACACCTTTTTCTGCCTCCTGGAAATCTTCCTACCCGCCACAAATCCCCCGCCCTTCCTGCACGTAGTTGGCCTAATAGTGCTTCTCTTACTCTACCTCGGGCTCGCATACCTGACGCACGCGACCCAAGGGTTCTACGTCTATAATTTCCTCGATCCAGACACCGGCGCAGGCAAAGTGACGGGATATTGTTTTGGGATCTTCGCCGCGATCCTCATCATCTTTTTCGTAGTCTGGGGTTTGATATGGGTGAGAAGGAGGCTTGCGAGGCAAGGGAAGAGGAGTCGTAGGGATGTGCATAGGCATGTGTCAACAGACGGTGATGTTGAGCTGAGTGGGAGAGTGTCACAAGTCAAGTAGCCTTTGTTACCGGAGGACAATGGCCTTGTGACCTTGATGAAAGCGGGCCGCCTATATTATCAATAGTTCAACGTATCGCCAACATACAGGCATAGTTAATATGAAACACAGGCGAAAAGCTAATGACTGCTGTCCCGAATAACTTCAATATCTCAGTATCACGATACCTATTATACAGACATAAAAATGATTTCCACTTCAGCCGAACTCAAACCAAGGCTTGCTAAGCTCAACACTACAAGACCCGGGGAGGGGATAACAAGTCATTGCTCTTCCTCAGACTCCTCCTTTTTGACCGCTTGCACTTCCTCGTGCTTGACCTCTTGGCCAGCCTCGCCCTTGATCTTGCGCTCGCGAAACGCCTTCCTCAGCTCACAGGCACCGAGATTCTTTCCTCCAGCCTTACACTCCTCACAGCGCTTGCCATGGGTCACCAGCAGGATATGCAGGCCGTATTTATCCTCGTCCGGCACCATGACGTCCAGGTGCGCATAGGTCTCGTCCCTGGACGCCGACTTGGGCCGCCACCCCAACAGGCCCGTGATCCGCCACACATGCGTATCGACGGCAAAGCTCTCGCGCTGCAGACAGAAGAGCAAAACACAGCTCGCGGTCTTGGGGCCCACGCCCTGGAAAGAAATCATCTCGCGCATGGCGTCTTCGCTCGATGCCTGGTGCAGGTGGTCGAGCGAGTACTCGCCGTATTTCTCGTACGACTGGTTCAAGATGCTAATGATGACTTTGGATTTCACGGCGCTGAGCCCCCCACATTTAATGGCTTCCTGAAGCTTCGCCTGACCGCCCGCAACGATCGCGTCCCACTTGTCGCTCGCCCCGTAGACTTTGTCCATGGATTTCTTCGCCCGCGTCGAGTTCGCATCGCTGGTGTTTTGCGATAGGATCGTGCGGACCAGTGCATCGAGGACCGACGGGGAGTCGCCGCAGCCTGCTCTTGTGGTGGATGCGACAATTTCCTTTGGGCGAGTCCTTGGGCCGTGGAGAGATGCGAGGATTCGGTGTGCCAGCTTGCATTCTTCTGGCGTTGGATGGGGGAAGTCCGGGAAGGGCGATTTGCGAGCAAATTGCGCGTATGACTTTAATTTCCTGGATTGGAGGTCGCCCGGTGTCGTGCCGTTCTTCGACCTCGGTTTGGGCTTCGACGGAGATGTGTCTGTTGTTGGTGGAGAAGGCGGTGGTGATAAAGACGTGGACGATGGCAATGGGCTGCCCGCCAGCACAGAACCTTCTTCAGCCTTGACTTTCTTTTTTCGTTTTACGTCAGCGCCGGAAGTTGCAGCACCGCGTTTTCGTGAAGAAGGAGACTCCTGCTCTTGCTTGACTATTGAAATGCCAGCATTGGCGGTTTGCTTCTTCACAACTGGGGGCTTCTTCAATTCTTCACTTGTCCCAGTAGAGCTTCTCGTCACTCTCCTGGCGGTGGAAGTTGCCGCTCGAGTAGCCTTGGACATCTTCGGTTTCTCCTTCACTGTGTCGAGTATTTGTGAAGCTATCTACTTTCACAAAGGCGACAAGCCGGGGGCTGTGTGGCTGTTAAGAATCATAGAAGGGCAAAATGGTGATGTCATGCAACTGAGGATAGCGGGTGGTGGTCGTACCTGCATAAAAAAGGGGGATCCCAGGTCTTGGCATTTCCCGCTACCAGATCCTTGGAATGCGGTAAGGCTCCGGCTCCCGCCGTTCCCATCATCTTGCTACAGACGGCCTTGCTCGGTTCTTGGCATCAATGATATAGTAGCGACACGGCTATCAGTAGCTCACATTATCCCTCTTGGATACCACTAACACTATTAGACTGTCGTCCCGCCCTGCTCGCCCAAACAATAATACATGCATGGGCACCAGATCTCGGGACACATGGCATCAGCATACTCCCCCCCATTCGCAGTGACCATGTGTTGCGTGAATGTGCCTGGCGGCTTTCCAGGGCAGATGCAGTTCCACATTCACTGGCTATTGATCCCATCTGGAAACACTGCGCTTCAAGCCTTCCCATGAGTGAATTGAAGCTCCCACTATTGATCGCCAAGCCTTAACGCCCTGCGCACTTCGATCAAGGTTCTGCGCAAAGGGAAGCCGTCTTCTCCCACTTCCGTTCTCCCAGAGACATCGTCGTTCTTCGCACTTTGCAAGGTATTGCCTCCTCTCGTCCGTCTCGGTATGGGAGCCTCTTATTTCTCTTCCTCTCCTCCTTCTTCTGCTCCAGCACCAAATTCTTCCGAGATCATGGAGGTTGGACATCGTCCGTGTGCGCCCACCTTGGAAGGCATTCCATCCGAGCTTCGGCTTCGGATTCTCCAAGATGTCCTTGTGTCTGACGATCCCATCTCCATTACCTTCGATCCCCATGGCTACATCCGTCTCATACGCGGACAGCATGTGGAGCCCGTCGAGTCCTTGGGCCTGCTCACCACTTCCATTCAAATGTATGATGCAGCAGCTACCATCTTCTATGGCGAGAACAAATTCGTCCTACCATGGACCGCAGCACTAGCCTTTCTCGGTGTTTACCAATTTACGAGTGCCCAGCAGCTTCGTTGTTTGGAGATCAGATCCAGCCTTAAAAGTCCATTTTTCGGTTTCGCCCCTTTCATCAATGCCTTGGCCGACGGAGCACCTGATCAGCTTCGCGAGATCATCATCACCTTCCAAGATCCAGCCAAGGCGCTGGCTTGCGTGTTTGAGCTTACCAATGCTGTCGCTGCATGCACCTCCTTCGAGTCTCCCACCTTAGAGTTTGTCTTTGCTCCAATGAAGGATAGCTCCACCTTTCCCAGCGCCACATCAGCCAGCTTCGTGAGCCTTGCGAGTCGCATTTGCTCGACTTTGGCTGAACCCAACGGCAACTTCCATGATTTCCATCAATTCTCAGGCCCATATTGCAAGCAAGATCTCCTGAGCACCAATGCCAGTCCGAATCTCCAGAAAATCACGATAGTGGGTCCTATTCCACCAGCTCTTCTTCCTGAACTCGAGGCTCATACGTGCAAAGTTGGCCAATGTGGGATTGAAAAGCTTTCTTCCTACCGAGACCCAAAGCATTATGACAAAATGACCACGAGTGATCGTCACCATTACATTTGGAAGAAGAAAGATCATCCTGACGTCTTTCCTGGTGTGGACATGCGCCAATTCCACCCTCTGCTTCCCGAGAAGTATCGAGAGCAACTGGGTGAAGAATTCGACGTGTGGCCTTTGAGAAATGGCGGTTTTGCTGAACGTATTGACGATGATCTCCCTTTCCCATATGATGTCTTCGAGAATGAAGACGAAGAAGTTGAAGCACCACCTGCACCAGACCCGATCCCCAGGTTTGCTTTAGTAGGAGAATATCTTAGCTCGGTAAATGTGCAGCGCCGAGGATTCCTTGCTTCGAGACGCGAAGACCGAGCTCGTAGGTTGAATGATCTCATTGCTGGCTCGACAAAGACAATCAATCCTTTCCTTGTGGGTGACAATGCTATGGCTCGTGGATCAATGCATGACAGTGGAGATGCTGAGACCACCACTTCTGATACTACCATGGCTCCGCATGTTCAAGCACAAACCCACCAAGCCATGACCGACGCCATGACCAGCCACCAGGCTGACGCGACTCCCAGCCAAATTCCTACTGGAGGTCGATCCTCAAATTCAGGCCCTTCAGCTCTTCCACTAAGCGGCACCGCAGAAGATGCTGGTTCCATCATGTCGAATGGAAATTCAGCAAACAACATCCCCCACCATGGCCGTTCTGGACTAGATGTGATCGATTGGGTCAACAATTCAGACTGATTCATGCAAACCTCGTAGCCTAGAGTGAACATTTGGACACTGTAATTCAGAGATCCCGTTCCACGGTACCTTTTTCATAATGTTTCACCATATTTTGTTCCTGGTGACCGCTCACTCGCGATCGTGCCTTGCTCTGACGCGCCGAGACCGTCTGTTGCGCGACAGTGCGACGCCGAGATTTAGCATCTTTAACTCGCTGCAATAGGGTCTACACTGCACACGTTGGAGCTATCGCGCGCTGGTGTTGAGGGTGCGCACCAAGTGGAAAATCCTCTCTTCGCTGTGAATGACCTCGTCGCGTGCTACGCGACGGCGGTAGGATGTAGGTTCGCGGATTGCCCGGGGCAAGTGTTGGACATAGCAGCGCCTACCTATCCCAACGACCGGCAATGGTAGCGTCCGCCCATTAACAGATCGACTGTTATAGATAGCGTGTTCTGAGACGAGCACTCTTCTTTTCTTTATGTGTGTTGTTGTGGTATGTCATCCAACAGCGGAAGGCTGCGTTGCCACTAATTCACAGGCTCGCGTTAGACAGAACACCCCGCCCGATATCGGACACTGTCATCGACGGGTAAATACAGCGTGCTCTGCGATGCCATCCTTGCCTTTACAAGTATACTGAATTGTAGCCTGTCGGTTTCTCATCATAAGAGGTCTCTTCCCTGGTGGTTCAGCGCGGCGGAAGGCCATGGCAAGGGGGTTTGTTTGCAGCTGTCAACCTTGCCAAGACTGAACGAGGCTCGGCCCGCCAAGAGGCATTTGGTTGGGTTTGGCAAGGGGTTCCTTGTTCTGGGAGAACAAGACTATTCACATTCGTTTCATATCTGGGACTCACTGACTACATACCTACGCCAAACCTTTGTTCAATGTGGCGTTCTTGTCCATCTCCGCCTTGTCCTGCTCATGGAATTCAATGCCTAACTCCTCGAGCCCGTCGCCGTGGCCTGCACCGAGGACTTTCTTCATCATGCCGATGCTCCTCCTGACGCGAGATTTCCCGTCTTCGTTGCATGTCACTCCCTCGGCGTCTTTCATCTCTGCCTGGTGCTCCTTGCGCCAGCGGAGGAATGTCGATGACTTGCGTCCCTTTTTGATGTCCTGGGGTGCTGGCGCCGAAGGCGGAGGTGGCCAGTTTCCCTCGGCTTTCCAACCTTCCACGAGCGCGGGGATCATGTGTGTGAGTGGGATTGGAACATTCGGGGAAAGAGATTGGACGACGATTTTGGAGTAGATGGCGGTGTAGGCCGAAGGTTTGATGCGTAGCCGGATTGAGTCCTCCTCAGGTATCAGTGGCGGGTAGATCGGTAGCCATGGTCCTTCATGGGAGAAAAGATGGTTGGGTTCCGTTGTGGCAATGGGTGACTCGGCCATGGAATCGATCGACGAGGACTCGCCTGGCGCTGGTGATGAAGGTGAGAGAGGCCAGGAGCCCTCAGTTGACTGGGATGCATTGCGTTCATGTGTTATGGATTGTGACAGACGAGACCTGTGATACCGATGGTCTCTCTCATTGCTCTTAGACGAGGGGGACGGATGGCTCCGTGGTTTTTGCTTGACAGCACCAGTCCAGGCGTCCCGCCTCTCCGACCATGTACGCAAGCCCTCATTCCATTTTAATTCCTCTTCCAATAGACGCCGTCGTTTCCGCTTTCGTTCCGTGAGATGAGTACCTATTGAATCGGGATTCTCGAATTTATAGGGGTCATTCTTGGTGCGGCGCCTTGCAAAGACTTCTTCAGCTTCAAGGTCGGAGTATGATTCTTCTCGAAGGCGATAGCCAGTAGGCTCTCTCTGAGGGCCACCGGAGTCACTTGCGGGAACAGGAGGGTATTGCCAGTCATTTCGTACTTGTGACAAAAGAGCCCGTCTGGCAGCGCGAGTGGACTCGGTTTTGGTTATAGGGTCGTGAGGTAGGGAGGGATTCTCGCCAGTGGAGTGGGAGCTCGCATTAGAGCCTTTGCGTAGGCGGGAAGTGAGGTTGTGTAGGAATGGTGACGTCGGCTGGTGCGAGAAGTCTGAAGAGGGTCGCGGGGAGTGTTTCAAGAGACTCGGCTTGGTGGGGGAGCTGGGAGAAGAGTGCGTATTCATGTTTGAAGACGTAACAGTTGGGGAGGGAATACAGAGGAGGGACTCGCGAACACAACCTCAATGTAGGAGAAGTGAGAGGAACAAGATGAAGACGATGACGACAAGGCCCGAGCTGTGGTATATTGTGGTGCAGGAAGAATGAATGGACAGACCGCACACGAGCAGGGTGAAACGGGTTGTGGGCGACTATTATTATTGGAGAATGTATGGAGTCTCGGTTTGGAATGGAAGCACCTGACATTTCGATTGAAGCGAGGCAGCAGAGGCGAATGGGATAGCGGGATGACGGAATCCTTGGCGCAGATAGGCGGGGGTTAGAGCCGGTGATTGCCTCTAGGTGCGCCGCCATCCGGGGTCGCACGCCTAATTGCCTCAAGCTTTAACTGAAGATGTTCTCTTGCTGGCAATCGGACGGTTGATATTGGCTGTCCCCGGAACTGGATGGGAGACCTCTAGGGGCCTCGGCCCGCTAAAACCAAAATCCGGGGAAATGGTCATCATCACCACGGCCACATGTGTCAGTGGTTGTCAATCTGACTTCATGCCGCGTCCTCGTCCTCGATGACAACGTCCAGTTTCCTTGCATACAGTAAGGCATCCATACCACCAACCAGCTTTAAGCCATTTTATAGATCTCAACCATATCTCGCTCATCCTGTCGGCTGCTCAAGTCATTTATTACCCTTGCGCTCTCTGTGAGCCTCAATCTTCCGCCGCAATATCCTTCACAGCACTTTCCAAGTCCATAGTGAGTCGCGATCTGTATGCCGGGGGGCGAGTACTTCCCACTGAGCGTTACACGGGCAGCTCCTCGCTTGAGCTGAGAAAATATGCTCGCTCTGGCTCAGACATATTTATCGTTGGGGACGGTGCGTTGCTGGCTGGCTGGTCACATGGTTTGCACGTGCCTCGTTGATTATGGTTGACTCGCCAACAGCAGGCAGCTGAGCCTGCGATCATGGCTGTGACAATTCCTATACCGATCCAGAATCCGTAATAAGGGACATGTGGAGGGGCTATGCGAATCTGGCCCATTGGAGAGAGTTCCTTCTGGAATTGACGATGCCTGCATCTTTGTAAGTCAGCGGTGCTCGAGGGTAGATCAAAGGTAGCATGCTAGTCTTTACATTCGAGTTGAGAGCTCTCTAGAAAGCTAGCTTCAAACTATAGTCTGGAAAGAAATCATAGTCATTCATCATGGAAAACGGCTCTCTTCATTTGATGTTTTCTGAACTCTCACCCCTCTGACGCAACTCGTTTCTTTGGCCCGATGAAGTCCAATTTTAGGAAGCTCATCTGAGAATATCACTTCCAGGCATGAGGGGTACGTGGCTGCTATCATTTCAACCATGGGCTCAATGCCCAGTCCCAATTTTGTGATGTCGTTAATTTGTATTATGGTGCCCATTCTTTGGAACTGCTACTATGTACATCGACCTCCCACCGCGTAGCAGCCGGTCTAAAGGAACTCGGTAGCATCGTGATGCGTGTACATGTCCACGAACATCAACAGAATGACCCCTGGGCCTTTACTCCTAGTCCTCAAGGAAGCTGTCGTCCATCTCTTCATCTCATATAAATGTCTACAGTGAAGACATGGGTGCTCGCTTTACCATCTAGCCTCACAAGTAGCTGAAGCAAAAGCTCTACATTGCACAGAACACCCCTTCCAACACCAACACGCGGCTCCATATAAGGCTGATATCTCCAGCACCCTGTGACAGGGCATTGGACCTGTGCTCGTCGATCGGAATACTGCCTCAAATCTCCCGGGATAGAGCATCAGACAGACAACCGTCGTCTGTAAGTGGAAAAATGTAACACAACCAACCACAGGGCAATGATGTTTGCAATATAGTGGAGCCGATAGGCATAAGTCATACCGTACAAGGCCGCGTAGACTGCAAGGACGAAGAACAATAAGTTGGTTGCCCATCTGAAAGACCGCAGGGCCGGTACCATTACCCCACTTGAAAGGGTCTCAACCAACAGAATGAATGGCATAATAGACAAGACGTTATGGTGTGATGAGAATGGTGTCAGCCAGTGGACGGCCATGTTATGGATCCAGACAACCAGTACCGGCAAGTTGATGGGTAGAACCCAGAGCATTAAATTCAGTATCGAATATGTGTAATTGAAAAAGTTATGTGCAGGGCCGGATTTGGATTCTTTGGCGTGCCTCAAGGCACGTGTGCAGGTCGTCAACTGCACGACACAAGCCACCACATACGCAAACGGGTAGGGTATAATTGTTGCAACAAGAAATAGAAGAACGGCTGTGTTGATGGCCCTTCGCCGTGGTGTGCTAGCCACAAATGCAGAAGCAATACCTTTTTCGCTGTCATCGACTTTGACATAGCGCTGGGAAACGAGGCTGGAAACTATCACAAGGAGATGTAATAGACCCAAGACCAAATAATTCAACAGGACGCAAGCCCCAATGCTTAATAAACCAGCCAACGGGACGAGAAACCAGAAGAATGTATCCTGGGAACCAAGAAGCAGGTCATTCTGTGCGAAATCAATTGCTGTTCCGTTGTTACGCAAATGATGATTCGTGCCAATGTTGGTAGAGCTCGCTGTTGTGAAGGCAGTTGCAAAGAAAGTCATCGAGAGCAGAAGGATTGGTAGTGGGAGCCTGAGGCTCTGGTCGAGGCTCTCGGAGAAGGAAATGAAAGCTCCAGAATTGTCGTATACTCGGAATTGTTTGCGAAGCACCATGGCAACGACAAGAAGTGGGAACGCTGCGAAGACAGTTCGATACCTGACCACAAGCTTCCCAAAGCTTCCAGCAGGGTCTATACGCAAGCGAATTTCGAGTGATGAATTGCATGTTGGATCCGACCAAATCTGAAAGGCCACTCCAGCTTTGGTCTCCCGACCGTCCAGAGTCGGGGGCATAAATGGAGCGATGCCATGAAGGTTTACATCACCTTGCTTGAAATTGACAAAGAATTTTGATTCATAAGGACTGTCGATATGCTGGCGCAATAGGGGTGTGAATAATTCGGCATCTGCTCCACAGCCATGCTGACGTATCTGGAGGGTGTAAGCTAGCAAGCTTGAACGTAGTGATGGCACGCGGACCTCCGTGACTACAGGTCTACTAGAAGGAAGCTCGACATTCAAGCCACGAATCAAAAGCCTTGGCAGGCTGATGTGAGATTCAATGATGGAATCCGCCCCAGACACAATCTCAGCATGAACCCAACTAGGATTGATCTCTGTTGATTTGTCAACGATCGCTACAAACTGATGATCTTGAAGCGCTCTCAAATCGTAGGTGAGAAATGTAAAGGGGGATACAGGATCGAAAGCGTATTGGGAGGTTCTGGTGGATGCGGGTAGTTTTATAGCATCGCCACAAGGCCTTTTGCAAGCAAGTCGCGTTGCACTTGGGTCCCCTGGTGAGAGGTCGAATTGGATTGGAAGGGGCGTCGATGTTAAACCACCAGCGAGAGGGAAGGCACTGCAGAACAGGACTTCCAATTTTTCGAGGCTTCCATGGGCGTCCATTTGCTGATCTGTTAAAAATGAAAACTGCTTGAACGTCGAATTGTCCACGGACGGGATTGGCAACAACACCGCAGATACCTGGTTCTGCGTCCCCAGCTGACGAAAGGTCACGCTATCTTCTTTGGCAACAGATGACCTTGACCCATCTCCGAGGGTCAACAAGACCTCGTGTGGAGAATCCCGCAAATTCTTTGGAGAGCCGTCCTCGAGGCCGGTCAAAAACCACCTTCGAAATATCTTCATTCTCTCGGATCGAGGTTTCGTTTGTGCAGCACGACGGACATCGACCACTTCATAAAGTGATTTGATGATGACCTTCCGCATTTGATCTGCCCATGTGATAGCGAGATGATCCATTGATGTCCAGACATTCGGAATGGTGGAACTGAAGACGGTGAAGCCGTGGCTTTCTGGTGCGAGAGAGGCAATATTGGTATAGTCCGACGGCACAGTAGTGTCCCGACCACCCCCTGCGATTGAGATCAACGTGGTATGCCATAGCGGATTATTACTGGCCCATCTTTGTAGATATGACTCCCTCCAGTAATCATTGATTGACTGATACAAAGACACAATATCCACATCGAAAGTGACTGGCGGACGTGCATGAGGAGTCGACATGGTAATGATGGTGTTCACAGAGTTTGCTTGGTATTTCGGTGTCACAAGCACGGTGCGCGCAACTATTCCTCCCATAGAGTGCCCAATTAGTATGACCGAACTTGGATCCGGAAGTTGCGGATCCCTTCGCGATCGATTCGAGTCGTGATACAACGAAAGGATATAGGCGACAGCCTCATTGACATACTCTGCCTGGTCGTAGAGTGTTTGGCCATGGAATGCCGATAGATCCTCGTTGAAATCAAGCGTAAAGAAATCTAGGGACCGAACTCCTTCCTTGATCTTATTTGCGTCATGCCGCAGAACGCCTTGATAATAGCGGGAGGCTTCGGAGGACAGAGAGCGAACTTGCTTGTAACTGCCCGCGTTGCCTGGTATGAACAGCACGGGTGCACCTCGTAGCCCAATGTTATCGTTGGTATATTCGTCCACCCCCTCTTCACGATACAAGTACAGTGAATATTTGGTTGCAAAGCGAGAATGCTCAGTATCGAAGCCCGAGAGTTTGATGTATGTCGGGGTCATCATCGACATGACACATCCTTGAGGATCGACTTGTAGCTTGAGGGAGGATCGAAGGATAAGAGAGAGTAACAACAGAGCGACTGCCGTGGCAATTAGGGTGAGAGGTCGCCATGTCCAAGGACTCTGAGCTCGGATTTTACGAAGCCCACGAACGTCCGGTTCGTCCTGGCCGTCGCCCACATCCTCCTTGGGCTTCAGCAGCATTGTTGCTGCATGCACGTCTGGCCAGCGCCAGATTTCGAATTGAGAGCAATCTGGTAGGGAGGAATCAACGAAGCCACGAGGCTGGTCTGGGAGGTTTTCTGGGGTCGGGCTGGGAAATCTAATTTCCGGCTTGGCACTGGCAGATCATCCTTTGTTGAAGGCCTGTCAGTGCTCCGAGTCAGTTTTGACAACAGACAGCTCGAGCTGTTCTCATACATGCCTAAACCAGCTGTTGATACTTGGCTAGGATTCACTCGATCGGGTATTGTCCCAAAGACATAATTTCATTGCACATGAAGTGTTTTCACATTTGGACAGATAATGGAGGGATTTAATCTCCCTTCCATGCGTCTAAGCCACGCGACCCACCGCAATGCAGACACGTAGACTGTCTCATGCTCGACGCGTCACGATGATCTTACAGCCTTGCTCAGCAGTCCTGGGTCCTGGGTCCTCACGTCTCAGTAGTAACACCCACAATTCCGCCCCTACCTATGTAACATAAGGCCAAAGAAGAGAGGCCAGGAATGGGATCCTTGAGAGATCCGGAAACCTCCCGCAATATGAAGTCTTTTGATGGTACCATTGTCTATGCATTGCTATGAATTATTATGACGCTGAAACGCCCCCGTTGCCAAGCACAAAGCCCTCGTCCTCTCCTCTCGATGATGCCAACTCTAGTGGTGCAGGCTTTCGCCTAGTATCAATGACGTTCCCTCCTTCCTCACGCAACCAATACACCACGATACCTCATCTTCCCACTCTCCAGCGTCTCAAACGCCTCACTGATGCCCTCGACACTGAGCGGGAAAGTCTGAATCATGGGCCGGATATCATGCACAGCAGCAAAATTGAGCATCTCGCGATGAATTTGCCTGGCCGCGACCAGACTCCCCTGGACCTTCAGGCCGCGCTGGATGATAGGCATGTACGGCATGTGCAACTCGTCGTTGGAGACTGTCAATGGGTAGATCGTGCCCGAGGGCGCCATGACGGACAGGTACAGATCCCAGTCCGGCTGTTGCGAAGTGGTGACCAGCAGATGGTCAATCTTACCACCGATCTTGAATTCCTTCAGGCCTTTCGTGGCATGGAATTCCGTCGCACCGAGCTTCATGGCCTCTTCCTTCTTCGAGTCCGTGCCGGAGAAGACCACGACCTCACAGCCCATCTTGGCTGCGAACTGGATTGCGAGGTGCCCTAGGCCACCGACCCCGATGACACCCACACGATCCGTGCTCTTGACGCCGTGGAATTGCAATGCATTGAAGACGGTGGCGCCGCCACACATCAACGGCGCAGCATCCTCGGTCTTCATCTGCTCCGGGATGTGGAACAGGAAGCCCTCCTTCCAGACACCATGGCTAGCCATAGATCCTTGGTCGAGATTCGCCTCCGCATAGATCTTCCGGTCTGGGCAGAAGGTCTCCGCCCCGCGCAGGCATTGCTTGCAGTGGCCGCAGGCATCCTGCACGTAGCCCCAGCCTGCACGATCGCCCTTCTTGAACAGTGTGACCTTCTCCCCGATCTCCTCCACTATCCCAGCTCCTTCGTGGCCCAAGCCCATGTTTAGATGAGTGAAGTGCAGGTCTGTGCCGCAGAGGCCGCTGTGCGTCAAGCGGACGAGGACCTCATTCGGTCCGATGTTTCGACGCGTCGTGCTCTTAACAACTTTGTTGTCCTTGCTGCCTTTGTATACTGTGAATTCAACCATTTTGGTAAATTTCTCCACTCTTATTTATTTGAGAATACTTGTTGGTGGAAGTAGAGTCAGGACTAGTCGCTTTTGGAAGTGGAGTGACGGCTTGAGTCGCAGAATAGATCTTGCCTGTCTCGATGATGTTCTTGTTCGAATTGGTGTGATGTACTGAAGTGAGAAAAGAGTCTTCCTTTCAATAGAAACGAAGGGGGGGTTTCAATATATGCAACGCCCAAGCCACCCGACAGAGCCAGTTGCTCCCGCTTTGTCAACATTTTATCACTAAGATACCTACCTCTCTTTGGAAGAACTCTGTGGAAAGCGGCACCCTGACTCAAGGCAGGCATTGACATCATTCCCGACATCAACATCAACCCATGACGTGGAGGTGGAAACAGCGCTGAAGAACCGTCCTGCTCTGTCCTGGAGTAAATATCTTGGCTTCCCGGATAGATCTCTTGATTCCGTTAGATCTGGCGCATCCATACTTAATACATAGTATCTATCAGCAAAACAATAGCATTACCTGAGGTAAAAGTGAAAAGTCAGTCAAGGCAACGGTCCCGGAGGGGAGGGGGGGGGGGATTTGTGCCGGTGCACATCCCTTCGATAGATACTCCGCACACCTTTGGGCAAATGCCAGAGACTTGATCCACATGGCGGGATGGGAGTTCCTGTATACCAGGAACAGCAAGTGGCATTTTGCTCAAACGGGTTAGAAAGTCTTCGGGAAGAAAGGGGTTCTTTGACTTCGGAATCGTCAACCCAGCCACGAGTAGTATCGTGTGTTCCATTAAGCGAGCAAAGCGACGGCTCCCGGCGGCGGAAGGGTATTTAAAATGCTTGGCATATATATGACTCAGCTCAGCGGGAGACCGACTCGCCAATGTCGCTAAGCAAGGCATGGCTAACCACTTGGTAAATACAGGGTTATAGAATTCAATTGCCTCTTACATACCAGGGGACCTCGACAGGATTTTTCCGGCACAATTGTCGAGTTCTTGGAGAAAAAGACAGGACGAGACACATAATTGGTTTGAGAGCAAAAGTCTATGTGGTTTCATGCTTCAGCCCGACAATTCGCGATATCGAGTAGGTAGGTACATAGTATCTGATTAAAGTTTGCCCACAGTCCATATTTCAGCCCCCATGTTTGTAGACGTCATTCGATTTTCCACATTCCTTTAGGAACATCCTGTGAGATGTCTAACAAATGTGAGGATCTCAGAAAAGGTGTTGAGTGGTAAGTAGTACTGGTTCGCTCCCAAAGAGAACGTAGCGGCAGCTCGAAGTCCATTATTGCCTGTTTTGCGGTCGTTCAGATCAACTCCACGAAGTCATGGAACTCATCATAAATCCATTGGTCAATTCCTTCCCACTTTCTTTTCTGGTCTTCCTCATACGCTAGCTTCTTCCTTTCCTCGTCGCTCTCAGTTGAAGGGCCATTCGGGGATACCGCCAGCGCCGGGGTTTCAGACCGAGCGGCTCCTTCGTTAGTATGATGCCCTTGGGGGGCCTGTCCTGTTGATGGCCTATCAGCGGCTGCTGCTGTACTCTTGTCACCACTGGGGCCCACAATCAACGCCTCGTTAGATGCTCTATCTGCGGTAACTGGGGACCAATGAGGAGGCACCGTCCGGTTACCATCATCTATACCGATAAAGCTTGTTGGCTGGTTGTTCTCGTTCGTACGATACTGCACAGCAAACCTATTATCAGCCCTCTTGTGGACATCCGACAAGGACACATGCTCAAGGGGAGGCTCAATCCCACTCAAGTCCATGTCTGAAGTCAAAAAGTCAAAAATCACCGGAGAGACACGCTTGTCCGTCGTGTTGGGACGCATTTCTCCTTCGATACTAGCCGCCCTTGCTTCGATATCTATGGAGGGTCTCTCTTCGGATAACTAATCGCAGTCGAGGGCCGTCATATCGTCCATAGGAAAGTCGAGATCAGGCAGCGGAGGGCTGGTTTCGAATGAGGAATGCGAGTCCGGTCCTTTGTTCTGCTCTCCTCTCCGTATCGCAGAAGAAGCATCGAATGGTGTCGGTTCTTTTGGTTGGTATTTATCACGCCGAGCTTGTTGGATATCTCCTTTCTGGCCATTTGAGAATTTGGCTTTCTTGAGAGGTGGTTCATCCGGGGGCCTCTCGGCATCAGCAGTGCCTCTGAAAGTTTCGTCACCAAATACTGAGGTGTGCAAGCCGAGGCTCTTCGACTTTTGAGATGGCTGTCCAGTTCTGGTCTTGATGGTTGTCAGATCTGTTAACCTTCTTTGGCCGTTTTCCTCGCTCCTTGGGCCGCCTTCTAGTTTTGGCCGACGTTTCGGTTTTGCGACTCCTTCGCGACAGCATTTGTGCTTGCATTTTCTGCCCTTATTGTTACAATTGTGTTGACAAGTCCATCGGCCGTTCCTGAGTTTCATTGGCTCCTTGAAAGTGGCAACATCGGTGTCCTCGCTCCCCGAGTCATAATTTGACGGTTTCGACCCCTGCCGCTTTTGCTGTTTGGTTTCTTTCGCCAGAAGCTCATCGATATCTTCGACAACTTCAACCTGTTCCACATCCATTTCAAGTGACAATAGATCTTTGTCCTCAATGCCGCCATCATCAAATTCATCATCCAATATATCCTCGTGAACTCTGCCATGAGAATTGAGTACTCTGTTCCCTGTTTGATCATGGCAAGACTGTTGGGTGGGGTATATCGTATCTGATAAACCAACAAGATTCAGTTCCGCGTATCTACTTGTTCCGGCCACCTCATCACACATCACGAAACAACACAATTGAGGGGTTGGCTTCACAAGATCGACAGATAAAAAAATCTCCTCACCATTCTGCAGATGCTTAGCACTCATTCTCCGGAATTCGACGAGTCTGCCATCGGAGGTCTCAGCTAAGAAGCACACATAAACAGGCTTTTTGTTGAAGAACTGTGGCACAACATCATTGAGAAATCCAACTTCGGCTTTGAATCGGATGGTTGATCCTTCCCCGCGTTTGAGCTCTCTACCAGTCTCCTTGACAGAGACTCTGAGGTTGGGGAAGCTCTCGAGCTTTTTAAGTAATCCCAGTCCAAACGGAGGGTTCTTCCCAAGGACAAGTTCAATCTTGGAAGGTTCAGTATTGACCAAGCTGTCAATAGTTTTTATAGAAGCCGACGCCAATTTTCGGACTGCCACTTCCCCAAGACCATCAATTTGTCTCAACTGGCTCGCGGTGTTGTCCCATACATGGGCTGCAAGGCTGCGACAGAGCTCAAGTGCATGACGTGCAGACACAGAGTCACCAATGTGGATCTGGCAGTCAATAATGCATCGAACCAAGCGACTAGACTGTGCAAAAACAATCGTTTTGTCGACTCGATGTTGCGGCAGCTGCTTTTTATACTGGTCTCCATCGGGCAGGGTAATATTGCCCAACTCGGCCTGGATGAGGAGAGAGATTTTGTGGGCTTGAAGCGCGATGTCGACATTGATAGGAAACTTGATTTCTGGTGCCCTGTTGATCTCTTTGTAGAATGATTTCTCGCCTGCTAACAAGCGTACATCTTTGAACTCTCGAGCTTGAACCAGGACGGAGAGCTATGAGTTCACGTCAATTTGATTCGCTTCCTACGGAGACATAACTTACTATTTCAGATAGCGTGGCTTTTGGAGGCAGCCCCATGAACAACTTCATGGTGTCAAAGCTCACATAGTATTTAGCCATCGCATCTCCGAATGCAGTGGACCTGAGCCGAGTCGCCTTCGTAATCAGGTTCGCATCTTGCAAGGAACTAATATCCTTTTCACATAATTCATCTAACAAGTCTTCTTCACCAGAGTGTTTGCAGCCTTCTCTGAATTGGTAATGGGATGGGTTTCGCCGTACTCGAACGTAAAGGAAGGTGCTAGCCAGCCACTGTTTAGCCGTTGCTCGATCATACACAGTCCCCAGTCCAACTTCAGCGTTCAGATGTTCAATAAGATTCTGATGGAGGCAGCTTTCAAGTAGTTCTCCACCCGATACCATCAATTCGTAATGTTTGACTTTCTCCTTCCGAGTGAGGATGACTGCGCAGGCTGAATTTTCAAACTGGGGCCGGCCAGCTCTCCCAAGCATTTGCATTACCTCGAGATCGGCATATTCTTGCATGCCATTCTCGGTCCAACATGTAGTCCCTTTTAGTATGACCAAGTAACAGGGCAGGTTGACGCCGACAGCTAAAGTGGATGTGCTGCAGATGATATTGATCTGGCCTTGCAAATATCCGTCCTCAATTGCACGACGATCTGCAGGACTTAGGCCTCCATGATGGAATGCAACCCCTGCCGCCGTATAAGCTGTGACTCAATCAGCGGATTGCAAATGTACTACAACAATGCAAAACACACACCTTTGAGCTCTGGGCTCTGCAATGTCAATGGATGCCCATGTGCTTTCCACAGTTGCTGCGATGGTGAAGAAGCGAGCCAAAATTCGGCAAGGAACTTTGCCGTAGTCGTTGATGCTCTCCTTGTGGAGCAAAATATCATCACAGGCTTACCACGACCATAGCGAGAGATGATATCAGGAAGTCTGAGATATGTCAACGTTCGTTCTGAACATGTCCAGGTGCCTCACTGTTTCGTCAACATCGACTCAAATGCAAAATCATTGCCCTTTGACTCAAAGCCACAAACCTTTTTGCAAAGTTCGACAGGGCGAAACGACTCGCCAAAGACCTCTCTGAAAGCTGGCAGGTGTAAGGAGGAAGGATTTCTACCTAGCCAAGTTGCGATATCATCCGAGTTTGGGACCGTCGCAGATAGAGCGACAAACCTAATATTGGAGCCAACAGATTTCATACGTGAGACAACTGCTTCTAGCGTGGCGCCTCGGTACTCTTTGAGGATGTGAACTTCATCGACAAGAAAGAGTTTCACAAGCTTGATCAGCTTGGCATGATCTTTCCATTTCCGGGTGACGCTATCCCATTTCTCTGGCGTTGTTATGATTAAATGAGCACTTTGGACGTTACGTAGATGAGAGTAATCGGTGTCACCAGTGAGTTCTGCACAGTGCAAATCCAAAGCGCTGAATTTTGGCCGCCAATCCTTGTATCGTTCCGCACACAGCGACTTTGTGGGAGCAAGGTATACGACTTTGAAATCGGATGTGTGCGACTCCGCAAATAGCCGGCAAATAGCAAGTTCCATGATGACAGTTTTACCGCTCCCGGTTGGGGCGGATATCACTAGATTGTCGTCCGTTTGAAAGGCGGTTGAAAAACATTTAGACTGCACTGCATTGAAGATGTCATAGCTGAAGATGGCTCGCAACTGATCGGGCATGGTGGTAGTCGGGACCAGCTGGATCCCCTGCACGATGGGTAGTACATTGCCAAGTGGTCTTTGACAGTTTGGCTTGTGGGGTGGGCAAGGTCTTGTCCGCGTATCATCTTCTGCGTCATTCTCTCGGTTGGCCGATTGTTTTGGGAGATATTTCCCCGGACGGGACAAGAAGCTATTCTCCTGCGGTCGATTCTGGCGTATCATGGTTGTTGGGCTCGAAAGGAAGGGGTTTGGCGAGGAGCTAGAGTGCTTGCCTTGTGAAGGATGCTGTGAGAAGTCTGTAATCATCAGCACCTCTCTTACCCCAGAAAGAAACTTAAGAAACTTCACGACCCACCTGGTATTACTTGTTGGAATGGAGTTTGCAAAAGGAAATTTTTGGAAGACCCACAACGTTCAAGTCTCGCAGCTTTGCTTGTATCAAGATGGCTTGCTTCTTGTGAGTGTTCAGCGAGGAGGCCCTTGTCTGGAGGTGGTCAGATCCGAAGACAATCAGCGGCCTTTCGATCATACCGAAATCATCCAAGGACGGATCCACTTCCTGGGCCAGCCATGACTGTGTTCTCCTCTCGTTTAAGGTTTCTGCGGTGGGATTTTGGACAGAATGCCAGGGTGCTCCACGGAGAGAATTCGCATTGAAAGTGTGGCTAGGAGCGCGGAAGGGAGCGCATGCACGGGCACGGCCAGAGCGGAAGCTGTTCTCCATCGAGGGCTGGACTCACCTGCAGCGTGAGATGGTTGGTAGAAGTAGTAGGGATGGTGGGAAGAATGAGATGTGAGGGGAGACACCCACGAGCACTTTGGTTTTTGATCGAGGAAGGAACGGAAGTAACCTGAACGTTGCGGCAGGTACGACCACGATTGGCACTGTTGCACCTCGTACCTGCCTCCAAATGCTCCATTCACTCCTTCCGAAAGTACTACCTACAAGAGCTGAATGGACGGGAACAGGTCTATTGAGCGTCCGCGATCAAATATTGATACTTTCGACCAGAATTGATGTTGGAGAACCAGGCTTCGACTGGTCAGCGTTGTGTGCATGTTCTCAGCGGGCACATGGAATAGCTGGGGAAGTCATGATAATATACAGATAGGTATTGTTCATCGTCGATCATTAGGTAGAATCCAAGATCCCCACTTCAGCCGTGTTGTTTGGCGAAGTATCCTGCTGAATCCCCTTTCCGCTTTTTATGCGTTGGTGAACCCGGTCGCGAAGTAGCCAATGCCGACTCTTGGTGGCTCAGCGGGGTTTTGGGAATCTGGATTGACATATCGTTCATGTCTGGAGGGACTTCTGCAAGGCCCTTTTCGTTGCTTGGAAGCTGGATGGAGGGAATGCTCTGGGTACGGGCTTCTTCTGAATTGTATAGCCATGTCGCAACGAGTACGACTGAGGCGCCAATGAGAAACTGCGAGATTTTAGTAATTGGGTCCATTGTACATTATGGGGAAATCATACGTTGTTGGAAGCCGAAAAATCAAAGAAGACAAAGCTTGCAAGACTGCTCAATACCATGCTGATGCTAACAGCGAAATTCTTCGAGATATTGTCGGCGTAGAAAATGCAAAAGGCGGCCACAATACCGCCGAAGGTCTGAATTATAATGGACAGCACAACGATCCAGTTGTAGCCCGCGAAGAAGCCATATTTGCCAACGATCTCGCCGTCCAGAAAGATAATTCCAATGAAGAAGGCAGGGAAGAGCGAATACACCGACAGTTGCACATTTCGAACCCAGAGTGATGTGGTCTTAGGTGATTCCTTGACAACTTTCTCAAAGTATACGCCTGCAAGCCCAGAGCAAACGCACACACTTACAACCGCCAACAAGCCGGCTGACGCATCCATGCCTGGGGTGTCCAATGCCAGTTCGTCTTCTTCAATGCCTTCGTATGTGGCAGATCTCTTTGTCAAATGGGACCCGGGCTCAGCCATTCTAAAGTGGTCTCGTAGAGGATTGGTTGATCTTGGGACGTAAACTCGAGTATGGTGGCTCGAGGCCAGAGTCGCGTCGGAACCTTGGGGCAGCGAAACTATCGCGACGCCAACCATCAACAAGATCAGAGATAGCCACTGGCGACCACTAATGGATCTTCGCAGCAGGACCACACTGAGCACAGCCGTCACAAAGATCTTCAATTGATATGTTACATGGAAGGTGGCCGCGTCCAAGTTGGAAATCCCCACATACTGAAGACTGTTTGCCAGGGTGTAAAGGCTTGCAGGTATTGCCATTTTCCAGCTGTCGCCTGAGAAGATGGCATTGCCTAAGGCACTGAGGAGTGATGTGACGGGCATAGAGCGAGGGACAGTGAGAGAGATTTCATAGAGGGATATGGTCAGGCAGACGACCAGTTTTAGGACCTCGACGAGGAAGACAGCGGTGGAGGGGAGGTAGCGATGCCCATCTGGAGTAGGCATCACCCGAGAATAATGTAATAGCTAGATTTGAAGTCAGACAGTGTTCTGTAGATCTCGGTTTGGACCACTCGCCAGGATAAAGCCAGAGAATTGTATGGTCAACTACTCAGTAATGGTTAGCTGCTGCACCACTTTCGGCGTCTATATCTTGATCTCTCCTTACAGTAACCAAAGTGAGGCTCCGCAGCGAAGCTCCCATAAATCTGGGCATGATGCCCTTTCTTTCCAGTCCCATGATTGTGGATAATCCAAAACGTCGCGGTATGAGTGGACTAAAGAAGACTGGGTGAGGGGGACGGAAAGCCTGCACCGGGCAGTCCGAGTCCTCGGAGTAAGGTATGAAGTGGACAAAGGAGTGGCCAGGCTCTTTGAAGTGGCGGCTGGACGCGACGTATTTGAACAATGATAGATTGAACTGTGCAAGTAATGGTGTTGCAGCAGAGAGGTCACCTGGGCACGAATATATCGTATGTATGGTGCAGGTGCAGGCGCAGGCTCATATGGAGGCAGCCACAAGCACTGGCAGGCTGTGGCAGCCCTGGCGAATGATCGCTGATGGCTTGGGATGGGATAGCCACTGGCGTAGGGATGAATTGAATAAGTGGAATGGCGAGCGTGTTGTTCGCGCGTCATTGGTGAGTCCAACCTCAGTGGCCTTCACATTTGCAGTTTTTGCCTCTGCTGGAGCTTGGCTACTCTCACGGCCCGCAGTCTGGTGGGCCGTAAATGCGTCATGAAGTCCACAGTTGGGCCGGGCGGGCCGATTGCTCCAGGGCTGCTCCAGGGCTCATGCTCTTCTGGGCTTGTTTTGATCTATGAGGAGATTCAGGTCCACTGCAACCCGCACCCCTGACTTACCCGCTTGAAGCCTAACATGAGCCACCAGTGCACCACTGACCACCGATCCAGATTGCCGAAAAAACAACAATGCGATGGAGCCATTATGGATTTTGTACGGAGTATGTAATTTATGCGGGACAAGAATAGTGGTCTCTAATTCCAAGTGCTTGTTCTGCGTTGTTGCATTTTATTACGTTGATAATGGAATCAGTTCCGCGGAGTGCACGGATCGACCATCAACTTGTCTCATTTTAATTGACTGGAGGCTTCTTCCGGGTCATCCAGCCATTATCTCACAGCGTGGTTGTCGTATTCATGGTCCAAAATTCAAGTAACGAATTTCCTACTTAGGATGAATGGGTGTATATAGTACAAGTGCAGTGACAGGCACAACGTCTCAGTTCCTCATGTCATCATTATCAAATCCTGGACCCCATGCTCGGCTATTATACAATGGTCCAAATGGTCGAAAAGCGGCTTGTTGTCCCTCACTGGTCTCTCTCGTGACACTTGTTGACTCCAATCCAAACGGCCTCTGAAAAGGAAAGAAAATCAGGAAAGAGGCGACCTGTCTCAGTGCGCTGTGCCAAGCTTTGACGTTGCCTCCCAGCCTTGGTATGGCCAGTCAATGAAATCTTGTGACAAGACTTCATCTCGAGAAGGTACCTGTCTTAGTTTTTCCAGGGTTGTCAGATAGGCATTCTGCTTCAGACTATATGCCTGGTCCATGGAATCGTTGGTTCCACTCGACGACGAGAAGAACGTTGATCGACTGGTGCGGTTCCCATTATTATGGTATGCCGGGGATAGCATTGACATTTGAGACATGACCTCGGTTTCAGTCTCTACTGAAGCGTCGGTTTGATAGCTGGCAATCGAGAGACGCACGCTCGGATCCACGGAAGCTCCTGTCTGGAATGTTGTGCAGGATGCCTGGTCGAACGACTTCTCAGGGTAATTGCTGCGTGGGGGATCGAACCGCTTATTCTGCTGCGACATGCATACTTCCAGAGCTACAGGGCTTTTATAAGCCTGATAAGCCGGCCGCAATGGTCTTTCTTCACTTTTCATTGCTTGAACTCGGTGCCCGGCTGCCCTGGTGCTTGGCTGATTCAGGGCCGATCGTTTCGATCTCATCGCTGCTAACAACAACTCTTCCTGTCTGGTGACGCTCATAAGCCTCCGACTTTCGATGCTCGCCGTGTCCGATATCTGGAACGATGTGCGCTGCGATGCCACAGGCTCTGTGGGAGTGGCAGGGAACGAGGTGAGCAGGTCATTTTTGCCCACTAACCGTTCGGATGACTGATCGCTGAGGTAAGTTGGTGCTATGCTATGACGTTTCGAAGATGGTCTTGTTTTCCGCTTGGAATGAGCGTGAGCGCCGTTGACTCGTCGCAAGCTGGGAGTGGCTGTCATGGAGCAATTCTGTTTGGTATCAATTGCCTTGGCAGTCCCGACCTCAATTTCAGATTCATTGAGCACATCGATTGCAATACTATCACGCAGTCGGGGCAAGGAATTCTCGCGAGGATTGGATTGAGACCTGGGTTCTTCATCGTCGGAAGAGGAGAGGTCGAGAATACTGGTATGCTGCAAATCTGTCGACGCCAGTGATCCCGCCTTGGTCTTGGATTGGCTCCGCGCGGTTCCAGGTTGTGAGAGAGTCGATCTTGAGGACTTCGCGTTCAGGGTCGATACGCGGGGAGGAATCAACGGCGGCTTGCTCATGCTCCTAGGTTTCTGAGTCCTGTCGTTCTCGGCAGCCCCTTCTTTGACAAGCCGAGACCCATTATCCGTATGTATCGACCTCATTCCTATGCTGCCTGCTTCGAAAGCCATCTCCATTCCCGTGACAAAACTTTGATGGAATTCTGGCTCATGAACACTTCCCTCTTCACTACTGTCACCCTCGAGCCCATCGAACCAATGCTTCGCGCCAGCCCTAGGCCTCCTGATATTGACTTTGATATGCGGGACTTCGGCCTTCACTGGTGATGGTTTGAGTTGCTGGATTTCCTTGGCGGTGACCGACTGTCTTGAACTTAGCGGATAGAAGTGAACCCCCTTGACTGCTTTAGATGAAGCGTCAGGCATGCTGGTGTGCGAAGGAATGTCAGGAATGGCAGCATTTCGATTACGGGTTGAGCCGCATGATCGCTGACTTTTGGGTGTCAGTGGAAGGTATTGATCGGACGGTGGAGGACTCGACTTGGTAAGTTTTCTGGGTTCATGCCCTTCCCGGCTCTTCGATGACCTGAAGAAACGTAATGGAGAGCCTTTCTCAGTAGGAGGCTTGACGTTGACGACAACGGGCGATCCCTTTCTTAATGCAAAGTCTCGTCTTGAAGAATCCGAGGTCTGTTGTGAAATGGCAAGTGGGGTCTTCTGGGCATCGTAGTATGAGTTGAGCGTAGAGTTAGACCCGTATAGCCTGAGCGGTCTTGATCGAAGTGAGCTTGCAGTGTCTCCATTGATCTTGAACTCTTCGTGCAATAAAACGGATGATGCTTTCAGATTCAGCTCTGGTGTATCTTCATGCCTTTCTATTGGTGTAGCCGTTGATCCGAGTTCAGTAGCGGTGTCGGAAAATGTCAGTGCAGGGATCCTCGCGGTAGTAGAAGAACTAATGCTTTGGTTCCGGGCTGTGTTCAAGGCCGTTTCTGTGATGCCCAAGATATGCTGTGCTTTGAAATCTTTTCCTTCCAGTTGCCAATCTTGAGTGCGAACTGTAGATTTCCCCCTCCTCAGCGCAGTTGGCAGATGAAACCTTTGTCCGCTACCCATTGGAAATGGCTAAAATCAAGCCGTAGGTTCCAAACGTAACTGCTGTTGCATATCGGTATGCGGCGAACCTTCGCCGTCGTCTGCTTAAGTCGAGATATCGCTAACAGGTGTGGGCTTCTCTATAAGATTGTGTTGGACACCTCCAATGCGGGAGCGAAGATCAGCCTACTTGTGGGTAGGTGCCAAAGACGACTCGGATCAGGACTGGAAATTGACCGGTATTTCGAAGAGCCTTGTTGGGGAGGAGGTGCGTCGATTCAAATGATCAATTCAATTGTGAAAGATGGAGACTGTCAGCATTTTCAGAGCAAGGAGGTGCTTGTGAGAGGTTTCTTCTGTCACGGAGGGTAGAATAGCTCTCTAGATGGAAGAGGAGACGATCATCACCAAGGCCGATGGACGAGGAACAGCGGCAGTTAGAAGCACGATGAGCAGTGAAACTTCCAAGAACAGAACTGCCATCAGATGGACAGTGGGCCGAAGAAGCGTTTAGAGCATGTCAAGCGCAATGACGAGCGCATGGGACGGAGGGACGATGGGCAAAGTTTAGGACCCCCGAGGCAGAGAGTCATTCAGGATGGGCAAGGGATCCCCTGGAGCCTGCGTCTCAGTGGTGGTTACCAATGGTTAGTGGTACCTTGTACCTCGTTGTAGTAGCAATATGGAAAGGCTCTGCCTCTCCCCTTGTACCAGCGGTCAGGGACGCATGCCCACGTTGCACTTGCGTCGTGGTGGAAGTTGGGAGTGGCTTGAAGGTTTTGGTCACAGGGCATCTGTTCACGTCAAGGCCTTCATTTTTGGTTATGACAGTCAGCTTGGCTGCTGCATTGTCCCGAGTGTTTCTGAACCATTGACGCCTCTGCCGTCTTCCAGCAGAGCCAATGGGTTTAGTTAAGTCGAGACCTACGAAGTCTTGGTATGGAGTAACACCAACCAGGGGCCTGAAGCACTCTGGAGCAAACGGGAACATGGGAACGCACATTGACAGGGGCACGGGTGCTCTGTAAGGGTGTGGTGCTGGGTGTGGGCTTGGGCTTGGGCTTGGGGGCATGGGCGGAGGGTAGGTGGGTACAGTAGTTAGGTGCAGGTCCCAGGCTACTGTATGACACTCCACACTGAGAACACGCAGGCCCCCGTGGTCGACACGGCGGCCATGCGACTGAGAAAGAATTCTGGGGCTGCAGCTTCTAGTGCTGCCTTCGGGCGAGCTAGAAAGAAGTCCGGCGTCAAGCTAGTGTTCCTCCCCGATATTGCGACAGCAATCACTGGCTAGAAATGGGCGAGATAGGAATCCCTAGCACCCACGCCAGAAAACACCAAGGTCGCACTTACCACACCAACGCCTGTTAATCAATGGACACCGAGCACGGAGTACGGAATACGTATGTGTGCGTGTCTGTTACCTGTATTTCGGACCCCAGCGCAGGCTCAGGCGGAATACGGTCGGATAGCTCCTAAACCGAGAATCCTGCACAATACGGAGCTATCCGTATCGTAAAGGATTGAGTCCAACTACTGCTGATGCGGCCCGCATCAATGAGGCAATTTGATCTGACCAAAACGGTGCTGCACTCAACACGGCGTTTCCCCCTAAAGCAAAAATGGGCTTCATGCTTGGACGGTTTCGGACCGCTCTTAGCCTTACCAGGCCAGATACGGAGTACTTTACACGCCAACTTAATCTGCTTTTGTGGCTGCGAGGAGCTTTCCGAATGATCCGTAAACAGAGTGAGAAGGAGGAGCGAACGTTGCTATGCCGCCGCAGCCCCCGCTCAGAATGGAATATGATCCTAAAACAGGGATTCAAGATGGAAAGAAATTGATTCTTAAGAGCATATATTCTTTGGCCATGCATATTGCCGCAGGCTTTACTCCTTCAGCAGTTCAAAACGAAAGGTGTTCTACGTCATCTTTGCAAAGTGTCGGGTTCGTCGAAGCAGGCTGAGCTCTTCGTCATGGCTCCGAAGTTATATGAAAGTCTAATTTGCCATCAGCATGACCCCGTTACGAGCGACTTGCTGAACTTGTCAAGGGTTAAAAGTTCGTGGATCAGCCTTCCGAAGCAAGGCTTCGACCTTGCAAAACATGGAGACCTGCGTGCCGTCCACGGCTAACAGCGTAGGAGTGCGAGGGGCCAAGTAAACAATCATCTCAAAGAGCAATGCCTGACCCGGCCGCCGCCGCCACCTTCAGTCTCATGGCCATAGAGATCAAGTCAGAAATTCCTAGCCTGATAGCAATCCGACTCACAACATGTTGTAGGAAATCTCGGGCCTCGTACTCTCGTCAACTAGTTCCAGACCATTCTCTTGGTGACTGGAAGATATTGTCACCCTGTATCGGTGAAGATGGTATCAGTGGGCTAACTTTCCATGGAAATCACTACTTGCACGGTCCGTCGCCGACTCGCCGGAGACATGGATCGATCGATACTAATCAAGAAGCACGAGATGCTAGTCTTTCGACGGCGAGGTGGCTGTCGCGTGGCCGAGACTTCACAATCCCCTTGGTGACATTTCTCGCTTGCGTGCCGAGCCTTTCTGTTTCGAATAGTATCCCCAGCGCATGACTGGTTCGCCAAAAGAATCACTGCAGACGACCTTAAAACCGCCTTCCAATTTCGTATATTCTCGGCCACCAGCATACACATCAAGAACATCCTCAACGAGGTTCTGTCGCTTTGGCTATTCACAGGGCGTCATCTAGATTCGTAGAACCGTTCAATTGAGGCGAGAGGTTGGAAGTATTTGGACTTGCTCTTCTCGCCCAAGTGTCTGTCCATAGGTTGTACCTGCCAGGATCCTTCCATCTGCATCCGAAGGAGCCCTTCGTCGACGAAGCGACACAACGTCCAACGTTGTAATGTTTCAGTCGGACTCTGGCCCCAAGGGCTTCTCCAATCAGTTGGGGTGTCGTCAAAGCTGCTGATTCTGACTGATGGAGAAAATGAATTGCTAGTAGTCTCATTGGTGCATTTGAAGAAAGAGCGGTGTCTACACCACTTCCTTGGGGCAGAAACAGACAGTCATAGCAGAAATGATCGTCAAAGTGGTTGTATCTGAACTTGCCCCTGCTTCTACTGAGACGGTAGCATTTCCACTGCTGCTAACAGTCGCATATTCCGAGAAACAGCTACCACAGTTAGCTCCGTTAGATACACGGACACGGTCGAATCTACCATATCATAACCTGTGCGTAACTTCCACCTTTGCACTTCACCCGGAAAGAGCTTTGCCATCTATGTATGATCCCTTTGTTCAGTAAATCAACATAGAAGACCTCGTCGTTGACTGGGTTTTGCAAGGTGAATGCTTGCCCAAAGGGCTCTGCCAATTTAAACGGACTGATGGAGAATACATTCCTTTCCTTGATGAGGATTCCGGGCTCCTCATTCACATTGATTGGCTCACTATGATCCTGATTGCCTGCGACTTGTTACCCATCCTCTCCGGGTCTTGACTCTTTATCCGTTCCCTTAGGTGTATGTATACTGCCTTTGGAGCGCACGATTGAAGGTTCCATGTGCATAGCGGAACCAGACGAGCTAGATCCTAATTCTCCTATGGTAGAAGGGAGGTTGGTACTTCGATCGAAGAAGGGTTCTGAGTGGCACGCAACTGATTGCTTATCAATGCGTTAAATCAGTAGAAACCAAACCTGTGATGCTGTCTTGTGGCACAGAAATCAATATGGAATCATTGAGGGCCGTTTCAACTATCCCAGAGCGCTCGTTTGGACATTGCCAAAGTTATCCGTGGAGGGGTTGGCTCCCCTGACCTTGGAGGTCCTCTGCATCCACAAATCACGGAGGCTGATAGAGTGTGGGACGGTTCTCGTTGTAAGCCATGTTAATACCAAATTTTCTGCTTGTTGGTGCCGTGTCAACAACAAGATGGCTTAGTGGAAAGTGGCCGAACCTTGGAGACGAGGGATCTCTCTCAACAATCGCAAGGCAGCTAGGATGCCACTCTTGAAGCTTACACGAGGGTTCGCGAAGACGAAAGTATGATCAATGGGACTCAGCTGAATGCTACTGAGAGTTCCATGGTCGTACTCGAAAGCGAAGGAATAGGATTCGAGAAGTGTCTGACGACCATGCATGTTTTTGGTGACGAACATCTGGAGGACTTGGAGGTATCCGCACTGCAACTCCTGGAAAACTCCCATTTCCTGCAACAGTCAATAGATTTCCAACCTAAGGCAGAGGAGGCGTCCTTTACAAGCGTGTCAAGTATCTGACCTGCATGTTTGTGACCTTGAACCAGTACGCGAAACTCTTGGGAGGAGCGGGAGTTCTGACAATCTAGGCTGAAGAAGGATGTATATAGATCACTTGCACGGCTACTGGTCAGGATTATGATTTGGTCGATGTATCTGGTGGTGGAACACGGTGTCTGCCATGGAATCAGCTCTGTGGTATTTGAAAAGCGAGCGACCGAAGTATTAAGAAGGATCTAGACGCATGCCAGGCTTGGGCTTTGAGAAGGGGGGCATTGCTCCGGCATGACCGCCTTACTTATCGAGCATATCATCAAATGTGCAAGATAACCTGGGCAGAGTCAGAAACAGGCTGGCGAGAGCGAGAATGTTGAAATCAGTTGGCAATATCGCCGCTGCGGAAGGTACCCGTGATTGTAATTGCGATTTCCTCGCCAGAACGCGGCCATGCCTTTTCTTACTGGCTCCTGCCAATTCGATCATCACTGGCATCAATGAAAGCCAAGCATTTCCAGAGCTGCGAGTGCAAGTCAACGGCGAAAAGGAAAATCTTACTCTTGTAGCCAGTAGTTTATCATGTTAGGACCAGGACCACCGTCCTTCTCGGCTCTAGCAATATGTGGCACAAGCCAAGCATCAGTTGGACATCGCGTTGTAGATATGAGATTCATTCAGGCTCAGTCTTGCTCCGATATATGGCCCGTCTACAACGCTTTCAGAAAATGAAGAGCGTGGGTGGGAACACACGCCAAGAAGAGTTTGATCTTCCTATCCCATCGCACAGACACTTCTCATGGTTGAGAAGGCTTGTCCACTTCATGCGTCGGTCCTTATAGACTCATGAGGGGCGAACACCTGAAGAACCGCTAATGGAGGAAGGGCAGTAAGTAGATTCGGTAATCTCCAACATTACTTTGTTGAAGAACATGGGGCGGAATAAGGTCTGGGCCATGAGCCGAGGGTGAGTGTTGTTACGGGGGAGTATCTAGCGGCTTGACGCAGTGAACAAAAGTTCGTCTGACGAATGCAGCTTCGTGAAGATTGGGTGCCGCGGCCGTGAATATTCATCGTCTTACGAGTGCAGGTTGCTTACCTAACTAAGTCGTACCTATGGCTGCCTATGTACGGACGTACGTATACTCGTAAATTACTAACCATTGCCCGAAGACCGACCTGCAAATCTCGACCACTGGCGTAGTGGCACGGTTTGCCATCGGCGCTGCGCTCGGGCATCCCATCCCATTCCCATTCCATCCACTCCGGCCTACCACACACTACCGGTACTGTGCAGTCTCGTCCAGTAACCAGTCTTGACTCTTGTCCCGCATTCTCACTTCCATGCCACCCTTTGCCTCTGGCTCTGCTATACACATCACTCTTCCTGCCTCATACTTTCTTTCCCACAACCATTCTTGCCCTTACTGGCAACATCCCCTCCGTACGGGATCTTGTCTCCACGAGCTTAGGGCCCACCACTACCCGCCCACGCCATCAACTCCAAAAACACGCTGAATCGAACCGAAACTCCTCCCACTGGGCTTTTCACGACTCTCTGTCCCATCACCACCACTGAATCGCCCATTTCTGTTCAACTGAAGCCCACCCCCCTTCCTCGGTCGCGAGATTTACCAGACACGCGTGCGGCTCATCATTACCGGACAACCTCCTATCCAACAAAGTCATTCTCGAGGCCAGAAGACTTGTCTCTTCCACGTTGACACGACGCGCTCCTTCCTGCCGGCTACAGCCCAATAAAGCCAAATGCAATTGAAAGCAGTCCTCTCCCCCAGCTCGCAGTCATGACCATGGTTACGATGGAAGAGGAAGGAAATATGGTCTCGCCCACTCAAGACCTCCCACAGCCGAGATTCCGATCCCACAGTTCTGCACGACCACCCAACAGTCGAGAGATCCAACCCTATACTGCCGATACAGAGCAAAATGCTTTACTTGGCCAGTTCTCCTTTGCTCCAGCTACTCAAACAACCGTTGTTACCACCACTACCACCACGACAACGAAATTTCCTCCCTTCCTCATGCGACCACCTCGCCGAATGCATGAACTAGATCTCAAACACTACCCCCTAGCTGCAAGTCCGACGCCTGCTAGTCTAAGAAATATTCATTTTGAGATTGCTGGGAAAGCTACAGTGTTCCGGGAGGCAGAGGACACAACGCTGGCTTTGGAACAGGTAGGTAATCGTAACATTATGTGTTTGCAAACACTAATAGCTTGAGCAGTTGGAAGCAGAGAGACAATCACTCCGACATGCAAACGGCACACTCCAAACGATTCAAAGTTTCCTGCCTTGGGCATCCAACTCAGATGAAGCAATGCCAAATGCACCACCCCTGGAGAGCCGACCCCATAGACGACCCGCATCTCCTGAATCAATAACGGACAACGAAGAGCGTTTTCTACATCCAGATCCCTCAGCCACCTCACATTACCCTCCTACATCTGTCAGGTCAGACCCAAGACGGGATCAAGATCTCCGACGATCTCGTTTCCGCATGCAGGACACTCAGCCATCTAATCCCATAACCCCTGATAGCCTCCATAGGTCTTTGAGAGGAAATCGTCGAAGAACGGCCCGAGATGCATCCACTGCTCTAAGGAATGGCCTGGCGCTGCTTCCATCGCCGAGTACAGAGCAAACTGCTAATTTTCCATCTGCTCAAGCAACGACACCCAAATCAAACCAGCATCAAGCCCCAATGTTGGAGGAAATGCTTACTATCCCCACCGATGGCACAATTGGTAGTCGACCGAACCACCGGGAAACTTCTCAAGACACCATTGTACCCACGCCTCCGATCGATGATCTGCCTGAATCTTCGTCAGCTCGGTCAACGAGTTGGCGAGCCCTCTCTTCGGTTCCCGCTCGCCTTCACGTCGCTGAGAGCCCATCCATCAACGACGGAAGTCTACCAAGCCCGAGTCTGTCCCCAGTCACCGCAGCGGCAACACTTCAAAACCCTGGGTACTTCGCTGATGTTGACTCGAGTTCGGAAGGTGCTTCACAGCATGAAATGGCCTCTAGCCTAACTCCAGTCGAGCGCCGTTCTTCCAACTCCTTCTCAGCTCCTTCGACCCTCGAGGCAAGCCTTCTCCACCCGTCTCAGAGTCAACGACTGGCCTTTTCTCAAGCTTCAGTCACCGAGATTCCAGCAATGTTGGACTATTTTGAGGCAATTCCAGACGAACTCAAGAGCTATGTCATGCACCAGCTACTCCGCCGCTGCCCCAAACCAACCCTTCAAGTCATAGCGGATGCTGTCAATCCAGCTTTGAAATGTGATTTTCTGTCGGTTTTACCTGCAGAGCTGGCGCTCACAGTGCTTAAATACCTCGATGTTCGGAGCTTGACCAGAGCTGCACAAGTTTCAAAGAAATGGCGCCAAATGATCAACGGCGATGAGCGAGCATGGAAGGAGCTTTTCGACGCTGATGGATTCACTCTTCCAGATGGCGAATTGCAACAGGCCATTACAGAGGGTTGGGGCTGGCAGGACCCTTACGGAGTAGAAGGATTCGAGCGCAACCTGGGCAATCAAACTAATATTAAGTCGGAAACGGAAGCCAACTCTTCCTCACCATCCGCATCACAATCTAAAGGTATCACCGGGTTGCTACGTCGATCGAAACGCAAGGCGGCCACTATGCTGTCTGGTCGCAACAAACAAGCCAAACGGAAGGATTTCTCTCGGGAAGACTCAATTGATGTCATGTCGATCGATTGGATGAGCCAGATGTCTACAGCTGAAGGCCCGTACAATGCCGCCAATGCCGCTATTCTCGCAGTTCCGTATCCGAATATTGGATTCCCAAGTTTAAAGGGCTTGCATCTTTACAAATCTTTGTATCGTCGCCATCATTTAATCCGAAAGAATTGGATGGACGAGGACACGAAACCGCAGCATCTCGCTTTTCGAGCACACGATACGCATGTTGTGACTTGCCTCCAGTTTGACACTGACAAAATACTGACCGGAAGCGACGATAACAACATTAATGTATATGAGACCAAAACAGGAATTCTCAGGGCAATCTTGACTGGCCATGAAGGGGGCGTATGGGCCCTTCAATATGAGGGTAACACTCTAGTTTCCGGCTCGACGGACCGTTCAGTAAGGGTCTGGAACATTCAACAAGCTCGTGAAACGCAAGTTTTCCGGGGACATACATCGACGGTTCGGTGCCTGCAAATCGTATCACCGGTCAAAGTGGGCGAAACTGCAGAAGGGAAACCAATTATGGTTCCGAGACAACCACTGATCATCACTGGTTCACGGGACTCGACCCTTCGTGTGTGGAGGCTACCTAGACCGGAAGACCCGACGTTTATACAAGCTGAGAACGAAAGTGACGCGGATGATTGTCCATTTTTCGTTCGTACCCTGACAGGTCACCAGCATTCAGTACGGGCAATTGCCGCTTATGCCGACACCTTAGTCAGTGGTAGCTATGATTGTACAGTTCGAGTTTGGAAGATTTCCACAGGGGAGACAATTCACCGCTTGCAGGGTCACACACAAAAAGTCTACAGCGTGGTTCTCGATCACAAACGCAATCGTTGCATCAGCGGATCGATGGACAATATGGTGCGCATCTGGGATCTCAACACTGGTTCTCTGAAGTATACCCTGGAGGGCCATACTTCTCTGGTTGGCCTACTTGACCTCAACTGTGATAAACTTGTCTCGGCTGCTGCAGATTCTACCCTCAGAATCTGGGATCCAGAAAATGGGCAGTGCAAGGCCACGCTAACTGCTCACACTGGAGCAATTACGTGCTTCAAGCACGACGGACAAAAGGTCATTTCTGGCTCCGATAAAACCCTCAAGCTTTGGAACATTAGGACTGGCGAATGCACTAAGGACCTACTTTCAGACTTAAGTGGAGTCTGGCAGGTGAAGTTTAATGAACGTCGATGCGTTGCTGCCGTCCAACGGGACGGCTTAACGTATATTGAAGTGAGTCGAATTGAAAATCATTTGGGTTAATTATCACGGGACACTTACTATGAATTTAGGTTCTTGATTTTGGAGCGGCACGAGATGGAGTGCCTGAACATAACCGCGGCCGGCGGATTGTAGTCGATGCCGACGGCTGTGAAGCAAATAACGACGATGTCCGGTACCTTGATCTTGACGGCACTGCCGAAGGCTAGGCGATCTGACCTTTCACCACGAAATTCTATTCACGATGTTATATGAACGATCAACGAGGTTCTTTTCCTCTATTCCCCCAAAATGATACCCATCGCCAACGAACTGATCATCTTCAACTTTTGAACTCTGCATTGTGGGTGACTCTGGATGATCTTAACGACCTCTTTCAACACCCTTTGCGTCTGTGCGTTTGATTACATCCCAGCCTAGCATTTTCAGCTTGAGGTGTCGCTTGTTTTAACTGGTTGCAAAAATTCATTATCGGCATGAAATACATCAACTTACATAGTCCTCCTACGTATTGAAGACGGGAAGGTTTACCTACGTTACTAGACAGAAATTGAGCTCGGGAGTTCTGATACCTTGAGACAGATAGAGGAGAGTATGACAAGAGACCGCCCACACCAATTTAAGCCAAGGGTATCAGATACTCTTGAGACAACCAGACCGACCGACCGACCCTTCACCAATCACTAAATACGTCACGCTCCGTGCAGTGCTGGCAATGGCAGACTCTGACATAAGATATCACGCCTTCGAGCTCTCTTTCTTCTCTCATGTCCTCCCTGTACATAGCATTTATGAAATATACATGGCTCTTTCTTTTTCTAGCAAGGGTCACAGTGGACACCTATGAATGTCCTGTCAATTGACCTGGGTGAAATTGACGCAGGCACCAACCAATGGCACACGATCCTATGTCCCTCCCTACTGGACATACAGAAGTAGCCGATAACCGTACAGTGGAAGTCAAATGCATTAATGAAGAGCCTCGAGGACGGTAGCTAACTAGAAAGCTATCTCACGGCCGGTGAGGACGATGAGGACGATTGAAGACGACGGCATATAAACGCATGGCCCCTTTGATAGTGACCGAGTACCATATAGGAGAGACTGCGAACAGCTGGTTGAATGGTGCTCAAGTGACAACACCTACTCCTACAGGTCTTTGTTTGGGGTTTCTTCCTAAGGTCTCCAGAAAATCCCACAAAGCAACGGTTCTAGAAATGAAAGGGACGGGTTCGAGGATGTAGTAAGGCATAGGAGATTATAACAATATATCCCAAGTATGGATAGTAGCAGGGAGATTTTGTCTTTCGATTGATTTTTATGCAATACTTCTACAACACGGACCTTGGTTCCCACAGAGTCTCTCTATTTCTGTCTAGCAAGCTGAGTTAGGAAATGGAAATGGGTCGTTACATGGTGTTACAGGACCGGGGAGGATTGCATCCCATTACATCCTCCCCAGGACTTTGGTATTCTGGTCCCCGACTTTCATCCTTGGTGCCGGTCATTCTGGCACACGGATGGCAAGAACATTTGCAAAACACCGAGAAATAAGTCGTGATGATTCGGTCATGATCAATACCTTTCCAGGTTTTGCAGAGAGCGGAAAGTGAGCATTCCACGTTCTCAGCTATAGAATCCCCACAGAACGGCCGGTGGTAGTGATACAGCTCGTGAATGTATTAGAACATAATTAAATTCGATGGGTGCAGGTGGGTCCTGCGAAGAGCCCGCGAATTGGGCCGCGATTGACTTCCATTGTCAAGTGTATAATGCACTTTCATATTCAGTATCTGGTTCTCCTCTTCCTTCCACCACTGTGCTTCGATGGTTCGGGTGAGAACATAGACTCAAACGCGTCGAGGCCTCGAGTTACTCCTTTCCCTATGGAAACCGGTGCAGCGGGTGTCCGATCAGGACGGGGAGCAGCGGACCTGGCAGCTCTGGAGCCCTTGGACTTTTTCGATGCTGGGGCTTCGAACATCGATTCGAATGCTTCTAGGCCACGGCTAACGCCTTTGCCTTGTAGAGGTGCTGCACGATTTGAGCGCGTTGACGGAGTAGCTGACGATCTGGATATTGAGTTCGCCGACCTTGATGTGGATGGCTTTACCCCAGACATTGCTGAAAATGCGTCCGCACCGCGAAAAGTCTTTGTACCGATGGCTGGTGCGACCCGTGACGTAGAGACTGGTTTGCATGGGATGGGACTTGACTCTTGGGGTTTCCTTCTGCTAGCAGCGAGGAGGGCCATGAGTTTCTCGTCGACTGGATTCTTGGTGTTGGAGCGTTCCAAAGGAGACGGACTCGACTTAAGATCATCTGGCAACCATGGTGAACGATTGGAGCTTGAATCCGCCGGAGACTTCGAGAATTCCACGCCTTGCTGAGGGGACTTCTTGATAGGGTTTTTCACATTGAGAAGTTCGGCGAGAAAGTCCTGAAGACTAAGTTCAGGGTTTTGTGGGGGAGCAGTGGCTTGATTCGACAATTCCTCATGAGGCTTCAATGACGAAAGGCGCTGGCCACGGCTAGCCGCAAGAGTGTCACTGATCGTCCCGGCATTATATTTCCGTGCTTGGGAATGTCCGGCAGGTCCCGCAGACATAGCAAACTTATCCAAGCCAGCCGCCCGCAGAATTGACCACTGGAGGTTCTCAACACCGTAAGGTGTTGTCGAGGAGCCACTCTGAAGACCTCCCACGAGGATCAGCTCACCAAGGCCGGCATGTTTGCTACTTCCAAGCTCGGCTTCTGCGCGGATAGGCTCCAGTACAGACTCGACCGCCGTTTGTGAACCATGCCAGCCTGATTTGTCACATTTGCTGACGATCATCTGATATGGGACTGTGAGAGTCCGTAACACGTCCAAAATTTTGCGATCATGCTGAGTGATTCCCTGCAGAGCATCAACGATGACATATGCCCTCCGCAGCTCTTTGCGGTTTTTCATGTAGGTGATTATTTCATTGCCCCATTCCGCATCACTGCCATATCCATACCCTGGCAAATCGACAACGGTGAGTTTTGGTCTGCAATCGCCACCCCATCCTGGTATCGCACCACCATCTTGACGGCTCCTGGCTGCCAAAGACCAAGCCCACATGGTCTTCGTTGCGCCAGGAGTTTGACTGACACGGTTGAGGTGGTCATCATAGGTGACATGGTTGAGCAAGGAGGATTTGCCAACATTGGACCGACCAAGAAATATAACTTCCGGAACCAGGAGGCCTCCCGGGACAGAGGCTTTATGCCTGCGCCACGCGGTGCCGGTCCATTCTCGAAATGGGCGATGGGCCTTGAAGAATTTGGCTGCTGCAGCTAGATTCTCGTCTGTTGGAGGCTCTGTTTCCCAGTACCAAGACTTGGGTTGGAAGGGAGTGTTCTCATGCTTTGTAAGAGAAGTGTGAAGTCTTCGTCGGCTATCTTTCAGAACGAACAGACGGAAACGGAATCGGGACCGAGAGATGACCCGGCACGAAGTGCAGGTCACGCCTTGCATCTGAGAGGGAACTGATAATACGATGGGATGGCCAAGGGAATGGGAAGGCGAAATGTAGATGATGAAGGAACAAAATACGGAGTACGGAGTAGTTGATTTGCCCTTGGAAATCCTCATATACAAAATTGAGAAATTTGGGCGTAACAGATAGAATTCCTGCGCTAGCGCGCTTCGTGGATGGCGCTTAGCGGCTAGTGGCGCCTAGACTTCGACGTGGGCGATCTGGCTGAATTCAGAGATTCCAAGTATCTTGATAAAACATGAACTTTCAAGGTCACCATTATTGCTTTTATCAAGCCTGCGGTGCAGAGACCTGGTCATCATGATCAATGCGGTCCTGGTCTTCAATAACAATGGACAACCGAGACTGACTAAATTCTATACGCAGCTGGTGCGCAGTCTGGACAAGTTTCTCGTTTCATTGCGCTGATAGATCAACAGGACACGGTCACTCAGCAATCTCTACTGTCCCAGATCTTTGCCCTGGTATCTGCTCGACCAGCATCTGCTTGCAATTTTCTTCCTTTGCCTCCTTTATTAGCTCCCACAGGAACAAACACCTCTCCCGATGCTCCCACTCAGATCACATATCGACACTATGCGACCTTGTATTTCATCCTCATATCCACTGCCACTGAGTCCCCGCTTGCCTTGTTAGATTTTATTCAGGTCTTCGTCGAGGCCCTTGATCGGCTCTTCGAAAATGTCTGCGAGCTGGACCTTATTTTTGGCTTCGAAACACTCCACGCTGTTCTTGGTGAAATGGTCGTTGGTGGTGTTGTCGTTGAAACTGGTTTGGACAAGATCGTCGACGGTGTCAGGCTCAGTGAAGGCGCCAAAGGCAAACGCAAAGCGGTCAATTCCCGTGATTCCGGTGTTTCTTTGGGAAGAGGCAGCGGATTCGCAGGCTTGGGCTGGGCTACAGGAACAGGAAGCAGCTGGAGGTAGTACGTTGCGTTGCTTCAATCCTCCAGCAAATGGCATGTGAAGGCCTCTATTGCGCTAGGAAATATGAATGTCATACCCATCCATTCGAATGCTATCAGGTTGGGCAACACTCTGCGGGGCCCCTCAACATTGGCACTCAGCATCATGAAATGGGATCACTCGTGGTCTAGCAGGCGCCGAACGTTGGACATCTTCCCTAGGACTTTTACGTTATTCGTTGAAGGTGGTTCACCTCTGATGGTGGTTATGTTTTCTGAACAGTACACCGTCAGCACGTTACAAGCAGTATCCAATGTCCAAGGGCATTCGTGAGAAATCGAGTTTGTCCTGTACAGCGAATTCAGGATGTCACTCACACTAGGCTATGACTCGAGGGTAACGGCTAGGCATTGTCCACTTCAGATGGAACGATATGGCAAGTAATGAGCACCGGGCCTAGGAGGCGGCTCTCCTGCTTCAAATCCAGCTTGGCATTCCCTGCCCTGGCATTTGACAACGATGCAAGAAAGGTGCAGGCAGTGTATGTGAAATCTACGAATTGCGGGAATGTGTTGGCAGCGTCCCATAGAGGACGCTCACCAACGCTCGCAGGATGCGACGGTAGCAGCCGGCGCTGAACGCTGGGGATAGAGTATGAGTACTATCCAGCGTCTACCCGCAGAAGAGACAACCATCAGACAGGAGATAGGAAACGTGCAAGTGTTGTTTTCTCCTCCAAAGCGCACTGGCACTAAATGTTCGGGGAGACTAGGATTCAGAAAGCGGGCGACTGCAAGAGCAATGAAAAGCCAGAAAGGTGGTGAAGTCGCAAGTTTGTCCACAGAATGTCGTGCCAGACTCTTTATGAACGTGATATCAACAAGCCGATAGCATGGGACGAAAGGGTCAACGCACTCTGTCAGCCCGTTGTTCCTGAACTAAACTGTATCGGCAGGGAAAAAGTCTGAGAAGAATGGCCCAAAGTGTGACAGCACATATTCCAGCAATGACATTGGCTGGCCACGGCGAGGGACATTTCTGTCTGATGGAAACATCCCAATAGCAGGAAGCCCAGCCTCCTGATAATGAGAATGCGGCTTCTTGCAGGATCACCAGATCGAAGAGAAACCCAGAAACCAGGATGCTGGATTTAGTCTTGTGCAGGGATGGTCGCGACTCGAGACTCGAGACCCCGAGTGGGAGGGACAAGACCTGTGAAGCGAGGGGGACACTGAGGGCCGGTAGGTCTTATATTCGGCGGTTAGAATAGAGCTTTGTATGGACGAGGTCCCACCGCCTAGCCAGGTACCGTAGCCTAATTGGGGCACCCCGGCTGTATCCGCCTCTGGGTACGTCTTGAGAGGCTCGTTCGGCTGACGACCCGCCCGCTCGGCCCTTGGGCAGGAGTGGTCACAACCCCGCTCTCCCACCTCATTCGCTCCTTCCCGTGCTTCATGCAGCGGCCAGTCCCCTCTTCACAGCTTCCGCACCACCACTTCTGCCAATCATCACAATCAACGCCGTGGTCAACGTGGTGCTCACCCCTTCTGCAATCATGAAGAGCTACATCTACCGCCGTGATCGCTGTTTGCGTGCACCGACTTGCTTCATCGGCCAGGGGCTCAGCAGTTTCAGACACACAGCTTGGTCATATCAATGAACTGATCTGCCTACAAAGATGAGGAATTCCTCCACAGCTCTTGTCCTCCTCATCTTTGTCTTTCTCTGCTGTTCTGCCGACGCTCTCCCTGCAAGTATCTGGGACGTTGATATTTTGACAAGTCCGGCGCCCCCTCCAGATCAAGGTCCTCCCCTCTCAGCTGGTGCTTTGAGAGACGAGTCGAAGCTCAAGTACGAAATTGCTGGCATCGTTGGAGCCTACTTCTTCTGGGTCTGTGTCACTCTGCTACTTCTGCTGCTTGTTGGGAAGAGACTTCGCCACAAGGTCCAGACCTCGAATCAGACGTTAAGCATGGAAATCGTTAAGCCTGCTCCACTCAGCAGCCATCCCGGAATGAGCATGGATTCTCCGCTCAAGAGCCCGAGCAAGATGGGCAGTCTACGATCATGGGCTTCCGGTGGTAAATCTCACAGCCATAAACCTTCCAATATCAGCATGGCAACAACAATCGATGAAAAGATTGTCGAGGCAGACAAGGTGAAAAGCATGGATGAAATGGCCAAGCTCTATGCAGCAGTCATGATCCATGACGAGGAGAAGTCTCAAAAGGCGCTGAATAGTAGCCAGACATCCCCGAAAACTCCTTCTTTCCCTCTTACACCACGGTCGCCCTATCCACCTTCTCAAATGACCTTGCCCCCAACACCCCGATCACCATATTACCAGCCGCATCTGAGCGGTGGTCCCGCATCTCCACGATCTCCACGATATCCACCCGAGTTCCAACACCTTCGCAATCCGCCCTCTGAGGCCAAGGATCATGGAGTTCAGCCAGCAGCAATTACACTTATCCACCCACTTGCACCTACTCCAGCGGAGGACCCGTCCACCCGCACGTCATCGCAAACCAGCACTCGTAAAACCAAAGCATCGCCACTATCTCTGGCCTCTACTAGATCTGACTCGGCCACTCAAAACAAACGGCGGCCTAGCCAAATCTCGGTCCGCGGTCTACCAATCTCACAACCAATTGCATCCGCCAACCTGGCCGACTCGATGGTCCACCAGGATAGTGCAATTGAGTCTCCCCGAATCTACAATCCTGGCCCTCCACCGCCCACACCTGGGCAGAATAGCCTTGTGAGCTCGGTTCAGGACGAAAAACGAAGGCCTTCGGCCCCGTTATCCGTAACGAGCACTGCTGGGGCATCCAATACCTCCTTGCCATTCCGCCAATTCTATGCCGACACATTGAGGAGCGCACCACCTACCAAGACAACATTCTTAGAAAAGCGTGAAAGCATCCTAGGAGTTCATCCTAAGACAGGTGTGCCGCAGACTCCTTACAGCCCATATACTCCATTCACTCCCATGACGCCAATCACGCCGCGTCATTTGGTCACGAAGGAGGACAGAAGGAGAAACCGTAAGAAGGAAGGCCTGAAAGTGCTTAGTGAAGATGACATGGTCATGAGTGATGAAGACATGTGGGGAGAAATGAAATGAAATGGAAGAAGCACCGAGTGATGTGTCCCGTTTCCTTCCTCTACTACGGAGTCCTGGATTGACGGGCCTTTTTTGGTTTGTTCTTTTCTTCCAGGGCGATGTGCCGTGCTGTGTACATTTAGCGCCAGATTATAGCTTCCATATAGATACCCAAATCATACACAACATATCAATTGCCACATACAACTATCTTTCAAGTTGTTGAGGACGCGACTTCTAGAACTCCAAGAGTGCACGTGTTTGTCTCCGATTTTCGAAACCGAGGCACGAGTGGCGCGGTATTCCTGCCTCGGTAAGGTCGAGCAGAGCTCTTGGCAAGTGTTACCATGGTGGACAGCTAGGTTGGTTGTACAGTCTTGAGTAGCCAAACCGACTCACTAGCATCTTCTAAAAGACCCCAGCCTTCAGAGCATCTACGCTTCTTCTTCGGCTACTTCTCCGTCATCAGAAACCTGCCGGAGCTCTACAAAGAGTGCTTCTCTAAACCGGCATTCGAAACATGGAGCGCTTGAACTCAGCCTTTGGCGGCCACTCGGCCGGTTTATATGCGCACGAGAACTCATGCTTTCCAGACCCGACGGACGTGCTCTTCTCCTCTCCATCCTGGCCCACCTCTTTCCAATCACAGGGCAATATGACCTCGGCTTTTGCGTTTGGGGGGACGACAACCGTCATGCTGAAAGAGCCGTCCTCGGCCTTAAGCTTCCAGGCGCATTCGATGCGCCCGTACGGACTCTCGAATTCGACATTTGCGCTCGTGAGGGTTCCTCCAGGGACCGGGCGCACCTTAATCGTCTGCCATCCAGGGGTGACCGGGCCGATTCCCCCGACATTCTTATGCAGCCAATGCGCCACGGAACCCAGGGCGTAGTGGTTGAAGCTGGTCATCGACCCAGGATTGATGGACCCATCTGGGAGCATGCTGTCCCATCTCTCCCAGATCGTCGTCGCGCCCATCGTGATCGGATACAGCCAGGACGGGCACGCCTGCTCGAGAAGCATTTTATACGCCAGTTGGTAGTTGCCTGTGTTGGAGAGCGCATGCGTGATCAACGGTGTCCCCACGAATCCCGTCCCGATACGGTATTTGGCATCGTGGACTAGGTGGCTTAGGCGACCTGCGGCTTTTGTAAGATGGCTTCTCTCGTTGAACAGCCCGAAACAGATGCCCATGGCGTATGCTGTTTGGGTGTCTCCGGCGAGCAGGCCTGATGGGGTGATGTACTCTTTTGCAAAGGTTTTCCTCACGCTCAATGCCTCCTTGCCATAGCGTTCCACATCTGCCGACTCGCCGAGAAGTTGGCTGACTTTGGTGATGGTGTCCATCACTCGAACCAGATAGGCGTCAGCGACGAGAACGCAATCAGTCCGAGCCGCTCCTGGCTCGTCCGGTGGCGCAGCAGGATCCAGCCAGTCACCGAGCTGCCAGATGTTCTGGTCCCATAAGCCGTTAGGACCTCGACTTATGCCCTTGTCCACCCAAGCCTTCATGCTAGGATACTGCCTGCGAAGGATTTCCAAATCGCCTGAGCTCTGGTACATGTCCCACGGTGTCAAGACGGTAACATCATGCCACACACACTGTGGCCCTAGTAGAGGGCCAATCGCATCCGGCACGACGAGCCCCGGGATTCCAGTGTCTGTATCTTTCAACTGCTCGACTGAGACGTCGTTGAGCCAGTTTCCAAGGAATCCTTGCGTGTCGTAGATGAAGTTCGCCGAGGGAGCGAATACTTGGATATCGCCAGTCCAGCCGAGCCGCTCGTCGCGTTGGGGACAGTCGGTAGGAAGAGAAACAAAGTTTCCTTTCATGCTCCACAAGACGTTATCATGAAGTCTGTTGACGAGAGAGTCAGAGCATGAGAACCATCCAGTACGTTTCATGTCGCTGTGCAAAACAAGTGCTGTAAGATCATCCTTACTGGGCATTGCATCGTCAGTCGGCCAACCGTCGACTTGGACATAGCGAAAGCCGTGGAAGGTGAACTTCGGAGACCAAATTGGCGCCTGATTCTGAGATAGTATCACATTATCGATGGGTTTAGCGCCTCTGAGAGGCCGTGTACCAAGTTCGTCATGCTCAAGTACTTCTGCGTGGCTGAATGACACCTTGTGTCCGCCAGTTGCTGCTGGTAAGCGCACCTGCAGCTTTCCAACTAGATTCTGGCCGAAATCAACTAGTGTCTTGCCAGATTTTGACTTGAAAATCTTCACAGGGGAGACTTTTTCCACTGCGCGAATCGGCGGTATAGCCGAAGCCAAAACTTCTGCGGATGGGAATTCCAGCTCTTCGGTTGACGTCCAAGATTGATCGTCAGATGTGATATCTCTGTTCCAGCCGGCTTGCTCCTCACGCGTGTCATAGTCCTCCCCGTCATAGATTTCACTGCGGGTTGTAGCACTGAGGTGAGATTTCCACGAACTATCCGAGACCAACGTGTATTTATCACCGGACTCGTATAGGACTTCGAGTTGAGCTATGAATGCCAACCGGTCCCCGTACAAACACCGTTTCTGTTTTCCGAACCCGATGCGACCCGCGAACCAGCCCTCGCCAACTTCAACACCAACTATGTTAGGCTTCCCTGAAACAAGCGACGCAGTTACGTCGAAAGTCGAATATAGTAACCTGTGGCGATAACTGGTCCACCCAGGGGCCATTTCCTCTGTGCCAACCCGTTGTCCGTTGATGAACACTTCGTAAACGCCGTGGGCCGTAATATAAAGACGAGCTTTTGATATCGCTCCTGACTGCTCAGATAGAGGGAAGAGCTTTCGAAAGCGGATGGGTCGTCGCGGCTCCTCCTCGTTGTCTGTGAGCGTGGACGTCGTAAGCTTCGCTGTCCAGTCTCGCTTGTCAAGTAGCGCGGCTTCAACCAGTGTTGGGCTGGACCACTGGCTGTCGTTCTTCGAGGCCTTTCCAGTGGCATCTACAACCTGGCCATGTGATCGGATCCTGATCCAGACGGATTCTCGTGACTGAAGGGATTGATGCGGCCATGGCACCAGGACTGACTCCGAGCTTTCCACATGGTAGGTCTTTATCTCGACATCGTCCTTATCGACGACCTGGATCTCATAAGACTCTTGCGACCAATTCTTGATACCGTCATCAGCAGCGAAACGCCATGAGATTCGAGGACTTGTGTGTCCAATGCCGAATCCAGTGGAGTGATGTTCGAAGCTGACCGACGTGATACGGACTGAAGCCATAGCGAGTTTGACTTAGACTTGTCAATGTTGTAAACTTGCCACAGGGTTTCACCTCGAAAGCGCGAAGCGAACCTCTCGTATCCTAAAATCCAGATCTCATTCGGTCAACAATCACCCGATTCAGTCATATCACGCAGTCTCGGTACCATTTCTCGGTCGTGCGAGCCTCGAAAAGAGGGGTACCCATGTGGTGGAGGCTGTTCCTTCAGTCACGCGAGGCCAGCCACCTTGACCAGACACAGCGAGGTCAGGGGGAGCGTTCGGTGGCATATGCGCCGACAGACCATGCTAGGGATCGGGTTTTGTGCGACACGACTGGAAAGATGGCTAGTGTCACTGGTAGGCAAAGAAGCACTCGTAGTCGGTAAGCTTGTTATTGTGTTTCCCGTTCGCTAGAGGTGATCGACAGTTACTGTAATTCGCCCAAAGACAACTACCGAGGTATAAAAACCCCTGGGCTGTTAACTAGGCGCTTACCGAAGACTGGGCCATGCGGCGTGCGACTTGGCCCTCAAGGAGACGCATTCGCATAGGACTCGGCAGAAATGGACTTCTGGAATGATCACACTTGTGTTGTGCATCGACGGCAGGACTGATGTTCTTTGGTCAAAGATCAGCTTTCTTGCTTGGTAGCAAGAAACCGACTGGTCAAGGTCGACCTCATACGGTGTGCCGACAGTGTTTTGTAAGTCAAACTCAAAACACCATTTCGCTGTCGCCTTCAACTACGAAGGATCCACCCAGATGCATATTATACCCCAACCCAAACCGGTAGGCGTTTTTCTATGAAATGTTAATTACTACCTGTAATGGGTAAAGCCACGGATTTTCACATTGGACTCTGCGGGAAGCTTGAAGCCGCCGAGTGCTGGGGACATCCTGTGTATTACTTCTCTTACGTTTCTGTAGAAACATGATCCGGTGGTCATCTCTCATCCCAATTTGCCGGCATTCCGGTCTCGCTCAGATGCTATTTCAGCATAAACACGCCGGCATGGAGTCCCACAACAAGACATGGTCACACTTATCGCGGGGCCCCGGTTCAACCCCCCTTGATTTCCCGGGGACCCCGCCTGTCTCGGTCCATCTGTGAGCTGCGGGCTAGTCGAGGCCGAGAGAGCCTTTGAAAAAGTCACGCTATCGAGGTACCTACTACTCGGTACTCCAGTAACATTTCGATGAATTTCTAGGGTACCATGTGGAGTTGCTGTGCAATGTTCCAAGCCTGTGTGTAGCTCGCTTGGATCTCACATATAGGACTTGCGTCCCCGGGCTGCCTCCTGTCTATGTCATGTTCAATACCTGTCGCGATTTATTTATTCTATTTGTGCTACCATACAAGCAAGAATCGACACAACAGCAGCCCATATGTCTACCGCGGTGGAGAAGGCTGAGGCCCTCCACCTCTCAGGAATCGGAGCTGATGCTGTTGGCGTCACTGAGGTTGATGGGTACGAGAGCTACGGTCTTGTCAAGTCGAGGTTTGACGAGCTCTCTATCCCTCGCACGTTGTGGGTGTTCAGGCGCGTTGTCATCATCGTGCTCGCCGTCTACACCGGCTACGTTTGTGAAGGTTTCGAGGTATGCGATTGCGGGCTACTGCGAAAGTCATGGGGGCTGATGAAGAGCAGCTTGGTGCTGGAGGCAGTGTCATCGCAAATGCTGGTTTCATCAAACAGTTCGGTGACGGTAATTCAGGCGTGACGGCACTTAGCCCGACCTGGGGTATGGTATACCTTATTTCGACTGACCACCTGTCCAAGACTGACGGTAGTTGCTAGTATCTACGTGGAGTGCACTTCTGGTACGATCTGGATTCATTGAAAGCCATGAATTGTGCTGATCTGATCAGAATGTTGGTCAAATCGTCACCTTCACCCACATCTCTTGGTAAGAAATCTGTAGCATCTCCCTGGAGTACTGGTTCGGGTATTCTGACTTGCCATAGGTTTACCGACAAATATGGCCGCAAGACATCATTTTACCTTGCATGGACCTGGCTCGTTGTTGTAAGTGACACCTTCTAAAGCAAGGAATGAGATGAGCTGATGCTTCAAGGGGTGTATCTTCCTCAATACGGCCAAAAGTCCATCCGTTTGGGTAATTCACCATTGCTTTCCTTCTGATTGATGATAACTATCAAACTGGGCTCGTGCTGATGCCTTCGCAGGCCCTCGGCAAGCTCTGCAATGGTGCCGGAATCGGTGTACTCCAGTAAGCAATGCTCAGTCCTGACAGTCTTCCCTGCGCTCACCACGAACCCCACAGGATCACATGCCAGGTGTATGTCATGGAAATCTGCCCAAACAGAATCCGAGGTGGGATGGTCACCTTCCAAGCGGTCTGGTACGTTACTCGTGGCTCTCGGTCACCGAAATTTTATTGCAGATGCTGATGGCCCGAAAAAAGGAGCAATATCGGTGGTATTGTGGTCGCTGTGATGATGCAACAGCTCAATCAGAAGCATCCCGATAATTACTTGCTCGCAATGCGGATCCTTTGGGCACCGATCGGCCTGATGATCGTCTTCTGGGCCTTTGTCCCCGAATCGCCGTGGTTCCACGCTCGCCACGGGAATAAAGAGCAAGCACTTAAGGCCATGAAGCAACTTTATGGTGGTGTGAAGGGTTACGATTATGAAGAGGAGTACGGCATTATTGAGAGGACAATCGCACACGAGAGTAGCATGCTTCAGGGAAAGCCGACTATTATGGACATTTTCAAAGGGTTAAACCTAGTAGGCGGCGCTTTCACCTTGATCAAACATAAGGAGCAATACATAACTGACCTAACCCAGAAACGAACACTCACCGTGATGGTCCTCGCCGTCACTCAGCAACTCGCCGGCCTTGCTATCATCTCAACCTACTCAACTTGTATGTTGCCTTTCTGCGTCTTCCGTCTCCTCAAGGCTGTCTGCTAATTTGATGGCCCAGACTTCTTTTCTCTCGCTGGCTTGGAGGATCCCTTCTTAGGCTCAGTCATTCTCTCGTAAGTGGGACTACAGCTACTCGTGGCTAATGTCTCTTTTAACCAAATCTTTGCCTTATAGTTGCTGTAATTTATTGGCAGTCTTGCTCTGGTCTTTAAGCACCGACAAGCTTGGACGTCGTACGATCATCAACACATGCCAGACAGCCGTCTGCGTGATCCTCTTCATTGTTGGCGGTCTACATTGGTCAGGAGCGACGGGAAGCAACGCTGCGGCCGGCACTGCACTAGTTTGTCCAACTGTTCCTGTTCTATAAATGGCATAATTTGCTGACACAATTTCCAGTTGGTTATCTGCTGCTTCTGGACATTCTCATTCCAAGTCATCGCCATGTCATACTATGTTTTCTCTGCCGAGCTGCCCTCTGCTCTCCTTCGAAGTAAGTCGGCTATACACCACATGCTCTTCTCTCCAACTAACATGAGACAGTCAAAACCGGCCCTGTCACTTTCTTCACAAACTCGATCATGGGGATCGCCACGTGGTGCGTCATGACAAGCTCTTTCTTAGTCAAGAAGTGCCCAGCTAATTCCTGCAGCTATGCGACTCCTCCGATGCTTCTCGCTCTAAGTCTCAAGACAGGCTTCGTCTACGCCGCCTTTTCCGTGCCTATCTGCGTCATCCTCTGGATATATCTCCCTGAGACGAAGGGGTAAGTTTGTCACTTACCGCGTGCAATGTCTTCCTTTTACCTTTTAGTGTAATAATCTAACCTGCTCTAGCCGATCCGCCGCCGAAATCGACGAGCTATACGAGCGCAAGATTCCAGCGTGGAAATGGTCCAGGACTAGAACGGCTGCCGAAGGGCAAATGCATGCAGTGGTAGAAGTGAAAGGTAGCGTCAAGCATACTCAAACTTCGACTAACGATCAACGGACCACCACAGCTGGACAAGTATCCGCAGTATAGGCAGGGGAAAACGGGGAAGATGGGCGTAGTAAGTGGTTGTAGAGGGAGGCTTTCTCACAGGGAATGCTTCGCACATTTCATTCGTTGCCTTGTGTCTCGAGTTACTGAGGCTGTAGAAATTAGTACTTGGATCTCACTGGCATCTAGGCGAATGGCCCATATCCAGATGCTGGCAAGATACTTTCCCTATGCGATTAGCCGTTGTGTGACTTAACAATCAAGGACATGAGATCCCGAGCTAAGTCTGTTCAGCCAACAAAGCAGCGTTCGGGGGACCAGAGTTATGAAGCTCTAGGAATACCCTGGGCATGCTGGGCCCGAGTGGCCGGAGTCACGTTCTGGTTTGAGAGCAGCTGGTACCCACAGGCAATTGACATGACGAGACTTTGGAATGTGGCATCTCAGTAGCTCATACAAGGCTCAAGTCCAAGACCTGGTCGGTGCAGAAGAGAACGAGATCCAAGTTAGGCGAACCACGATGGTGCATAAACCAGGATAGAGCTATGGGCCGTCGGCAGATATGAAGGCGAGCTGCGGGATGGAGCGATACTAAACAAAAGATCGGAATCAGGGCCTTGACCCTGCAAATTTTGCCATGAAAAACAGGGGATAGGTGGATGAGGCTAACGGCCTGAACTATCTCTGTATTCGTGTCGAACCTCTGTGTAGGTGGGCGGGCTCTGTTCTTGTACTGGTGCTGTGACCCGAACGCCGCTCTGTTGCTGTCGTGTGCTAAGGTCTCGAACATTGGAAAATGACGCGCCAGGGTCCCAGAGACCGAAGTACAATAATGTAATTTCCCCGTTTCCATCCTCGTACACAGAACAGTTGTTGTTATCATGGATGCAACTTTGAAGATGTTAGCTTTTGGAGCCTTGTGAACTTGTTTCAAGGAAGGCGCGAGGTCCTAATTAATTTGTAGGGAAGGAAGGTGACCCGAACGGGAACTTCCGCCGTGACGCTTTTACTCGTAGGGAAAGAACTCGCAATTTAAGCAGTAGCAAAGCTATTACTTAATTGCGGAAGGCCCCCGGTGAATGGTGAGTCCTTGCCACTTGCTCAAGTCAAGGAATGCGACCAAACAGCTTAAATGCAGAAGCGACAAATCATTTGTTATCATGTGTGATGACAAAGGAACCGCGTCGCATCATACATTTTACCAAGGCTCACACATGTCTATTTCTACGTAGTCAATCCTTGGTGACGACGAGAGCTATGATCGGCAGCTTCCTCCATCCGAGGGTTGCAGCCTGTTCATCAAATTCTCTATCCCCGATATTTTGTGGTGCCCTGGACAAAACTTCAACGTACGGCTTTAAATGGTGATCTAAGACCGATCTCCCGAAACCTTGTTGCTGTATATCATTTTATCGCAAGGTCTTAGAAAATCCGAACCACATCACAGATTGATTTGATACAGATTACTTCAGCCATGCCTTTGACAGTCCTAACAGACGCAGAGGTGAAGTCTCTGCTTTTGACCTTAACGAAACAAGACATAGAGGATCTACAGGGAAGTCTTGCAGAGGCCTTACACTCATATTCCACAGGAGACACAAATTCGCCCTGTGCATCGTCCTACCAACCACAACGGACCGTAATCAAAAAGCGTGGCGTCACTACAATCTTTTCGCCAGCATCGACAGGCACTTCTGTGGGAATGAAAATTGTCTCACTTGAAAAATTGGAAAGACGCTCGAGCAAGAAATCCTCGATTTCGTCCCAAACAGGAAGTGTATCTGGCTCGTCCTCTCTGAGATCAACCACTAGCGATCTTGCATCGATGAGCCTGAGTCCTGCGCAGACCACTTCGTCCTCAGGCAGTAGAGACTCAATTGATGGTGCGAGTTTTCAGCCTCCAGCATCTATTTCTAGTAACCAAAGCACCACACCAAAAGGCTCGGTCACAATACTCGACTCTTCCGGGAATCCTATGGGCATAGTCAACGCTGAAGAACTGACGGCCTTCAGGACCGCCCTAGCTGCGACCATGCTGGTGAAAAAGCGGAATGTTGTGCACACCGTCACGGTTTTTGGAGCCGGAAAACAAGCCTATTGGCATATCCGACTAGCACTCCTTCTCCGGGGTGACGAAATTAAACATGTCAACATCATCAATCGCTCTTTTGAGCGCTCAATCAAATTGATGAAATCGTTTCAGGTCACCGACGACTCTTTCGATAAATGGCGCAAGGACATCAAGTTCTCAGCAATGAGTCCGGAGTTTGGGGAGTACGGGAGGCTTCTAAAAGAGGAAGTCAGAAAGGCAGATGTGATATTCTGTTGCACGCCTTCTATCGACCCACTGTTTCCGGCGGAGTTTTTGACATCCAGAGAAGGCCAAAGAAAGGGTCGGTATATATCTGCCATCGGCTCCTACGCGCCACACATGTGTGAGATCCACCCGGACGTGTTCAAAGCAGCTGTACAACCTGATCACGGACACCACCACCATAAGCATGCGAAACAGGGTGGAGTCATCGTCGTGGACAGCCTAGAATCGTCGCTGAAGGAGGCGGGGGAAATCATTCAGGCGAAATTGAAACCGGAGCATCTGGTTGAGATAGGGGAGCTCGTCATGATCAAGAAGGCGGCCACCAAAGAAATTGACGCTGGGGGGCCAGGAGAGCAAGGTCTATTGGATTGGCTGATCAGAGGGAATGTTATCTACAAGAGTGTGGGAATGGGGCTGATGGATTTGGTTGTTGGAGGCGACGTGATTAGACTGGCGAAAGAACGTGACATTGGAACGACAATTGAGGACTTCTAAGTAGTGGAACTCACCAGGTTAGGTAGACACTGGCGAGGCTGAATCTGGGTTGCGAAATACCCAGTGCCCTGGTTCAGGGAAGAAGGGTGTCTCGCATGCGGTACGGAGTAGATAGTAACTTAGAGGCCATATCAATTTGTTGGGCACACACTCCAGATCATCCTGTAACGAAGAAGCGCCCACCCGCAAGCGGAACCCCTACCTGAGTTGGTCATGCGCGTCTTAACGTTGCATTTGGCGAGTTTTTGCCTGCACAATAATTTCAGCGAGGCCTGGGACGGTGGAGGTAATGGCAACGTTGGTGCGCGCAATAAAGAAGGGCCGATTCATCTTCAGCCAGTCAATTTCTACGATATGTCAACGACGTTTATAACTTCAATCCACAGTTCTCATTCTGAGGGAGCTCAAGCCACGTGTCAGAGCTTGGGAGATTGTCCTCATTACATCAGTCAATACAGTTGGGCTTTCTCATAATCGCGTTTCAGGGACTCTTTATCAGTCTGCCAGAATTGTAGCATCTTTTCCCGAGCAACTTGATTGATGGGAAGGCCGTCATAAAGGCCAGTTCTCCCTCCATATCGACCTAGAACCCTCCAAGGACTTACAGTACGCCGTCAATCCACCGTTCCCCTTCCTCCCCTTCCTCACCCCTCCAAATCCCTCTTATCTAAGTCCGCCTTATCTCAATTGGAGGCAAAGCGGGGTAAAAAGTTCGATCGAGAACAGCAGCCACCAACACCAGCAGGCCCAGCAATCGAATTCTGGCACACCCCTACTTTCTGGGCTGTGTGACTGCTTGCCCACCTAAGCCTTGAGCCTAGTACGAAATCATCATCTGCGCAGTTTAATACTACTGGCGCACGCATCTCTGGGTGAATTGTGGAGGAACAGATTGGCTGTCTGGTAGACAGGGTCTTGTGCAAGAACTAGCACTGTGGTCTACCCGGGGGTAAAATCAATCCACCCACCAAGCTGGACCGGCCTGTCGTCAGAATCACCTATTTTTCAGAATCCGGGCTTCGACAGAAGTAAGCCATCCAGTCTCTCTGATACTATAGCCGTTTCTGTTTCCAGAGTGCCCATCAACCAACTGCCCCGTTCGCCCTGGACGGTGGGTACCAAGCGTCTACTCCAAGCTGGCTCTACGTCATTGCAGAACACAAGGATTGACGCTCGCCGATCCTTGAGATTCTAGATTTCCCCATCACACCACTTCGTCCCTCTATAACTCCGTTCCCATCTGTTCCATGTGATGCGTTGAACATCGAGACACAACAATGGTTCAGCAGGTTTATCTGCCCAACGGGCAGGTATACACAGTTACTCCAGTATTTGGTGGCTTCACCTTCAAGTCTGCCAACCTGGACTTGCATCATTCGGCAATGCCCCCGGGTTGGACTGTCGTACTGCAAACCGAGGACGAAGTAGAGACCGAACCGGAACGAAGGAAGAGTAGGATATCAATAAACCAGCGCTCTAACGACCAGGACGACACTCCTCTAAAGCAAGTGGTTGTGCACCGCTTCACCAGACCCACAGTTCAGAGCGATTCCCTCTTCATATCCTCAATATCGCAGCCAGCCAGTACGGATTTCAAAAGCAATGCTTCGCCAACTAGGCACATTGCGATGATGCTTTGGGCCACCCTATGTTGGTATTTCCACAAGGAGGCACCAAAACCCTATGCACTAACAGAAGCATCCGCCTTGACGCCGGAAAGCGGAAGACCAAAGCTCGAATGGCGCATCAAGATAAAAAGGGAAGGTATCTTCAAGGGGAAGAATACACTGCAAAAGCTGGAACGCATGGGATTGATCGCCAGTGAGGATTCTTGCGTTGGAACCGACACCGATGTTCGATTACCTACAGGATGGGGTGAGACATTTGTCAGCAGACGGTCCTTCTGGCAGATCGATGCGCGGATATTTCTGTTCACACTGGCGCCTCTGCAACATTCTCCATTTCCACAGGCATCGCCATTCCCCTCTCGCCCTTCCTCACCAGATCGAACCTCAGGGCTGGCCGAGAGACCGTCGCCACGGCCTTCGGACCATGTTGTAAATACAGCTGGTGTTATCTCCGAGTCTTTCGCTGCTGGAATATCCTCTCCAGGAGGACCGTTTAACTCGGGAAGTCACCTGCCGACATATTATCCCGCACCACCCACTCAATTCACATTTACCAATCATATCAGACATCCGATTCGTCCCAAGCCCCCACGGCAGGGTGAGACCTTCTATAGCAGATATATCCCTAGCCTCGATCAATATCTGTCTTTCCGTATACCATCACTCTCATCCAAACCATGTCCACACCCACACTTTGGGCCTACAGGAGGCTCAATGCCCGCCGTGTTACCAAGTCATACCCCAGGCATCTCTGTGGCTACGTTGCCAACCATGGCCAATTTTCTGGACCGCCCATCCGATCTAGAGCTTCTGCATAATTGGATGAACGATCCTCGAGTCAATCTCGCATGGGGCGTTGCTGGACCGACGGCCACGCAGAGGAAATTCCTCGAGGATGGGCTAGCCAGCCGGCATTCGTTCCCTATATATGGGTGTTTCGATGGCAAACCATTTGGCTATTTTGAAGTCTACTGGGTCAAGGAAGACAAGCTTGGAAGGCTTTTGGGTGGAGACGTGGGGAATTATACGCGAGGGATACACGTTCTTGTTGGTGAAAAGGAGTTTCGAGGACCCCATCGTGTGAAGGTCTGGTTGTCTGCCCTAATCCATTACTGCTTTCTGGCGGATTCGAGGACGGAAACTGTTATGCTGGAACCCAGGGTGGACAACACAAAGTAAGGCTATGGCCAGCGTCCCCGAACCGTCACGATCCAACTAACCCGTTTGCAGATTTATTGAATACCTCAAAAATGCTGGCTTCTACAAGCAGGGGGAAGTATCATTCCCGCATAAGCAATCAGCGGTCATGAAACTCGACAGAGAATCCTGGGAGGCGCCTGAGCTGTAGCAGCTACGAATTACTCGTTCTGAGAATTCTGAGAAGGGCTGGTAGCATGACGAAGTCTGTGGTCTTGCGGTCAAAGGTCTCACAGAACTCGACGCTTGTTGATGATATATCTGGCAAGGACCCTTGCCTATCAGTGGCCTGTCCCAAAATTGCCGAACGAGGGTGACTTGATGTATCGTGTAGTCAAGAACCGAAGCCAACCAACATGAATTCACGTTGCTAGAAGGATAATGCTACAAATCTAGTGCCAGAATGTTCTGCCCCAAAATGCTCCCTTGGATATGAGTGAGTCAGCATGTGCACGTGACTTTCGTTTTCGGAGTATTTCGTGACTCCGCAGTTATTGTGGGTTTCTGCTACAATTGACTGTACAGCCAGCATCCCACTTTGACCAAAAAAACGTGTTCAAGGTCCACGATACAGAATAATTCAACTGGAAAGCTGGTTGAGTGGTGTGCTGTTCTTAGACCCGAAACCCGCCACTATGGCGACCCAAATTCCCGTGGACCCTGCCCTCAGTTCGACCAAGACTCTCAAACTTGAGAATGTAAGTACAGACCGCATGAGGCTGGGGCAGGAGACCTAATATTGGCTTAATAGACACACAATCGAGATGTCTTGATCGCCATTGAAAAGAAATACCAGGAAGAATGGCAAAAGAGCAAAGTCTTCGAGTCGGATGCTCCTTCAACGGACGAAATCCCCTTCAATTCCATCCCCGCGGCCGAGATTCGAGAGAAGCACCCAAAATACTTTGGTACCTTTGCCTATCCTTACATGAACGGCTCTCTACATGCGGGACATAGCTTCACGGTTAGCAAGGTTGAGTTTACCGCAGGTTTTGCCCGTCTCACAGGAAAGAGAGTGCTATTCCCTCTCGGGTTTCACTGTACTGGTATGCCAATCAAAGCCTGTGCAGACAAGCTGGTCGACGATGTCAAGAAGTTCGGTCGGAATTTCGAGAACTACTCCGAGGATGAAGAGGATGAGGCAACCGAGACCAATGGTATACCAATTGCTCCAACTCAGAGTGTCAGTGTCAAGGATGACATTACGAAATTCAAGAGCAAGAAAGGCAAAGCCGCAGCAAAGACCGTAAAGGCGAACTACCAGTTCCAGACAATGTTGGCAATGGGTATACCAAAAGAGGAGATCCACAAATTCTCCGACGCAAACTACTGGCTTGAATACTTTCCTCCCATCGCACAACAGGATTTGATCGATTTTGGTGCGAGGATAGACTGGAGGAGACAGTTTGTAACCACCGATGCAAATCCATACTACGATGCTTTTGTCCGGTGGCAAATGAATCGTCTTCACGAATTGAACAAGATTCTTTACGGCAAGAGATATACCATTTACAGCCCAAAGGACGGACAGCCGTGTATGGACCACGACCGAGCCAAGGGTGAAGGTGTCGGACCTACAGAGTACACAGCGATCAAGTTGAGAGTCAAGGAGTGGTCCGAGCAAGTAGCAAAGGCAGTCGATACCAAGATTCCCAAGGACGCAAACGTCTACTTTGTCCCTGCATCTCTAAGGCCTGAAACCATGTACGGCCAAACATGCTGTTTCGTCGGTCCCAAGATTACTTATGGCATTTTCAAGGTATCCGAGAAGGAATACTATGTTGTCACAAAGCGAGCGGCCTGGAACATGGCTTTCCAGGGCACATTCTTCTCGGAGGATCACTTCCCCCGAGATCAAAGTGAACTGCAACCTATTGTCGAATTACCCGGCTCTGCCCTCGTTGGGACTTTGGTAATTGCGCCTCTTTCGGTTCACACAGGGGGCGTACGCATTCTACCCATGGAGACAGTCTCGGCCACAAAAGGCACCGGTGTTGTTACTTCAGTCCCATCTGACAGCCCCGATGACTTTGCTACAGTACGAGATCTAGCCAAGAAGGCAGAGTTCTATGGCATTAAGAAGGAATGGGCAGACCTTGAGATCATCCCCATTATTGATACACCCGCATATGGAAACCTGACCGCGAAATTTCTGGTTGAGTCCAAGAAGATCCAGTCTCCCAAGGATGCAACACTCTTGGCAGAAGCAAAAGACCAGGCCTACAAAGAGGGTTTCTATAACGGAACAATGTTGGTTGGAGATTTTAAGGGACAGAAAGTACAAGAGGCCAAAGACAAAGTACGCAATGCGTTAATCAAATCCGGTGATGCATTCCCATTTGCAGACCCTTCGGGAGAAGTCATCAGTCGAAGCGCAGATGAATGTGTGGTTGCTTTTGTCCCACAATGGTTCTTGAATTACGGAGAAAATGACAAGGAGTGGCAGCAAACCATTTTGGACTACGTCAAGGACAAAGATGGCCTTTGCACGTACGCCCCGGAGACCGAGAACCAATTCGTTGCGAACCTAGAATGGCTCAATCAATGGGCTTGTGCTAGAACATATGGGTTGGGATCCAAATTGCCATGGGATCCTCATTTCTTGGTTGAAAGTTTGAGTGACTCCACTATCTATATGTCCTACTACACAATCGCGCATCTTCTGCATGGAGACAAGTTTGGTAAGACTACAGGCTCGCTCAATATCAAACCTGAACAAGTCACCGATGAATTCTGGGACTACGTGTTCACTCGTACAAGTGACATTGAGTCTGTCTCCAAGTCTACGAAAATCCCCAAGGAAAGTCTCGCGACACTCCGTCGTTCCTTCGAATACTGGTACCCTCTCGACATGCGATCCTCGGGTAAAGATCTAATTCCTAATCATCTAACATTCTTCCTCTACATCCATTTGGCATTATTTCCTCGCGAGTACTGGCCCAAGTCAGTCCGCGCAAATGGTCATCTCTTGCTCAATGGCGAAAAAATGAGCAAGTCCACTGGCAACTTCCTCACCTTGAGTCAAGCAGTCAAGAAATTTGGCGCAGACGCAACGAGAATAGCACTTGCGGATGCAGGTGACGGGATGGAAGACGCCAATTTCGAAGAAAAGGGAGCCAATGCTGCTATCATGCGGATGTATACCCTAAAGGAATGGATTGAGGAGACTGTGAAGAACGGAGAGCTCCGGACAACGCAAGGAGATGTCCTCTGGGATAAATTATTTGAGGATGAGATGAACCTGTTGGTGCACGAATCGTACCGGCATTATTCTGAGTAAGTGAAATATCCCCGGCAAAAGCGCTTTTGTTCTAGGAGCCAAGAGAGGTAACACTGCTAACATATTCTACAGAACGGATTACAAACTGGCTCTCAAATCCTCACTCTACGACTTCCAATCGGCACGGGACTTCTACCGTGAAGCATGCCTTTCCTCCGGAATCCCAATGTCTCGACCTTTAATTCTCCGCTATGTCGAGCTTCAATCCCTCCTGATAGCCACCATCGCCCCTCACTGGGCTGAGTACATGTGGCGCGAAGTTCTACACAAGGAGACCTCAATCCAGAATGCCAGCTGGCCCGCGGTGCCGCAGTCGGACCCGGCCTTGACTGCGGAGCGGGAATACGTCAAATCAACGACTAGCAACATCACCAGCTCAGAGGCGCAGGCGGCGAAGAGGATGGCCAAGGGGAAGGCAGCTACCTTCGACCCTCGAAAACCTAAACGCATCACGATCTTCGCTGCAAGCGCATTCCCAGCCTGGCAAGAGAAGTACGTGGACCTCGTGCGCGACATGCTCGCAAAGGCGACGCTTGATGATGATAAGGCAGTCAACGGCGCAGTGGCCAAGCTGGGCAAGGGCCCGGAGATGAAGAAGGCAATGCCGTTCGTCCAGGCCCTAAAGAGGCGCATCATCGGCGGCGACGAGAAGCCCGAGGTTGTCTTCGAGCGCAAGTTGCTCTTCAACGAGGTCGACGTCCTCGACGAGATGAAAAAGGGTCTCATGAAAACCACCGGTTGCAGAGACGTTGTCATCCACCAAGTCACTGAGGAGAACAAGTCGTCCCTCCCACCGAACGCTGAGTCCGCCGTTCCCGGACACCCGAGTTTCTTGTTTGAGAACATCGATGGCTAAAGGATGGGGATGTGTGAGTGAGAATTATGGCAAAAGCAGAATAGTGAAGCGGACTATTCAGGTGTTCTGCTAAGTATTCAGGATCCACAGCCAATCTGGACGAGGCAGGGAGCCACTATGGTGTCACCGGAGAGGGATTGAAGAAACAGCCTCCCTATGCTGAACGTCAGTCTATGCGGCCATGAGGATGCAAGAACTGAGGAAGGGAGGAAGACAGGCAGAGAAAAGCCAAAGACCCGTGATGAATTAGCGCAGACAAAATGGGAAATGCGGAAAAGAGACGCGAAGAACAAAGAAGATGATGATGAAGAACTGTGGTAAGGCAATCGAGCACCTACACTTAGATGAAAAGAGTAAGAAAAAGGTCAAGAACAATATGCAATTGCGATTCTCTTGTAAGGAAGAACTGCGTCGTGAGTCAACGTGCATTCACATACGGCGGAAGAAAGCGAACAAGAAGCCTACTACTGCTTACGTAGTGAAGTACTCATCACGGTAGACCGGATACTCAGCGTGCTGCATGGCATGCGAATCACTCTCTCTTTGAGCTCTACTCGTAGGCTAGCTATTCGCTATCACTACTGACTGGTTCTGGTTGGATGACGGAGCGCTAAATAGTGCCACGATTTTACTCTTCGAATACCCAGCTCCTGTGGAAGACAGTGGGATCGGTTGGCACACGTGATCAGGCTGGGAGATGAGCCTCGACCAAGGGGCTCGGAGTTGCGGTCTCGAGGTGCACGATAAGGAAATTGCGCCGTTGGGGCCGAGGAACGGATTCCGCTCCGGCGCCCGGCTGATGATTGGTATCAAGACCATGCACATGCATAGCTCGAGTGTGCCTCGGGCTGTGCTGTTCCACGCGGTTGGTTATTAGGACCAGTGTTGCAGGATGGGTGCAGCAGGTATCCTGGAAACCCGTGGTGTTTCACCAGCTCCGAATCCATGCCCGCCTGCCTGGTCTGTGCGAACCGTATTAGGCGGCAACGAATATTCCTTGTGCAGGAGCATGGGATTACAGAGACGAGTTCCTTCTGTAGTAGTACGAGTAGAAGGACTTCGGTACTGAGTGGGTTGCTTCCCACTTCCTACTTCCCACTTTTGGTTCATAAGCCGAATTCTCAGCCAAGCCGTAGCGAGAAGCCCGCACCGTGCTCCTCATCAGCGCGTCCAGCGAAGATGCCGGCAAACTCCTGCTCGTCGAGCTTGGGAACGTCACCACGCCCTGGTGCCTGGGGAGTGATTCGCCTCCTTCGCTTCTCCTGTCCAGCTTTACTGGGGAATGTGGGAAACATCTCCTTCGCTTTGGGACGGGGGTCTTCCTTGAAGTACGGGTGTCTCAGGATCTGCGGGGCCGAGGGACGTCCGGCTGGGTTCATGGAAAGCATTGATGAGAGGAGGCGAAGGCCAGAGGTCGTGAGGTAGGGAAATTTCGAGGCGGTGAGGAATGACGGCGTCGTCGCTGATTTGGAGAGGACTGGGTGAAGGGCTTTGGCATTCGGAAGAGATCTGAAGCCAGGCCACGTTTCGTTGGTTGGGGTCCCCAAAAGGGCGAATATCTTGGAGAGCTGGTCGACTTCGTTTTTGCCTTGGAAGAGAGGGTCCTTGGTGAGCAGCTCGGCGAAAATACAGCCTAGACTCCAGACGTCGATTTCTGAATCGTATGCCTCTGTGCCGAGGAGTAGCTCGGGTGCCCTATACCACAATGTGACCACGAGCTGTGTCAACTTTGGCCGGGGGTTCCCCGTGTACCTGGCCATGCCGAAATCAGCCAGCTTGATTTCACCTCGGTTGTTGAGCAGTAAATTTGATGTCTTCAGATCGCGGTGCAGAATCCAGTTCTCATGTAGATAACTTGTCGCCGAGACGAGTTGGAGCATCAGAGTCTTTGTCTCGGAGGGCAGAAAGGGTTCGGCCATGTCTTCAAGAAGGGTCTTGAGATCATGTTCAAGGAAGTCCATGACGAGATAAACACTGTAAGAGGGATACAAGAAAGGTGGTTAACAACGTCTGGTATCGGCGCTTTTCAGGTTAGAAATGACATAGAGGAGCAGGCTTACTCTTTCAAGCTGTCGCCCATGACCACCTCGATCAGCTCCACCACATGAGGATGGCTGCATGCTTTGAGTGTTTGAATCTCTCGCAGCCCGGTAACCGGAAATCCGTCGTTGACGTAGTCCATTTTGAGGCGCTTCAATGCGACAATCTGGCCAGTTGCTTTCCTGCGCGCTCTCGAGACTAGACCGTAGGAGCCCTCTTCAATGTTGTTAAGCATCTCAAATTGCTCAACATGCGCGCAGGAACCAAATTGGCGCGCCGGGAACTGCAGCAGGTTCGCGCCTTCACCTGGAGTTTCATCACTGCCATCTTCTGATGTCCGTTGGCGTTTTGATGGTCTCTCTGCATTGGCGATTTGTGCAGCCGCAGCCTTGCGCGCCTTTTCCTCTTTTAACCTCCTCTTTTCTTCCTTTTCTTTTCTTCGCAAGGCGGCGGCTTCGGCTTCGGCTTCGTCGTCGTCGTTAGTGGACCATTTGGAGGTGGATTTCGAGCTCATGTTCCTGAGGAGCAAGTGGGATGACGAGGTGGTAACGTGTGGTGAGTATTTCCGGCCAACCAATTCCGAGCTGCCCCAAGTATTCCGTGCCCTGTACCTCGCTCGAGGACCTCTAGTCAACAGCAGTGAGCGAATGCCGGAGGCTTGGTGTTGCGACAGGGTTTTGGCCAGATCGAGTCAGAGCCACACAAAAGTTGACCAGGCCCAAGGGTTGGAGAGGTCAACGGTTGCGGCGACGGATCTTGTATTCCGTCCTCCGTCGTTCGCTGTGAAGGGTGTGGTTGTGAGTGTTGAGTGTGGTGGTGCAGGTGGGGTGTTTTCCGGAGCGTCAGACTCGAACTGACAGAATATCATCAAATATTATTACCAAGCAACTACACGTCCCACGTAGATAGCCAGCAATATATCACGACAAGTGCTCCAGTCTCCACTGTTCATTGTGCGCTTCTTGTCAAGTTCTACAAGCATAATTATCAAGAACACGCCATTCTAAGAATTTGAACAATATGGGAAGCGTGGGGATCCGGTCGTTTCAGGCAAGTACCTTGCGGTTCTTGTAATGGTCGCTGCTGACGAGAATTGTTTGCAGACGACGTTTGCAGTCCCACTTCACTGCGAGGATTGTGTAAAGGATGTTTCCGGCGCCTTGGGCAAACTTGACGGTAGGCGGTGGATCGTCTCAACAGGTCTTCTGGTCCCAGGGGCCGTAGCTAACTCGCAGATACTTGGTGATAGGCATTGACAAAATCGAGGCTAATCTCAAGGACCAACTTTTTTATATTGAAGGTACAGCCGCTCCGTCATCTATCGTCTCAGCCATCGAATCTACGGGACGAGATGCGATCTTGCGTGGAAGTGGAAAGTCCAATTCAGCCGGGGTCTGCATCCTAGAGACTCATGCAAAAGCCGTGTCAGATCCGGTCCGCGGATTGGCACGCTTGGTACAAATTTCTGATGAGCACACACTGGTCGACTTGACATTACGAGGGGTATCAGCAGGGACATATCATGCTACTGTACGGGAGACGGGAGACATCTCACGCGGGGCGGGATCAACAGGCGGGGTGTGGGAAGCAGTCAAGGCGTTGGCAGGGCTCAATCAGCCTCGTGGAGTGTTTGGCACGATCCAAGTTGGTAAGGACGGGCGTGGCAGTACATTTTTGGAGCAGCCTGTATCAGTTTGGGAAATTGTTGGTCGCAGCATGGTGGTGTCGAAACAACAAGAGTCGCCGTTTCAGCCTGAGGATCCCGACACCCTGGTAGGCGTGATCGCCCGAAGTGCAGGTGTCTGGGACAATGACAAGACCGTGTGCAGTTGTTCGGGGAAGACAGTGTGGGAAGAACGCAAGGAGCAGACGGGGAAAGGCATGTTGTGAGAGGCACCTCGTATGTAGAATGAATGCCATTGTCATTGTGATGATCGAGTCCCAAAGGGGGTAACGCTGTAGCCTGCCAGTTGATGACTACTGACCAGCGAACTGCATGCGAGGGGAATCAATACTGCGAGATTCGATGCACAATGATGCAAATTGGAACATACCCCTGCATGGAAGACCCGAGGTGTTGAGAGGGCGGACTCCGTAGTAGTGAGTGGTAGTGGCATCAAGGCTGGCTCGAAGCACTGGTTGGCCCGTCAGAAGTTCTCCTGAAACCAGTCATGGCCGTATCGGATAAGGCCCGGTGGAGGAGGCCAGGACAGTTGAAACCTTTTGGTAACATGATGATGGATCGAGGCGAAATCCACGTGTCGCAAAGCAAAGCAGATGATGATTGTTGATGATGATTGACAAGACACACTCAGCTGATAAACTCAGACCACTGACTGACGGTGGTGGGTGGTAAAGTCGTAGCGAATGAGTTCATGATGAAGTGGCTTGCTTGCATCACAATTCGGACAAGTCACGTCAGGCTTGAAACGCTGCCGAGGCAGATAGTCGATCTATTCACCATTAGCCAGGCGGGCGGCGGGTGGTGCCCGGGGACAGTTAAGGTTAGGCACCCTTAGGTAGGTGTAGAGCCTTCGTTTAGCTAAGAAATCGGCAGGTCGCTAACCGTACAAAGTCGCTTGCCTTTCTCTGTGAATACCTGCACGCGTAATGCATATGGCACAATTCTGCACCAATGCCGGTCCCGCCATCGCACCTCTGTCACAATCGACTTGGGGACAGAGTGCGTGCATCACGTTGTGGGCTTGAGCCCAGGGTTGGTGCCCCCGTGCATCACCCTACCCGCTTGAACTGCTCCAGCCTCGCTGTCACGCCTTCGAGCCTCTTCCGTTGTTCGATTGATGTTTCCAACTGTCCCGTGGTGCTGGTCCCTGGTGCTGTTCCATGGTGCTGGCAGCCCCTGAGACCCCTACCCTCGTCCCCTGCCCTTGGTCACCCCCCACCCCCCATGCCCACCGACATCCACGCTTTGCTCTCCCACTCGCCATTCTCGAGTACTCCGTACTGCACTGCGTATCCCTTCGCAAAAAAATGTCACACACATATCGGTCTGCCAGCACTTCCTGTTCCATCTCCATCTGCCTCTCCATCTCTCTCTCCCGTTCTCTTGTTCCATTCTTTCTTTCTCACCACCGCCTTCACCTTCATCTCTGGTCGCCACTCTTTTCTCAATCTCACCACCACCATTAACCTATTCCAGTTTTAATTAAACTACCAACTACCATTTACTTCGCTCGTCGTCACTAATTGCACGTCAGTTGACATACTTTTTCATTGGGCGTAGAGCCCTTGACGCATTGGCGCCCAGCACTTCGACCATACAAGGGCGCTTAATCCCTGGACATTGAGCACTCTGCGGCAGGGCCGGCCCTCGCTGCCTCATACGACTTCCACCAGCCTCGACCAGTGAACTCCCTCTCGGTCACTTCTCCCACTAGTCTGAGTCGTGCAAGCGAATCTTATCCACGAGCCCTTCACACCCTCTTTCCCATATTGTCTCAGGCACCGCCGCTCGCGTAGCAGATCTTCTTGCTACTTTGTACCTGCACCTGCACTTGCCTGCAACTGCAACTGCACCTCCCCGTCGCCACTCTGCATGGTTACTACCTAGTCCAGCAACAACAATAACGTTGCCCTTCAACTTCTGGCTGCCTTGGCCGCAACGCCATGTCGCTCAAGCAGGTGAGTCGTCATCGTCATCGTCATCGTCCTCTTCTGCGTTGGTCTCCCTCTCATTCACTCTAGGAAATCGAAACTTGGGTCGAAGCGCTTGGTCACTACGACAATCAAGAATTCGAGGAATCCTTAACCATCTTTGACAACATCGCCGATACCTCAAAGATCTTGTTCAATTGCGGCGTCATCCATGCCACCATCGGTGAACATGACCGAGCTGTACGTGCCAATCCCACTGGAACTCCGCAGCAAGGGAGTCAGAACTGACGGGAACAGGTCGAATGTTACCAGCGTGCAATCAAACTCGACCAGTATCTGGCCGTGGCATATTTCCAGCAGGGCGTCTCGAATTTCCTCGTCGGCGACTTCGAAGAGGCATTGGCCAATTTCAACGACACCCTACTGTACCTCAGAGGAAACACATACATCGATTATGAGCAATTGGGCTTGAAGTTCAAACTCTACTCATGCGAAGTCCTCTTTAACCGGGGTTTGTGTTACATGTACTTGCAACAGGAGGAAGCCGGTATGCAAGATTTCAGTTTTGCACAAAAGGAGAAGATGACTCCAGATCATGATGTGATTGATGATGCCATTAAAGAGAAGGCACAGGTACGCGAATCTTGCCCGCCTCACTCAACCATGTACTAACAGTCTCCAGGGATACGTGGTATTCAGCATGTAAGCCGGACATCTGACTCATCGATCACCAGAGAATGACCTCGCTGACCTTTCTATCTAGCCCCGTGGGATGTGTCTACAGACCCAATGAAGCAAAAGTCAAGAACCTGAAAGCAAAAGATTATCTCGGCAAGGCCCGTCTAATTGCTACTTCGAATCAGCAGAATACCGGAACTGGATTTTCCGGCATCGAAAGAAGACAGGTCCTCGCGACCGAGTTTGCGGCCAAAGATGACCGACCAGTCGAGAACATCAGCTACGCAGCAACAAACCTTGTCCAACGGAATTTGTCGAGCCGTGTTCCTAGGGATCAGAGTGCTCCACCTGTCATGGGCAGAAACGTTTTCCCACCTACACCACCACCAGAGAACGAAAAACCTCGTGGCAGTGGCAGTCCGTCCACCTCAAGTCTTCCCTTGCGCTCCACATCTATGCGGCAACCTCGAAATGCTTTTCCTCGACCAGATGTTGACCCTCCTCGGCCGGGTATGTTATCACGATCTAACACCTTTGCTGTCAACGATGCCGGAGGAATGGGAAGAATGCAACCTCCTGTTCGGGAGAACTCCTGGTCTGAAGAACCTGTAATGGTCGACCGCGCACAAATGGAGAGGTCTCGGTATGGAACTCAAAGAACAGCATCCGAACCCCGTGGTCCTGCCTCACGACAAGCACCACTGGGTCGCTCTATGTCGCAACGAGCACCGGCACCATTGTTCCGCGAACAATCTAGGTACGACGATCCAAACGACGCAGTGGACGACGTGTACCAGATGTACGCAGCAGCACCACCCAGGAGACGACAAACCACCCGCCGTCAGGAACAACCTGTATACTTTAACGAAGAAGACGAATACATAGACGAAGAGGGCGAAGACGAGGAGGACATGACTGGGTTCGAACCCGTACGACGTCCTACATCTGGACGAAGTAGTAAACGGGTCGAAATGCGCAAGGTCCGAGTCAAATGCCACTTCAACGAAGACACACGATACCTTATGATCGGCGCCGTGATAGATTTTGGGGATTTTGAAAGTAAAATTAGAGAGAAATTCGCCATCAAGGACCAACTCAAAATCAGAATGCAAGATGATGGTGACATGATCACCATGGGTGACCAAGATGACCTGGAGATGCTTCTCAGCAGCGTTCGCAACGCCGCGAGGAAGGAGAGAAATGAAATGGGCAAGATGGAGGTATGGATCTCGACATGACACACAAGAAGCCAGCCACCCCCTCTTCCCAAAACAAATGGGGTGAAGGGCTTGTCGATTCTCTATGCATAGTTGAAGAGAAGGAAGCGAACCGCAACATATCGTTGCGAGAATTTATTGGAAGCTAGACCTAGGATACCTTATACCCCACTTACGGTCTCGCCCGGCCTGGACCAGACGGCAGATGATGGATCATGGAACATCAATTGAGCGTGGAGTTGGAGTTTATCAGGCGCTGTTACCCGATGGATGACAGAGAATGTCTCTCAACATATCGCCGAAGGGATATGAGAGTTATCTATCCGATTTATGGACTGCACGTTGAATGTGGCAATCCTGCTGCTGCTTGCTTATGTACTGTGGCTGCCACCACTACAAGAGTGGTGTATCGGGTGATGGGGTAGAGATGTGTCAGATGATTTGTCGACATTTCTTCTTTCTTCACTTCTAAGCTTTATATCTCTACCTACCAAGTATAGGTACTTCTCAAAGTATATGATCTCCACCTGACATATTGCCCGCTTTCACATTGATCTCAATTAAAAGTGTGGAATAACTCTATGGATCCTTGATTCTCTGTTTCCCCCCTAACTGACTCGTTCACGACATGATGGTGACAACAACCTTTGTCGTACTTCTCGGACAGAGAGAGATCTTTGAGTCGTCCAAGGACTTGAGTCCAAAATAAGACAGCACTATTCCTAATGTAGTTTAGCCCCGGTGTGAGGAAGAGGCTGATGCCAGGAAGGCGCGCTTTGTTGTGGCCTCCAAAGGCCGGAATTGGTCGCCAGGGTGAGACACCGGCCAGCACGCGGAACTCCACCACCACAACCGAATTGTTGATTGCACCGAGAAGTTCCTCTCTCTCAACTTCATCCAGTTCGCCTGCGCTCGCTAGTATCCTTCCTTCTACATTCTACCTCACACAAGTCCTTTCCCTCTCTCGTTAATTCACATTGCCATAGTGCACCCTCTCGCTTTACTCCTGTTGTTACTTTCTCCTGACGGCGACTGTGGTTGCAAATTCGCACACGTCCTCGCCACCTTAGCAGCCTCCTTTTCCTGACAGCCACGTTTACAGATCTCATGATGAAAGGCTCCGGCCTCTTCTCCTGTCTCTCTCTCATCCTTCTCATATTGTTGTCCTCATCTTCAGCATGGCCCTGGCCTAAGTCGTTCGGCGATATCGGAGACACAGTCGACACGTTTCTAGCACGGCGTCAGAACAACGACAATAACAACGATGATAATCAGGATGCCGCATCCTCCTCTACAGCTGCATCGACGGACACAGCCGAAGCATCTGCCTCGGCGACGGACGATTCCGAGTCTTCAGGATCTGCCTCAGGGACAATTACAAAATCTGCCTCAGGCACAGGATCCGCCAACAGCACAAAGACTACAAGCACCAAAACAACCCCAATTGACCCTCGCTTACCCCCGGGCGGTATCTCGCTCATCACACCAGCTCCCATCGATGGAGTTCAATATTACAAAGTTGGGGATCTCGTGACATTCCAATGGAACTATACATCGCTTTCCGTCACCCCCAAAGCCATTGATGTACTGGCTTCTTGTTCCATAAATTCTGCAACTTACACAATCTCCGCCAACATGTCTGTCGAAGAGACTGGCGCGGTTACCTGGGATACTGGGGAGTTCCAGGCCACCGCCACGAATCCTTTCCCCGTGGCTAGTTATACCTTGATCGTTCACGATTCGTCAAAAGATATCACCGATGTCCCTTCAGCAGGCTATCTTGGTGCGTATGCTCAATATGTCTTTGGCATGTACACAGGGTGAGTTAGCGTCTCCGTGTCTGCAGGTTCGCCATGTGGTATCTTAACTAATCCAATCCAGGCAACCATACGTGCCATTGAACGAGTTCAAATGCGCAACCTGCAATGGTGCGCTATCCATCCACGAGAAACAAGCTCTAGGTGTTATATTAACGACTGCTGCGATCACGATCATGTCCTTCACATGGTTTGCAAATGGATTCGGGGTTTTCTAAGACCACGAAGACAATATACATATCATATACCTTATCTTCAGTATATTTAGCGACAACCAATCGGATGATATGCTCTGACGAGCCGAATTGTATACAGCATAGCGATCAAAGGAATGGATTCTGGAATTAGGGATGGGGATTTCTGAAGGGGGCTGATGTTGATGGGGTAATCGGTAACCTGCATCGCGGAAGGCCACTTGCATCCGATAGTGAGGATTTGAAATATCTCAAGACGATGAACGGCGTTCTAAAATAGGTGGTGAAGAAACCTTCCGGATACGGATCTCAGGTATAATCTCAGGAATGTAATTCTCTTCTCGGGGCAGAGTCTCAACAACACTGCCCTCCCTCTAATCATTCTCTTCAGTTGCCGCAAAAGTGATTGACATAGCCCCAGACGATCAACCAATCGCTCGGCGTATTGGTCGAGTCAATATCACCTGGGTACGACCATGAATCGGAACGCTCCTGCCTCGACTGGTAACCTTGGTGGCTTCAGTGCTGACCAAGGCAACATTTGTCAAAGACAATCAATCAATCACTCTGGAAGCACAACAAAAGCCTCCCGAGAGATTCATGTCGCCTAGACCGCCATGATACAGCAACCACAAATCCAATTGCATGCGAGCGTTTCAATTCTGTACCCTTCTGCACTTTTCCCAGTCTTCCCAAGAACCAAAGCGGCGCGCCCTTGGTCCCTTTGGAGGGCGACATGCATTGGCTATCCTTGCCATGCCCCTTCACCGACTTGTTCATTTGCCAGGTCAAGTCTACAATACCGAGCGGAACGGTGGTATTCTCATGCATTTTGGACTGTCAACCCGTACCGTCTTTGCTTGCCTTGCAGGCAGGAGGGGGGTTCTTGCTTCCGCTCGTCGTCCGTTTCCACCAGATCACGTACATCAAAAACACCCCCCCCCCCCCGGGAGCCACTTGATCGATGCAGAGAACCAAGCATCAGGGGAGTGTGTGGATATTTGCGTGTTGGCGCCGCCGCAGGGGGGGAGGAACAAAGGCAATGACATGAAGGAAAACAGCAAACGGACCTGGTGGGTTCAGGAGAAGTACAAAAACCCTGTCCTTGTGTGCCCTTGATCCTGTCAACAGTTGAGCATCAGCATTTCTTCTTCTTCTCTCTTCTCATCTACTGCTACTCGGTCTTGTTCACTCTCATATTCAAAGTCCTGCTTCCTTGTTTGACCCGAAAGAGTCCTGTCTTGTTTGTTGTACCAGCCTAAATCCTTGAAGGCAGTCTTATCTCCATCAGGGAGCGTTTTGCTATTTGACATATTGTCTTGCACGGACCAAAACAGCCGTCGTGGGTTTCCGTTGGCGGCACAAGAGTCTACCGGAAAAGGACAGTCCAGGTTTAACAGTCTGCTGAAGGGTCCTGAAATATCAACCGGCTCCAAAAAGCAGAGAAGTCTCGAGAAGCACACAGCCTTGTTGTTCAAAAGGACCAGGGACACAGTTGGAGTCGAAGGTATGAGAGCCTAACTTTCTTCCACGTTTGACGCCTCACCTGCCATCTTGCCCATACTGTGCCCGCTGGACATGACGTTTGTTGTATCACATGTCGTTGCGCCTTGCACATGAGTCGGGCGTTTCCCTCATTTGCTTGTCCAACCAAAACACATCGCTATCCGGAAAAAAGGGGGCTCCCGGATCCGACTGACAGAATATTAGTCTCCTCAGAGTTGGGCACATTTCTGAAAGGTATCACCACGTGTCACCATCACATCACCGACCCGAGTCATTTCGTTGTTGTCCAAACAACCGAACACAAACACCCTTGGGTGCGTGCGTACGGAAGCCAGAGAAGTACATCAAACGCCTATCCAACGGCGTCGGAACGGAAAATTGAGAACATGCCTTCCCCACCACCAGCATCAGGCTCAGGAGCTCCAACACGCCCGGCAAACTGGCAACCAGGCCACGACGCATTCGTCCGCCGCCTGGCCCGCAACGGCGAAGACGCAACCAGCGTTCTCATCCTCTTCGAGGCCGAATTTCCCGCGGTCAAGGTCTTTCGTGCCTGGATCGAGGCGAGGATGAAACTTAGTTAGCCAGCCCGCCGGTGTAGTCTGTGTCTCGAAGTTGCTGGCATGGGCGAGTCTTGCATGGTGTGCGAAGCTGAAGTATTTGCAATGATATGAAGCTCTGGGGGGAGAGGGGGGGACCAGATGAGAGGGATGTCATGGTGTCCATGGATGAATAATGGGCGCGAGATCGAAAGATTCAGGGGTCATTTTCTTTCCTTGTCCTTTTTATTTTCCAAAAACCCCAAAAAGAGGCAAAATTTTAAATTGTTTTCGTAAGGAGCTGTTCCGTTGCTTATTGGATTTGTTTCTTTACTTGAGAGAGAGAGGAGAAGAAGAAGAAAATGGGCCGGAGGGCAGAGGGAAAAAGGAAAAGGGACCGTGTTGGCTGGCTGGGTTACTCTTTTTCGGCGGATTGGATTTTTATAATAATAAGAAAACGGGAATTTCAGATGGTGTTACGTACCCGCTCGCTCGCTCACCCAATAGAGAGTTCCCGAGTACGACACCACAATCAGGAGATATGCGCCCTTCGAAAGGACGAAAGGAATGAGTTATGGAGTCCATAAAGACACAGTACTGTCTCTATTTAGGGACTCAACCAACATTCTTAACTTTGTATTTCCCACAGTAGGTCCCCTTTTCTGTGGGGTTTTTACGCTTTGCTAGAAAACGAGATCGGTGCGGCCAATCAGCGGATGACATCCTCTCGTAAGCTGTTCCAATCCAAGATGTCATCGCTCTCACAGTCTTCTCCCTGAAGAGACGGTAGTTTCCTGTTGTAGTCCATGTCTTGTCGCCGAGCTCGATGTCTTTGCTTGGGGGAGGTTCTCACGCAACGTTCGTGGTGATCCGCCTTGGAACCCTTGAAGCGTGGCGATTCTCCGCCTCAAACTGTCCACATCCCTGCGCAACTTGTCCTTGTCGTTCGACGTCCGTGAAGGGCTGCACTGGGTTTGTAACAGATATCTCAAGTTGGTCACTGACCATGTTGCTCCGTACTTGAGACTTCCGTCCGCTCTTCGTTTTTTCTGGTTCTGGTTCTGCGAATTGTGGATGTGTGTTGTTCTTTTGTCTTGTTGCAAGTTGTCTGTTTGGATGTTGAGATCCCCACATTCAGCTGTGATGTAGTCCAAGTACTCCGCCTGCGGATGGGCCCAGGCTTCTGCTGTTCGCGCGCTCCTAATAACCTGGTCCTTCTCCATCTCGATGTCAAGACGGGACTGCTCAGGGCGATCTGCAAAGACACGATTCAGGTCAGGAATGATCGAAGGCTGGAACAGTGGCAAAAAGGTCTTCAAACCAATGTGCCCGTTAGAGCAGAGGTCATGGAAGCCTTGACTGTGAATAGGTGCTCTCTAAGGACGGCCATGTCGTTATTGACAGCACATAGATTTGACCAAAAAACGTCTAATGAGAGCGGCGGAAGTGAAGGAATCTCCGGTCCCACCATGCGTCGGTTGAGGCAGTGCTGCCGTGAGTTTGTCGATGAATGCCAAGAGATGAGGCACCTCAAAGTGTTATGAATTTTTGACATGAATATTCTGTGACCAAGATGTACCACTTAATAGATTGAGTTTTGGTCCAATCTGACAGTCAAACGCTGTTTGACATTTGGATATGATGCAGTTCTTGCGAATATTAACCTGCTCCGGGGCGTGGCTGGGTGCGTGGGCTTTGCCATGAAGAGACGAAGACGGCATCATTGCTAAAACACTTCTGAATGTAAACCAGTCAGCCCAAGAGCCTCCTACCCGGATATATCCGAAGAAAATGGTCGACCAGTAGCACGACCTCATGCCTTGGTCGAATATTATGTCAATATTGACAGGTATCTGGTGCCACAATATTTGCGCATCTCGGCCTCTAGATGCTCTGCCGGAGATCAGCGAAGTGGAGGGGTAGAAGCCCCATGTACAATCATTGATAGATCAAGGTGACCCAATAAGGGCTCATATGCAGTCTCTATGGAGTGCAAGGAATTGCAGTGGCTGATCAGCGCCTGGTCCTGTTGGCTTCCTAACATATGGAAGCAAAAGCTTGTTGTCGACGACCTTTTTACATTTGTCGCACGGTCTTGATTTGATGTCGCTATATGCTGCGAGGTTTTCCTGGCTCTAGTTAGTGTCGGAAATATAGTAGGAGGCACACGACATCATACAAGGAGAGTAGTAAGAACAGAGTTCTCGCTAATATTTTGGAGAATGTTCTCCCGAATGGCTGTTGATTCGGTGTTAGGCCTAGCGACCACTTTATACCCAGTCCTGTCGGCAGACTCGTCCACCTGAAATTTCAGGTTGATGAGATTGATCGTGATGGTGATGTTGAGCGGGAGGCCCTTGGTTTCATCCAATACCTCGACGATCAGGCCAGGGTGCTTGGTTTTGAAGTTGTTGATGGACTCCAATGGGCTGGCACGAGTATTAGTGTCAGAGTTCTGGCCGGTACCACTGACCGCAGCAGGCTGATCTTCGATAGGATCCACGTTGTGAAGAAGACGGCCATAGTCTATCACCCAGGCATCGGTGCCTTGGGGTAACTCCGTCGTGTTGGCCATATTCAGGAGTTGCCGGATATCCTCACTGTGCCACTCCTTCTTAAATCGTTCAACGTCGCGACTGCCTGTCTGTGCCGCTGCGTGTAAATATGCTGCGAGTCTCTCAGGCTCATACCCACCGGGATTGTCCAAGGCGAATCGGGTCGGATTAATCAACTTCTCGGGTAAGAGCGTCCGAAGGCCGACAATCTGCACGAGACGTCAGCGTCGCATCGCTGTGATTGGTAAGATATATAGGCGCTGTTTCACGAAGTAGGCAATATAAATTTACCTGTTCGGATATTTGCTGCAATTTGGCCAATTTCTCAAGAATGTGACGATCTTCGGGTTCAACATCTTCTACTCTGGTATTGTGCAACATAATATCCATGCTAGATGAGCGGTAGCCGGAGGGTCAGTATCTGTGCGCGCGGGAGAAGGAATGTGTTTGTCTCGATGGATTATGACCGACAATGAAGAGATGAATTGCAAATCGAAAGACGATTCCACGGGATTGTGGCACCTGACTGAAGCAGGAAACGCCGAGAAACATCACGTGACTTACATTCCTGAATGCACGGTGCGCCGTAGTCCGCACTCCACCTCTCCAAGAAATTCCATTTCACGAGCGGTCTCTCAGGGCTTCATGAGGTGGTGCTCACAACTCTATATCAGCCAATCGCGACCACGAGGTCAGATAGCACCGGGAACTGCTCTATTCATTCCACGCTTCAAATCTCAGTGCGGCTAATCGAGGAAGCAGAGAGCGCAACAGATGCAACGCACGACTGGGTCAGTGCTGTCGAGGGATGGAGCTCTGGAGCAAACTGGGGAAATAACCCAGTAGTGACGATACACGATCGATGTTCATTCTTTTAGATCACATGTAGCTGTCGAATGGTAGACAGAAGCATCAAGAAAGTCGTTGCACTTTCTGGGTGCTCGGCTATCATGGCCCAACGTCATGAGGACACTGCGCAATCCTGGGAACAGTTGGAATGCAACCTGTGGTTATCAGTGTCATCGTACCCTGTGCATGTCAACGCAGAACCTTCAACCACTACTAGACGATGGAATAAGTTTTCGTGATTGGTGAGAAAAGTCAACAATGTGCAAAGGCAACGGTGAGTTCCGATTAATGTTGATGATAGTGGCTAGTCCAACGGAGCCTTTACGATTGCGGCATGACCGAATCGGACTCTGTTTTGGTTGCTCAATTTATTTACGAGGTACCGTTAGAAAGTTAAAGGGCAGGGTATGGCAATCTTCAGATGCAAAAGTCGATGATAGGCTTTGATGGCTGCTCGGGGTCCAAAATCTCACCTTGTTGCTTGTCAATTTCAAGTAAAAATCGCCGCCTTCCATGACGACTTTCAACCCGCAAGGTATTCTCGTTCGAATATTAGTGTCATGAATAACTCGTTCAGACTGGCCCTGAAAAGGAATTGCCCCAAAAGAGAAGGTCCACGGTCCACTATCGACGGGCGTTAAATCCTGATCCTCAATCTTGGTGTCGAGGTATGTGCTACAAGTGTGCCGAGCACGGAGCGCATCATTATACCTAAAGTTCGAAGACTCCGAAACTCTACAGGGTACGGTTGGTGGAGATAGTGTATGAAACGCCAATGATAAATCATCTTTCACCAGGGAATCACAGAAGACGGGTGGATGATCTGTAAGCTGGCGAAATGAGCACCCCCTCTGGCGACAGTAGCCTGGATACGTCGCTGGACACGGCAGACTTCCTGGTTCTGTGGCGAAGGGAGAATGCTGACCTGCTCGAAATCTATTTGCTGTAGTTGGTAGGACATTGAGATGAAAATGACGAGAAAAGTGGCCAGGCAGAACCATTGAAAGGTGGATCGACAAAATTGCAGGTAAACCAGGCAGTACGAGATACGGCAATGGCCGAAACCAGAAAAGCGAGGTTCGCTTTCTTGTGTTTGTATGGCCTATCGGGTTAACAAAAGCCCAGCTGCCCGACGGGATAGTGAGAAGTCATTCGGACTCGGGCTCGGATCTCAATTATTCCTTCACTCGATTTAGTGCAGAAACGAAAAGAGCACGTGCGTAAGGTTGTATGGCGTCCAGGGTTGCTTTCGAGACAAACATGAAGGCTGATGACCACTGCATAAAGTGTAACATGGCGTTGATCCCCTGCCCGTGCATTTAGATCGAATTCCAGCCAAATGCCTCGTTGGGTGATCTGATCGCCAGGTCTTGCTGACAAAACAGGAATCGAGGATACGAGGTTCTAATGATCAGGGGGCGATAGTAATTAAGTCCGCGGTTCGGGGATAAAGCGAGAGAGGTGCGAGCCATGGAGAGGAGATGGCTGAGAATGGCTGAACGGCGGAATAGAGGATCCGAAAGTGGAGGATGGTCATTGTCGCGGGTGGGACCTAGCTAGATATGCTCGCTCTATCCGAACACGAAATGAGGTGCGAGGCACTCGGTACAGGGTACCGAGTATGTGTGACAACTTTCCAAGTGAGAATTATGTTTCCGGCTCGGAGACTTTGGAAAGGGCCGCATCTGCACATTAAGACGCCGCCAAGTTCAGAGCCATGTTGCGCGCTCTCAAGCTGCCACAGGATCGAGACGAACTCGGTGTGAATGGCTTAGAATGGCATGGACGCGAATCTCCTGTTTCCGACAAAATCCCCAAATAGCAGATGGAGGCTTAGAGAGGAAGATCTGCAAGGGCCACGTTAAGACCAACGCTTAATTGCTGTAGTAGTAGTAGTACTCGTAGTAGTACTCGTAGTAGTAGGGTCGATAGCGACAGGTACAACACACTTGTCAGCAGGCCACAAGAGACAACCCAGGACTAAGTACTCGGTACTGGGTACCTGCTAAATATGTGCCTGGAGCGAAGCTGGCGAACCGCCATGCGAGCTGCGGCAGGGGTGGGAGCATGTTTTCCCCATACTCCGTACTGGCTCGCCCTCTGTGGGCTATAGACCGACCCTGGCGAGCGTAGCAATAGCACTGAGTACTGTAGTTGCGAGTACGCCGTACTCCTTGAGCGAATTGTGCAGCATGCCTCGTCGAGATGAGATGGGTCGTACGAGGTACTGCGTACCCTTCGTAAGGACAAGCCGGGCAATCACGCCAGAATGGAGCAAGTCGGCCGAAAAGTGGCTCGCACATCTATTCTGAAACGAAGACGGTGCAAATAGCTGGGTTGTCTAGAAATTCCAGATTCAAGCCGCTGCCGCTGCGACTACTACCTGTACTACTGCCTCGGTGCCTGTGCCTCTGAGGTTTGCGTGCATATTCAAGCCATTCGCACCCCTGGAGGAGCCTGGGAGGGGGTGCCTGGGGGCTCTGTTGCAAGCTCGCACAGGTGCACCAGTCAACTCTATTCCAGGATAGCGGACCCCTGTGGTGGGGGCAGAATGTGCCTTATCCGTTGTTTAGTGTTGGGCTAATGCCGCGGTAATACTGTACAGCCAGGAAGCACGGGAGGGTTGGTTGGGGCAGGACCGCCGGGGCAGCGTACGCAGTTCAGCGCTAGTAAACGAAAAGTTGAGCTTAGAAACGAAGTGATACTCAATTACCACAATCTCACCGCAATAGATCGCCCTGGGGACGACCCTGGTGGTTTGGATCTTGGTCTGCAGCCGTACCAGTCTTGCGTGTACCGCGCAAGGCCCAATCCCAGGCTGCCCTGCCCTAGAGCCGATCGCAAAAAGCAGCGACATGCGCTCCACCCTCTCAATCTCGCTGTGGGCGCTGCGGTGAGTCGCAAGCTCCCAACGTTAGGCTGGTACTGTTTTTGTATAGGCCGTTTGTTACCGCCCCTGTCCACAATGCCATGCCTGCCATGCTCCAAGGTTTCCATTTCCATGTCTCTCTTCTCTCTGATACACACTCGAATGATAATCTGGTGCTGGTGTTGATCGCAAATCACCAGTTCCCCGTTGTCCCCGTCTCCGTCTCCGTTTCCCTTTGCATTCCCATGCCCGCGCCCTTGCTGTTCCGTCCTCCGCTCTGCCCTGCCCTGCCCTGCCCTGCCTTGCCTTGCCCTGGCGCGCTTTGCTCTGCTTAGGTTATTCCGCCGCAAAGACGTCCCGTTTGGAACCAGTGCATGGGACAGCGATCGCCGCTCTCTTTGCTCTGGCTCGCCCTCTTGCTCTTGATGCTGTCAGCAACCCATACCAATATCCACTCCCCTCGTCGCATATCCACACCTCCTCACCAACGACTGGCGCAGGGGTTGTAGCCCTACGAGGTTATGAGGCCCACACCCTCGACGATGGTTGTCGTCGCAGCCACAGCCTCTTTAGCTCCTGTCGTTCGTCCTATTCATACATACATATCCCCTTGTCGCCCCATTCTTCTGTTTCTATGTTCATCGAACTATCTATTCTCTTGCTGTCTCATGGGATCTAACTAGTACACTCGGCGGAACCAACTCTCGCACTATACTGATCCCTATTGACCCCGATCTATATCAATCGCCTGGATCCCATCTCTAAATTAATCACACCGCAGCAACATGGCCGTGGACACTCGGGACGCTATCTTTTCCCTCACTCCCCCACCTAGTGACATTGATGAACGCGACAAAAGTGGTTTGCTGACTTGTTCACCCACATTGACCTCGCTTTGCTATCCATCTCCAGCCCCGTCTAATCGGGAACACACCTCCTCCATCTCGTCAGACTCACTCTTCCTACTGCCAGAGTTATCAATTTTAGATCATCAGACTCAGCACTTGCACGACATGGCTTACAACACCTCCTCGTCGGATTCTTCTTCATACTACGCCCTCCCAGCCGTCTCCGATCCGTCAATGTCTCATTATACTACCACTTCTGGAGGTTCCTATGCTATGTATGAGCACAATAATTGGTATCCCTATTCAACATACTCGCAACCTGCTCAAATGCTTCCATACGATCCTTCAAACTCGTCACAGTTCCCAGCCTTGGACCATCAAACAGTCCAACCGGCTTTGGCAAACATCATTCCGCCCACGCCTCAGGACATCCAACGATCCCCGTTCGACTTCAACTCCGCTCCAAGCACTCTACCGTCCAACCACCATTTGACCGCCTCGCCGTCTTTCTCCCAGGTGTCACGTCACAGCTCCCATAGTCATCGAAGCAGTATTTCTTCAATGTCGAGGTCGTGCTCTCCCAGCGCGACTTCCTACCAGCAACGAGCGAGAGCCCTTTCCGGAGACCACTTCGATCTCCGGGGATCGCTACGTTCCAACTCCACTTCATCCAACACTTCGCTGCATGCTTACGGCATCCCGGTGAATGAAGCCCCACTGCTACTACCCTCGACATCATTAAGTCCCCAGTCTGGCTCACAAGGCCAAGCCTGGAGGTGTGCCTATCCGGGTTGCACCTCACGCGCAACATTTACTCGTGGGTGTGACCTTCGAAAGCACTACAATCGCCACAGCAAACATTTGTTCTGCCGTGTGGAAGGTTGTCCCCAAAGTGAGGCAGCAGCCGCCGGCCGTGCAAAATCTTCTGATCAGCCACTCAGCGGTGGTTTCAGCAGCAAAAAGGACCGAGCGAGGCACGAGGCCAAGCATAACCCGGGGATCAAATGTGAATGGCGTGGTCCCGAGGGTGAGGAATGTGGTCGAGTCTTTTCTCGGATGGATAACATGAAAGATCACGTCAGACGGATACACAATAAAGGCCAATCTCAGCAACAGCAGCAAATAAGTCCGAGGCACAGTCATGGGCAAGGCCCAAGTCGCAAATAAAGACAGCTTCGATTCCCCCGGAGAAGCTCGGGGCCTTGAGAACTAATTCCTAGAGGGAAACACGATTATCTTCACGAGCCACGCATTGACGACTCTCCTAGCGTTTATTCAGGGGAAGACTGCATGGATACGGAGACTGGGTCAATTACAAAAATACCCTGGAAGTGGTTCAAACCTTGGAATTGCTGAAACTCCATCTATATCTTGCACGTCTGCAACAAGAACACATAGTGATGGCTTTGGACTGTCGGGGTTAGGCGCCAGCCGGGTAAATGATGTAGATTACAAGAGAGGGAAGACGGAGGGTATGGGTAGTCTCCCCGAGATTTAGCACGTACTGCAGCTAGCACTGTCGCCATGTCCATCAACATTGAATATATTTTACAAAGACTTGACCAAAAGAATTTCCAACAGTTTCGCGGGGGGAGCAGATGCATGCGTCAGAATCCGCTTCCAAGCACAAACGCACGGTGAAGCCGTGGCGCTGTAAACGCTGGAAGCGCAAATGGCCCCCACCAGAATCATACATAAAAAGTATACGAGGACTTGCGTACGGATATGTCGGTCGCGTTCAGGAACGGTAGGGCGCAAGACCCCGAGATTGGCCCTGATGAAACGGCTCGTTAACTAGGTACTCTGTGCTAGCAATCGAGTATTGCTAAACGGGATAGCGCATGTGTATGAGTTCCTTAAAACACAAGCTAAGAGACTGCGACCCAGCCATGGGAAGACGTAAATAACCCTAAGCGGTCCGTCTCTATCTCCTACATCCTTGCCAACAGGTGAACCTGCCCAAGTATAGCACACCCCCGCGGTGTTATAGCTCGCTAAGCAGGAACAAATTTATGCGCCGCACTAATGGCCGCCATTAGCTAGTCGTGCGAGAAGCGTGAGGTATTGCCTAGCCGGTGTGGCTGAGTTGTCCACGCATAATTATTAACTTGGATCAGGTGCTATTAATGCGCAGCACGTGGATCTGGTATTTGCATTTCCTCCTACCTGCAGCGAGCGTTGCCGCGGAGGACAGCACTTCCTCCTAGCATCATCTGACGACCGTCCTACGAGTCTACGGCCCGTCCAGTCTTAACTCCATCCTGTAAAGCACGTTGGGGTGTCTCCTTGGCGAGCTTCGTGACCGCTAGTCCCCTTCCGCAATTGATCCATTCTGTACGAGATTCTAAACTACTGTACTAGGGGTGGGGTGGGTTGACACTGAGGTAGTGGCGACTCTTCAAATGATCTGTCAATGCAACTTCGACCTTTACTACCAAGTAGTTGGTCCCACATTGTGTGCAATGATCACCCTTGTGGGAAATGTGAGAGAGAGAGAGAGAGAGAGACCCAGAGAAAGGGAAAGAAAAAGGCTGGCCAGCTTCCGACAGTCCGTGCTCGATTCAAGCTTCAACCGTGCTCGACCAAAATCCAAAGCCCATCAAGGGCGAACGCTACTGAGTGAATGGAATGGGACCACATGCGATTCGTTGGAGCCACAGAGTGCCAGCATTGTCATTGTACGGAGTGCCTCTTGATAAATGGGGGCCAAATGTATCGAATGCTAACACGAGCCGTCCAGAAGCAAAGGGCTTGGTCTTTGGTAAGCAGGACCATCACACTAACTTCTTTGGGTATTTTGTACGAGAGTGGCCATCGTAGGGATAGCCACTCAAGTTGCGGACTGTCTAACCTCGTCACTGCAGGTCAATCTGGCGGCTTCCCCGTTTCTGGAAATCCTTGCGGACCAGTCTGGATGATTCAATTGCGCTGTAATTAGACTCGGTATGGATTGCCTCAAGCTCTTGGATCTTCACGCCTAAAGAATGAAATTCCAGGATGGCGATTACTTATTGAAGACAGATTCTACGACCAATAACCGCGCCCAATCACAGGAGCAATGGAAGGTGTTAGGATAGCCGAGGACCGAGTACGGGCCACTTCGAGCCCCTTTTCCGGATGTGATAGTCTATTCTGCACAAACGATAGCAAACCAGAAGACGGAGATCCGATAGGAAAGTTACGTCTAAACACCTTGCACCGCGTTTCGGACGAAAGTGGCTTCAAAAGCCCGACGCTGCTCGGTCGCCAACCAAAACATGGGACCGATCATCACGACCAACACAGAGCAAACATGCCAATCCTGCGTGTTTTAGGTGAGCTCTCAAGCCATTTTCCATACGGGATAGCTGCTTTTGACGCCTGGCAAAAGTGGGCACGGCCAGAGGCGCCTCGCTGAACAATTTGGAAGCTGTTGCAGGCATGCACCCACTGGATGCAACGATATAAGGTTGATGCTCGTGCAATATCATCAACGGCGGGATCATTGTCAACCCTAAACTCTGGAGTCACTACTCCGTACCGAGACCTCGTAGTGAGTCACTGGGAAGCTCCAGGACTGTTCATGGTAGCTCAGGATGCATTTCTTTGGGACACAACCCCACCTCGCCGGGAGACTTTAATGTCCGGCGCGCTAGGCTGGTTCTAAAGGCACCATGGTTAAGCCTCCAGCCATGATCTCTCGCATCGACGTGTGAACTGAAAATATGGGGATCTTCTACCGTCCGACCTGTCAGATCGCCATTTTCCCGCTGTGGGTCGAGCCACGAACGGCATAGACCGCAAGAAGTCATAGGGCAGTCGATACCCGTTGCAAAAGGACAAGCGTGGTCCATACCCTTGGGGTTACATCGCATAGTCGGCTTTGATCGAAGAGTGGCTTCATTGGCATTGGCATTGGCATTGGCGTTGGCATGCTGCGACCTCCGGTTCGTTTGTTTCATTGCTGACTGTCTCCTTACGTCCACACTCTGATCATAAGGCAGATGTTCCCCCCTGTCACTAACGAGGGACCAGCAGAATCGACCAGGATTCATGCATAGTAGCTGGGGTGATATCTGGATGACTGCGTGGGAAGGTGAAGCATACATCCCCAGGGAACTTTTGGTCCACTGCAGGGTGGTGAGTCTGACGATGGTCCATCTCTCAACGTGGCTTTCTGGAATACCTCCTGGCCTGGCCTATGATCGAAGGATAAGCTGTGGTTGGGATCCACCGCGATCAACTTGAAATCGACCTTTCCCAGTCTCGCAACCGTCGATGCAAGCAACCAAGTTTCATGTCCGACCACACCAACGGTATGCCCGGCAAGAATACGGCGCTGGAGCGCGTTGGGAGAAACTCCTGCGATTGGCCTCGGCTCACGGAAACCAATTGTTGGCGTTCTGGATAGTGTGCCAAGCCTTGGTCCATCGCCCCCAATTTTTGTAACATCTAACCGCAACTGGCTCCGACGAATGAGGATCCCTTGTTAACCAAAATTACTCGGAGCCGATGCCAACAACTGTATCCGACCTGTATCCCAGTCACGGGCGAAAGCGAGTCCGATTGCGACAACCCGCCGCTTTTATCACCAAGCCCTAACTCACTGCTGGCGCTAGTTAGAGCCAGGGGGCGGCCGTAGTTTGGTCAACTTGAGCGAGGGTCCTTATCAATTACTTCCAATCTCCCCTGCACGGTTCTAGAAACTCTCCCCGTGTTGCTTTTCATGCATATTTGACACCACGTCTCGATTCTCCCTCAGTTGACCTTCGCTGGGAATAAAACTGCCAGCCGCTCAATCTCACCAGAAGTGGATCTGCTTCCCTGGCACGCCTACGAGGTATGTACTCGTACGAGGTAGGTTTTCAGCACTCACCCTGATAGAGGGAGAAGCAGTCATCCTTGAAAGTGCTCACAGACTATGGGACAACTCTCCAAGATCACCGTTACCGAGTTTTGGCTTGTCCCAACTGATACCCCTCAAACGATCAAGAGAACATCCATCCTTGATTTTGAAATGATCAATATTCGGTAGCTCCCTTCCGCTTCCGCTTTCGGACGGTGAGGAACCCACCTCGAACGTGCATATGGTAAACAAATCATCGCTCTCCTCGCCTAAACATCCCTGGTCAGCATGGCCTCTTGAGCCTTGACTGGAAGACAAAAGGACATTTGGCTGATCAAGGGAGGACCGGCTGACAAATAAACCTGCAGCAAATCGGGATTCTGGGTTGCATATCTAGGGACAGCCTCAAATCTGTGGACTTGTTTCTTGGCTGAACACGTCGACGCTTACTCGTATGTCTTGAGGCTTGACTCTTTGCTCGGCCAGCCTTCTAAGGCTGAGTGGGGAGGAGGAAGAACCCGGCCGGCCTGGAGGCCCCCCTGCCAGCCAGACGTGCCATGGAAACTAACTAGTATGTGATAAGTGCGATCTTAGCATTCACGGGTCAGTTTTCGCTGCATGGCGTACCAAGTACATCGTACATGGCATCAGTGTCGCTGTCGCTACTATGCTGACAGTTGCCACTGGTATGATATGGGCCCTGGCACAGCACTAGATGCGTTGTCTGGTGGCGGCCAAGCGAGCATCCCAAGTACTTTCTTCACCGTGAATCTCCAAGTGCGTCGTGTCTTAGATGACATCGAACGGCCGAATTTATGGAACCGCAAACACGAGATTTCAAACGTTACGATGCTCTATCATGCCCCCGGGGGCCTAGCCAACACCTCGTTAGTACCCCCTATTATAGGCTTGAGGCTTACCAACGACCACTCTATAACCATCCCCGGCGGTCCAAAACAATTGTGTCTCCCCTTCACCGCTGGTGAATCATGCTATATGAAGACCAGGGGTCCTGCAAATGTCGCTTGCGCGCCCTATAGTACCTACCCAAGGGACAAATCACAGGCGCCACAAATGCCCAAGATGTCAGCACGAAGGTTTGAGAACCATGAGAATAAACTGGGCCTAAACCATCCACCCCTCTTGGGTGGCCTGAACACGAAATCTAGACGAACTGTTGTGACGAGAACGTTGCAAGAGAGAGTCTGCAGCCCTGTGGGTCCCCCGAAATACGGTTTGATTACTATCTAATTGGCCTCTCTCGTTGACCTTTTAGATGTCGGAAGGATATTTACAACCGCTATTGGCACTATATGCTATTGTATCGAGGAGGCTCCGCGCGTCCCTTTCCCTTTCGCCCTATCCTTCTATAGCTTGGCCTTTCCACTTCCTTTCGAGGTCTCCCTAAGCTTCTCTACCAGGCTGTTGGCCCACTCGCCATAGGGACCCATTTGGGCTGCATAGTTTGCGGCCGTGGTGCCACTGGCCTGTCTCCGTGCATATCGTGCTGCAATCCCTTGCATGATTATGGCCCCTCTGAAGGCACCGAAGGCGTTGCCCCAGTCCAGTTCCAGCTTGGGCTCATATCCAGATGCCTCTGCATACCACTGCACAGCCTGTTCTAAAGTAGGAAGACCGGGAGTGACGCCGACGGCGAAGGGCTCAACCATCGATCTGCCTGTCGAATGCGCAGAGCCGATGTTCTTGTTGCCCACCCAGATCCAGGGACTGGTGAGATTCACCAGATCTGACAGCGGGTGTCCAATGGTCGCCATCTCCCAGTCCAAGATCCCAATCACACGCGGCTCGGTTTTATGGAACACCAGGTTGTCTATCTTATAGTCACCGTGGATGAGCGTGGTGCGGTCTTTGGGCTGTGTGGATTTCTGCTTGAAGAAGTCCACCATCTCGTGGAAGTGCGGGATGTCTCCTACGGGGGTTTTGCTGTCTACGTCCACCGCTTCGGCCTGTGCTTTGGACAATGTCCCAAATGTCTTGAGCTGCCGGTCATAGAATCCCCCGTGGCGCCCGAAATCCGAGAGCCCGACTTTCTTGAAATCCACCTTGTGGAATTTCGCCAGCGTTCGCAAGGCATCGTGCCACCTGTGTACGTGTACATCTAGCGTTAACTTCCACTTTTGCTCTTCACATACATATCGCTGTTGAGGTACTTTTATCCATGGGGGAAGGGGGGGTAAGGCAAAGATGTGCTTACATTTCCTCTCGTTCCTGCGACCCAATACCTGGGAAATGCGGCTCGGTGACCATACGCCCATCAAGAAATTCCATGATATAGAAATCGGTCCCGACAACACTGGGATCTTGACACAAGCAATACGCCTTGGGTACGGGCACATCCGTCTGGCCCAGCGCCTTGATGATCTTGTACTCTCTGTCGACCTGATGAGCGGTCTTGGACAGCAGTTTTCCCGGGGGCTTCTTTCGCATCACGTATCTCGTGCCTGTGGCGTCCGTGAGCTGGTACGTAGGGTTCGATTGGCCGAAGCCGAACTATTTGTTTGATTCAATCGAGTCAGTATGATAACATTACGTAGTAACTGTCTCTTTCGTGGGCTTTGAGAGCTGTGCTGTTCAGACGGTGCAAAGGGAAATGCATGTTGATGTAGATGAAGATGTATAGACATACCTGCTTAAGCTGCAGAGGCGTCTTGATCTGCGGCACATTGCTGTCGATGTAGCGCTCGAGCGACGCCAGATCGATCGGTTGTCGTACAGGGCCTGCCATTGATGATGGTGATGGTGACGATGTCTCTTCGCTTCGTTTCGTCCCACCGAGTTCAGTTACCTAGGCGGTATTGAGACATGCAGAATGAACGAGAGAAATCTCGGACTCAAAACCAGCTCAGACTGCCAGCTGCAAGGAAGGGAAGAAAACCTCGTGCATAATGGTTTCCGGTTGACTCTCGGCTGGCTTTGCCCGAGGGAAAGCAACGGCTGCCCACCGCCGCCGACACACGAAGTTTCCGAATCGGTCTTGTTGGACCTCGGGATCTTTCGATCTTCTTCGGGGTAGGACGATTTCCCGATTGGGGTCATACAGGAAAGTTTCGTGCAACGGCGAAAGTTTGAGGTTACACAAACGGGCGCAATTTGATACAGTACTCCACCGTATCTAGAGTACATTATCTCGCTCGTTGCTTTTCCGTAGATTGGTTCGCGAGAAACGCGTACCCCACTTTACGCGTGCTCGTGTTGCTGAGGGGCACGCGTGAAGCGGTCAAGTCACCCTCAGTTAGTTAATCTGCATACCAAGCTGGTTAAAACGGCCATCTAACATTACACCTTCTTCGGCGGAAATTTTAATGGAAAGAAACACATTCGCTGTCTGAACGAGCATGACAAGTTCGTCTACACCGCCTCCTCCCCCTCCTCCCGTCGCACATCCAGCTCCCCACAATCCAAGCAGCAACGACCACCTCCCACCCTCACTACCAAACTCACCACTACCCAAACGACACAAACCAGCCACCACCACGACGCCCTCGAACATGGCATCTGTCAACGACACTCCGTCCATCCCAAAACTAACAAGCAACTCTCAGCCCCCGCTACTGGTCAAAAAACTCTCACCGGACGCGACCATCCCGACCCGGGGCTCCGCCTTCGCCGCCGGTTACGACCTGTACGCCAGCAAACCCACCACGATCCCTGCGCGGGGGAAAGCGCTCGTCTCAACCGACCTATCCATCGCAACCCCCGAGGGAACCTACGGCCGTGTCGCGCCCCGGTCCGGTCTCGCGTCGAAGAACTTCATCGACACGGGCGCGGGAGTCATTGATGCGGATTACAGAGGAGAGGTTAAGGTGTTGTTGTTTAACCATGGAGAGGGGGCTTTTGAGGTCAAGAAGGGGGATAGAGTTGCGCAGTTGGTGCTGGAGAGGATTTATACCCCGGAGGTGATGGAGGTTGCGGAGTTGGAGGAGAGTGTGCGTGGCGCCGGCGGGTTTGGGAGTACTGGTGTTTCAAGTACTTGAAACTTGACCCGCTGGCGGTTGGGGGTGAGGGTGGCATGGCAATGGCAATGGCATGGGGTCGGGATAGATGCTAAATTCAGATGATGGGATGGGAAACGGCAGGTCTGTCTATCTATCGACCTTCCAGTGCTGAGCTGCTGGGCAACCAAGATGGCCAGTCCCAATGCGCGGGGACACGATTTCCGGGTTTCGGGTATCAGTTCAACAACACAGACCTCTACTTTGCTCAGAATCAAACTTCCAACGCTTCGGCCTTGTACCTGTTCTGTGGATCCTGCAAGTCCCTCGCATGCCTGACCACCCTGACCTCCGCGGCCTTGGTCTCGGCCAGGTACCTCCTCTGACTCTCGCTGTCTCCACCGTCTTCGCCTTCCACACCACCAACACTTGCGCCAGGGCTGGCACCGAAGGCTTTCATCTCTGCATCCCTGGCCGCCAGCGTTTTTTCCAGCACAATCTGCATGCTGCTGAGGACCTTCTCAGTCGCCTTAGCCAGCGGCAGATCGACGGCCTCCACGTCGTCGTCGGGTGCCCAGCTAGCCCTCGAGAGTAGATCCGCATGGGCACTGGCCTCCCTCAATCTGGCCGCCATCAGTCCAGCAAGCATGTCGCCTGTGCCGCTGAAGAAGCAGTCCAATTTAGGAACCTCGATTTTAAACAGACGTGCCGTGCCGTCCGCCTTCTTCGTGCTACCCACCACCGTCAGGTGATCTCCATTGTCTTCTCCCACTTGTATACTTGTCACGATGATGTGTCTCGTACCGAAAGACGTGTGCATCGTCCTCACCGCATTCGCCACCCCACTGAGACTGCTAATGCTGACCCCACTCAGCAGCTCGGCCTCGAACTGATTCGGTAGGATGAGATCGGCTTCGCGGACGAGCTGTTTATAAGCCGGCACAATCTCCTCCGCAACATAGAGCCGGCCTTGATCGCCCATGACGGGATCCAGGATCCAGAAAAACCCACCAGGTTTCACCGTCGAGCGGTACCGTAGATCTCGTGCGATGAAGCCAACTGCCTCGACTACCTCCGCGCTCGGCGCGTAGCCTGAAACCAACATTTCGAAATCGGTCAGGTAGGATTTCCGTAGGCCCTCGTAGAGCTCGCGGATCTCAGAGGCCGGGGTCCGTCGCCCTTTGAATTGTCGGTAGCCGGTGTGATTGCCTGTCCAGTGAGGAATATATGATCAGCAAGGCGAATTCGGCGACAGAGTGATGACTGTTGGCTCATTGAGCTCTAGAGTGACGAGTCAGGAGTCGCAAAGGCTCTCCCAGACCCGGGAACGCAGGTCGAGGATTTCAAACCAATAATCCCAGAAGCCACCAAGGTGATTGTGCTGTCAACTTACTGAAATTGACAGTGTTGATGGCCGCAACATCACAACCGAGCGCCTGCAGTGCAAACGTTGCCATCTTGTTCCCGACATATCTGTTCCGTAGAGAGGAATCAGAAAAATGGTCAATCTTGGAATCCCATGTCCGAAGATAGAACGTGCGATTTCCATCCTTCGGGATTGTGCGCGATTAAACTACAGAAGAACAGAGACTTACCCGTAAACGACCTTTGAAAGTCGAGGAGTCAGCTATCTGGTCGTCTCAAAGTAAAGTCTGCACGTGTAGGAAGGAGGGGGAAAATTCAGATGCGAGTTGCTAATTACACGACGCATACATGACTGGCGATGGCGAGCACCTTGGTCTCTGGCCATGAATGCTCAGAGGTAGCCATCAGGGGAGGAGCACGCTCGAGAGACAATCACTATGAAGAAGAAAGACGGTGGCAGAGTGTGTTGTTCTCGTAGAAAAATATTTCCTGTGTTGGGAGTCGCGAGCCGTCTCTCAGCAGGGACAAATTTACGTGCGAGTCGCCAGTGACGTACTGCTCCACGATAAGAAGGAGCAGCCGCTGGTCGATAAGCTGCTCCCTCCGTTCCCCCACGCGCCCTTCAGTCCACATCACCGCCACTCTCATAGCCTCAAGTCGAGAACAATCTACCCTTGATCACAACGAACTTGAGCACAATGGCAATACATTCTCATTCTTGCATAAAGCTAATCCCGTGATACTTATGGATCTCGCCGACGCTGGCAGGCTACTTTCGCTGGACAATTTCTCGCATCACGCGATCATGACCATATGGACTGTTACTGGTTCGCCGCATCTATTCGTCGTCGCCGATCTGAAAGAGCTGTTAAATTACGAGGTCAATGTATGTAGAAGTCGCATGACTTACCTTGGGAGCCAAGTAGAACCGTAGGAAACTACTGCCCGATAGACTATATTCCACCAACAATGGGACCTCCGACGACAGGCAGAGCTTGACACGGCCGGAGAGCCCACTGGCCTTGCAGAAGTTGACCAGATATTTGAGGGAAAATGTGAGAGACACAGGTTCCGTTAGGTTGATTGTCACGCTCTGATCTTCCTTGTCGACATTGGTATGGGATCGTACAGTGACACTTCCACTACCGATGTCACCTTGACAAGCAAAGCGTACACCGTCCTTATTTGCCTCGATAGACACTACTGATATCAGCACGAATGATCAAGGGTCGGGAAGCCCGGGGTTCATACCAGATTCAGACATGGCAATCAAGTCTCGGCAGATGCGTTGGAACTCCGCGCTGGGCATCTCGATGGTTGCAGCATACTCAGTGTCCGGAATGCCCAGATGCTCCTGATCAATGTCCATCAACTTTATGTCATACTCGCTGATTCTGTCCGACTCGGCACTTTCAAACACCAAGTTGACAACATCAGGAGCGTCTTCTGCCTTCAGAGTGAGAATGTCTTCATTTTGTGCCGCGCGCAGGACCTTCGTCAAAGAGTTGAGATTGATGCCAAGTGCAATGTTGCGGTCGCATCGGAAGGGTGAGAACATCTCGGCCTTGAGCATCATGGATACTAGAGCAACGTGCGAGTTGTCCATGGCCTGGAGGGCAATGCCGGAGTCATTGCAGTCGAAATTGCAATCCTGGACCAGGTCCTTGATGGCATCCACCACCTGCGGAGCATCAGATTGGTATTCTTGGGTAGGGACTCTATCAGGATGCGAACCTTCTTCAATTGAGCTGCTTGTTCAAGGCGTGCTTCCAACACTACATAGAAATCATTAACACAATGCCTCATGCAACAAGATGCAACAAGATGGGATTACATGGTCACGTACTCTCTGCGAATTGACAGGCAACTTAGACGCTGTCTAGTTTGAGGACGGTAGAATATCAGATGGAAGGACCGGAGTGTGCATAGAAGCGCAGGATTATGGTTGTTGTTTGGGACGTGGGAATTTTGGATTTGGATACTTCGGAACGCGGTGTCTGTTGAGTTGCAGGCGCGGCTCGCGTTGACGCTAGCCCGATGAGGGCTTGATTGGTTTTGCTTGGCAGTCTCGGCGTACTTGCTTTCTTGAGACTTGTTCGCTTTCGAGTTGTTCCCTTTCAACTTTTGCCCGACTACGTCATTACTAATTATTCGTCTCAGAGAATTCACTTCGAGAGGGATTTCGTTTCCACTTCGAATCTCATCTCGGTCAGTCGGAAACTCAGCGCCCATTTTCTACATTCGGATGCCCTTATAGCCATTGGTGACCGGCCCGGGTGTTAGCACATTAATAATGTCTGAATTCTTGGGCGTGCCATCGTTTCTAGGGCAGACTCTTATGTCCGAATAGGCAAGTACCACGGCCGATTCCCCCGTACCGCTCTGTGGTGGATTTAGAATTTTGGCCCCCACCCCAGCGAGAATTCGGGGAGCGATACAGGCAACAGTGGATTTCCCCTGGCGGCGCATAGCCTCGTTGGTTATGGCCCAATTTCGTTCCAAGGCCAGCATTACTACTTTGTGTGATGTTCGCCACCCCAGACCTGGCTTTTGTCCATTGTTGACAGACAGGCCTCTCTTCTGCCGTGGCGTCAATAATGAGAAAGTCGTACCGAGAGTAGTACGCTCTTATGTATCGCCACCATGGAATCATTCCCACAAATACGTCGATGAGAATATCCCCTTTGCCTCCTTCATGCATGATGGACTTCTCCCCTTTCTACGCTCTTTCTGGCTCTGCTGGCGCTTTGACATGCCATTGGTAATGGAGTCCAGCCACAATGCGACAGCATTGTAAGCCCTATGCCCGTATTGTCTGCAGGCCCCCATTGGCTTTTGGCCATCTGGCCATATCGTCCTTGGTGGCAAGTTGTCAAAGTTATTCAAACCATGTTCAGCTAGGCGCGCAAGTGTCGGCTCTATTGGGAGAATCTTTTCGATGTCAGTGGATAGTGTACTTCTGCTACGTTACGATCACCGACTCAAGACTTCACGTCGGTTCCGAATAGATATCTCATACTACATAGCAGGGGGAGGAACTGATTTGCCGGATTTTCATTGGCTTTATTTTTCTTAGGAGTTGTGTGGTACAGGTGTTGCTTTTACTTCTGTCGAAAAGATAGCTAGCCAGCCTACCAGAAGCTGCAACTCTGCCAAGTATCGTACAAGAAATGAAATGCTATGCTATGCGATGGTTGCCTGCAACGCATTACCAAGATCCCTAGAGCATGTAGTGAACAACGTGTCTTCCACAATCGATCAATCCACCAGACGACCATAGTCGTCGAGATATCTAAGGAAGTAGAGGTCAATTGCGGGTCGCTGGGGTAGTGGAAGACAATACTAACCCTTGCAGATATACAGATAAGCGATAGCCTGGGAGCTGAGAAGCACGGCGTAGATATCGAATTGCTCTGTGAAAATGTTGCTCGTTCGAATGAGAGTAAGAAACATTGCCAAGACTCATGGACGCTTCCGCAGCCTGAGACGACTCAGTCAATTGTTGTAAGAGCGACATGGCCGCAGAGTATACCTACCTCTGACAGAAGGTCGCCATCAAGTCTTCCATCTCTTTCGGCAGCTGCAACTGCCCTCGAAAAGTAGTCAACTGCCGGAATGAGCCTCCCTCTCGCTTCCACATAATCTGCTGTATGCGCCATGGCATCCGCTTCTGCTACTGCGCGACCAGCGTCTCTGGCTTCCTCTGATGAAGAGTATGGGGGAATTTCTCCCAAGCTATGCGGCCGGCCACTACTACCACTGGAAGTGCTTCCTTCCAAACGATGTATTCGTGCAAGAAGGCTTTGAGATCGAGCTAACCAAGCCTGTCCCAACCCTGCCCTTATGTAAGTCAGTGACATAGATTGGTAAGCCAAGAACAAACCTCTGAGGATGCTCAGGCTTTCTCCTTCTCTCTGTAGCAATTGTAGCCATTGATTCATACACCAGTCTGCTATATCTCTTACTCCTTCGCTGTCGGGCTCATGGTAGGCAAGTCTTTGCAGAGTGTTGATAACAAAGATGTGTTCTCGGGAGTAATTTGGGAGTGAGGCAAAGCCTGTGCCATCAAGAGTCCTGATAGCAGTCCTGGCGATGTGTAGACGTTGGTCTAATGTGTCTGGCATGGGCAAATGCCATTCTGCTATGCGCCTCACCTCACTGACGGCGGCCTGGAATCGGTCTTCGCTCGACGGGTGAGTTGTATTTCTCGAACCCAAGGTTTGTTTCGACATGTTTCGACCGAGCTGGACAGGCACGATATACTGGTGAATGTTGAACAAAGTATCTTCTCTCAATGTTTGCGCAAAGGATAAGGAAGATATATATGGCAAACGGGGCTCATAACATCTGTGAGCTATTGGAGATCCTGTTTACGATTCAATTTAAAACAAAACATGGCCCAGCCACATGGATCCCCACCCACCTATGCATGCCACGAGGTTTTTTCCCACTGCAGATGCCCAACATCAAAGAGTGATTCGCCCACGAGTCGACAAATGAAAGGATACAACAAAAATGCGACAAGCTGACTGCAATCATGCGACTCTCATCATGCGCAAGTCTGTCGACCTACGTTTCAGCCACATGAGGCCTTTGGGGGCCTATATGTCAAAAAGACCGAACGGTGAGGCAGGGGCGTGGCAAATGTCATGATGATGGTAGACTGAGTACTCGGTGTGGTCGGAACCGGAAGGGAGGACAAAAGATACAGTGACCACAGCGAACAGCGGTCAAGAAGGACCATATGGTGATCGTCAAGGATGAGTAGAGTGAGGAAGGGGCAACCTACTGGTTCAATGCCTGGACCTTACCTGCAGGGACGATGCAACGCCGCAGGAGGCTTGTCTGGATGCTGTGGCGACATGAATCTTACTAAAGGAGCTAAGAGCGTCCGATAGAAGAGAAATGATGAGTCAAAAGAGGTCGCCAGGTCCCCAAGGTTGAAGCGTTTCGCGATGCGGTAGATGGAGCCGCGGACGGATACGAATGAGAACCAGTCAGGTCTTGTCCATGTCGGTGTTGGTCCTCACATTGCTGTGATGAGAGAGCCATAGACTTATCGAAGGTCCCGCAATTCACAACTCGAGGATCGACAGGTATCATCGCGACAGAGTCGACGGGGGTGAAAGGCTAGATTCGCCCACCGGATATCCAGGAAACCAAATAATCTGACGGGGCCGGGAACCAAGAGGACGGTAAATTTGGACGGTTTGCAACCCGAGTAGTGAGGCCTTTTCAGACAAGTCTTGGAAGAATTAGAATTTCGGAAGGGAATGAATCACACAGGCACCCATGAATCGCAAAGAAGGTCAAAGAGGGCCGAGATTGTGGCTGTTGAGGAAGAAATGCTAGAAGGAGGAGCCGCATCTGTCAGTGCAGTACATGTATAGGTATCCGGCGCATACGAAACGTATCTCGTAGTGGACTTTGGGTGGAACGGCCTCAGCCCTGTGGCACTGGCACTGGCACAGGCTCCACCCAGGGACGAGGCCTTACGAAGCGACTCGGCCGATGTACTGCTAGGCACGAACGGACTACGGCCCAAGGGCTCAGACGCGGTACCGTGACGCCCCGAGATGATGACTATCTGATACCCGGCAAGAGGAACCCAGGCTTAGCCGGATCGGAGAAATTAGGCCGCCGACGAGGCACAAGGGCAGCCACGCTGAGTCTCGGGAAACCTGGAAGGACTTCGCTCCTCTCGCCTTTTGACTTTCCGTGGCAAACTTACCAAATGCCTGGTCCGGATAGCTCGTAGGATTAAATGAACATGGCATTGTCGAGACTCGTAAGCCACAATCAGTTGGCCAACCCGGCGATCGTTGGATCCTCACTCTTTCACTCGTCCTCCTTACTCGTCCGAGACGCCACGGATGAGGTACCTCAGTTTGATAACGTGACCATGTGTACACCGAGATCGGCGTCGAAGCCACCCTGATTATTTATTCACGATTGCTCGTCGAGAATCTACCCGGGACGTAGCTCAGACTGCATGAAATTTCTAGATTCTTCCGGAAACCCCGTCTGGAAATGCTCGGTTGTCTTTGGGGTGGTGGACGACCATCTTCTGTATGACTTATCGAGCGGTCTTAAATCATGTCAATCGTCTCTGAGAGTGGCTCGGTTTGCAGCAGCCTTGTCCTATCAGCCTTTCACCAAGCGCAGTCCTCGATTCTTCTTGCTTCTACTAATGCTACAGCAACTTTACTGGCAAAACAGTGAGTTTTATCCCTTCAAAGCCAAGCCCATTATGGGTAATGCCAACAAGACCGAGAGCTTTCGCGAGTCCTCTGATTACCTAGGTTACCGAAACCAAAATGTGATTACTCGCTAATATCCCCAAAAAATACACCTCGGTCGTCATTCCAAATCCATCTCTGCAAGAACGCTTCAACTCTTTTATGATTATCTAGCGCCGCTATTTTGCATTCGTCCAGCCTGTAATGATTAATTTACTCCTTGCTGCATGTCATTCAAGTCGTGTTGTGTATGTTCGAAAGTCGTGTTGCAGTGGCAGGCACCAGATGAAGTCCAGGCCTTCCTAGATGATGTGTACGGGCAAGCTGCTCGATCTTGATCAGTCATCAAATAGAGGTGATTCGCGAGGCCGTCCGTGCTTGCGGCCGATGTTTGATCACCATTTGCAGCTCTCGCAACATATTTGTAGTGTTGTCTGCTTGCTCTTGCATGGTCGCACGCTTCCTTCTCTCTTCTTGCAGTTTGCTGAGCTTCTCTTCCCGGCTCATTGGAGCCCAAGACATCCTTTTGCGCGGCAAAGCGACAGCTTCGAAGACTTCTTCATCGGGTCCGACTCCATCGGACGTGCTTCTTTCGTCGCCACTCAGCAACTTGAATGCCTCTGCAGGCCCTCCATCCACAACGGTCATTCCACCGAGGCTGCTCGGAGACGGTGATGCAGGTGAACGAATGCTAGACGTTCTCGATAGCCTGTTCTCGGAGTCGAGTCCAACGTTGAGGAACATTGTATTTCGTCCCTTTTCCCATTCAACTAAAGCGTTTCGTATCTCACCACCAAGATGCTCATAGTGGCGGGCCAAGGTAGCACCGAATATGGCTTCATCACCTCTCATCACCGGAGCACTAATGTCATCCTTCAGTAGCCGAACCTTGGCGTTGAGGGAGTGTATGGCATTTGCCACGGCTTCGAATCTACGCAGTTGTGCTTTGGTATGTAGCCTCTGAGGGGTTCTTGTCTCTGTGTCTTGGTTTAATGATTGGTCTGTGTCTTCCGAGGCGATTGGAGTATCATCGATGAGTGCTTCATTGGCCACCGCAGAGCGAAGGCTTTCCACAATCTGCGAAAACGCAGCGTCTAAATCCTGCAAGACTTGCAGGGTTCTTCGCCACTGAAGGATATTCTGCCATGTAGATCCTGAATGGAGTGCAAGCAAGTCGCACAAAAAGACCTTCCGAGCAATGAAGTGCAGGCGAAACAGAAACCGGAGCTCCTTTAGAGAATCCCGGGTTTCCTCAGTAGTTTTATTTGCAAATGCAATGGCGTCGGCATACTCTTGAATCGAGACATCGTATATGTCATGGTACCTCTGCAAGTCAGTCTCTCTGACAAAGACTTGCATAGCATTGTGAGCCCTAACACAGTGGCTGATGCTGTTAGTCAAAACAGTTGCTATGGTCATTCGTAGTTCTCGGCAACGTCCAACAGGGCGCTTGTCTTCGAGACGACTGATGGGCGCTAGCGGTTGGCTTCTGGAATAAGTATCAGCATAGGACATGACGGATGATTTGAGACAGGACTTGCATTTCATAGCCACGAGCGACGATTTCCACCTCTTGTGCAAACCGCAGCCCTTCGGCTGCAGTATTATCAATATGATGAGAGTTTGAAACAAGATTTCCTAAGGCTGCTCCAGCAGACTGGCGAACAAACTCAAGGTATTGTCGCCGGGCGAAGTAGATGAATATTATGCAGCCTCCGACCAAGACCAGGCCATAGGTGACGAGCTGTGACAAAGGAAAGGTAACTTGACCACGCTGTCGGCGGCGGAGAGTATGTAGAAACCAAGCGATTGAGAAAGAGAGTACGGCGGTTATAAGAGCACCTTTGATGGAGAAGCGGGGCGGATCGATCGTCTGTTCATTCTGCCGTTGGCGTCGGGGTTTTGGATCATTCGAGAGCAATTGGGAAGCAACAATAAGGTAGCGGAATCGCTCCAGGAATTCCTCGTTGGCAACATCTGTGGCAGAGGCCGCAGTGCGACGTATCGTCCGTAAGCGCTCTCGTAGCTTTGGTAGGCCCTGAGGAGCGAATGTTTTGATTAGAGGCGAGAGTGGAGGCGATGAGTCGGCGGTATCGAAAGGAATGGCGTCTGCTTCTAGATATTCAGCAAGAGGAGTATCATTATAGATTAGAGCTTCCATGACATGGTCGTCAAGGTGTAAGGTGTAGCAGACGCAGGCGAGGACGTGCAGAAATGGCGAAACAATGTGAGTCTGGGTTGCTCGGTCTCGAGTAGTTAGCTGCGTGCACGACTCGGTTCGAGAAGAAAAGCGCGTGCGTTTGCGTCGAAGTGATCAGCCACACAGGCACAAAGGGGGAAATGATGTGCCAAGGGTCTGCAAGGGCCAGCAGGGACCAGTCTGACGCTGTCAAATTGGATTGTGGAGTGGATGGTTCACGCGGAACAGGGGAGGCTGAGAAGGCTGAGGATGGAAGCCGACAAGTCTGGGGTTGTTGGCACCCAGAAGGCGCACCTACCGTTCGTGCCGCAAATTCCGGCCGCCCTAACCCCAAATCGGATGTGTTACCCTGTGGCTTGATCTCGCTGCTTAATTCCAGCACTCCGTTTTCTGCTACTAATAGTAGTAATGCGGCTGGAGGCTGACATGTCGACATCCGGAAGGATCAGTGAGTGGTAGGTGCTCCTTAAGATACGGAGTATGACATTTCACGCCCCAATCTCCTCCAAGCCGATTGCGGCCTCCAGAAATGATCCCATGAGATCGAAAACAAACGCAGCGGAGGGTGTTATGTTCAGTCTCTCTGTGCAGACGAGTGTGAAAGTTGGCCAGGTGAACGTGAATACCATGGACTGCTTCACTTGGTCTTGTCACAGGTTTGATGCCGGATGATGCACGCGACAGGTTGGTGATGGCGCTCTTCATCCATTCACCGACTCTAGCTAGATGTGAATGTGATCACAGCTGATTGATTATTCACAATCTTCCCAGGCAGTCTTGTTTGGCAAGGTAGCATTGTCTTGGTAATACCCTTCCTCTGGCTTGTGTTTTTTGATTCTCGGGGTCTAGAGGCGCACACATCTTGATCACATCGACCAATATTCCATACGCCAGCCATGGCTTCACAATCTAGAGGAAACCAGATGCCCAAGCTGAGTCTCCAACAGGTGGCTAGCGCTGTGGCTGATCTCCAGGACCTGAGCGATGTCAGTGGCAATGATTTACGCAAGTTCAGCCACGCAGAGTACGATCGTAGGGAACAATATGGTGCTCTTTACGGAGACTTCTATCGACAGCTTCAAATCTCCCCTGACCATCATTTCAAGTTCTGGGATGGTGTTCTTCGTTTGATCCGCAGAAAGCACCTTGAAGATCTCAAACGAGGGACCCCGGCCAGTATCAGAAACCTGACTGATCTTGTACTGCGTGGTTTTGGCTACATCATCTGGGCAGAGACGTCCGTCTGGCTGTTACCGTTCCACCAACTGGACGACGAAGAGCAGCCTTTGGATTATACGAGGGAAAGAGGTTCAGAGGGTCTCGCGAATGCCAGGTATGGACTCTAGAAACACCAACACAAGTCAACTTCTGAGCTTTTATTTTCTCACGTTACTTCTAGGCTATCTTTGATATTGAATCAACTCTGGCCACGAATGCGCAATCTGATCTTCGAACGCAAACCACCACCAAAGAAGCGAGGACGACATGCAAGAGCGGTCAGCCCAGCACTCACAGTTGACACGGAATCGGACATTGCATATCAAGGAGACACGGACACACATCCCCTGCCATCGCCCGCACTGACCTACTATCCGAAGGACGCCGACCTGAGGGCGCGAGTAATGTCAACCAGACTAAGTCACGAGACTCAAGGCCGCCGCAAGATGTTGACCATGCGGCAAGCGGACGACGCGATACTCGATCTCATTGACCGGCTGGCCGAGATCCGAGCACACACTAACCCACGCGTGTTCGAAGAGTGCTGGGATCGCCGCATCGGACGGCTTAAGGAGCTGGACAGTTTTTTCAACACACGAGAAGGGAATCAAGAGACTAAGAACCAGACAATGGAAATCCCCGAGCAGAGAACATCGGCTCACAATGCGCCAGCACCACCCCAGGCCCTCTCAAGCCAGCCGTTCGTCTCCACAGGGAGCCCAGTCCAACCTCAGATGCCTCATTCGTGCTTGGTCCCTCCAACACCTCCAACACATATGTCGATCTGGATTAGCACGTGTGGGATCATCTCCGCAGCCAGCCTATTCGGTGTGCCCCTTACCACTGCATCGGCCATCTACTCAGCCCACAGCCCTGACGGGCCAACCTCCTCTGTATCATCGGCGGCATACCACTGGCCAAATGCTCCAGTGCTAAACTCAGACATCGCGCCGTTCTTCCAAGGTATGAGTTCACGCGTTGACCCTCCTACTTCTACTATCCTAGGCTGGGTCCTCAGCTACGGCTGGAACGACCGCTGTCGGTTCATATCGAGTGGATTGACTGAGCTTTGCAACAATACTAATGACACTGCGAGTGACCAAAACTCTCAGTGTGGCGATAATACACCCGCATCGACGTCACCTGCCGCCCAAGAAGCAAATGCCGAACTCGGATCAGAAATGGACATCGACAGCACACCATCCGCAAACTACAAGACAAACCTGCCAACACAAGCAGCATTGTTGTCGCCAGGCTCAAGTTCAAGCTTTACTCGCTCGGACCCCACTCTCATCACCCCAGCAGAAATGGCAACAGCCCTCGCCAAGCAAACCGATGATTTCGACGAAGAACAGTGGGCGAGCATCAAACTAGGATGGCGCGGCTTCCAAGACGACCTGCGCGAGGCTGCACGCATGGGCGTTAAGGTCTGGCGGATGAAGGTCTGCGTTTTGAATCTGACACAGTGAGGGAGAATTTCTAGGCGACATCGGGAAACGGTTGAAAGAATTTGATATGGGACACCCGGTGGCTGGCTAGTTTTGCAGCTTGTAACGTGACTACTAGTCCTTGGAATCTGGATATCGGGGGATCCTAGGTTCCTTCTCCTTGCGGCACGTGCCGAATGCAACGAGGCTTTCGGGGAAGAAAGGGAAAGTGCCTGTGCAAGTTCCTCGAACCGAACCGAACCGAAAATGTATGCGTATGGAGGGAAGGCAGTTTAGCAGTGAGATGAACACTGCTACGAAAGTGTGCTGGTCGACGTGATGTTGGCTGCGGCTTGACAGTCAGTCTGCCGAGGAAAGGAAAGACCCTCTTGGACTAACTCGACTGCGAATCAATCATGGTATGTTGGCAGTACCTTAGATAGCAAGTGATGAAACCATTCATGAACTTGCGGTTCCAAGCACAAAACGGGGTGACGAGATATGACGACTCTCATTGACTCAGAAATGCACTTAAAAGTCCTTTCTCATTTCCACGTGATACTGCCACTGGCCTATGTACTATACTACTGTAGTTCATTAATAATAAGAAAGAAGGGGCCTAATCTAAAGGAATTGCAGATGGACTGAGTGACGTTCATGCTTGTTTCGAAATATTCTCAGGCTTGGGGCATAAAGCAAGGCCGATCCTCTTCTCTACCCCTTAGCTTCTAGCCAGTGCCTTCAAACGAATGTTTCCGGTAGTCTTGTTCCTTCTTAAGGCACCACCTCATACTATAATCTGGTCCTCCCAAGCATTGCCAACACCAGTAAAATGGACTCTCGTACCCCTTTCCAGCATCCTTTGCGTGCACGTCGTGGTCGTGGTGGGCGGGGGAGTGTTTGATGAAAAGGGTCGGGGTTTCTTGGGAAGCAAGCCAGTGTGCTGAGGGCACACATGTTGGCGTGACTCATGTCGCAGGAAATGCACATTGGCATTGGCCCGGGGGCCCCGCGGGGGGGGGGGTTCTGTGAGCGGATGACATTGGCTACCTCATCATCATCATCATCATCATCGCTATTAAATCTCATTCATAACGCTGACTGTTAAATTTGTAATCGTCGAGCCCAATCTGCAGCTTTTGTCAACTTCGTATGGGCAGATGCAAGCTGGTAGGTCGCAACTTTGCCCGAAATGCTGCATACCGTGTGCCCAACACCTTTTGTTCTAGGTGTATGTACAGCCCTATCAGTTGTCGAGAATAGCAGTGCAAGGAACCAAGGTAGCGGGCAGCTAGGTAGCGGTATGCTAACTAGGGCCACCAACCCATCTTCTCGTAGCTCACAATCATCTGCTTGACGCGCTCGACAGTCAGTCCGGAGTCGTGCTCGTAGTTGAAGCCGAGGACTTTCTCAAAGAGACTTCCATCGAGGCACAAATCGGCATCTTTGAGCAGCTCCTTCTCGAGAAAAGGGCTCAGTGGGCCTGGCTGGGTGATTCCTTTTCGTTCCAGCAGGTCGGCCCAATCTTGCAGGCAGTCCTCATTGACCTCGTCGACCACGCGCTCGAGATTGAATCTGGCAAATTGAGATATCAGAGAGCCTTGGAATCCGGTCTTGATGCCGAAAACTTGCGAGATGACGCTTGCGAGCTTGCCCTGGCTCGTGTCGCCATGATCTACGATATTGAAAATGGGCACATTTCCGCTTGGAGGGTCTTCTCCTTTGGAACCCAGTGTTGCTCTCCGGCTCGAGGTGGGGGAGAGGGGCGGAATGGTGTCGTTCTTAGTCCTCCACTCTGCTACAGCCCAAAAGGCTCGCACAGCATCTTCCACATGGACAGTGTTGATTCGAAGATCCTCGGTCCATAGAAATTTGAGCTCTTCTCCGGTCTCTTGGTGCACCCTTGAAAGACACAAGGCTTTCGCAACAAACTTGGAGTCATAGTCGCCGTAGACACAGGCGAGGCGAAGAATGGCAAGATTCAAGTCGGGTATTTTGGCCAACTCTTGCTCGGTCTCTAACTTGACCTTGGATATCTTGAGGCCGGGCTTCAACTTGTCTTGCTCCGTGCGCGGAGTCCGGTTGGGAGCATACACCGTGCCAGTGCTCGCCTCGATGAACGCCTTGACTCCACGCTTGGCCGCCTCTTTGGCCAACGTCACACTTAGTTGCAGTGAGCGCAGCCGGTATATTTCAGGTGTCTGGGACCACATGGTCTCGCCTGCTAAATTGAAAACATAATCCCACTTCGCATCAGCCCCGTCTGGGTGCTCGAATATTCGGGACATGGAGGTTTCGCGGGAGGCATCGGCCTGGATGCAGATCTGGGGTGAGCATGCTTCTGCGAACTCGGGTGCTAGATGAGCCAGTTGGGGGAGAACTTTATCAACCACTCGCACCGTGGATGCGAGTTTCTGTTCATGTATGTACTTTGCCAAAAACCGACCAATGTATCCTAAGTCAATCAGTACATGTGGTGAGAGTCGATAAACATAGATAAAGGGCACAAACCGAGGCCGCCCACAATCAAGACCGAGGGTTTCGTTGTACCGTTGGTAGCCATGATCAGATGAAGGCCTTAGTTGACAGGTACGGAGTACTCGGTATGCCAGTGACAGATTGAAAGATGCAGCAGGCAAAGACACCAAACACAGGTCACCCGGGTTGAGGAGGGTAGGAGGTTGAGGAGGGGGGAAATTGGAAATTAGTGGTGCCCTTCCCACAATAATGCAATCGCGAATAGATTGAGGGGAGAAGTGGTCCTGGTTGTTTGATCTGATCAGAGTGTTAGGCTGGCCCGGGCCGAAGTGCCAGATGCCAGATGGCGTGGAGCGGGACTCTCAACTCTCGACTCGTCGAGAAAACTGGGCAGGCTGGTGGTCAGTGCACGTCCTGTTTTTCCGTGCGCAACTCTCCAAAGAGGGATCACGTTCAAAGACAAGGGCAGCCCAACACGTGGCCGAGAAGAAATGTTGTGGACAGCATTACGGAGTCGGGATGAGTGAGGAAGGGGGAGGAGGAGGAGACGTTGGATATTAAAGAAGTCACAGAAGAATCGGCGATGATGAATTGAGGATACAGGAGTATGAGGTGACAAGCAGGGTGCTCATTCTCGTCAGTCAATTAACTATACTAGCCACGAAGAGCCTCCGCAGCGATGGCAAATACCAGGACGGAATATTACTATCTCGCCTGTGTCTCCCTTGCCCTTGCATGCAGCCTAAGGCAGCAACCGCTCTCTGGTTTTGGTTCAGGGGTTCGCAGATGGATACCGTGCCTGATGACTAGTTTGCAGCCTGCAGGACTAGGCATGTTGGATTGGTGGTCCGCACCACAGCTACGGAGGGTGGACTGCAGACATGCATGTGCGTTGCAGTTGGGGAAGGGGAAGTTACCATGCAGCATCGGGTGCCACTGACAGCTTAGAAGTGGAGGAGACACCTGCAGGACAATGGCACCTCGTATTACATAGTGGCTGTGTGAATGGGAATGGGATGAGAATATCAAAAGGGGAGGGTCAACGAGAAAAAGAGGGTTTCAGACCAGAAAGCAGCTGTGGTACGGAGTACTCCGTACTAACGAAGGTTAATCAATCATTGGGGGGGGGAAACTTGTATCAATATCAATATCCCAAACCACTAGTTTCTGCTAGTACACCGTCGAATCTGTGATGTCAATTGATACGAGAACCAAGTACGGTGTAGAGAGTGGAAGAGAGGTCATATGGTTCGATTTGCAATAGGGACCAAAGTTGAAACTCGAAATTAACCCTCCATCAACAGAAAAGCGCAGGGGCAGAAGATGGCTGGAAACTGATACCAGTTATGTAGCAAAACGCCGATCAGGCATCGAGTCATCGTGGAGGAATTACGTTGTTCCGGAACATCCATATTCAATATTCTACAGGTAAATCGTAATTAAGAGGCACAGCTCGACGGATAGTAATATCGAGTTTTGAATTAGGCGAGAATAGAGAGTTTGGCCCGTCAACTCGCTAGCCGATAAGAATCCATGTGTTTCTCTTCTCTCCAGGATCATCTGATGGCTTCTAATTTCAAGGAGATCCCCCCTGGAGTTTGCTTAGCACAACGGTTCTGAACAGGATCATACAGGTACTGAATCTTGAGTACCCGTGCAGTAAGTTTCCTCCTTTACGCTCACGAATCCCGGTGTAGTGCGCATGGAAAGACAACTCGCTATTTGCAGTTCCATGGCATAGTACTGTACTGTATCATTATCCTGTTCATTGGCTTCTCATTGATTAAATGCCACTCCTTCGCCAGGCCGCTCGTCGCTCCTTTTCGCTGCATATTGCCACCAAGCTCGGCAGAAGTCAGACCCCTTCTAAACATTGAATGCATGCTGTTGCTCGTGATTCCCGAATATCATACACGGCACCTGGAAACTGACTCTCTCAATTGCCTTGAAGTGCAAAAACTCGACCCAATGCGTCAACAGTCACACTGCAGTGACTGTACCATGAAGCAATTGCTGAAAGACAAGTGTTGGTGGTTCCAAAGCGATAATGCAAGCACATCGATCCCCCTAGTTGTTACTCCATGCTTGCTGGAAAACGCTCACAAATAGGTATCAAGATTGTCGACGAATGCTCATTTCAAACTTCAGCGTTCCTCATCAAACAAACATTTGTTGTTCCCCAGCTGGCCTCAGCAGGCTTTCGTAGCTCATCATTTCGCGGGGGCTGGTCGAGGTTGTTGCTTGACATTGGTAGAAAGCCAGCTCTGAGGGAGTCCATCAGCACGATCCAGATACAACAAGTCGAGTTGATCACTTACCAATCCTTCGAGTAAACCTTCGCCTGTGGTAGCGCAACTAGGCACAACGTACCAAGTGCGCTCTTTGAGTTGTCCCAGCCGAAGCTTTTCTGTCACTTCCGTGGGTGTCATCGAGCCAGGAATGTCTTGCTTGTTTGCAAAAACGAGAAGCAGCGCCTCCTTCATCTCTCGGTCTAGAATGATTCGGTGAAGTTCCTGTCGAGCCTCGTCGATCCGCGCTCGGTCGTTGGAGTCAATCACAAATATGAGACCTTGTGTGCCAGAGAAGTAGTGTCGCCACAAAGGACGAATTTTATCCTGACCGCCCACATCCCACACGTTGAACTTGACATTCTTGTATGTTACCGTTTCGACGTTGAAGCCGACAGTAGGAATCGTGGTCACGTCTTGATTGAGTTTGAGTTTGTACAGAATTGCTACTCTTGGTCAGATCGTGATCGCAGCACCGTCGGAGAGAACATGTCCTATGCTACTTACTTGTTTTGCCTGCTGCATCAAGACCTAGCATGAGCAGTCGCATCTCTCGCGATCCAAAGATCTTCCCCATCATCTTCGATATTTGGTTTCCCATTCTGTCCGAGTCACTACGCGGGCAGCTTTGTAAGTGCTAGTTGAAAATATAACCACTGAGAAGGGGACGTCGGGTCCTTAATGGGTCTTCTTCCCTTTGGACTGCGACAATGTGCAGGATCTGCGCCCTGTGGAGAAAAGTGTGTGCTGAATGCTGGGGAGGCGAAGCCGCGTGTGTAGAGTACGGAATACGGAGTACAACAGATGGGAGGTTGTCCTGCAGGCTGGAGGCTGAGGCTGGGGAGGTTCCTGAACCACAGAAAGGCTGGATACAAATTTTGTGAGCACCAGGGGACCTTCAGGGGATGGGGGTGTTGATACTGTACACACAGCGTTCAAATTATGAAAGATTGGCTGCGCAATCAAGGCACACCACAAGGTAATGCAGGCTTGACGCGGGTCGGAATCTGGAAAGGGGCTCGCGAACTGCAGGCACTAGCGGCGTGGTATGTAGTAGAGTTGTTCTACACAAATTGCCAGATCCCCAGGCAGAATAATTAGGGTTCTTTGGCTACAGGTAAGTTCCCAGTAGGGGCTAGGCTGGTTTACCATTGGGTGACCGTTGGGTGCCATCTTGAGCTAGTCTATTGAGTTAGCCACTTTTACTAACCGAGTTAATTAAATCATGGGAGGCGACCTCCTCGTCATATGGTGGTTGCATCGACGACTTCTCAAAGGCTCAACGCGAATTGCTGTTGTTAAAGCACTGGTGGTGTTCTTGCATCTGCCTCAAATCCCCCAGGCCCTTTCAATGCTCCCCCAACAAACTTCCAACCTTCGTGAAGTAATGTTGTCCACAAGTCCCGGGTTTTCTGCCGGACTAGATCTCCTGTAGCAATAGCATCCTCGCTGGAGTCGTGCCCTGCCTCGCCTCCAGTCTGGATTCCTCTCGATAGGTACTTCTGCGCAAGCACTTTGAGACTGAACCGAATGGGAAGGCCACGAGGATGTGGGTACAAAAGGACCGTGTCTACAACAAAGGGATGGATAATTCGGCAAACATTCAGATCATTCTCGATAGCATGACCCAGAAGTGGGGTATCGGGACTGAGTCGATCGAATAGAAGTTGACGTGCGACTGCTGGTGAACCAACCTTCCGTATATCCCCTGGTTGCAGCTCGGTCCCAGGTTCATATTCCACAGCATTTGCATATGCTTCTCTTGTCACACCAGAAAACCTTGTGTTGAGATCTAGAATCTCCCCAAATGGTCGGACAAGAACATCGACAACCACGCGACCCTCTGGCCAAGTCACTGCAGTCAGACGGATGACCTCCATGCCCAAGGTTGTGTAACCCATTTCGCAGTCGAATGATAGTGGTATTCCTGGAGATTCAACGTCTGACTGTGGCGTACGCATAAATTGAAGAATGCTTGCCAGCCTGGGTGGATGTTTGACGTTGAAAACATGCGTGCTCGCCTCGGTGCAGCCCTCGCTGCCTTCCAGCTGATTGCAACAAGGAAAACTCGCCTCTGATCGGCCAACAATCTTGTCGGACTTTGAGCTCGCAGCACGATTTGCTCTTGCCCAATGATACCGACAAGTTCCATGGCTGGTGAGGCGCCCTTGTTCGTCTCTTCCTGGGAAGACCTGGAATCGGGTGCCACAGCGATCACATTTCTCAAAGCCAGCTGCACTGGCCACTGCCACCTCTGCTGCAGTGATCTCAGAGGCGGTGGGCTCTTTTGTGACATAACCATAATTTTCCAACCCCTCCAAAGGAGTACGAAGTCTTTGGAGAAGGGTAATTTCCTCGCTCATAGAGAGTTGCCTGGCAGACGGCGCGGGCGAACCATTTTTGTTTGCAGCAGGGGTGTTCTGGTCTTGCTCGGGATCAACGCCTGACCAAGTCTTTACCATCTTTACCCACTCTTCCGTTGTCATCTTTTTGATGCGGAGTACTTTCTGAGCCATTGCATTTCGATAGATAGAATCTCCGAGCTTGGTTGCCGCTTCCTCTTCATCAAGAGAAAATCGAATCAGCTCTTGATCGTCAAGAACAAAGGCCTTCCATTTGTTGTCCGCGACCGCTAGTTTCCGATTCTGGTCCTGCACTTGTTTGTGCACCGCCTGAAGGACCGCAAGTCTCGTCTTCAGCATAGCAGGGGCTTTTGCGACATTGCGAGGCGTCAGAGACTCAATTTTGAATTCTTTTTTGACTGGCGGGAGGGAAGGTCTGCTCCTTTTCGTCGGCGGTGGAGAGACCTCTCTCTTCGCAGAGCTCGGAGTTACCTTTGATTGCTGTGCTGAGACTGTAGAAAGTGACTTCCTAGAAGGGTAGACATCACTCCTGGATGATCCTTTTATGCCGTCGTTAGGAGAAGTAGGGTGCTGTGATGGTTTTTGAAGTGCTGCTCCATCATTTGGAACGGCATGTGGAGCATATTTGGGCTCAACCTGTCTCCCAGGTGATGCTATCCTTCTTCTCTTTGGGGCCGGAGGGGAGCTCTGTGGTGAAATTTGACCCGCACTGAACGGATCATACTCCTGGGTTGTTCCTGCAGCATCTTCATCTTCTGGCACAAGATGGGAAAAGATGCAGTTGGGGAGGCTGCAGTCTTCTAGCCGAGGACAAGGGGTATTTTTGAAGAGCCCAAGAGCAGAGAACATGCTGGTAGAAAGCACTAGTTACTACTGGACTACCTGGTCAGATCAGCATCAAGAACGCTGATGGTGGGAAACCCTCCAGCCAGATTGCGGAGAAGGCCGGGCAGAATACAGATCGCAGCTGGAGAAGGTGGGCGTTTGTGGCATCGGAGGCACCGACAAGGGCTGGGCCTTCCCTAAGGTCTCCTTGTCCGAGGAAGCAGTCTGGACTCTGATGTAATTAATAATAATAGTTCGAAGCCTTGCATGGAGCGATAAGGAGGCTCAACCCCTGAGATGTCCAGTCGGATTGGTTTCGTTGGTGCCGAGCCTCTACCCACGCTCGAGCGCCCCAGTAGCCACGCCTACCTTATCGCCCACGATTTACCCAACTCCTGGAACTCTGGCGATAGCAATCCTGTTCTGTACGGGTAGGTGAACCTGGAGGCCAGCCAGATAGATAAGAGAAGTCCGCCAGTGGTGAGGCAGCAACGTCCGACCAAGAACAGCGGCTCATCCCACGCACTTCTTGTGAGATATAAGGTGAAGGTTTCGCTCAACGTGGGACAACAAAATGTGAAATTGTAGTGCAACAGGCCACTTGCCTTTAATATCTTCACCCTCGCATAAAATTTCAGTATCATATCACTAAGAACCCCGAATTGAGCAATAACACTTCCTGGAATCTATATACTCATCCTTGGCGAATATTTGACGCACAGTGACGAGAACAATCCCCAACACCACAGGCTTATTGGTGACGTCGAGCCTTAACGCCGTTCCTACGGGCCGCTTGCCTCCGTTTCGGGCTTCTGGCTGACCGTCTGCCTGGACACTCGGATCTTAGGATTTCCAGGCTGGTGCTGCATGCAGTGCGCTAGCACGAACGGCATCCCTGGTCGCCGACGCGAGAATTGTACATAATGCCGTCACTGCCCGCGCTCCCTTTCGACCTGCGCTCCATCAACAAACAATCGCTCTTTCTCCCAGACGACTCCCACATGGCCAGCATTCCAAAGTTATCAGGACAGTCCACACCAACAAACAAAGCTAATCACACTGTCTTCCTTGTGCATGGGTTAGCTACAGCTTCGGGAATACTTGCTCAGGAATCAGCGTCACTAACATTTCCACAGGCTCTGGGGCAATGCGGTATAGTTCGCAGAAGACTCAAGAAATCCGAACGAATGCTGATCATATACCTAGACTCATCTTAGCTTTGTCGCGCAAGCTTTGCAGGACAAATACAGCGAAGAGGAGTTGATCGTTGTTGCCTGTCGCAGCAATCCTGGATCGTAAGTCGCGGGCTTGCGGACAGCCAACCTTTTATCCCCAACTCGGGCACATTTCCTGGCAAAATGGAATGACTGACCCAGGGCGCGACTCCCACAGGTTAACGTACGATGGCATCGAGGTTGGTGCTGAACGTGTTGCTCGCGAGATCGAGGAGAAACTCGATGAATTAAACCGCCATGGATATAAAATCACAAGATTTTCGATAGTAGGTTACTCACTTGGAGGACTTGTTGCACGATACGCCATTGGTCTACTGTACCACAAGGGATATTTTGACAAACTCACCCCTGTCAACTTCACAACCTTCGTTACACCTCATCTTGGTGTAAGAACACCCTTGATAGGGTATTCGAACCATTTATGGAATGTGCTGGGCGCCAGAACTCTCTCAACATCAGGACGACAGCTCTTCACGATTGACAGCTTTAGAAGCACCGGTCGACCTCTGTTGAGCGTCTTAGCGGACCCTCAGAGCGTATTTATATCAGCTCTCGCCAAGTTCGAACATCGCTCACTTTACACAAACATAGTCAATGATCTTTCGGCTGTTTTCTACACAACAGGAATCTCCAGATGCGACCCATTCACCAATCTCAGTAAAGTGGACCTCCGCTATGTCAAAGGCTATGAGCCAGTGATTCTAGATCCCGACAATCCTGTCGAGAGGAAGTCGCAGAACAAGCTGCCAAGTTTCTACGAGCGCTTTCGAGACCGTGGCCGAACATTTCTGGGACGGATTCCTATTTACCTTGCACTCCTGGTCATAGTTCCTATTGCCACGGTGGCTTTCCTCATCAATTCTGGAATTCAGACGTTTCGCAGTCGTCGTCGGATTCAATTGCATGAAACTGACCCTGAAGGAGCTGGATTCGGTGTTTACCGGATACCTTATATGGTCCGAGAGATGCGAGTCGGGCTTGAAGACGCCTTTGAAAACATGAACTCCGCTCAAGAGCAGGAGTATCTTCCTGAAGGGTCCCAGGAGCTAGCGTCAACTAGCGACTCGATATCGTCTTCTCCATATCTCTCCAGGTTGGACGACTTGCTGGAGCGAGAGAAGTCTGACGCAGGCATGTTAAAGAAGGAGCCCCTGACTTCTGAGCGGCCGCTAGACTTTCCCACACTAGCGTTGACTAGCGACCAGTTCGCCATGATTAAGTCACTGAATGATGTTGGATTTCGAAAATATCCGGTCCACATCACGAAATCTTCTCACTCCCATGCCGCCATCATTGTCCGCACACCAAGGTCTGCGTTCGAGGAGGGCAAAGTGGTGGTCAAACATTGGCTCGAGAACGAATTCCACATCTAAGTTGTTTGGGAGGATGGCCATCCTGTGTTAGTAACTACTGTGAGGGTTAGGCCATGTCGACACTTGCTTTGTTTTTCATTTAGCGACGGTGCTTGGTTATATAGATGGTGCTGAACTTTGGATTCGACACTTCAACATTTGCACATACTTACTATCAGACGTCATTAGACAAGATATACTGAGATACGTCATGGTAGGCTTGCTGAGACGCATAGATAGACCGATATTCAGATCCTCGTTGACGGTCCTGACTCAGGACTTCAAGGACTAGGTTATCGCTTATACTTAATTCTACGGAATACTTGTAATATCACTATTACTCGAGGACGAAAACCCTAATTATACAGCATTTACAATTTGATCCCAAAGGCTGAACTAAGGCCGCGTTAACCTGAGCTTCAACTGTGGATTGGCTGAGCGCTTCTAAGCGTTCCCCAGTGCGTCCCTGAACTGTGCTCATCCTTCTATTGGTGTTTAGAAGTATGGTGATCTATTTGCCCCACTGCATCATATCGTCTTCAGTCTCACCGGGTGTGGAGAGTCTAAACAGACGATAACCACCACAATAATACTCCTATCAGGAATCAGTACCATCGAGGACAATCCACAGGTATGGTCTGAACTTTTAGTGGAAAAATCGTGATGTCACCATCTAGAACTGGGTTTTTCCCGCTCGTTGCTTAGGAAGGTTTACGAAAAGGTATACTTTTGAGAGAAAAAGTTGCTTGGCACCGGGTTTCCGCGCCAAGCAGTGCGTGCACTATATAATCAGTCGAACTTATCTGGGACAATTTCAAAAACACAAAAAGTTGATAATTTCGTAATTGAACCCAGCCCGATTTGAACGGACAACCTTTCGATCTGGAGTCGAACGCTGTTGAAATTCATTTAGTGTTGATCGTTGAAGAACGTACAATGTGAACATACCGCTACCGTTGCGCCATGGATCCCAGTTTCAATGCATAATTGATGTGAAATTTGGCAACTTAAAGCTATAAAACCAACATTAAAATGACCAGCATTGAGTTCAAAGAGAGGGTAGATCATTACTCAATGTGGTGAATGTCGTCCTAGTGCACACTGGCAATCACCTTGTTTATAAACTACTAGATTATTATGTAGGTAAAGTCCTGCTTGCGGATGAGACTGAGTTGCAGACTGTCGGCCGACCGATTGAAGAAGTCGATGGCTGTCAGGGGGATAATCTGACTGGCACGCGCTCTCTTTGGTGCCCTTGTCCCGGTTGAGCGCACTCGACGGGAGGGCACCAATACCGCATAGTCAACCACTTTCTATCCGTTCATCTGAACTGCATTTGGCAGGGCGCCGAAACAGGATGCGAATAATGTTGCTATCACCATCCGAATTGACTAGAGCGCCACAGAATGAACTGCTATACTGGTACCCCGCCCCAATTTTGCCACTCCGAATGCAAACAAACTTCTATCTCAGACGTCTCAGCGAGCAGAGGGCATATGAACTATGCCTCTCTCCGAAACCATTTCGAAAAGTGCATTAAGCAGAAGTCCAAGAGTTCCCCAGCCCCGTCAAAGCTAGAACTTGGTTCGTAAAATCTCAGCGAGGCCCGTCAGCCAGAGATGCCGCTTCCTGATGACTCCGACTATAAAGGAAAATATGCTGGAGGCAGTTCATAGTACCTGAGCAAGGATCGCTGGAACTGTCGTTTGAAACAGATCCGTCGTGCATTAGAATTACCGCTGAAAGAAATTGAAGTTCGCGGCGACAAAACCTGCAGCGGCTTCTCATACGGCCAACGCTATTTGTTCTGCGCTGACAGGATGCTCTTGAGTCTCAATATGGCAATGGTGATTTTGTACCGTCGGCTATGCGGTTCACGGTAGCACCTACCGGTGAATACTGCATTCATGTCATGTCGCTAATCTCAAGGAGCGTTGCAGCTATACCGGTACCGTTTATTTTGGGCGGAATCTTGGCCTCAACAGTCGCGAGCGAGAAAGATTAGGGTTATCGATCATGACCATGCCTCATTCCCAGAAGCCCTTAAGGAGAAGTAGCTGGGGCTTTCACCTAAGACCCAATAAGATACAGAAAGAAAGCACTCAACCCTTGAGGGTCTTTACCATGTCGATTTCGAGACTGTGAGGCGTACAGTTCGGGACTTACCTTTGCGTCCTATCGAAAATCGCGGTTCGTGATGGGAACAATAAGGTTATGGTTGAGTGCCTAATCAATGAGGGCGTTACCAAACGACGGACATTCGGGTTTTCCGCCTGAGAGTACTCCGTACCTTGGTAGTCACAGGGTATAGCCGTACACATGAGAGAAAAGAACGCAGAGCGGTGGGCTGGGACTATAACCCAGCCGCCAAGCAGCCTGATCAACTCTACAATTGAAGGTCTATAGCAGGACAGCCACCGAGCAGTATCAATGAACAGAGAAAATCCCGGGGTCGCTTTGATACTAGTGCTGGGTAGTCATGAAACGGAGTGTAACCGAGTTCCTGCTGGGTCCTTAATCTTCACGTAATTATTATATATGGGGCCCACAACTCCGAATCGGGTTCCCCCCTGAGATTGTTCTGCATTCCTGCGTTCGCTGGCACCCTCGAGCATGGGTGCATTATTCGGAAGACTGACGTCATCGAGCATGGCATGGGTCGCCGATAAGAAACCGTCGAAAATCGTGCACATGGAGTGGATATTTTGTTTCGGTGAACGACACCAGTGCCTTTTGGAATGAATCAGTATAAGATCGACAAAATCACTGCAGTGTTGGGACCCAACTCCACTGGAAAAACGTTGATTGGAATTTTCTTCAAAGGATGAGGATCGTACATATCAGGCGTTGCTTCTATCATGGGAGACGAATTTTCATTTGCCGCTTTGGCTGAGTGTCTCCATCATACAGACGTCATTTGCAACATCTCAAGAGCCACATGGCAGGGACTTCCCATTTTTTTCTTACTCCAGCAAACAACGAGCTTGACTCAGTCGTCGTTTTCGTGATATCCACAAGTCTGGTAGCCATTGTTTGAAACGTTGTCCACTTTCTTACCCACGTGCTTAGCTTCTTTTGTCGACGCGAGCCGTATTAAAGGAGAGGCGTCCGGGCTCCGGGTTTCCCCAGAACTTGTACCTGGGACAAGTATCAAGTGTCAGATATCACCTTTCACCCCGTATTCTCTTCTTCCAGACCGAGCAACTGGCTTTTCTCTGTACCAGGTAGTCCTACTAGGCTCATAGGGAAAAAACCAGATCATCTCCTTCAAGATGCCAAGCAGTGTAGCATCTGACATGGACAACAATCTCTTGTCGCCTACTACGACGAGGCGGAGCGGATCTAGGGCAAGCACAACACGACGACTTTCCAGTCAGAGTGCCACCAGGGCGGATTTGTTCGGAGGACCGACCGTGGTTGCCCCTCCTCAGCATTTGGAAAGCTGCAGCAATGCTCACGAGACTGCTCATGCCATGGAATTGGCCAAACATCACCTGGCAGAGGGCTCAGGAGAAAGCACTCCAACGGACTCCGGGCCTTCCACTCCAGATGAATCTGGCCTTGCCACCACCGACAAGTACGCCTTCGCCTTTGACATCGATGGTGTGCTCATCAAGGGGGGCGAGGTCATTCCCGAGGCTATCGAGGCTATGAAGGCCCTCAATGGCCAAAATGAGTATGGGATTAAAGTGTCAGTACCATCACATTTGCTCTAGCGAGTATGAGAGTGACTAACATGAACACAAGACCTTATATCTTTGTCACAAATGGAGGGGGCAAGACCGAAGAAGATCGGTGCATCCAACTCTCTAATCAGCTCCAAATGGAGGTGTCTCCTGGACAGTTTATCTGTGGCCATACTCCTATGAGGGAGCTGGCACAGAAGTATGGCACTGTTCTCGTCGTCGGGGGCGAAGGTGAAAAGTGCAGAGAAGTTGCGCTGGGCTATGGCTTCAAGGATGTCATCACTCCTGGAGACATCATCAAGGATAACAAAGACACAACACCATTCAGACAGTTAACAGAGGAAGAACTCACGAACTCAAAACTTCGAAATTACGGGGAGGTCGATATCGAAGCAGTATTTGTGTTTGCCGACAGCAGAGACTGGGCTGGTGATTCACAGATCATCCTGGATCTATGCATGAGCAAGAATGGTCGCCTTGGGACCCGTTCAGAAACTTATGACGAGGGTCCACCAGTTTTCTTTTCTCACAACGACGTCGTGTGGGCGACCTCGCATAGCTATTCGCGTATTGGCATGGGGGCTTTGCGAGCGTCGCTTGAAGCCATGTTTCGAGCCATCACTGGAAAAGAAATGAAGACTGTTGCCTTTGGTAAGCCTCAATTGGGCACGTTCCAGTTTGCAACCAGACTACTGCAGCAGTGGCGCAAAGACACACACGGCATCAACAAACCTTTGGATACGGTATACTTTGTTGGTGACACACCTGAGTCAGACATTCGAGGTACCAACGAATTTGACGAGTCCGGTAAGGCTGAGACTAATTGGTATTCGATTCTGGTTCGGACTGGAGTGTTCAAGGAAGGCACCCGCCCTGCCTACATGCCCAAGATGACTGTGGATAATGTGCTCGAAGCCGTCAAGCATGGCATGCAGCGGGAATTCGACAAAGCTCTCAAAGATCTCAGCATTGGCGGCAAGGCACCTCAGCTGACCAGCGCGATTGCGGAGGATGTCTCAGAGGAGTCTTGAAACAGGATTAGATATGAAAGATTGACGAATGCATCATAGAAAGGCGTTCATTACGTACGTTGTGGCTTGGGATCGAACATCCAAATCGGATGATATCATGTGCATGTGCCTTACAACGGCGCACAATGAATTAAGTGGAAAATTGAAGCATTTACTAGGGTACTCTACAGGGCGATGTTCCATATTGTTCTGGCTTCTCTTGCCGACATAGCTAGCTGTGAGGTCGGGATTGAAATGATCAAACAAATTACTCAGTTCTCCGTACTCCGTACCTATGTACGAGGGTTTTCAGTCATCTTTGGGGACTAATGCTGTTGGTAAGAGTTGGCAGTTACGGAGCAAGGATCGGTTTTGAATGCACCGTGCTGGGTCGGATAGGTCAGTGCCAACATATGATACTACGTCTGAAATGAAAGATATTGACAGGATGGAAGATGCTCGGGTCGCTAATGAAGATCCCCAGACCTGATCAAGTATCCTCCAGGTCCAAGACACTCAACACGCGATCTGCAGGAAAAGAGCACTAGGTGCCTTGTACAGAGAACCTTTTCAGGCACCGGTGTTGAAGGCGCTTGATGCGGAAGTTCGAACTTCTGGCTGAGTGGCGTGGATCGCTTGTGACCTGACTTGGCAATAGTTGGGCGATTTGTTGTTCCAGGTTCCTACACTGCCTACCAGCTGATACAGAGTACTGAGTACGGAGTAGGTGCATCATGGATCATGTTGGATGCTTGACGAGTGATCGATAGGTGCTCATTCTACGGATAGAGTCCGTGAGCAAGAACTAAGCCGATCAATTAGACTGCAAGGACAACTTGAGTGGATAGTCATTCGATTTATAAAATGGGTGAACCCGGATGAACAACTGGTAAGAGAACCGCTCTGACAAAGGCTGTCATCAAATGGTCCAATTTTTGGAAGTCTCCTACTTACTATACTGCCATCGTGCAGAAATGCAGCTTCGAACCTTGGAAGGCAAACTTGTGTAGCATCAGCATGACATCGTTTCTGGCTGAACTCCACCTCCAGGAACAGTGGCTACAATTCTGCAGCCTATCACGGATAGATTTTCTCTGCCAGGTGATAGATAAAAAAAGATGACCTGAGCGATGAAGGATGGTAGATCGCCCAGGTGACACGTATAAAAAAAGCCACGACGACCAGGACAATACAGACTCCATCCGTTTGCGAAGGTTGCAAAGGACAGAAACAGGTGTTGCGTTGGGGCTAACGAGACAGCCTAGTCAGTTACTACTGCGAGACAGCGGTTCCAAGCTGCAGGCTCCTATCCGGACCTCGGACTGCTCGCGGAGGGTCAGAATAGTTAAGACTTTTCCCAGGTTGGGCGAGCAATAGGCAGCCGCCACAGCCCGTATTGGTGGCCGAGGGGCGTTCTTGGTGGTCCGCTTTCTTCAAAGGAGTCTAATCTTAAGCCCCCAAGTCGACTAGGGTCTGTCCAAGCAGAGTCTGGATTTGGGCTTGGGTGCTTGGGTGCTTGGGTGCTTGAATCCTACTGTAGAAGAAGAAACCTGTCCAAAGTGCTCCCACTGCCACTGCCACTGCCACTGCCACCACCCGCCATTCCAAGTCCCAGTTGCACGCCCGCCTGCAGGTCTGCACCCTAGGTATGAGTACCTCCCACACCTGCGTCTGCAACTTTGTCTGTAGCCCGCACCCGCTTCCCGCACCACATGAGCACCCCTGCCCAAGAGGCCCCCATTTGCCATGCTTATTATTCCTACAGCTGGTGCTAACCGCCTCCCGACCTACCTTGGTAATTGACTAGACCTTAGGGTAAAGATAGGTTGTAATAATAGGCTCCTGGAGACACAACCTGACACAGCATCAACGTCCAGCCGTTCAGTCCAACCCTTTCTTCATCTTTGACAGAAGCCTTGATCGCGTTTTCCTCAACCCTGATTATTCTCTTTTCACTCTCTCCTGTCTCCATCATCCTTTCCTGCAACCTATTTGCAAAGTCGTTGGCAGCCAGTCCCCTCCCCACCGAGTGCCCGCGCGGCATCCTCGTGTCGAACTGAGATCGACACTTGGGGCCTTCTCCTTGGTCAGCCTCTCCTTCAGCTGATCCCTCAGTCCACAGACCTTTTCATTTCTGCCTATCCTCTCATTTTCTAGGCCTCAGCAACTTCACCTCGTTCGCCCCCCATCGTAGAAGTCAATCATTTCAGTCATCAGCACCGCGCGATTATCAAAACCTGCTGCTGTAAGGTTTTGCGACCGCGACGGCCTCCCGAACGAGCCGCTGTCCCGTCACAAGCACGCGCTGTCAGCTCCAAGACATCGATCAAGACGAGTTTTCTGGAGTTGAGTGAAGACCGCGAGGCGCCTGTAGCCTCATAATGGCCACGAGAGGCACAGGCACCGCGGCGTCCGCTCAGCCCATCGTTCAACCTGTCCAACGCAACGTCCCTGCACCGTCCCCTCTATCTACCGTCTCTCCCCCCTCTAAAAGGGAATTGGCATCATGGTGGAAGAAATTTCGCAAGACAACTGAAAAAACCGATGAAAAAGGTAATGTTTTCACGGCACAATAAGTGGCACAGTTCAAGGCTGAGGCTGCGCCAACTTGACGCTGACCGCTGACTTATTCACAGTCGAAATACAGCCTGGTATTTTCGGTGTCCCTCTAGCCGATAGCATCAGATATGCGAATGTCGCCATCTCACTCCAGAATGAGAGTGGCGAAAGCTTTATATATGGATATGTCCCCATCGTCGTTGCGAAATGCGGTGTCTTCCTGAAAGAGAAAGGTACATAAGCCTCACACCGCGAACCAATTCCACAAGAATATCCAGCTAACGCTGTTCTAGCAACCGATGTGGAGGGCATTTTCAGATTGAATGGATCAGCTAAACGGATAAAAGATCTACAGACAATCTTCAATTCTCCTGACAGATATGGCAAAGGCCTGGACTGGACTGGATACACGGTACACGATGCAGCCAACATCCTTCGCCGCTACCTAAATCAACTACCCGAACCGATTGTGCCCCTCGATTTTTATGATCGATTTCGCGAACCTTTGCGCAGGACGCAACGCCCACCTCAGACCGACGGTGAAGCGCAACCTGTTGATTTCAGCCTTGATGAGCACAATGCGGCAGTGTCGGCCTACCAGAAACTTATCACAGAGCTTCCACCCTTGAATCGTCAGCTCTTACTGTATATCCTAGATCTGCTGGCTGTTTTCGCATCCAAGTCCGACCTTAACCGAATGACCGCTGCAAATTTGGCGGCTATCTTTCAGCCTGGTATCATCTCACATCCCACGCATGATATGGCTCCTCGGGAATATCGTCTCAGCCAGGATGTACTTATTTTCCTCATTGAGAACCAGGACAATTTCCTTATTGGTATGTCAGGCACAGCTGTGGACGAGAAAACTCAAAAGGATGTTGAGAGTGGTGCGCCATCCCTGAAGTCACCAAAAGCTGTGGTTCGTTCTGCCTCGAATGCTAGTGCAGGTGCTGAGAGTATGCGAAAATTTGGTGTAAGACGCAACGTCTCAGTGTCCTCTCGAGGTTCACGGGATCGCGGAAGTCCTGGTGTCTCGAGCCCAGGCACTCCTTCCGGGCTTGGGACCTTCCCAGACGGCACAGCGGGTGCCAAAATTGCTCGCAGTAATACTGTCCCATCCAAAAGATCGCCGGCCATCGCTCCAAGTCGATTTCAAAGATTAAATGATGCAACGGACTCCACGCCACCTGCACAGAGCCCGGCAACTATTACTCCTAGTACACCAAATGCAAATGGAGATGCTACAGAATCTAAATCCTCGCGCTCTGGTTCCATCGGGCCAGACGAAGCTTTCAGCAGTCAGGGAGCAACGGGACAACTTATTGAGCAAATCCCAGGGCAACCTGCTCTGCCACAGCCAGCGACCCAGCCACAACAGCCTAACGTCGCGTCGTTTCCACCAGTACAAGTCAACCAATCTGTGGGACCTGCACACTCTGTTACACCAACACCAATCACTACTCGAGAAAGGAAAATCTCCAACCTCTTTCCCAAATCCCCCATCTTTGGACCCTCCGAACCTCAGCAGCAGAGACAGCCTAGAAAGCTTCAAAAGAAACCGAAAATTCCAGGTAGCGCGAATGAGAGTGCACAGAGCTCCGTGAACTCCCTCCACGCAGATGACGCTGCACCTTTCAAAACGCCACTGGCATCGCCTGATCTGAATAGCGCCTCGCGGCTTGATCCTTTGGCTGCACCCACAGGGCCTGCTCTGACCAACACGGCGCCCACCCCTGTCAATGAAGCGCCCACGAGAGATTTCTCGACTCCAGGCTCGCAGACTGCCAACACGCCACAGAATAACACAACCGGATTGAAACCCCGCAAATCTCCCACAACGTCAACAAAGTCGAGGTCGTCGTTCACTGATCATTCGGAGGCCGATGCACTTGATGAGAACAAGGTCGCACCAGAAGACAAGGAGAAGCGACGTCACAGGTGGCGATTTTCTTCATCGGCCAAAAAGGCTGAGAATTCACCGCTGGCACCACCTCCCGCAATAGGTCATAACGCAGGAGCTCGAGGAAGCAATAGCTCCCTAGGGAGTTCGCATCGGCCTCGAAAGAGTTTCACAGGAGATTCTCAACAAACACAATCCGCGTCCCTCTATGGAGAGATGATTCCTGGTCAACAGTCCTTGGTTGGCCCATCGAGTAATGAGTCCGGGGAGGGATGGAAAGAAAACGCAGACACAGAGAAGAAGGGAATTTTTGGGAAGTGGAAGGCGAAAATGTCTCAGACAAAGGAGGAAAGGCAAGCCGAGAAAGAAAGGGCCCGGAGCCCTCCAGCAACGGACCACGGAGCGTCCCGAAACAGTCTCTCAGCTTTTGCTCAAGAGCATCTATCTCCTCGAGGGCGGTCTTTCGACAGGTCGAGGGACGAGGGTTTACCAGGGTTACAAGAACGACAAGCAAGCGAGTCCCAGAATCAGGTCAGGAAGGCGTCATTCGATTTGAGGCGTGGAGAGGGCAAACAATCGCCATGAAAGTGATATCCATTTTTGATATTGGATAATTCCACCTTAAGAGGTGCGACGGATAGAAATAGCTAAAAATTGAGTCGTTCAACCCAAGGCAATTCAGTCTTGGATGATGTTTTAATTCATGGTAGGTAGCAGGTGGAGAGTCGGTCAGATCACGCGTGAGAGATATTTTCTGGTGATCCCTCTGACATTCAAGGAACTGCCAGTAGAGGAGCTTGGGAGCGTAGTTGGACTAATTGTTCGAGCATTGAAATTAATGTTGCTCACATGGATGAGAAACTTGTTTCTCTTGGTACTACTACAGTAAGTACGGAGTACTTCGTACTGTGAATTGATAGAAGCGGGCTGGTGGCGGGCACTAGCTAAAATGGGTTAGTCAGGGCTAACCCAAAGCTCCGCCAAAATTTTGAGCTGGATTGGCGGACTACAGGCATTTTCTCGTGTGCGGAGAGGACTGGTAGATTGATTTTCCAGCCTGCGAACTTTTTGTGTAATTATCACTGCCGACAGAATCCTTATCCATACCGGCCTACTGTAAATTTGTGGTGGTCTACACAGTACTTAGTCTATCGACGATTTCCGGGCTTTACTCACGCGGCCAACCCAGGGCTGCATCGGAGAAGTGGACAAACCCAAGAGGTCCCATTTGAGCCAGACCATCCATCGACACGACACGACACGACACGACACGACACGCCGTGTATAGGCAAGCTTTAACATTGGAACGTAACCTCAACTGAAGGAAAATGGCAAAAGATAAAGACACACCTCTCTCGAAAGAAGAGCGCAAGGCGGCACGCAAAGCCGAGAAGAAGAGCACTAAGGAAAAGCTGGTCGAAGATGCCGGTGTGAAGAAGGTCAAATCTGATAAAAAGGAAAAGAAAGAGAAGCGGAAGGCCCTTACCGAGAAGGTGGTTAATGAGGTCGAGGGAAAGAAGGACAAGAAGCAGAAAAAGGAAGAGAGTGAAGACGAGGACGATGAGGCGGCGTCGGATGTTGATGTCAAGGATATAGACTCAAAAGAGGCAGAGACGGCGACCCTGAGCAGACCTATCGGCGCGTTGGTTCCTTTTGCCAACCCGCTTGCTGACGAGAAGGTCTCAAAGAAGGTGTTCAAGAGCGTCAAGAAAGGTATGTGTGTCTTGCTCAGCTTGCCTTGCCTTCCCTTCCACCCTTGCTTCATCTTGAAATGAGGATTGCTAACACGTTTCTGTTGCACTACAGCCGCTGCTAAACGAACGCTCAAACGCGGCGTGAAAGAAGTGGTCAAAGCCCTTCGCAAGTCTCCCACCGGCAGCTCGTCGGACCCTTCACCCATTGGCGTGGTCATTCTCGCAGCCGACATCTCGCCCATGGACGTGATCAGCCACATTCCTGTCCTGGCTGAAGATCATTCAATCCCTTACATCTACGTGACCTCACGGGCCGAGCTTGGCATGGCCGGCCAAACGAAGCGGCCCACTTCCGTGGTCATGGTGAGTCGGGACCTGGGAAAGAAGAAGGGCGACGCTACAGAGAAAGACGATGGAGAGAGTTGGGACGAGACCTATAAGAGTCTTGTCAAGGTCATCCAGAGGGAAGGCAGCCGTGTGAAGATCTAGTGACGATGCTCCTCCAGTTTGGACATGGGCCGGGTCTAGCTGAGTTTCATGGTAACAAACACAACACCTTGTCGTACTGCCCCTGGTCGGCGTTTGAACCCAGGAATGACCTGACAACGCCCCTTTTCTCACGAAGATACGATCCTCCACCTTGCCGTGTCTTCGACTCATCTTGGGAGGCGTTTGGGACGGTTGCGAGTATGATGTTCTAGTGGAAGGGGCATACATGCGGGTTTTCAATATGGGAGAGGCGAACTGAGCGGACAAGTCGACGGACGAGGAGCTGCGAGCCATGGAGAGCGATCGAGGGCCGAATACTTGACCCTGCCACATGTGAAGTGCAGTGATAGTGCTTCCGATGTGTGTCCGAGGCCGATATGCATATTTTTTTCTAAACATCAGCTCTCCAGGACCCATCCATTATCATGATTGGTGTTTCAGCAGGATTTATTTTTCGCCATCCAGGGCTTTTCCGTGCTTATTGAGGACCTATCTCGTGATATGTAGAGATGCCAGGCGTTTCCAAGAAATGTTGCATTATGGCTATTTGCGCGTTGATGCCTCACTGGCGTACAGTAGACACAAAACAATGCCAAAAAAAAGATGTGGTTTCTTGCCACTACCAATTCTCCCGGAGTCTAGACAAAGGTATATATGATCCTTCGAGATTAAGTGCAGAATTGGCTTGAAAAGCAAAGCTTTAAATGGAGCCAGCAAACCTAGGCGTCCCACATCTTTCTGCACATCTGACATTGGGGGGTTTCTTACCACAAGGAGAAGGCGAAAGACAAGAACTTCGAGACCGGATTTTGCTCTGTTGGGCTAGGAGTTCCAAAGGGCTCACCGACAAAATGCAACAAAGGCTTGTTGATCAACAAACTGGCTTGCATCGGGAGGTTGCCGATTGCGTGCATCCGCGACGGAGTTTAAGAAACCAGGCCCGTTGGAAGCCAACCAACTAACTGATTTAGCCTCAGGACGGCTCGCTTGGTTGCGACGGTCCATCCGGTGAGTCAATGTTCCCTCTCGTGATGATGCTGGCGGGTCACTAGTGGTCAGTCTGGCTCTTCGGAGCATCTCGCATTGCTCGTGACTTCGGTGGGTGACTCCAGGCCTCGTTCTGTTGCCTCTTTTTTCTGAGGCTGGATACGACGACGCCCTTGATACAATAGTCCTAGTATTGCTGAACTGGCGCACCGAGGTCGGGCGCAAGGCTAGAAGCGAACATAAGAACCAAATCGAAGAAGGGCCAGCCATCTGACTTTGTCATTAGTTGCGTCGCTTCACTACTACAGTGCGAGGGTATTCCTCATCTTAGCTCTCCAGCTGATGCCGATCCACACTCTTGCATCTGTGACAAAACTCCGTGTCCAAGAACGCCCGCCTTGTTTGACCACTGGCTTTTGGCCCCAGAATATGTGCGCGTGGGTGGACTGTTACCTGTACCGACCAATTATTCAAGCAAGCGGCTAGGACAGTCCGGCCTCTCAGCTGCAGCATGGTGTCAATCGCTACTTTTCCAGCCTCGCCTCCGTTCCTAGTCTTATAATGATGCCTGATCCCTCCTTCCAATCTAAGGGTTCTGCTTCACGCTTTGTCGATGGCTATTTCCCTCCTCTACCACCGCCTCAGATGGCTGTCGACAATGAAACCATCGTCCAGCTGATCCGACAACTCGAAGCGGACAGGGCTGCTTACCTCGCTACATTTGAAAAGATCAATGAGACCCTCTCTCAGGCTCTCGCTTCTTCTCAGCCGAGTTTTCCTGAAATCCGACCCGGCATTGTAAATCGCCCAACAGTTTCCTCAACCGGGTCTTTGATAGCAACGGCCGTTGATCAGACGCCAGCTTCCCCGAAACTTGCAGCAAGTACCTCCAGTCGTCGAACTAACCCCAGTAGCCGGCTTTTGGACAAAGACGGCCAGCAAAAGGACTCCATTTGGACCGCCGAAGACAGTTCTGACAGCGACGACGATGAGTCGTATTTTGCACAAGAAACCCTCCCCTCGAGGGAGTTTACCGAGGATGACTTGATTGAGCACCTGATGACCCACGATTGGGACAAGTACAGCAAGTTTATCCTACAGGACCTCCTCCGAAATCTCGATCTGCTTGGAAATGGAATCTTTCACAAAGACAGGCATATGCATCAGCTGGATGCCAACCACGAGCATGCAGATATCTATCATGTGGGAATAGATGGCGCCCCACTTCGATACAGCCGGGGTGACTCGGACGATGGACCGCTTGCAACCTGGGACGCTTTGAGGTCCATCAATGTGGACGAGGCACGAAAGCAAGCCGTCGGCCGCATCATCACCATGAGAGAACCGCCATCGAGCTTATTAGCCGCTCTCCATCTCACGATGAAGGAGCATTTTGATATGGACTCAATCTATCGCTTGCTAATCAACGACGACACCCCGACAAAAATGATCACGAAAGGTTATTTGAAGAAGGACCACCGCCGACAACGGTCCGTTGTGTTTGTGTTTAAATATCACACAGTAGTTGGGGATGGTCGCAAACCCTTACCGTGGCAAAGTCATGACGACGCGTTGTCAGAACCAAAGGAGGGTCATATACCTCTCGCAACGTGCTCTGCTGTGGTGGCCTTATCCTTAAGTGGACGCCCGAGTCATACCCTGCGACGAAATTCTCGGAAAACAAAATCGATCGTCGGCCATATATACGATCCCTTTGCCCCATGGCATGTCCTCTCAATCCAAGCTTTTCCAGACTGGAACTCTAGCGTTGACGCTCACAACACCTCTCACCACTATGTGAATGGCCCCGACGCCTTCCTTGCGACCGTCCTGGCAGAATATCGAGATGCCATCAAGAGGTTCAAAGAAGTGCATAGGCAGATCGTCCAATTAGCCACGCCACCAAATAAATCAATATTCGATAGTGCCTTGAGAGACGAGTTGTTATTCGAAAATGATAAATTTTCGTATTCTCGACGATACTTTTGGGCATCTCAAGCGTTGGGTGTGCTTGTAAACGAGATCAAGGCAATGGTCCTGGCGTACACAGAAACCTTCAACGACGATTTTTGGAGCGGTGAGCACAAAACCCTTTTCCCTGGGACCAAAGATCAGTCTTCCCGCTATAGCAACTGGCGCAAGAAATTGCAACATACCCGTAAGCTTTTCGAGAAGGAAATTGCGCAGCTGCATGAGGTGCTGCACATGTTTCAACACCAACAGAAGGAAATCAAAGGCCTTCGAGAATGGCTCTTCAGCGGAACATCCGTCCTGGAAAGTCGGGAAGCAGTTAACCAAGCGAAGATAACCGTAGAGCAGGGTTACAACATCCGACTTCTGACCTTTGTGACCATGTTTTTCCTGCCTCTCACGTTTGTAACGTCGATTTTTGGCATGACGAACATGCCACCAGAAGACTCCTTCCTCCCGTTCGCATTGACTTCGGTGGGGATTTGTGTCCCGACGTACTTTATCATCCTGGTCGTCAACAACGTGGACCAACTCAAACGATGGATCACCAATACGGAATTGTTCTTCACCAAGATCATATCGTGCGCCGTGCCGGATAAAGCAGAGAAGATGAAGAAGAACCTCCACCGACAACGAGAAAGGCAAGCCTTGCAACATGGCCACTCGCAACGACGGCCAATGATCCGCAAAGCCGCCACACACGCCAGCCTCGAGCCACGACTGACCTCCGAGCTGACCTTGGAGCCCATCCGCCACGCCACACACAGCATCCTGGGAGCGACAACGCGCCGCGTGTCTCAGAGCCTGAGTCACCACCTACCCGGGAGTGGATATGGGCATCGGTCCCATGGTGTGCCATCCACGCCCCTCCACCTGCCCACTCTGCCGAGTTACTCGGAGGAGAAAGCCGCCAACGACGTCAACGACGACACCACTAGCCCACTACCCCGACAGGAGCGAGCCAACACCGCCGTTACATTCGAAGAACCTATCTACAGCCCAAGCATGCTACGCACCCTGGACATGGAAGGCACAGTTTTCAGGGATATGGAGAAGACGTCCACCCTCTCCCCGATCTCCAGGGGCACAACGCTCGTGTCACATCCGTCGCATGGAAATTCAGTTGGTCGTGGTGGTGGTGTGACCGGATCAACCTCGTCGGCTACAATGGTCGACGACCTGCCCACCCCGCCGTCGCCCATGCAGAGTGCGCTGCAGCAGCGCAGCCTGACTGTTCCCGTGAACCAATCGATATTCCGCCGCTGGAGCGCCAGGTTATCGCCCATGCAGAACTCCCCGCGCACGCCGGACTCCGGGCAGATGAGTCCTACGGAGACGGTCTAACGCAAAGGCCCCCAATGCGGGGAGTCGGCTCCGGACTTGGGCGTGCGCTTGATCTGGCGAAGCGATAGCTATGACTTGATGGGGAAAAAAAGAAAAGGGGCTTGGGGAAGACAAAAAGGGCTCAGAAGAGCGAAAGGACACTGTCCGTTTGGTTTTTCGCGAATGATGTGATTGATATACAAGACTTTATGACGTGACGTGTATGAAGGCAATGAACTTGATGAATGAATGACCTTGTTATATCTAAGAAAAGGAAAATTACAGGCCAGCAGTGAATTTCTTTCCGCTGCTACCCTCTGCTTTCTCCTCGTTGCAGTGTTTCGACGCACAGCAGTGGGATGTGTTTCTTTCTTAATTGATTATAGATATATCTGTCTGTATCTTTCGACCCCTTCGAGAGACCTACCAGGGAGATGTGCACTCCTTGCCACTCACGCGTCGGCAGGTAGAATGAGCCGACGAATGAGTCCACGAAATTGATACAGAAAATGCATTGTCTCCAATTTTATACAAAAACAAAGGACTCTATAATTTCGTCTAACGATGGAAATTCCAGATTTCGATCTAATCCAAGTGGCCCGCCCAAGCAGGCCTTTCATGACATCTCTACTTGCTGTCTAGGATTTACCTCCCCCCCACAATGAGGATATCTGTTTGCGTTAAAAATCACTATCTTTTCTGCTGATGCAGGCTGATGTTAGCCGTGACCAGTGGATCGTCGCCGTCTCCTACTCCGAATACGTCTTCGTCATCCGTGGGTTCGTCATGATAGCGTGGCTCCGACCTCTCCTCGCCAGGGGAGACGTCGAAATAGTCGGGTGCGTCATCGTCGTCACGCGCGATTGTCTCGGCGGCAGCTTGGGCTTCCGGGTCGTCGCTGAAGCGGCGTGGGATATGACCTGTGCGGCGGGTGGAGTCATGGATACTGCCGGCTTCCTCGGCTTCAAGCTCTTTCGCGCGCGCCATTGTCTTTTGATAGATATACCAGCCAGTGAAGGCTCCGACGACAGCTCCAATTGCGATGCTGGAGTAGTTCACAACACGGTCCTGGAGTGTCATCTTCTCACTAGTGCGAGCAATCACGGCGAGACGGCTGCCGATGAAGGCTGGGATGAAGAGCTTGGGGGTGACGATGGCGGTAGCTAAGGCGTAGCTGGCTGGGTGAACGGTGGGAAAGGTGGACATGGCGCCGTTACTGAGAGAATACGGAAGAGGACACAGGCGGATCATACACAATAGTTTGATCCCGTCGTGCTTGAGAATGAGGGTGAAAGCGGCAAAGCGTTTGTCGTTGGCGATCAAGCGCTCAACCCATTTCCGCAAAACTGTTCTCGAAAGCACGAAGGAACAAAATGAGCCTGCGACAGTGGCAGTAGCAAGGATGAGCCAACCCTCCCACACTCCATAGACGAAACCTGCGATGGTGGCACAGGTGGAATAACCAATAAGAGGTGGAAAGGCGGTTGTAAAGGTGATAGCCCACAGGATGGTCCACCCTCCAGTGGTGTGTTTCCAGCGTTCAGCGTAGGGCTCGAGCCAGCCGAAGATCTTTTCATTGAAAACGAGAAACAGTATAAAGACAACATTCAGGATGACCAGTGCTGTGACCGCTAATACACGTTGTAAGGGGGTCAACTTGGACCAGATCTTTAGAAAGCGACGCTGAAATTTCTCAGCGGTGTTTATTGCTTCGTCTCGCCATGCCGCCGACCGACTGGGTACATAAGGAGAGCTTCGGCCGGTGGATAGGGAAGAGCGCGGAGGGCGCCAGGGGCTTAGCAGGCCAGCACGAGGTGATTCTTCATCGGATTCTGGTAGGGCAAGCTCAGGGGCGGGCATAATTTAGTGATGTAAGTTGAGGAGGGAATAGGAGGAGTTGGTAAAAGCGGTTCTAGTGGAGTGGTCAAGGAGCGGGAACGGAAGTCGGGAGGAGCAACCCAGAAAGTTAGTCGCAACAAGAGAAGGTCGTGGGCATTTTTACAGTAGGAGGAGACTATATCTTCTTATGCTGATAGAAGGGAAGTCAGGAAGACTAGGCAGGCAGACAGGAAATGTTTGAGCCAACACGCGGAAGATATGTAGTAGTATGATTGAATGGTGGATAGCGTCAGCCCCAGTACCCGAGGAGCTTAGCCAGTGGGATGATACGTCATATCCGCATTTGAAGAAGGAGATTTAAGCGGCGTTGAGAGAGGCGCAGGGGTGATGAGTAGCTGAAGAACAATAGTGTCAGTAGTTAAGGATCAGTGCAAGGTAGTAGCAGCACTTACATGATAAATACTAGGCCCACTGGTACATATGTTCTATGTGGCTACCTAGTTAGGTCCTTAGATACTCCGTCTTGAGCAAGCCCGGAGCATTATTGACAGGGCACTGACACTGATGAAGCATTTAGTCTGAAGCAGAGGGAATACAGTTCTGACTAGTACATGCCCCTAAAGGGCTAGTGCGTTGTTAAAACACCAGCTGAGGGGCTCGAGGAGCCTGAGTTAAAGGCGGCGGCTGTCAAGACTCCAAATAGTCAAGACTGTAGGTTCTCCGCCCCAGATTGTCACTCGTTCCTACCCTTCTGCTATTGCGGGATGGGCCTTGCACTTGCCCTCTTGTCCCAAGTCACTTCGTACCAGTGCCACCACTCCCACCTCACCGTCACCACCCACCACCACCACTTACAAACACCCTGCCTATACTACAACAACAACACACATTTCCATCTTATCGTCAACTCACACTCCCTAGCTTTCCCTCCCTTCCCCTCTATCCTCCCGTCTGCCAAATCTTCTAAACACCCCTCGGACTCTTTCGTACTTGCTCCATTCACCACTACTCCGCATTGGACCACCCTCACCCTTGCCTGCGACTCCCCTCAGCCCTCCTTAAAGCTACAATCCGTCAACTGCGGAACTATGATCATTCGAATATCTTGATCACCTGTCTAGCATTTCGATCTTGCGCTTGTCGCTCGTTCTATGCCCCTTCCATAGACGTTCATGTCAACTGCCTCCGCGTCCATCAGATAAAACCCTCCCGTCCCGCTCACCTCACCATCACTTTGGTTCAACGTTAACGACCGCCATGATTTCTGACGAACATTACGACCTTTGTCGCCCTATATTAGACGACTCCACCATAGAAGAAGAAGACAAGATCGAACGCCTCGAGGGCATCCTTCGCAAAGACACCTCCTTAATTGGCGTTGCTCTCGAGAATGCTATTCTCGATGCATTGTGGAAGCACCGTAATGCTGCTCGTGGCGAATCTACTGAAACCCCTTTACGACACAATGTCATCCGCAAATCTTCTCCTGCTCCCTGGCAATTAAATCGGGCCCCAACTCCCTTGGGTTCTCCTCCTCCCCTGTCTTCTAGCCCTGCTCTTTCAGTTGGCTTCCCAGCCTCACGGCCCAGTTTCTCTCGCCAAAAGTCTGTCCAATCTCCCTTTGCCTCCCCACGTCCTTCACCTCGTCTGGCTTTGGCGCAGCCTATTCCTCACAGCCCTAGCCTCAACGCATATGAGTTCTCAGACGCCAGTCCCGCCCCAGACATCTACGGCGACTACGGCCATGAAAATGTTGACTGGCTTTTGGCCGATGAGAATACCAGTAATGCATCTTTCAATGCTGCTGGTGCTCTGAGTGCAGCTGCTCCCGAATGGCTCCCCCAGCCGGACATGAGCCCCTATGATATTCTGCGCTCGGTTCTGGGTGACAGAAAGACGGATGACGAAATCGAGGACGCCCTCAACAAGAACTCGTATGATCTGGGAGCTACCATAGCTTCTCTACTGGGGACAGATACGGCTGATGCTCAATACACCGCAGTTGCCAATCCCGATGCTGGTATTCTTGTTGGCAAGTCCATGGCCATGAACCAAGTCCGCCCTTCTACCCCAGGTAATGCCAAGAGCCCTATAGTTTGCAAGTACTGGCTCGCTTCAGGCTCTTGTCTTCGTGCAGACTGTCGCTTTGCCCATGACACTAGTGGTTATCTTTGCAAGTATGTAATTCTTTCCCTTGCCCGCTTGCCCTTATTGACCTCTTTGACCTAGGTATTGGACGAATGGAAATTGCCTAGCTGGTGATGCTTGTCAGTTTTCTCATGACCCGGCTCTCCTAATCAACCATTTGAGTGTTGGGGAGAATGTTCAGTCGCACCCATTTCAGCTCCAGGACCAGCAAGATCAATATCCTAGTTTATCCGGCTCAAACAACGTCCGAAGTGCGCTTCAAGCTGGACTAGCCGCTGGAAATAATTTTGTACCTTCCAATCAGAGAAATCGAAGTGCCTTTGGTAATATTGGTCCGAACTCTCGGCCACAATCGAGGCCCAATTCTCGACATCAGAATCGTCCTGAAACACCCTCTTCTCTATCTATGGATGATCCCGAAGCCTTTCCATCCCTCGGCTCACTTAGTGGGAAGCGTGGGTCTAAACATCACGGTCATCGATCCAGGCATCACGGAAATTTTGAAAAAGAAGCGCCCTCCCTCCTAGCGGACGTAGTACGCATGTCACCGTCACCGGCTCCTGGACAGCAGCGAAGGAACGAGGCCGGTCGCAGAATAAGAACGTATGGTGGTTCCGAAAGTGCAGCAGCCAGGAAAATCCCAGAACCCCAGCATATTCCTTGGCTGGAGACTGGCGCCCGAGCCAATCAACAATATTTGAAATTCAGACAAGAAGCCATCAAACATGGAAGCATCCGTAATAAGTTTTTACAAAGGTGAGCGCCGCGAATGCACAGAAGCGTTCCTCGTACTGACATGTGAGTATAGTGCGGCTCAAGCTTGGAATCGTAATGATGCTCGGGCTGCCAAAGCTCTTTCTCTTCGAGGGCAGGCAGAGAATGACGCAATGAGGAAGGCACATCGAGAAGCTGCACAAGCTCTGTATGACGAGCGAAATAAACATCTTTCTACCATGCCGGCCGATGACGACGAAGAATTATACATTGATCTCCATGGTCTACACCCAGAAGAAGCGATCGAATATCTCGAGGCTATCCTACTGACACATGCCAAACGCGGACGCAGGATTATTTATGCAATCACTGGGACTGGACATCATAGCAAAAATGGGAAGGACAAGGTAGGTAAAGGTGTGCGTAATTGGCTGAATGAATGGGGTTACACTTTCCGAGAGTTTAGTGTCCCTGGAGAACGAGGTGGATACATTGGTGGAGTGTTGGGAATTGACATCACAAGTCATCGTCGACAGCCTCTTTCTAACGAGAGTAGCTCAAGTGTCAAAGGTTACGAGGAGGAGAGCGAGACCTCACCCACACCTGCACCTGCTATCACCGTGGGTAACCTGGGTGGGAAGATTCAGGTTCTCAAGCGCGAGGAGGTACCTGCATAGGCAAAACCGGGAGAACACCTAGATGCTCGGACGGTTCAGCCATGTGGTACCTCTCGAGGCTGAACTGGCGGAGCCGATCCTCCAGTCGTGCATAGTAGATCAAATCCAAACTCCCTTCACCAGTCCTTAATAGACCCAGGAGCTCGCTTGTCTACGTTCTCAGCCCGGGATCTCTCGTGATCTCACTGTCTCCTGGTAGGTGTGCTGATGACAAGGATCGACTTGGGCATTTTATATTCCGCATATGTCTCTTTCCCGGAAGTTATCTCCATTGCACGCCAAACATTTTTGAGGCCTTGCCCTTGATGCCCCTCTCTGCAGCTTTATTCTCAAGAAACACGGTCTCATGGCCCTTGACGTTCAGACTCAACAGCTCATACTCCAGCCCACCATCCCCATCCTTGGGCCGTGTCATCTGGACATTGACCACACCCACTCCGCTGGGACCCTCGACATTGAAATGCATGTGGAAATGCGTGGTGCCAAACTTGTCGACATGGTTACTGTAGGCCAAGGGTCTCGCGCGGGCCCATTTGTTCGACGTAGGCTCCCCATATGCCTTGATCTGGCGCGACGGCCCCAGCAGCGCGCGGCACTCTGGGCTCGCCTTGATGCGCGACACCGCCGCGTTGAATTGGATCGTCGAGCTGTCCCGTGCGAAGAGTTCGGTATATAGCAGGTAGAAGACTGTGATCTATTTGTGGAGAAGCAGGCAAGGGTTTCGGTTAGCACATATATATATATAACAGGGTGACTTTCGTTGAGGGGAATTGGGGAGGTCTCTAGTTTCTACTTACAGTGAGAACGGCGCCGCCGGAGACGAGCAGGAAATTGAAAGTCTGCTGTGTCGAGCGCGCCGCTTTCTCCCCGCGGCTCAGCTCTGACCAGTCGTACCGCCCGTCGTCGCTGGTCACCGTGATGGCCCTTCGGCTCTGCCCTTGCGGAGGGGAGGTGCTGGCGTGGCGCAGTTGGGATTGTGGAAGCGCATTCCGTCGAGAGGGAGCTTGTCGACGCGCGTTTTCTTGTGATGGGGGAATGGTGCCTTTTGTAGTAGCGGTGGTTGAGATTGCTCGCGTGCTATTCGGTAGGATTTGGTGCTGGTGGAAGTGAGTCGTGCGCAACAGCTGTCGTCCACCTGTGTGGGTGCGATTTTGGAGGCGGCAGGCTTGCTGGAATGCTTGAGCTTTGCTCGCCATGGTGGACTTGGGATGGGCGATGGAATTCAAGGTGTTGGCGATACTGCGGGTCATCGACACCGGAATAGTGACGATGATGCAGTCAAGCAGGACGCAACTCAAGCAATTCAACATGCAAAAACGCTAAGCTAACGGCGTATCTCGTGTGGAGTTTGGTGGTCAGTGGTCAGTGGTCAGTGGCCACTAGTTGCCCGCCCCTCGGTCCCCCTCGGCTGCTTCCCGAGGTTGAGGAGGTGACATCACTTGCGTGCTCAACGAACAGCTATCCGTAGCCAGCGAGGCGAGCGAGGCTCCATAAGGAAGGGGTGCTTATAGAAGATTGGGATTTATTATGGGGGAAATTGACTTATTCGGGTGGTCTGCTATGACCTGCCCGAGGCTTTCGACACTGTTGTGAGTGGCATTAATTTTTGAAGACAGTTAACCTCCAGTCGTCCTCGAGCACATCCATTCATCACAGGGCCAATGCAGGAGTATTCTCCTTGATTCCAGCTCGATCGACACCGGAGAGTATTCTGCTCCAGGACTGAAATGCTGGCCATAAGATGTCGGGCCATGTGTAAATTCATCGTGTCCTATCGCGGCCATCTCGTCACTTCAAGTTTCTTTCCAGAAGGTCCGGCCTAACCCTAGCCACCATCCGATACACTCTTGCCCTGGACTCATCTATGCATGACTCGATCCGATCTTGACCTGCAGTCATCTCCAAGTCGCGGTGTAACATTCTGGTCGTGAACATCGCGTTTTGTTTTTGGAAGAGAAGCCATGATCCTGGAAACTTCAAAATTAGCCGGCACACGTGCGATTTCCGGCGTAATCCAGGTCATAGGTTACTGAGAATTTCCGAGCTTCAGTTCATCTTCATCTTCATGTACAGCAAAGGTGAGGCGAAAACAACCTGGCTGTTCCGTCATGAGTGCTTCGCCCGTTGCAATACAGACTTTGCTTCCGATCATTCTCCATGCGAGCTCCCGTTCAGCTTCTATGGTCGGAGATGTCAGATGCCTCCTCAGATCGAGCCAGACGCACGGCCCCGCGTAGCTACTTGTGGCGTGTCTTTAATCTAGACGTTGTCTGCTCGAAGAGGGGGGGGGGGGGGGGAAACAGAGAAGAAGCCCCGGAATGGTTCACTCATCATGCCACATAGTGTATTCTGTGCCACCGAAGGAGGGCTGTACAGTGCTGGTATGCTTTAGACAGCCACTTTCGAAGGCCATAAAAATATGCTTCCAAAACTTCAGAGCCGGTGAGAATAAGGGCCATGCAATCTGCGCCATCGAAGACAGCCGTGCGAACTTCCTGCCAAAGTGTAAACACTATCCTTAATCTGCGCAGAAAGTGAGGAGGAAACTTCAAGAGGCTTCGGGACTCACTCATATGAGATAGGTCATAGCTGTTTGTAGACGAGGATTCGACTGCGAGATAAGCACACCGAGTTTGGTATCATGGCAGCAAAAATCCTGCTGTGCTGGGTTTCGTAAAAGGCAGATTTCTCGCATACCTGAGGTAGCAGATTTGCGTTGGCTTCATAGACCTGGCTCATGCCGTACAGGCAATGAGCGAGCGCCGGGTCAATATAATGCTTCACATCAAGCGCTAAGACGGAGGTGATCCGAGGCGGCGAAGGGAAATCAGCGAAATGGGAAAAATAGATGATCAAGGCGCTCTTCGCAGTGAGACAACCCATATGCGATCCTCAATACAGTGTCCTCGATACAGTAGATAGCGCCGGCGTTACCTACGATATGAAATGTATATCATACTCGAAATAGAGGCTGAGATAAGCCTTGAATACTTTAGCGTGATAGAAAAACCCAGAGGGTTAAGGGTGAGACAGCAACAACGCTCGCCCTGGAGTGCCATTGAGATAAGCAACATTCAGTGCGTTCTCATACCATCTGACCGCCTCCATCGACATCGGGTGAACGGCAACGGGAGCCCTCCCTGGTGCCGCATCACTCGTCAAAGCTGACCAAGACCGGCTTCACTCGGCACTCAACGTCTGCTGTTACTGTGAGTGTCCATGGAATGAAGCCCAGGCATTCTGCATGGACCCTCGTGGTACCAAGGTCGACGTTGGTGCAGCACAGCATGTCTGGACCAAGAGGGTGCTACACGGTATGGAACCACCACGCAGTGCGCAAGTATGTGAGGAGTAGCTGGTCCCAGGACAGTTGTGAAGACCACAATTCACAGACCGGACCAAGGTAAGCAACCTGTAAGGGAGAATTGCCGTTTTAGCCATGAGGAAGATGAGAGACGTAGTCGGGCCATCTTTCGACTTCCACGGACAGGCAAATTCAGGTACGAAGATGGGGGCATGATTGATCATCATTCCTCCCAACGCACCCTTTAGAACTCCAGGAAAGTGTAATACTAGTACAGTATACAGTGCTCAAAACCTTTCCCTTTGAGAGCGTATGTACCGGCTGTGAGTGTGCGTGTGCACACAACCATGCCAGCTATATTCAGTTGGGTAACTTGATCAGCGCTGATGCCGCCAGAGTCCGAGACACTCGATCTCGACGGAGTCCATACTCCATTAGGATTGGGATAAGTGATCAATTCATACAACAGCATAATGTCACCGGAAAATGTGTAAAACGTAAATGGTAGCCAAGCTTGAGGGGATGGACGAGTAGGGAAGTGCAAGTTCTAGCAAGAAGTCGGAGAGCCTTCAACAACAAGAATGGCAACTATGCCGAAGAGCCAACTCTTGGCTCCTGGCTCCCGGCTTGTCGCCGCGGCTCTACCTCGGTCGTCTGTATTAGATAATCCTAGTTGCCAAGGCTCTATACCGAACTCGGCACCCATCCGATTGACGGGCGAAATCTAATTAATTAAGCCGTATCGGCCGAATCCAGGGACTCGTGGGATTCTTGAAGCCTAAATCATTCAACGTCGAACGTGTGGTTGATTCTCTAAGCTCTCTAGACCTGGTGAAGGATGATCAAGCAGTGCTTCTGCCTGAATGCTTGGTGCCTCCACCATAATTGGTAGAAATATCGCTAGCTGCCTAGGTGTTTTTTCCACGCAAAGTGTTGATAGCATAGATACCAAACAAGTCCAAGGCGTGCGATACTTAGCCTTCCAAGGTTAGAGCGTACAACGACCTCGTTTTCCTGTTCCAGCCTCCATGCACAGACCAACTAAATAAAGTGAAGAATAACCCCGTCAAGTCCCCACCACTCAATCATCATCCTTTGCTTTGTTGTACCTCGCATCCGTTGAAAGCAAGAAAGCAAGAGAGCATGTCCGAAGAGTTCGTCATCAACCCGCCCTATGGTGCCATCATCCGTCAATTCTTCCATTCACAATTCTTCGGAACGCCGACGTATCCCACAAAGTCCTTCGCCAACCAGACCGTCGTCGTCACTGGCTCCAACGTTGGACTCGGTCTTGAGGCAGCTCGCCATGTCTACCGCCTGGATGCCGCCAAAGTGATCCTGGCAGTCCGCACAGTCAAGAAAGGTGAAGCCGCCAAAGAAAACATCGTGGGAACCGTCAAGCACCGTTCGGACGGATCAGGAGCCGTCGAAGTCTGGCCCTTGGATCTCACGAGCACAGCTTCGACCCTCGCCTTCGCAGAGAAAGCCAAGTCGCTCCCGCGACTCGACGTTGTGATTGAAAACGCGGGCGTCGTCATCAACGGCTTCAGAACATCCGAGGGTTTCGAGGAGGTCATCCAGGTCAATGTTCTCAACACCTTGCTCCTTGCAATGGCGCTCCTGCCAAAGCTGAAGGAGACCAAACACAAGTTTCCCGAGTCACTTCCACATCTCGAGATCGTCTCGTCCGACGTCCACTATCTCACCAAAATGCGAGAACTCAATGCACCGGATCTTTACGCGAAATTGAACGACAAGAGTACATTTGACCAGAACGACAGGTACAACATCAGCAAGGCACTGGAGGTCCTTTTCATACGTGAGCTGGTGTCCCGCTTGGGCGACGACAAGTCGGTGGTCATTGACCTCGTCAATCCTGGTCTCTGCTGGTCTGAGCTTGATCGGAACAATCCTCTTCCACTCCGAGTGATCCTGTTCTTGTTCCGTTCCGCATTCGCGAGAAGCACAGAGGTTGGGTCCCGAACGCTGGTGCACGGCGCCATCGCTGGTCAATCAAGCCATGGTGAGTTCATGTGCGACGGCCACAACCAGCCTGTGGCCGCCTGGATCCCCACCGACATGGGAAAGAAGGCCCAGGTTAAAGTCTTTGAGCAAACCATGAAGATTCTCGAGGCCAGGAAACCCGGCATTGGCAAAGAGGCTGGTTTGTGAGAGGGGTGGAAAAGTCTTCTTCCTAACTATCATCCTGATATCACTCCACAGATGAGAAAGGTGTTAACGACGGAACTCGGACGTTTGCCGAGTCCAACCCTTTGAGTCCCCACATCTTACAGCCTTAGTGAAGGTGCAGAATTACGAAGGTCGGGTCCCGGCAAGCACTACCGCGCAACGATGGATGAGGCCAGTGGATATCTCAGTATACTTCGACAGGCACGGGGCCCCCCCCCCCCCCCGCTTGACTTCAAGCCTTGGAGTCACCAAGAGCGTACGTAGCTGAACGGGATACGAAACGTCATTCTCGCCAGTGGCGATCCTGGTGTTAATCAAACACCATTGTTTCCGACAGATCTACTGGTTCTTCCTTGTCATTTTGCTGCGATGGGGCTGCGAGAGCTCGCACAACCTAAGCAGGAGTGTCCCTCTGACTGAGTTTCAGACATCATATTTATCAGAGCCATGGAACCAAAATAGCTCACTCTCAGAAACAGACAATCGTATATTTCTTCTTCTCTCGTTGGGCTTTTTTGGTATGCTGATTTCGACCGAAATGTCGTCCCGATTGACTGCGGGCAACATTGAGTTGTCCTTCTTTGCTCAGCACATTGGAGAAGAACATGTATAAGATAAATATCGGGGGTCCTTCACCTCCTTGTATATTGGTACCCAGGGGCCACACCCCAGGCCTCTTCTAATGATTATATGTGTATGGCACATCGTGTACCGCGGCCCCGATTTTCCCTAGCCCCAAGAAATTCTGCAGAAGAGATCACGCAAACCACATCGATCAATGGATCAATCCCCAACCAAAATCGACCATTCAAACCACGTGTCATACCATATGCCAACACGTATGCTGCACTCTGCGTGTGAGTATGTCGAAATTCAGATCCTACTCCGCCGGCAGCCCTGGTTCGTCTTTCTAATTAGAGGCCCCTCTGATTCCCATTAATTTGTGAGAGTTGGGGCGTGAAGAATTGAACTGCAGTAGTTAAGTAGTCCTGCATCGAACATCAGTAAATGATCTGGCCAGTGGCCCTTCTATTCTTTGCCGTTAGGCTTTCCGTTGTTCTGTCATTTCCTGCTGGATCGTATGTGTGGACACATTCGAGTGGTAGAGTGGTACCCTGTCGTATGCCATGAATGTGCCCTCGCCACCAGATCGCGTTGCACAAATCCGTATATGGCCCTCACGGAGAAGTTGAGGGTGTCCTAGCCTACGTTATCCATAAAACCACATGTTGATTGCGAAATGGTTTCTAATGCAGCCGGTGTATCAGCAACGGACTTCACTCGCGTCTGTTCAACGAAGTGCGACTTCTCCTGCGCATTCCCGTCTCCGGCCTCTGTAACTCGCTGTGGCTGATCCTCCTTGAAAGGACGACACCTGCGGCGTCGTGTTTGCTATGGAGCTCATAGCTCTCGCCTCTCTCCAGGGTGTCCTCGACCACGGCGGCTTCGTCCGGCGTGCTTGGATCCGGGGTACTGGATCCGCTCTCACCGTAGGCGCCGCCGACGCTCTCCATCACAAAGGGGCCGGCGGTGGGTGCGTCGAGGGCTCTCAATTCCTCATCGCGGAACCATTTGGGCATCAGCCAGGTGCGGAGCGGGATGAGAAGGAAAATGATGACGGGAAACCCGATGGCGGCGATGGTCTGGGAGATTGCAAACGTCGCGCCAAACCCTATCAGCTCCAGGCCCACAAATGCCCAGATCGAAGACCTGCGTTCTAGCCGCGCTAAAGGGTCCAGTGCGTCTGTGAGTTCACGGTCGCGGGCGAGGAAGAGCATCTTCTGAGTGACACCGTTGCCTACGAGTGCTTGCATGCCCATGACGAAGAAGAGTCCGGCGAGGACGCCTTGTGGAATTAGATGGAGGACCACCAGAAGTGGGCCTGTCATGGTAACGACGAAGAGGAGGCCTTGCGCCAGATTGCTAACTCGCTGTTCCACTACGTGGTCAGTGACCCGGATGACGCCGCCTTTCGCTTTCTCGTCGGCGACCTGCCGGGTCACGCAAAGCGAATTTGTGTGGAATGGTGCTTGGGGAATCAGGCCATTGGGGAAAGGGATGCCCAGAAGACCAGCAATACCGGTGGTCAATCCGAGAAGAAAGATGTCCCAGTGAAAGCCTGGTGGCTTACGAAGAGGAAACTCGGATCCTTGAGCGATGAGGGACGAGACTGGGCATGTCAGCAAACAAGACGAGCACCCTCTCGATGATCGGATAGATCTTACCATTGTGGTCGAACCAGAACAGAATGGTCAATAGTACGGCAAATGGAATGGCGAGGAAAATATCACCCACTCCAATGTCCCAAAAATGGACAAACCAGCCCCGGTCAGCGGTCGGGAAGAATGCCTTACTGGTTGGGAGCGTCTCAACATGTACATCTTTCATGTGCCCGAAATGAACAAATCCGGTGAAAAATACGATTGTCAATGGGGTGCCGTAATCCTCGATGAACTTTCTCACATGTCGTTGGAGAAGGTTGCTTTCGCCCAGAATGCCACAACCATAAGCAAACCCTAGCACTAGCAAACTGACCATAACAGAGAGATATGCGCTTTCACTTCCGGCCAACTCCCATTGCCGCGTCAAAACTTGGATCCCCTTTTGCAAGTAAATGAAGGCCACGTAGAATCCAAATGTGTCACAGCTGAACCTCGTGACGTAGGTCAGGCTATTGCAACTATTGGTGATGGCAAGGAGCCAATGCATGATCAGAGACCATATGCCGACCCAAGCCATGAAAGCGAAGTAGTTGGTTCCCTTTGGGACGACAATGTCATATACAGTGTATGAGAAAACTGTGATTGGTCCGGTGACACCAACTATGACAAGCGGCTGTGCTGCAAGGAGCGAAAATACCACGCAGCCTAGAACAGAAGCTAGGAGGACCTCGTTAACACCGAAGGAGTTGTGTGTTTTGGTGAACATATCAAGCGAGAAGGCCAGGGCAGGGAGGATGCTATCGAACGAGTCAGAACTGTGTGTTTGATGGAGGGGTCACGAACCGCGCCCAGCGCATTGGCGGCTATTGAGAGGGAGTTGTGTGTTTCATTCTTAGGTTGAAACAATATGGAATGGCATACTTTGCGAAATACATATATACTGTTGCTGGAACTACCCTATAATCCCAGGCATCTCGCCAATCGCTCCAGTAGAAGGGTGCTCGTCTCTTAACATCATCAATCATCCCTTTGAACCAACGAATCTTGTACCATTTCGGAACACGTTTATGTGACGATAGCGTTGTTTGATGGCTGACTTGATGCGACAGGTGCTGGATTTCTTCTGGCGTCGGCCGAGAATGACTCGAGTGGAAGGATGGTCGTCCGGAATGCTGCCATGGCTTCTTCTGAGTAGAGTGAGAGGACGACCGGCGTCTTGTCGCTGCAGCAGGGGCGCGGGAGGAAGAGGGAGTGATACTCTCAATATTCGCAGCCATGTCTCTCGCTTAACTTTTTAAGATGGGAGGGAGGAAAGCGAGGTTTTACACATGCATGTCTCTTGAGATCAAGGATTTGCTGATCAGGCTTCTTCGAAAAGCTCGAGGATGATGTTCCCACGTAAGAGCCCAAAGGCTTCGTTGATGCGGTCAGCAGGAACTTCAGCGGCTAAGATCGTTCCCGACCACATCAAAAGGTTTCTTTGGCGGTGACGGCAACCCGGCACTTTCTCCTGTTTGAACCACGTGATAGATACTAGCCGTAATCACGTGCCAGAGGACTTCTGTCGTGTACATGGTTACTATTTTCGATACGTCGGGGAAGTTCGTATTGAGGCTACAGTTCTTGGTTAGTGTCATTGAGAGAGGTGTTATGTCCAAGTAAACTTAGGTGTTGCCTGCTGCTGAAGTCGACAATTTCAATTTCTAAGTCCAGAGTAAGAGCAGGGTTGGTATGACGTTGATTAAATCTTCAACTCCGTACCTTCCTGTTCGGGAGATCCGGTGGGTATGATGTAACGACAAGTGAGAGGTACTCCCAGCAATGTTTTCTCCCAGTAGCATGATCATACTCCTGGTATGAACGGCAGTTGCGAGACGAAGTGTCCATCACATATCCAACCGTCTCACCCAGCAGGTACAGCATCTCAGTACTACCTCAAAGATGTCCAATTCACAGCGTCCCAACATCACTCTCTACACTGACGCGACTCCAAATGGCATTAAAATCTCCATTGCTCTTGAAGAATTAGGGATACCGTACACGGCTGAGCACATAGACATATCGACCGGCAAACAAAAAGAACAGTGGTTTCTCGACATTAACCCCAATGGCCGCATTCCGGCCATCACCGACACGTTCTCCGATGGAAAAACTATTCGCCTTTTTGAATCTGGCAGTATTTTTCAATATCTGGTCGAGCAGTATGACCCTGAGCACAAGATCAGCTACCCTCAAGGCTCGAGGGAGCATTATGAAGTCAATAACTGGCTGTTTTTTCAGAACGCTGGCTTGGGACCAATGCAAGGGCAGGCCAATCATTTTGTCCGTTATGCCCCAGAGAGGATCAAATATGGCATGGACAGATATGTGAACGAGACGAGACGGCTTTACGGTGTCCTGGATAAACATCTCCAGTCCTCCAAGTCTGGGTTCATCGTCGGTGACCACATCTCAACTGCTGACATCACCACCATTGGCTGGGTCATATGGGCCGGTTGGGCGGGTATTGACATTGATGAGTTTCCAACATTGAAGAAGTGGGAGGAAATGATGTATTCCCGACCCGGGGTCAAGAAAGGTGCTGATGTCCCCAAACCTCTGGACATCAAAGCCAAACTTAAGGAGAAGGACAAGCTTGACGAATACGCAAAGCAGTAAGTATCCGTCCTCCCAAGCTCTGTTGATTCGAAATGATAGGACAATACACTGATAGGGCGGGAAACCAGTCACACCAAATGGATCATGGCCGGAATGGAAGAAGACAAAAGGAAGTAAGCGATCACAATACTGGTCAAGAAGTAAAGCAGAGGTTAGCCTCGCCATGTATGATGTGTGTTGGATCGAGTGTGATAGCAAGCTAGGTTTCAAGACAGCAACTGTCCCTTCCCGAAAAGCTCGAGGCTCCTGCTGCTTTGATCTTGAGCCTCGTCAAGTTTTCGTCGCCATTGAAAGGTCTTCGCAAGTAATTTAGAAAATTCGTTTTGACTGACACAAATTTTGAATATTCGTACAATTACAATCGTCGGAGCCTCCCCTTGATATTCGGCAGAGGAACATTGGCCGATGGTTGCTCCACAGCCTCTATGAGGATTTCGTGGTACCGATCGACCGCTATGTTGATCTCAGACACTTCCAAGCATCGAAGCCTGCAGGATTGGCCCTGGAAGAGGATTGGTTGTCTCATTAGTGGCAGAGATAGATACCTAGTGCATCTGTAGTGGTGATGCAAGTGACATTCGGCGAGGATTCTCGCAGTGGGTCGGATTACTGTGTGTCGAGCAACAGTGTCATCGAAGGTCCACAGCTTCCATGATACCTTCTATTGCCTACCAAGCGAGTCGAGGTGACATTCCGGTTGTTCTCATGCAGCGACGGGTCGTTGTGGTGGTGCGCCGCCTTCGAAGTCTTTGGCGGCTGATTTCGACGCCTAGAGTACTCGGTCAGGCGAATTCCCCAAGATATTCGGCTGATTGTAGGCTGAAAGGCGTTGAGGCGGTGGGGCGGTTTCTTTAACACCCAATTTGCTCAACTAAACTTCGGCATAGAGGCCTGTTGCATACGGGCCTCGGAAATGGGACGCTAGCATCTCTGTAGACGATCCCAATCTAGAAGATAGGACATGGCCTTGGGTGGGGGGAGGCTACCGTGGTATCAGTGTATCACACCTAGTGATGACGATGGGTTGGTACATACATGAATGCACACGAATGACGTTGTTCAGATTCCTCGCTTGAGCAGGGCTGCAGCCTTGTCTTGTCTGTGGGTGGATAGATTTTGATGAGAAGAACATGCCGTAAGGTCGAGCTAGCAGGATTAGCGAAGAAAGCCAGAAAGCCCCCCACAACCCTGTTTCAGTCAACTTCACATTGCACATGCGGAGTCTACAGCTTGTCCAAATGGATACTGAGACTGCTTAGTGGGTTCTTTGAAGTCATGTGGATATAATTCCTGGTGAACAAAGGGATCATGAGGTTGTGCAAACGAGTCTGGCAAGATCAGTGAAGATCAACTCAGTCATCCGAGCAAGTGCAATTGCTGAATGGAGAAAGCCGCCTAGAAAGCAGGCAGTTCCACAAAAGGAATAGCGGCCATGCAGCACAACTTGGGTTGTGCATCACATCATCAAACCAGTCCCTTGATATTGATGTACCACGTAAGCAGTTGCAGGATGATTGCAATCCAATCAAGTTCCCTGGAACCCGCTGAGTCACTCAGAGAAAGACGCCCAGGACCCCGGAATTCAAGTAGAGACCACAGCCAATATCGCAGAGGGCTCCTGCATGCAACTGTAGCCAGCAGCCTCAGCATGTGGAAGTTACCACATGTGGACCTCGAAGAAGTAACCGGTTTTGTAAAGCCCCCCTATCGCTAGGATTGGAACACATCCCCAGCGAAGAAAATCAAAATCGCTTAACATTAAGCAAGTCCTGCATGACATGGATCATCAAGGGCATCGGGAAGAAGCGATGGAAACCGAAAAGCAGGCGGCGGCCCATCCGAGGACGTTGGGACTGGAAAAATTCACAGCAACAGTGTCCCACGCCCATGCCGTGTACCTGAACCAGCTAGACAGATTGTGCCGGGTTCCTCAAACGCAGCGGTCGATAGGAGCAGAGAACGTGTGATTAGTTTGAATGCCAGTCAATGGATCACAGCAGAAGGCTTCGAGGTCGAATTGAGGAGGCGGGAGAATAGACCCGACGGGCAGATATTAGATACAGTACATACAGCACATCGGGCCACCATCAACACACCAATCTATCAGATTAGATTCAGGTAACACGGCCACTGGGCCAACGATGCAGTGTGCCATACAATTTGAGCTGGACATGCGAGCAGCGGATTCGGGCTTGGACTTTCCGGCTCGAGTCTCACTCAGAATCCTTTTCCATGTTGCCGATACCCACGAATGCGTGAAAGTGTATGTAGCTAGCTCGTAGGGTAGAGTCACGACTCACGACTCACGACTCACGACTCGCGACTCACGGGGTCCTTATGATTTTGATTTGCGCCGGACGGGTCTTATGAAAGACACTTTGTACAGTACGGAGTACGAAGCACTTGTGGAAGCAATCAGCTAATGAACCGAGAATTTAACGACATGAAACAACATGTTAGCCGAGATCGACCAAAGCGGAAACGTAAGCGGAAACACTTGTGCGACAGTCTTGATTTCCTGTCAAACAGTCATTGGTACTACAGTTACCAAGAGCAACCCAGGGGAGCAGGACAGGAATGCCTCGAACGAAAACCCGAAGTCCATTGCTCCATGCCACCTGGCATCCTTTTCAGATGCAGGGGGTGTGGGTTGCGAATTTCCCAAGCAATTATTATGATGAGACCAGTGGTTCCAAATCGGCCTGAATGCTCCGTCTAGAGGCGAAGGGCATGAAATTACAAGCTGGTGAGTCTGATGCAAAGTTTAATTGCATAGCAATCGATGGAATCTCACAGAAATGTATTTTGTGGATGCACTGGTAATCCAGAATCAGGTGTTTAGAAATACGGAGTACACTGTGCAAGGAGGTCGCTGGGGCTTACCAAAGCGAGCGGAGTTGCCGCGGAGCAGGGTGGACGAATTTGTGCTTGGTGGAGGCACGTGCAGCGCAGGTGCAATCAATAATCTAAGCGAACGAAGCCTTGTCCAGTTGCACGGATACGAGGTCCAAAGGCAAGCCATCATGGAACAGTCCAGACTGAACCGATATGTATGCATTTGGATAAAAACCATGAACCGAAGGAGCTGGGGTCGTGTTACTGACTGCAGCGGGAGGCGAGGATACCACCAGGTCGGAGGTGGGCAAATTTGTCCATTTCGCGCCGGATCGGAATCAGGTTTGCTATTAATTCATTGGCATCCGTCCGAGGATGTATGGGGTGGTAACCATTGTGTTCGAGGGCAACGGCGACGACACGCCTCGTGACTGTGGCCTTGTTCACGACAAAGGAACGGGCGGAATCAATAATGAACGCACAGAGGAGGGGTTCTCCAGCACCAGCAACAATAAGCAGCTCGTACTCCGTACAGTTAATGCTGGCCCTTCCACACCCGGATGTATTAACTGTGTCCAGGCGGATTTAAGGCAACAATAAACCATGACGCCGCTAAGGCCTAAAAGGAACATGGAAAGACATGGGACGGAGGGCGGATGAACGAGGGACTCGTTCGGCCGTAGAACTTCGCGAGTCCGAAACCCCGTTGTCCAGCGTGCAGCGGGTTGGATAACTCATAGAGTCATCGCACCCGCTTTACCCTTTAAGGCCACACACTTGTGTAATCCATTGTGTGTGGTGAAAATCCCGATTCCGGCGTCCGCACGTCCCCATCAAACCCTGGTCAAAGATCAGCGTGACTCAAGATCAAAGTTTGCTGTGGAGAAGAAAAATAATGGTCGACGCCAGCAAAAAAGCGTGTCAGCATCGACAATGACAATGGGTGAGGCGGAATGTTTGGAAAGAAGACCGTTTGGTTTGAATGAGTTATTATCATTTTCAAGAGTCTCAACCTCGACCTATTGTGAGGGAGAACTATCTGCAATTGTACATAGAGTAGAGTCGTCAAATGAAGCAGCTAGTCGGTGGCTGTAGATCCAAAAGCTGATCGATGTCATTGTTTTCCCAGGCTGGTATTTCAACCACGACTACTAGGTCTGCAATGAGGTGATCAAGTTCCGTCTCGTGAGCTGCCGGCTATGGGTCCATTCTTTGATCTGTTGATGATCTGATAGCACAGGATGGATATTGTTGAAGTCAATTTTCCCAACACCATGCTCGTAAAAAAGTCCGTAAATGCTCAAAAATGGTGCTAGAACGCAAAAGGTATCATTCGCTAAAGTCGTATCAAGGGCGGTCGTCAATCAACCTGCTCAGTAGGCAGCGATTATGGTTGGCTGTTGTCTTGAAGGTAGGAAGAAACCTTCTTGGTTGAAGGCTTCTGACTCTGCGGGTGATAATGAGGTGGTGTCCTTTGCGTCGTAGAAGGAGGTTGTGGCAATGGCTTGTCTTTGCTTGTCACTGAGGACCTCTAGTGTGACTGTGGGTGGTGAGGGTGGCATGTGCTCATCCTCGGAATCCGAGTCGGTATCGAGACTGAGCTCGGGAGGAGAGTGTCGAGATGCTGTTCGGGTGAGAGTGAGATCGGCTTCGGCCTCATCATCTTCCATGTCCGAGTCGACTTCGATGGCAGTGACATTATGGATTGGCTTTTGCTCAAACTCGTCATCCGACTCTTCATCAGAGCTGTGTGCATCCTCGGCTTCCCAGTCGGCTTCGGGCTCCTCGACAATGGTTTCGACGTGTCGGTGTCTCTCGTCCTCCTCTTCTTGAGATCCGGAGACGATATTGTTGAACCATCTCTCTTGCTCCTGCTCTGCATTGGCTAGATCGAGCATCAGAGAGTCGAGCATGTTTGCGTGTCCAACCAAGAGGCGGAGATCATGATCAGGCCGCGAAGCCTCCTTGGAGAGCTTTCCTCGGGCACTGTGGGCGAGAAAGTAGGTCTGCGTGATGCTCATCTTTTGCTTCTTTGCTGGTCGAGCGTAGATGGAATGTGATTTGGTCGCTGCAGGAGCGGAAAAACTGATGGTGGAAGGCATCTTGACCTTTGTTAGTCGAGATGATTTCTGAGTCACTGGCGGGTAATCGATAAGCGGGTGTGGCTGTTTCTCGGCGAAGCGGCTTCGATGCAGGAAAGGCGGTGGGTGAGCAATGTATCAAATGTTCATCGAATGTTTGATACTGTGTTGTGCTGTGTTGTGTTGTTATTGTGGAGTGTTGGATAATGGGGAGGGAAAAGGACTGGCCTGAAATGGAGGGTGTGGCAGTTCTTTTGTAAAGCACAGGCTGGAGGTAAGATGCTGGCAATAACGTTTAGTTCAGGATGTGTTATTGAGGGTGCCTGAGTAAGAAGCGAAGGGAGTGCGTAAAGGCCGACCGCACGGCCAGCTGGCGGACCCCTGTTCACACCCTGGCCCCTGCACAAGGGTTCGCAAGCCAGGGCTGTGGGTAAGGACAGTAAGGGCAGTAAGGTTCGTAAGTACGAGATAAAATGGGGAGTGGAGCTAAGAGGGTGTAACCCATTCCTCCGGCCGATTTCTCATCAGCCTCTCGCGCCTCCGTGTCCTCAGTCTCGCTCTCGTTCCCGTATGCGAATTGTGCATGATGACTATGACGGCCGGGTCGAACAGTCAAGTCAAGGGCACCTGCCCAAACGCTCAGTTCCCACTTCCCACCACGGACCCGAGTCATCGCGTTATGTTGCCGTGACGTTTCGGCCGTGGGTTTGCTCCTTCACCGTATCCAGCAAATCTGGCGGCCTGACACACGCTCGTTGCCTGTCTCGCATTCGGATCAGTCGTCCACTCTGAGCACCGTTTTCGTGCCCTTGCTGCTTTGTTTGCTGCTCCCTCCCTGCCCGGCTCGAATCTCGCAGGTCATTCCGAACCAGGCAAGAACGCTGTTTCGTCACTGCCTCCCCAAACTCCAGCGGCTTGGACCTTCGACCGTTCCGCGGATGACTTTTTGTGCCCACCTGTTCTCTGCCTCGTCTGGTCTGACCTCCTCATCTCCGTCCTACTTTGGCACCATTGCTGGTGTGATTGTTATCTCCATTCCCCTCTACAGTAACTCCATTGCATGTCCACGGCAAGCAATAGCATTGCGTGCTTGCGTACTCCGTACTCCGTACTCCATCCCTAGTAAACCGATGACTCTTGTAATTACGCTTTTGCAGAACTTGCCTGTTCTAGCTGTTGGTGGACGCTGTTCTAAGGATGGCTTCTCTTGCCAACCGCTTGTGCGATTACTCTATCGTCCGAGGCGGGCTGACAACCTGTGCGGCTGGCCCTCTGGCTTATCGACGGGGTTTGTCAGTAACACGCAGCTAGAACGACGACTGGTTCCAGTTGCTGAGAAATGTCAAATGTCAATTGCTAGGCACCCCCTGGCAGCCAATTGCTGTTCCCCAAACCCAGTGTGACTCTTTAAACTTCCCCCAAATTGGTCAGCTATGGGTGCCAGTCATGATGTGCTGTTCCTGCTGCTGCCAGTCGCAAGCCTCCCCGTCATTTTGGATATTATCATTGCTGCGGATGCCATGTCTTGCTCCTGCCCAGTAGTTTGCTGACTCGGAAACTTGCTGCCATAATCCATGATTTGCGTCCAAGAGCGCCTTCCCAAAGCATATACACTTTCCAAATACTAGCTGCCAGCTGTTTGAATGGTGAGCCTGCCTACAGAATGCTTCTTCTGCAACGAGCGCCCCGATACGCCTACCACTCTCGTGAGCTACACCAAGATCCGATCTACGAAAGGAATTAACTTGAAACTTTCACTCCGAAAGAGGCATGGTCTCACCCGCCGCCTTCAGTTTAGGAGTCTCACCTATTCAATGACGGGGAAGCTTGGGCCAAAATATGCCCCAAATCCGACCCAGACATGCCCTGTGCAACTACAAAGCGAAGCCCGAGGGGCCCGAGGACCCCCATGTGGTAATTATTGGGGATGGTGTCGCGCCTATAGATTTCCACGCCCTGACCTCTAACTTAGGCGCCCCGAACACCTACAAGACCTCCATGACGAGCTCTCCAGGCCTGCTGTTTAGAGGAGCTTCACGCCCCGAGCGTGAGCACTGATCTCAGATCTCAGCTTCAGGTGGTGCTTCGAACTAGTTGTTCCCCGAAGCTATTCGATTTCTTGACTCTTCCTGGGCATTGATTGAGGCTTCACAATCTACTCAGTGGTCTCGCCATGAATTAATGTCGTTGACAAGGTGCTCGATCTCCTCCGTCTCCAAGGTTTGGGCTGTGCAGAATAATTTGTGATGCCTAAGTTTCATCGAATACCGTCACCAGAAAGTACCCCAGTGTCAGGCCATCTCACTGTGACAGAGCCGTCGCATTCGGGCTCGTATGATCAGACGCGTACGTCAATTCGTGGGCTGTAATGCTACTGCATACAAGGACCTCAGATCACTTACGAGTACTACGAGTACGACGAGTATGAGGACATGCCCCGCTGCCTGAAGCTCGAGGCCCTCATCGCAGCAAATTGGCCAGGCGTCAGGGAAACCTCACTGTTTGATTGGATGGTCAAGTGGCTTGGCTATACCAGCCAATCTGAAGGGGCTGGAGCTCGCGTTCGGAATGACTTTCATATTCTTCTCCGTGTCCGCAGGAGCTCCGGAGACAAATTGTTAACACCTTTGAAAAGACGGCCTCAATGCACAACGATGCGTGCACAAAACCTAAACGCCGACCAATCGCTTCACCTCGGGGTTTGGCCTCCGTTCATGCACCGACTCGGGCTTTAGGAAAGTCCTTGAGCGGACCACTTTTGTTCCTTCTCCTTCTCCTTCCTTGGCTGGCCACACATGAAAGCCAAGAGTTATGGGGACAATAATGCAAAATTTGTGTTTGACCTAGATTTAGGCCTGAGCACATCTGCCCTCGTGACTTCCCGCTTTGTGCCTCCTCGACCTAATGAGGTTGCACGCGGCGCACAACACGACTCCGAACGAGAATGCACATCTTTGGACTGATACTAGAAGTTGTCGTTGTCATTATTTCCGAATCTTCTTCGTGATTTTCATGGTCATATGGCTTGACACTACTTAAAAAAAGGCGCGGTACGGGCATCTTCGCTGAGATTGCTCGTGTTCCCACGTGCCCCGACAGTGGACTTTCTTTTCCCAAGCATGCTACGGAGTGCGAAATACGGTACATCCATGCAGCAGCAGGCGGGTATCAAATGACTTCCATATTGGTGCGACATTGGCACAAAACTGACGTGCAGCAAATCAAAAGGGGCAGAACCTCGCAGCCTGGATTGTCATGGGGCGTGACGAATACGCCGGGAAACGAGATCTCCATTTAATCTGGTGGCAGTGTGGCTTTGTTCTCCAGCTGTGCCCAACTAAGGAATATTGCTGCGACAGCGCTGTCGCAACACGTTGTGCGGAGTATGCATCTCAGATTCTGAAGGTGGCTTGGAAACGGTTGCGACCCTGCTAAAACAGCCTCCCGTCAAAGCCAAGGCGGCAACAGCTCGTGGATGGAGCCGTATCCGTATTAGCATATGCTTTCCCAATTCGGCATCATTCTCGAAGGCGCCCAATCTACTCGTACAGTACTAGGGGTCTAGGGCCCCTCCAATCTGATCCTCGTCTTGCCCTTCGTCTTCTTCTCCCCTTTCGCTCTAGTGTGCGCCAAGGCTCCACCCCAGGCGTCACTCTTTTCTGTACTTCTGTTGACCCACTCTGCATCCTCCTATCATATCCCGCACTTTCGGGGCGGTGCGTATTATTAGATCCTGCCACCGCCCTTGGGCTTTGCCGTTGAATGATCAATTCGGCATTGTATCGTGCTCGCCAAGCCCAAACCCCAGATTTGTGGTGCTCGTGGCAGTGAACTGCTAAAGCAAGGGCCCCAGGCACCTCTTTCTGACTGATACGTGAGTCATTCCTGTTGCAATCTCGGGCTATGTAAGGGATGCTATTGCTCATAGTGATCTACCACTTTCCGTTCGTGGTTTTGCGACCAGCACCGGCAGCTCTCTGACTCGTTTGTTGGTAACACCTGTGGGCAGCTTTCCGATTGGAAGTGCCACGTTCCATCAATTCCCGTTGTCACCCACCTCGGAACGTGCTCTTCTGCAAGGAAGATTCTTTTGAGAATTACCACATTCTCGGGTCGACCGACAAGTCGCCAGGGCCATGCTTACATGAGAATGTGCTACTGTGAGGCTGATGGACATCAATATTTGCCCAATCGGAGGCAAACAAAATCATGTGTGAGAAGCTTACGAGTGCCACCGTCGCGGTTTCTCCGGTCCTTCGAAGGCCGAGCTATCCACGCGCGAGAACCGAATGCCTCGTGAAGCTCATGTCTCACAGACCTGAAAAATTCGTGTCCATAACGAGCCACATCTAAGCGGTTCGCGCTTACTGGAGCTGGAGCTGGAACTATCAGTTGTGGGACTCCGCTTAATTCAAACGAGCCGCAATGGTGGAATAAACGAATTGTCAGCGCAATTCGCCAATGAGCCATCAAGAACTGCTTTCATTAAAGACACCATGTCAGCACCCCGTGTCAGCATTATCCCACGGACTGTTTTCGTTCCTACTCAATGCGGACGGTTTCTAGGGCAAGGGTTTCTTACTGTGGGCCTCGGTTAAGACGGCCCCCTGCCCCTCGAATCTTAGGGACGAGCGATAGAGCCAGACTCGTATCTCGTATCAGCGTTGCACACCCTCAGACGAGCGAACACACGAGGATTTGTTCGCGCTGCTATGATGATCAGAAGATTACACCGAGTGCACGATAGCAAACATCTATCCGCGGCTTACTGCGTTCACTCTTGCCTTCCAAGTTCCCAAAAACAGGTGTAATGATTCTCAGGATTAGTGCCACGCGCCCATCAACCGAGGTCTCTACCTAGCGTAGGGCTGACCACCAGCACAGCACCTGGGCCTTGCCGCATCCGTGGACGGATGAAACATGCATCCGGATTCCTGGAAACGATACGGCCGCTGGAGCCTTGTTGGTAGCCAACTGCAGTTGATCAGCTATGTTGGTCCGAGAGTCTGGTTGCAAATATGTATCTCCTTCGTATGGAGCATGTGCTTGTCAGGTTCGACAACAGAATGACTCCACCAGATCTTCTATTGATTCCTCAACTTCGCCATCTCTTAGGCTCTTTTCTGCTTGTCAGCTTCGACGAGTAGGAGAAAGAAGAAGACGATTCTTTGCCTGGCTGAGGATTCCTGCTGAGCTGGCGCTTTGGGGCCCTAGAGATGATCAGTCTAGAGAGAAACCCTCGTGAAGAAGTTCACATCCTCTCCAGGCGATCATCCTACCCCCTGGCCACTGGAGCGCCTAATCGACAATTTCCAAATCAGAAGTCGATCCACACAAACAAGGAAGCAGCGGCCCGCCTGAACAAACACCTGTGTGTATCCCAGTACGAACGGATGTCTCAACGAGTCAACGAGCGCCAGAGCCCGCGTTGACAAGTCTTTCTCCCATACTATTTACGGACTATGCTCAGAAACAAGCCAACGCATCCCCTTTCGGTACTTATGTACCGCTCTACATGATACCTAGGTGAGAACCACTCAATCAAAATGGTCTAACGTAAACTGTACGGCAACACTCCGTGAAGCTACCTCCACCATGAACACGATGCAATTTGGGCCTCACCAATCCATCATTCCCAGTACTCGAGTGGACCAGTTGCGCACGCGCGAGAAACACGTGTCAGCTGCCAGGATGCTGACCTCGCAACACCCTGAACTACATGCTCTCACTCGCGCGGTGCTGAAGTCACAGGAGGACCTGAGGTGCGACAGGGGAACCAATCATCGAGCCACTCATGCATGTCTGCATATATGATCCCAACCGCTTAGTTGGGCAGGCCATTCGAGCTGATCAGCACTGGGGGTTGACATGAGGCGTGCCCTGCATACCTGATACTTGTCCACGCTGAAGTGAACTTCTTGGACAGATGCTCGACCGAGTACTGCTCTGCGAAGGCCGATAGGTCAATGCCAACAGTCGAAAGCACCCTCTTGGCCCTCAGAGTCTCTATCTCTCCTTCTTTTCCAAGATGCCGTCGCCAACGTCTGGGCATAGACCGACTATATGGCTGGCTGTGCTACCAGATCCGATAGAAGAGAGGCACCGCTTTCGAAACTTGTTGTGGTCTCGGTCGTCAGGCCTCTCCAGCAAACCCGCGATACGATGTCCCCATCCAAGGACACCGCGTATGGGAAGACGCAGGAAAAAATTTATATAGGTAGCTTGTGGAATGGCTTGCGAGTGGAGTGGAGAACCTGGTCCTTTTTATCCTACACTGAAGAGCTCGATAAATGCTATGTATGTGTGTAATGCATGCGCTTAAGCCACAGCCTTGTAGCTAGCTGGGGTGTTTTGGTGTTCTTGCAAGACATGACCAACCAAAAACAGTCCACCAGCTGCACTCGTGCTGACATTGACAGCTGTTTGTATGCATTCAACAATACCCTTTTCGCTGTTTCTCCACGCTATGCAATGCATATATGCACATCTATTCATGTGCTCAGCCTCCGTCCCGCCCAAACGAAATGAATCCGGGGCAGTCATTTCATCCGTCCAATGCAGTAGGTTCCTAACCAGTATGTACAAGCTTGCGCTCGGTATCGAGGCCTGGCGTTGATATCAAGAAACAACCACCAGATTCACCATGCGAGGAAGTGGCCAGCCGACGTTTTGCTCCTTCGCTCGGATGGGACAGACGCTAGTACTGTCTGGCCGCCTGCTGGCAAGCCTTCAACTGCTCCATGTACCACCCGCAGATGGTCATATTGCCCTGGTTCTGGTTCATGCAGTCGGTGAAGCTCTTGATATCTGCGGCACAAGGACCCGAGGCCTCGTTCGCGCCGCTTTGACTGTATAGGGCATTGGCACCCATGGCGTTTCCGGTGTTCGAGTATGCATCGGTGGGTGCTTGTGCTTGTTCGGCTGGTGCAGAGGAGCCTCCACCGAAGAAACCGCCGATCGCGTGGCCGATGGACGAGCCGACTGCGACGCCACTATATCCAAGAAATCAGCGTGTCAGTCCGAGGTACGAGTTTTCGAGACCTTTTCCTTCGCTTCCTTGGGCTTCTACCCCGGGAGGCCACCGCCCTCATGCTCCTCTTTGCGCTCCACAATACATAAAACCATACCCAGACCATGGGCCGGGTGTAGGAGGCGGGAGGCGAAGGCTTCCAAGAGGTATAGCACGGGACCCAATTCTTGGAAGGGAAATAGAGCACGGAGAGACAAAAACTTACGCAGCAGTGCTGGCCATCTGGCCGAAAAGACCGGGACCCTGTGAAGCTTGCGCAGCAGGAGGATGGGCCGCTTGCTGAGCGGGAGCAGCGGCAGTCGATGAGTATGGACGCTGTTGTTGCTGGGGCGCTGCCGTACGAGGGGGTGCGGCCGGAGCTGTTGGCCTTGACGGAGCCGATCGGGATGGCCCTGCTCCTCCGCGTGATCGAGGCATTTTTTTCTTGAAGATTATTCGGTAACCGAGAGACTGAGGATGGTCGAGGGTGGAACAGGAGCTTGGTGGTAGGGATGATGAAGACGAAAAGTTTCGAGACTGATTGTTGAAGGCCGATGAGAGAGAAAGCAGGCGAAGAAGGGGAAAGCTCACGTCTTTCAATCGCAGCACAATGCCAAGCCGAGTGGCCATTCTCCGAAAAATGATTGGCGGACTTGAAGAATGCACTCGAAGCAGCCTGTTGCCTACATTACTAGTGCGAGATCAAAAAAATCCGAGTTTGTGATAATGAGTGAGAGTGCTAAAGTACAAATGAACGTCTCGATGGAAGCTACACTACACATTGCCGCCACTGTAAAGCACATCGAAATCCTTGCCATTCCTGCACATTCTCTCAACCCTAGGCATGTGTGCTGCCCAGGATCAAGTTTTTCCAAACGCCGAAGGATATAACTCGAATTCAATCAAAAGAAATAGTGGTTGGTAGGACACCGTTCACCTACAAGCTTAGGCAGGAGGAGGTGGAGGTGGGATATAGTCACCCATCCCGGGTGGTGGTGGTGGTTGCGCATCCGGAGGAGGAGGAGGTGCATGCAAGTCAGGTGGAGGAGGTGGAGCGCCCCCATACTGTTGCAAGAAAGAGCTGAGACCTGGAGGAGCTGGTGGTGGAGGTGCACCGTACGCAGCTTGGGCATCATAACCTTGATAGCCACCATAATTGTAGCTTTGCCCACCTGGGGGAGCGTGTTGCTGCCATGGAGGAGCAGCTGAATCTTGCCCTGGTGCACCGCCATAACCCCCATATGAGTCTTCTACGCCACGGTTTTGTGAAGCCCACGGAGGATTTGAAGAGCCGCTTTCGCGTTGGTCATAGCCTCGATCTTGGCGATCTCGCTGCCACGGCGCAGGTGCTCCAGTAGGCTGGCGTGCCCAAGGTCGAGCATCGCCGCCGCCGCCACTGCCGGAGCCGTACGAATCTCCTTGATCGTAGCCCCCAGGGCCAGCTTCGATGCGGCCAACTGGGCCATTGCCAGATGGGTTGCCAGATAGTTCTTGCATGAGATTCTGGAAGGCGTCAGATTTATGAGAGTTTCAAGTTGAACGGAAATACATACCTCCATTTCTCGGTCCACAGCATCACCGCCACCAAGTCGTCGCTGTGGTGCATTGAACCCTCCAGGAACATTATTCCGAGCATCAGTACCACGTTGTCGATCAGGACAATCCCTTGCCATGTGTCCTGCATTGCCGCAGACTCGACAGATGATATTGGCCGTGAAATTACGTTGTTCTGGGCAGTCGTACTTGCGATGTCCGATTTGTCCACCTAGAAAGCGTCAGCAGGGAAAATTAGACGAGGAAGAACGTTGACATACAATTCTGACATGCTTGATTCTCATCATCACGGAGGGTTCCGTTAAGAGCCGCAAGTTCTCGAAGTTGATTTCTCTTGAGTTCGTTCTGGCCTTCAGGAATGGAGGCGGCGGTTTCGATGACGTTGTGGATTAAAGCTTTGGCTTTATTGACCTTATCTTCAGTATCTGCCATGATGAGACAGTGGAGGTCTTCTTCTTGGTTGCTGGTATGAGCTGCGTCTGATCGTCCTTTTCCTTCCTTGACCGAGCCTTTGCCTCGAATAGCGATTTTGGCTCCAGATTCGGTCTCCATCTTCTTGAGCGTATTACCACGAGGTCCAATAAGTAATCCAACTTGACGAGGAGAAAGCTAAGTGTTAGTGATTGGTACTCAAAATACAGATATTTGCAGGGTAAGATTCTGGTTAGTGGAGCTTGCTATGCTACCGTCGCAGCTTCTTGGAGCAGGCGATAGCATGTGGATGGGAAAATAAACAAAGGGGATTTGCAACAGAGTCAGAGGGTTAGTTAGCATACTAAAGTTAATCTCGGGATAGTCGTTGACCGGTACATAGACCTTTTCCTGTGTCTTGGTAGGGCGCCTGTAGTCAGATGGAGGATGATAATTCGGGATAGTCTTCATGGCTTTTTCAATGAGCTTATGGCGTTCATCCTCCAAGCGCTTTCGATAACGGAACTCTCGAGTGTTCACACGACGACCAAAGTTGTCGTATTGCGGGGGAGGCGATGGTGACCTGAACTAATGTTAGATTGTGGGTGCTTGTATCAGGATTGGGCAAAACTTACCTGTCTCCTTCCGCTGGAACAACATCGTTGATGCGCAGCTTCTGGCTGATTTCCTCAATACGAAGGTGTAGTGTATAGGCTTCCAGCTGTTCTGCGGTCATGTTTGCCTGAATCATCGTTGGTAGGCCCATAAGACCTGCAGCCTTGTTCTCATCAGCTTCACCCCATCGGTTACGCTTCTTGCGCCTCTTCACGCCGTCGACTGCAGGTTCGGCTGTAGTATATGTGTCAGCATAATGATTGTTTGTGAGAGAAGGAAACGCACCTCTGGTGGGACTGCGCCCGCGCTTGCCCAAATCTCCATACGAGGGAGAATTCACAGAGCTGCCATTTTGCGAGTCACCATTGCCGTCTCCGAATCGACGGCGGTTCCCAAGAGGGATGTTGTTGGAGCCTGTGATGCCTTGATTGCGCCACGCCATCTTTGAATGTTCGGCGATGATAGAACAATAATGAGGGTTGGCAATCAACTGCGAAAAGGTGATTGTTCAGTCTGGACACGCGCTGCGCACCAGTAAGCCATGGAAAGGGAGAGTGGCCAATACAAGTCTGCGCCCGCCAAGAATATATCACGTGAAACTCTTTAAATGAGGAAAGGTGGCGCCCAGGTGCCGGGCCCGGGCATGTTGATGACTAATCATACACTGCCGCCAACGCCACCTACGAGTAAAGCATCGAGCAAAGCATCAACCCCGCAGAAATGGCACAAAGAAGGTACTTCGTCTTACTAGTAAGGTTGTCTGGGACATCCAGGCACTTGGTGCCAAGCATCGTCTTGGCATCTCTCTCCTGCCAAGATCTGGGGCTAGAGGGCCTCGCGTGCTTGACGACATGCTCTCGCGACCGACTGTTGGCAGAGTTTACTCACAACACTACATGTTGTCACCTCTAAGACTCATCGCCCGATAAAAGCCATTCAGAGAGTGCTAGAAGTGGTCCCAGTTGTCAAGCCTCATCAGACATCGAGTGGTGATGCAGCCGCCCTAGCTGCAACCAACTTTCCACTGGCGACTTCGGACCCAGTTCCGTCGTACAGCTCAGCTTTGGAGAACGTCAGGGCTGAATTACGTGTATTAGAGGCACGGCAACCCCACGACGGTGTCGAAAATCTCAGTGTTTCTCGGAGCGCCAGGTATCCACGGGTCGCTGTCATTCTCGGGGTTCCGAGGCAGTGGCATATTCCTCTGCTCCTGTGTCGTTCTCTATCGACAGTATCTGCATTGTGGTGGGCTTGCCAGACTTTCATAAGTATCTACAATGTTATATACCTCCCAGTTCAGGCGGTTGAATATCACGCGTATTCTTCGGTTGGTCATGAGGTCGTCAGCCATTGGATGATAAGGCGCCTTGCGATTGCGCAGATATCCTTAAGCTTTTTGTGGGTAAGAACACTTCTGCAATATTAATATAGCATACTTTCATATGTTCTTGCTACTCTTCATCAGTCGCAATATTGTTATTGGAGGTATACCTCGGCTTTGTGCAAATGCTAACGCATTCTCGCCCTAGGCTGGTGCAGCTGCCTACCTGGCCCATTTATTTGCGTCGTCACTCATGTCACGCTGGCTCCTCCACTACTCCCCTCTTGCTGTCTTGGTCCGTCTTTGCAGCCTCTCCATCCTCTTGTCCTTCGGATGCATGCAGATTTTTCGTTTGTCCGCGGCTACGGAACCAGACCTTCTCAAACTAAGCCGAAGTCTCCTAGCATGGATCACCATCTCCGTCACTTTGATGCTCGCCTACTTTTCCACTCAACAGGACATTTCTGTCGAAAAGGATAAGGATGATCAACGACGTCGGCAAATTCTGCGTCTGAAATGCTTATATGTCATCTCAGCTTGCAGCCTTCTCAGCTTATTTGTCCTCGTTTGTCTTGTTCATGTCGATGCAGTTCATTGGCAATCTTTTGACATTCGAACTTGGCTTGGATTGGTGGCATCTCGGTGGCATAGCCTGTCCGTTGCGTATAGAGTCGAATTATGACTTTATCTCCTGGCAATCAAGATAGATTAGTGACGATTTGATCGGCTGATCAACCTAATTAACCTGCCAAATGCCTTGTTGTTTACCAAAGTCGCCTGAATACGTACGACCATTCCTCAACAAGAACATGCAATGTGTGTTTTAGTTTAGATCATGCGCGCCCGTCTCCGCCAATAGATCCGCCCAGTCCATTTCATACCAATTTTCATCAAAAGAAAAAGCATCGTTTGACAGGATCGGTGTTATTTCCGAGGTCAATGAAATACCTTCGGATAATAAGGCAGTCTGGTTAGAAGGTGATAAGGCGGTGGAGGTGAACTCTTGAATGCTGTTTGGTACCAGAGCCGTCAACGGCTGTTGCAGTCGCTGTAGCTGTGGAAGAGCCGGGGTCACCAGTTGCTGTTCTGCTGGCGTGGCCGGGGATAGCGAGGAGTAGATCTGTTCATAGGATTGCAACGCGTCCTCACCATAAATCCCGAAAAGTTTTTCCGGAGCAATGGCGCACGCAGAATCTATTTCGATAACCGATTGACCACGACTCATCGAAAGTCGGTTGGCGGCTACACTATCGGCGACCTCTCGAAGCCTGTGGATCTCGCCAATGTTGAATCTGGCTGAAGGCCATTTGGACTCTAATGAGGTCAGGAACCCTTCCAGGTCGTCGAGCTTATACTGAGACCCCTTCCAAAGTGATGGAAAGACTGCACATGAGAGTTGAGGAATCGCAGCCACAAGTATGCACCAACTGAAGATGGGTCCGAGGTAGGACATCTGATCACGGACTTGGATACCTTCGAGCAAGCGATGGCAGAGCGAAGACGCTAGCACGGCAGCGCTGTTTTCAGGGCTGATTCCTGAGATGGAACACGGCCGGAATAGGATGCAAAGCGCAATGAGGTAATAGATGTGCAACTGCGCGATGTCAAAATGATACGGTCGAGTTGAACCGTTGGCGTTGTATAACCTTAGCAAGCCAGGAAGGTTTTCAATCCACTCTAGTAACCTGGTCACGAGAACCTTTTTCATTTCCCATGAGAGTCTGCGATGTCTTGTTAAGGTACGGCAAATATCACTAATAATTTCAGAGATCTTCACGAAATTGCAAAAAAGCATGCATTGTAGTTCGTAGCCTGAGGGAAAATCCTGCAAGGTAAGTGGTTCAACAGAGCAGTCGTCAGAATGGATTATTCGAGGCCGACCATGCGCTGAAGCTACTAAACAGTCTCGTGCCTACGAAATATGCTCGTCAGCCTTTGGAAGCTCCTAAGAAGTAACTTACATAGAGAGTCCACCAAATCAATTTCCACGATCTTTTATTGCCACTGGGATGAGGCGTGCTGGTGTGCAATCCCATTTGCTGGGCAATTCCAATTGCTAAGGAGCATTAGAGACATATGATTGCCAACGCCTTCGCTAATTGAATCTGTCTTCTTACCGTAAGTAATCCAAAAGCGCGATGAGTTTGTGGACACATCTCGAGGGTTGTGAGTGTTCCACCACTGCATCATACAAAGAGCAGGCAGTAAATGCTGCGGGTTTCGCTCGATTTCCAAATCTACAAGGATCTTGGCTCTGGCATAAAAGTCCTCACTCGATAAATACTGCTTCGTGCCCTTGCGCATTCTGGAACCAGCAAGAAGCATGGCGTTCATGAGTAGTAGCGACCCAGGCTTGGTGGAAGTCAGGCTGACAAGAAAGGTTGTTGCAGCTGTTTCCCTTAAGGATGGGTCCACGACCGGCATCCATGTCCAGCAATGGTCAAAATAGGCCTCGATAAGACTCTGACACACCAAGACCGGAGGAAATTCGATTGCACGGTACAACTCAAGCACCTTCCATTTTGTTTCTGAGACCGTGAAGTCGTGGCTGTTCTCAAGAGACGTTGTACCTCGCTCGCTCGGTGAGGGCGAGTCGCAGTAGGCACTCCGGTAAAGCATCGCGGCATGGTGTAGGCCATCCTTCACGGGCTTTCGTACAGCCTCTGCAAGCTTCTCATAGTCCGGGCTCAACAGAGGGCTGTGTTTAGTTTGGGAATGTGGAATCGTAACTTTTCTGGAGATTGTCCTAGGCTCGGCCACATTGAATTGTTGGGCAGGTGCTGCAGCCGGGTCATGATTCAGCTCTCCTGAGCGCAATCTCTGTGCTGCCTTAATTCGAGGGTGCGCTGGATGATTTCGTCTTCGTTCATGGCGGCTTGAGTGATATGAGCCAGTGATTTTCAATGGGAAGGATAAGACGTACACACAAGTCTCACCGTAGAATGAGCAATTCGAACAAACTGCTTTTCCATTACCAGTATCGCATCGCACTGTGTTTCGAAGCTAGAGTCAGCATATCTGTCTCGAACTCGGCTCAAATGATTATGGTGGGCCACCTTTCCGATCATGGCATCTTTTGCAGGCAGTCCGAACACAGCGAGTCGTCGACGCGTTCGTGGTGCATGGGACAAATTGCCTGGCTTCCATTGCTAATTGAAACAACGGACCGCCACATGAAGCTATGCCTTGATGTGATAAGAAGGGAAGAAGCGGTTTCTGAGGAGTTCAGGAATGTCATGAAATTCCTTACGCTGGCCGAACCCCAATCGCGAGAGCGAAGACCCAAGCGAGGCCTGCTACTTACACCAGAAAGTGGCAACCCCGAAGCGAACCCAAGATGAAGCAACGAAGTCGGCGTAGATCGTCGGGAATTTCTCCTCGGGCCCTCGGTGAATTTCCAGATCGGGCGTACATCATTCCTGAAGTGGAACTTGCCGAATCCACCGAACAGATCAAGCACGAAGTCTTTAGATCAAGGGGGCACAGCCTAGAGCGGGACCAGCTCGACTATCACAGGTATGTTGGGACTACATCCGGTTGGCAAGCAAGGTTTAATAGCAATTTCAATATCGCGGCGCCCTTATTCTACCCAGGTACTCCGTACTGGTCAACACATCTATTTCCCCTTGAAACGTCATTTAACTCTCATCACCGCCCAAAGATGGATGGCTGTCCAAGCAGTTGAAGTATGCCACCATCCCCCTAACTGGGAAAAATCGGTATAACGCAAGCAAGGTGCTTATGGGCAGTGGGCATATCCGGTCCAAATTCTAACCCTCAAGCCCTGTAAGTGTCGCGTTTCTTTGGTCCATATTTGTACGTCCGGGTGCGCTGAGGCCGGAAAAATTCGATCGCGAAGAGAGTGTTTAGCTATCTTTCCTGTCGCCGCCTTTGGCAAAGACGGCATGACTCTGAGGATGGTGGGGAGTTTGTAAGACGCCAGGAAAGGTCGGAGATCGTCCTGGAGTGTTTTCAGATCTAGGCTCTGTTTCTTTCTCTGAAGGTCAGCAAAAGTCTTTTTGTTACAGCCCACTGGGGGTGTTTATTTGAAGAGGATAGGCTTCAAGAAACACCAAAGGGCTTCTCCAGCGCTCAAGAAGGACTGCACTTATAAGGGGGATAAAACCCTTACTTGGCCTTGAATTACAACGGCAGCTGCAATCCTCTGTCCGTATTCTTGATCTTCCACGCCCACAACCATTGCCTCGAACACATAAGGAAGCCCATAGATCTCCCGTTCAATATCGGGGGCGGCGATTTTATACCCTCCAGACTTGATGACTACCATCGGCGAAGATGACCAGTTAGCCATGTCCGAGAATTTCGTAACAGATTGTTGTGGGCGTGAGTTTTGGGGTATTTTTTACTTGACTTTACTATCGATAGATGCTCGCCCAAGCACAAAATAGTAGTCGCCCTTCTTGACACCTATATCGCCAGTTTCGAAGTATCCTTCTTCATCCCGGGCTTCTCGATTTGCTTCATCATTATCAAAATACCTATCAGATGAGGAGTACAGTCAATTTACCATTGAACACTCCAAGCACGAAGGAAAGAAGCTTTTACATGTTTTGCACATACCTATCAAGCAGCATGTGTGAACGAATAAGTATCTCTCCTTCCCCAACATTCGAGAGTTTCACGTCAACCCCTGGGTACCCACCCCGCAGCACCATGAGGGAGACCTAGGCCGCCAGGTGAAGCAGTGAAGACGGCTCCGAACTCGGTAGCACCATATCTCGTTGATATTGGTCTTCCTTGGCGAAGTTTTGTCCACTTGCCTGTATGGCGGCTGGAAGCCCTGTGGAACCGCTTGCTAAGATCCGAATTTCGTTTATCGCCCGCACATACTCATCGAGTTGTTGAGGAGGCAGTGCGGAGAGATGTTCCTCAAAGTATCACATCATTCTCACGTAGAGAGTTGGGACGCCCGAGAAGACCGTGACTCCACCCTGCCTCAACCTTTCCCAGGTCTGGCGAGATTCAAACTGACCACCCTGAAATTCGATGGATGCTCCTACAAAGAGGAATGGTAAGATATTGACACCAATACCGGTGACGCGATGGACTGACAGCAAGTGCAGGATACAGTCATCCTTTTTGAAGTCACGCAAGTCCTCCAGTTCCAAAGGGATTTCGTTCAGGTATGCGCGTCGAATGACAGCAGCTTTTAGTGGTCCTGTGGTTCCCGAGGTGAATATCACAAGCCCAAGGAGATTTGGGTCCAGGTATTCAGTGGAACTGATAACGAGATTGTCCTTAGGGACCAGTTCTTGAAGGACTAGTGGCCGTATATTGATAGCTTGAAAGGTCAAGTTCCCGGTTGCATTCAAATTCTCTCCGAGCTCTTCGCCTTTCTTTAAACAGGAAGCCGAATACAGCACTGCGACGGCGCCAACTTTCTTCGTGTAGTACAGTGCTTCTGATACGGGTAGAGCATGATCTACAACTTTGAAAAGTTCTTTGAGTTAGCATAAGTCCAAAGGTTGAGAGATTTCCACAGGAAGATTGAAAGGGTGGTCCTCACAGATCGGGACTACGATGGCTCCAGCAGCTACTATGACAAGGAAAGCAGCAATATATTCATAGTCGCCAGGGCCAAGCAGGGCGATATACACTTCCTCTTGAGTTCCCAACGAGCCCGAGTGTCTGTAGCGAAGCTCGACAACACATGATTGCGGATGTTGAGGACATCGGTTATGAGCTGTAAATGTGTCGCAGCAATGCCTTGGGGGCCATCCCTGATCGCTATCTTCGTTTACTTGCACGCCAATCTCAGCAACCTGTTCAACAACGTGAAGGTCGGTAAAGAATGGGAACCTGCATGCACCAGCTTAGCACGCCCTTGTAGAGACCGATTTAAAGACATTGTTGGAGTATTCTGGCTCTCAGTGAAACAGAGTCAACAACCAACAAGGAAACTCAGCTGTCCGTTATGTGATCCTCTCGCCCGTTGCGAGTGACGCAAACCGAATATGTCCGAGATAAACCAGTGACTGATCCCAACCTAGCCACTCGAGAGTAGGAGGAACATACTGAAGCACCTAGTTTTATGAGCTCCCGGAGCCGGATTGGAATAGGAGCAGCGCGGTACCTGAGTTGTCACTCCTCGGCGTAAAGTATTCGACGTTTGAGTCCGTTGAGTGGGCTGCGCTCTACATTTGATTATGTAAATCGTTGCTTGTCGAATGTCCAAGATGGATAGGCATTTCTCCTCCTCCCTAGTCTTGGAGGTGTGAGTAGCTTACTTCCCATCCCGGAAGCATGTTATCTAATCCATCCACCTTGCTCGAGATCATGGTGATGGCGGGAAAACTGGGCATTACGGTAGTAGGAGTTGAGAAGTGGTGAGGAGCCTGAGTTCCGCTTGAAGTGTTGGGGCGGAAGAAGCAATCCCTGCGGGTCAGCGGGCCGGTGATCGTGTTTGAATGCAACAGAAACCATCCATCCTTTATTTGACCGGCACTATATGCTAAAGCGTGGTGAGCACTCTAATGACCTGAGAGGGAGATCATTAAATTTCGAAATCTACAAGCTGAAATTGTGCTTCTACACTCCCGTCTTTATCTTCAGCGCGTTGTAGTATTGTCCTGATCTCTCCACTTGAGCTACCCATGCCAACCAAGTAATGGGAAAAATCCGATTGATCGTGTTTTCACAGTCCCTAGCTTCCCTCTCACTGAGATATACTATATCGATGTCTGAATCGTCTCTTTGTGCTATGGCTTTTGTCTGGATGTCCGCATTTCGGCGTATATGAATGGCCTTGTATACTACCTCCTCGATGCTGGATGCCCAAGTGACAAACCCATGGCCACGTAGGAATACTGCATTGTGCTCGGGTAGGCTATCGGTTCCATTCACCCCGTAAGAGCGGCTGAAGGTTTCTGCCAGCATGTCGCCAAGATACTTATAGTTAATCAACAAGTTGTGCGCGGACCCGGGTGGCAGTCCATCATAATGGTCGGCAGCATCGAAGATAGGATTTGGCGAGTGGAGGAAGCCGGCCATAAGGTAGCTAGGCTGTAACATACTTCCAGAACTGTTACATAACCCATAGACAATAGAACTTAGATCGTGCGAATGGACAACGCTCTGAACGCCAGGGTATCGGTCATAAATACAACCATCAATGTGGTGCTCTGATAACTCAGGCACAGTTTGCACGGCTTGGCATCCATTGTATGGGTTTGTAACAGGACTACAGTCCCTGACATGCCACTGGTGGAGATCGTTCTTCGAAGAGACGAGGATAGCAGGCACGTTGCTCGTGAAAAAGGTCGAGGGATCATGGGGATTGCGCACTGAGATATGACCTTGTTCGTCGAGTATTTGTTGTTGGTGGAGAATGTGAGCTGCTGTAATGAGACGCGATAGAGTTGGTTCCATGTCTTTCGGGGGCCAAGATCTCGAAAACCAGCCTCCAAGCGATTCTGAATGTCACGAAGACAAATTCCTTTAATCGACGTTATGTCAAACTGGATAGAATAGAATTCTACAGATCATTCCCTGTGTCAGGTTAATGTGAACTTATGCTGGAATGCTAGAGCCTAACAGCGAACGTCATCATCGGCCTAGGCTCTCGCAGATATGATAACTTGTCGTAACTAATCTCCAAATAGCCCTGCCTACCCCTGGAGTACATAAGGAGTCCTTTTCCGGTGAGTGTGTTCTCATTGGCGAGTCAGGGTAATGGCTCCAAAGACTGGAAAAAATCTCCGGCCCGATAGGGTCGGTTTCATTCGCCGGAAACGGAGCTAAGTCATCATCTGCCAGCCCATTCCATGTTCGGGTATTGCCGTAGCGTCAGCCGATGTTCAATCGAGCATAACTCGGTGGGAGGCAACAGGGATGATCCCTAGAATATCTGAACGGCACATCCAGCCGTAGTGGAACTCCACCCACTTCGCTTCCATTTTGTCACGATTACCCTTTTGCCTTCCTTCTCAGCCAAGGGCTAGGCCCACCTTCTGACCAAATACTGAGGAGGATGCGACGTTTTTGTGACGTCCAGATCCTTATAATGATTATGGAGACCGCGTCTTAGAGCAGATAATCCAACGATCGGGATTTTGCCCTCAAAGAGTTCGTCGCACATCCTCCAATTGGTGGCCAGCTCAGATATGTCAGCAGATAGTCCACCAGGGTCTTCACCATCTACCTCGCATCCCACTAGGATCTCTCGACCTCTTGGTCCTTTTCTTTCACTTGGTGCTTCCTCGGGTATCTCAACCAAATCACCAGTCAAGAATCGAGCCTCTCACGCGTGTGATAGATGTCGTCTACTGCGTACGAAATGTTCAGGAGGACATCCTTGTGATAAATGCCAGAAGGACGATGCCATCTGCGCTTTCGGCGATCGCAAAAGGGAGAAGAACAAAAAGTTCAATTACACCTTCATTCTGGATGATGCCTAATGCACTAACATAGTGGATAGAGATCTTGCCGAAAGCATCCAGAAGAACGAAGAACTAAAGGGAAAAATCGATTTACTTGTCCAAGTTTTGAAGAATGTTGCTGCCAGTGCAAACCTGGATCCAACCGAGTCTGCCAATGTTAGGCAGGTCATTATTAACGTAGGTTCATAAGTACAGTAGTAGCCCGGCTGATTATCATGTCTAGTGTGACTTGGCCACACATGAGACACCTTCACTGAGTCCGAGCACGCGAGCTAATAGTTCTTCTCATTTCTCCATGAGCTCTGACCAAACCATCGGCGGCGAAAACTACGTCGATTCTAGTGTGGGATCGCCCGGCCACCAGGACTTACTGACACAAAGCATCGATATAGACCTCGGAAGGGGAACTGTTGGTTTTATAGGGAAAGTATCTGAAATCTCTTGGATCACAAGGGCATACTCATATCTTGTTTCTCTTGATCATGAGCATCCTGACGGGCATGCAAATACGTCACAGCGGAATTCGGGAACTCAACTTGGATATTTCATGGATGATGAGAATCTATTAAGCATTGACGAGGACTACGTCAATGCATTACATTGGCCAGGTGATATGGCCGTCTACATCCTGTCCGAGGCCTTTTTTCATGCACTCCAGGGTATTTTCGACAGCTTCGCCAGAGAGATATTTCTAGAAGAGCTACGTGATTTTCCACGCCATCAAGCCTCCTTCTCATGGGATCAGCGAAGGTGGCTTGCGCTCACGAACCTAATATGGGCGATTGGATCAAAATGGTTACACCAGGCAATGCTTAAAGATGACCTAGGAATAGAAAACCATTTGGTATACTATGCTCGAGCTCGAGCATTAGGGCTCGACCATAGGGTTATGCTCGACTCTCAGAATTTCTACGGTGTGAAGGCGTTGGGAATGCTCTCCTTTTATTTATTTATCAATGGATCGGTTAATAGGTACGCTTAGTAACGCTAGAAGCAAAGGCAGCACTAACAATTACACTATAGAGCATGGGCGTTGGTGGGATTGGCTATCAGGAATGCGACATCTCTTGGCCTACACCTGAAAGTCGCTGATGGCACCTCTAGCCCAACTCAGCTCATAGAGCGAGCCCGCTTGTGGTACTCACTCTACAGTCTCGAGGTAGCGATGTCTGAGGTCTTTGGAAAACCACCCTCGATTTCTCTAGCTTACACCACAGTCCCCGTTATGCTCCTCCAAGGTAGTGTACACAAGGATCATCACGCAGACAATACAAGCTCAAGGAGTCTATGGTTAGACTTTCTCCGCCGCACGAGACCCATTATCCAAACAATGAGTGGAGGCCAGATGTCCTGGCAGATCTTTCAGTTCATCGGATACGGTGCACCTCGACACCATCTCTCTTACCGGACCCGTCTTTCCATGATTAGCAACCAGATCATGACCCAGCTCTACATGCCAAACCAATCCAATTCATGGGCATCAGTACAGAAGAAAATTGCGAATCTCGATATACAGCTTCTCGACTGGCATAAGAGTCTGCCAGATGACCTAGATCTAGAAAGTACCGTGCCCAGTGGGACTGACCCTCGCGCTAAGATCGAACTAGCATTACATTATCAGAGCGTCAGGATGATCCTACACAGACCTTGCCTGTGTCACATCCAGATTCTAGCTGAATCGACTTTCTCTCGAGACTTTAATTACAGCAATGCCAGGAGCTGCGTTTATGGGGCGGTGGCATTAGTCAATATTCTACCGGACAATCCGACTAGGCATGAAGCGTATCAGCTGCTTCCTTGGTGGAATCTGCTGCACTATCTTGGCCAGGCTCTAGCGGTATTTATCTTAGAACTCTGCCTGGACATGGAGCACTTTGAGCAATCGTCGACTTTATTCAAACCTCATATACAGAAGGCCATGACATATCTCGAGTGTCTTACCACTGGCTCCCTGTCGGCGTACAAGGCGTGGAGAATATTGAGACAGATGTTGATGGCTCTCAGTTTTCGAGTTGACGATTTCGATATTGCCAACATCGCTTTAGATGCACAAGTACCAGCTGGCTGGACCGATGTGGATGAGGCGACCCTGATGGAGGCTCTTGGGTCTATTGGTGAAGTGGGTTCTTGAAACTGAGATGGTCAAGCCCCGAGCAGGGACATAGAAGGTGGGCTAGATTATGATATACTGTACTTGTGAAAGGAGCCCAGAGCACAACACGGGCGTCCAATAGCGTATAGCACCCGACCATTCAGCTTTTGCTGTGCAGAGACCGATTTTAATTATCGAGCCGGTATGTGAATACAAATGTAATCAATGCTAGTTCTCAACGACAATATTTTCTGGCCACGAGGACTCAACCGAAATGCTAATTCACATGTATCAATGAAAGTAGATGGTCTACAGAATCTTTCACTGTACCCCCTGCTTGACCCAGGCGCTTAATTCGCTAGAATGGCCTTGAGCTTGGAGGTATCTTCAGATTTTCACTAGGAGCATAGTTATGGTGTGGAGCCGCTCATTGTGCAAGGGAACGATCTATATCACGACTCCTGCGTTTCAATGAAGCATAAATCTATGGAACTTGTCCACAAAATGGGACACCGGATATCTATATGACTGGAAGGCGTGAACATTATTCTAAGTCTCGTTCGAGTGGAACAGAACACTTCCTGCTCCCATGCATCCTTTCTTTATTCACTTACGCTCCACTTGCGGAAAACTCTTCTTGTATCTACTAATCACATCAGTATCCTGTCCCTGCTAAAGTCCTCTTGAAAGCATCTTCTACGATCAACCACACGTGTGATTCATAAACTTAGGTCTGGTCGATTGCCAGTGTATCTTTCGTGTGAAAATCCCAATAGTAAAGTGTCGTCTCAGGCGTCCGCCAGCTTGCTTGCCTGGTCACTCCTCCGTCGAACTCAATGGGTGACTCAGCGGCTACATTAGTCCGCCGATACAGTTACTCCGTGATCATCATCCATGCCTTCCCACAGAAGATTTCGCTTACGAACAGCGATAATGTTGAGCACCATGATGACAAGCCAAGCAACTATGAGTAATACTGCCATGGCACAAGAGACCCCCTTAATAGCACTGCTGTTCAAGGCTTGCCCTAGCTCGATTGTTGCAAGGCACATACCCGCATTCGGAAAGACGAATGCCCACCAGTTAAGTGTAAAACGCATCTGGCGGATGCCGGTACCAATAGCTATGATACTTAGGGCAAAGAACCAGAAACTGACAAGCCACAAGGACATCCCAGCCATAATAAAGAGAATCTTGACAACGTCTCCAACGGGGAGCGTTTCGACACCCAGGAATGCGGAGGGTATCACACTCGGCGCTTGGCGACCAAGTGCAACAAGCCCAGTAGATGTATATCCTGCGGGACCAACGCTAATGAGCATTCCGGGTCGCGTAGATGCCGGAGGTAGGTCGCTAGTGAGAAGTCTGGTTATATAGATAGTGTACATAAAAATCGTAATCAGCCACCCTAGGCTTTGGAACGCGACGGCCCCAATAAAAATAGGTAGCGCAGCAGCGGCTGGCTGGCTTGGGAGGAGCGTCCCTGCAAGAGGTCCAATAACGAGAAATGGATAGGCAGGAAATATCCAGGCAGGAATGGCTGATGAGATTGGCATTCGCTGTCCCACGAAAATAGTTCCGTACTGAACTATGGCGACACAGAGAGCACAAGTGGAGTATATCCAGAAGCAGACCTCGAGGGTCTTTACCAGCCAAAGGCCACATACCGGAACTCCGTAGGCTTGAATACAATTCAACAATAAGGCAATGCTGACCCAAAGAGAACCAAAGAAGAGCGCCTCCGGAGGTGTTTGGAGAGATTTCGATAGAGCTCCAGTGCGCTGGAATCGTATCGAGATAATAATAACGAAAACAGAAAAGAGGACGAGATCGAGGATGAAGAATGATTTCCCGATAATGGTCAAGCCTTGGAAACGGAACGGAATTTTAGCGAGTATAACGGATATAGCGCCAGTAGACATCGTGCAAGCGAACCATGCCCTATATCAGAGTGATGGGATTAGTTAAGATCGAATAGCAAGATGTAACAATGCGATGCGCACCATGTGAAATGTCGAAGGCGACGGTCGAGGATGCTCAATCCCCGAGAACCGAGAGACGACTTCTCCAGCGCCGTCATCTTTTATAGTCACCAGCCTATCAGGTCTCGCTTTTGTTTTGTTTGGGTCGCAATCAATTCTTAGAAGCTTCAGATAGCGAGGTCGATGAAATGCTGCTAACAAGGCTACGTGATACCGTTTCAGATCGTAGCTATGATGACACCAATGGGCGACGAAAACCGTGGTCCGTGTAGCCGATAGTTGGGGCTGGCCAACGTCACAGGCGCACACATTATCGCCACTGCCAACATTAGAAGTGGAGCAAATGGGCCAACAAAGGTCCCGAGATTATGCAACTTAACTCAATCGACAACGATACGATATAAACAAGAGATATTCAAGCTGGCTTAGGAGGAAAGGCAAGAAGAGCATATATATAAGTAATATACTTAGAACTTGGACGATACTTTGAAAAGCGGCCACTTTATCAGTGCCAGGTTGCCAGCCTTTTCTCTTTCCTCCGTCATACCCCTACCATCCACTGGTTTACAGATCAAAATCTAATTCTACATCCCAACTGAATATCTGCTAGTAAATTGGTTGAAGCTCCTATTGACTACATATTTTCGTGAGACTCCAGGTTAAGTTTATCAAATGCCAGCCCAAGCCCTTGCCTTCGGACCCTGCCGACACGGGATCCTGGTGTCGGATTAGGCCGTAAAAGCCGGGGTGATTCAATCGGCGTACCTGGGACGGCAGATGAGGTAAATGAGGTTGATGTGAACCGTGTTGACGGACAAAACCAGGGCCAGTACGAGTACGGAGTACGTATTACATAATACCTACCATTGAGTCATTGACCCATCTACGATTCCTTGGCACTGTCGCCACGCACCATGGTCTCGGCAAGCCGGCATGATCAGTGATGACGTCAGGCGCATTTCCTGCCGCAGAGAAACGATGTTCAGCCTCGACTTTCGGCTGTAGTGCAGGGATGGTACGTCGAGACCGCAAGATTTCAGGTGGAGATGTGGACACTGTTCGTCCAGAGCGTTGGCTGGAAGAACCTAAGAAAGTATCGGAAATCAATCCTTCCCGCTTCTCCTTGGGTGCAGCGGTGCGGACAAACTATACTAAGTCATAAATTATTGTTCTGAGTACTATTGGAAGCACAACGCATGACTCCCTCACGTAGCCTTTACACATGAAATAAAACCCATTATGCAGTAGGTATACTGAACATATCGTGGTAGTATAACGGGTAGTTTTGAAACAACTTCCATCCTTTTCCCTCCGTAGCTGCGCGTTGAGCGCACGAAACGCGTGCTTGATGGTACGTAGTACAGAGTGTTTAATGAGAAGAGGAGTTCGTCCTTAGCCAACCTCTCGGGCGTCCCAACACGAAGGAGGAAGCCCTTAGCCAAACCTTGCAAACATTCGGCCAAGGCCGACAATGGATGCAGTTCTCGGAAAAGCATCTCTTGCCCACTCGATCCAACGCTCTCAAGTTTGAATCGACTTCACTCCAAACGTCAGTCTTCGGCCAGTATCAGAACCGGCCGCCGCGCGCTGATAGATCTCCCTGGCCTCGACCAGGTAGTCTTGAGAAGCATACAGCCGGCCCAAATCGGCGGCAGTGTCCAGTGTAGTGGGATGGTTCAGGCCACATCCTTTTTCCTTGGTTTGTGGGGCTCGCAGATGCGGTCCAAGGTTTTGGACCATAAGAGCTGGTCGGACCCCGGGGCTGGCGTCATTGGTGAAATTGGAGGGTTGTGGTAAAACTTGATGTTGATTAGCAGCAGCTCCTTCGTTGTCCGCGACCGCCAGCGGCTCAGATGTGAAAGGTGACGATTGGCTGTTCATCCCACGTGAATAGGTTTCCTCAAGCTCGGCGGGTGGTAGATCTGTAGAGTGAGCAGAGGCACATACTGGAGTAGTCTGCATGAATGTTTGTTCTGGTGGCATCAGATTTCTGGTCTGCGCAGTAGCCTGGAAGTACCCCTGAACATCTAGAAAAGCATGACGACTGTCAGGCAGCTCTAAGGTCTAGACTACGCCCTGCACTCACCATTGAAGGACAGCTTGGCCCATTCTTGATTGCAGCAGGTGAGATAAGTGCAATATGTTCCCCATCGAGGGCTCAGAGGCCTCTGGGAGAAGAGCTCGGTGATCCGCTGGAGAGCGTCGGCCTTGACTTCCAATAGCGGAAGGTAGGTGACGAGGTTGACGACGATGTTGGCGGAATGCTGCCCAAATCAAAAGCTATATCCGATGGAGCGTATCGGACGGCGGTAGTGGTTCAAACCGATTGCTTTATGCGTCGCACTACTCGGTTCTGGTACGGACGAGCTTGGAACAGCTCGAGCGCTGCCACACTCTTCTTGGTGTGCTCCAGCAAGCTCAGAATCTCTTGTGCGTTGCGCGTGAGTCTCTCGAGCTTCTCCAAGCCACATTCAGCATAGTGGAACTGGACAGCAGGAGTGTTGTCGTAGTAGAACTCGTCTGTCATCATCAATCCGCCAGTTGTCTGAGGCAGAGGGGAACACTCTAGCCTCACGTGTGATGGAGATGGATGTCCAGGATGGCGGTCCGCGCGGAGGAGGTCTACCCTGGCGGTCTTAGGCTAGCACAAATTTCTCCGGGGCATAGACGCTAGCACGGGAATCCCCGCTCCTACAAGCGAGCTCCAGAAACTCCCCCTTCTTGTGCTAGCACACAGATTCCGCCATTGCAGCCACGCTAGTTCATCAAAAGATTCACCCGGAGGTCCATCTCGTTCCGTGTCGCAGGAGACCCTGAATAGGGCTCCATGGCTGCAAGGGAAAGGGAATTCCCCACCAGAGCATGGCCCGCTTTCGGTCTTACTCCCAGTGGCCCGCGGAGGCCGTGTATTGTGTCGCCGGAGGACAGCCTTACCAGACTTGTCTCCCCCTTCCCATTGGCCCCGCCGCTTCAGACAGAATGATAGCACCGCACGTGATACGAGATTTGAACATAGGGGCGGGGTCCTTAATCCGAGTCGCCGTATTGATAAGCTTCAATCGTTCTTTCCGTTAAGGCTCGAGCTGCACGCTCCTCTATCGACCAGGAACTCCTCATGGTTATAACCACTGTTTTGTCGGTAAGGCCACGTGAATCTGAGTGGAGGGCTCACCGCGGAGTGACCACTACGTGTAGGCTATTTCTCGCCCTCAACTACACCACACAGTTTTCAAAATCGCCAAGTCATTACAATCCCTTCACAAGATATACAGCCCTGAGACACGCATGTAGCAGTCCACAATTCTATGATCAGAAACGAAGTATGCAATCATGGGCAGAGAACGATTTCGATTACACCTTCACGGACTAAAATAACCTTATTATTGGTAGATTCCATACAAGTCACTCTCTCAAGACAATTTCACCGTGGGCAGAGCGGGGCTCACACGGGCATACAGAGCCAAGGTTTAGGAAATCCGTCCATGGCTCACCTCGCTTTGAGAACGAGGGTGATGCCGCGCCGCATTTCGCAAAACCACTTTTAATTCATAAAATGTGGATATTGGTAGGCTACGTGGGACCCTTTCCACATTCGGATTATTACGGAGATAACAGGTTTTGGTTTGTACACATGCCGGGATATTTATATACCGAGGGATGCAGCAAAGATGTTCTGAGGACCTGCCTGCATCTTCTTCTTCAGCTTCTCTAGGTTGGGGTGTCGATTGCACAGAAGAAGAAATTAATCCTTTTGGAGCCAAGCAGAATCCCATCCCAGGAGTTCATCAGCCTAGCTCTTCTTCCCTTGATCGCGTAGCATCCCAGCTAGGTTATATCTAACTGTCCGTGCAGAGGGATGCTCTTTCCCTAGATCTCTCTCCATCGACCCTAGTATCCGTCGATGAATCTCCTCTGCCTGCTCATACTTCCCTTGACCAGCTAACGCAACGGCCAAACCATTCAGTTGTTCCAGTGTTGAGGGAGGATCTTTTCCCAGCTTCTTCTCCGTTGACTCAGACGTACGCTGATAAATCGCGTCCGCTTGCTGGGGCTTACTGAGGTTCCTTAACGCTTGAGCTAGATTAATCATGCTCGAGATTGTCGAACGATGCTCACTTCCTAATTCATGCTCCGTGACCTTTACATGGAACGCCCACACATTGTATTCGTACGCCCATTGCCTTTGCCGTCGTAGCAATTTCCCAACGCCGCCCACGAAGTCGCGATGCTGATCGGTGGAACGATACCGTATCCCGCAAGCTTGCGACACTGTCGCAAAATTCGTCATCACGTGCGGCACCAATCGTGTCTCCATCGCAAGGTTACCACGATATTTCTGTATCGTCTCACCAAGGAGTTCCAGCGTTGCCAAACTCCAAATTTGTCGTTGCTCCACCTCTAAACGGTCATGTCCACATGCGTGCACTAGCTTATGCATTGCATACGCCTCTTTATCAGCCCGCCACGAAATGAGTGAGTATGTCTGAATTATTGCGAAGCTCGATATAAGGGTATATTGATCGATCTCCCTATCCGGCGACAGAAGAACCTGCCATTTAGTTATCTCTTTTCAATGTAAATCGTCCGTCACTCCTTTTTTCGCCTGAGGTTCTCTTTGAAAGAGACCGATAAAAACATCGTCGAAGTTCATAGAGGCTAACAGGCACAGCAACCTCGACGCCACTGCTGACCGTCGCTCTATAGCAATGAATGACGTCTCAAACGTACCGAATACGCTCTTGTTGTATCGATGAATATTTCGAATAGCTGTTCGACTCAACATTCGCCTGCGTTGCTCATGATACTCTGGCAGGCAAAGCCGGAGATCCGATGAGACGAGAGGATTGGCCGCCACGTACGACCCAGCAAGCGTAATCGCTAGAGCGAGGCATCCCAGTTCTTGGACGATGGCTAAGCTCTCCTCCTCAATCTCCGTACTCGTCGAACGTATCTTTGCACACAGCAGAAACAACTTCACCGCCTTGGTAGGCTTCATCTCGCCTACCTCTACAGCCATCAATGGGCTCATCTCCTACGCTTGCGAGCTCCGCGTTGTGATGATGATGTCCACTTTAGGCGCGTCCGGGAGATAGTGGTGCAAGTGGATATACGATGGGTCATCCTCGTCATCGACCGCATCCGCACTATCAACTACCAACAGGGACCGTCTGTGTTGTTGTTTAAACCAGCTCTTCACGGCAGGGACCGCCTCCTCAGGGTTGATCGAGGAACGGCTGCTCCTAGCCAGCTTTGGAAATAGTTGCTTAAAGATCTGGATATAATCTCTCTCAATCGTCTCTTTCTGCCCAGCCTCTACCCAAAACACCACGCCATAATTCTGGCCCAAGATCTTGAATGTAGTGTCGTACTAGTTGTGATTTTCTTGATCCGCCTAGGCACCAGACTACCACTATCCGACTCTCATCGTTATCGTGGTCCGTAACAGAATGGAGTTGGTCTCGAATCTGTTGCTGGAGTGTGGGTCGTGGGATGTAGTTCGCCACTGGCTTGAGAGGAGTAGGCATATTGACCGCTAAAGTCGGGACTATCCGTCGTCTCCGATCCTGATCGGTGTCAGTGTCACAACAGTTCGAGATTGGCCATTGTCTACCTTGGACGACTATGTTGCCAAATAGCACACGCACGGTGCCGCCAATTTGGTTATTCTCGTATATGAGACCTGTTAGGAGAAGGAGTTCGCTCGGCATAGTTTCTCCTCAAGTGGCGCCAATGATAGCTTTAAATTTATCCAGGTCGCAAGAACACGGTCGTAAGGTCATGGCCTTAACAAGGACTCTTTGGTCAGCCTGACGCGATTTGAACGAATGTACCTAGTACGAGGTAACTAACCGAACCAGCTCTTTCCGAGATCAGGCCGGGAAGAATGGTTAGGCGAAGCACAGGTTTGGCAGGCCCTTGTTCACGTGCGCGTTCTGGCAGCGCCACAATATGACACCAGCCAGAACCAGCCGCAATTCTTCCAGGCAGAAATTACCTATCTTAACGCCGGAGTGAGTGCATTGCAACAGATTTCTGTGTGTACAATCATATCTCCTTCACGAAGCATCCTGCGTACCGAGCTTTTAGTATTATATCTCAAAAATAACTCGCAACTGACTTGCTCTCTAATTCAAAGGTAGGAACAACGCTCCTATCCGCAACAGGCCTCCCGGCGAAGACCGGAATCATGGCTGAGGCTGCAGGACTCGCCATTGGTGCAGCTTCCCTTGCCGGCCTCTTCTTGACTTGTATCGAATACATGGAATGTTTCAACCTTGATCGGAATTTGGGACAAGATTCTGAGGCGTCCGTTGGGAAAATGATGTTGCTGGAGGCGAAGCTGACAGCCTGGGGGGCGTCGCTGCGTGTTGTTGAGGTTGGCAGTGTGCTACCAATCCTGAGAGGCCGGTGGAATCAAGAACAGGAGACAATTGGGAAGGCGTTGGTGGGCATTAAAAATATACTTCAAGATTCAAGAACTCTAGAGAAAATTGATGGGCTTGAGAGAATCACCTGGAACGACAGTCAAATTGTATCAACACCAGATGCAGAAAATGCTACTAGTCTTCAGGACATCGAGCATGCTTTTCGATCCTCAGCAAACAACTCGACAGCAGGAAACATCATTATGGAAGAAGACACTCTGGGCTGTTCGCGACAAAAAGAAGTTCGATGCATTGATTGACAATCTTGCTTTCTACATTGATAGCCTAGAAAAACTGAGCGATAGACTGAGGCTACGGCAAAAAGCTCTCCATTTGAGACTTGAAGGGATCAATTCGAGTCACGATATGCCTACGCAGGAAAGTGCTGCTACAACGTCAGCCAACCCATCAGATCCGCTGGGGTCAGAGTAGCAGAGAGGTGCAGCTGGTGGAGACCACACGAGCCACCACCGATATCTTAGGACAGTCATTCTTGACCAAGCGGGACCCGTTAATGGAAATATTGGTATCACGGACGCCCAATCGTACGGCCATATCTATGATAATGCACACGTCATGGACGATGCTAGAGCAGTACGGGGAGATACGTCAGCAGGGTTTGCCACTGACTTCTTTAGATAGCCATTGATGCTGACTGGATGGATGCATGACATTGATCAGCTGTGACAGCAAGTTCGAGAGTAAATCGGTCCATCAAGAACAGCGAAGTGGAAAGCCAGAAAGCCGGGATTCGCTCATTGGGACCCACCAATGATTGCATCGAGTAATTCCAATATTGGGTTTGAAGTCGAAAAGAGGACGCGCAGAGGAATTGCAAGGTAACCGGGAGAGTGAGTAGGAGGGTGAGTTGAAGGGTTGGATGAGAGGCCAGTCGTGAGAAAGAGGTTGGAAAAGCGGCCCGGTTGTGATGAGAGCCAACGTGAGCTGCGAGCAGTTTTACTATTGCTTGAGTGGCCAAGTCATTTGGGGCTGTGCGGTGTTGAGCATTGCCACACTGGGCCTGAGGTCTGTTTCATCCTATTTACTGGTAAGCACCTAAGAGAAGGCCGTGCACTTTAGATTCAGCATCGTCTTTGGATACGTTGCAATTGAATTTTCAAAACATTGTTGATTATTCTACATATGGCCGAGGAATGATCCTTGCTTATGGAGCGGGTTCTTGCATTCAGCGGTGCCATAAAGGAGCTGGACATCATGACACATGACCAGGGGAGGGAGGAAAGTACGCCATCGAACTTTGGCGAATATATGAATACAGGCTTTTAGAACGGGTTATTGGAGAGGGAAGATGAAGAATTCGGGGTGGCAGGCTCCTAGGGTCAGGATCATGAGATCGACTGGTGATGTCTTGGTGATTGAGGGCGATGCGTTGATTCTGGCTGGAGACCTGATGTGGTAGAACAAGTGTCTGTTTGACAGTCTCTTGGACTACTTATCTATGTTAGACGCTATACATAATATAGTCCTGCTGACTAACATACATACTCTTTGTCTTTCTCTTTCCCTCTGCTCCTATTCCTATCATAACTAGATGCATCGTCTGAGGAGCTTGAGGGTCAGTGACGAGAGGATACTATGTGATAGAGGATGAATGGACGACGAAATCCAGATTGAAGTCCACTCGAGGTCTTGTTCTATATTATCATTTCAACAGGTGCTAATGGGTTCCTCCCCCGGGTATTGGCCTCCGAGTGCGCGGGAGTTGATCTCGCTGCATGCAAATCAATAATCTAATATGCTTCTCAAGACCCCACTTCGGACTTTCCGACCTTCTACTACGGCTCTTCCTCTGTTCCAACCTCAGAACCTATATGCAGGTTTTTTCCCCGTCACTGGCTCTACCCCCCTCTCCCATAATTCCTTCAAATTCGCAGGATCTATTGGTGCACTGAGCTAGGCTACTTCCGTGTGAGGGTTTCAATAGGAGTTTATTCAACTACTATGTACCGTATAGCGAGGACGACGTTAAGCTGAGAGAAAGGAGGGAAAGAGTCTACCTATCGTCCATAAAGAAGATATAATCTCCTAAAGTGGATTATCCAGTAACCTAGGCAACTAATAATATCATGTGATACCATTCACTCGCTTCCTTGTGCAGCCTAGTTAGCATCGCTGGTTCCAACCAAGACTAACTACAGGTCCAACCGGTGAAAATTACTAGGTACTTAATCACTATAAGCAAATTTTCATAATTCTATATTATCCTTAGTTCTAGAGTATCTCTAATAAATAGCTTAGGAATAGGTAAAAACTTTACTCCTTAGTCGCCGTTAGTCTATCAGTAAAAAGAGGTCGAAAAGGGGTCGGAAAGAAAGGGGATCGGATCGAGATAGAGAGGGCGACGGTGTAGGCAATTGTACTTACTCTCAATAATCAACTAAATCAACCGTGTCGAAATGCCTCAGGGTGTATATCCCTCGCTGGAATATGACTTCGCAACTGTAGTCGTACACTCATTCTCTGTGCTGTGGGCCGTTACTCATCTCATAAACACAGCTATGCGCTCAATGAGAGTGTACTGTTGTCTCTTCGTTCTCCACCTGCTTGTCTCTTGTCAGGCAATAGGGCCGTAAGCCCTTGAGGATCGCTCAAAAAGACAAGAATCTCGCACGAAGTGCGAGGTGTTCTCGGACCTGTTAACTATCTGCTTGTCAGGCCAACCATTCCTAAGATCTCTGAATAATAGGATGCTTATAATACAAGAATAGCTATGACCCCTGCTCGCTCAGCCTTGGCCTAATGCCTCGGCATACGTGGGAATTATGCGCATCCAACTATTAGTCCATTAGTAGTACTACTGCCCCTTTTCACTAGCGCGTTACGTATTTCATGAGTTAGTATGCGCTAGCTAAATCTTGGCGCTAACAGAATCTCAAACACTGTAGAATATACGCAGCCGAATCTTCCGTGGGGGGGCGGAGTGTTGGTTTAGAGAGATTTGATTGGCCGCCTCGATCTTCAACCCCATGACGGCCATCAAAGCGCAAGTCACCGTCGTCAATGCCAGCACGTGCTTGTTACATCCAAGTCGACCAAGACCGCCTATACAAAGCCACATAAGCTGCTCACCATAGCTTGAGCCCACGATGTGCCTTCCCAGGACGAAAGACTCTGCTGTCTTGCTGCTCCCATGTTTTTGGGATTCTAACTATAAGATGTGGACTTTGGCCTTTACCAAGATTCCAACTCGATCTTGTCAAATCGTCTTGCACAAAGCTATGATCGTCCCTATGGAGACTTCCCACAGGTTGCAGAGAAACAGATAGCTTCTTGCAGTTCTCTTTGTACCAGCACAAACCCTCGGTGTGTTGTGATTTACATCGGTGTCTTTCGAATGCTCATCTTTGCGAAGTAGAATCGCCTTGGGAGCCTCTTTAGGATGGTTGCCCTTGAGCAATATGACTACATCTTTGCAATCACAACTGTTTTCGCTGCCCTTGATGCGTGGAATATCGGTACGTTTGTCTTACATTAGCCCGTCTTCTCCATCCATCGCTCTCAACTTCTTCTACTCTACTTGTTCAACGTACCACTGGAACAAGATACTGATAGGTTGACAGGAGCCAATGATGTTGCGAACGCCTTCGCTACATCCGTTGCGTCGCGGTCCTTGACGCTAAAGCAGGCAGTTGCAATCGCAAGCATAATGGAATTTGGAGGCTCGGTGGCCGCGGGCGCTCGTGTCACAGATACAATTCGGACGAGAATAATTGATCCGCAACTGTACCACCATGACCCCGGTGTGCTGCTCCTAGCAATGATGTGCGCAATTATCAGTTCCGCCTGCTTCCTCCATGTCGCAACACAGAACGGTTTTCCCGTCAGCACTACACATTCCATTATTGGTGGATTGGTAGGCTCTGGGGTAGCATCTGTGGGGATGTCGAATATCAGTTGGGGATGGGGTGGGGTATCTCAGGTTTTCGCTGCGTGGATTATTGCCCCGGGAATTGCTGGAATCCTAGGTGTCATTTTGTTCTTGATTACGAGGTTTCTTGTGCTCATGAAGCGAGATGCAGTTCGGCGTGCCTTCTTCTCGATCCCTGTCTACGTCTTCATTACTTTTGGAGCTTTGTCAAGTCAGTTCTACCCCTTCTCCCGTTGTGGTTCCACTGACGTCTTTAGTGCTTGTGGTGTGGAAAGGTATCGACACAGTAGTTGAACCTACTGATACACAAATCCTAATATCCGTTTTCACCGTCGCTGGAGGTGCAACGATCCTTTGTTCTACCTTCATTCTTCCGTTTCTATGGAGGCGAATTGTGTATAACGATTGGCAACTCAGATGGTTCCACGTCTGGAAAGGGCCATATTTGCTCCGTCTGCCTCCACCCCCACCTGCACCGGCCGACGTTAGGGTGCACAATATTACAGACTACTACCGGGGGCACATGAATTTAGAAGAATTGCGAATACTTCGGATATCAGAAGCCATGATGCATTCCGTCCAGGCTTCCAGCACCGTAGCAGAACTCATGGGTAAAGACACAGAATCCCAATCGTCACCTCATTCCCACATTCCACTCCAGGACGAACCTGAAAAACTACGACCACATCGGCCCCTTGGGTCCTGGAATAGTCTACCCGTGTTATGGTGGAAATTACGCCATTTTTTTCTACATGGAGTAGAGCAAGATGTCGTCACGATGCAGAAGCGCAACACATTGTTGACTTGGAATATTGCAGATATGCATGCTCGTGCTTCGAGATACGATAACAAGGCGGAGTATATGTATAGCGCTTTACAGATTATGACTGCTGGTGCTTCATCATTTATTCATGGTTCGAATGATGTTGCGAATGCCATGGGGCCATTTACTTCTGCTTATTACATCTGGAAGACTGGCACAGTTCAGACGCAGCAATCGGTGCCAATTTGGGTCTTGTGAGTCTCTCCTTGTTGAGCTTGTAATTTAGAACTGACAGATACTATCCTAGATGCTTTGGTGGAGCGGCTATTGTGCTGGGTCTATTGTTCCATGGATATTATGTGATGCAGAATCTAGGAAATAAGCTTACCTTGATATCGCCCTCGCGTGGCTTTTGCATGGAGCTAGGAAGTGCCATCACAATATTGATGGCAACCCGACTGGCTTTGCCAGTCTCTACCGTAGGTTTCGAATTCTTCCTCCTAAATTAACTCTACTGAAATCTGGTTTTAGACACAGTGCATAGCCGGCGCGACAGTGGGTGTCGGACTCGCAAATGGAGATTGGAGATCTGTAAATTTTCGACTTGCAGGATTCATATATCTTGGATGGGTTATTACTGTGCCTGTTACGGCCCTTGTTTCGGGTTGTTTGATGGGTATTATCCTGAATGCTCCTCAATGGGGAGATGGTGTGAGCAGGATGTAACGTATCGTTGCGATTCTGGACGATACTGGATTAACAGCCTGCTTGTCTCAAATTGATTGTATGCAACGGGTAATGTAAAACAGATGTGAAAGTGGAGCTATGAATATGTTTGTGATCAGTTCGAACCTAGGTGAGGAGGGATTTGAATTCACAGAGTTGCCCCGAATGCGTTGATTTGATTTACTCGTAAGTTTCGAGATGCCAAGACCTCAGACGTCACATGCCGACCGCTCATTGGATAAGTGATAAGACGCTGTCATGTTAGAATAAATAACAGACATCTTGACGCCCGAATAAACAACAGACATGTCACGTCCTGTCTGTCCCACAAACCCTAATTCTGAGTAGGACATCTGGAATTGGTTCTCCGGTGAAATGTCTTCCTCGGCCGATTGGATCCTAGAGCGATAATGCTTGAGTGGTTCCGTCGCGGCCGTTTTGCTACCCAAGTTGCCCTTTGCGGATGGATGCAGGAGTCTTGGATCGCTGGACATCAAGGAAGGGTATACGCAGACACGCAATTACAGGAAACTTCAAGTGTTGAAGCACACAGCCTTTGCCGCCTGTGCTACTAGAGTCTAAAAGAAAAACGTGTCCACTTTCGATTGGAATAATATCCAAGTATCCTTTTAGAAGCCACAAACTAGTACACAAGGTCACTTTGTGGTACCCTAGGCATTCGAAAAGCCGCCTCCAAGGCTTCGACTCAAACAGCTCTATTCTATATTCCTGCACATTGTCTGAGGCCGGTTTTAATCTATAGTATATGAGGTCGGACGAACGGTTTTGAAACTAGACCCTTAGTCGTAGGTTGAACAAGGATTCATGAAGCCTTACATTCAGAACTACAAAAAGGGACGTTGGCCCACTGCGGGCGTTTCCCCGACAACAACGCGGACCAATTTTGAGGCTCGCCACGATATCCTCGCAGCATTTCATTCCCTTCTCTTCCATTCTTCCACCACAGCGCACCTCCATTTTCTTATTGGTACATCGTATTGTCAACGTTCTTTACCAGCCACATCTCCTTTTTCATTTATTCTCTCATCAGCCCCCACGCTCCTTACAGTATCGCACTATTTAATTACAACTTAGTAATCCGCCATCCAGTTAGCGGCTTGGCTAGGAATATCGGGACTCGAGGTCTAAACCCCGAGGCGGCATAGGACGACTGGGCCGTTACGTACTCAATAAATGGTCAGTAGGAATGGAGAGCGAGATTTGGGAGCTTCGTCGCCTAGGTTTCGAACTGCCAAGAAGAGAGTCGATTCATGAACCCGTTCAGTGATTCAGATTCCTAAGAGAACTCTTGGAGCGGGTCGTCTCTTTGCGCAAAGATTATCAGGAAACGGCTGAGCTGGGGACGTAGAACGTCATGGGTCTCCCAGTCAATCATCAAGTGATCGCCTGGAGGTCGTTTTCAAGCGATTCAAGGATCCGGAAATCGAGCTCCGGCCAGACGAGATCTGGTTGGTGAATTAAAACCAAGTAATTTGGAACCTTTTCCTTCCCGTCACCTACGCTACGCATTCATGTCCTGACCACCGTTCAAGAAATATTTTATTGAGGTCCCGTGATCACTGACATAGGGTCTCTTGCATAGCCTCCGACAAAAGGGAAAAAAAAGGTCGCTGTTTTCGTCTGGACTTGTGTGAGACACCACTTCGGAGCACTGTGTTTTTCGATCTAGAACTGACCAAATCATCTAGTCAGTTTGTGGGGCGCATCCCATTAAGGTGCAAATTGACACCTGTGCTCATTGCGGCCACAAGCGTTGTGCGGCGTGTACAACTGAGAAGATATCAAAGTGAAAATGACGGAGCTAGACTGCTTGCTTCTCTTGCTTCTGGCTTTCATGTCCCATCCCCCGATGTCATTCGATGGTTTCGACATCAATCCGGGATGTTTCGAGCTCCCTCTCAAACGGATATCAAGGCATCTGGTTGACTCCGTTCAGTCACGGATGCACTGTTCAGCGCCCGAAGATTCGGCTCCTAGTCCTAGCAAGGAAACGTCCCATGGAGTTCCGGAGAAGCCACCCTGGATCGAATTTGATTCTCCTCACGTTGCCCAAGATAGCGTCACCAATAAGTCATTCAGCTGGAGTCTTGGGCTAAGCGTCAGCCAAATCCAGGCAACACCGCTCAACAAAGGTCATCTGCAGCTCTGCTCTAAGTCCAGTCAGACCTTTAACCCCCTGGTCTCAGGTGGACGCCACCTAACACCCCGCGCGCTGGCCATATACCCTTCAATTCCGAATTTCCTGTTTGTCGTCTACAATAAGGGCGGCCATCATCATCACCGCCGGGACTCTCTTTTGGCTCCTCTTCATGAGCCTTCTCATACTACCATCTTTATTTAGTCTTTCCACTATTTTTATGCGACGCTCTCTCTTCAATTCGATAATCGGTTTTGGTGCTGGTCTCCAAAAAATTCAGAAGTAGCACACTATGACTATGCCAACTTATTCCTTTATTTGAAAACTGTAGTCGAGAAAATAAAGAAGTTGTTGATCTCGAAGAACAGGATTATGGAACGTTGTAAGATCTGGAGTGGGGGACATGGATGGCTCTGTTGAACCACGACCTTGTCATGCCAGTACGGGCGTTTACACCTTGCAGAGCTTGCGATCTGCAATGTCGAAGGTCGGAATTCAAGTGAGGGTAAGAAGAGTCCCTGCAGCTGCAGGGGCTAGTAGGATCGACAGAGACAAGACCTATATTGTTGAGATTAGACCTGGAGCCTTTCATGCTACACCATGCTATCCGATACCATCTCCTGTCTCCGTTGGATCCCTGGCTGCCGTGGACTCGATGTCTTCTGGCTTGTTGCGTCTCAACCGATGTAGAGAAGGCATACTCGGCACCCAAGTCATCTGGAGAGGCCATCCATTCTTTGGACCGTCGCGAATTTTCTCTGCTGATGCCTCAACGCGCGCCCATTCCCCCAAACCTGAGAGCCGCAAGATCTGCCGATAGAAAGTAGACCCCAATATGATGACCCCAAGGACGAGACACACCACCACAAAAGACCAGGGCTTCGCAGTGAGGAAAGGAAATACCTTCTGCCTAACGCTCTCGTCCATGGAGTACATTCCCAATGTCAGAGCTACGGGAGAGCAGAGCTGCAGGATCGAAAAGGATATCAGGTCCTTGGTTCTTTCTAACTTGTCTGGGAATATGTACGTACCATTAGGATTAACGAGAATGCTTTATTTTCCTCTGCAGACTCGTTCTGGCACAAGTCAAGTCTAAGTTGAAGCTGGATTTTAGAGCCGGTTAGTACAGCAGGTTTGACCAGTCCTGAAAAGATGGCCGTAGGAAAGACAGGAAGACAATGACTTACATCCTCGACGAAGCGGCCACAGAGACTTTTCGTGTCCTCGAGGGTTTTCCTCAGGGAATTCAAGTCGTCGAAATATGCTTGGAGAGCGCATAGCGACGGGCAAATAAGAACTGATTCGGGAACGTCAGTGAAGTAAGGAGCGTGCTGTAAGCAAAACCCCTCGCACGCAGCCACGGTCTGCGTTAGGCGTTGTGACAAAAGCGTTAAATCAGTCCTGGCGGCATTGACCCACTGAACCGATTCTCGAATCTCTCTGCTTTGCTCTTTGGCCTGACCGGGGAAGTGGCGGCCGCTTGGTCCTAATTTGGGACGGTGGGCCTGCCAAAAATGTCAACAGTCAGCCAGCAAAGCTGGAGAAGTACTATTGATTAGGATCAGCATGAGTCTTGTGCCTACCTCGAAGAGGCAGACATACCAGCTACCTTCTCATAGTCCCTAACGCTCTGTTCCACCTTCCGGACTACTTGGCGCCATTCTCCGTTGATTTGATTCAGACGATGTTGGAAGACAACTAGGAACCACTCGCGAGGGTCCTTAATGTTATCGTCGAGCCGCAACCAGCCAAATGTGCAAGGATCCATGAGCATACCTTCTTCCCCTTGGCTCTCCTCATAGTATGCCATGGGAGTGTCTCTTGCCTCGTTGTCAACATCAAAGTAGGATTCCACGAAGCAATACCCGACCCATCTCCGAATGTCTGAGCCTGCGACAACGCAAGAGGTTTGTGCCTCATAAAAGAAGGAATGGGATCCCTTGCTTCGCCAGTTAAGATATGAGGCGTCACGGGACTTTCTCATGGGTCGACCATTGTTATCTCGCCGATGGTCCTCGATTCTTATTTCTGCATCTCTCCAGGCATAGTATGGCAGATGAAATGCAAGTTGAAACATACGATATTCTCCTCTCTGTATGATAAAACTGTTAGCACTACTTTTCTTCATCTGCTCCTAGGTCGCCAAAACATCGATTTCTCACCACAACAAAGGTCGGCCCAACAAAGGTCTGGGTAGTCAGATGTCTGTAGAGAGCATGTCGAAGGGCGGAGGCCTGATGCTTTGAGGCTGTTCCAATGAGAGCACGCATGCTCCATTCGTCGATATCAATCACAAAGCTTGCCCTATTGTCAGTATCGACGAGTAGTGCTACGTAAGCAGTGAGGGAGATTTCTCGTACATAATTCTCCGCTCAGCATCTGGTTCCTCATGCTCTCTATCCTGAGGAGACTCGGGGGCCGCCAATGCAGGAGGAAGACTCTGGCTGGCTCGTAACCCAAGAAGAGAGATTGTGAAGGGGGTAAGGCGGGTGGTGAAAATTGAAGCACACTGTCCCGTCCAAGTCGTTCCTGGGTACGTTCTAGAATACCCGTACATGTTGTTGGTTGACTGAGCGGCTCCTGGTGCTTGATGGTAGAAATTTGTCCCCTGAACCCCTGGCTGAGGTTCTGTTCCCTGCAGACAGTGACATTGAGATTCATCTGCTTCGCTAGAATCGGCATCCATGGATACAGGACGCTGGGCAGCAGTGGTTGCCAGGCTTTGAGCAGACCTACGATGTGATCCTTTGCAGCGGCGTGACGGACAAGATTGCAAGCGCTTGGTAGGCACATTACCTCCAGCTTAAGACAGCTCTAATTTGGACACTGGATGACTTACCGGTTTTTTCAGTTGATAGTACAGCTCGAGCGCTGTCAGTGGTCCCTTCTGCGCCCTTGCTTGAACTTCTGTGTGTTGGAAGTTTCTTTCATCCAACAAAGCAACCTGCTGCAAAGCCTTGTCAGCAGTCCCGTTTCTTTGATAGAAGCGTTTGAAGCTCGAGCCAGAGAAAAATGCAAGTACAGTGTCGGCCTCTGGTGTACATATGTCAGACTCATTCCCTCGCATAAAGTCTCGGATAGCATTCTCTAAGTCGATGAGCCAGGCTCGGCTTCCGACTTCGTGTTCATACTCGGCTGCGATGAGCTCTAGGAGAGATATGTTTTCGGTTTCGAGCTGGATGCACCGGGGCTCGGAGAACACCAGATTCCAACAGATATGCTGGAAAGATTCTCTTGCTTGTACAGATGCAGGTTCTGGCGGTCTAGGTTTGTTTAGGGCCACCGGGGCCATCTCGCGGGAAGACCGCTGGCTGCGACGAACGAGCCGCAAACAGCGACAATGATAGCCTCAAAACCAACGAAATTCAAAGGGACTCGACAGGAGAGGTGACATATATATGAGTGGGAAGTTGCCATTCTTTCCAACATATTCTTGGTTCTATCTCCACAGCCCTGGTCGGAACGCCTTTGAGATATTCGCCCTGCTTTCTCAGGGTCCTTTGCTTACATCGTTCCCGAATGAAACACTGGAAAGCCCCCTCTAGTGTCACTTGCGAAATAGATGTAGGGTAGATTGGATGATCAGCTGGATCTTACCCCAATGTGTAACATTCGATCATATCGGCGCTGCAGAGCTAGCACTAGCACACCAAGCCCAACACGCTGGCACCAGTCGATAATAGTGCGAATTTGAGCGGATTCGCAGCCCTGTCGTTGGGCAAGAATGAAGCTTCATCGGCTTCGGAAGCCAGCCCAATAAGAAATAAATCTTGCCAACAGCAAAATGAAAGGCATTTTGCCTTGCCAGCGCACCTTCATCGATAATGACTGGCCTCAAAACCGAGAGAGACTGCCGTATTGGCCTTGCTCTGCCTAGGTTATGCATGACACGCTGTTTCATAATGTTGCCTTGCACTGCCAGTCAATATTTCCACAAACCATCAATCAGGGGCCGCAACGCGGAAGGTTTGGAGTGTCAGAAGAAACCGAGCTGAAATTGAGCTGGGCTTCTATCTTCGTATCGGTTCGCTCGAAGATTACAAAGCGAACTGGTACGGGAAGATTATCAAATGGAACAATGGAGCGAAGGATGCTAGGAAGCTGGACACCCATACCTCTGCCACGAGATAACTACATTAAGTAGCGGCGCTTGGCGCACGTGACTAAGTCCAGATCGATACAGCCGCTACAGTCATATTCTGCCGCATGATCATATTCCATTGATTCTCGCCCACGGTACTATCCCCTCCGTAGCCAAAATGGAACTACTATTTGATGTTTATGTCGACAAAAGCAGCCTAGATACTGGAGACGCCCAGAGATATCCCTTATCCCTTGAGCAGCCAGGTAGGCCGCTCCTTTTCTCCTTGGCACAACACCTCTAGAATCGTGTACGCGTCGCAGTTAAATAAGTAGTAACTAGCACAAACCACGTGTTTTAGTATAGTTCCTAGATAGAAAATTGTGCGCAGGACAAGGCTGGAAGGAGATACCTTGGCGTTGCTTAGCGAATAATAGTGCTAGGCTATATTAGTGTTTGGATTGTAGCAATTTATTAACCTATAAGACCCTATAACTAGATGTTAGCCGCGATAAGAATCCTCAGCTTTCTAGCGTAAATCTACACGATATTTATCATTGAATGGTGAGTACACGAGAATTTCTTACCGTAGCGAGGAGCGGGCTCTATTAATTAATAACCTCGAGAGTTCCAGCTTCGTATTTATTAAAGGCCCTGCTATTTAAGTGGAATACGGTCTACATCGACGCAAAAGCACGAGACCTACCCGACTTGCAAAAGGATCGAGGACTTGTTGACTTCTTCAGGGCAATCTACCAATTTCTCACCTCAATGCATTGTGCATCAGTGGCGTACAAAAGGACGGCAGCCCTGGTTGTGAGTGGACTTCTTGTGTGCGGCTCAGCTTGCTCATCAGGTGCAGGAGGTGCGCATGGGCTGCTGAGTCTAGGCCAAGCCGATAGTGAGAATCCAAAGGCGGTCAGTCTTGTGAGGTGGCAACTTCAGGTTCGGGAGGCAATTTGGCTACACTCATTCACTTGCTGCAAGTCGTGATCTGTGGGAAGAGCCTGGGAACATTGATTCCATCTTTCTACATGGATGACAACCGTCCCCGGGAGAGGAAAAGCAAAAAGCCGCTCCATAATGTGAGAATACTGATATTGGCTGGGAGCATGTGAGGGTCCGCGGATAGTGAAGCAGACTCAGGATAACATGTCGATCATGACCGTTGTTGCTTCGAGTATATTCTAAGCCACAAGGGTAGTAACTTTCGTGCATACTTGAGGCCGCTCTTGATCGTTGTCAGGTCATCAGCTAACGATTCGCAAGATTCATCGTCACGCGGCTGACAGAGGTTAGGAAACGCTAGGCATTCACCCATGAATGCGCGTTGAACAGAAGTTTGTGGGAAAGCAACCATGAAATGGAATATTAGAGAAAGGAAGAAAGAGAAGGCAAAGGCAAATGGCACAACCAGAGCCAGTAGTTGCATGCTTATTCTGAATGTAGGGGCGGAACTGAGACTATGAATGAGAGACAAGCCCGCTCTTGTCTGTGCAGCATCAATAAGCACCACCATCACCAATCCTCCATTGCCGAAGCGAATTGCGGGTATCAGTGAGCACCCAACCTCGTCCCCTTATCCGAAACTGAATTTCTATCATGGGTATCATAACGTATGCGTCCTATTGCATCCCGAAAATGCTATCATGAGTTTGCCGAGTCCACGGCCGTGAGGCACAATGGCAAGAAGAAATCGTTCAAAGGATTGCTCTCGGCGGGTGACATCTTCTACCGGTCCTCAATGGCGGAGCAGGATAGCATGGGATAGAGGACGAAGCGTCTAGAAACCATGGACCTAAGGAGAGTGTTAGGCTGGGCGATAAGAAATAGAAGTGGAGGGCGCCACTCACCTTGATAGTCTTTGCGTCGAGTTCGAGGCCATCTTTTGCGACCAAAAACTCTTGAACATCTTTGCGCTGATCACCTTGAAGCTGAATCACCTCGCCCATCTCACTGTCCGCGACGATTGTGCCATTGCAGGCTATGGTATCTTAGCCATCTGTTCATTGTTGCAATTGATGGTGTAAACATACCAAATTTTTTCTTGATGACCTTGAGAATTTTCTTCTGGTCAAACTTCTTGGGAAGGCCTTGGACGGTTGTCAAAGTCTTACGACCATTGCGTTCTGCGCAGGCTGTCAGTTGGTGTGGACGCGAGAAACAGACATGCTGGGCTTACGCTGAATACGAATGTGGATGTAATTCTGGGACTGCTTTGTATCCCCAGTATCGTCGTCAACCTCCGCGAAGGGGTCTAAAGGACAGGTTAGTCAACACGATCAAAAGGTGTCAAAAAGTAGGTAAGCCAATGAACGCGCCAGCACAGGACAGTAAGGGAAGGGTGAACTATCTGCAAAACGTCGTACGGGGTTGGGTAGTCGCTGCTGACGATGTGGTGGGAGTCGAACGTGTTGAGGGCTCCGGCGTGGCGAGGGAGGGCGAAAAGGGAGGGGTCGCTTACCAAAGGTTTTGAGGTTTTGGATAGTTGACATAAACTCGTTTGTTTCCGAAGAACTGGATGAATTGTAGGGATGAAGAGAAGATGATTCGAATGCCTGAACTCGAAGGCGCAAGGAATACAGAGAGTAGAGTAGAGTGGAGAGTTGTGGTGGTGGTTGTGGTGATGGGTTTCAGAAGAAAGACTGGGAAGAAAGGGAAAGGTTGTTTGAGGCGGGGAGGCGAACTCCAGAGAAGCGCAGGCGCCAAGGCTCAAGGCTCGTGACAGGAACGCGGCCGCAGCAAAAGGCACATGCACCGCAGCCACCGCAGCAGCCACTGGTGGCAAGGGCAGGGGCCCAACTCCGAGTCACTCTTGCCAGTCTTAGCTAGCAACTACCTAGATACTATTGCAGCCGAAGCTGTCCACGAGGGCACCAAGCCGCAGTGATAGACCCAAGGCGGGCATTGTTCTCGTGGTCCTGTTTGCCGAACATTGCTTTGATGTACAATATGATGTGTATTTTAATTGTCTTGCCTCAATGAATAACTCAAAGCAAGCCATCTCAGACCTGGTACTGGCCGAACCAACACTAGACAGTACTATACACGAGAGTGCTACAGCAGAACCAACACCATTTCTACCCAGCTTGTGGAGGCACTGGGAGGGGGGCTCCTGTGCCCGTTGCCCCCCTTGCATTTGGCGGCGGTGGAAGGAAAAGTGGCATATAAGTCTAATGGTAATGAGTACTTTTCTGAACCAGAATGGATCATTCAACCTACCACACCAACAGCGAGGACTGTTCGATGTTGTTAGCGTTTGACTCCTTGCTTCCGAGAAAGCTGGAACATTTACCTGACATGCCAAACGAAAGATAACCCGGTGTCGTGGCGTTCGCCTTCTGACTTGGGGTTTCACCAAGCCAACCCAGTAACGATGACAGAAGGGCAAACCTGAACAGTCAATACCATTCTCAATAACTCATCTGCCCAGAATACATCCTTACCATCCAAGCATTCTGTCCGCCTGTCGTTAATATCAAGGGCTAACAGAAGCAGTATTGAGTTGGGTTGAAAGGAACATACCGATTCCTAGTGAACATCTGCAAGGCGGGTAGTCAGCAGAGGCAATAGTGCGAGTGGAAGAGAGCAATCATCATACAGCTGCCATAGGCATGGTGCTTGTAATTGTCGAGCCAAAGTCAGCCGGTTTCTCGTCCTTGGGCTCGACATATGGAATGACTGGTGAAAGTCTGATTAGCAGAGACTTGATTGCAATGGCCTCCAAGAGCCTACCGAGATCAGCCCGTCGCATGTCCTTCTTTGAAGCCATGCTTATAGCGATGGCAGTCAGTCTCTGATACTAAGTCGAGAGTAGAAGATAAAGAAATCAGTAGTACGAGTAAACGAAACAGAGACTGTCAATACAGATGCCCACCCAGCCACCACTGCCATCCGAAGTTGGAGCTTGTTGGAGGGCTTGGCACTGGACTCGGCAACTTTGAACTTCTACATGCGCTAGCTACATCCTCATCATCTTCAATCCTCAAGAAGTGCACAAACTTTGTTGTCGCGTCTCTCGTGGACGACCCGTTTCCTGCCAGAGTGCCGGTGTCCTGTGCCATTAGGGCCACCCTCTCTACTCGCAATGTCTCCAAAAGCTCTCAGGATCCCTCGAAGGGTCACGGCGAACCTCTCCTCCACCTCGCAAATCACCACTTCAAACCCTCCAATCTGCTTTCAATGCACGCATCGACTGAGATTTATTCAAGCTCGTCATTTCGCGTCTTCCCGATCCAAACAGGGCACCGCGGGAGAGATGATGAGGGCGCCGGTAGTAAAACAGCCGTCCATGAAGGCCAAAATAGCCCATATGGACAAGTCACAGATGGGGGATGATATTGGAAGAATACCCAACACCATTATCCTTCCTGCTTGGGAGGACTATCCACCAGGGCTCAAAATGAAAGCAAAACTACTGTGGCGGAAGTTTACCGATACTGTCGTCGGCATGTCCACGTCTGTCCCCTAAGTCTCATCTCAATCTCCAGCATGGGAACTAACACAGAAGTCAGGTTAATTTATGCTGCAAAATGGGATGTACCAAAGGACAAGAGGACCGGGAAGTCGAAAAGACATCCATTAAGTTTGAACAAGAGGGTCGAGTTGGGTCTTGCGTATCACTCGTTGCTCAACACCGGACTCGCAAACGGCAGTCTTCGAGGCCTGAAGATCATGTGCGCCTCTGGTCTCTACGACCATTGCAAAAAGCTGATCGATGAGGCAAAGGAGCAAGGTTATGCGCGAAAGGAGTGGGTACTGGTGAGCTACGAAGGGATCCAGTACCCGCAGTGGCTGGTGGGAATATGGCCTCTCAGCGTGTTCCTTCCTAACGCGCACGCCCGCGTCGTCTCCGACCGCGTGGTTGCCGTCCCCTTCGGCAAACAGTCCTACCTTCGCGAATGCATCGTCCGCATCAAGTCAGTGCAGCTCGTCCGGATCCAAACCGACCGCGATCCTATCATCCACCAGGACAGACGCACCGAACACATCGTCCTGCAAAAAATCAACCTCGACGGCGAGGAAGGCGAGTGGAAGGTCTGGGGCACCATTGACCCTTCCAAGGAGGAACTCCATGATATTCTCGACGGCAAACACCAGGATTCGAGCCCGAATTCTTTTGTCCAGGAATTTAAGTCCAGGGTCTCGTCCCTGAGCGGCATGAACTTTTAAAACGTCGAAAGGGGCTTTCGGAAACGAATCCCCCCCTACAACTTGAGAGAATCACTGTCGAATTGACCTGCAAACATGGGTTTTCCTGGTTTTGTGACCATATAAGAATGGAGACAATGCGACCATGCAGGGCATGCAAAGGCCATGAATCGCTGGGCTTAGGCTCGCGCAAGGCATTGCCCAGGAAAGATTCCCTGTGCTGCCACCTATCTAGATGAAGTCGTTTCGAGAGGGTGATTATGTACAATGGGCACTAGAAGTTCTGTGGCAAGGCGACCTTTGCTTGCCTCCAACTAGCGCCTCGACTAAAATTAGCATCACTGCCCATATGCAGAATGCTGATTAGCCAAGGGGTCCTTGGTCTGGACCCAAGAAGATGTGTATCAATATCCTTTTCAGTCCTGCATACCTAGAACCCAGATCCAGTTGCACAAATTGAATTGTAAAAATATCGAGTTCTGTTTCTCCTCCTATAGGTATATAAATACATTTCTGTTATACTACATTTTGTTACACTGTCCAAAAGGAAGCTTGGACTCCTTAATGGCTTGTTTCGTCGGATATTAGAGAGTGCTCGAACTGCGCACCTCAGATTCACACCTGTCTTGAGCCGGACGATCCTTGAGATCTTCTTGCCTATGACAGAAGACACAGTCGATGAATGTTCTCCAATATCGCAGAGTGCTGGTTGGACAGTGGGCAGCGAGCCAATGGTATCGCTCCAGAGAAATCCGGGTCGACACCATAAACAGTCGAAAATTTTGGACTTGATGTCCCAAAGTTATAAATCCGGATCGAGGTGCCCATCAGGCTCGACATTGCTAGGTTCCAAGATGATGTTGCAAAGCTTTCTTGTGAGAATGCGAGAACAGCCGTTCCCGCTCGGGGCCACCAAAGGTAATATGTGGATTCCTTCCCTTTCACACTCTTCCTGTAATCTATTGTTGATGCGCGGAGTCCTCATAACGAGAACGAACCGAGATCATCAGCTGATGGCAGAGGTTTTCCAGCTAGGCCGGCTCTTGAGCGAACGTTTGGTTCGCTCTGTCAGGCTGTGACCGATGAGATAGATATTGCGTCGTGTCCTCTGCTCCCTGGGAAGGCTTGTCTTACGCCGAAAAATCGTGAGGCGGTTTCCGGCCATAGACTACGAAGCTGTTGTGCTCGAGTAGTTAGACTCTGTCTCTCAAATCTGCAAGCCAGAGATATGAGACCACTCACTACTGAAAATAAGCCCCTCTCCTGAGCGTCCTTGCGCCCTTCTTGAAAGTACTCAGTTGCGTTTCCGTTTGCTCTTTGGACCAACCGAATGATCTCTCCATCATTCGTAATCCAATCGAAGGTGTCCCAAACTCCAGGCTTAACATCTCCAGCAAACCAATCTTTTGTTCTACCTCGGTGGCCGCGTATGGAGTAGTCGGGGTTTCGAAGACATTCTCGACGATGTTCACGAAACCTTTGTTGCGGAGGTCAGCGGCGAGGTGTGGAGGAAACCTCGATGAAGTTCCAAACGCCTCAGACGCTTGCATGAGCTGGTCGCACGCTCGTGTAAACTCAGAATTGACAGCAAGTCTTCCACCTTTGCGGACTGGCCGCATGTAAGTGCAAGCGATTTCAACCCAGCCCCCTGGTCGTAGATGAGTATACATCTGAGTGAATAACCGGTCCCAATCTCGGATACAGAACAGAGGCTCCCGTAAATGGATGAAATCAAAACTATCTTTGGGCCAGCTCCAAGTCTGCTCAATATCGTCAATTTCGAAGGAGCAGTTTGGAGGGACAAGCGATGGTGCTATGGATGCCACATCAACGCCAATGACCTGAGCTGATGGCGTCTGATCTGCGACTTCTATTGGCCAGAGTCCTGTTCCCGTTGCTAGATCGAGGATTCTTTGGGGTGCAGGTCCGATCGGTGCCAGATAATGTCTTCCCAGGATGAGCTCATGCTTCGCATGCTGCAACTCCATCCTTTTCTGCTCATCTAAATCAATAGGCAGGCCGTACTCGTGGCGACCATAACTTGGATAGCACCGCTCGTTTTCCCAGGTTCCCATATAGACAGATGAGTCTATTGTCATTGAGCTAGGTGTAGGACTGCTCGCACCATCACCGTATCCTTCGTCGTCGTCTGCGAGAAGGTCTGGTGGACTGTTCTGCCCGTCCATGTACTCGGAGAGCGTTTCGGGGGCCGTTTCTCCTGGATCCTGTTGAAATGACATAGACTGCAGGCCGTTGTCAAGATGAGAATTCGAGCCATGAGCGTCCCCGAAGAGGATGTCAACACTCACCGCATTTATATCCCCACAGCTTTGGTCTCGGTCCTCCATGGGGAAGGATTGATGAAGCCGCGGTCCTTCTCTTACATTGACTACAAACCCCTTGCTCGTGTGATCGTGGTACCCTTAAGCGGAATGATATTGGTGTAGTCTTTGGCCTGCGAAGGAGCATGCCATTGCGTGTAGGTGAGCAACAGGGGCTGATAGGGAGTTATACACTCTGCATTTGCGGGAGATTGGACTGGCAATCACGATTCAATATTTCAAGCTTGGAGGAATCTTTGACGTTTGCCTCTGGCAGGAGACTATTAACACGGTCACGATCCAATCAACCTCAAACATCGTTCGAGAATTTCTTGCATCAAGGCAAGCAAGCGGCCAAGCGCTTGTCATTGCATTCGGCTTTCGCGGGGAGCAGACGGGGTCTAGCAGGTGCACCTTATCTGCCACAGCTGGATATATGCCTCCAGCTGCTGAAACACCGCCATTGATTGGTAGCAAGGGTGGTTGAGGTAGACTTACGCCCCATGGCATCGACATGCTGGCTGAAGTGCCACTCGGATCTGACTCGGAAACGCAGCAGGTCAAAGTTCGGATAGAAGTATCAAGTCTTCGTGGAACATACTCGTAATTGCCATTCACAACAAGGACCTTGTAATGAGCTCATGAAGACGGCAAATGGGTGAAAGTGAAAGGAGTTCGGATCACGGGAAATATCGATCTGGAGTAGTAGGGCTGCGATTGATCAGGCGCCGGGGTCGACCTGCAGCTCTACCGCAAGGATAGAAGTTGAAAGCACCGGATTTGCGATGTCAATTGGGCGCCTGGCATCCAGCCACTTCTATTGACACATTGTGCTAAGTGCCAGTGTGGGTGTATGCACTTCTGACAGGTGGGAAGGACTCACACCTCTGCTTTCCCATACCGGGTATTGCTCTATTGTCTCTTGGAGATTGCACTCCCGGACAAGGACGGAGTACCGTAGCAGGCATGAGCAGATCCCCGATCGATCTACAGTTTGAGGCGTGGAAGAACCGAACCGATCTTGTTGCTATCGATACTGTACGGAGTCCCTCGTATCTCAGTCGCCGTTCCCTGCAGAAGTGCACACCCATGGGGCGAAACTCGAGTTGGGGGGAGCAGAAAACAGGCAGGTCATATCCAGCTGGGCACTAACTACTTGTAGTCAAGCCCGCTTGGCGCAAGTCAAGGATCAGGAGAAAGAAAGAGCGTTCCTGTCATCTGGAATCGGAGCCGCAGAAGCCTGTTGAGAGCCCCTCAGGGGATGGTGTGGTCAGTGCGAGAGTACGGATACCCTGGGGGGTTTCAAGAGGGAGGTCAGAATGCACATCGACTACTCAGCTGGTAGGATCTAATTAAATAAACACGACTTGACAAGTTTCACTACAGCCGTTCCAAGGCTCGCAAGCACAACAAAGTTAAGGCCAGCCCTGTACTCCGTGCGAGGTGTTTGGTACAATGGTACCTGGTCCCAATGGAGTAAAGAGAAAAGGAGTTCCTTTTTACCTGCAGCCTTGTGCTAGCATACCAAACGGAAAGCTACCAACCCCGTTCGTCCCGTCGGATTGCAGGAAGCTGTCCCGCATGCCCTGTGATGTAACCAGATAAATCAGCACCTACTCCGTACTCTCGAACCCCCAGCAAGCCCCAGTAGTTCGTGGGTAGGGATACATAATTACATACATGTACTCCGTACGCCAGGCGAGGCATGGAGACCCGAGTACCGAGTGCAGGGCGGCAGGCTCACAGGCGAGCGGTACACCCACCAACCCACCAACCCCCCAGCCAGAAGCTTGGAAGTTAGACTGCCACAGGGCTACTCCGTAGGGAGTACGGAGTACGGAGTACGCTCTATTACATCAGCGGGCGCTAGGGCGACCTTGGGGGGAGGGGTTCCTTTGTTTGGCCACTAAGCCACTATTCCGCCTGCAACAGCCACCTAAAGTCAGCCTAGAAGGATCCACGGCAGGCCCGCTGGCTGGCCTCGCCATTGCCAAGCAGGCTGATGGTTCAAGCACACTACGAGTACGCACTACTGGCACTGGCCACCGTGAGGCTTCAACTCCTTCCGCAGGCTCAGACTGTATCTGACTCTGACTCTAACTCTCCCCAACCTCCTGCGACCTTGATTGAGTCCTGACAATTGCCCCCTCGGCCGTTGGCCTTTGCCAACATCATCTTCTCTTCTCTTCCCTTCTCTTCCCTACTTCTCTCTGTTTCGCTGGCCTCCTTTCATCCCCGATCTTACCTTTGTTCGTTTGTGCATAGCCCTCTTTGTTGTTGTTAACGTTCACGACCGACCGCTTCGATAGCGTCCCCAATTCTCACTTTCCATTACCAATTCCCATTTTCAAGCCTCTCGCTCAACGGACCGCGGATTGCGAACCATTTCGAAACGGAATCCAGACCTTGTTCTGCACTGTACGACCAGACCTGTCCACTATGGAGGAGCGATCGGCGACAAATGATATCGATATGGGTCTTTCCGACGATGACCATACTCCTCAGATCTATGCCGAGCCTCCCGCTCGCCTGGCCGCTCGTTTCTACAGAAAATCAACCGCGCGTAGAAAATCCTCGGCCAATTCCTCCCGCCGAAGCTCACTCTCCTCCATTCATTCTCACTCCTCTGCCCTTTCCAGCCATGGCGGACCTCACAGTTCACATATCGCACAGCACCTTCGTCGAGCATCGATCATAGAGAGCAGGAAAGCTCGGCTGGCCGATAGAGCTGCTCATGCTGAACAGGTCAGGCTACGCGCGGCTACGGCCAAGGCGTCCCAAAGAAATGCGTACAGTGAGGAGAAATCTCTGGCGGCTCAAGCAGCCCGAGAAAAACTACTTGCGGATATCGCTGCCCGGTGCGAGGAAGAAGTGCGGAGAGCGAAAAAGATCGCGGGGGAAACCAAAGAGAAAAAGGCAGCAGAGTTGGCCAGGCTCAAGGAAGAAATGGCCGAGAAGTTCGCAGAGGCGGCTCGCCGGAAATCGCTCTATCAACAAGGCTTGAGGCGACCAAGATCAGGATCTCTGGCTGCCGTGGAGGAAAGGAAAGCTGCCCCGGTCACACTCAAACGTTCAAATCGTACCTATGCGGCCAAGGTCATTCAACGCGCCTGGAGACTGCACCAAAGGCGCAAGGTCCTTGCCGATTTCGCTAGGTTACAGTTGAATCTGGCAAGTGCTAAAGAGCTTTCATTCGAGGACCTCACAAGATTGGTCGCTACGGAGCGAACCACCACCGCCGCTACGGCACTGCTACGGCACCTAGGGGTTTTGGAAGTCGTTCAAGAAGAAACAGAATCGGTTCGAATCTTCCTCAGCTCCTATGTTATCTTGGCGCATCCCGTTCCATCCTTAAGTCATGCTGGAAATGATCCCCAGGAACAGCAGCTGATTGAGAAAGCCAAAGTTTTGGTGGAATATTTCGAGTCATATTTGAGGAAAACGTCAGCTCGTCCCCATCTTGCCACTTTGGCTTCAATCACAGAGCCTCTCGGGTTTTACTTCAACGATTTCTGCTCTACCTTCGATGCATGGAAAAGCAAAGATCTCAATGTTCTGGTCGATGTAATGGTTAGCTCTTTCGTCAATCTGGACCTAATCTTACAAGCAACCAAAAACGACCGTGCCGGCCACGTGGCGGATGACTATCTCGATGCTGTCAGACAAGAACAGATCAAGTTGCTCGCAAGGCTAAAGAGACTTGCTGGATCTGAAGAAGCTCTCTCTCGTGTTAGGCTTGCGGTGAGAAAGGCCCGCAAACAGTACGCTTCCGAGAACCGACGAAAGGAGTTGAAGCAAGTGCCCAGAGCCACAGGCCCCACCACCGAAGCAACCAACAGCGCTCAACCGGCACCAATAACACCTCCCGCAACCCCAAGATCGGATGTTCGAGAGCAATCTCCAAAGACCTCGTCCATCACAGACAGCCTTGGACAGATAATGACTGTTCTGCCTTCAAACCGGGAGATTGCACATGAAATCCAGATCAACGGCACCTTTGAAGTTCAACAGCGCCCTTGGACTGATGCTAGAAAGGACTTGATGGATTCTCTCCAAACAAGCATGCGGAATAGTATGCAAGACGGCAGTGGACTGGCTACCACGAGATGGACCCACGCAATGGCAGTTCTGATTCGAGAGAAATTGATCAATCTTGTCAGTCCACGACACCCGCTGTATGATCGAATCGACGGCTTTCTGGATCCAACTTTGATCACTCAGCAATGTCGCAACGGAATGTTTTCTTATGATTCCTTTTTCGAGACCATTGCTAGAATAATTGCTCAAATCTGCTCGCCAGGTCGTGATGAGGCCGTTGCAGCATTCTCATCGAGCAGAGGTGATACCATCGAGCGACTTTTTGATCTCATCAACATCATTGATCTCATGACCTTGGATCACATCAATTTCCAGTTCCGACTTGCATCGCAATCCGTAGCTGAACGGGGTCACGAACATGAAATAGTCTCCTTCGAACGCGAACTACAAGACGAGGTTCATTCGTTGGAACGAACGAAGCATTGGTGGGAGACTGCAACGTCAAATTTATCGCCGGCGAACCTGAATGGTAACTCTATTTATGCCCGAGGACTGGTTGACCTTGTTTTCCGCAATGCACACTTGGAATATCAAGATTTTCCAGAGACACTGCAGCTCGATTATATTCGGATGTTGAAACTCCGTGCCCGCGTGTTTCAAACAATTGCAACTTCCTCAATCTTGCTCACCACTAAGATTCGCCTCAGACGCAACAGAGAGTCTCTTTGGACCAAGGATGCTGAGAGGCTGATGGCTTTGGACTTTCTCACGACGGGTGGAGAACGCGTCGTCTCACTGGTATCTTCATCACACATCATGCCCGATTCAACCAAAGAAGGAGTATCAAACTTCGTCTCTAGGGTCTTACCGCCAGCTGTCGCTGCAGCGCGGCAGGCCGACCTTGCCGAGCATGAGCGGCAAGACGCCATCCACAGCCAGTCAATCTACGACCCGTCCGGGCTGGATGCGACTCGAAGTCAATCAGAAGATATCTTTACCGAACAAATCGCGAGCTTTTTGTTGAAATCCTTACGCGAACATGTTTTTGCGAGATTGTCCGCCACGGGGACAACAGAGAGGGTGCGCATGACCACCGGGGCCGCAGAATTTCTGGCCCGTATTGGCATGCCGGAGTTTCTAGAGGAGGTCAATCGAATGGTAACCTTGCTGGAGAAGATCCGCACCGTCGATCTCAAGGCTCACGGGCGGTGGTATGACCAGATTGCGGATGGCGTTGGTGCTTGAGAGTGTCGAGGGGTGTTTTTGAACCTAAACAGTGGGAGGGAAGAGGGAAAGGGGAAGGAGGGAAGGGGTAGTGGAGGGCACTGGCAGTGGAAAGGCGTCAAGTGTTGCATTGCATCCCTTTTTTCTTTGAAGTGTGCCATGGAATGATCTTCTTGATGTCTTCCGAATCCACCACGCATACCACTTTGCTTGTTATTTTGCCTACTTCTTGCTGTTGATGAACAATCTGTGCGCAATCCGTACAAACGTATATACATATACAGCGCCTGCCTGCTTGTTTGCTTGCTGGTCTGCTGGTCTGCTGGTCTGGCTGTCTGCCCGCGTCCTTGCTTGGGTGCACTTGCTGGACTTACTTACGAAGAACGAATACCACGATGCCATGTACATACATCTGTAGGCGGAGCACCGAACCGACTCTTGTCTGTGCCTGCTGGCCTACCTCCCTGGGAGGGAACGCATCCATGCACGTATACATCCATGTCATCCATGCCATCGAGACATACATACACCTACGCATTCATACCGTCAGTACACACATACGTACTAAGTATACACACTGCACGCACCGCACATGATCGCTACATCCTACCGGCTTTCCAGAACATTGTCTGCGTACCCCTTCGTTCCCCCGTCCTCTTTACGTTCTCTCCCTTTCCCTTGGTGCACGAATTCTCGAAACAAGCGCAAGTACAGAGGTTCCTGCTGCGTCGCTTCATACGGAGTACGCAGATGCTCTAGAATCATAGCATTTACACACAGAAGGAACGGAAGGGAGTCAAGCGACGCCACCGGAAATGTTCATTCCGAGGATGTTTGCTCTTTTCCTTGTCCATGCCATGCTATATATGCGTTCATTCATTGCTTCGACGTCGGTGTCCAATAAACGTACTGTACAATGTGGCTACATACGTACACGATAACCCGGTGCCTGGTGTCATTCATGTGCAGATGCAAGAAAATGAGAAAATTTCGAAACCCTCCTTTAAAACAACCTCTGAGCCTCCCCTTCCCGACTTGGGTTTCCCATTTTTCTTGCTTGCTCGCATGTCGTCATCAAGATAGATACGGATGTCCATCCAAATTCTCACCCAAAAGTCAAAACAATTAAGTACGCTGTTTTCATGCTTCTTTTATCACTGAATGCTTCAATTGGTGAGAGGGAGAGGAAACGCCGACGCCATGCCACCCACTGCTTTACTCCCATCGAATAACAACCATCAGCGTCATCGTCATCGTCATGCCGTACAAAGATGGAATACTTCGTCAAGGCCTGCTTCCTATGCTGCGCTCCTCCGCGCATCCGAGAAAGAGTGATAGGAGGCGGATAAGGTATTCCGTTGGGGTCGAGCTTTATTCTTGCATCATATCAACCTGTGGTGGAGTACGATTGTGTACTTCCTAGGTAAAGTCGACCGTATTCTGTGCTCTGCCTTCCCGAGCCAGCCGTGCTTGTGCTCGTTCAGCCCTTCTACGTCGCCGGTTATTTGCGTACTCGGTCGCCCCGCTGGTCTCCGTGCCAGGGCTTGTGATACTACCTGCGGGCCCAAGATTGCTCACCGATGCTGGTATTGGCGGTGGGAGAGGGACATGGTAAGTCTGTCCCGTGGTGGGATCGACGCCAATACCGCCTGTACCTGGCGGTGGAGGTGTAGGGTATAGGGATGCTGCAGGAGTGTAGACTGGTTGGGGAAGATTAGCTGCTGCTGCCGCTTCATTCTCTGCTGCTTGCTGTGCCTCAAGCGCTTCTGTCCGCCGCCAACGACGCTCTGCACTGGTTCCTCCCGCTTGGCCACTGATTTCTCCCAAGTCGCTGCTGCTAAGGCTGGAATTGCGTCTTCTTCTATTTGCGGCCGCTGCTTGCCTCTCCTTCCGCCTCGCTTCACGTTGGGCGAGTGCTTCTTCCTCCGTGAGGCGACGGAGTGTCACTTTGCGTCCGTCATTGTGCATGTTGATCTTGACAGAGACCGGAGGCGACTCTACCGAGTCTGTATTGCCACTGTTACGCCCGCTGGTGCGGCGTCGAGCTTCCGCTGCTGTGGCTCCGAGAGCAGCACCAGCGAGACCACCAGCAAGTTCGTCACCATGTTGGTGGTGACGTTGCCGCTGCCGGCCGGAAGCTGTAGTATAGACTTCGCTCCCAGAAGAAGCATAGTCGGTCTGGTGAGGAGGCGGGGGGGGAGGAACATCAGGTAGGGTTCCAGCTGTTGCCGGACCTGGGACAACTATAGGAGGATCTTGGCCCACCGGACGGATCCTGTTTCTGTCTGCAAGGGCACTCGCAGCCGCAGCACCGACTCCTGCGGCTGGCAGAGCACCGCTCATGCCGTGTTGAGTGCCGCTCTCAAGTGAGCTGGATATGTCGGAAGCAGTTTGGCTACCTATCCTGTGGTGATGGCTTCGTCTCGGGGGTCTTACACCATCACCCGTGTATTTGTGCACCGATTCCATTCGCTGAATCTTTTCTTGCTCAAGTCTCTGTTTTCTCAGTGTTTCGGCGCGAAGATCTTCCTTTTTCTGCCGCCGATTTTTGAAGATTGATCGGACGGCAAACACCGCCCCTCCTGCTGCCAAAGCATCTCGAAAAGTATGGCTTCTTCTGTCACGTCTCGATGGTGAGCCGGAGACAAACGAATCATCATAGTAAGATGAGGAGCCAGAGCTCCTTCGGCCTGTTGAGCCTGGCGTCATGGGAGGCTGGGCGAGAGGATGAGAAGGACGTATATATCCTGGACTGTTCCCAACTGGTGTGGTCGGTCGGAGGGGTGGCCTTCCTTCTTCGACTCGAGACATGGAGTCTGTTGTTACTGATTGATTACCGCCAAGTGGTGGTCGATACGGGCCAACATCGGATTCATCATCTTTACCTCTGCCAAACAGCTTCCTTGCAGCAGCAACCGCCCCACCAATCGCTGCAACCTGTAAAAGGCGATCGCCGACGCCCTTGCGCTTGGGCGAGACATGCGAATATTTCTCATCGGAGATGTAAGATGACGACATACTTGTGTCTGTGCCGACGACGCTTGGACGAGCGCGTTCCTTCTTAGACCGCCGCCGCCACAGGGAAGCCAATCCAAGAGCTGCAGCGCCTGCTAGAATCCATTTCCCAACGCCGCCTCCTTCCTTCTGTTTATGGTGTTCATCAATGTCCTCACTGTAGTAGCTACCCCCGTAGCTACCATGCTCTCCTCGGCGACGTTCAGCCAAGAAAGACAAAATGAACCACAGGACGACGAGAGCCAAGACAAAAAGAGCATAGAGGACAAACAGGAACAAGGGCGAACCGTACAATGCGAGACCGAGGGCGACTTGGGTTATGCCGAGCAGAGCAATGGCACGTCCAAACCATTGGTGCAACATGACTTTCATGGGTTTATAGCGACGTGACTTCCCCTTTTCTCTTGAATGGACGACACATCCACCAAGCACCTGGACCCAGATAAGAACATAGATGGCCACTCCGATGCCATGATGAGGATTGGAGAGACTTCTCTCGGGACCGACAGCCATGAACCCTAAGATGAATGCGACAGTGCTGAGGAGGAGTGTCAGGATTTGAAGCCAGATGTGGGACCGAAATGCTAGACGTGGATTGCGACCGTAGAATCTCATGAGGAAGATTGCCAAGGGCGTAATTCCTAGGAATGTGATGGCAGCTATGATACCGTGCGCCCTGACCAAAGCGTGGTAGCCATTCATGGTGAAGAAGCGATTGCCCATGCCTATTTAAAAATGATTTAGTCTGTGCGTTTTGCAACAATGCAGATGATCTTTCTTACCATTGTACCTCATGGTCGCAAAGTTCAAGCCGACTAAGTTCGGGAGGAGAAAATTGTCTCGGCCAGCATCCCAAGTCCCATCGCCAACATGCATTGTGCTCGAGTCGTAGGAACTACTCCCTGGGGGAGCCAGCTGTGGCGAAGGCGACATGGTCGTTGATGGCTCTGTGGTCGTATTTGATCTTGTTGAATGCCGGAGGTTCTCCTCCTAGCTGCTGGTGTGACTTACCATCCAGTCCGAAAAGGATTGCTACCAGCTTGAGACACCGGTTCAAGGGTCTGGGTCCGCGAAGGCGGTGGAGTTGGATCGTTGGTAGGTGGTGGATTGGGCAGCTGGAGGATGGCCTCGCTTTTTGTTTACGGTGCTATAGGCTGTAGCAGGTGTTTGGGGTTTGGGTGGGGTATTGGTATTGTGGTGATGGTAGTGGTACTGGTTGATATTTGGAACAGTGCTCTGTAGGTAGGGTTTTGGTATCTGTGCTTGATAGTGAGGAGCTTGCAATAGATTCACTGGATCTAGAGTCCAAGTTGTGACAGTATGAGAGCGCAGGCAATGAGCAGTTGACGGGATACGGTCTGGGTTGCCAGTGGGTTGGTTTCGCTGTACTTGTCACACAAGTCGGACCCCCGTGGTTGGCAAGGGCAACAATCCGACAGGACCCTTGCTATCGCACCTTCTTCACATCGGCGATAGCGCTAGCCCAGCTAGTGGCGCCTAGTGACTAGCTAATAAGCTCTAGCCTATCAAGGCCACTAATCCCACCTCTCACCAAATCTTCCATCTACTGTATGTACTGAAATCTACTTTAATGGAGGGGTCAAACGCTTGATCGACCTTTAATCTAGCTGCTTTCCCTCCTTCGTCCAAGCACACAGCACATGGATCAAGTAAACATCCTGACTAGACCAGCTGCATGCGCGGGAGACTCACTATCAAATCAAGGTGCAAGGTTGGCTATCAAGCTGGACTATGTTTGACCACGACCAGCTGAATCGGTTTGGGAGAGCTCTATCGAGGTAATCATACACATTCATATGCACCGCTGCGAGTAAATTGCCGTCCACTATCAAGTACTGATGACGTCTTAATCCAAAAGGACAGCAGGATGGATTTACACGATATCGTGGTCACTCTCTTTTTATCCTCAGCCCATCTTGAACTGGAAACGGCGCTCCACTCAAGGCTTTGGAATCGACTTTCCAACCCTCAATGTTCTCGGCTTTGTTTGCTATAGTGTTTCCACCTGTTTCTTCCTGTATTCGCCTACAATCCGAGAACAATATGCGGCAAGACACCCTCTTGCCCCAGAGCCGACCGTCCGTTTCAACGACGCTGCCTTCGGCATACATGCCGTGCTCATGGTCCTGCTGACCTATTCTCAATTTTTCTCTAGTCTCTGGGGTTTTAAAGGCTCCGGTAGGGCGAGAACATCTCGGCCTGTCTTGGGCATCTTTTGGGGAAGTCTGTTTGCTGTCGCCGCTGTCGCTGGGTTTGTGTATCGACAATCTGGCGCATACGGTCAGAGTCCCCGAGATTGGGCTTGGATTGATGTGGTATGGCAATGTGCCTTTCTTGTACAATCCACAACTGACTCGACCTGTCCAGCTTTATACCCTTGGCTACGTGAAGCTTGTTTGCACCTTTGTCAAATATATTCCCCAAGCATGGATGAATTACCAACGCAAGTCCACTCAAGGTTGGAGTATAGACCAAATCCTCTTTGACATGGTGGGCGGTATCCTATCTCTCTTGCAACTTCTGATAGATGCCAGCTTCCAGGGAGACTGGAGTGGCATTACCGGAAACTCTCTCAAGTTTGGGCTGTCCAATATCAGTATTGCGTTTGATCTCATCTTCATTACGCAGCACTACATCCTCTACCGCGACCAGCTCGATGAATCAATCGAGGCGACAGAGGAAGAGACCGGACGTCCGCTGTTGGGATCGTAAAATTCTAGAGGGCAGTCTTCTGCTTCGAATATTGCTCTGGAGTGAGTGACTCATCAGGTAGTGGCCTAATGAGCTGCTGGATCCGAGCCTTGCCACTACTGATTCGGGCTAGGCCTTCGCAGAGACCTACAACTTCGCTGAGAAGAAAGCCACTCTCCTGAAACTTTACGAGGTTGTAAATTTGGAACAAGTTCCATCGCGGCGCTGCGCCATCTGGTGAATACGTCGGTCATGGCTCAGGAGAGACAGCTCAGCTGAATGATAATACTCTTTCATTTCCGACGTGTCCACTATTTCATAATAGGAACGTCGTCGGCTGGCAGCTGAGCATTCGTGGTTGGTGGTTGATCTGGAACTTGGAACAAGAGGTGTGAAAGTGTGTGAGACAGGTTATGGGCTATGGCATCGCCGTCCTGTGCTAGCGATCACGGGAACCGAGAACAATCAAAAGACAGAGGCATGGGCCCCCGCCAAGCACGCCATTGGACAAATTGAGTTGGCGGTTACGAATACAACAGGTGTGGCTATGCATGACTCCCACCTCCTTACTCATTTCGATGGGAAGGACCAACGGTTTTCACAAACTCCTTTTGGGGTTCTGGGTTACTTTTGGTAATGGGGGTGTGATGCAACTTTGGGAAGGCAAACTATCTGTCCCAATCCAAGATGTACGACTAGGGACAGGATAGAATAGACTGCCAGTTATCACGCATTTCGCCGTACTCGGTGGATTCTTCAAACAATGACGATGACCCCGGTCGTCGACAAACCGTTTGGCCAGAAGACTCCCTATTTAGATTGATGATCGGGAGAGGTTGCTATCAATTTGGAGGATACAATCTCCTGAGGTACTGCTGAGAGTGCGCGACAGAGAGCCAGCTGCTCTATATTTAGGTCGGCAGGGGAGACGAGGCTATCCAAAACTAGTTGACCAAGGGACACAGACTCGTGGCACTTGCACGGAGAGAGAGAGGGTTTCGGGATCGAGTTTAAAAGTAGCGATAGATTGGCATCGATGGTATCTCAATGTGAAACTAGACAGCTGGAGCACATTGACTACAATAGCGATTACGTGGATGGCGGGCCACGACAGTCAATTGGCACGAATTACGGAGTTCTCCGAGTAGTACCAGTACCAGTACCCCGTTGCAGTGGAGGATGGTACGAGTAGGTGTAGGTTTGAGCCCCAAGCAGCCAGCTACGACAAGAAGGGTAGCGGGTGAGGGAATTGTCAGTGGACGGGAAGAGGGAAGAGCAGGGCGTCACGGACTCGTGGCCCCTGGGGACATGGCTGCGCTTACTCAAAACGAGTGTAGCTTGATGGATGGTGGGTGGGCATTGAGATACTACATGCTACATACTGTAAGAATCTTGGAATGGGAAGCCAGAATAGCAAAGTCGTAGCAGACATCATTTGGAAAGAGTCTGTTGTTACGCTAGTTGGCGAGAACGCTCACCTCTCCGTCGGCCACCACGCGCCAGGCGCAAGCTCAGTGGTTGTAGGCTTGCAGCTGTCAGTAGATTGGCAAGGGACGCCGGACGCAGGGTGCAGCCATGTCCTCCGTCCTCCGTCCTCTGTAATGCTAAGCTCTTGGATGCGGCTCCCAGGTGAGGTGCTTTGCTGAAGTCCGAAGCATAGTTTGAGCCTCTCGGGGCTTATTGGACACTTGGTCTCGGCAGTGGCATCACCCAAGCGGTAGAAAAGATGGTGAAGTTGAGTTGCGTGCTGGCATCCCCCTCCCCTCTCCCTCGATCTGGCCACAAGCATTGCATCTCGACGCTTGCGATGGGTATGCATCGGGCCTAAAGACTAAGGAGTACTCGTTCTCAGTCAACGAAATCGGTCACCATTGCTTGTGATTTCCCGCGCCCTTTCCTAGTTCTCAGTCCTCACTCGTATACTCGGCTATCCAGTGCACGAATTTCCGAGTATTGGCGGGAGCCCGAGGGGCCCTTCGGGGCCAAAAGAAGGGTATCTGCGTCCTGCGTCCGCCGTCTCCGTCCCCGTCATAACCGCCGTGCTAGCCCTAAAGGGCCTAAAGGGGCACCACAAGGCAGCCTGATGGACCCTGGGGCCTGAGTTGGAGCGAGCCCTACAGGGTACGAGAAGACCGACCAGCTTCAACACCCTACTTAGTATTGTCCCCACTTCCATTGTGCAGTCTGCGTGCGCTCGCTTGAGTCTACGGCTAGCACGTCTTCGTCTTCCATAACGGTGAACTAGAGTAGAGTTGACTCAGTCAGGACGGAGTAGGTCATGGACGGTGTGCGGATAGACTGGGACCAATGTGTCGATGTCTGTGACAAACATAGTGGGCCTCCACCTGTACGAGTAGAGTTGGTAGACTACGACGCACTCCCCGCTAGAAACTGGTTTCTCCACTGAATGGAGAGGAGGAGCAGTACGACTAACCAACACCTCGTTATTGTGTTGACGTGTCTGGAACAGCTTAGGATCATGTTTCGAGGCACTCGGCCAAAAGAACTACCTACCTTGGTTAGTTGGCACGGTGGTAACTGGTAGTTAGTTGTAGGTGGCTTTGAATTCACTCGTATGCACAGATGGTAGTGCTTAGTCTTCCCCCAGAGAGAGATGCGGACTCGTGAGGCTCGACCTGCAGGAATGGGAATGCTAATTATGAACACCAATCCGTACTAGCTAGTAGTCCATTTCGTGCATGTACCTCGTTCTGTACAGCAGGTTACAGTACTCGTACTTGCTCGGGTGTAAATACACTCTCACACCGAGAGAGTGGGGGGAGATCGGGGAGGGGTTGCCTGCTGTCATGATCCCTGACCGGGCCACCCTCTGTTGATCCCTATGCAGTCAGTACCTTGTTGTTGAGGCCAGTTCCGCGTTCATACAAGTTATTACAATACTCATTCGAGTTCACTATTCTCAGAGTCACCAGTCCTTCATTCTCTTTCGTGCGCCTTCGTCTTCGTCTTCGTCTTCGTCTTCGTCTTCGTTCTCATCTCATCTCATCTCATGCCCTCCACACCCAGGCAAACCAGCCGCATTCGTGTTTCGTTGTCGAAGAGCGACGCCCCAATTCTTACTTCGCTGTGCAGGCCAATGAGTCGTATTCCGCTGCCCGCTCTGCCCGTGCCCAACAGCCCAACAGAGGCATTTCATTCGTGCCTTTGATGAGCCTCTTAGCCTCTCCCGTGCGCGACAGGGATCTTTGGCTTTGGGGCGCGAGAGAGCCTCTTCGTTAGCGTTTGAAAATCTAGGCCTTGTCCAGTGCGTGGTCCATTACCGACCGAGTAACTAGTTTGAAGGGTGCACGCGTGAGTCGAGTCCAGTGCACCTCACCCGTCCAGGAATAGACGGGCCCAGCTGCTATGGCTTGTGCTTCTCTCGCGCTCCCATTCGCATCTCAAGTTCCCAACTCGTCAGAGAACGCCTGCCCACTGCATATCCGCAGTAGGTACTACTGTACTACCTGTACTACTGTACAACTGTGCTCCCAACTGCCATCTGTCATCTGTCTGCCTGGGCCTTCCTGCATGACAACAACCACGGACTTTTGACAGTCCCCAAAGAACAGCTCAGCACAGTCCAGCACGGTCCAGCACAGCTCATTGCCCCTCTCTTACCATCAGTCTGGAAAAGAGTTTTGAAGTGCCATTTCTTGCTGTTCCATTCTTCTTCGATTCTGATCCTGACCCCTGTTGCCTGTCCTGCTCGTCGAGTCCCTGACTCTCTGGTCTGGTCATCCAGTACTGAGGACATACTGGTGCACCACCGGACCCAGAACCCACATATTCCTTCCAAGTCACGCTCGTCTGCCCTCCAACTCGACCTCCAGTCCAACCACTCCGCGTCCCTCGTCGCTCGAGATTCATCGTGGCAGTGCTCGACGTCCTCAACTGCTCAGCCTCACCGGCTCTCCTGAATCCGCTACCACCGAGTCCACTTTCCGCAATGATGCAGCTCTGACGCTTGCTCATCTCAATTCGTCCATCCCCATTCCAAGCCATCAGCCTCGCATCTCCGTTGGACATCCGTTCTTGTCGACAGCCTCCCCTGCTCAATCCTGCTCACTCCTGCTCACTGGTCACTCGCCTCATATGTTAATGTCGGATCACCGTCTCGCCTTCTAATCCCATCTCATCTTTTTATCTAGCTGGCGGCAACTCACCCATCTGAAGAGCCGCACTGCTGTGCTCCGTACCTGTGCCGCCTGGACCCCGCCTTCTGTGCTCACCACAAACACGAGCCACGCTATCCGTCGGTATTGTACGAACCCTCCACCCCTCTCTTTTCTTACACCCAGACACCCACCCCATTCTAAATCTTCATCCGATCCCGCGACAGCTGAAGCCAAATCGGTGTCAAACTCAATAGTGTATGCACCTTGGCCTTGGACATGACGGCTCTGCCGTCGCGGCTATGGCCTGAGTCTATGGTGTTCCAGGCCTGGCACTTTCCGCTGATGGCTGACCCAAACACAATTTCCAATTACCATCTGTTCTGTCCTGTCCTCAGTGCCTCTACTTTTACTGTATCAATATTCAATGTTGTGATGTCATCCGCTCAATTCTTCTCTTTGCCGTTCACTTTCATGCCATCAGGTCCTATGCTTCACAATATTCGCCTTTCGAGGGTTTTCGCCTCGAGACTGAGGCTGACATGAACGTGGCCTAGGAAACCAGAGATCGAAATCAACCACCTGCTACCAGCACCAGGACCACTCACGACGAATGAGTGCCCCAATAGCTCCAACCAAGTGACCTGTTTGGCTGCCGCCGCCGTATCTTTGAGAACCGGGCAATGTGATATTTACCTACATCCATGTCGGTCGCTCAAGATCAACAAGTACAATACATCGACTTTGAAACAGACATTTTGGAACGAAGTCCTCAGCTTGAGGCAGTGAAGCCAGATCTAGGTCCCACCGTCGACACACCCCCGCCTCTCGTACCCTACGAGTCATCTTCAGATTCCAGCGAGCCGGGGGAAGAGGAGAAGTCGAGGTCACCCAGGAGTCGTAAGAGGCGGAAAGGTCGAACCCGAGCTTCTCAAGGCGACAGAGTACTGATTAGTTACCTAGACCACAACCGACCCGATATTGCCCTTCATGCCGGGAAGCATCCCTTAGATTCTCAGAGCGAGTCCGAGGGAGAGACTGGGCCTGAAGAATTCGACGATCCTCCTGACTCCACACAAAATCACATGAGGATCAAGGATCGCCTCATCCACAATGGCCCCCCTGTCGTGCATATGCAGTCAATGGTCATCGTAGAGGATCCATCAGCCGCGAATGGGAGCAACGACTTTCCTATGGTTGACCCGCCACATCACACATCTGCTGCCAGACAAGTACAAACTCCGCCAGCCTCTACCACAGGCCTTTCCGAGAACCTGGCCCGCCGTCAATATGAAGCACCTCCCGGCCTCAAAGTGGACGGCAGCCGCAAGAAAGAATGGGATGTCCGACCTCCTCCACCCCAGCTGGACATGCGGAAATCAACATGTGATCTGACACCTGGAGAGGAGGATTCAATTGTGAAATCACCAGCACTGGGAAGGTACACCATCCAACCTCAAGATCCAGATGCTATCATATTACCTGCTCTACACAATAAATCTCCTCCACAATGCTCCCCAGCGGGTTCACCAGAGACCAGACAAACTTTACCGTCAATACGAAACCTAACCATCCCACCTTTCAATGATTCAGCTTCCATGAGCTTCGCCGGAATGTCCCCCATGTTAAATCGCCCTTCACCTCATATGACGGAAACGCCGATCTCATATCTGAATTCTCCAAACCCGGGCATGTCTCCCCCCGAACACCCTTCGAGATATAGTTGGCGTTCATCCACTCTAGATAGTTCCATTTCCACTTCTTCCGAATACACCTCCGGTCCTTCAGTCGCAAGCTCTACACCAGCTTCGTCTATCATTCTCGCTCAATCACCGGCCGCATCCTACTCTGGTCCATTGTCTACCCTGCCAGAGCAGGAGCCGTCAAACCCTCAGGAAGAGCCGCCTCCGCCTCCAGAGGCCCCGTCCGACTCTGCCGACAGTCATCTGCTTGCTGGCCCATTCAGGTGTACCTTCCAAGGCTGTAACGCAATCCCATTTCAGACCCAATATCTGCTGAGCAGTCACATGAACGTTCATTCCAACACGCGTCCTCATTTTTGCCCAGTCAAAGGATGCTCCAGAGGTGTCGGCGGACAAGGCTTCAAGAGGAAAAACGAAATGATCCGGTATGCTTGCCTCTCTTAACCTCCCCCATCTCCCATCCTTGACCCGTTGCAAGTCTTGCTAACAACCGTTTTCAATCTCTTGCACAGACATGGCCTTGTCCACACTTCTCCTGGATACATCTGTCCCTTCTGCGCCGATCAACAACACAGATATCCACGACCCGATAATTTACAGCGACATGTTCGTGTGCACCATGAGGATCGTGATCGAGATGACCCTTTGTTGAGAGACGTCCTCAATCAGCGACCAGAGGGAGGAAACAGGGGCAGAAGGAGACGGATGAATTCCTGACAATACTAACTCTCTTTTTCGATTCATGTACAGCACATTCGCTTTCCCAAAATTTCTTTAAGACAAATTTTCTGGATGTTCTTATTTTTATCATTCCTGCATCGATTCGGCGAATATTGCGTGCGGGACTTTCAACATTCGGAGTTTTCTCCTGCAAGGGCACAAAGGGAAATCATGCATTCACAGTCGCGATGTCGGGAGTCGGGGAGGCTCTAGGGGAAATAAGGACATATCTCTTTGCTGACGCAAACGACCTTTGATGACGAATATTTTATGACTCACCCAGCTGGTACGATTTTCATACAGCCGCTTGTGGGAAGGCTAGAGGGTTCAAGAAGTAGCTGGACGAACAAAAAGACTAGGTACTAAGTAAATAGGTAGTGTGGTATACTGGTGCGCAAGACTACAAGGGGGAGTTGAAAAGATGTCTCCAAATGAAAGAAATTAAAGTCATTGGCACCATCGCATGATGGGTTCTCCCTGGTGTTTTCAGGGCCTCGCCCAGACTAATTGATGCCATACCAGCGCTGGAAGCAGAGATAACTTTCCCATGCAAAAATAGCCAATCTTTTCCACACAAGTCAAACCTGCAACCTCGTGGTACGCGCCACCAACAAGTGCGCAAATGCGCATAATTGTCGAACCAGCCTGGCGTCTTTCTACGCTTTCCGCATACGGGTTTTTCCTTCCAAGCAGCAGCAGCAGCAGCAACAACACGAAATAGTTGGGTACCTATCTTAACAACGCACATGTTATCGCACCCAGCCGGTAGGACAGCCGCGGCCCGTTTCATCGCACCGGTGATGACATGACATGCAAGAGACTTCCCTGGACCTGACCTCGCCTCATACGTAAATCAGGTTCTCGCGAGTATTTCATCGGCGTGCTCTCGAGGAGCGAAGGGCCCCCTTTCCCTTCCATGTTCAATTCAGATATTTGTTGAACCAAGCGACCGCCTGCTCCAGCGCGTCGCGATACCCGTCCATGTTCACCGTATCCTGCACGGCGCGGACGCCAAAGCCGTGCTTGCACCCCTTGTAGATCTTGAATTCGTAGATGAGTCCATTGTCCCCGTCCCCGTCCCCGCTAGCCCCATTACCTGTGCCTGCGCCCATGCCCGTCGAGTTGGCGGCCGCTTCTCTGACCTTGGCCTCGGTCCTCTCCGCGGCGGCGGCGTTGAACTGGAAATCTAGCTCCGCGACCGCCGACGCATACGGCACTCTGAACCTGGTGATGGCGTCGACGACCATTTCCGGCGTGTCGATGATGAAGCTCGGGTGCGCGTTGAATTGCGCGTCGATCAACCTTTCCCCAGCTCCGTCCGCCGTTGCATTCTCGGCGCACAGCTTCGTCGCACCCCACGCGCCCCAGCAGAACCCAGCGACGCCCAGCTTGCCGCCCGCGGGCAACTCGGCGCGCACGGCGCGCGCGTAGTCGAGGACCTGGGGGAACGTGTTCTTGGGATGCCCGAACAGCAGGAACGGGACGATGTACGGGAGGGCGCGCAGCGCATTCACGGTCTTCCAGAAGACGCTGGTGACGCTCCACGACGGAGCGGGCTCCAGCAGCACCTCCATCAGTGGAAGCACGTGCGGCGATATGCCCCCACCGTAGACGACGTCTGGGATCAGGACCAGGCAGCCGGTGCGCGCCGCGTATGCGTCGGCCAGGAGCAGGTTGTTCACCAGCTTGAGGCCGAATGCGTCTGGGAGGTAGATGATTGCCGATTTGGACTCGGGAGTCTCATCGTTGCTCGTGCTGTCGATGCCGGCCGTGTATGTCCGGATCCCGTGGACGGTTTCGATCGTCCCTTGTGGCGTGCCGTGCGTGTGCTCCGAGCCGCTGAAACAGTTGGGGCACGACATTGTGGAGGGCCAGTGGGCAGTGGTGATGAGGTCACCTGTTGCAACTGAGTGTTGTTCCTTAGAGCAGAGATGGGGAACCTACGAACTGGGACTGGTGGTGATTGGTGATGGTTTTAGACGATGCTGCTGCTGCTGCTGAGTTTCCCTGCGCAGTCACATGTCTTTTACGTATCAAGTAGCGGCTGTTGTCGCCGAGGTTTCGACTCTCATGAATGAGGAGGTGGACCGGCACGATGTAGATGATGGATTGTCGAATGATCAGCTTGACGTCGAACAACTCGCTGCACGGTTCTCTGTTTGGGAGAGGCACACATTCAACAAACAGTTGATCAGAGTCGAGTTCATCCGAACCGGGTCGCCACGTTGTGGTATTTATCCTTGTATCTGCACGTTGCAAGGTGAGGCAAGCGGTCTCGGCGATGCGTAAGGGACACAAACTCCTCCCGCAAAGGTCTACAGAACTATGTAGTTATGCAACAAGGTTTTTCAACCATCCCCTCCCGCTCCGGCGGGGAGCTATCTAGATACGAGGTAGTATAAAAGAATAGTCTGCACAGGAAATTAGCAGCTCTGTAGTCATTGAGCCTCCATGGCGCACTCCAGATAAGTAGCTACACGATACTACATAAGTGCTTCGTATCTGAGGCAGTAGTACTCTGTGTGCACTGTACGTAGTTAAAATAATGGGAAATGAAAAGAGGACAGAAAGTCTGTTCTTTTTTCCCTCCTCCCCATGACTAAGGAACTGATGTTTCATTAGGTGGGGTCGTTCTGTCCATGTTGATTTTCTTCCTCACAACAGCTAACTAAAATACCTTGTAAAGAGATACACACACTAGAATCATTGAATGAGATCCGAAGAGTGATAGCTCGTCAGCCCCATTCGCGGCTGATTTTCCTTCCATCATGGTGAGTGCAAACTTGGGTGAAGATCTCTCCCAGTAAATACGGAGGCGATCACCTAGACGATACCAATTGTGCGACTCGAGGCCCCGTCCCTCGCATTGAGGAAAAAGGGGACAATGCAAAACTTGATGTGATTCATGAAATTCTCCCCATGTGCATGTGGTTACAGAGCAGTTTGCACTTCGCCATCGCTCTTATTCATCTATCTATCTATCCATCCATCCATCCATCCATCCATCCATCCATCCATCATATCAAAGCCAGTCCCTACGTTCTAACACTCAACCCTCTGCAGCCACACGCAGACGCGAGCAACTTCTCCACGACCCTCAGCAAGGGCGAAGCATACTCACAGCTCCTCTCATCACTGCATGCACTCCTCGAGGGACAGCGCAACTGGGTGGCCAACACGGCCAACACGGCGTCGCTGCTGTGGCACCTGTACCACTCGCTGCCCGCACCATCGTCCGCAGTGAACTGGTCTGGCTTCTACGTGTTGGATCCTACGGACCCCGGAAACCAGTTGGTGCTTGGCCCCTTCATGGGCAAAGTCGCGTGCCAGACCATCAGGATCGGGAAGGGCGTGTGTGGTGCTGCCGCTGAGGGAGACGGGAGGACGGTGTTGGTGAAGGATGTCGAGGCATTTCCCGGACATATTGCTTGCGATGGAGACAGTAAGAGTGAAATCGTGGTTGCGATACGCGCGGCAGGAAAGGTATGAAACAATGACTTTCTTTTTTTTTGGAGGGACCTGCATGCCTCTTCCTTCTTGCCCTGCCCCTTCGTCCGCTTACGGGAGATCACTAGGTCGTCGGCGTCATCGATGTTGACTGTGCCGAACTCGGGGGTTTCGACGAGGAAGACCAGAAAGGTCTCGAAGCCATAGCTGACCTGTTAGGCAAATCGAGCGATTGGTAATGGGATTTTTTCAGTTGATGAAGTCTTTGTTCTTGGTCCCATTCTCTGTTCATTGGCTTCGTTTTTCATTTCGTTCCTCCGAGAGTCCTTGACTCGGGACTGCATTTCGCTTTGTTCTTGTGGGTATCAAGTTCGTCATATGCTATCTATTCCGCTCGTGCAACTTTCTTTGATCATGCTCATTCAGGTCGGGAAGAGGCATCTCCGCCAGCGTGGCTCTGACATAGCCGGGCCTCGAATCACATCGACGGGTCCCTTTTGGTTCACGCAAAATATGAAAGACGTAGTCTTCACTTCACAACTCTCCTTGTGGCCACCACTGAAACGCTGCGTTCCATCTTACATCTGCATTCCTCCCATCTTTGCTCCCTCCTGGAAATTCGCCCCAGCCCTAGAGCTCTTGATGATCTTGGTGACTTGATCCTCCAGTTCATCCCAATCATCGGTCGCTACTTTGGTCATTTCTGTACCAAAGTACTTTTGAATCTCCATCAACTTGTCCCAGTCACTTCTACTGCTGATAAACGTGACGGCGACGCCGACGCGACCAAATCGACCGGTTCGACCGATACGGTGGAGGTAAGTCTGTGGATCAGCAACAAATTTTCCGTGACCGAGGAATTTATCTGGCACGTCGTAGTTGACCACCATGGAAACGGACTGAACGTCGATGCCGCGGGCAAGTACGTTGGTGGTGATAAGAACTTTTGCGTGGCCCATACGGAAAGAGTCAATGATGACGTCTCGTTGTGCGCCCTCGTATCCACCAGTGAGAGATACAACTTTATGACCTTCTGCGGTCATTCGCTGCTCGATGGCAAGTGCAGTGTCCCGAGTCTACATGATGTTATTCTCCATTTGTAGCAAGTTGTGAAGGATGTTGAAGCATACCTTGACGAAAATGATTGAGGAGCCAATGGTCATCAAACCGTAGAACTTGACAAGGATATCATACTTGGCCTGGTCATTATCACAGTCTAAATAGATTTGTTTGATTCCTTCCACGGTCAGGTCTTGGTGTTGGAGAGTCATTTGATTGGCACCTGGAGCGAACTGAACGGCGTAGTTGACAACGTTGTCGGGGAAAGTGGCTGAGAACAGAACAATCTGGATGTTCTTGGGAAGCATGCTAGAAATTCTTTAGTAAATAGCATGGAGCAATGTTCTCGCCATGGGCTTACCGCTTGACACGGATGCATTGGTCTCCGAGGCCTTGTTGGTCAAGCATATTGTCGGCTTCATCAAGGACAAGGACTTTGAATCCTCTGGAATCCATGGACCGCTTGCGAATCATGTCCATGACTGTACCTGGAGTTCCAACGACAACAGAGGCTTCTATCTTTCTTGTACGTGATGCGGCATCCTGAGGAACGGCAGCTTCAACGTTGAGACCGTTGACGAAAGAACCCATGACCTTAACAACACCAACAATCTGTCGAGCGAGTTCTCTGCTCGGCGCAAGAACCAGAGCTTGAGGGGTTTTTTGCATTTGTTCGGAGCTCAAGTCAAGACGAGCCAGAATGTTAAGGACGAAGGCGGCAGTCTTGCCAGTTCCTGATTGAGACTGGCCGATGAGATTTTGAGGAGGATTTAGTAGTAAGAGGGGCAGAGTCTTCTCTTGAACCTTTGACGGCTTGCGGAAATTCATGCTCATGACACCTTTGAGAATATCCTCGGTCCTGAAGAGATCAGTTGAGGGGTCGGAACGTGGGTATACTTCACTCACAAGCCCAGCTGCTCGAATGATGTAGCGGAGAATAGAGGGTTGTTCGGATCAGCTTGCATATCAGCCAGCTTGATTTCGACCTGATATTCCGGCTCCTGCAAGGTTGAACCGCCAAAGGGCGTAGTAGCGCCGTCGACCTGAGGGATTGCATCGGAAGATTCTGGTGCTTGAATCGGGTTGGAAGGGAGTTCTGTGGCAGGAGAGGCAACCTCATCCGCCCAAGAGGTGCCAGACTTGGGTTTGAAAGATTCGGCGGCGGGATTAGGCTGGTCTGGTTTTGAGACACGGCCTGCCAGAGAGCCGCTTCCAGCGGGAGCCTCAGACATTGCGACTGTCGCTCGGAGAGTATGAAGTTTGGAGGAGGTACCCGAATCTGTTAAGTTGAGAGTGGTTACTCGAGGCTGTCAGGAATGTGAAACTGGAGAAGATGTAGTGACGGTAGGTTAAATGATAGGAGAGGAGAGGAGAGGAGCAAAGGACAATGAGATGAGCGAAGGGATAGATAAGTATGCCAGACAGATGTGTGAAGTCAATAAAACTCACTCGAAGTTGTTGTAGTGGCAGAATAAACAATGGGTGCTGGTACGACAGAATACTGAATGGGAGTGAATCGCAGGCTGTCAACTCGAAAATATGCTAGGCAGGGTGCGCCACAGATGGCCGTGAGGGATGTGGCACAGTGCGGGGTCAACAACGCCACAGCCCCTCCCCAAATTTGGCGATCAGGTGACCACTGGCTACTGGCCACTGATTAGGCGGTTGAAATGGTGCCTGAGCCACACGTGGGTTGGTACCTAAACTAACCAGTCCAAGTAAGATACGGAGGCTGCGTGTCACCCACACTGGATAAAATAACACCTAGAGGTCACTAACTACTGCTACTCACTACCCGTACTAAGATCAAGGGAATTTCTTTGGGTTGGGCTGGGCTGTCTTGACTTGCGTTACGTTGCGCTGCGTCGTCCTCTCGTCTCCCCACCACACCCTCAGCTCCTCGCTCTCATTCCGCTCCTAATTCATAAAGTAGTAGTGCCCGAGACGAGCCCGTATTCTAGAAGATACCGGCCATCTGCGATTGCCGCTCCCCCCAGAAAATGAAACGATGCCGCTGAGCCTGGCCCATCTTCCTTCAACGCAATGGCTCAGGTGGAGGCTGTCAGCTTTGGCAGCGAATTGAAGGTATGCTCGTTCTCTCCATGGTCTTGTCACAACCTGCAACTAACTTAAGCATCAGGATGCGTACAAACCCGTCGATAATTGGGTGAGTGACCATGGTCTCTTCAGACAACCCACGGCACGAATCCATCTAATTCCTACCCCTCCAGGTCGGCCTCGGCATAGGATGGCTCTCGGAGATCCAAGAGTTCTATCAAGAACGCTCTGCTATCGAGAAGGAGTACAGCCAGAAGTTAACCGCTCTAGCGAAGAAGTACTACGACAGAAAGTCCAAGAAGTCCAGCAATCTGAGCGTGGGTGACAATCCCGCTCTTACCCCAGGCTCACTGGAGGCTGCCTCCCTTACAACGTGGACAACACAGCTCTCGACTCTAGAGGCTCGTGCCAATGAACATGGCAAGTTCGCGCAGGACTTGCTCAGCCAAGTCTCAACGCCCTTAGAATACAATGCGAGGAAACTCGACGAGTTGAGGAAGAGTCACGGAGAGTATCAGAACAAACTCGTAAAAGAGCGAGACTCCTCCTATGGCGATCTCAAGAAGTTAAAAGGAAAATACGACGCTGTCTGTCAAGAGGTGGAGAACCGAAGAAAGAAGACCGAATCCTCCTTTGACAAAAGCAAAGCTCAGAATTCGTACAATCAGCAATTGATGGAGATGCACAACATCAAAAATACATATCTGATCGGCATCAATGTCACCAACAAATTAAAAGAGTGCTACTATCATGAATATGTTCCCGAACTTCTCGATTCGCTACAGGACCTCAATGAGACCCGAGTTTCCAAGTTGAACAACATCTGGCTGGTCGCATCCACCCTTGAAGCCAATACCCTGAAGAGAAGTTCCGACCACATCGCACATCTATCTGCCGAGATCCCTCGAAATATCCCTGCTTTAGATAGCAATATGTTTGTTCAGCATAACGCTGTCCAATGGCAGGAACCTTCCAATTTGGTATTCGAACCTTCCCCCGTCTGGTTGGATGCCGACAATATGATGACCGATGAGACTTCCAAGATTTTCTTGCGCAACATTCTCCAAAAGAGCAAGCCCATGATTAACCAATTGAAGATGGATGCAACCGCCAAACGACGCGAGCTAGAAAACGTGAAAAAGGTGCGGCAAAATATCCGAGAAGGTAAAGACAGACGGGATGAAGTGGATTGCGTACGGTCTCAATTCGCCGTACAAGAAGAGGTACACGCGATTGACAGGAGACGCTTGACAGCCGAGGTTGAGACCTCCACGATTTTAGCAGTAGTCGGCGATCTCAGCATGTATGGCAAGAGTCATACATTCAAGTCAGAGACTTTTAAGATCCCTACGAATTGTGATCTTTGCGGAGATCGCATATGGGGTCTCAGTGCAAAAGGGTTTATTTGCACAGACTGTGGATTTACCTGCCATAGTAAATGCCAGATGAAAGTACCTGCTGATTGTCCAGGAGAACAGACCAAGGAGGAAAGAAAGAAGTTGAAAGCTGAGAGACAGGCCACTGCTACTGCTGCTGTGGAGGCTCCTGCTTCGAACGGGGTGAGCTCCCCTCCACAACTTACCAGACAAGACACAATGAACAGCCTGTCGTCCGGCTATGCTGCAAGCGCCACACGCTCCCTCTCAGGAAACTTTCCCAGATCCATGACTCAAGATGACACAACGCCGACCAACAGCTCTCCACTGACTTCGGCTCCATCGAATGCCAGCTCTACCCCTGCCGCTGCCGCTTCGGCGAGAAGAAACCGCATTGTGGCTCCTCCTCCCGCCGCCTATGTAGGCGGGACTTCACAGCCAGCTTCTAACGGTGATGGCCAGCCTAGAGCTAAGATGTTGTATCCATATGAGGCGCGCGACTCCGGCGAGGTAACACTTCCGGAGGGGACAGAGGTCAAGATCCTTGAGCCTGACGGTAGGTTAAGTATCCCATGTGAGATATGTGTTGCTAACAATTCACAGACCAGGGTTGGACGAAGGTCAATGCAGGTTTCGGCAAGGAAGGCCTCGTACCGAGCGCATATCTTGAAGAATTATCTACAGCAGTCAGTACACCGGCGGGCGAGCGTCCACCGTCATTGTATTCGAACTCCAGTGCATCCTTGGCATCTTCAAGTATGGCGGCTGCGAAGAAGAAACAAGGACCTGCGGTTGCCCCCAGGCGAGGAGCAAAGAAAGTCAAATATGCCGAAGCCCTATACGACTACACTGCTCAAAGTGACGTCGAGTTTGACATGGTGGAAGGTGAGAAATTCATTCTGATCAGCATGGGCACTGGGGATGGCTGGGCAGATGTGGAAAAGAATGGAGAAACGAGAAGTGTGCCAGCAAATTATATACAGGAAGTTTAGACCTTGGGCAGGTGTGCACATTTGATGTCACTGTCCGTCCATGTGAACGTCTTGCTTGCACAGCGTTCCGGGGTAGGCTGATACGTTGATCTTCCACACTCTTCTCGAGTCTCAACCATATGGATCCGAGTGGGAAGCCTTGTCCCACTCATCTACCAGTACTTCCAACCTCTGCCAGTCTGGTTTAATCCACCCCCACAGACATCAAAGCTCTCGGAGTTTGGCCCGTTTTGACCACCATGAAAGCCCTTTTATCTCCCAGAGAAGTTTTTGAATTCTATTTCAGCCCTAGAACCGACATAGTGGCGGCTTGATACGAGGTTGTGGCCCATTCCAGGCCCAATAAACCCGTATTGCTTTCGCTAGAGGATTCGCATGATTGGCTAGCAAAGACACATACCTTTTTGCACGACACCCGCCCAACCTTTCAGCTTCTTTCGAGCCTCGTCACGTCAACTCTTTGTGTCTGGAGGCTGGCACTACTGGGTCCACGATGTAAGACCTGTTCCAAAATGGCAGTCCTGACTTTGCATTTTGGTCCTTCTGCCATCCATGCCGTGATTCCTTCGAACTCGAGGCGAGGCCAGTTACCCTTGCATGGCCATGTTTTGGACTCCCGCGTTTTTCCACAGCGCACGGATCTGGTCTGCTTCCTCCAACAAGCTTGCGTTCTTTTGAGCTTCAGCTTTCTTGGCCGATACTCAGCTCCAGTGTTTGATGTCTTGGTGCATTTCCTGTAGGCAGTGCATCGTTTCCCGGTCTCGTGGCGCCTTTGTTCCCGGAGGGGGCAGGAAGCTCCTTTCTTGAGAAGCACATACCCAAGAGCTCTATACCCTATTGCTGGCACCAGCAGTTGATTTCTCAAATTAAACCTCATTTCCTCTGTCATTTGTCTCTAAGGGAACACCGGCATTCTTAACTCTTAGTCTCCTGCTTCCCAAGGTCTTGCTGTCTAAGATCTGCAGCAATGGCCGGTCTCAGTCTCATTGCCAGCACCGTCAGTCAAGTGATTGCCCCTACAGCAATAGAACTTCCATTCAGCCAAATCACCGCTGCCCCGAAACTTACACATCAACGAGATCTTCTACGGAGGGCAGCGACAGTCGACTCGGCAACCTGTGGCTGGGTCAATGGCGATCACGGTTAGAACTCTTGCTACTTTTGAAAGCAAAGACATAATCATTGACTCTCGTCACCAACTAGATGATGCACTCGCCTGTGCAGACCCATATCACCAACCATGTCTCTGGAACTCCAACCTCCACGTGGTCGGCTGTTGTGCAGCATCAGCCACTTCCGATTGCAACTGGAAGACGTCCTGTGTTCCATGGGCAAGTGTAAACTACGGCTGCGACTCAGACTGCCAGAAGAACGCCTACAACTTAATATGGTAAGCAGTAAAGGAAAAGCTCCGGTCAACCTCCCGACAGACCATTACTCACATCCCTTGCTCCCACCATCTAGCCCATCAGACAGACCACTATGCGCAATGGCCACGTTCGCTGGCCCAGCAGGCTACAGCTACAACAGCTGCACCGACAAATCCGCCACCACCGAAACCGTGCACCTGACATGGCAAGGCGGCGACGCAACAATCCAAAACCTGCCCCGGTACTACGCTTCCTACTGGTCATCGAGCAGCGGCACAAGCACAACAAATACGAAATCAAGCGGAACGGCGACGAAGTCCAGCGTGACGGCGACGCCCACAAGCTCCTCTTCCAACAACATCGGCAGCTGGATCCAGCGGCATAAATGGGCGGTGATCGGAGCGGTCGTCGGTGTGCTCATAGTGGTGCTGCTGCTGCTCGTTTGCTGTGTCTGCCATATCCGCAGGAAGAGGAAGGACCGGAATAGAGGTGCCTATGCACCGGCGGGGCAGGTGCTTTTCCCGGGGACGCAGGAGAATGTCCCGCTGACGGGGTATCGTCCCTATGAGAGAGATATTTACGCTAAGACGTGAGCTGAATAGATGGGATGGGATATGGGATGGAAGGACAATGGCATGAAATCCGCCAGGGGGGAAGGGTGTAGCCCGGGGCGGGACAGGGTAACGTGTTGGCGCATTTCAGAGTATGCCAGGATCCAAACAATACTATCTTTTGGTAATGGACATACCGGGCGCGAGCGGATCCAGGTCAGTCGGTATACAGGCTCTTCTCACAGTCTACCATTTCGACTAAATATCGCGGTGTGTAAGAAGGCGATCCTCCCGCGCCACTTCAATCACTCCCATATTGTTGTGCCAGCGTCATCCAACCTACCCTAGGATGCTGCTTGGAGCAGAATTCATGTTTTTCTAAATGGGAAAACACACTATTTGAAGATTGCGAAACGACTTCGACCTTTCCTCGGCATTGAGCTTCTCTCTCTTCTTTTTATATATATTTATTCTTAACACGACCTTTCTTTCTTGGAATATTGTGATTCTACTGTTGATCTCGGTTTGAGCAGCATTCGAACTATGTACGACGTCCAGAGCCTTAAGGAGTCTAGCAAAAACATGATCGATGCAATATCCAGACAGCCGTTTCTGTTCCATCTAATATCTATCTCCTATCTTTTCTTTCTGGCTAAGGAATCCTGCAGACGGGGCCGGCCCCCCGTTCATGCTTCACGACGCCTTCTTCGCCTCAGCCGCGACTTTATCCAGGCCCGTCCCGTTGAGGAGAAGACCGTCCTGCAGCACATGATCAGATTAGCGTTTGCCAGCAAAACGAGGACGTTGAGGAAAAGAACGCAAGAAGCACCCTCCACCCCCGGGCGAAAAGGAAGAAAATCAAACAAGAAGCCTTGCGTACCAGCACAGACATCGGAAGCAAACCCGGCAGGTATCTCGCCATACCAGCATACGTGCCCCTCCACAACTTCCCCGTGGCACCAGCGAGGATGTCCTTGACGACTGTGTCCGCGAAGTCACTGGCCTTGGTCCTCTTGATACCATCATCCGACGACACGAGCTTATTCAGGTGTTCCTGCGCGGCGTGGTATCTCGAGGTGTCGGGCAAGATCGGCTCGGGGCTGTTTGTCGAGATCTGGGTGTCGACCGCGCCCGTCACGACGGTGAGGACCTTGATGCCCAAGGGCGCGAGTTCGAGGCGCAGCGACTCGGAGAAGACGTGGATGGCGCCTTTGGAGGCGTTGTAGATGCCTGTTTTGAACACCGTGTTCGGGTGGTCACTGGTCAGCCTTGTCCTCAACCCTCATCAAGTGTCTATTATCTTCCTCTTCTTCTCATTCCCCTACGTTTCTCTTCTGGATTGGGGGGCCAGGGGTCCAGGGCAACAACTGACTGGAGAAAGGCGTATACAGCGACGCCACGATCGACCCGATGTTGACCACCACACCACCGTCGGCATGACCCTCCTCGGCCACCAACAACGGCGCAAACGACTGGATCGTTCTCAGCACCCCCCAGAAGTTGACCTCGAACAAGGCCTTTCCCTCATCGAGGTCCGAATCCAGCAGCGGCATCCAATACTGCCGTCCAGAGTTGTTGACAAGGTAATCCAGCTTCCCCGCCGTCGCGGATCTCACAGCTGCCACGGCAAAGGCCAGGTCCGCCGTAGACGTGACGTCCAGCTGGAGCAGGGTGACGTTGGGTCTCTTTTCGAGCTCGGACATCTTGGATGTGTTCCGCGCCGTTGCGAAGACATGGAGGCCGCGGTTGGCGAATGATTCTGCTAGCGCATAGCCGATGCCTGGACAAACAGAAGAACGGTTAGGAGTTTTATGATGTTTAATAAGATGTGAGGGCAAGGAATTAGTCAATATTCAAAGCTTATATGATACAGCTCGATGCATGCCACAGCTAGCTCACACGCAACCTTGAGACTAACTTAATCTCAACTTTCCAGCAATTTCATGTGGCTCATACCTATATTCAAAGGAAGTTCATGCCGAAAAGACGTTGACTTACCGCCAGCGCTGCAGCCGGTGATGAGGACGGACTTGTTGCATTTGGTATTCGACATTTCTTGTTCGCCTACCGACTGACCCAATAGCAAATATAGTCAAAGCTGGAAAGAAAGAAAACAAAAAATAATAAGAGCTTGAGTTCTCGTACAGTCGTGCCAGCATCATCCGGGGCAGGGGCGAGGTGCTCGTATTTTATATACATTTTAATTTCCTGCCATCGAGGGAGATTCGACCCTGCGAAGGGGCTGCACCAGGAACACCCTCATCTAATGTAGAGTATCAGTATCTTACGACGCATAACTATCGGTTCGCATCCACTGCTGGTAACCACCTTCTAGGTTTAGCCCGTCAGCAGGCCGCACAAGGCTGCACACTGATACGTATCTACTTGTAGTTTGTGACCCCACTGTGGGTAACCGACGAGCTTCGGCTTAGGGGCTGGGCCAAGGGATCGGTCGTCTTCGAGGCGGCGCAAGGAAACCCGCCTAAAATTGGGGTTTCAGCGCTCCGTTGCCGAGAAGAGAGAGGCTTCCGTGTCCGGAGCTCCCATTATTCCATAACGTGGTGATTACGTTCACTAATAGTCAAACTTGATTTCTTCATTGCAAGAAGTGCCATCCGTCAAACGATCGACGATCGACTCGATCAATCAATTTCAAATTCAGCCTCAACTTCCCTCATTCTCCAGGCAACCGCATTTTCTCCTCTGGGCCGGGAGTAAATGGATATTGGAGGAGGTATTCTGCGTTCCTCATTCCCCTCGAATCCACTATTGATTGAGGTAGGGTCAATACCAAGGGCCGAGGGCCTGGCTTGCTGCTGCCGCCGTATGACACGCTTTGCTGAATCCTGTTTTACTGTCTAGGCTTTCGAGGCCCGTGACGACTGGACGGGCCTGAGCGATGCCAAAGAACGCAGGAAGGCGCAGAACCGATTGAACCAAAGAGCTCGTCGTAAGTCTCCAACAATGCCACGCCGCCCACTTGCGCTTGATGTTCCATTCGTAGCTAGTTTTGTGGACAGCATGATGACGCTCATTTTGCATTGTACTTATCAAAAATAATTTGCGATCCACAGGCAGAAGGGAGAATGGAAACAAGTGGACACCAGTCAACTCCAAAATCGACGACATCCGACGAGGATACCAGAAAGTGTCAAGTTCGACGAATGGTAATGCCTTGCTCATGGTCAAGTCTTACAACGCGAGCGCAGGTAGTGTGAGGCAGCCCCATCTCAACAAAATTCGGCAGCACGTCCTGCGCGTAGTCGAAGTTGCAGTCGGGAGTCAGGATCCAGCACGGCGACGGGCGAACATCTCCGACTTTATCTTCCCATTGTCAAGCGACCATCTGATCCCTCTCATTCATTACAACGTCTGGCGGGCCATCGTCACAAATATGATCCTGCTTGGATCTGCGCAGATGCTGCTCGGCTGTCAGAGTGGTGACACGGATGATAGCTTGTTGCGCGTTGTACCACTGCCAATGCCGCGAGCTATTCCTCCTTCCCTGCAACCGACCTTGTTACAGCAAGAAATCAACCACGAGTCGTGGATTGATCTGTTCCCGCTTCCCGCTCTACGCGACACGCTCATCCGCGCCGTAGGCACGTACAATGAATGTGACCTTTGCGGTGACATGGTTGGTGCTATCGTTGAAAAGGGCGGAGCCGAGGATGCCCAGCGGGATGGTATCTCCTCCTCTCCTTCCTCTGGAGCTTCAAGAAATACATCTATCACAAGACCGCGAGGAGCGCCTAACCCCCCAAGCTCCGCGGTCCTCCCAGATGAGAACAAAGGCCTCATCATCTGGGGAAATCCCGAATGCATTGGCTCGTGGGAGGTATCGGAGGGCTTCGCAAGGAAATGGGGATGGATGATCAAGGAGGGCTGTGGCGAGTTACTCCGGGCTACTGATTCTCATAGACAAGCCAGATCAGATGACCCCATTGAATGGGAAAGCTTCGGCATCAAGTGCAACTGAGGAGAGCCCATAGTATGGAATGCATGTATTTCGCGTTCAACGCGGGCCTAGTCAGCGCACAAACCACGTGTGGCCACTCTCCTTTCTCTAGAGAAGTAAAAAATGGAAAAGGGTTGATTCATTGCACACATGACGTAGCCTGATTGACGAGGCTGAGATGAGAAAGGGGAGAGAAGGAGAACTACTCACCGTCCAGCGTTTCTCACTGGTGGCTCATCGATACAAACAGACAGACACCAAGACATGTTTTCCCATTCGACAAGGTACAATGTCAATGGGTCCGTTTGAGAAATTGTTCGAGCTGCAAGAGATGCGGTGGCTACGATCCAAAAAGGGGGTCAGAATGTTGAAGGTGGGTGCTCTGCATGGCTGTGCCTGCAACCTAGCTTTGAACGGTCACAACGAGACTGGGGATGCAAGTCAGGCTTGGTATTCCTGCCGGCCTTGTACCAGTAATTGAGCGCGTTGGAAGGTTTGGAGGGAGAGGTTGGCAGTACGAGGATGGCAAGCCTCAGGCCAGGTGATGATCATCATCGTCCCAATGTTTAGAGAACTCTCAAAACGATATCCTTTTTCCATGATTGACAGTGTTGTCGACTCCGCGTCGAGAGCTGTTAGCACTAGCGTGAGCATGTGGAACTACAGTCAACGTAGAAGGCCCACTCACCAAAAGAAGCCCGTCGTTGTGCATGATTTGGTGTGATCGCACAGTGGATCTTACACACTCAATCTACCTGCATCCCAAACAAGTGGACGGCAGAAAGAGAATAAATCTGCGTCAAAGCAGCTAATGAGTATTCACCCACCAACGCAGGAAAGTCCTCGGTTAGCCAATTATTCTTCAATATGCCAAAATCATGCAGTTCAAAATTGCCGGATACGGCAGAAATCAGTGGCCGTTTAGATCTCGTGTAGATCTTGGGAGTAAAAGAGGTGAAGTGGCGAATCAAGGTGCAAGGAGTCTTCGAACGCTCATCTAACTCTATGGACTGAGTACCCTTTTCGGCTCGGCGATAATGGATAGTCGGCGTTTAGTACCTCGTAATGTCTCAGGCTCAAGTGCCACAACAAGGCTCAGTGATCAATTGCTGTTGAGGAAAATCCGTGAGGAGTGAGGGATGTGTGTCTGTGTGACGTCCCTGTTTCTGCCTGATTGATGGACGCTTAGGTCTGAAAATTGACTCACTGCGGGATGATTGATCTGAATGGCGAGGTCTGTGATACTTGCTCGTTTGAAGGCAGAGACAAATATGACCTGTAGTCTCTGTAAATCGTACTCCGCCGGGCGAGAGACGAGAAAATGCTCAAGAAAACCGACGGAATAGTTATGCAAGCGCCCATGCAAGCGCCATTTACGCTTGAACCTATCATACGCGCGCCAAAAGTCCAAAGAACTTCCATTGTGGAGTTGTTGCTGATCTCGTGTTCTCATCTGTCATGCGGGACTTTCTGGTGCGAGCAAGGATACTCCGGAGATGGGTTGTCCTAGTCGTAAGTTTGTTCGGTACATAGATCAACTTCGGATACACGAGCGGCACCAAAATAGGAGTCTCGGAATTCGTCGCCTCTTGGCATGCAGGGATATTCTTGTACCAATGTGACAGAACAACTGGATGGTGCGGCCCCGACCGCCCTGTGGGTCGGCGGACGCGGCGCTAGTGGTTGGTACACACTATAATGGTGTCGAATGCCGGGGAGTGAAAGTCACCTTTCCACCAGTGGTCCTGCCGGTGCGGGTGCAAGCACTGGGAGATGCATGAGGAGAAGCCCATGTGAAGCATGCTCGAAATCTTCAGAGTTCGAGGCGCTATTTATGCATAAGACTGACAGCTCGCCTGTACTCCGTACCCCGAACTGACAAAAGAGATGGGAATGGGGTTATTACTGGGCTACACCTGGTGTTGTTTGGTCAGGGAGTGGTGTGCCCTGGGTGCAGCTGCACACACACGCCATCCAGGGGCCAAGGGGGCTCCAGGGGTAGCCTAGAAATCACACTATTGCGGACCAAGGACAAGATTGCTCAAGTGAAAGCAGACCGACATGAATCCCAACGTAGATCAGCAATTGCTGTGCTACCAAGCAAGCGCTATTGCATGGCTTCTTGGGTCCCATAATTCATAGTAGGGGGGCTTCCCTGCAAAGCAGACTACACCTCAGAATGTGGGTGTGGGTGCAAATCTCCGACCTCGGTGCTTGTTAAGACGTTAGAAAATTGTCATGAAGATCATGCTTGCGCCTCTCATATATGACACAAGAACCCCGGGCCGAGATTTGACAAAAGACCGAGTTTAAGAGGTCCAGTTATGGGAGGTTGCAACATCTGGAACGGCAATCGAGAAGGTAATTCGTCCATTTGCTGCACAAGCAGGCCATCCGTCGCCATCTACTTCGGTCATCGTCAACTTCCAAGGCACACCTCGGTGGCTTCGTGATTCGAAACGGATGGTGACAGGCAACTGCTGGGCGTAAGGGGGGTCGTACCAGGCGACTATTCTGCCACGATGGCGAGTGCCTTGAATGTGGACTTCGGTGTCTGTGCAGGTGAGCCACAAAAGTTCAATGATGCGAGCACGCTCGTGCATTTTGTTGACGTTAAATTGATTGACCTTTCGACCCAAGCGTCTGTAGATATCGTCGAAGTGATCGTCGAAGCGTACAGCGTTATCCTGATCTAAGTGATACCACCTGACAAAAAGGTAGAAGATGACCTCCAGACAATGCTCCAATGCAGACAAGGTAGGAACAACCCCGGCCTCGACCATCATCTGAGCAATATACGGTGGGAGGGCAAACTTCCAGGCTCCAAGGCTTGTCCGTCGCAACACAATTCTCTCCTCCCGTCCATGTTCGTCGACAGGGTGAAAGTTTGTCGTCTGTTGTGAGATTTGGGAAGAAGACATGGTCAGGATTTGTATGTCGATTGGCTTCGACAGGATTGTAACGATGTTGTCATCTGCTTCATCTGACTACAAAGCATTCCAGGATCAAGGCATGCTCAAGGATAGCTTGTGCAAGCGTGGTTTTGCAAGAATGGATGGATTTGGTGGCTGATAGAGGAACAGGAGGATCCGGTGGACTTCGGAAGGCAGGATGGTTATTATATCCTCGTGAATCTGACCCTGGAGCATTGAGAGGAGCATTGAGCATTGGGCGTGGAGCGTGGATGTCAAACAATGCATCTGGAAATACGCAGTGTTGAGAAGCGGAGTGCCTCGTATCTTGACGATTGGCTCTGCACGATAATCGCCCTCGATGGCGCTATACTCGCTGAAGTTAATTGTAGGCAGCAAAAGAAGATCGTGTTTTTGAACATAGTCCGTACTGGGGCCCCTTCCGCCGGTGCGTGTGATGAGGCTCGTAATAGCGGTGGCCAGATGTGCTTACCTCAAAGGAGTCAAAGACAGGGGGTAGGGGGGCCTCTTGGACGATGGCCATGGCTGGCTCAACCAGACCTTCACGTACTGGAGTCCCGAGTCCTCTCTGGACGGAGCACTGGCGTATTGAAGGCGAGAGGATGGGAAAGAGAAAGCAGGGCAGAGTACTCCGTACACAGAGAAAGGGAGAGAAGAGGGTTGGCGAGGGGCATCTGTGGTAAGGCCTTGCTCATGTTGGTGCTGCTTATTTGATGTTGGCGCTGATGCTGGTGATGCTGGTGGTGGTGGTTGCGGTGGTGGGAGAACTGGAGCAAATCTGCGGCGATTCGTATTTCACAAACGCGAAGGAGCGTCGACTTCCCGTTTGAGTTTCGGGAAGGAGCCACCCACCGACCATCGACGTCGAACAGACACCAGACACCAGACACCAGATTCCGGGGATCTGGCCTCACCAAGTGCTGCAACGCCATCCTGCATCCTGGAAACTCTTACCCTTGATGCATACTCGTGATCTGTGAACCCTGGGGCCAGAGCATATCGAATACTGCGTACCTCGTACTGTATGCAGTACCGAGTACTCCGTACCAAGGGACAGGTGCGTCTCGACTCTCGATGCCTTTCCCCAGTCCAAGGATTTGCCTGTTTCCCACCAAGACGAGGGGCTAGCTGATAGTTGGCAGCTTTGTTCGTTTCATTTCCCATGCCCCAGGGTTGACAAGCGAGCCATCTTACGAGGACGCCGTTCTAGGGCGAGAGTGTGATAAGTGACACGCTGACACCGCACTTCGCCGACGGCTACAGACAACCCGAAAGCCCCGCCCCGTGTCTTGATAGTACAGAATGTCTCGACCGTGATTGGCATAGATCGGGCCCATCGGTACCAAGCGGAATGCCTGAGCAATCAGACGAGCAGGATCAAAGCCGGGGGAGCGTCACTAACTATCTGTGTATGTAGTGGTTGGCGTGCCATGGGATGTAAAGGCTGCACAAACATCACCCGACATGCCCTCGATTCTGAGGTTTCCTCCTGGCACCTGCAAGCACCCATGTGTCAATGGCAGCCGCCGATCGCATCAATAAACTCGGTACTCAGCAGGGAGTATTTCTTGAGCTCAGAAGTCCGAAGAGCTCGTCGCCCTGCTATTTGATCCCTGCTTGTCGACGAAATGGAATCTGGATGGATCTTTTGTAGACTGGCAGCGCCTCTAGCATGGCTTGCTATCCGGAAGAACCCACCAAGGGCATTTGCACAATACATGATCTCTTGCCGCGACTGCTGTTGCCCCCTGTTGGACACGTTCGCCCACCATTCCATTTCGTCTAAAGGCTGAGACGATAAGGTTGGTGAGCCTCTTACGTAAGTCATCATCCTGCTATCCCTCCGCTCAACGGCCATGATCAAGTAGTCATAGGCAGCCGTAGACAGCCCCTAAGAGTGCACAAGCCCATGTCATTGATCTACCTAATGGTTTTCGTGTATGTTTACAATTCCACTGTGAGGTGCCAGAATCTTGCTTCGCAGGCGAGCAACTCCAGTCCCGTGTATTATGCCCCGTTGAAGCCCCTCTCCTGGATGGCCTTCCTTTTCCCTCGTAACCTTGCATTACCTGAATTATGATCGCTCATACCTCAAGCGACTACTGCCCAGTTTGCCAGTCTCCCATCGTCGTCATCTTTATCCTTTAGCATTGTATTTGTCGTTGAAAGCATTCACCGCTAGATCCCAAAGTTAGCTCTTGGACATCGAACGAAAGGCTGCCGTCCATCAACTCACCAATAGCAATCTGCCTGTACAGCCAATTCCGACTGCCCTCGTCAGCAACAGGGATAAACGGCCCATTGGCGCCACCCTTCAAACCAAAGCTCATCCCCGTGCGTTCTTTGCTGATGGTCTGCACATCCGTCAACTTGACGTCCCACTCCATTCTCAGCTTCTTGGTGCGAATCATGAGGATCCGGTCGTATGTGATCATCACCAACATGTCTCGACCCTCCAGCTCTAAGTGAGCGATGTACTCCTCGTTGAAGAACTTGCCGTCATCGCAAGTTTTGAGCCAAAATTGTCCAAGCGCTTCACGCTGCGAATATGGACGGACTATGCCGTCCATACCAATGAACCGAGTCAGCCGTACACGGTCGAGGCCTTCGGCGTCGAAGACTGTCGTTGTGTTGCGTACCCCTTCCGCAACATTGGACGCTAGATCAAACGCCCCAATTGCGGGCTTCGTTGCCAGACCTAGCACGCCTTTTCCAACCCCTTTGACAAATCCGAATGCTCCTTCTTTCTCTGCCCCCTCAAGCGGATGTCGTGCAAGCCCACCGATACCGCTTGCCACACTTGAGGCAAAAGCATTGCCGCCGGACGTCACGCCATACAGTGCGTGTTTCGGCCGGTTTCGGCTCTTGGACATACGCCGCTGATCTTGAAATTCTTTATCCATCGTCGCAGCTGCGAGGCCTTTAGACATAGAACCAGTGAACTTGGCCATGCTATCGCTGAAACCGAAGACTGATTTCTTCACGAAGCTGCTGGCTCCCTTGGCGATGCCAATGCCTAACTCTTGAGGTCGGTCGGTCATGACTAGGCCTTGATATGGTTCGTAGAAGATGTCAGCAACACCTGAACTGACGCTATTGAACAGACCCACGGGGTTCCCGAGGAAGTCGGCAGATCCAAGAATAATATGCACCTGCCTGAGCACTTCTTGTGTGTAATGATTCTGGATGTTGGCCATGAGAGCAGGAATCGAGATCCGCGCGTTCTCGAGCATAAGGGCGTTGAGCTTGATCGGAGCATCATTGACATTGCCGATGGACATGGTCATCACATTGACTAAGAACATGAGGGGACTGTTCACAATGGTGTCTTCCGCGTTGATCCGTTCAGTTCGAACAAACGATAGATCGAGTTGAATGGGTTGTAGATGGAGGAGCTCAAAGTAGACATCTTGACCTTGTTGTTCCAGAGTCGGCTCAGGAACGTCTAAGTCCTCATCACAAAGCTTTCCTTCTCTCTCCTCTGCCCATGATGCTCCCGGCACCTTGAGGAAATCAAGCATGGCAAAAATGAAGTCTTCATCCAATTCGATGGTGATCTGCTGAAGAAGAAGAGTAGCGTATTTGATGTAGAGAACACCATATGAATCGTCTTTGACTCGAGTCACCATACTATGGAAGATAGGATGAGCCTCCATCTCCTTGCCAGTCTTTGGCACCACGCTGGGGTAAAGCAGGATGGGAAATATTCCACCATACAGTTGATTGTCGATCTGTATCCATTTGACAGTTCCGTTCACTGTCTGGTAGAGTTTGGACTCGCCATACTTGAGATCTATCTCACGGAATGTCAGATACAAAAGCTCCTTCATTTTGGTGTTGACAAGAGAGATTCCAATGCCGGCCAGCCGAAGTTCGGCCTTGAAGTTGACTTCCGACTCGATCTGCTTGACTTCGAATCCTTGATTCAAACTGGTTTGCGAGGCAGTTGTCGCCCCAGTCTTTTGACGGTATAGTGATCTTGAAGGCTTGTAATTTGAGAGCACCAAAGTTTGAGTTGGACCATCTGCAACAATATTGACATCAATCACTTTCATTAGGCCGCCTCGTTCTGTAGCCGGGAGCTTGATTGGAATCAAATTTCCTATCTCTGCCAGCTTAACATATCTCTCCTTGCCTCGTGACGTGAGAACGAGTTCCTTGTTCTTTGACGCAGGATAATCCCACGCATATGGCATAATGCTTCGTGGAGGGAGCTTGTATCGGATGGGCTTCCATCCACTACCACGATCTTCCTCCTCATCTTCCGCGATATTGGGGTTGGCCTGGAAGAACAAGAACTCAGTGTCACTCTCATTGCGCATTGAGAACGGCCAATGCTTGGTCTCGATGCTGAAATGCAAGAAAAGAGTCGCGTCCTCGAGGATAATTTCAACACGAAGCAGCTTCTGTCTTTGTCCATGCTTTGCTAGTTTGACGTGTGTCATGCCAATGTTTGCAAGGTTGAAAGGTGATGACCACTGGTTGTCCACTCCTGGGAAGCAAAGACAAAGTTGCTTTTCTGGACTTTGGCGCATGAAGTAGATAGGTAGCAACTCGTTATTCCTTACCTTGATGACTTCCGATGATCCAGGCTCGCGAAGCTCAATTGCCTCTCCTATCTTGTTTTTGAGCACGAATCTTGGGGCTATGGTGACGACTTTGCTCAAGTTGTACTTGCCTTCCCCTTCAGCGACAGAGACACCAACGTGAAGCTCAGAACGGCTATTGGCTGATGGCAGGACAACCTCGTAGGAACTACCAATCGCGTCGAAACTTTGCGGTTTACTCCAAGATGAGTCGCCGATTTTCAGCAGCGACCGGTTTTTCCGATCATCCGTTCCATAGGAATAGAGCATGGGTAAAGCCTTGCCATTACCGGAACTTGTTCGGGCCCCTTGTGGCCCGGTAGATTTGGATGATCCGAAAAAAGCTTTGCTCTGAACACTCATATCGAGGCCAGTCTTGTTGAGAAGCACATATGGACTGTAGATCGAAACTCGAAATGCGCCGCCACTGTCCTTGATATTGGTGTAATGCAATTTCAGGGTCAGCTGAGTTCCATACTCATCCTTCAGGCTTAGGCTTTTCTCCCGACGGAACTCTTCCTGAGTGTTGCTGTTGATAATGGCAAATTCGCTTTGCTTGAAAGGAGTGTCCTCGATGTCGACGCTGAGGAGAAGTAGATGTGAGAGTTCAACGACGTGTACAGGGCTGACGCCACCCTTCCGTAGAAAATTTGTCCAGTCTTTCTTCGTGTTTTTGTCATATATTCGATATTTGAAATCGTATGGTAAGAGATTCTGGACTTCGACCGGTGCCGAAATTTGGATCCGCATGAATGGGTAAATTTTTGTCATGGGGTCTTTCTGATTGTAGGCCGCATGCATCTGGAAATAAAACGGTGGTGAGTTGTCTTTACCCTCTGATTGACAAGTTAGGGTTCTAGTAGACCTCTTCAGGAGATCCTTCCAGAATAAACGCTCATTCGACCAACCGTAGCCAAATCCTTGATCAGGTCGAATAACAAGTGAATGTACAAAAGCGGCACCAACTGGTGCTGGCTTGCCCTCTCCTGGGGGAACCTTTTCGATTTTGAGAAGATGACCATCCTCGGGACTGTAGACTCCAATCTCAATCGGGATTTGCGTCTTGTTCTCAACAAGAAGTGGAGAGCGGATGGTGATGTACTTGACGTTGTCAGACCCCAATTTCACTTCGACCAGCATTCGATGTTGCACGTTGTCTTTGCGCGGCTTCAAGTTGTATAATGTCTCACCCTCCCGAATGACAGGAATGCGGCTGACACTATCAAAGCCGCTGCCTTCAAGCTTGACACCGACCAGGCCTGCATTGCCTTCGGGGGTCAGATGTTCACGCATTGAAGTAGCATCTTCGAATCGCCAAGCATATTCCTCACCGTCACTCAATTTGGCAGCATTGGCGGTATCACTCTTCTCGTCCGCCCAAACACTAAGATCGAAGCCAGTGTAATTGCGGATCCGATAAGGTGCATCCGCAACACGAGGTTTCGATAGGATGTCCTCGTCTGTAGACAAGAAGTCGAACGATTTCGATGCTAAAGCAATGGTTGCGGAGGTAATTGTGAGTTCCATGTTCTTGTGCGAGTAGACTTCCATCGACAACACTTCCGGTTGCACCTGCTTCGACATATGAAAGCCCAGCTTCCACGGCTCGATCAATGGTTCCCATGCCGATTTGGAGAAGTTATAAACGTTAAGGAAAGTGTCAAACTTTGTGTCAGCAGTCATCGCACCTGACCAGTCTCGAACATCGACATCGAATTTTTTTACGCTCCAATCTAGCAATGGAAGTTCGTGCCTATCCCCGATCAGAATCACCCGTATGCCGTCAATCTGAGCGACCAGTTCTTCTCTACTCATGACAATAGACTTCTTGGGTACTGATTTCGATTGAGGCTTCGAGATTGACTTGGAATGCTTGGATCTTTTGGTTGAAGCGGCTGTGGCACCACCGACCGATCTTCGTTTAGTGGAAGCTACTTTCACCTCTTCAATTTTCTTCGGTTCTGTATCTTCTTGAATTTTTGCTTGCGGCGTTGTAGAGGATGCCTTGCTCATGATCTGCATCGCAAGAAGGATATCACGCAATGACAACCTCAAGACAAGAGGCTCAATTCCAATGTGTATGGAAGTAAGTGAAGAGTCCTTGCCCTGACTTCGACTTTCCATGGACATTTGAACGCTGAAATCGTCCAAGATTCGAAGACGGCTTGTCTCGAACTTATCCATTCGACATAGGAACATGCCCACTTTCGTAATCTGAAGGGTGGTAGCATTTTGGCGCGATACAAGGACTTCTTTTGTGCCCAGAACGATAGCTTCAGTATTTGAAATAGTTGGGTTGGCAATGAGAATAATTTGCGCATCCACAATATTAATCCGGAAGGAGACACTCATGCCCGAACCTTCCTCCTCTGTGGTGTCATCCTCCTCATGTCGACTTCGGTCTTCAGCAGGGCTCAAAGGATCGTCTTCCGAAAGATCTTCCGCATCTGCAATAGGCCGAGGTTCGTCGGATGCAAAGGCCGTATTAGCAAATGCTTGAAGAGAGAAAAGATAGTCCAATGCAACGATAATTCTTGGGCTGTCAATTGTAAGCATCACAATCATATGCTTTTCAGTACCTCCCGATATTGAGACGCTTGCCATAAATTGTTGCTGGACATCGTTGTTGATCAAAGACATGATCTTTCTGAATTTATTCGTCTCCCTTGATCGGCTATCACGAATAGTGAAGGAATGAATCAAGAGCTCGGATTCTAGAGCTCCATCGCTAAGCATTCGCAACTTGACATTGGTATCATTCAATGAAAACTTCGATACGCTCGCAGCTTCAAAGTTTTCGATAGATTCGTCATCTACCGCTAGTATCAGTTCAAGGCCTATCATTGGAGCTTTGAAGACGAGATGTAACTTGGTCCAAGTCTCGTGGGTGGATCCAAGCTCCGGTCCCTGATATGTAGGCCGTGATGGTTCATCTGATTCTTTGTCGTTTTGAGTAGGATGTGTTGGTGCAACCTTTGATTCTGGTAGTTCATCCGCAATCTCCTCATCAGAATCCTCCTCAGTAGCAAAAGCAGCCGGGATTGTTTTGGAAAGTTCCATCAGGAACTTGAATTGTGTTTGTGAAATTCGCAGGTTGACAGGGGACATTGATCCATCAATCTCCAGGTCTGGCCTTTTGAGACCGCTCTGGTGTTCGAGATACCTAATCTTGAAATCGAGATCCACCTTGTCGATCATCTCCAGCTCCTGGCACTGGTCATCGTCATAATGAAATTCTGTCGTCAGGCGGATGTTACGTATCCCAGCCGACAGTTTATTGACCATTGGTCCATCTCTCTGACCTTGGATGCTAACAAATTTGTTGCTAGCATAGATTTCACCGAGATAAGCTGTGAGCAAATCTCGGGGTCGATCGTCAACCATGGCTCTTGGGAAGACAACAATGGGAGTTTTGATGACGACATCAAAATGCATTTTCTGAGCACTTTGCTGAACTTGCGTAGCTTGATTGGCTGCAGCTTGTCTTGCAGCATTGAATATGGCCTGCATTTTCCCGAACTTGACACCAAACTCCATGATCTTCCGAAATGGCTCTTCCAAGAAGTTCACCTTTATCGAACCCGAACGTAGGAATATACCGGAGTCGTATCCTGGATAGTCTTTCCGAGTAGCGTCATACGTTTGGTATTTGAAATCAGCGAGGTCATCCCCTTCTATAGCAATGAGCCGACGCAATGGCGAATCCTCTGGGGCACCTTGATTGATATCATCCACCAGTGACAGACTGCCCAAGCGTGCTTTGACCTGCACTGTACCAGCGTTAAGAAAAACCCCAACATCACCTGAGTTTAGGGACAAGGTAGCAAGCCTGACACCATCGTTGTTGAGAATTAGCGCTATACTTGTCAATTCAGCTTTGATTCTGAGCTTTTCTGGCTGCTGTTTGGCCTGAGTTACTGTGTCGAGATCAGCCTCATTCTCTTTGTCTCCTTCAAGCTTCTTGGTGCCTTGCTCCACTGGCTTGTCCCCAGGGCCTGCAAATGTGGTAAGGACAAAGTCGAGCAGCGTCAAAAGCGTCTTTCTGGTGACAATGACATTGATCGTTGACACTGCGACATCGAGGTTGGTCGCAATTCCTTCGTATGTGGACTTGAATTCAGGGGACTCAGGGTTAACCTTGACGAATTTGACATGGAAAAGGTCTTTCTCTTCTTCGGCTTTGAAGCCCTTTGAAGAGATAATCTGCTTAAATTCTGGCAATGGTTCATCTTCAATGTGATCATCCACAGTCAATGAGCGTAAAACAACTTCAGCTGCCATGTCGTAAGGGCGGAGGTAGAAGTTAAAGGAAAAGTATTCTGCAACTAGTTCGGCGAGAAGCTGGTCTGGCTTCTTCTCTTCGGGATCTGCTTTAAAGAGTGACGCTTGAAGTTTATCAACGGTGAATTTGATCTCAAAGTTGCGTTGATGAATGTTGGCCGGCTTTTCCTTCTTCTCCACGTTCTTCTGCCCGTCGTCTTCGCAGTCAGAATCATGCTCGATAACTGGTTTATCCTTAGATTCAAGCAGCACAACTGACTTTCTCTTAGAATTAGACCCTTCAGTTGATTTCAAAGGTACGGTCGTCTCTTGAGACCCGTTGGAGTTTGAGGTCGAGTTCTCAAATTTTGGAATTGCCACGTCAATCAATCTCATGATATTTTTATATTTCCTGTCAGAGATAGAGGCATGTAGGACAGGCATAGAGCCAGAGATGCGGATTTTGGTGATGTCCGGAGCTTTTGGTATGATTGAGTTCTCGATAAGGAATTCCATATTAATGCGGTCGATAATGTGCATATTCTTGGTATCGTCGGGAGCTTCTAGTTGAGACCTTGTGGCATTGATACCCGGTCCAATCAGGACTTGGGTTGAGTCCAGCTTTAGGTGGAACTTGTCGTACATGAGGCCTTCCAGTTGTTTGAAGTCTTCCTCTGTATATTGCTGCTTCTGTTTGGAATGTATGTCCCGCATTGTCTCCTTATCCACAAGTTCGCTATTGAGGCTAACATGGCCTGCATCCAATATCATACACAGGGTGCTCTCTCGCGTGATACTCTCTGGGATGATGAATATAGGGGCCTGAATGTCGAAATTTGCATTCATAGTCTTGTGCTCCTCCAGTGCGAACTCAAGGCCAGCTCGAGTCTGTTGCCTGATCTCCTCAACAGTGGCTCCCGCTGTCTGCAACAACGCTCCTATTGATTCCATCTGCCGCTCAGGTGGTTTGAAGAATTTTGCTATCTCGACAACAAACTTTGGGTTGTGGATGAATTCTAGGCTTCTAAGTTTTAGAAAGATTTTGGTGTCAGCACTTCCATCCAATGGATTGTTTTCAAACAGCAGATGAAACAAGCTGTTATCGTCTTCTCGTCTCCTTCTGATCTCTCCGTCGTCACTACTCTGTTCTTCTAGAGTGCTAATGTCCTCTTTGACGTCGTCCTTTGATTGTTCCTCGACACCCTTGACCTTGACGATCTGTGGAAAGAGGCTCCCTTCTGTTGTGCCGTCATAGACCCGGAAACCCCCAAGCGCAAGATCGGCTAGAATTGAGTCCGGTCTTTGTATAGCTTTGGCTTTGAAGTTGTCAAAAACAAGCTTTAAGATCTCATTCGCTTCTCCATGCGGATCTCGTTTCAAGGTGAAGCTTCCAGTCCTCAGGCTTGATTCGACCTGCAATTTGATGGTTTCCCGAGGAAGGTCGACACTGTCTGCAATAGCCTTCTTCTCGTCCCAGTCAATTGCATCATAAAGCTCTTTACGCTGCTCATCTGTCATGCCAGCATCTTCATTCTCGCCGTCATCTTGGGCCGGCTTTGAGCCCCAGATCCAGGATGACCAAGTTTGTTTCTGTGCAGGTTTGGGGGCATTTATGTTTTCCTTTCTGAGCTGGCTGCGAGCAAGTGACCTCCAGAACCGGAGATCTTCGTAACTTAGCTTGAATTCTAGGTCGGACAGCTCCTCGGTCTCTTGCTCTGTCAGCTTTTGATCCTTCTTCTTCTTTTTGAAGAGCTCGATATATTTTAGACGAGTATCCCTGCGTTCTTTGAAGTAGTCCCATGTCCATCTTCGGTTGCGGTCGTGGATCTTATTGAGGACTGCGTTTGCGGCGAACTTGAGCCAAGCCTTGGGGTCTTCTTTCGGGGTCGTCTGGGGTTGATCTTTTTTGTATTCTTGATGTCGCACAAAATAGTGCATGAGATCGACAAGCATCAATGCATCCCGATACTGATCTTCGTCAAGAATGAAACCGAGCTCTTGGAACAACAATCGTGCCTTGATCTTTGGGATCTCGGCTTTGCCCGACTTGTCAAGTTCGATGCCTGCTCGCCCGCTTACAGGCTTGAGGAGATATTGGGAGTTGCCTGTGTCTTCGATTCCCTCTCTGAACTTAGTAATGAGGTCGTCTTTGTCAATTTCTTGTGCAGCAGCACCGACATCCCCACCTCTTCCAGTTCCAAAGAGTTCGGCATCACTATTCCAGTAGACTGCCAATGAATTGAGAACCGCTAGTTTGTGGGTCGTTCCTGAAGTGGATTGAATGAAGGTTGGGCGCCATTCAGAGTCTGTGCTCACGGCGCTCATCTCTTTCAGGGTGAGGCCGACTGCGAAGGGATGGCCAGGAGTGGCAATGGAGTCTTCGTACCGCACGTGCACGTTTTTGATGCTGACCTGAAGATTATCAACAATAGCAGTGACCAAGCTTTGAGTAAAACTCTGATTTTTTTGTTGTTCCTCAGGACTCATGCTCTCGGTGTTTCGTTCCTTCAACAGCTCGGCGCTCTCGAGTTTCTCTAACTTGACAGCAACAGTACGCTTCTCTTCCTCCGCGGCGTCGTATTCATCTTCCTCTTTCGGAGCAGCGAGCAGAAAGACATCCTCAATGTTGATTTTGACCGGCTTGCCCCTGAGATTTGACCAGGGTATGGACAATGTCAGTTCTCCGAGGCGCCCCTCCACAACATTGATAGGCAAATGTAGCTGATCGAGGGCTTCTCGTCTTAGCTCTAGATTACGTAGCTTGACATCTCCAGACCATATGCCAACATTGAGCTGCTTTGGATCGAAATTCTTGACGTACATGCCCAAGAAGCGATTAAGAAGGTTTGCGACCAAGCCTTCCAACATCTTGTCGGGAGATGGCCGTCACCCAGGCCGGGGGAATCAGAAAATTATCTCAAAGGAAGTAACATAAGCGATTATAAGGAGTGAGGAGTCTTGGACTTGAGGCCAGATTATTCGTCACCAGTTGAGATAGCCACGGTATGGATTGAGTTTGAGAATTGAACCTTTCGAGTCTTGACAGATCGCACAGCCACTTCTGATGTGGCGGGGCAGAATAGGCCGTCAAGTGAAACCCAAGCTTGAGTCCTCGACTCACTTGAGAGGCTCTGAGGTGGAACAAATAATGTACAAGCAAACGAGCCAACAGAATAAATGAGTGCATGAATGTATCAAAGTGAAACAATTACAATGATCTTGATCGTACCGAGAAGTACAGTAATCTACTTGAAGAGCAAGGCATGGGTTTCTGAAAAGCAGAAAAGAGATGAATTGACTTGGACGGCTGTGAGAAGAGGTCATTACGTCAGTGTTGGAACGGCCACCTAGACAACTGGCGGCCGAGTTGGAAGGTTGGAGGGTTGGAGGTATTATTTATTACTGGGGACATGTTCCTCCGTACGGAGTACTGTTAGTCAAATTACTTGTATTTTACCCACCCCTTTGGCTCATTCCGGTTTTCCTGAGCCCCGTAATACGGTGAAGTGACGTGAAGTGCCAACCGCCACAAGTCTGGTCATTACGACATCACTAATTTCGTGACTGCGCGGCGCGTTCGCGTTTGGTCACACGTCACCGCAGCCTGGGCTCACACTTCGATCAATTAGCATTAGCAAGACTTCATCGCTACTGGCCGCAAGTTGAGTGACTTCTTCGGTCGGTCGGTCTCAATTCATGCTGTGATCTGTGTACGAGGCGATGACGCCTCTGGCGATCACAAATGGGCTTTCGAATCACCACTTGGAATGTCAATGGCATCCGCAATCCCTTCGGCTATCAGCCATGGCGAGACAAAAGAACCTTCGAGGCCATGTTTGCTACCCTCGAGGCCGACATAGTCGTCTTCCAGGAAACTAAAATCCAGCGAAAAGACCTCCGGGACGACATGGTGCTTGTTCCGGGCTGGGACAATTACTGGAGTCTCCCCAAACACAAAAAGGGTATACTATTGCCACAATCTCACCTCTTAGGATGACAATTGGTCTGACGTTGCCAGGATACTCCGGTGTCGTTGTTTACACTCGCAATGCTACCTGCACACCCATTCGAGCAGAGGAGGGCATTACTGGAATCCTCACTCCACCAAACTCCTCCACTAGTTTTCGAGACCTACCCGTCGATGAACAGATCGGAGGATATCCCAATGCTGAACAATTGTCGCAATCTGACTATGATCCTGCCACTCTTGACTCTGAAGGAAGATGTGTCATTCTCGAGTTCCCAGCCTTTGTCTTGATCGGAACATATTGCCCTGCAGAAAGAGACGAGACTCGAACACACTTCCGTTCAGGTTTTCTGAGAGTTCTCGACGCCAGGATCCGAAACCTGGTAAAGATGGGCAGGAGAGTGATTTGGACGGGTGATCTGAACATCTCGCGAGAAGAAATCGACACTGCTGCCGCCGAAGAGAGTATGCGAAAGCATGATATGAGCTCCATCGAATGGATTTCCACCCCAGCGCGGAGAATGTTCAACCAGCTCCTCGTTGATGGCAAAGTCCATGGCGAAAGGGATGAAGGCCGCGAGACGCCAATTATGTGGGACATCTGTCGCGGATTTCATCAAGGTCGTGTGGGCATGTACACCTGCTGGGAAACCAAAGTCAATGCTCGACCTGGAAATTATGGTGCGAGAATCGACTATGTTGTCTGCAGTCATGATATGAAGGATTGGTTCAGTGATTCAAACATCCAGGAAGGCCTGCTGGGCTCTGATCACTGTCCAGTCTACGCTGTCCTTAAAGATACTGTGGTTCTTGATGGGAGTGAGACGCATATCCTCGACCTTGTGAACCCCGCGGGTATGTTCGAGAATGGTGTACGGAAACTGGAATGGACCAACAAGAATCTACTACCCATGTCAGGAAAGCTCATCCAAGAGTTTGACAAGAGGCGCAGTATCAAAGATATGTTCACCCGTCAGCCATCACTGCCGAGGCCGAAGAGTACAATTCAAGAGAACAGTCAGAACATTGAAAGCATGCTGCCGCCATTACCTTCCTTGACAGCAGGCAACAACACCGCCGACACTTTTGTCTCTCCACAAGAAGAAACAGTAACACTTTCAAAAACCACCACGAACGCATCTGATGCATCCTCCAATGCGAAAACTGGCAACTCTTTCAACACGAAAGCAGTCAATGGCAAACGACCAGCAAACGCCGCTCCTGGGCCGACCTCTAAACGATCTAAGGCTGCATCACAACCCGGCATGACTGGAGCTGCAAAAGGTCAGCAAAGTCTGAAAGGCTTCTTTGCAGCCAAACCTTCCATCGTTGAAAAAACCCAAACAGCTCCAACCGAAGATCAGGACCCACCCTTGCCCATCAACAGCATCTTGGTCGATCCTCCCGAGGTCACTCCTGCAACATTTACATTACCTGCCAAGTCCGAAGTCAGCCTTGAGGACGAAGCTGCCACGTTTGCGGCTAAGAAATCTTGGGGCAAACTGTTTGCAAAACCTGTCTCGCCGAAGTGTGAACACCAAGAACCATGCAAAACAATGGTAACGAAGAAACCTGGGGTCAATTGCGGCCGCTCATTCTGGATGTGCAATCGACCATTAGGCCCCAGCGGGAAGCAAGAGAAAGGCACACAGTGGAGATGTAATACTTTCATCTGGGCCAGTGATTGGGACACGCATACTCCTGACCCCCCTTGAAAGCCCCCCTTGGAGCCCAAGCTATGGTCCTTATCCCAACCCGGCCTTGCAGATTGAACAAGCTATCGCTGGCGATGAGCATCGAGCCATCCATGTGGCCGCTAACGTTGCTCCCTACCACAATCAGCTGCCAGTGCTGAGCACAACACCTAGTCTCTGAATGCATCGACCGCCAGACCACCTATCAGAGAAGGAGCTTGACCCGAAACGATTCCATAGGCCCTACACCCTCATCATCTCGATGCCAATGAGCTCAACACTAGAGCTAGGCACAATACACATCCACCCTCCACACCAAGAGAAGATTGGAATGAAACGATCATGGAATCTGCGGTACAACAAACAGTTCAAGCCTCTCCAAATGTCTTTTCGTTTTTCCTTCTTCTCTGTCCTTCCTTCGGCCCTTTCATCTGTCCGTGTCAGGCCTCTTCTTCCCCTGCCACCTTCCCCTTGCCTTGTCGCCGTTTCACTGCCAACCTCGGTCGCGCTCCTCCCATATCCCGTGGTCCTCCCCAGACCGCTCCAATGCACGCTGTTTCCCCCCTCCGCTGTCTGCTCTACGTCGTAATTCTCTCCCCTTTAGGCCTCCATATTTTTGGTGCTCTTGCCCTCCTCCGTTTCTATCACCCGGCCCCTTGAATATCCGCACCAAACCAGAACATCGCAGCTCACAGTGCCAGACGAGGTCTTCTCCCTGCCACAGACGGAAGCAGTCCGTCCATGCTAGATGAAGGTGGGTCACAAAGGCGCGAAGAGGGGGCGAGCTGGAGAATGAGGCAGAGAGAGTGGGTCAGTGCAGGTGCGACAGTAAGCGAGGGTGGGAGCGACAGAGTAAGGAAGAAGGGAAGAAAAAGGCGAGAAGCTAGGGAAAGAGCGGTCCCGCAGAGTTTCACGCTCACCAAGCTAATACATGGCTGTGCGGATGAGTGAGGGCCCTCATCATGGCCCGGGGGAGCGGTAAAGACCTCGCCAATTGCCTGGGAGGCGACGAGGGCGGCGGCGGCGGTAATAATGGCGGTTTCGCAAATCTCACTGCTGCTCAGCCTGCGGCTCTCCGAAATCCCACAAGAGAAATGGTGCGGGCCAGCATGTACGCATGCAAACGATGCACTACTACAGGGGAACACGAGGATTCAACAATGATGATGATCACTCTACGAATCATAGGTCAAGGACTATCTTGAAGATTGCTCGCTTCTTTTTTGACTGTTCTTGAGAACAATAATGAATTTTTCTTGTAAGGCAAACTTGTCTTTGCCGCAGGGTATGCTACAGGTCCAATTCTCCACCAGCTGGGGGTTCAACGGTCATTGATTGTCAAGGTCGGCCAACAGAGGCAAGTGGCAGTGCCCAAGTTTTGCTTGCTAGGGAGTTTGTGACCAAGCTCCGATTGTTTCTTGCATCAAGTACATGCGTTTGTGAGAGGGGATTGTGTGGACCAAGCTTTCTCTGTGGAAAGGGGGATTAGGGGTAAGCAAGCAAATCTCTCAAAGGAAATATCCTGAGGTCTGGGTGTTCTTTCTGTTTTTGGGTTTTCTGAATATTTCCTCCTTACTCATTTCCATGGTTCTGTTCCTCTTGATCAATTTCTATCATATCTCGGGGTTTGGTGGAGGTTGTTGCTTGTTGACATATGCGTTACCACCTACTGAGCAATAAAGGTGAACGAATCGAGTGGGAGCACTGAGCAGAAACCGCCGAAGCCTGCTAGTTGATCACTTGATATGAGGCTTTGGGTAGAATTTGTTCAGTTGTGCTGGTGAATGATGTACTGCTCTGCTGTTTTGTACAAAAGCTCTGCTTGAGTCGGTCAGGCTGGACTGACATGAGCACCTTCAAACTCTTCATGCTTCACCGATAGGATGTTCGAACAAGCTAATTTGCAAAGCAGCGAGCATAGGAGGGAATATTTTCCTTGCAGCATTCAGTTCGTGGAAGATGGTCAGCCGATCAATCCAGCATTGAGAGGAGCTCATTAAACTCGTCTTGGAATTCGAAGCACTGTAAGTCACTTTCCAGTGCCATGAGTTGAGGATCGAGGCCAGTGCCAATGATTTCTGCTGAAGTTCGGTTGGTACTGGCACGAATGATTCGCACATCATCGAAGATTCCATCCCAATCAATGAGGTCGGTGGTGAACTGTTGGGCGTTGAGCGAGGTGATGGTTCTTCCTCCCTGGATCATGTCTGAGTTGACTGCCTCGGTGAAATCAATGTTCAGGCTTAAGTCAAGACGTGAGCTCATGGCAGTATCGTAATCAGCTTGGACATTGCTGTGACCAGTCGGCATAACGAGAGACAAGTGTCCATATTCTCCAGACTCAAGATAAGACGGAAAGGTAGCCCGCTCAGAGCCAAGGTATGCTGTAGCAGAAAGATCAGAATGAGGAGCAGTACCCTTGAGCGATTCATCCAAGGTGTTCTGTTGTTTTGTGGATTGAAGCTGAGCGGATTTACGAGCTGTCATGCGTCGTTTCTTCTCACCTGGCTTTCGTGGTGCGTACTGATAGCCTGGGTTCTCAGCGGCATGCTTTGTCTTCAAAAGCTCAGCCATGACTCTGAATCTATCTTTCACCTCTTCTGATTCTGCTTTCCATTGTTTACCAAGAATCACAGAGATCTGGTTATTGGTGAGAGCTGGCATTTCAGCCTTGAGAATAGGATGGTTGGATTGACGGTAGAGGATGAAGGCATTCGGAGGGCGTGGCACCTTGGACTTCTTGCCGGGAAGTCGCATTGGGACTGCTTCAGTGAGGTCGGGGCCATCAAGCGAAGGATCTGCGGAAGCCTCGGGGCTTGCATCCGTACTGAGAGGCTCGCTTGAGCTGCCCTGATATAACTGGCTGCGAAGGAAAGAATCTCCAGAGTATCCAGCGGGAGCAGGAGCGATGTGGACAGCATTTGTCATGGGTTCAAGCCATGCAGCTGAGGCACCATGGTTGAAGTGACCGCTAAGACAATTAACAAGAGAAGATGCAGTCGCTTGGGGAAAATACACACCTGTAGCGAGACTTGAGATACTCGACATTGTCCTTGCTGAGTGCAGAAACCACAACTTCGGGAAGAACGAGTTTGCTATTGTTGATTGGGAAAGAAGCAACCCCCATTTCCCAGATAACATCAAGCTGCTTTTGGCTCATGCCCTCTGAAGCGAGAGTGACTTCGACTGTGGCTTTCATTCTGTTCGGTAAGCCTGTGATTAGCAGCTTCAGGAAATGGAATCGCTGTAGAAATTTGTTTGATGATGAAGAATCTGGACAAGAGGATGTAGAGAAGAAGATGGATGGTGGGATAATTGGGAAGGATCGAAGGCGAACTGAAGAGAAAGTGAGTAGAAAGTAGGCTAGTCAATGATTCTGCCGGCTCAATAACAATTCACTTGTCACATGAATAAGGTCTGGCTGAACAAATGTGAATAAGTGAGGTAGAAAGATGTGTTGTGGATTTCTTCTCCCACCTGTTCTTCACCAAAGGAGTGACTCCTTCATCCGTGCAGTACAAAGAAAATATGTGGACCCGGACCTCAAAGTCTCACCCTCATCTCATTGCACTATGGTCGAGGAAAATCTCAATCTTCTGTATACATAGAGGAACATCAATGTTTTCCAGCTCCAAGACTTTTGCAATAGGATCATTCAAGATTTTCCACAAATTCCGCAGATTGGCCTTTCGTGGCTTTATTCATCATATATCGCGAGCAGACCCGGCGCCTCCTACGGACTCGGAGAACAAAGAATATTCTGTCCTTCCACAGACAGGCAGCTATCAGATGCTGCACTGCTGAAACGGTTGGGTCTCGGATGTTTGCAACAGAGCAGCGAGTTCAGCGTAGCCATGCCTTCGAAACAGCCAAACAACCAGTGAAGAGTCAAAGATTTGTTTCGTGTCATTGGCATCAACTTTGCTGCCCAGCAGAAGCCCGATAAAATCTTTTCTGGGTGATGTGTTGTTCGGATTGCTTCAGCTCGAATCCAGCCTGTTCTCCAAAGCATAGACAGGCTGAAAGGTAGATGCTGCCAGGTTATAATTTCGTCGCTGGGTTCGAAACAGCACATCTGGCTTTGGTATTGGAAATTTCTCATATAGTAATTCTCACCATACGACTCACTTGTCAAATTGGACGGCCCAGCTTTGGCGATAGTTTGCGAAAGGTGTCCGATGAATCCCTTCTGCTGTTTCATCCTCAAGAGATTTTGTCTCCTTCAATGTCAGGTAAAATTTGTCGACAAAGTATGGCGATACGGTGCGAATCATAAAGATTGACGCAGTGAGTGGACACGTTGTGCGACGAGCTGAAAGCAGCCCATCCAGCAGCACTTCGACCACAGTCAGCACTACCGAAGACGGCGGGACCGAAGGCAGTGACAACTACCTGACCATTGAAGCGGTCACTGCTGACCAGCAGGCTGCGTACGACCGGCTCGAGATTGGCTTCCACTTCCATCCCGAAATGCCTCAGATCCTTGCCTTCGATCCTCGCATCATCCAGCACGAGTTCGACCCGTTTGACCTTGACCTCAGCGCCTACATCGACTTCGACGATGAGACCAATGCCATGAACGGATACTGAGGAAACGAGCATTGGGCCGGGCATCAAGGCTCCATCACATACATCAGGTCGAGCACAAATACCTCAAAAGATTCGTCCAAACAACTAGCAGCTGGGGCAAGGGACACAAACTGTGTGCCTACTTACACTATTGATGGTGGAACTGCAGGAACGATATCCGAAAAATTGCGACTTCATACCCACCGTGTTCCAAGCAGTGTCTGTTCAATGTACTTTTCGAACATTGGACATCGTTACATTGGAGCCAACAAGAACTAAAACATGAAAAAAATGTGGACAACAGGCGTGCATTTTCAGCTCGAGCTTCAGCAATCAACATGCAACAGCATGTCTGGAGTTGCACCATATCTTCGCTCAGCGCATATTCGGTCTCAAGCCATGGGGTAACAACACAGAAAACAAGCAGCCTACAAAAAAAGAGACACAGCTTGCCCACCGTGCTAATGCCCAAGCCTCTCCAATCACCCCAGCACGACATTGAGCAGCGGGTACGAACAGCATTGATTCAATGCACCGCACCCAACGGGGAAAAAAAGAAAAAGCAACCAAAACAAAACAAAACAAAAAAACAACAACGACAAGGGACAGAGCATTGCCGAGCAGGAAAAGAACGGGACAGCAAGGATATTCAGGAGTCATCGAGTCCATGGGAAGTAAAACGAAAACGGTCGGGGGCTCATACCCATCAAAAGGCGATTGGCAGCGGGAGCAGCAGTAATGAAAGCAGGAGAAAGGTCATGGAGAGCATGGATAACACACAGAAAGATGGATGGATGGAGGTTCAAGGAGAGTTTGCTCGCTTATGCTCTCGCCTGAGCTTAATTCTCCTCTTGCAGCGAGAAGTGCTTGGTTGGGTGGTTGGGTGGTTGGTTGGTTGGTTGGTTGGTTGGTTGGTTGGTTGGTTGGCCGGTTATGCAGCCGGCCTGCCAACCCACAATCGACCCCCATCCACCTGGTGACTAGTTGTTCATATCCATTGGTACATAGTGACGAGGAACATCAGTTCAGCTCAAGCAGGGCAACTACATAGTCGATAGCATTAATTGGCTTCGTTTCAGACGAACGCACTTCCTCCTCCTCGCTGGCTCGGAGCCCGAGCGTGCCTGAGCCAGATCGGCCACACAGCTGCATAACATAATACATGAGGATGGATTGATTGATTACTTGCTTGCGTTGCTTGCGGTTGATGGAAAATTAGCCATGTCTAGTACTTTGCTTCCCCATCTCCTCCGTGCCTCTGTGCAATTTCAACGTTTCGCATCATACGGCGCAGGTCCAGGCCCAGGGCGAAATCGACAATATGGCGGTAGGCGGGGGCAGGGAGCTATATCTAGATGATGAATGATAGTGCGTCCGAGCTGATTGATTAACCTCGCCCCCGAAGCCTCGCCCCCAGCGCTAGTAACACTGTTCCTTTCCCGCCACGCCCGACCCAGCGAATGATGGCCAGCACACTCCGGAAATATTCATTCTTCAAGGGAAAACATAGCCCTCTGTATGAACAAGAAGCCGAGTTGGTTGGTTTCTTCAAACAAGGAAGAGCAGAGGCCGAGAGCAGAGAGCAGACCACTTGGAGAAAAGGCGGCTACTAACTACTGGTATCGTTCTCTCGCAAGCCGAGCCCAACTTTCACTGTGAGGGGAATCCGAATACCAACACCAGAAGTCAAAACACCCCTGACCCCGATCCCTCCGCGAGACTTTCCCCCTCCACCGAGAATTGCTTTTGAGTGAAGTGACTAGTCATCGCGGTACGAGATCTTGCGCATCTCGCTGAGTCGGGAGTTTGCAGCATCGAGGGCATTGCGGAGTTGGAGGATTTCGACCTGTGAGCCGAGGGAGTTAGTGTTTGCATTCTTGTCTTGAAGACTCGTGATGGTGGGGAGGGAAAGGAGAAGGGCCATGCCGGAAGGGAAATCCAAAACGTGAAACAGTTGCGACAAAAAAACACATACCTGCTGCTCCATCTCGCGCACCTTGAACTCGTGAGGGTTCAGCGCGGCGTAATCGACACTATCCCCATCATCCTTCTGGCGCTGCTTGATGATATCCTGCACTTGGCGGACGAGGCTTCGACAAGCCGAGCCAACCGCACGGGAAGCCTGTTCGAGACGGTCCTGGGTCTTGGACATGAAGCTCGCCTTGACTCTGCTGGCGGCGACGAGCTGTGCTGTCGACGCAGCCACGTCATTCGACGCCACGATCAGCTGCTCGGGGCTGTTGCGGCCGGAGATGACCCCGTCGGCCGTCTCGATCAGCGTGTTTGTCGACGTGGCGACGGCCTTGGCGGCCGAGATGAGGCCCTCGGTCCAGCGGTTGTTTTTCTTGTAGAATGCTGTGCGTGAGCTGGAGCCGCGGCCTTCTTTGACGATTTCGGTCTGGGAGTCCGTCGCGGCCTTGATCAGTGCGGCGATCGCCGTCGTCACAGCAAGCGCCGCTTCGAGAATGGCGTCGTTGATCTTGAGTTCGTACGTAGAATAGCCGTCGCGGGGTTTGTTCTTCATTTTGGCGAGACGCGCTGCCGCGGCTTCGATGGCGTTGGCCGCCTTGGTCAACTCGGAATCCACGAGATCGCCCAAGTCGCCAGATGTGGAGAGTTTGCTGCCCTTGGGAGCGAACGCATCGGCAAGTTTCGACAGACGCTGCAGCTTCATCAAGACGTCGTGGTTGCTGTTAATGACGACGTCGCTCTTCTGCATGGGCCCGAGACCCTCCAGGCGGAAAGACTGCAGGCTGCGGAAGAAATTGATCGTGGCCATTGCGGACTGCCGCGCCGAGTCGATCAGTTGGTCTCCTTTCTTGTCCTCGGTCGCGAAGCGAGTCAGACCCTTGGTGTTGGACAGCACGTCGGCGATTGAAGCGGCAAACACAGAGACGGTCTTGATGATGTCGGCGTGTGGACTGTTGGGCCCGTCGGCGACGAAGTTGTTGAAGGCGGTGGAGAACTCAGTCGCGCTGGCGGACGCCTTTTCGATCTGCGAGAGCACGTACGGAGCGGTGGCGTTCTGATTACCGGCTTGCATGGGCGAGTCGAGCTCGTACATGGCGTCGTCCACGCGCTGGACTCCGCTCTGCAGCACAGAGTCAATGATGTCGTTGATCTTGGTGACATTGCTCTTGATCACTTCGTCGATGGCCCCGTCGAGCGCACCGTCAGCCTCACCACCGCCGAGCTTGAGCTCCTCGAGTTCTTCAAGCGCCTGCTCCATTCCGGACTTGTAGATTTCAATCTCGTCGTCCTTCTCGCGCAGCTCGGCTTCGTGGTCCATGTTGCGCTCTCCGTGCGTGGATCGGATTTCATCGAGTTGCCTGGTCTTGGAGCGCACAGCTTCCTCGAGATCAGCCATCTCGCGATTGTATTTGGCGAGCATGGAAGACAACTCCGAGCCCTTTGCCTTTTCGGCATCCTCCGCCCTCTCGAGCGCGAATCGCAATTCTCGCTTCAGTTTCTCGAGTTCTTCACGGTGGCCACCCTGGCTGCGGTCCTTTTCGTGAAGAGCACGATCTCGTTCTCGGATCATGTCTGCCAGTTCCAGGTTCTTCGTCTTCATCTCGCGTTCCAAGCGTTCTCTTCGCTCGATCGCCTCTTGGGCTGACGCAGCTTTCAATTTCAGTGACTTGGTGGTCTGCAGAAGATCCAGATGTTCCTGGCGAAGTTGCGAGTACAATTTGGCAAGAGCTTCATATTTGGATCGCCATGTATTGACCTGCTCTTGTAGAGAGGAAATCTGATCGTCCTTCGACTGGGCTTGCAGCTGATAATTATTGTTGAGCTGTTGGAGCTGCTCCTCGAGCGCCTTCATTCTCTGATCGTATTGCTGCAGCATCAGTTGGTCTCTTTCGTACTGTGCGCGAGCATTGAGGTTCTCTCGTTCCAATTCCGCGAGACGGCCTTGCGTCTGAGCAGCGTATTGATCTCGCAGAAGTTGCTCCTGCGCGAGACGTTGTTGCTCCGCCTGCATCCTCTGCTGATCTTCAAACGCCCGTTGGGCTTCCTGTTGAGCCAGCAACTGCTGTCGCTGTTGGTCTTCCCATTGCTGCTGTAGACGTCTTTGCTCATTCTCATATTCATCTTGTTGTCTTTGAGCTTCTTTTGACCAGAAGTCCTCCATGTCTTTTGGATCTGGTGTTCCATTCTTGGCAACAGGAGAGGGAGCCCTCTCGATCTCTTTGGCAGGACGTCTCGGCAGGGCAGGTTTCTCTTCGTCTTCGGCGAGCAGATTGGGAGCATCTTGAGGGAGTTTCGGGACGGTGATCAGAGAGGTGAGATAGCGAAGATTCGAGCATTCGTAGTAGAACTTGACAAGTCGATAATGCTGACCGTCATATCGCGTGCGCAATGGCTCGAGGGCATCGTCATCGCCGGTGGTGGTGTGCATCGCTCGTAGCATGCTGGTGATGAATTTGTAGATGCCATAGCTCTCTTGGACCAGAGGGACGAGCGCAGCTATCCGACACTCGTTGTTGGCGCCACCACGGAAGTGGGAAAAGATCAACTTCTGAAAAGTGTCAATCTGATCTTGCAAGGTCATGAGATCAGAGATGGTCTCGTAGCCTTCATTGGGATCGTTGATGGACTTCAAGCTGATGTATTCTTCGTATTCGAACAAGCCATTGAACTCGACGTGCTGGCGGTGGAAGGCCAGTTTGGCAAGCAGAAAGAAGACATATTCCCTGATGAGAGGGCCATAGCCTCTGAGTCCTTCGCCATTGACACCTCTTGCCACACTCTCGACCCAATTGACATTTTGTTGCGCCTCTTTCACGGTGACAGGGTGGCCCTCTTGAAGCACCTTGTGCACGGTTATCAAAGCCTTGAAGGATTGAACTTCGTCGGCGAGGATGGGCTGGATTTTCAGGCCGGCCCAGAAGGAGAGAGAGGACTTGTGGTCCCAGGTGTAGACGATACAGCTTCGAACGTGCTTGCGCTTGGGGGCAGTTTCTTCGATGCTGGTGGCTTTGCGGATGTTGATGGCGAGGTCGGTTTCAGACTTGGACATGTTGACATTCCGGCCGGTGCCGTCGTTATGGCCAGCGTAGGCCATGCTGGAGGACGAGTGAGGGTGAGAGGTGGTGTCGACTTCGGTTCGTCCAAAGCTGTCGTATACAGCATCTGCTCGTGACGATGTTTTCCTCCTGCCCACCGAATCGTGGGGTGAGCGAGCAAAGGACGCCAGGGTGACGGGTGTGCGAGGGTCTGATTTACACTTTCTTTAAGGACTGCGGACTGGGGCACGTATGCACGTAGGCACGGAGGCACGTATGCAGACGGGTAGAGCTGGTGGATCTGTCAAACTGTCACTGACATAATAGGCAGACGAATTCTCCTGACCCGCTTACAGGAGTTGGAGGTGTGTTACCAGCAACCAAAGTTGGCGCTGTCGGCCCAGCCGTCCCCGTCGACCCCGGGCAGTAAGAATCGACGCGCAGCCAAAGAGGCAAATTGGTGACGAGTGGCTGCATCAGCATCAGCCACCGACCACTGACCACGGACCACGGACCACCATATTCCTGGGACAGCCCCCTGCTCCACGGCCTTATCTTCTTGGACAATTCGCATTACCGCGAACTGAGCCTCTGCCTAATTGTGATTGTCTGTGGCCTGGTCAGCCGAACCGTTCCGCCTACCGGGCATCCCGCTGTTCATGCCCCATCGTGTACAGAGTAGTGTATATTAGTCGCTCTTATGATCGAGTATTTGCTATGGACTCCGGGCTACTGCCTACGGATTGGCACATGTCTACCAGTAGGTTCCAACTATCAGGCCGTCTTGGGTATCAATCATGGCCCATGCAAATATTAACTATACATGCTAATTTCCTGCCTCTCTAATTGTTGGTTGTCTTCGTCATCTTCAACGGCGGGAGGACTGCTACTCCCTCGTGCTGGCAACGGTGGCTTGGAAGGTGAATCTCTAGCCCGTGCTGGCTCTCCATGCCCAAAGAAATCGTCATGATGTTCATCCGCTGATGGGCTCGTCGGCGCGGACTCGGTCGGCGCCTCAACAACCAGCACTTCATTTTCTGCTCCATTCTCATGCATCATTGAACTCTGCCTTCTTCGTCGTTCGGGGAGCGCTGGTGGCTTGTGTGAAGATCTAGCCGGAGAAGGCTCTCCCTCGCCGTTGCTATTTGGCCGTTGGGGCAACAAAGGTGGAGGTACCGCCTTGCGCTTCGGCATCGAGAATGTACTACTCTTCATGGCTTTCTCTGGAGGTGGCAAAGGTATTCCTGGAGGCGGGAGTGGCCGACCACGGCCCATCGGCTCTCTCGTGGCCGACACAGGACTCTCGGCTCCAGTCTCGGAGTTTCCTCTCTCTCCAGAGGTTGCTGCTTGTCCCTCGCGTTGCTTATTTCTTGCAAGCACTCCCCAAGACCATCGCTGAGCTGCCGCGGTGGCCGCATTGATTGAGGCAAGAGCTTGCTTTCTATCGGCTGATGTTAGTGATCTCGCAGCTTGTGCAAGGCTTTTGGGTTTAGTGCTCTCCTGGGAGGAGCGTGAGCCCTCTCGTTTTAAACCACTGATTTCGGGGGGGTTGAAAGATGTGGTGCTGATGCTAGTCGGCGTCCGAGCCATCGGTGAGTCCGAAATGGTTGGAACTTCTGATTGCTGCCCACCACTTCCATTAGAACCTTTAGATCCAACACTTGCAGTCCGTGACTTCATCGCACTTGTCATGGCCGATTCTGTGGGCGGTGATCCTGTCTGCGATCCTGATGGAGACGCGCTGCCCGAGCCGGACTTTGTGGAGATTCCTTTCAGCAATGATGCGACACTCTCACTCCTTGGTGTCGGATCGTTGCCTCGAGTTGGCACATTGCCGTCCGCGTGGTTGCTGGTGATAGTAGGGCTAGCGGCGCTTGCAAATGAAGGTGATCGCATGAGCCTCGGTGTGGGCGGATCGGACTTATCGACTGCTTCAGCTGTCTTCATTCCAAACAAGTCATTGAAGGATGAGATGGGCTTTTTGCCTGAATTCGACTTTGCAAGCCCTTTGCTGTCAGCCAATACCGGCATACTCATGATTCTTTCGTCTTTTGACGTATCAACGGGAGTCGATGACCCGGAAACCCCAGGCTCTGCAACATCCTCGGGTTCTTCACTGGGGATATCGGTCGAACCGACTGACAGTGGTTCTTTCTTCCAGATACCTCCTCTGAACCGCTCATGACTTGTATCGTGGAATGGCATGTCATCCCAGAAAGGTAGCACAATGGTTTCGGCGATCACTTCTCGAATTCGGCTTTCGATGGCCCTGAGGATGACATTGTAGGTTATCTGTCGTGTACTGACGATTGGTTCCAAGACCAGATCTACCTGTGGCATCTTCTCAAAGGTGAACCAAAGGCGGTTACTTGGAGACGGTTTGAACCTGAGCAACACATGCCCCTCTAGCCTTTTACAGGTAACAGCCAGCACCATATCAACCTCACGTGGCTTGAATCGTGAACCAAGCTCTATTCGTGCAGTTGCCGCAATCTCGATTCTGAAATTGCCAGTATAGTTGACATCCGCTTCGGCGGTGCAGTCTCCATTCACAGTCAAGTCTTTGAGTCGTGGATTAGTAATAAATGGAGCTGAATTTCCAAGATCGATCTTTCTTAGAGCGAGCTTTGTGATGAAGTTGGGCTTTTTGACCCTGGCAATCTTCTTGGTGAGTTTATTCCGGATGAACTGTTCCAGCTCGGGTGTTCGATACATGGCCAGAAACATACGCCCAATAAAAGCATTGAGCCATCTTGTCTGCAAGTGTTCTTCTGATGAGTGAAGCTTCTGGACAAGTGTTACGATGTGCTGAACGTCGAACTCTTGTGGGGTCGGGGCGTCCTCTGTGTTGCTTTTCTCCAGATTCTTGAGCAGAGCGAAGTAGAAGTCTTCCTTTTCTGACTGATTCTCACTGAAAAGGAAGAAGGGCAATGACCTGGCCTTATCACCGGCTCGGGTCTTCTTGCGAGTCAGCCGAACCGCGTTGCGTTTGATCCAGAGTTCACCTTCGGGGACTTCTTCACCACCAGCGTAGACATCGACATCGTGGTACTCAAGAGAAATGACATATCGAACTTCCAATTGTTGGATGTCATCGTACAACATGAGGTGGCCATGCCTACACCAGAATCAATGTCTGGGCAAAGTAAAGACTTGAATTGTGAACGTACCTCAAAACCACATAAAAGACATTGTTGGATCTCCTCCCAGCAGGGTCTTTATTCGGTTCTATGGTAGGCTTTTGCGATCTATCAAATATGCTTCGATACATGGTCTGGTAGACGCTAGGGGACTCTTGAGCCACCGTCTCTCCCGCAGGTGTCAATCGCTCGGGCGGTTTGCCGTTGACACCTCCAGGGACATATTCGCGGCAGACTGCAAAGTAGCCCGCAGCCACATCGGAGTCATGTTTGCGATGGAACTTCTCCACTAGGTCATCGGTTGCTGATTTGAAGGAGGTCTTGTCGTCGCCAGGGCGGGCGAGTTCAGCAGGATCGTCGCTCGCAGCTTCAGCGTTGGAGGTAGTTTCCTTCGCTTCGGGCAGAGTGTAATAGGCATGGAGGAGGACAAGGATGACTAGTAAGGGTAGGAAAGTGAGGCCACCGAGGACGTAGACGAATAGGAACCATCTGAAGGGACCCATCTGTTAGCACAACATTGGGATGAAGCTGACGGTGCGCATGAGAACTGCGACCGCACAAAAGAGTACAGCGAGCGTTCTGGGTGGGAACTCTGACTGGGAGAGTCTTGATCGAGTTGAGATAGAGTCCGGAGTATTCGTTGGGAGTGAGAAATAGAGTACGACGTTAGATCTGGACACTGCTAACTGGAACTGAGAACTGGCACGAACACAGACAAGGGAGGCTGTCCATTTCGCAAGACTTGCCTAGGTGCTCTGGCTCCCCCGCGCTTGATGCCTGGCGCAGGGACGGAGGGCGGAGTCCGGAGGAGTTACATATGTAGAAGATGACGTCGATCACATCTTCAGAATCACAACCCACCCACCAAACGACTCCTCCTCCGTAGACATAGCATTCATTTTGTCAACACCACACCATGGGACCATCGCTATGTGCCGCCTATTGTCTAGTCGCGGCCCCGCCTCTACGAGTACATTAATCGCTGGTGACTCCTGCGTCATGGGCACCGGCAACCCAGATCTGACTCAACCATGCGAAAACGCTGATGTACAGCTGCATCCCTGCACTGACGGATCTGTGCTCCCGCTGGCCAGCTCAGTCCTCATTCCGTGATAGTAAGTCAGAGCCTGCCCATTTAAAACCCCCTCTCTCGCACATTGCACTGCAGCTTTCGGGTCGTTGGTAATGGACAAATCGTCCTGTGGCCTCGTAGGTGGGTTGAATTTCCAAACTTCGGTGGCTCAGGCCATCGTCGCCGAGTGGAGCCAGAAGATGCACGAATACTTGTTTGTTGGTAGAGCCGAACTTCGCTTTGGAATCAAATACAAAAGGAATCCTATTCCTGAGTCGAATGGATGGGAGCTTCCTGTCCTTATCATCCCGCTGATGAGCTACAACGAAGACTTGCATTGCGCCTCTCGTAATGTGAGCCAGTGCACGGGGGCGTGTAAGGTTCTAGACGACGATTCTGGAGCATTACCATGGCATCCAGTCGAACGAGTGCTGAAGTTAGGCAAGCAGCATCATAATTGTGGACGGCCGGGTTCGCCACGTCATTCGCGTGGCCTCTGACTGCGGCAGCATGATCCTCCGGATGTGGTTACGCCAGCTGTAGAGCCGTGAAGCTGAAGACGGATTTCAAGAGTGCATCGTTGCTAAAGGCAAGTCGTGGCACAGCAGAGATGCAGACGTCGGCAGCAGTGTCGTCGTTTTCCATATATATCGATGGACGTGTTATTGTGTCATAAGCGTGCATCAATTGCAGCTCAAGGAAGGCCCGTGTGTGGCTCTCGACAGCGGAATCGATGCCCGCACTGTCATTGACCCGATCAGTCAGATTGCTGTCGTCGAGCGTACCGCCGTACGAGTACAGAGTCGAGTCCTGGCCGCCGCTGCGAAAACCTAATGTGCTCGCACTTGCCACAGACTGGTTTGACTTGATCGCACTGGACTTAGCCCAACGCTTTGCAAGCCGAGATTCGCAGGCGGGCAGATTATGAGATGGAAGGGCGAACCATGTGCATCTGACAGGTGTATTTGGGTATATTTCACCTTGACTCGATGTGTTCGGCATCTCTGGCAGCTATTGCGGCTCTTTTCGTGGCCGCTCTTGCAACGGATGGGGGGTGCCGCTTGGTCTTGTTCCACGAATCGGAATTGATCCGATACGGACGATGCAGCCATGAATATCCAAAATACAGCCAGGATGTACGAAGTACGAATGATGGGATTGGAACTTTGAGGACATGAGGACATGCTTGGGTGCCTGAATTCCGGACAGCCTCGTCAGCGCGGAGCCGTGCACATCGGTAGCCCCTTAAGCTTAGGTGGCTCCTCTTGCAGCAGATTCCCAGTATATCAACGAAATCCTTTGAGCGTCTCGATTTCCAGCACAAATGGGGCCAATCCCTGGCTCCTGGCGACGCTTGAACATGCTTTCTAATTTACTACTAGTCCAGGGTCTGATATTTGCTACCTATGAACGACTGACTTTGAATGGCAGATGCATTGAGCGTTGGAATGCCCCACTATCACCGAGCCTTCTGGTGTTCATATATGCTATACATAGTGATCGGCAAGCGTACCAGACCATGAGGAAGCCTTCTCTTGTTCACATACGGAGTACGATATAGTACTTGTGTATGATCGGCGCCACGTTCACGCAATCTTGGCCCAGTATTTTCACAAGGAACATTTGTAAGCCTGGTAAGTTCAAAGCACTCCGAGCCGCGAAACAATGACTACCGTTTTTGGTTAGCTGTGTATCACACAGAAATGATCGACTTCTGGGCAGGCTTGCACCTTCTGTGGCCTTGTATCAGAAGGATTGTTCTGATATCTCGATACGAACAACAACTTTATAACATAGCAGTTCCATGTACAAGAATCTGGTTATCTGCTCATGGCTACAAGAGTACTTAATTCCCTCATCGTCTTCTTCCACCGTCTTCCGGAAAGCTTCTACCCAAGGATTACGTCTCTAATGTTTCTTTCAGATTCTTCCAAGCTATACGTAGTAGAGCTCGTGGCATATCTACTTTTTCTGCCCCTCACGGCACACCTAGGCTGGTGGCATGGCTGGCATGGCTGTCATGGCAGCCTTGGCTACTACTATCTCAATGCATACCGTGCCGTCTGTATCGTCGCGGATATATATTGAGCTCCTTCCGCCCAACCAGCATGCGACTCATGCGGCTATGGTGACGACTGTGCTTTCGTCTGCTGGTCTATCGCCCCTGCTCCAGGGACTGAGTGGCTTCTTGCACGAGGTGCATTTATGTCTGGTCAACATCACATCACGTGGGCGGCAGGAAATGAAAGTTCGACGCTGGTTGTGGTGCATTCAGATTCAAGTCCATGTTGTATCTGTCCTCGGTATGGTACTCCTGATAATCGGCAGCGTCGAATTGGCCACAAAGCGGCTCAATCATCAACATGGACGACGGCCTTTGCAAAGCTGGTGGCACCATCCAATCAATCCTTTGGGCATTTCTTCTTCAGTATGCGCTCTTCCTAGATTTCTACAACGGCAGTCTGGACGCGTTGCCGCCGGGTCGAGGGCTCTCACGGCATTGATCGGATGCATCCTGGCTTCGACTCCATTCACTACAGTCAGATGCATCTACACGGCCTTGCATGTCTTCCACAGCAACAACGCTGCATTGAATCCCGTCATGGGCGCGCTTTAGGTGAAGGTCATCTTTAGTGTCCTATGTCCACTTGTCACTATCGCTGCCATGTGTGCTGGTAGTTGGTTGACTAGAGAGCTGGCAATGAATGGTCGAGTGAGGCGTCAGTCGATAGACACCGAAATCTTGAGAATGGATGAAGGCAAATCCAGCGGACAGAAGGCTCCGAGACACGCTAATGAGCGGATCTTGTGATCTCTGAGGACAGATGGTGTGGGGTGGGCGCGAAGTGTTGACATGCGTTGATAGACCGTAGGTTCGCAAAGCTGCAACATAATGGGATGCCTGATTGACAATTATTTTACGAGGAGAAATTGCTTGCTCACGGCAGAGCTTCGTCGGAGATGACTTGGTCCCACGTTCCTTGGTGGTAATGTTGTGGGAATGACCAATGTGCTTTTGACTCTGACCAAGAGGCAGAAACAGTGGCAATTTTGTCAACATCATTTGTGATGCGCGCAAAAGGACACCGATCGCATAGAATTGGCGGATGCATCCAGCGTCAACCTAGCCTTTGACCAGGTTCGATAGGGATGCACCAGTACCCAACGGGTTGGTCTGGACTAATCTCAACATCACATCTCTATTGATCTGCGGCATCCCCTTTGCTCCTGTCGATATGTGAGCTAATTGTCAAGAGGGATTAATCTCAATAAATCGATACAGTGTCAGAGCCCAAGAACGACTCCCAAAGACCTTGCAGGTTAGATTACGCGAGCCAGAACCACAGGTCATGATAGAGGAAGGGTTTGGCTCTTATCCAGGGTCGTCTTTGTTGCAAGAGGTATTGGCATGCAAGACGCATTTTGACTATAAATTTCTATAGTACATTCAGTCTCTGGTAAGGCCTTTTCGATACCCTGGCCAAATTCGATTTTCTATCACCTGAATGGTAGAAATCTCGATTAAATGTAAAAACACCAACCCAACTTGCACTTTGCGCTCAAAGTGTTTCAGAAACTACTATGATACCCCTTTAATTAGGTAGCCTAACAGGTCTTGCATTCCCTATTTCAACGGACTGAGGCAACATAATTAACCCAACTGACACTTTATAATAGAGTACAGCGATTGGACGCACAACACACTAGGCTAAATATAAGGTAGTCGCCATCCGTAAACTAGCCTACTATTATAATCCGAACCGCTAAGTAGTACTAACTAAGGTAGAGTTCCTTACTAAGTGAGTATTAGAGAGGAGGGATATAATATAGAGAGCAAGACGTTGCAGCAAGGGCAACGGCGATGTAGCTTGGGGATGTACCAGGCTTCGACCTGGTGACCTACGCTCGCCAACAGTACGTATGTTGGTCAGAAGACACAGGAATTCACTTGAAAATTTGGTGCACCTCGTCCCGCCATATTCACGCTTATGACCACACTACTTTCAACGTTCCTTTCTAGACAGTACATGAAATTCTGGATGCGCAGAACTCGGAGTAGATCAACTTACTAATGACGATAGACGTGACCCTGTTCCTGGACTAAAGATGCTTCGGGGCAACGGTTCGCTCGTCAAACCTGGGTGGCGTTAGATGGATGTCCCTGCATTAGAGTTTCTTTTCCTCAATCCTAGTAAGGAGGCGGATGGGCTGGAACATTCCGCCCACTGAGCTTTCCTAACGCTGCCGCAAAGGTAGAAGTATCCTGTCTGGTGGGTTCAACCCCCTAACCACGAAGCTAGAATGTAACTGTTACTCTAGTTCCTCCACAATTCGCTAATTTGGTTATGTAAGTTACCCCAGGAAAAGGGCTCGAAGGTCCCGCCATTTAAAGTAGCGGCTTCAACGGGGAATATTGCTGCTCCACTCAAGAACGGGTTACAGCCCCGACCTGCATATCCACTAACGTGGACTAACCTGGACGGGTTTGTGCACATGTGCAATTTGCAAATTCAACGCTCAAGCCTCGTCCAAATCGTCCAGGCCTCGATATCCACTCCCGCCCGTCACAGTTGAAGCTACGACTATGGCCATCGTTAGGTCATATGCAAGCGACGCCTTCGGACTCGAGTTTGCCAATTTTGACAAAGACTTCGGTTGAAGGAGTTCGAGAGGGCGCCCTGCGGACAATCCATTTGTTGGGAGTGAATTCCGTTGTCCTGCGTGGCTGACAACAATATGTTTCATGTCCGTCACAAGGGAAGAATTCCTCCTGTGCCAATGTGTCCATTATACAGGGGAGTCTGGCGAGGAGGAGTCCTCGGTGCCGTGGCCATAAATGAGATTACGTCCGATCCCTCTCGAGCGACTCTTTTACAGCAATTGTTTTTCAAGCCATGTCCTCTACTCTGGGTGATTATCAACTCGCCAACGCGGCTGCGGGCTTTTCATTGGGATTCGGGTTCCTTACAGCTTGGGAGGCTATCAAACAGACCCGAAGGCTCATTAACCCATGGCGATCGGTGTTTATCTTCATGGTCTGGGGTGAGCTCGTTTCCAATCTGGCAATCACGATCCTGGTTTGGTTGTTCATGAACCATTACCTTTCACCAAGGTCAGTTCGCATGTGGAAGATTATATCTGTGACAGAGCGTACCGCTGACGATTAAAGCATTCCAACATATTTTTTTGTCCGTAGGTACTGCCCTTGCTGCCAATTATTCCCTTAATGGCACGACTAACTAACGCATCGATTTCGACAGTATTCTTTTGGGCCTTTGAAGTAAGTTTATCCCTCTTTTGACGGAGTCAACACGTTCATTCTAATTACTGAAAGATCCATTGCATATTGCAACTCATCATCAATCGCCTCAGCGTTGTCGTTTCAGACCAGATCACTGCTTCTCGGGTCAAGTGGAGTGTCGCCGCCATTATTACCTTGGTGAACATTGGTGTCTTTTCGATTTTCATCCCGGCGCACCTCACCCCACCGCCTAGCAAGATGTGAGTGCCTTCCCGCTCGTCGTCCGACTATCATCTAGAGCCAAGAATTAAGAACTAACAGAAATCAGTTTTGTGGTGATCAACAAGTACTGGGACAAAGCGACTAAATTTATCATTCTCTTCATCGATGCTGGCCTGAACCTGTACTTTCTACACACGGTCAATGCACGCCTTGTGCGGAACATCGGACTCACAAAGTACCGAAGTCTCGTTTTGTTCAATATGAGACTGATGGTGGTTTCGATCTTAATGGACGTGAGTCTCGCCCCTACCGTCCATTCGATCTTCCCCGTCTTCCATCCTGTTTAATATCTACCAACTTATTTCTTGCCTTGCTAACCACATGTATAGTGTATGATCATCGGCATGATGTTCTTCCACAACCAGCTTGTCTTTATGTCATTTCATCCGGTCGCCTACACCGTTAAGTTGAACATCGAGCTAAGCATGGCAAGCTTAATCCGCAAGATTGCGACCTCACATGAGAATGACTTTCAGGGTGACCAGTCTTACTCATATTCGATGCACTCGATAGGGGCACAAGACCCCGCTCCGCTAAACAGATCTCAATCGACTACTTTTCGAACCGGAACAACATCGTCTATCATAGGTGGTCCTAGTAGCCCCATTAAAGACAGAAAACTTAGTGACGACGAGAGGCGCATTGTTATAACGGAGGAATATGAAGTGTGCAGAGTTTAGTGACCAAGGTACTCCAGCCAAGCCTATCCGCGTCTTGGTTAGGGATAGTTCAGCCCGCGTCAGCTTCCTTTGCACCTTTTCAATATTAGTTCTGTCAGCTACTCTACTATGCTCAAGATACGTCCGTTGCGCACTTGTCGTACACTTGGTTCGCCATTCGGAACAGCTCTAATATCTTTACGGACCAGGTATGGCTGCTCATTGGAATGCTCACCCCTGCCAAGGTTCCTATATTTTGCCCTTCGCACCCTTGTCAGGAACGCAAGGTCGATCTGAGGCGTCGTGACGCATCCGTCTCTGTGCAATACGGTGGAACCCTAGTCCGGCTAGTAAGAGCCCGCTTCTGGCGAATTTCTAGAGATATTGGCCCGGGGTGTGCGTGAGGCCTGAAAAGGCTGTTGCACAGACTTTCTTAGCGGGTTGCATCACGGTATGCTTCCGTGACGTTGACCATTAATGACATTGCCCAGCTGGTCCGGAAAACGCCCTCGCGGCGCCTCATGGCTGAGAGGCAAGGTCGGCCTTGCATACATGAACAGTGGTGTGAGAAACGTGCGGCATCAAAGTGAAACTCCCTGTATTCTCACCATGCAGAAAATTCGAGTCTCTGACCATATTACGTTTCTCGTCGATGCTGGCACGTCTATGCGCTACCCGCGCGTACCTTGCAAGCTCCCATGCTGTGGGGAAGCAACATGTGCAACCATGTCTCGGTCCGCCAAGCCATACCTATCACACCACACATGCAGTTACGAGATTCGTGAAGTGTTGGCCACAATCTCGTGTCTGTGTGACTGAATTCTAGCCTCGGAGACTGACCGTCAAGTAGTACTAATTTAATCGTAGTACGAGCTATTTATACTAGAATATTATTAAGAGTACTCGCGATACTCTACTAGGAGTTGCCGAGTTGTCTTGCACCCTCGATTTAGGCTCGTTTCTACAGACTTAACTCCTTTGCCGACCCTTGATTAGGGTCAATAGACTGTAGAGGTTGTTGTTGAGGAGGCATCGCTGTTTAAAAAAAAAAAAGTAAGAAAGTTGTCAGGTGAACGCGTCGCGATTTACGCATCGCACGCGCGTCAGAACTTTACTCCACGCACTGTAGCATCCAGAAGTTGACAGAATTCCCGTCACGGAGATCCTGTAGATCGCAGCATCACCGAACATTCGGACTCGGCGATGGGGATTTGTTCAAGGATTCGGGATTGATGGCACACTTTCTCAGATATATCCGCTGGTCTTTGCAGAATGGAGAATGGTCGTTAATACAAGGGCTCTCCCCAGACCCGCAATGGCTTCTTCACCTACCATTAAGGCTTTATCTAGAAGCTCTATCAGGCGCTCACACAAAATCTGTTGGACCCGTTCAATTAGCTTCTTGTAGTCCTGCGTGCTTTTATAACAAGTCAGTACAGCTCTTACAATCAATCTATCATGGGGATGGGGTGGGGATGGGGATGTTTAGAAGGTCGCTGTTCCAGTTGATGATGTTGTGAAAGCAGTATACTTTAGGATCTTAATGCCAATCCTGTGATCACCGACCATGCCCACGATGAAGGAAGTCGTCACCGATAGCCATGTCAGTGTCACCATCACTAGCGTGAGCGCAACATATGACTTCCCCGTCATAGATCCATACACATTCGTGATCGTGTTAGTGTTGAATCTCCCCATGCGTTCCTACATTTTCACTTATCTACGTGTAACTTCATAAAGTTTGTTGTGACTTCTTGGCCTGTTTTTGCATTGTAGTGTTTGCTAGGATAAAGTACGGAGTACGGAGGTGTGTACCAAAAGTACCGACGGCACTAATTTAAATGACGGAATTAATTAAATGACATGTTCATTTTTGTAACTTTCGGTAAGGCTTGAGGCTTGTGGTGCCTAATTTGGTTCATTTTCCCCTAGGCCAAATGCTAACTGAACTATGTCTAACTAAGAAAGAATGGTAGACCTCAGCAGCGGGTCGCCCTCAAAATCCTCAAAGTGGACTGTTCCCATGTACTATAAACAACGAACTGGTCAGGCGGGCCAAATTCCGCAGGTATGGCCATCTGGTTCAATGTCATGGCAAGGATGGACATCTGCATAGCTCTTGGTAGACCCATATCGATTGGTGCTCGATGTTTGCCGCTAGGATCGAGAATAGTATGTTAGGTAGTTGCCTAATGGCGTATGCTGCGTCGGGGTCAATAGATCTAAATGACGTCAAAGGCCCAATGGACTGGCTGGATGTACATTAATCATTGCTTTAGGGTTATAGTGAGATGCAATTGTTTAAGGAGCGCCCAGTTAGAGGTAACTAAGTAAAGGCACACTGTATTGCCGCCCAAGTGACTAGCGCAGGCAACCTCATGACGACGAGCAATGCGTAAGTGCTACAGCCTCTGGAATGCTTTAGAATCATGGAAAATAGGCTCCGGGAGGTCATTTGCCTAGTAATTTTCTATATAAACTAGAACGGTGACCATAGAGTAGAAGAAGACAGAAATCTCATCCACGCTGACTCGCCCGTACAATTGCACAGTCCAAATCCTCCAACACTTTGCTACAAGGCGCGTAAGCCCGCGATAACTGCATCGGGACACAAGGATCGTAATATATTACAGGGCGCTTGAGGCACACCCATGTTTCGTTCCCGTCACAACTTCGTGGTTGTCATCCAGGCTGGTCGATAGTGAATACATTGGGAAAATCCTGCCGGTTCAGGCCATCTATAACTAACTCACCATTTTCGTTAATAATTAAATGCGTTCTTGAGGAATGCTTCTGCAAGAGCAAAGGCGACAATAATAATTTTCTAATTTTCTTCAGTGTTTTCACCATCTGTCGAAATTCTGTCCCGATCTATACATATTCATAGTGTATTATTCATCTGTTGTCACCAAGATGATATTATGTATTGATTAGAATATTGAATTACAGGCAGCACACTACGTCGACCTGGTCAGATACCGACACATCCACCCCCCCAAACCCCAGCCCTGGGCTTCCAACCGAAACTAGAAACCATGCAACTATGTCGCAGCGGTGCGGTCAATCATGAAGGTGTCGAAGATGGGCTCACCCTTCAGAGTCTGTTTCCAGTCGACGGACGTCTGGACGTCTTTGCCGCCGAGTTTGCTCTTAGCGTAGACCGTGCCATACGCTGTGACGGTAAGGACCTCACTTGGCTGCATTTTGAACGGTCCAGGGACGCTTCCTATCTCGGGATCATGCACCTTGGGACCCGCGATGCGAAAGCTGACGTTGTAGGTTTCGCTGTCGACATCGATGTCGCTCTCGTGATTGACAACACTGAACAGGGCCTTAGTCTCGCTCCCCTTGTTGGACTCAAGCTTGACTATCCCAACTTCCATTTTGCTGCCATCCACGGTGAAGCGTTCCCCGTCATGGAATAGGGCCGAATAATTGTCTTTGTCCGTCTTGCTTTTGGCAGTTGACAGGTCAACTCTCAGTTCGTCGATTTCCACTTCGCTCGCAGTTGGATTCGTGAACGACATTCTGACTTCCTGGATCTTCGTTTCGCTCGACGTGAAGCTTGACGGACTGACGCTGAAGGAGCATGGCGCTACTGGCGCTGTAAGTCCCGCACGGTTGGCGAACGGTTGACCTCGGTCCCGAATGAATTGCTCGGCACCGTTCAGGGGAGGATCGCGGGTGAAGAGGTAAATGAACATGGCCACCATCACCAAGACGGCCACACTGAGACGCTGACGTTAACGACGAACACCCAGCGAACATTATATACACATCATAATCGAGTCGGGGAAGCAACGCAGACGAAAAGAGGATGGGCACTTACACAGCGAGGACGATGGTCACCGATGCAAAAACGCTCGCCATGGCGAAAAAAGCCCCTGCAGCGGACGCGGCAAATGCTGTGCCCACTGCAAATACAGAAACCACCGCAAATCCGACGACTGCAGCTGCGCCAACCTGCAGAAAAGTGGAGTTAGCTGACCCATTTGACAGAAAATGAAACTCCAGCTCCAGTCTCGGGGATACTTACAAACAAGATAACCGCTGCGCCAATTGCCTCGATCAGCGCGAGAGCAACCTGGAGCGCCTGGAAGATCTTGCTCCCTGTATCCAGACTGTCCCATTCCTTAGCAAGCTGCCAGGTCATGAAAATAGCGATCCCAATCGCGACGAGGTATCCTAACACTTGTAGACTAAACCTTGCGACTGCAAATGCCCGCTGATACCCGTTGATTGCTTCCCATTCACCCCCCAGTTCGGCCAGGTCCGCTTCGAACTGCTGCTGCTTCGTTGGTACCAAATCTTCGTTTTCAGCCTTGGGACTCCCGTATTCGTCGTGCTCCGCGTTTGCAACGAAACGAACCTCGGCCTCTGGATTACTCGGCGGGGAATAGCCAGTTTGCTCGTTGTACTGAGTGAGTTCGCCGTTGTTCCTTCCCCATCTCTGGATAAAATTGTCCCATCGGCCTGAGAGAACCCGGAACGCTTCGTCGGAGAATTGGACACCGCGGTATTTCAAGATGGCCTCGGTCAGGTCCAGCCCGAACTGGGCCATGGTGTTGAAAGCAGCGAAGACCCCCATGATCAGAAGGCCCCTTCTGGCAGCGCTCGCCGATTGGAACTGATCGCTGAGAAGCCAAATCTGGGCCGTGAGAACGACGGCGCCAACCGTAAAGAGAAGACCCTTGATCAAGGGCACACTCAGTGGGGTTCCAGTTGCCGGCTGATCCTTTTGAGCTTCATCCTCCGCGACTTCTATGAGATTCTCAGCGCCCCTGGTCCACATGGCTCTTCCTGTGTCGATGACCCATACACCACCTTTCTTAACCCAGCCCCAGGTCTTTGCCAGGCCCATGATGAAATTCCTCAGCTTAGGCCCAATTTGGCCGACTACCAGCAGGCATCGGTCCTTCATTGCCATCTGGTCCCAACCTGGAAGCTGTTTTCCCCACTCTTGAATCTCATTGGACATCTGTCCTAGCACGCTGTTCTGGAGGTCTGCTGAGTGGTCCAGCAACTTTTCGACAACTTCGGCCATTGCGTCTTCCAGCCATTGTTCTTGTATCGTGGCGGCTGCAAGATCACTAGAGAGATTAGGGTTACCCCAGTAAGGATTATCCCAGCCCTTGAACTTCTGATATGACATGACGGACCAGACCAGTGCGTTGGAATTGGTGTCGTGGACGGTGGCCTTTTCTTTGGTGGTACCGTCAAATATATCACGACTTCGATCTACCGCGTTTCCACCATCTAAGGCATCCATGACTGTGACTATTGTCAGAGATTCTGTTCGCATGTAGAAATCGAAAAACTTACTAGCAGCAATCTTGGTCAATAAAGAGCAACCCTACAATCTCAGTCAGCATTTTGGTCCCTTCTACAGGAGTGTGGAGATTCCAGCTCACATCTAAGGTCTTGGTTTTTCCAAACAGCCCAAGAGCAGCTGGTGACTGATATTTCTTTAATAGAAGGTTGGAGAACTTTATCCCAACACTGGCGTCGTTCGTGTCGTACGCAGCCCCGACTTTATCGTACTTGGTGCGAATGACATATCGAGTGACGGATCGCTCGAGGTTTTTGAAGATTGTGGCTCTGGAAAGGCAACTTGGACCCTTTCCATTCCAGAAGTACTTGATATTTTTTCTCTCCTGGGCTGTGAATTTGAGTGAATCACGAATTGACTCATCTGATTGTGCCAAAATCTGGCAAATATATGCTGGCGCGTAGGTGTCTCGCATCCACGCTGCCGTAGTCGAGTCGAGCCCGGCAGCGTACTCACGCGGGAGAGTATCCGGCTTTTCGCCAACAAAAACTTTTCGATCATCCTCGTTCATGTGATAGGCCATGATGTTCCCAATCATTGTCTGCACCATTTCATTCACTCCTTTTTGGTTGTATGACAGCGAGGCAATGGCGGTGACTTTGTCATTATCGTCGTCAAGCACATCTACAGTCAGTGAGAGCGCCAGAGGGTGGGGTTCCACGTGCACATCCAGGCGGCTCGCAGCACCCGCCAGGTTTGTCGCATGCGACACCGCTGCAGCAAGAGTAGTGGCACTGGCATAATCAGCAGTACCCGCCACCCAGTGCGCTGTTCCGCTCATCTCACGACAGAAGGGATCAAACTCGGTAATGATCCCGGTTGGCTTGTCGCCGAAGGGCCCAACCTTCAATCGGAACTTTTGCACAAGCAATGGCAGCCTGAACGATGAGGGCATACCGATGTTGGTGAACGTAAGGTCTTTGATAGGAACCTCTTTTTGCATCTTCCGCCAGTCAGGATTATCAATGATCCACTTGATATATTGATCAGAAGCTTGAAGGATTTGGTTGGAATGAAGCGCCTCAATCTCGAAGACTTGCTGCTGGTTGATATCTGAAGTGATGACGACCTCAAACAACTCAGAGCTTTCATCAAAAAACTGCTTCGTCTTGTCATCTTTGACCTGAGACTTGGAATGTTCAACGAGTGCATTTCGGATCAGCTTGTACTGATCAAATCCGAAGGTTGTATATTCAACCGCATTATCAACGAGAGTGCATGTCGATGAACCAAATGCAACAGTCGGCTTCCAGGTTTCGACCGACGCATTCGTGTCGTACGGCGCAGGATCATAGAAAAGACTAAACTTCCACAGGTTGGACTCAGAATCGGTAGCCGAGAGGGTAGCTCGGCTCCGGTTGTGTGTGGCTCGAAGGCGAGCCTTCGGGACGACACCAGGAACCAGCTCAAATCGTTGAACACTGTCTCTAACTTGATCCACAGATAGATATGACTCAGTAGTCCGTACAAGCCGGCCCCTTCCACGAAGTCCGCCGTTAGCGAAACGACACCACACGTGTTCCCATTGATCATTGTCGATCTTGCGGGACCAGTAAATCGAATCACCATCAAAGGAAGCATGCTTGCAGAGGGCGCCATCGACGTGTACCACACCTGAATAGAGTTCTAGGCAGAACAGATTCGCTCTTGTATCTTTGTCGTGGGCAATATATGGCATCGTCAAGTCTCTAACCAAGAACCGATACGTTGAGGTGGGTTTGCCTCCATACTGGAAACAAGACTGATGTGCCTCTCTCTCTAGAAGTTCAATCACCGTTTGTCCTCCAAAGCGATGCAAAATTGGCGTGAGCTCTTTGAATTGTGTGAGCATCCGGAGCCTTTCGGGTTGTGGAATTATTCGTAATTGTTCCGCAATCGATGCAGCTGTGATTTCAGGATAGTTGAGACCCACCAGAAACCCGTTTGCATGATAGCTCCTGAGACCCTCACGTAGGTGAACTCCGTAGACATAGTCGGCGTTTGTCTTGTGCTGCTCAATTGAAGAGATCAAGATGTGCTTGTAAGACTCTCCATCCACTGTCTGCAGCAGGTGATGTCCGACGCGTAGAGTCGCGACGTCTAGCCAGGGGTTTTCCGCTCGAGCAATATGGGGATCGATGGCCCGCAGGCCTGTCGAGGTAAAGAAAACATGTCCTGCAGTGAAAAAGCCATCCTGACCGTTAATTCCATAAACTACATTCGGCGGGGGTAGCCTCACAACCTCAGATGAGACGACGCCCCACTGTGGTGGAGATACCCTGGTCAATACCCTGCTGCCTTCGTATAATTCTTCGATATTAAGGGAGCCTGTCGACGTGAGAACTTTCGTTCCAGGAAGGAAGCAAGACCGATGACCCGAGGGTTCGTGCTTTTTCCAGACGAAGGAATGACTTTGGTTGTCCAAGCTGACACCTTGATTCACAAGATTAGACATGTCTTGGTTGATGTTTGCCCAATCCACAAGCTTGTACCCGTATATCGTCGTCCGATGTACATGAAAAGGGTCACTACCGTTATCCTCGTCCTGATCTAGAGTGTCAAACTCAGCTCCACGGATTGCGCCAAGCCAGAATGCCGACAGTGCAACATCGTCTATTCCAGCGTTCCAGATTGTCAAGAGGTCATGGCTGAGAGACTGGAAGCCGTCGAGGTTCATCTGCTCGAAGATTTTACCTCTTTTGGCTCTTATCGCCGCATCCGGAACGGCAGTAACCGACCTGCCTGCCCAGTTGTGATGTTCAGGGAAAAGAAGCCCTGCATCCTGCAACTTCGACGCGTATTCTTGGAGAGGAGTATGTGCGAGGTCGGTTGGAGAGAAAATCGAGCTAGTTATGAAGCTGAATGCTCTCGCATACTCTTCTAACGATTGCTCGTCACCCCACTTTTCGGCCTGAGTCTCTCGCCAGGCGTGCAAGACCTCCTTCGCCACCAAATCTTGTGGGTCGTTAGGCATAATAAAGCCCGGTCCTTTGGCAAAGTATTCATAGACAAACAACACGGTAAGTGCATAGTGCAAGTCTGTCCGTCCGATGAAGGGGTCGAATCCGGGAGATTTCACACGCCGCGAGAATTCGGTAACAAAGCTCGCATCGCCTCTTAGGGCATCGAGCTTCGGCTTATTATTGCGTTCAAGGCCTTCGTTAACATGTTGTGTGAAAAGACATGTCATAAGAGATTGGATTCTCGAATCAGGAATTCGGATTGCAGTTTCCTGATACCGAAGTTAACTTTCCAGCCACATCACAGAGACATTTGATTGGTGGTAATGTAACATACACCATTCACCAAAGAATGAAAGTTTTTATCGTCTGGATATCTGGCTAGGACCGCGGCCGCTGTCGAAACGCCGAGCATTTGAATGATATCCGCACAGTCGATACCCCCAAACACGCAATTCACTTGGGACTCGTGTGGATTATTAAAGTACGACTTTAATGGTTGCATTCGCGGAGTGGTCAATAGGGCGCCCTTCAAGCGGTCCGAGAACTCGGAAGTATTGAACGCTGGGATCGAGCCCAGCGCGATCATGATATCGTCCAATGCGTCAGCCATGGCTAGTGGTAGCAGGTGTAGGACTTCGTATCTTTTCGTAAGCTTTGCTTCACCAAGTCTCTTGAAAATGGACATTAATATAAAGCAGATGGGGCAATGATCTTTTAAAGGGGTGGTTTGTCTTCTTCTAGTAGACCGCCTCGGCGGGGACCTCGAAGTTCAGTCAGGCCCCAGCCTGAGCACAAAGCGACGCCAATGCATGCGCAAGTGAAGGTTTCGACATCTTCGGCATTGATAGACAGACATGTTGGAATCGCCGGTGTCCTGATAGTTCTGTCGTGCTGTCCATGATGGTCGTTGGTTGAAGGACATCGGGCTTCAAGATCCATCTCACGTCTGGGCAGCCACTGCTTGCGGGGAGTGAAATGTCAAACTACGCTATTTGTTGGTCAGAACGAGAAAGTTGTGTGTCGTGTTCACGTGGGCGCGATAAAGTGTCCATAGCACAGCGTGTCAAGATGAAAAGGGCACCAGAGCTCCAATTGGATGGCTCGAGCTTCGGGTAACAGCTGCTATCACCTGCAGTTGGATATCACACCGCCGACATTTGTGGTGAATGGCTGGCTGGAGGCTGGATGCCTCGAGAGTCTATCGATCCAGATACGAGGCCTGGTGGATCCCTCAAGTCTCAGCTGAAGCCAAACTTTGACAGCAAAGACTGCGACTCGAATTTTTCAGGTGATGCTTCGGGACATTTTCGGTAGACAGGCCAACTTCTTCGCGTACCTTCTTACGTCAAGACGCACTAACCAACATTCGAGGTAGCAGGCACAGGCTGTAGTTAATGTTTTTCCGAGACAATACGCTGAAGGTTACGGAAAGGAAAGAGAGCCGGCCGATTCACCACGACGGGTTTTCTGCAAGGATCAGCATATATACATACGCTGCGGGACAACTTACAGATTTGCGACCATTTGCGAGGGTCTCACGTGGGACCAAGTCCCAGCGGACTTGATTTCCTCATCAGTCAGCCAACGGGAATACCAGGGGAAACCTGCTCCAGCACAGCCAGAAGAGCCAGCGCCCTAGTAGTGCAACTGTCAACCCATTTGCACCACTATCCGGGTAGGACAAAAGTATACTTGTGTCCATACGATTATGGACAGTGTGTTGAAGGTAATCATCAGGTGTTATATACTTCTTCATTTCCCTCATACATCTCACTTCGACAATCAGACAACTACAAGCGGCGAGTGAACGAAGACCGCTGGGTTGAGGAGACGGTATTGAAAAGCCACCTCCCAAATTGCACTCACCCTTCCCCTTTCACTCTCTTCTTTGCTCAAGAACCGCCTCACAGCATCGGGTTGTCGACCCCTGATCTTTTGACCTCCGATATGCAGCATTATTTTGGGTGGTGGAAGGGGAGAGCGGTTCCAGTCTGGATCGTTGGATACGTGTAAGCCCCCTCTTTCCTCGTCAGATCTTGATGAAGTAGGCCTAATGTCGATAGGGCTGTTTTCACTCTTGCATAGCTCTATGTATGTTTCCCAGCCACTTGACATGAAATGGCTTACCCAGACAATTGGCCCAGGCCCTTGTTGTCGAAAGCTTGCTTAATTGTATGGTAAATAAGTACTTCTTCTCGGAAATGGCGGCCCGGGGGTAGGCATCTTCCATAGCTGGGATGTGGAGGCACAGGGCACGCCAATTGCACGCCCAATGCCATACAGCTGTTCGGACGTTTTGAGTCTCAAAGTACGCCGATACTGCACCGATCAGGAGGGGCGCGACCCAACACCAGTGTAGATGATGAATTGTATGCCCAGTTTGCGTAAGTTTCCTTTCAACACATCGCGAGTATTAATGACTTACCAGTTACAGAGACCAGGTGTGGGAGCGTATCGCGGAGAGTTGTCGTTTTTCCAGCACGATGAATCGTTCGCAAAGATGCATCACGGAGAAGAGGAATCTCGGGATATTTTGTGACAACTCTCCCCGCCCCTAGTCGAAGATAGGTCGGAGGGTCATCTCGTACCTTGATCAAGTCGAGGTAGTATTCATCCAACTCACGTCTAAGCAAGAGTGGTCGAATAGTAGTAAAAAACAGACGCCCTCAAGATAATCAAGGGATTCCTCTCCTAGCCTGTCGTTCTGATATTGCTGAGACGCCCTGCTGCCCTTGTAAGCCTCTTCTACCGACTTACCTGCTTCAGTCGGATCTGTAGACTTCAGCACTGTGATGGGTCCCGAAATGACCGAGAATTCTATAGAAATCTTCTCCCATGGTTCCGTCTTCTGAGTCGAACCTCTCGCGAGACTGCCAGAACCACTGTCCTTCGGTGAAATGAACGGTGCGTGAGGATAGAGCAATCTCTTGTATGGTCCAACCGCGTTGATTCAGTGCGGCATTCCATATCATTGAGTGGTATGCTGGTTTTGGTCTTATTATCACTCGAAAGGAGTGTGAATCAACGTTCTTGTCAACCCACTCTTTGCTTGACACTATGCCTATGCGCACAGCGGTGTTTTCACATGCACAAAGCAGCCGCCATTGCCATCGGAAGTAGAAGTGGCTGCAATGGTGAGAAAGCTATTTTGATAAATAGTAGCCCTGATGGAGGCTTCTTTCTCCCAATACAAATGGAGTCTAACCAGATATAGCGAATGCCTAGTTTCCGGGTAATTAATTTGAATTGCATCCTGATAGGTCTGCTTCGATTGCGTCACAGGAATTCCTCATCTACGAATAGTCTCTGTCGCTTTTGTGGTCTTTGTAGGTCCTCTTGAAGTCGGAGAGCCCCAACAATGACTAAGCGTTGTATATCGTGGCCGAGAGTCGAGAAACGAGTTTGTATCCACCAGTGCAACTGTTTGAGGCCTATTAATGGGCACGAGATCGAGAAGCCGCATGGGATATCCGTCCGTTCTGTAGCTTTTGCATGCTTGTTGAGAAGATGAACAATCCTCCGGCTATTCAAAGATGGTAGAGAATCGATTATCGATATTGAGTGCGGCATCTTACCGTATAGAGGCAAAGAGTTTATTCAATTCCTATGTAGCAACTGAATTCGTCCTTTATTACGTAATCACATGTTTTCTGAAGTAGCTACACACTGCCACCGTCAAGATGCATAGGATACCCTGGTCAAAACACAATTCCCATGCCTAAGCTGAGAGATACATTTGTCATTAATCTCAGCAGAGTGCTCACCGTTACCTAACCTTCATATCAAAGTCCTTGACTTAAACCATCGCTAAACCCGCTTCTACCTACGCTTCCTCTTCATCCCCATTTACTTCCATCATCTATTACACAATCCCTCTCACCTCTCCATTCAGCAATGGCCGCGCCAGCTGCAAATACCCCTCAACGAACGTGTATGGGGCCGCATCTTTCCTGATACGCGTATCCTCCTCCTCAACGTTCAGCGCGTTGAAGCGCGACACCATGGCTGCATCCGTCGCAACTACCCCTCCCGCTTGCTCGATGTCATACGGCTGCAGCCACCGCCAGAGCCCCTTCTTCCCCGACACGGGTATGCGCACGGGCGGCACATCGTCGGGCAGTTGTGTCGCCAATGAATCGACGTCGAGCGGCCGACCGGCGTCGTACGTGTGGGGCACGTCGCGGGAGAGCAGAAGCGGGCCGAGGCGGAAGAAGGCAGTCATGCGCGTCATGGCACGCTGGATGGACCAAGGCGGCAGCTGGAGGGCTTTGACAGGGAGGATCGGGGAGTAGGTGTGGACGGGGATGTAAGGGTCGATCAGGAGGGTTGCAATGCGGGATTGGGCGGTGCGCGCGGCCATGTAGTTCGGGAAGGGGGTGCTGGAGATGGTTTCGTTGGAGTTCAGAGCGTGGAATGACCCGTCGCCGCGTGTGACCGGGTCGACGTAAGTGGGGGAGAGGGTGGGGAAGCGGTCGGCAGTGATGTCGAAAACGGTGTCGGCGGGCGCCGCCGGATCCGGGAAGTAGGTGTAGAGCTTGGACCAGTCTGTGCGGCCGGGGTCGACGCCGGGCGTGTGGTCCTGAGTGATGTTGTTGGAGCGGAAGTAACCGAGGACGCCGTCGAAGGGGCGGTCGGCGTCACCGATTTTAATGGGGAAGTTGTAGGAAAGGAGGTCGGCTGCTTCGTCAGTGGGGCGGTTGCCGAGTGTGTTTTGGGCTGTGAGCGGGGGGATGGCGAGCTCGAGGGACCAGCCCACGTTGACGAGGGCGAGAGGCTTGCCGACAATGGAGTTGGCATATTCGGAGTAATCGGAAGGTGGGTACGGCATGGTTTTGATGGCCGAGTTGATCATGTACGAGAAGGAAAGGAGGAATTCGGTGTCTCGCATCCGTGAGATGAGTTCGTCGAGCTGGGGACTCCCCGTGTCGACTGTGGACGGGGGGTCGAACGGGAGCCACTTGCTGCCAACGTTTGTGCCTTCTGGTCCGCCTATGCGGACTTCAAGATAGAAGCGGCCGTCGGGGCGGAAGAACTGGAGACCTAGGTTTTGGTAGTTGATGACGATCCAGCCGAAGATTGGCGATTCCTGGGCGTCGAGATTGGTCTCCCGCCAGTGAGGGAAGCTCTCGGTCGGGGTCAGGAACATTGCGTTGATGCGCGCGTCTTGATTGATGGCCGGTGGAATCTGCATGAATCGGCTCAGTGGCCAGTCGCCATCCGATTGAACGGGCTCCGGATATACCGTATTGAGAGCCCCGTCGAGGATGTCCGGCATCAGGAAGTCGCTCAGGCACGGGTGGACAGACGGCGGTGGGAGCTCGGGAATGCGAAGTTTGGGCTTCGGGGGTGGCAACGCGACCGCCTGTCCAAACTTGTCGACGATATTGAGCTGCGAGCGTTAGCGAAACTCTTTGACAGGTGTGGCTGTGGTATTACCTTCGTGAGCATGAGTTGGCCATGTCTGACTCCCTTGAAGGGGGCCTGGGGGTATGTTTCTGTCGCAAAGTTCAACAAGTTGCCGTACGGGGTCAGATCACTAATGCTCAATTACTAACACAGAACGCTCTCTGCCTGGGAGACGTACCTCTCAGTGTTGATTAGTCCGATCTTTTGAACGCTGTCGAAGCCGATGGGATGAGATACACTCACGGCCTCGTGCAAACCCGTCGTGGTCCTGCCTTGCCGCGTCATGGTTGGCTTGACATGCGTGCCCAAGGATCTCGTGAGAAGATGGTGGACAATGCCCGTTAGAGGACATGAGATGAACTTGAATTTCTTAATTTGGTCTTGAATCACTTGGATTTCTTCTTCCGTCAGGTCCATTTCCGGGTCGTTGCTGTCCAGAACACTCGCCACGGCGGCCTGCAAGGAAAAGATGGGCTGGGGGAGGATCATCACCCTGCCGCTGATGTATCTGAAATCGCGCTGATTCTCGTCGTTGCCCGCCAGAAGCTCATTCACGCCATAGCGTACGAGCGAATGCGGGAGTCCTACAGGGCTGGGCCGAACATCCACGGTCCACTTTGATCGGTCGATGTGGTAGTATATCGCCTCCCATTCCACAAACAGCGGCGAAAACGGGTTCGTGTTTCCCCAGTCTTGGAACCCTTTCTCGTAGATGGGGTCCGGGTTAGTGGTCGACTTGATCTTGCTGAGACACACCCCCAGAATCTTTTCCGCCGTCGATTGAATTGCAGCGGGCAGAGGATTTGCGGAATTCCCAAAAATCCGCCCTCGAACATTCGCTTCATCGGATTTGAACTGGCTATCCAACCGCACCTGAAGAAGGTCCATAAAATCTGCCGGCCATCCAGGATCCACGCCAGCAACGCATATCGTGGGCTCCTTGCGAGTATAGAAAGACGGCAGCTTCGTCCGCTTGTAAAGGCTTTCGTTGTTCTCGCCGGTCGAGCCACCAGACAGTTCGACGATGCTGGCCCGCAGGCTTGCCAGGAGGGTTTCGAGCCCATGCTCTGGCCCCGAAATCTCGGCTTGCAGGGCCTGGACGCGCTGCTTGAATTCCGCTTCCGTGGCCTCGTTGATGTTGCTCTTGTCGCTGACGTATTTCCACCATTCCGAGAACAGGTCCCACCTTCGCTGCTTCAGTTTCCGCTCAACGGCATCAAGAATGCCTTGTTTTTCGTTGAGCGCCATCAGATCTGTCACTTGGTCGTCATCTGCCTCCTTCGGAGGCTCTCCAGGCTTTGTCTTCTCCGCAAAGTCCCATTGATATCCAGAAACGGTGGAGCCCGCAAAATGGCCTTCGTACAGGTTCAGGTCTTGCGCCTTGACGCGCTCGTTGTAGGAATCGTCGGCGGCGTACAGAAGATCCGCGATGTTGAGTATGTAGCTTGCAGCTTCGCCCGCTCCGTCACCGATGATGATGTCAATGTGCTCCTTTTCGTGGGCGCGCAGGAACGTGATGATGCCGTCCAGTGGCGTCACTCCAGCCGATAATGGCTCCATCGTGAAATCTTTGGTGAATTTAGCCGCGGCCTCTTCGGCCATGCTTTTGGTCGCATACTTGGCAGGATCCATACTGTATTTGACCGAGTACAGTGAGCCGTGCAACAGGGCTCTCGTGGGCAAATCACTCGCGAGGATTTCTTGGATGTGTGCCTTTTCTTCCTCGGACACATCTCTCAGCTTGTCCAGATCCAGGCCCAGCTTGAGATTGTTTAAGCTAACACTGAGCGGCAGGTTTTCTGGCCGAGTTGCCAACGGATCATTCTCAGACAACGAATGCCAGCCAACGACGAAGTAGTCTGCCTCCGCCGAAACCAAGTTCTTGGTCTTCCCATCTCCCAATAGATACGCAAATGAGTCCACCAGAGAGAACGCACCTGCATTGTGGGGGACATAGTCTGGGACCGATTAGAACTGCACATGACCTTTCTCTGGTTCTTACCTGGGAAGAGAGGGTTTGATGACCCCAGTACGGTCAAATCAATAAAGTTGGGGCTTTGGGCAGATGTCTCTTGCTCGTTCCAGGGCGAGTTACCGCTCCCCCAGCCGGAATACTGGTGCCTCTGTCCGACAAATACTTCAGCCTGGGCTTCCAAAATTCTGTTTTGATCCGCGCTTGGGTCATCCGCAATGAAGGGAGTAGTGTCTACTTCGAGATCGACATTGTCCGGAATGTCTTGGACTTTGCGTTTACGGTTACTCTCAATGATCCAGGTTTGAAACTCTGGGAGGACGGTCCCGTCGTCGCTCTCCTGACTTGCCAATCTCCGCACGATTAACCATCGATTGGGGACTATTGGAAAGGACGGGCTGCTGCTATCCGGCTGCTCCTCGTCGGGGGGCGAGTCCGGCACGTTGTCGCCGGACATTTTCCCGCTACGATAGCATCGCGGGAGGCTCCAGTGGAGGTAGACCCCGACTCGATTGCGTCGAAGTTGGGGTGGATTCGCTCCAATGTCTGTGAGTCGGGGGTTCTTGTCCGCCGGTTGGGTCAGATGGAAGTCGACGTGGTCCACCAAGTCATGCCTCATCAATGCCTCATCAAGTCGAAGGCCGACATAGTTTGGCTGTGTAATGGGACCGATCCTGGAAACCTTGTCGGAGTTGCAGAGGTCAGGTGTCAGGACAAAAGCAGTGAGGTCGACGGGAAGGGCGACATTCTCGATCTCCGCCGACATGTTGAGAGGATGAAGAACAGAGCAGTCTTGGGAGCGAAGGTTACGTCTTCTGCACCAATCTCGTTTCCTCTGCACAATTCCTCAGCAAATGCAGACGGCTCATCAGGCAGAGAACTCTGTAGAATCCGAAAACATCTACAGCTCAAATCGTAGTTTCTGTCAAGGCACCGAGATAATTGAGCATCGTGATTCCATCCAAATATTCAGGCGGAATTGGTGTTGCTGGTGGTTGATGGCTTGTGACATTCTGGGCTATTATCTAGTCCGCCTTGGACTGGCCAGGAGATACCTGGTAATCTAATAGATTGTAATGTCAAGCCGCGCCTAAAATTTAATATTACATGAAATACTGCCAGGCTAACAATACTAGTATTGTCAATACCATGTTCGTCATAACCGAGGTAAGGAAATAATTTTCCTTTCTAAATACGGTGAGTATCGAAGTTACATTCTATCAATTTGTACTCGGTCCTTACATTATCAACTTAATCCTCACAGAAATACCGCAGGTATTGACAACTGCCATCATGACGGCCTTACTCAGCTCTGGTAAGCCGGTCATTTCATTTCAGACCAAATCAAACCGGCGAAGAGACGCGCCAAGGGGCCCAACGTCTCACAACAGTGCAAATGGTTGCATGATCAAAAAGTTGACAACAAGGTTCGTTCTCAGCTCTTCTGCAGCACCTCTCTCTAGCTCCCTGGGCAAAGTGAACAAGTGACCAAGAATCTCTCTGCCCGGCACGCGTGCTTTCTGGCTGCAGTTCAGCTGGCGGAGGAGCAACAAGGCTTGGTGCTACGTAATGCCGCACCACATCTTGGCATTGCTTGGCAAGTCCTTAGCGCTTACACCTCGTACTCGTAGATGGCTACTACGAGTAGAACAACTAAGAATCCCTTTGACCTACGCTAGACATCAATAGGGATTCGGTCTGCGCCAATGCCTAACAGCAAGCCTTGAGACAGGGATGACAGAGATGGCACGATGTATCAGGCTTCAGCCGCACCGTCTGGCATTGACGATATCCGAGTCGGTGGTTGGTGAAAGAAGTGACCGTTCTTAGCTGTAGCTCGAGCTCGAGCTGAAGCTCCATGTCCCTCCCCTGTGACTGGTCAGACTCTGGCATGGGCATACACGGGTAGTTGACCCATCGTGTGATATTGGACGGGCCTGTCGTTGGCCATTGTATTGACCGGAGCAGATAGCTTGTTCGGTCACCAGGAAGGGACGCAGCCCGGCCCGACGCCCGCTCACTTCACCTTAGACTCCCGTGTTGGAATAAACGCGGGGCGTCGATATCGTCGTCGCCTTTGACCATCCCTTCCGAGCTCGAGCTTCCTATGAACTGGCCGAGCGTCACCAGTCCTCAAACCCACGTCTACGAGCTGGTGTAGAGTAGGGTGTTGGTTGACACCTCCCAGCATTCTTCATCATGGCGGATAATGATGTTGATCTTTCTGAGTGGACCGACTTCTTCGAAAACAGCCAGCTTTTCGCACCAACTGGCTTACCAACCGAAGGCGACAACAACTCGACGTGCGTGTTGAACAAACTGGGCGGACTCGCTTTTTCGTCAGAAAAGGTTCAACAAGAATTCCGCGGCAATGCCCCTTCCGGAGACGAACCTTTCGAGTTATTGGGCCTCGACCAGGCGGTTTCCTCATCCCATGCCCTTCAAGACATTCTCAACACCTTTGGTGTTAATCCAGATACCTGGAGTATCTCGCCCATTCTACCCGATCAGGACGAGACAGAAGCGCCTGTGGACATAATGGAGCCCCTTCGCCTCATGATCCAAGAACTCCGCGATGCGGCTGGAGTTTCCGCTGAGATCGAACATGAAAATCGGAATGGCCTGTGGATAATCCCGAAACAGGAAACCGCTCTGGCGGTAAGCAATTTCTCCTTCATTATCTTCGTCTTCAAAAATCGTTAGCTGGAGACTACCAATTGGCCTCAAGTGATTTGTTGCAAGCCCACGCTAACCTGCCGTAGATCACTGTTGGGCTGGCGTTCAAGATAAATCTCAACCAAGTGGTGGATATCGGAAATAATATAGTCGACAAGCTGAACGAGTTATTCGGTCTGAAGCTCAGCGAGTTGAACTTCAGCGGGCTGGGAAAATTGAAAATTCGCATCAAGAGCAGAACCGTCATCTCCAAGACCGAGGGTGACAATGGACAGACAGTCTGGGAAGATCCTTCTACTCTCTACGAGTTCCTTTTCCAATTCCCTGTATTTGGGCTGTTGCTCAACTTCCGCATAACGTATGTTGGCGAGTTCGAGTTTTCCGTTTCTGAGGATCCAAGCGACACCAGGTCCATGTTCGAGAAGATCGCGAGTCTCATTAAGCAACCACCGTCTGCAGATGACGCCGATCCTACCACGGACGACCAGGGCTTCTCCATAACGCCTCGGCTGTGGAACCTGACGGTGACGAAAACCGACTCTGCGTTCGAATGGAGCATAGCTTTCCTGGTCAAACTCAAGATAAGCGCGGAATGGGACACCCTCACAATGGCCTTGACGTACAACGGCGCGATCGGGACGTTTACCGGCCGCCTCATCTTCAAAGGGACGTTTAATGAGCCATCGCTGGACGTCGAGTTTGATGAGATATGGGACGTCCCGACCGATTTCTACCCTGACTTGACCGATCGATTCGACTTCCGCAGCATTCCCCAATTCGAGTCGCTGCCAAACTCCTTTCCCACCAATTTGACCGAAGCTTCCTTCGAGTACACCAAGGGATCTCCGTACAAGTTGCTCATGTCTGCCACCCTGAACTCCGACGGCGCCCTCGAGGACCCGCCGGCCGGCGCGGACGAGGTTCCGTTCCCCTTTGAGTGGACGACGATCTCGCTCTACTTTGCAAAATCTGGATCAACCCTAGAGATGGAGATGTTCACCCAATTTCAACTCAATCCCCCGGACGACCGGTTTGGCACTGGCCGAATCGACCTCCGCTTCCGCTACGCCAGCGGCTTGTGGGAGCTTGGGGGCCATGCGGACAACATCCAAGTTGGATCGATTGCCCCGTGGTTTGATCCAAATTTGCAGAGCGAAGTCCTGGACGTCGTGGGAAAGCTGAAGATCGTATCTGTCGATCTTGCCTACTCGTTCGAAAAGTCGGGCCCAAAGCAGAAGGCTTCCGCATTCACGTTTGAAGGACTTATCGAAATGGGAGAATTGCAACTCTCTCTGCTATACCAGTATCAAAAGATCACCGAGGGTGCCCCCTCCGCTAGAAAGCTCTTGACGGGCAGCGAAAAGAAATTGGGCCCGGTTGTGCGAGCAGCGGCCAATGAATCCACGTTCTGGCTCTTCGAGGCGATCTTGGATACTCCACAGCCCGAAACGACGTTGGCAGAGATTGCCGAGTCGATTGTCGAAGGGGCAGCGGCAGAACTTCCCAGTTTTGTTGGCGACATCCAAGTGAAGAGCGACGACGCCGGGGCGGAGCTGATGAGCCTCCGGGTTCAAAAATCCGGCTATGGAGGGGTGCAGCGGGTTGTGTTTGTCTTCAATGTGAACATTGCCACCCTAGAATTCACTTTTGCCCAGGTGTCGTCGAAAATTGGGACGAGCAATGCGACCAAGAGATTGCTCAGGGTGGCCGTCGAGAAGATACCATTGCTTAGCGACTTGCCAGTAGTCAAGGAATTGCCACAGCCGTTCGACGAACTCCAGTACATGTGGTCCCAGACCGCCGGACTTGTGCGAACGGAGGTCGAGGCGCTGAACCAGAACCTTGGAGAAGGGAACGAATTGATGTTCAAGGCTACTACAAAATCCTCCGTCGACCCGACGTCTAACAAGGATCCCGTCGTGTTCGCCGAAGGACACCATTTCGTTGTGGTCAACGATGGGCAGGCCATCCTGGACCACGTATTCAAGCCGACGAAGAACCAGGGCTCGACCACCGTCGCCCGGACACTGCGAGCCGGTGATTCCACACCAGCGGCCAGCCTTGCCGCGTCGGACGAAGAATCCAAACCGTCAAAGGGCGCTCTGAGCAAGACAACGCAATTCCTTAGCATCAGCGGTGTCACCTTCCAATATAAGGGTGATCGTCTCTGGATAACTCTTGACGCCACGGTGGTATTGGGCCCACTCGAGTTCTCCCTCCTTGGCTTTGGCGTCGGGCTGAATCTGAGTGCAGTCAGCCTCAACCAGCTCGACATAGTGAAGCTCGATCCGCAGGTGCAGCTCCGCGGCATGGCTGCCTCCTTCGACAAGCCACCGATCCTCATTGCCGGCATCTTCGAAATGGACGAGAGAGAAGTCAATGGCCAGCACATCAAGTCTTACCGCGGCGGCGTGGGCTTGACGATCCCCCCCTACGCGTTTGTTGCCGTCGGCGAATATGCCGAGGTCGAGGAGGGCAGCGAAAAGTACAAATCCGTCTTCATCTATGCCAAACTCGACGGTCCACTGATCGACTTTCAATTTGCGATCCTGCGTGGTGTCCGAATTGGATTCGGGTACAATTCGCTCATCCGGTCTCCTTCGGTCCGCGAACTTCACCGATTTCCTTTGATCAGTGACAACGGAACAAGTGGAACTGGAAATGTAAGAACCCTTTGGTGCTTCTCCCTGACTTCTGCTGACACACCAGAACCCCATGGAAATCCTGGAAAACATGCGAGGAGGCGACAACCCGTGGATACAGCTCAAGAACAACAGTTACTGGCTCGCCTTTGGACTGACTATCAGTTCGTTCAACATTGTTAACTGTACGGCAGTTGCTCTCGTCTCCTTCCGGGCCAACGGAGTCATTTTCAGCATCTTTGGCGACGTTATCTGCACCCTACCACCGAGTCTCAACGCGAACGCCGCCTTCAGACTGTTCTACGTCGAGATTCTCATGAACGCAGAGCTGAATTTCGTCGAAGACTGCTTCAAGGTGCAGGCCGCTCTGGCGCCGTCGTCCTTCCTACTCGTCCCCATGGCTCGGCTCCGCGGCGGATTTGCCTTGTACACGTTCTTTGGCCGGAGTCCGCACGCTGGCGACTGGGTGTTCTCGCTGGGCGGATACCACCGGAAATTCTCTGTGCCGAGTCATTATCCCCGGCCGGAGCGGCTGGGTCTCGACTTTTCGATTGGGATCATCAGCATCGAAGGGAAGGGATACTTTGCTCTCACACCCAAAGCCGTGATGGCGGGGGCATTCATCCACTGCGAACTCCACGTGGGTCCTGTGTTTGCGTATCTGGATGCCGCATTCGACGGTGAGAAGCCACAGCGCGACTCGTCGAAACACACAAGCTAACATGTTCCAGCGATGGTGCAATTCGAACCAGTGCACTACTGGGTGGACATGCACGTTGAAGTCGGCGTGGAATGTCGCGTTCGACTCCTCTTCGTCACGATCCACATCTCAATCTCGATAGGAGCCGAGCTCCACATCGAAGGGCCCGAATTTGGAGGCATTGCTCAGTAGGTGTCTGCGGAACGAGAAAGAAGGCGTGCCCTGGCTAACCGTCGCAGTGTTGATTTCTGGTTCTTCTCCTTCGACATCGAGTTTGGCAAGCGCCCAAGCCTCCCGGCTCCGCTCACGCTCGCCCAATTCTACGATGTGTGCGCCAAAGCCGGGCCGCCCGACGCAGCCAACGGCCGAACGGAGCCGCCGGAGGGTCTTGTGCTGGAACTCAAGTTCAGCCTCGAGGACGGCAACTTTGTCATGCCAACGGAAGACACGCAGAAAGACGCGAATGGCAATCCCGTGCCTGTCACCGAGCCGACCAGCACGGGCGCGGGGGCCAAATGGTTCGTCAAGGGCGGCAGCTTCAAGTTCCGCGTGTCGTCGGTGTTCGCGCTCTCGGCTGCACGCATCGAGACGCCCGAGAGCGGCGAGGACGAGTGGATCGACGATGTCGGCTACGCACACGACCTGCCCACTCAGGAGGGGTCCGGGGACATGGAAGCTGTGGAAGGCCTTGACGAGATAGAGTTGTTGTCAGCGCGCCCCATGGGCGTGTCGCGCGCGATCAAGGCGCCGCTCTACGTCGGCATCCGCGACGCCGACACCCCGGAGCGCGTCACGACCGGGTGGACCGCGTCCTTTGTGATCCAGCAGATGCCAAAGCAGATGTGGCTCGACCCAGGCCAGAGCATTGACGCGCTGTCCCGCGAGAAGGGCAGCATGCCGCTTCGTATGGGGGTCCAGTTCGAGGCGCCGCCGCCGGTGCTGGCGGTGTCGAAGATCCCGCCTTTCAACGCCACGGACATGTCCAAGTTCAATGTCGCGCACAAAGACCTGCCCGACCACGAGGCTGAGCAGGATGTATTTCTCCCAGCGCCACGGGATGCCGCAGGCGTGCCAGCAACGTGGCCCGCCATGCAGGAAGCGTGGGCAGCGACGGCGGCCCTGTGGGATCGACCATCGGAGGAGGGCGAACCTGTGGAAGAGGCAGGGCTCGCGCGGGCGATGCTCACAGCGTGCATGAGTGCTCTCGCGTGGGACAAGCCGTCACCGGAGACGCTGGCGCACGTCAACACGGACGAGTACACGCCGTGGGAGCTGCCGGACGTCAAGTTCCCAGAGCGGTTGGTGAAGGGGACGACGGTCGGGGGTGGAGAAGTCAGGGACGGGTTTGCGAACTATTATCTGGAGTTGCCGAGGGTGGTGGCTGTTTAACGTAACCGAAGAGGGGGAAAGCGAGGACGCTCTCTATAGTCTACAATACCACGTATCAAATCGAGATCGGTGAGGGTGACATGAGTAGTGAGACACCTCTATTTTCCTTTCTATTTCGCCTTCTCTTCGAATCATGATTATTTATATATATGGTCAATCAGTTCCTACCTATCTGTACTCGGTACGGAGTATATGCATATATATAGGTTCGAGAACTGGATTTTCCTTTTCCGCCTCACACGCCGAGCTGAAGCCGCAAATTCAAATTCGTACAACGCAATCCAGCCTCTCCTCTCCTCCCTTGACCGCTTCCCCTTTCATCCTTCCCCGTTCCCTGCCATGCCCCCGGGGCCAGGCTGGCGCGGGGCTCGGTCTCAGGAGCGATACCAGCCCGCTGCCGTCCCCGCGGCCAAGGCGGCACACAGCCATCCCAGCGTAGCATAGACACTGAGAGCCCAGCCTTGCACCCAGGGCGCGTGGGACAAGTCGCCATCTAGGACGGAGTTCCCGTTGAGAAAGCTAGCGTACAGTCCATTGTCAGGCTGTGACTGCACGAGGCCGAGAATCCCGAAACACTGAGCGAGGAAGGTGGCCATGGCGCTGACGGCGGCGGCGCAGAGGAAGCAACTGCGCAGGGTGGCGTATGCGGCGCGGCGCCCTCGACGGCCTTTGGTCTCGCTGGCGGTAGTGGTGGCGCCGCCGTTGGCGCCCGACACAGGAGCCGGGCGGTGGCCATATGTGATGAAGCTGAACAGGAATAGCACGACGCACAGCACGAAGGCCAGGCACGAGAAGGCTAGCGCCGCGATGATTAGGTTGCCCGCGTAGTGGACCTGCTCGCACATGCGGGCGTCGCCGTTGGTCGGACCAGACGTGGTGCCCGTGTCGCTGGGCAGTTCGCACGACGTCTTGCCCCGCCCATACGCCCGGTAGCGCTCGCAGCTGACGTCGAAGGTCGAGTCCAGGCCGTCCCCGGAGGTCCCGGGGATCTCCTCGACCGTGCACACTGTGAACGGGCTGCGGTAGAGCGTGTACAGCGGATTGTCGGGGTCCCAGTCGGTGATCTGGAGGTTGGGCGAGAAGAAGTCCTGCTTGGCCCACTCGCGAGATACGAATGCCGTGATGATGAAGGCTAGTGAGAGGGTGGCGAAGGCGAGCGGGAGAGTTGCGGAGAGAGCGCGGAGGGGCCGCATGGTTGCTTTGCTTTGTTTTGCTCTGCTGGGTGGGCGGAGGGTAGGTCTTGCGACACAATACTTGTACACAATTAAGGGTAGAGGAGCAGAAGAGAGAGGTGAGATGCTTCCGCGAGGAGGGCGATAAGAGACACAGAAAGAGAGCGAGGATGTGTACGTGCGTGTATGTGATAGAGGTAGAAAGAGAGAAACAACAGCGAGTATGGAGTACAGAGAGAGTAGAAAGCAGAGACGTCAGCGCGGTGACACCTGATACGCAAAGCTGAGGCAATAAAGACAGAGAGACGTCCGGTTACTAGTACGCATAGGTCAAGCAAACATTCATGATCAACAAATGCAAAACGACACGAAAAGGGAAGGGCAGCGTAGGGGAGCGCGTTTCATGTCATGGTGCCAGGGGGGCGGCCGACGAGCTGAAGCCAAGCAAGCAGCTGCCTCTCTCATCTCCCCCGAGGTTTCACACCGCTCACAGCTCGGAGCTCACAACATACCAGTAGCTCATAGTATAGCTCCCATCACCCATTCACACATCAGACTATGCCGTGGCACCGTACAGCGCGTAGGTGACCTCGTCTAGAGTGATTCAAGCCAGGTTGTGGAAAGTTGGGGAGCCATGTCGACGCCTAGTGGTGCTTGGCGAGTGAGAGGAAAATAATATCATCTCCGCCAAGATATGGAGAATACTTATCCAAGTGCATGGGACTAGGACTAGGACTAGGCCCGGGACTGGGATGGAGTAGAGATAGAGATAGAGTACGGACACCGAGAACCGAACAACGCAGAAGTGAAGGAGGATCGAGTGACAAGTAGGGATCGAGTATGTCCGTTACTTGACTGAAATGATAGACATAAGGCAAGAAATAACAGACAAGGAATATATGACGGACGTCATAACACCACTCTAATAACTTTAGAAGCTTAGGATAGCGCTAGATACTAGGGGCTTGGCGCTTTATAGGTCGTTTTCTACTACAATTTACTAGCAAAGTACTTTAATATAGCTATCTTAGTATAGCATATAACTACACCTAAGTAGGACCTATAAGTGACAAAACGCTGTCATTTTAGAATATATGACAGAATCCTTGGCGCGTAAGTTAATGACAGACATGCCACGTCCTGCCTGCCACACAAATCCTGGTGACAAGCCACCGACTTGCAGCTGCCACTCTCTGGTGCGCGGCCAAAATTGGTACAAGCAACGGCGGGCCTTGGCATGGTAGAAATACGAGGATGATATAAGGGCGTTATATTTAAAATACGAGGATTATGTAAAGGCGTTATATTTAGTTGCCACCCAGTTGCCATTCATGCCATTGCAGTGAGGGACTTGTCGCCTTTCGGAAGATCTACTGTGTACAAGTGCTGTCTACTCTGTTCTCCGCCCTAAGCACGCTCTTCGTTTCCTTCCAATCCATGCGCTCCACTGCCAATCTTGTAAGGTGCACACAGTAGATAAAGAGATTGCGCTCAAGCTACACGATAATAATGACAGAGTTATCTGCAGAACTGTTCATGAATGCCAAGCCCTTTATTAGTAGTTGCGACCAGTTATATGCTTTGCACTAATCACCAGGGCCTGTGTAGTTTTACGACCTAGTCTCAGAACGGGCTTCAGGGCATGGAAAACTCCGAACGGGAAGTCAACTGAGCACGGGCAGCCAAGACTGTCGCTTTTGCTTTTAGACCCCTGGATCGTAACCAGCATGCTACCCTGTCGGAGCTAAAACCGCAGACTGAACGGTGGCTAAAAAGCCAGCCGCACGCCCAGCTGAAAAAACACGAGCCTGCATGCATATACGAGAACCATAGTAGCGCCGAGAGACGATCTCCCGCAGCCCTGCACCTTCCCTGCATCATCAGACCGTTGAGCTCAGACGGCGGGCTATCTGACACATACACTGTACGGTTACTGTACTCTGTATGAGTACGGTCTGTGTGGGCGTATGGCAAAATGCATTGTAAAGACACACCTGCGCCAGCCTCAGTGCCCAGTGTCACTAACGGGCTGGTCAATGTAGGTAACCTCACGCCCACAACTGCCATTGCTACCGATCAACCCACCCACCATGACCATTGTACTCTTGCTGAAGAGTCCTCTGTACGGCGTATCTGTTACTGTACAAGTAATGTAGACTTTCTTCCTGTACTAGGTCGATACCAGTCTTACGGTATGGCAAACGGTGAACGGCGAACGACCACGAACCTCCATACCCACCCATCGCAGCTTCACATCGCTTCCCTGTCCTGCTCTGCGCTGTGAGTTGCAAGCAGCACCGCCCAGAGCCCAGTTCCCAGATCGTGTTTGAATACACCATGCCGGGCCACCTCCTCTGCCACCGCGCTCCCAGCGAGCTCCTCGCCGTCCCGCCAACACCTCCATCACCTGAACTTCACGACCCTGTTCGCCCTCGCCCGCGACAGAGCCTCGTGAGAGCCCATCAAAAGAGCCACTGGGACTTCCCACACCAGCGCCGGCGCGAGCTTCAAACCACGCACTATGGTCGTCGTCAAGGGTACGCGGGGAAACCCCAAGGGCCCGCGGTTTCTCACCCAACGCAATCTCGAAAAGGCTGTCCTCAAGACCAACGGTGATGAGACGCCGCGCCCGCCAATCGCCCCGGGCAAGATGCAGCTATTCTCATACTACCGACCAGGTTTGTCCGCGGGCACCTACTCCATCTACGCGGAGCAGCTCATCCAGGGGCCCGCGAGGCTGGGCCAGCCACAGATCCGCCGGGTGACCAACCATGAGAAAGGCAAAACTGCCTATCTCCCACAGCAGTTCGAGGTCATGGCGCCCCAATTTTCCCTGGACAACAAGCTGGTCAACAGCCACTATCCGCCCGAGGGCAACCAAGACGAGAGTCGAGTGTTGCCGCACATCGTGATCAACGACCCGCACTTCCCGTGGGAGAGGGACGCGGGCAATCTCCAGAATCTGGACCAGGATCCGCCGTCGCTCCAAGGGCCCAGAGACCTCGACGTCGACGAGACGGGGGAAAACTATCTTGACTCGGACGGCCACGTCACCACCGACCCGGACAAATACGTCTACCGCAACCTAGTTCCGTGGGTCAAGCTGCTCGTGTTCGACCCCGAGGAGCTCCAGCTCGGGCCCGAAGAAGGAACGGACTTGGGAATCAAGGGGTTTGTCGCAGAGAATCAACCGTCCAACGGGGCCTTCTCCATGACCGCGGCCGACTATTTTGCCCTGCCGCAGGGGAACCGTATCCGGTTCGAGGAAGCGTTCGGGGACGACCAGGACAGCCTCGATGCAATCAAGTCCGGACGGATGTCCAAGCAACCGACCCAGGCCATTTTCCCCCGGAAAGACTTGTTTCGCAGCTTGTGCAAAGATCTCGAGGGCAACAAATACCTCGCCCATGTGCGCAACATCAACACCGTGGGCTTCCCCAACGCCGGTGTGGAGGAGAACGGTCTCTTCTCGATTGTCATCTCGGGTCGCACGGGGCCCCTGGAATTTGATCCCCCAGACCTTCCCAAGACCCAGATCTGCCACTTGATCTCCCTAGAACACGCCGACCGGTCGTTCGCCATGGACTTTGCCGACTGGGCAGACGCCGATCCACGGGGGGATGAACGAATCGGCATTATTTCTCTTTTCTCCTGGACGTACACCGCTCTGCCCCCCGACCCGGTCAACTTTGTCGATTCGATGAGGGCCATCGTTCAGAACATCGAAGATGGAACGCCCAGGTACATGCAGTTGCTGAAGCCGCCACAACGCATGATCACCGCCATGGAAGCGGACGTGGAAACTCTTTCGGCCGTCCAAAACAACGCCAGGAAAGCGCTATCCAGGCGCTTCGACAAAGGCTATACAATCTCGAGATGGCGTGCCGAGACGGGCGAAGTGACGGCCGCCTTTAATCGCGGCCCGCTAGTTCCCCTGCCGGTTCCACAGGTCCCTTGCCCGGACTGGCCTACCGGATCGACGACATCGAAGAGCTACCAAATCCTGGATCGCGAGACGGGCTTTATGGATCTCTCCTACTCGTCGGCGTGGCAGCTCGGGAAGATTCTGGCAATCTCCGACACCAATTTCAGCAGCGCCTTGACGAGATTCCGCAGCTTCGTCCAAGGCGCGGCGGAATCGACTGCCCGGTCGGCTGTAAATAGGGTTCCGAGTAAGGTGTCTCTGATCCGGGGCATGCGAGACAACGTCGGGAATATCGACTCCCTACTCGACGATGACGTTTCCGAACCCCGAAGAGTGATAGCACCGCTAAGACGCCGCGTGGTGTCCCGGCTCGACGATCCACTCATTATGGCCGCCATGGAGGTGACTGTCGCAGACGCGGTGGCAGACGCGGGCTCGGCGGGACCCGAAATCTACAACGAGTTCAACGTGTACGGCGAAAACAACACTGACTGGTCCACGATCCATAGATGGATCACCGACAAGTTGTATCTGGGAGACATCCCCGCCCACTACTTGTTCCCGGACCCGTCCTACATCCCCGACGAATCTCTGCGGTTCTTCTACATTGATGACGCATGGATGGACTGTCTGATCGATGGCGCGTTAAGCGTGGGGAACCACCTGTCTCGGGATGACGACCTTGTCAAAGCGAAGATTAAGGAATTCTACAACACATACTTGAGCACCGAGGTCCCTGGCACGAATGGGTTGAAACCACAGACCCCGCATTACGGATTCGTTTTGCGCAGCCAGATTGTCAAGTGCATGCCTGATTTGCGAATTACGGTAAGACATTAAGACTCCCTCTTCCACCATCTATGTTAACTCATCTCCTAGGTGAAATGGAACAACGAGGACGAAGCGGATCCACGAGCCCCCGTTTGTCAATGGCTTCGTCCGGATGACATTACCCTCATCTGCCTGCTCGACAGGCCGCCGGAGGAGCTCCATCTCTACGATGCGGATCACCCCGACAATTCGGGCATCGCGCTTGCGCAGCCGCCTCACCAGCAACGGTTTTCCTTTGGCTATGCGTGGGACGACGTAAACAAACAGTTTGGCTTTCTGCTCAGACAGCTGTACACTGACAACCCTCCAGCCGGCGAGTGGAAGGAAGAGGCTGATTTTGACGAAAACCCCAATGACTTCGTGAACCTCCAGACACGGGCCATCAATGCCACCGCCTTGGCCAAATATGTCAATGAGCAACTGGCCAAGTACGTCGATGGAGAGGACAGCGACCCCGAAACCTCCCGGAAGTACCGTGATTGGGTTGCAACCTCGGCTGAGTTGGCGATGGTGCTGAACGACCCGGCGTATTACTTCGCTATCCACCCAAAGACGGATGATGAGAGCACTAACAGGACGCCTCGCGTCCGGCAGATCTGGACACAATCGGAACAGGCCAAAGTTATGGGAATCGCTTCGCTCAGGGCGGCGGTCCGCAAGAAGCCGATTGAAGATCGTGCGCGCCCCCCAAAGCAGCCAGCGTCGCGGCAGGCTCTTGTCCCGGTCCCGGCGGACGCGCCAAGCAGAGGCCCTCCTATCGTCATGCGAAAGGCCGTGGCTGCTTCGGACGACGGTCTCGTGCAGGGTCTCGCGGCCCGGGCGGTGGCGAGCCCTTGCTTTACCCTTCAGGTGTATGCCTACTACAAGGGGATATCGAAACCACCGAGCAATGTGACGGGATATGCGCCGAACGACTACATCCCGACCCTAAATAAATACTTGCTAGGTACGCGATCCGCCCACGTCCACTCGTTCCCACTAACGATCCCCAGATCTAATCTTCGTCGTTCGCAAAGACCCGCGCAAAATCGTAGGGAATAACCAGCTGCTGCGTGAGGTCCAGATCGACATTCCCCACCGGGCCCTCAACACCGGTCGCAAGACCGACGCTCTGGTGCGGCCTGACTGGAGCGGCGGCGCGCGCATGCTGAGCAACCAGCGGTTCGTGCCGTTCGTAAACCGGACGCCCGACGCGCTGCAGGTACGGCTGGTGCCGCGCAGCGCGGCCGAGCACCCGGTCATTCGGATGGACGACCAGCGTGCTGCCGACCTTTCGTTCCGGTTGTCTAATGTGGAGGTGCCAGTCAGTCAGATCAAAAAGTGGGTTACCATCGAGGGCCAGCGTGAGCGAGAGTTCTTGGGCTATGTCGTGCTCGACTGGTACGAGCGGTATGACGAAGGCGGCGTGGTGTCGCCTGTGTGGCAGACGACCACGGTATTGAAGAGGGATGTGACGGAGGACTAGAATGTCTGGGCGCGCGGTGACGGGAGGTGGAGTGTCGATGGGCATGGGGATCACTGTCGCTGTCCGCGTGTACACAACCCAGCCCAGCTTCGCATTGTCGGGGAATACCGAATTCTTGGGACTCGTGTGCTCCTTAGTCAACAGTCCTCGGCCGAGAACTTTACCCTTGTGATATCTAGCTCGGATTGATCCATATGGCTTCCCGTAGCCTCGAGTCAGCACCCTGTAACGTAGGTCTCGGTATGGAGCACTCTTCTGCTCCCTAGACTTCTTGCCGCTTAGTGTAGTTGAGCTAGGTGCGCCAGACTCGCTATCCAATCGCTTTGAGCCCAGCGCAACCTAGTAAGTTACCCTAGGAGCCTAGGGAGCCTGGGGCTACTCAGCGCTAATTCTATATTCTATAAGAGCTTATTATAGATATCTAACAGGAGGGTGATCCTCGCCTACGCAAGGGCGGCCAGGCTCACTAACCGCAACATCGGTTCGTCAAAAAAAAAAAAAAATGTGTCGTGCTCGACTATTTTTGTATAAACGATCACTGCAAAGTTATCTTGAACAGTCCAAGAAAATGATCATCATCATTGCAAACACACTCGTCTCGCCCCGTCCCATCTAAGACGAGTTGGTCGGGTATCATAAACAGCGAACCACCCAAAGTCCGGCCAGAAGATGCCTTGCCCATGCCATCATCACTCAATGCATCGTCACTCAATGCATCATCACTCAGTGCGCATGAAAGGAAACCAATCCTTACCACGCCAAATCCTCAGCCTCTTGCTGTTCTAAACTCCTCAGCACAGGCAATACATAAGCCTGCTCATTCGCAACAGCGGCTCTCTGTCGAGTGCGAGAATAAAATACAGGACAATCCTTGCTGTCGCACCGAATTTCCTCGTTCCATCCTAGGCCAGAACATGATCGACACATCTTTGCCATCTGGGCCGCTTTGCGTTCAGCCTTTATCAGTCTTGACCTCAGTTCCACAATGCTGCGAGGCGCCTGCTGAAGACAGCTATGGCAAAGTGGAGACTCCGTGTCCAACGCCTCGCGACACACCAGGCAGGTCGATGATTTCATATACGATTCCAAGGTCTTCTTGGATAGACCAGTTCCCGTCCCGTCTGTGGCAGCTCCTGCCTCAATCCTTCGAATGCGCTGATACTTGGGCATCTCGTCGTACCATTGCCGAACATTCGCTCCAACAAGATTGAAAATTCGTTCCAAGGGAGGGATCAAGTTCTTCGAGATGTAGTACTCGGCATCGAGTTCAGACTGAGCATCGTTGAGTAATACTTCCGGTGCCACGCAACGGTCAATAAGCCGAGCCCCAGGCCCACCCGTCACCACCACATAAGGTACCCGTTCGCCGTATTGTGGTTCGAGCCGTGGATCTTCTAGCATTCTTCGAGCACTGATGAGTGCACCAGGAGGAGGAGGGCCCTTATCACTGTAAGTCCCTAGTTTGACCTCTCGTGCAAAACAGAAATCCTGGATAGACACCCGGCCTTGCATAATTTTGGCGCATTGGTCCTGGAAAAAGCTTTTGACCTGGCTCAAGTTGGATGTACGGAAGAGGATCTTGAGTGCTGTCTCCTCGATCTTTTGTTCCGCCGGAGTTCCATCGCGACGGACTGTTTCAATTCCCTTCGCATCGAAGTCAGGCACTGTTTGATTGCGACTCTCGTACTTGAAGCCAACATAACGTTTCTTCGCAAGAAGAACACAAGGATGATAAACCTTCTCGAATTTCAGCTTGATGGGTCGAGGGTTCATCTTGGTAATGGTGGCCGCAATGTCTTCTCCAATGTCGAAGGCTTGCTCTCGTGTACGGCCCTTCAGATAAACGAACAGGCTGTCTGTATCTCCATACACAACTTCAGCACCCCATTTTTCTACAGAGTGAATGAGCGCGATTGCCTTCTCCAAAGTTTCCCTCCCTGTCTGAACAATGCTGTCCGCAATTTCGGAGCATGGCATTCTCCCCGAGAAAGAAGCAGATGTGTAGCCATATGTGACGTTTGCAATGAGTTTGAGGGCAAGTTGCCTGTTATTTAGAAGCCTCTGCAACACTTTGTCTTCCTTGTCGACTTTCATCCCACTCTTAACCATAACTCTTGTCTCCAGAATTTCGCAGAGCATTTTCGCAAGTAGAGACTTTCTGATTTCGGTCTTCGCGTACATAATACCATTCGGAGCGATGTTGATGTAGTCTTTCAAGAGTTCAATTAGTCTTTGTTCCCGACGGTAGTTTGTAAATCCCATCTTGTTCGTCCCCCGCCAGTTGACAACTCGACCCAAGAAAGTCGAATAACAGTAATTGTAAGCAATCATGCAGCTAGGATAGAGGGACTGAAAGTCGAGGACCAACAACGGACTTGTGTAAAAGTCACTTTGGGGCTCCATGACCAGGGGCAAACATTCCAGGGCATTTTGACCGCCAACTTGCCTTCGACTAGGAGACACGAGAATGAAATTTTCTGGTTTGGCGATTCTAAACATCAGCGATTCCACCTTGAACTGTGACCCTCGGGAAATCACAGAGAACCAATCCACACCCAACAAACGCGCTTGTTCACTAGTCCTCGGAACAAGCTCATTGGCCTCGAGAATCTCGAGATCGAGCTGCACTCGAGTGTGGTAGTATTCGATGACCTTCGCTAAATCACGAGGATTCTTGCTCTTGTACCATCTCGTTAGATCACGAAACGCGTAATGCGGTATCCGCTGATGAAGGAGATGATAGACCACATTCTCCATGGTATACTGGAGCAAATTAAGCTCTCCACGCATGGCACGCCAGATGTTGATCGTGTGTCGGCCCGTCACCCGGATTGTGGATGTGTGGTTGAATCCCCATTTATCATCATCCTTCCCGAACCTGCCATGAGATTGAGATTTCATTCTCGAAATTTCATCGCAGAGGTTGAGATCGTATTTGGTTCGTGCGCGTTCGATGAGGAAGCCCCAGGAGTTGTTGTGCACTTCATAGCCAGTGAGGATATCAGGGTCATAATGGCGAACAATATCTACCAATCTCGTAAGGACATCAAGCTCGGTTGGTTCTTCTTCAACATCAAAGTGAACGTTTCGACCTATACGTTTAGCTGTATGCGGTTCCTCCGCCACGGCCAGAATCCCCATGTGTAGATCCTCTTTGCCACCATTGCCTTCAAAATCTTCTTCATCAGTATGAAGGGACCAGAAGATGCAAGCAATAGCGTCTTCATCTGGGTTGGGAGCAAGAGACCCTCGTGTGTTCACATGAACTTCTAGGGCCATCACACTCATATATTGGGTTTCATGCTGTACACTGGTGCTAGATTGTTTCTGAGAATACTTGAAACTATGCTTGTTTTTCTGGGTTGGTCCATCAATCTGAGAAAGTCTTTTCGTTTGTGTAGTTGTCCTGACTGGACCAGAGTCCGGAAGCCTGCTACGGCTTCGTTCCTGTTCAAGCCAGGCTTCCACATCAATCTTTCGCGGAGGTGGTTGGGCAATGCTCCATTCAGACATGGTACACCGCTTCCTCCTTTGGTTGTCTCTCGTCTGTTCAGTACTTTGGTCAATGAGTATCGTTGACTTTCTGCCAAATGTTGCTAAAGAGGATCCCGATGAGTCGAAATCTGGCAAATATGGCACAGTAACACTCTCGAGTTTGAATTCTCGCCCGGCATATTCTCGGGCGAGTTCGGGAACGTCTTCTTCATTGCTATAATAAGCTTCTTGGTAAATAACATCTGGCAAACCTTCCTTCCACATGGTTGTTTCAACATGCTTAAAGCTTGGTGGTCGGGTCTGATAGGTATATAATGAAGGATGAGGCGTGGTGCCCTTGAAACCTTTGGGCAGAAGTTCCTTTGGCAAGGCTGAAGTCCGACTTCTCTCTGTCGCAGATGGGAGAGGAGTCCGTTGTGAGATCGAGATTGGGCTTTGCGCTGAAGTTGTGGGGGGCGATGTTTCCATCTTGTCAAGGGAAGATTGTGAGAGCTTCTGAGAGGCTGTGCTTCTCTGACTAAGACGTAAGATTGTATTGGGGTCATTGGAGTTTTTGACCGATGGAAAAGGAAGCGAGGACTGTTGTGATGAAGCAGGTGGAAGAGCGCTTTCATCTGCCTGTTCTTTATGCTTAATTGGCTTATCATCATTCTGTCGAATCTTTGTTGCAACACTATTTCCTTGCGTAAGATGCGCTTCAAATTTTGACGGTTCTGCAGCTCGAAGCGGATCGTCGGCGTCATTGGCGAAGTCTAGATCATCTTCGGACCCAGAGAAGGTCATTTCCGGTAAGAGGTCGTCCTCATCGACCAGCTGCTTACGCTTTTTCCTGGGCTTGAAATCGAGTATCTTGGAAAGTCGTGTCCGTTTCGACCCATTCGTGTCTGTGATTGTGTGCTGGACATATTCATTGGGGATATCAAAAGTATCCTCCGCGAAATGGATGGAATCACCGGCAAGTCGAATACCGTAATCTGCATATTCTGACGAGCTGATTGGGGTTGTAACTTCTCCATCTCGACCCTTTTGCTCGAAATTGCTTTCGGACTCGCCAGAACCGATAGCAGCAGGCGCATTTGAAGGTTGGCTTTCTTCCGAGCTTCGATCGAAGCCATTGGTGATGTCTTCCATGCGTGATACGTCAACAACTGCTAGACTTTCGCTTTCGGCAATATGGGCTACGATTTCTGTACTGTAGTCTGCACCGCCAGGCTGCACGGTCACCAAATTTCCTGGATAGAGATCTTCCACACTTTCCAGGGCTGTCACGACAGTAGCCTCAAGTGATATCGGTTTGACATAGGTCTCAAACTTGAGCTCAAGCTTGTCACTCTGCTCAAACTCCGCCTTGGCGAGCTGGGTAACCTTTTGGCGGAACTCTTCTTCATGAATCCAACCACCATCAGATGTATTCCTGGGATCAGCAGACATTGATATTAGAACTTCGGCGGGAAATGGGGTGCTATTGGGATCTCTCAATCCCATCTTATTTTTCCTTCTTCGGGTTTCGTCCTTCCACAAGCCTGCCATGCTCTGTACCAATTTGGCTTCAATGGGAAGTGGATTAACGCGCTCAATGAAATCGTGGTGAATGTACCGAGGCTCAATACCTCTGCGATTTGTAATATCTTTGACATGGATATCTACCTCCAGGGCGCAGTGACTCTGTTTGGGAAGTGATATCTCATCTGAGATGTCTTCCGGGGAGATTGATCTGTCATGCCATTGATGCATGATATTAGTCAGGTCGAGATACTGAGGTACAGGTCCCCGAAACTTGACCTTTGCACATTCAATGTAGCCACACCCATATAGATTGTAGTCGCACATCCACTGGGCAAGATACTGCATATGGCTTTCGTATGGTTGCAGGACTCGCTTCATCACGGCACCTTCCCGGAGAAGATCGGCTAATCTGGTCATATGCAACGGATTGAGCAGATAGATCTTGAGATAAAACCTGTAGCCAACATGAAATCCATAGAAGGGCACGCCCTTAACAAGCGAAATATGTGCAACATAACGGTGTTTGCCTTCATATAGATTCTTGCGATAACTCACGGCCAGCGCATGGTCTATTGACAGTTGTAGGGTTCGGATTGCGGCCTCGACATCTTGTGGAACCAGGCTGCCACTGTACTCAATATATGTGTATTGAAGAGCCCCATGAACGTGCATCAGCACCTTCTGGCCAGTCTCGGTTGCGCCAAACACGCGAATAACGGAGATCCTTGGCCTTTCTTTGGCATTGTCGTGTGTGCTCCCCAGAGGAAGCGGAGGATCGAACTCATCAATGGGACTGGCCTGGTAGTAGTCGAGGCAATTGAGACGAACTCGAAAGGGATCCATGGGGATCATAGGAGGAACGGGACAGACGCGTCTTCATCGCAGGAGAAGTGGCGTCGCTTCATTTTAAAATGACCTCTGTCTCAGTTTGTGGGAGAGCAGATGCCATGGATATGTCACGCGGGATCGATTCGACGAGTAAGTGCTGTCCAAAATCCATCTCTTCAGCAACATGAGGTTGCATTGTTATAGTTTGTTGTTGTTGAGGGTGAATGTCTGGAAAGCAGCCCTCACGAGGCTGAGAAATCAGACATGTGACGTGACGTAAGGCTGCGTCGATCTCGGCCACTTACTCCATCTCTGAATTTCTGTCTCCGCCAGCACTCACTTTCATTTCGCTCTTGCTCCATCTTCCAACACAATAAACTGTCTCGCACCCCTGTCGCCGACATTATAACCGCGTGGTCTCCTCTCCTCTCCGCCTCTGACTCCCTCTCACCTAAAAAATGTCGTCCAACAAACCTCCTGGGCCGGATCAGTCCCGTAACGAATACATTCCATCCTTTATCTCCAAGCGACCCTTCTGGGCCGAAACAACCAGTGATGCCGACTATCTCGAACATCAGCGTCTACAGACTGAATCAAAAGACACCCTCGACAAGGCAAAATGGTATGATCGGGGCAAGAAACTCGGTCCTGCGGCGACCAAATTCCGGAAAGGTGCCTGCGAGAATTGCGGTGCCATGACTCATAAGACGAAAGAGTGTCTCAGTCGGCCTCGCAAACTGGGAGCCAAATGGACGGGCAAGGACATTCAAGCTGATGAGATTGTCGAAGATGTGAAACTTGGCTGGGACGCCAAACGAGATCGCTGGAACGGCTACGATAATCGAGAATATGGTGCTGTGGTCCAGGAATATGAAGAACTCGAGGCATTGAAGCGTGCTGCGGCCACGAACAAATCAAAAGACGGTACCCACACAAGTGGTGAAGCAACATCTAATGGGGACTCGGACGCCCGGTATGGCGAGGAAACAGACATGGGACGGTCACAACCAACCTCGACGCGGCAACTCCGCCTCCGAGAAGACACTGCCAAATATCTGATCAATCTCGACCTCGACAGCGCCCGATATGACCCGAAGACGCGATCGATGGACACGTCGACGCAAGCTCTTTCGACCGACGGCGACACCTCCGTTGCAGAAGAGAACTTCATCCGCCCATCCACCAATGACAGTGCAGCCTTCGTCCGCGCGCAGCAGTACGCGTGGGAAACCCAAGAAAAGTCCAATCCTACCACCAAGAAGCTTCATCTCCAAGCCAACCCGACCGAAGGCGAAATCCTACACAAGAAACTCACCATCGAAGCAGCGGAGAAGAAAGCCGCGGCGCGCAAGGCACTTCTAGACAAATACGGCGGGTTCGAACACCTACAAGAAAACAAACTAGCCAAATCCAACGCCGTGCTCGCCTCCGAGCGCTACGTCGAGTACGACTCCCATGGACACATCAAGGGCCAACCGGTACATAAAGCGCGGTCCAAGTACGCCGAGGACGTCCTGACGAACAACCACACCAGCGTGTGGGGCAGCTGGTGGCGCAACTTCACCTGGGGCTACGCCTGCTGCCACAGCACGGTGAAGAACAGCTACTGCACCGGCGACGCGGGCAAGAAGGCCTTCGAGGACACCGAGGGCCTGCGGACGGGCCAGGCACTCCTGGAAAACGGCGGTCAGCAGGACAACCAGGAAAACTCCGAAAGCAAAGGCAAGCTCACCCTCGAGCAGCAAGGCGAAGACCTTGTGGAGCGCAAACATACCCAGCAACTCGACACCACCGCCATTTCAAGCATATCCCCAGCACCAACATCACAATCTATGGAAGACAACACCGCACCGACAACAGCAACGTCGACGGCCAAAAAACGCACTATCCAAGAAATACAATCCGGCATCTCAGAGGAAGACCTCGAGTCGTACAAGCGCAACCGCCGAACCGCCGACGATCCTATGGCGAATATGCTGGGCCGGGATGAATTGGTGCAATGATGATGGCGAACCAGTACAGGAAATTGGGCAGGAAACAGGCATTTCATGACCGGAATCTCGACACCCGTCCCCCTTCCATTTCACGTGACCTCGCGCCGCTTTTGCTCAGGCTGCTCGCGTCCGGCTCAACGTCGGCTCAGGCCCGGCTGGGCCAGCTCACCTTGCTGACCACGTCGGGGCGGTGGCTCAAAGGTCGTCCCTCCTCCATACCGTCAAGTTTTAACGAGGTCCCCAAAACGAGGTCCCTAGGGGAGGGTTCCCTGGAGACGCACCACGGCACGTTACCTCCTCGACCCTGCGAGAACGAGTCGGTCTTCATGAGCGTGATGGGCCTGGCACGACGTGCGCTTGTGTCCCTGGCGCGAGGGAGGGTTCCCAGAACTAGTCCCCCTGCCCCTTCCAATGTCTCGTTGGGTTTCTGTCTCCTTTGTCGTCTATTCTCCCCTTCTCTCCGTGTCTTCCCTCTCCTTTTTGTCGAGAGACTTGATCTTTGTTAGCTCTTTTCCCGTCCTCTGACCGGGCCCTAGTACGATTTCCGCTTTCCCTTCTTGGCATAGATATAGGTCCTTGGAACACTCGGGAGCCATTAACTATGAGCATCAAGAACGAGAAAAGAAGTTGGAAGGGTCTGAACCTAGACGAGCAGATAGTGGCGGCATTGGAGGATGGGCTCTCCGGGGACAGGTCGGGGATCGACGGGAAGCCTGTTTATGTAGAACTTTGCTAAGAGTAGTAAACCGCGGTACGAGGCGATGATGAGGGTTTAGAAAGCGTAGGCCAACTAGGAAGCCCTCCTCGAGTCTGAGAGAAAACTGATAAGGACTAGGTACGAAAGGAAATATTAGGGGTCCGATCCTCGCAGCATAGAAGTTATGAAATACTTTGCCGAAATGGTCGGACGCGCGACGCCTGGCAGGCTAGACAAGGAAAAGACCTAGGATAAGAACAAGAAACGGGCAACGGTCAAGACGGTCCGGAATAAGATTCGAAAATTTATGTCGTAATGGTAGAGGGAGACTCACCTTACCATTCCTAAAGACGTTCATAACTCGATGGCCCCTGTAAGTGTGTCGAAGGGCTTCTCGAGCTAGAGCGCCAGTGTTGGAGGATTTGGACTGTACAACTGTACGGGCCAATCGATACAGGCAAGTCAGCGTAGTTGAGATTTCTGTCTTCTACTCTATGGTCACCGTTCTGGTTTACATAGGAAATCACTAGGCAAATGACCTCCTGGAGCCTATTTTCCATAATTCCAAAGCATTCCAGAGGCTGTGGCACTGACTCATTGCTCGTCGTCATGAGGTTGCCTGCGCTAGTCACTTTGGCGCCAACAAGCGACAACATCCCTGAAATGTCAAGAAACTGCTTGACACCGTACCGCACTCGAAGAACCCGAATTTGAGATCAAGTCGAGGCTTGCTCTACGATGAAGCAGCTTTTCTATGTCAGGGAACAACACGTTGACTTATAGTCTTTGCTTTTGAAGCAAGCAATGATAGTACTTTTCTTCTCCTATAGACTCAGCATCACCTCTCGCGCCTCATGCCGGCGCATCCTTCCTCCGAGACTCGTACGCCTGGCGTATTCTACGCGCCAGGTGAGAGACGACATCGGCGTTAAACTAGGGAGGTTTCGTTAAAGAGTCCCGACTTGCACGTGTCGCTTCCCTTGTTGACTTTATTCTGGTTTCGGTTCTTGTGGAGGTTATTACCGACACAGTGGCCGGCGCTCCTGGTGACGTACAAAGTGAGGGGTCTTTCTTGGCGTGTCAAGAGGAGTTCCTTCGACGCCGAACTTACCTCGCGCCTCACCCGGCCGGCGCCGCTTTAAATCCCGCTCACTCCCCGCTCACCTGCCCTCACCCAGGGAGAATTCGACCTAGTATTGAAGGGCGATTTTCCTGTCAGAACCCCGGTGGATTAATGAAAATATATTGCTAAGTCCGGCGGAGGTCTCCGATGTTGTCCCAAGGTATCGACACTCTTTTTCCTAGTGGGGGAAAGTCGAAGTATAATCGAATTGCGGAGTAGTACTTCCATCAAGGCGCTTGGCACGGAACTCGGCAACGAAGCGATCACCGCCGACTAGATGGCAACGAAGAAAACAATGGAGTGTGCGAGGAAAAGGTCCGAGCTGATTGCTGAGAAGCGCTTGCGTTGCCCTCAGGCCAGTCAAAAGAGGGACGGCACGACCGGCCAGCGCTGGTAGGAGCTTTGAAGAGGTACAGAAGAGCATTCTCGCATGTCAACTCCGCAAAACCCTCCCCGGACTTCGTTAGTATGACCCGCCGAAGCGGTACAAAATGGCTCTGCCGTTCTCCACCGAGGCTGAACCAATATGCGATAACTACTAGTGCAAGTTTCTCCAAGATGTACGGTTGTGGGAAACGGCCGGCTATCTAAATACAAGACTGGTTCTGAGGACTGCACGATGTTCACGTACCAGGAGCGAATGGAGAGCCATGGCATGGTTTCCCCAAGAAACATATCTTGGTGAGTCAACCTACGACCGGGATCTCCTCCTCCCTCACTCAGAAAAGGGGGCTGCGCGAGGGGAGACGCAGCCATTAATTTCGCTACCAAGCTCTTCTGAAGCCGAGGCCGGAAGGGCACAGTTTATGTAACAGTCACCGTCGCCCGCCAAACGAACGTTCGTCATATTTCAGACACAATTCTCTGAAAGTATTTCGCACCTAGGCATCATCATGTGGTTTCTTCCCACCGCGGCAATATTCTTGCTTCCTTGGGCAAGTTTGACGTCAGCACAGGACGTCTGCTCTGCCGATAATGCTACTGTATTTGCAATTGAAGTGAGTATCGCACACGAAACTGTGGAAGACTTTCGGTGCCTCGATTTTGCTGAAGCATTCTCAGTGGGCTGTACCATTGCTTGCATTCGAAAAATACTGGCATGGGCCTCAGAATAATCCCACTCCAACGGTGAACGTTGTTCGCACGCCTACTGGGATAAGCTCCCCTCAGCGAACCGTCGTGAGACGGCCTTCCGTTGACGCCCTGCTTGCGTCAATCACCTACGACATATCCCAGGACGATCTGCAGGTGACAGTCCCTGCTGTGGATGACCGACGCTACTATTCCATTTCATTCTACGATATGTGAGAATTAACCGAAGTCGCAAGTCCGAGTCGGATCTCAAGAATCTAATGAATGAAACAGCTTCGGAGACAACTATTATACCTTGGGATCGCTCTCTCAAAGTTCACCGGGGAATTATCTACTGACGTTGAACTCCTCGGCTGTTTCAAGCGACAATCAAACTAGCAATCCAAATTACCAGGATACTATCTACGCCCCCAGCACTTTTGGTACCATCGTCTGTCGCGTGATGCTGAGAAATTCAACGACAGACGTAGCGGTGGTCCAAGAAATTGAGGCCCATTTGCTATCAACACCAGTCCCTCGACAGGGCTCGGCGTCTGGCCCGCCACTTACACTTGCTATGTTTGCTAATTCATCTTCGGGACCTGCGGAGCACTTGATGCAGTTGGCTGGCCGTTTCTCTCAAGCTTTTCCCAATGGTAGTCCAGAGACTCTAGTTGCATCGACACAAGATCAGCTCTCCTTGGCTGGAGTCAACGATGGCAACTACTCCAGGCCAGACTGCGTTAATCTTACTCGTGACTACGAGATAGTGCAAGCAGCTATGTCCGGATATCTTCGTCAGCCAGGCAGGACACTTGATATGGGAAACAATTGGACTTTGGTAAACTCTCCGGACGAATACCATTTCGTCGACACTGTGGAGGGACTGGCTTGGATTTCCAACTCTGGTTATCTTCCCCTCATGCCGCGGGAAGCCCTCTACCCATTTCTCGGCTTTACTCCTCGACTTGAATCCGGTGAAGCTTTCCTTCTGAAGTTTTCAGGAAGACCACCCGTGCGGCAAGACGGGTTTTGGAGTGTCACAATGTACTCACAAGACGGTTACTTGGTCGACAATCCAATCGACAGATACCTCATCAGCGATCGCAACGAGCTAAGCTATCCGAATGGCACATTGGTCTACAGTTCGGGTGGTCAGGCATTTAGTGCCCCTGTCACCGCGATTGAAGACGCCCCATTCCAGATTCTCATCCAAGCGGACGCCCCACCCCAGAATTGGACTTCAAATTGGTTACCCTCGCCACAGGAACCGGGAAATTTCACTGTGGCACTGCGCTGGTATGGACCCACTGAGCCGCTCAAGGATCATAGCTATATATACCCTCTCCTCGAAAAGGTTGCAGCTGTTTCGGCCCAGGCGAATTCGACAGGCGCGCCATCCTCCACGCCCTCAGCATCTGCCGGCCAGAGCGGCGCAACCTCAACGCCAAACAGTGCACCCACAATGGGGATCTTTGCGATCGGTAACCAGGGAACGGCGGTGCTTCAGTTGGCGATTTTGGTATCATCAATCGTCTTCTACCAAACATTTGTCTAGTGATAGGCCCTGATGAACAAAAAAAAAGAGAAAAACTGTTAGTTGGCCTTAGCTGTATACCGGTATGACCAAGCTATAGGCTGCGAGTTCTCTGCTAGATGGCGGCTAGACACACGGTCTATAACAGAGATTACTCACGTCGTTAAGGAGAAAGCGTTCCCCCATCTCCCAGTAAGCAGATAGGTACCGCGTAGCATGCTAGCGTGGTGCTACTGGGTGAGCACAGGGCGGCGCCACTCTAGTCCTGACGCGGGGTGCGCGCGCCCTGAACTTACCTCCTCTTGGTGGCCAGGGGGGCGCATGCCAGCCAACTCTTTATTGCAGGCGCAGTACTCTCGCGCAATGAGAGTCAGAGCCGAAAATATCTATAAAAGCCGGTTATTTCGATTCGTTGCAGCATTTAAGATGTCAAACGTATCGTTTAATTTCACCGACCTAAAGGCTATCCGCCCAGCTTTATCGAGCCTTCGGTGCGGAAATGGCAAGCATGATTGCACAATAACTCGGAAACACCTTGCGCCTCTCGGCGACCTTGCGGCTAGGCTACATGCCACTCCACATGCGCGACAAAATGCAAAAAGACTGGCAACCGGTTGCAGGGACCTTGTGGTTCTGCTTCTCTAACCAGGCGATAGCGCCGAAGACGTTTCGTACCAAGAGATGCTTGAAAGTTCTACTGCTCTGCAATATGTTGATCGCTCTCTTCGTCTTGCATTCAATGGACGACGCAATCTGGACAATACTGTTGTGCTCGATATCAGGCCGTATTGCAGCAAGAAGAGGAAGAACGCATCGCCGATGATGAACAAGCTTACACGGCAACTGAAGAAATCTTGACTTTGCTGCGTCCAGACCTTGTTCTGATCTGTCAATGCCAGACGTCCCATTTGGTAAACAGGTTTGCCACTGATTACTGTTCATCTGTGGAATCAAGCGGGGATCTCTATTTATCTGTTCTACAGAGTGGCCATAAAATAGTGAAGATCAACAGCTTCCATCCAATGTATTTTGCCCGAACAGACAAAGACAAAGAACCCCTGGAGAGAATAATGCGAGAGTATCTGTTTGATACTACCTTTCTGGTTGCTGCCAACTTTCTCGCAGGCCGTCGACTTTCTGGCTTCGGCATGGCCAATCTGAGGAAATGTGCATTACACGGGCGAGTGATGAAATTCACGACCAAAGGTGTTAGAATTACGTACCAGTGGACAGATGAAGATGATGTCGCTAGTCCCGGCCTTATCCAAAAGCTTGAAGGACTGGGTCTAGGTGCAAACGTAATTACCTGGTTTCGTCTTCCCTACATTCTCACGCTGATATGATAATAGGATAGCCGCTCCGCGGAACCTGATCAAATCCTAAGCATAAATCTCCAGAAGTACGACGGCTTTGTGTCCATAAGTGACGGGAGTGGAATTGAACTGAAAGAGGACGTGTTTTGAGGAAATAGGACATCTGTTCCCAAATTACCGACCGAATTGGTACCAATGGACGACATACGAGTAGATCTTTCGCCTCCCAAAGTCTTTGAATATCCGAACCGGACTGTTGTTACTAGACAAGTCTTAATTCTCTTAATGTCTCGGTTCTCACACCTCTAGTTCGACAACCTAAACGAAACGAACTGGACAAAGGCATTGCAGCCACTACTCGTCAAACAGCCGGAGCTATATGATACTTTTAACGCATAGTGTGGATGGATGCGAAATTGGAACATGAACTGCGGAATGAGAAGACTGCGTTTGTCCAGCATCCCATGTCGTCAGGCCCCACCAATGCTGCTTGTATCACAATATACTGTTCATTTGGCTGTTTGATTGCCTTATAGGCTGGTCTTTTCGAGATCCAAGGCGATATAGGGATTGATGCTAATCGGAAATCGCCACTAACCTGACATGCGTTGTTACGAATTGAATACAACGGCATGGTGTTACAGGTGATGTCTAGTGCTTTCGCTCAACTCGTGCTTCAAACCTATCTAGCTACGGCAACTTCACAGTTAATTCTGACTCAGCTCCTCTAGAGTGGGGAGCACTTTGTCCAGCCCCTGAAAACAGCTCCTAACGCAGCCTGTGAGGCGATTTACTGTATTAGAATTGTCGCAAATCCGACTTTGAAGCTACTAAATAAAGTTATTTTGGCGACAGGCTTCTTCTTCCGCAAGTTGTCTATGTTTGGATTCAGATGTCGCTTTATCTTTCCACTAATATAGCTCATGGAAAAGCCGGGTATTATCGTTTTCAAGCTACTCAATTTTGCATAGAATCTAATTTCAGGACATTATAGCTATATACATTATTAGATAGTATCTCTTCGAGTACTAATATTACTTTTCTATACCGAGACGATAGAATCCGAAGTATCTACTAAGATCAGGGTTAACGGAACAGCCTTAAACGTCTTATCCACTCCTTCACATAATTCTCTATAGGCGCCAGCAGAGTAATCACTTATATTTTTGGAAAAGAGCGCAGTTAGCCTGCTCTGAACTTTGTCTTCACCCGTGTCTATAGTGGCAACAACTCGGTCGACCTTGCCAGGCGCTAAAGACAAATCACACTCTTCTTTGGATCTCTCTGAGCCGAATAGAATGAATTTCCACCTATATAAATCTGTTGACGCCTAAATGACTATCGATGAAACAAGCTGGCAGGCAACCTTGTGATGACGATCAATGAGTCAGTGCCACAGCCTTTGGAATACTTTGGAATTATGGAAAATAGGCTCCAGGAGGTCATTTGCCTAGTGATTTTCTATGTACACCAGAACGGTGACCATAGAAGACAGAAATCTCAACTACGCTGACTTGCCTGTATCGATTGGCCCGTACAATTGTACAGTCCAAATCCTCGAACAAAATCAGACTCTTTTAGCCTGAGACGGACCTACGACGGCGCTACTTTAATTCCTAATTTGTTCTCTTATGATGAAGTTAGCTGTGGCCTCCCGCAGTGGTCATTTTACATACTAATATGTTTGGCAGGAAGCTAGTATGATAAGCCAGCGTGACAGTTCCCAATCGGGCTTAAAGTACCACGAATCATAACTCAACCAGAGACCAGAGGACAAGTAGATTTATTCAGAGGCTAATTGTATAATCGCCGATTTCACAGAAAAACATTTTCACATTGCCCCTCGAAGGATTCATCCTAGTAGTGGCTTCATCTCAGACTCCGTCTCGTTTGATACACTGGCTTCGTATGCGGCGTCATCGAATAGTAGTGTTAATGATTCGCTATCTGAACGAGAGTCGTTATAGATGTCCGGTAGGAATCTAAGAGACCCGTCGTCACAATCGTAGTAGGGTGGGGAGTCTTGGTGGAAAGGAACGTGAGGATTTAATTCTGGACTAGAGTCTAACCAGAATACTCGATCGTATAAACGACTAAGGTAGACCTTTAGACGACTTCGGATGGGCTTTCTCGGAGTGTGAGGTCTTGTAGCCCTTAGGAAGCGTCGCGAGGAGATTAAAGTTCGTATGGTGAGGTTCTAGAATTGCGTTGCCGAACAGACAATACAAGTACGGTATCTTCACTTATATTTCAAGTAGTTGTCCCAGTTCAGGGCACGTCCAATAGCGATTATTCCACCGGGACGAAAACAGGGCCACGAGGGGAGGGACCCTAAACGAGTCTTAGGTGAGTCGATCCACGCAATACGTCTCTAATACCTTACACTTCCTATGGAAGCTTCTGTAAATAAGCCTTTTTACCGGTGCCCCCCCACCCATAGATACACCTTGTCCTAAAGGTTAAACTTGATCGAAGGTATCTAGCTAGCTTATCTATCTCATTCCTTCAGTAGTTAAAGCCTTATAGCCTGAAATCTCATTTCGACTTTCTTAAACAACGCTCTATCTCTTTGACTAAATCTCTTAAAGGGTTCCGGGTGATGCTTCTTAGGGTCCTAGCATGGCTCTCTTATTATTTGGGTGTACGGTTCTAGTTCCCCTCTGGAATAGCCTAATAGATCGGCGTGTTGGCGCGCCTGGCGTCTCATTAGAACTGAACCCTTAAAGTCGTAGAGCTCGTGAGAACTTACCCATATCGATTGCCCTAATACCTCACTTGCGAAACAATATGCAATAGTAGCTGCAAAACTAGGGAGGCTGCTTATAAATCGTTCATCTCTTAAATTACTTCCAGGGCGTAATAGGCTAAGACGGTTAATTATGTCTGTCTATTGTTAAATTTATTGATCCTCTATAGGAAGCAACTTGGCCCTGGCTAACTAAGGTTATAGTCTAACCGTCGAAGGACAATACGCTCCGTTTAACGCACCTTTTTAGGTTCAAGATCGAAAACTTTAATAATATCCTACATCGAATAGTCTAAGTCCTGTTGTTCATATTTGAGCGATATGATTAGTAATGCAGCTCCAAGAAGCATTAGCCGGTCAGGAGTTACTTCCATTAAGGACAGGGAGCGGTCGATAATATTAACGGTTAGATATAAAACTTCATAATAGAGGCCGAGGTAGTTTCGAACCTCGACCAACCACGCCACTAGTTATATTCGTATCTCCTAGTCAAGGCCACGTTGTTTATTCATATAGTTTAAGTCTAGAAGCATCTCGGTTTCTTTGTGCATAAGGTATTCGAAGATGTTATTTGCATAGTCTTAGAAAACACGAGTCTCGAGAGACAGCATTTTCGGTTATTATGATACGATTCAGAATTACTACTTGAACACTAATGACGAGAGCTATAAAGTGGGTAGAATATAGCTATATTAAAGCGGGCCGTCAGGGGCCTCCTTTCCGGCCCCTCGCTTCGATTACTGCGAAAGCAACTCCATTTATATCTTGTGGTACCCAAGACGTCCCCTTAACAGTGTCGGTGATATTCAGAGATGTGTATATCAGAGAATTAGTTAGTTCACCTGTCCGATTAGCAATTCTCTAGATAATCGATAATATAGTTGCAAGGAGTATGGCAGCCACTGCCGCCCATGTCATGCCGAAGAACATAGGTCCTTTATCTGCTCCAATGCCGATGCTGTCCCCAAATTTACTAATAACGTCGACGGCTTTCGTGATGATTATAGTTGAAATAACGGATCAAACACTGGTTGCCACAAATGTAAGCTAGAGGACAGTGATATTAGAACGGAGAAGAGAGAACAGCACGGATTGAAGCTTACCGAAAGAGCCCCTAGAGTAAAGCATCCGGGAAAACGCACATTAAAACATATCGTCCAGAAGGAAGCGAAAATTTGCTACACTTTCAGATATGATACCGATGATATAAAACATACTCATTGCCATGCCAGCCACGTTGAGTGCACGCTCTGTATCCTCGATCCCAGTCGGCTAATGAAGATCTTCCAGTGTAGTACTATTTGGAAAATAGGAATCAGTGATCGCAGTCGGTTTAAAGTGAAATAGTGCTGTGTGGTTGGAGCAGCCGATAATCTCGTTCGTTGGGTCCAATATAGTTGCATTAGGTCTATACATACCTTTGCAGTATCCCGTGAGATATATTAGGAAGAAATCAGGTAAATCTAGGGCGTTAGCAATATTAGACCCTACATCGCTAATGAGGTTATTGATGTCCCCCTGGATGTCGTTAGCGAGATCGCCTAAGATACTCCCATCGCCATCGGAAGTATTAAATAGGTTGGTGTGGCCGATTCGTGATATGTTCAACTAGATTCTATCAGTAGATGGATTGCTTTAGAAAATCCAATTTTGCTCCTACTATCATTAAATCCACATTCTGAAGGAATGATTTGCTTGAGCCTGCAAAGAGACAAAACACTGAAATAACGAATGCCGTAATCGTGAAGCCAACTGCGATCACTAAAGAAGTTCTCATCTTAGACTGACAAAGTGAGTAACTTAGTTAGAATATGTTCGAGAGAGCTTTAAGACAACTACCTTGAGACGGAAACTTTCGGGCTCAATATAAATCAAGCTATAAATAGTAAAGGACATAGTAGGGACCATTTATGGGACCTCCTATAAATCAAAACTAGGGCCGAAAAGGAGAGTAGTATTTCGAGATTACTTTTTCGAGCTTTGCTTTCGAGTAGGTTTAGGGATCCATTATAATAGGGTCTTAAACGTTATTAAAATTTATTTACGATGGATAGAGTGTTATTATGAGAGATTTATCATCTAGATAGTACCCTTCAACAGTCCTAAATATACGATACTGCTCGTGCATCTCTCGGGTTACTTCTATACAACCTGCCCGAAAACTCGCATAGAACGTTTCTTCCATCTGGGTTTGATGTTGGAGGTAGTTAGATGGAAGTGTCAATTGAAAAGAGAGCATATAGAGAAATTGAAAATTTCCTAAAACTACTTAAAGTGTCGGGACCAACTCTCTCTAAGCCCTCATGAGATTCTAGATAATATCGATATGGCTCTAACTTTTAAGCCGAAAATCTACGGCTATGTATCGAATCATATCTTTATATCCTTGAAATCTCTTGGGTAAGCGTTTTATCGCCCGAGAAGTAGTAGTTTGTAGGATGAAGCGATTCCTTTCAAAAAAATAATGAGATCCCTTCCCGCCTAAAGATGCGGTAGGTTCGTAGTAAAGAGCAGTCCAAGACCAAGCATTTGGAAAGAGGTATAGGGTTGTCATAAGCGAAAACAAAACGATCAATTATAAGCCTTACTTCCGGTGGGGGGTCCCACAATCGCTTCTGTGCTACTGCTTGGATGGGTTGCCTCATAGGAGCGACTAGCTTTTGTCTATAGTTAACGACAACAAACGAACAATCCTGGACTTTTGTGGAATATCAGTCTGATAATCTCTAAGATCGCCCTTCGTTCTGTTTCAGAACTTAGTGATATATAGATATCGGACGCAGAACTGTCATAAGGATAAGTGCTGCGGTGTTGTGTTATCGTGGTCTTACTAGATGTCAAAGGGCATAGTGGGTCGTGGAGGTACCGACCAAGGGGAACCTAATCTACGGCGAAGCGGGCGCCGGGTCCACCCGGGGGGACCAAGCAGGGACCATATACTATTATATAATATAGGTTGCAGCACGTGATCGCATGACGAGGGCCGCCGAGTCAATTCTTTAGTGATATATCCATTACGCTTACTGTACATAGATTACTGACAACCTGTTATCCTACTACACGTAGTTCACCCTGAGCGAAGGTGAACGATGTTTTGCGCTACGATGAGCAAAATAGTTTTGTGAGACTTAGCCGTTCCTAAGTACAGCATCTTGTAAGATAATGCCTGGATAGCAAAAGCTCTTATGTAAGGCTTAAAATCTGACTTGTCTACAACTTTATAAAAAATTCGAGACAGAATAGCGATGAATGAGCGCAAGGCCAGTGTCCTCTACCTTTAAACGGCGAGAACATGAAAAGTTAAATCTAAAACTTAGATGCCGCTAAAGCCACAGTAGTTCGCTTAAGATTAAAAAATATTGCAAGGAAGTGTGATAGTCGCTTATTCTCAGAGACCCTTCGAAGTTGGGAGTATCTTTAGGGGCAGTTATCTGGGCTAAGTGTTTAAAGCAAGAGAGGGACACACTACGGTCTTCCAAAGTGACATAGGATCTAAACTTTTTGTTTATCCTAGGTATATCACTACTTTTCTAAGTCTTTCCTCCTTCAAAACTGACAGCCCTGGCGTAGGGAAGGGAACGCAATATGCTCGAATTACTCAGGACACATCTTCTGTGCACATTTCAGTAGGCGATCTCCTTCGTGAAGAAACATATCAACCTCGTCTGGGTTCGCCGGCTTTATCAAGGACAGCATCAGAAACTCAGTCATCATTCCGGCCGATTTTTCAGTAGGCCTAATACAAAAGCGAATTGAGGAATCCCAAATGGAAATAAAATGCATTGTTATTTTGGATGGATTTCCGAGGAGCTTAGACCAGGCCCATGCTTTTGAGGAAAAGGTTGTTAGTTTCGATACAACATTAAACTCCTACTTACTGTTAATTATAGATCCGAGGAAGATTCTTTACTATACTTCTGAAATGCTTAGAAGAAGTTCCGCTATATCGCTTAAACCGACGCTCGGAGTCATCTAGCCGGATTGGCGATAATGACGACTCCATGAAGAAACGTTTACGAACATTCTCTCAGGAAAACTTGAAAATTGAAAAGCATCTTCAAAGTAAGGGTCCATTTTGGACGGTATGTAACCCGCAGATAGGGTATTCGCCAGGCTAACTAGCAAAAGATCGATGCTCATGGTTCTGTTGTGGACGAGATCACGAAAGATGTAAGTTTAATAACATGAGAACTACAGTTGCGCGCAAACAATGTAGTGCCATGTCGGTCTTTCCTCTTTACGGCCGGATATTTTCGTTGACGACATATACGCTTCTGTCAATGCCATGCAATGTCGTACTGAACTCGGACAGCTATCTTATCAATATGATGCTAACTAGGCCCGTCAGTGCCGTTGCCCTACTTTTGTCCTTTGCATCCTCCAGGCCGCAGCGGCGCCCGGTGACAGTGGGCATCTATTGGATTTGCGGCGAAATGTGATAAGCTTGCCGCAGAAGAGCCAAGAGGGGTGCAGTCTTGGTATCACGTGACTGGACTGCATGATTCGTTGTCCATGGGTCTTTCAGCATGTATGCGTAACTAGGGGCACGACTAAATGGACATGGGTTGAATAATGCTTGCAGTTCGCTTGCCGTGTTTTTACTGTGATGTGATGTCCAAAGCCATTGGTCCACGTAGACAGATATAGATATTCCCGTAAGTTTTATAGTTGAGCACTATAAAGTATGAGACAGTTATCATGGAGCAAGAATTAAAGTCATCTTCACTCCTACCATTATAAGCATCACAGCCCTTATTCTCCAATAAAATTTCTATACTCACCTATACACGAGCATTCCCGCACCACTCCTTCGTTAATCCTCTTCCCTCTACAGCAAGTTCGCAAACCAACGTTTAATGTGCGCATCGTTCCAGCCTTTACAGGTACCTTATTAGATCGCAGAAGCCGGCTTGAGAGGCTGACTACGGAGACCCTGGTTTCGCCGGCCTCGGGAAGCTCTATCAGATTGATCGAGCTTGAGGGTTTGCACTGTTATCTATCTTTGTGGGCTGAGGCTGGACCGCCTCTCCTCCCGCCAACGTTGTTCAGCGTGTTTGCGAACATAGCGGACATTCTCTGTATACTTATATATCCAACAATTGGGGTCCCAGCTCCCTCTGTCACTTCAACCTTTTGTCATCCGCCAGCAGACCCTTTTAAGACCTAAGCTCTGTCGAGCTAGAATAGCCAATTATAGAGAAAGGGAACTTTTGTGACCATTACGTCAATTTGAGTTATGGGCACTGTAGGCTAGGGCAGAGGCGATAAATTGGCAATTATAGGCGGTGCCGGGAACAGGGCCCCGTGGCCCAGATTGTGGGCGCGACTGATCCGTTGCTCAGGCCGACTACCACCATGCTCAGTCACGTGCAGGAGCATCTCAGATTGAAGCAGCGAGGCTCAGGGCCACGCTCAGGTCCAGAGATGGAGATGGAGATGGAAAGTACTCGTGTCGAGATTCCGACCTCGAAATGCCTGTTTCTCGTTGCAACTGCATTTCTACTATATTGCATGTCCCAGTACCAAGGCTATACCCTCGTGCCACTGGGACCAAACATTACTCGGGTAGGGGATGTTTTTTCTTGTCTAGCGTTCAGAGCGAATTGTAGGCTTATGTAGCATTGTGATGTACTCGTACACAACTTGACTGGAATAATGGCCCAAAAGCTCTACATTTAATTGGTTGGAAGACATTCCGCTACTGGCAGCCGCCATCCACATCCGGATCCCTCTGATTGATGTGAGTTGATCACGTAGGACGCTGAACAAAAAGGAATGCTCCCATACGTGGGCTCGGTAGAATATGACTCATCCAATGACGTACCTGGGTAGGGTTGAAACTAAGGTATACCATAAAAAAGTACTCAATGCTGGTATAAATGTGTTTGTCCGGAGAGAGTGCGCCCGCCTATCACATGGTCGCGATCACCAGGATCAGGATCAGGGTCGTGGTCGCAACCACAGCAACACCAGAACCAGAAACTCTGGCAACAACTCATGGCATAACATATTCTCCCCCAGTCTACTCTCCTCTCTTTTGGCTCCTCGATGCCCGTACGCAACATGCCCCGCTCCCTGTCTGCTTCAATTATGCTGGGTAACGCGGCGCCCCTTTCAACACTGCTTTGAGCAGGCACAGGCTCAGTCATCACAGTCGGAATGCTTGTTGCGCCAGTATCAGACTGTCTCGGCGACTCTGTTGTCATCCGTGCTGGACCTGGGGAATGGCATGATATTGATTGAAGCTCAAGTGCTTCTCTTTCCGCCCTTTGGTGTGCTTTATCAATGGCTCTGACTTGTTCTTCGATTTCGCTCAAACGATCACTTTGCGCTCTTCTGATAAGAGGGTGCGACTCTAGAGTTCTGCTGCCGACTCCATGCCCACTGGCCCTGGAATAAAATCTCCCCCTCATAAAGGTACCATCTTCGGCCTGGGTGAGTGATCCGGGCGTCGCGGAGATATAGATTCCCGGCGGCAGAAAGGCTCTAGGGTTCGCAGGAATATTGGACGGGGCAGTGACAACTCGAGACATCCCAATCATGGCTAATGTGCGCTTGAAAAGCTCCATAGATGAGGGCGTGGGTGCTATTTGAGGTGACAAGGGAAGGGACGCCGCTGCAGGTGATGCCACTGGGGTGGTAGCCTGCGTTTGATCACTATTGACTTCATTCGACTGCTGCCTCCAGATACGTGACCAGAATGACCTGGGTGGAGGAGGGGTCAATCTGAACGCCTGTGCTTCCTGGGAGCCGAAGGATGGCAGACCGGGAGGTGTTGGAGCTCTGTATGGTGGAGTTCGAGGTGGTTGAACGGGGTATTGAGGGAGTTGAGTACGATCGATTGCCCCATCGGAAGTTGATGATGATTGGGGATCGGCAGACACTGTCACAGTATCTCTGAGCATGTGATCTAGATCATTGACCGAGAAGGAACGATTCTGGTACAATGTGGTCCTCACTGCAATCCCCCTGCTCCCTTTGGGGCGAAGACTGGCATAGAGGGAGTGGATTGACTCCTTGGAATGAACGACAGTTGGACATTTCTTGGGGCTGGGGCGTAGCCGAGGTGCAGATTGTGAGGGCCGAAGGGTTTGAATGCTGTTCTGTTCGATGATCGTACTCAACTGGGGTGCTGGCCATTGACTGTGGGGCGTTCGAGGCGATAAAGAGGGAGAAAGCAACTTTTGAGGACTCGGGTCACTCTCTGAGGCTGCCGTGGTGCAGCTCCTGGGGTGCTCAGAAAGACTTTCTTGCGAAAGCACCCGTTCCGCATTGTAGATCGAATCTGCATAGTTTTCTGACCCAAGAGTATCGTCAGAGCTCAACCACTCGTCTCTTAGCGATTGGAAGGATCTCGTCTTGCGAATGGTTTTCTCGGAAGCAAGCGAATAGCTCTCAGGCAGGGAGTAGCCTTCCATGATGGGTAAAGTCTCGTTGGCTGGTGCGATTAGTGGGTGAGACAGGGACAGGAGTTTGTGACCATTTTCTTCGGCGGCTGCATGAGTGTTTGACCAGGAGGACTGGTATCATAGGGGTTGGAAAAGAATGTGAAGCTTATGCTGTTTGATGAGGAGCGAAATTCTGAAGTTGTTAGAAACATCTGTTCGATTCACATCCTGAGCATGGCAAGAGCGTGGGAGAAAGACACAAGAGACAGAAAGGAAGAAGGCTCCGTCGACGGATCAAAATCCTCGACTCCAACAAGGACTATTGATTGCCGTTCACGTTCCAGTCAAGATGCTGCCTATATCCATGTAACCCAACCGATTAACCATCGCTCCTGTCCCGTATACCTTTCTAGTCGCACGGAACTTCCAATAAATGTGCTCTTAAAATAACGAATCCTTTCCCTTTGTCCAAGTTCCAGGGGTAATGGTGGTGGTACAGATTCCGAACTCGCTATGCAATACAGATTAGCATTATCACTGCCATCATGGAGCATTCTCGACCATATAGGCCTCACTCCACGATTTCGTAGGTCGTTAATTGAGTCGTAAGGGTCATGGCGTCTCAGCGCGTTTCTAATCCACCGTTTTGGACTGCTGGTATGGCCTTGCGTGAAGTACTTTGTTGCAGATCCCGTTTTAGGCCCTTAATGATGCCCTCTAATCTTCGTCGTTCTTCCTGCTCCGCCTATGAATCTGTTAGAACCACCTCTAATGATGCCCTCGAGGTCATCACTTACCCTGATCGTCTTGATGTTTTCTGCACGAGTCTCACGCATCATCTTTTTGAACTCATTCTTCAGGACCATGGTCGACATGACTTCAGTGGGAGAGCCCGCCTTGACACCAAGCCATTTCAACTTCTCCTCATTTAGCTGCATCTCAAGCGTCTCGCATCGTTGCTGAAGCGTGTCGACGTTTTCTTCGAGATGGTCACGTTCTTTCTCATCGTCAATACTTTGCTTTGTCATGACTTCGTATTCTTCGATCGTGTCCTTCAATTCTTGCTGCAGTGCGTTGACTTTATTCTGCAATTCTGCACTACCGGCGCCCTTGGTCTGGTGCTGCGTGGTCAAAAACTCTAATTGGCTTTCCAGATCTGCATTGCGGGCGTTCAGATCATCGATTTCTTTCTGAACGGCTGGGTTCAGGGAGACATCAGCTGCCCGTTGAGCACGCGTACCGTATGCCCCATCCAATTCTGCTTTGACCACGGTCAGGTCGGTTTGTGCTCTGGCGACTTCTGACTCGAGGACTTTCACTTCCTCCTTTGCCTTTGCCAGCTCGGCTTCGGCTTGAGCCTTGGCCGCCTCCAGTTCTTGTACTTGCAACAACCCTTGTCGTGAACTTGATTCTGTGCCAGCGCGGAGCTGATTGAACTCTGATAGTAATGCAGCGAACTCGTCTTGTTTGGTCTTCAGGTTCAATTGATGCCTGTCTTCCATCTCTTTTCGCGCTGAACGCTCTGCTTCGACAGCTTTGCCATCATTGACTCCTCGTTGTTGCTCAAGAAGAATATTTTCCTGTTTGGCGTTATCTAACTGTTCCATAAGGAGATTGATTTGGTCGCGAGAATGTTGGGATTCTTCCTCGTGAACTGCACGAAGCTTCTTCAACTGTTCCAACTCCTCGGTGATCTCATGGATGTGAGCATCTCGCTGAGCATCAGATTTGCTGTTCAGCTCACGCTGTTGCTGAATTTGTCTGGTCAAGATGTCTTTCTGCTCAATAAGGGTCTCCACTCGGGAGTTCAAGCGCTCCAGGACAACAGACGAGAATGCCAGTTGAGACTGCAAGTCCTTTCCACGAGGCTCTTCTTGAGGCAGTAAAGGACTGTGACTAACAGAATTTGTCCTCTCGAGCATGTCTTGCAAACGAATATTAACATCTTCAACCTGATCTTCAGAATCAAACAAAGATTTCTCGACTGCCGCAGTTGCACGAGCTTGAGCCGCTTGCATAGCATCCAAGCCTTGCGACATGTAGCCTAGGTAAGCTTGGATTTGTGCACCCACCCGTCCGAGGACGTGTTCATCGGTCGGTTGAGGAGGAGGGTCAAAATGTTCGTGTGGACCGGCTTGTGTGATCATGGTATGCAGCCGAGAATTGAGTTCTTGTAAGCGATTGGCGAAGTCGTCAATGGGTTGGGCATCCCGACTAGGTGGCCTTCCTTTACTCACAGGACCAGGGGCAGGTCCAAACTCGGTAACATAATCAGGAACCTGATAGAGACTTCGCTCATCGAAATCGTCAATACCATCTGTCATACCGGAACCGCGACCAATTGGCTGGCTAGTCATGCTCTCTGGGCTCCTTGGCAGTTCTGTCCGTCTGATGTTCTTCTTTAGCCCCCTGTGTGTCATTTGTAATATGCCAGCGGTATGTTCTAGGATGCGTCGCTCAGTGGTTTCGTACTTTTTTTCCAACTGTTTCACTGCCAGGGTGAGTTCCTCCACCTTTTTATTGCTCGCGGTCAATTCATCGTCAGCGCGAGCTACTGATTCGTTCGGCGAGCCCCTCGCACCTAAGAAGCTTCTGCGCTTTTTGGTGGGGGAGTTAGGACTCTCGCCCTTCTCACGAGTAGAATAGAGTCGGTTGAGAGATTGTGCTGCGTCACGTAATTTACTCTCTAGACCCAGCTTCCTCTTTGTGGTGTCAATTTTGCCTCGCAAGTATATCCTCTCCCTTTTCAATTGTTCCACTTCGTCAAATGACAGGACTTCATATTCTCTGCTATCACTGATCGCAGTCTCGGTCAATAGATGCATCGCTACCGGATCATTAATATTGAGTAGAGTCGAATTGCGAGGTCCTTTCTGAGGGGGAAAACTCGGCTGTCTGTGATCAGTTGAAGTTCACGCAGTCAGGCTTAGTTGACTCACCGGTGCAAAGCGAGGTGTCTGTTCCTCAAAAGGCCCGCGTAAGCCCCCTGACATGAATGTCTGCGGTTGGCCGAGTGCAGGCGAATCCTCAGCTGGCCCAGGACCACCTGCACTGTATACAGAGCTGGGTACATAACGACTGCGGTTGTCATCGACACTTTCGGCAGACTGCCGGATCCCAAACTGAAATCGCTGCATTCTGCTCGCCTCCTCCTCCTCCTCTTCAATGGCTGGAGGCGGTCTCCAAGTCCTCCCAGCTGCCAAGGATCAACTTCTAAGGGTAATGGGTACCAGATGATAGTCGAGCATATGTTCTCAGCCTGCTCATGTTGTGATAATGCAGAGTTTGTGTGACTTAGGAAGGCATTATGGCCGGTAAGGATCCAGTACAGTTGAGCAGGGACGAGAGTGAGCAAGGAGAAAGGGCGGCTGGAATACGTAAGGGTAGAGGTACGTCGAGAATCTTGTCAATAGACCCGACACGGACTTTTGGGTGTGGACTAACGGATTATCGAGTTAGTAGGTCATTTCGGCGAGGAAAGGGGAGCAGGGGGCTGCGAACAAAGCTGGAAATGAGATTCAGACACGTTACTTCTAGTTACTGAAAAGCGCCTGACGAGACCGCCCTTGGCTGGTTAGCGGAGAGCATAAGATGAGGCAAGGGGAAGGGGATCACAACCAACGGAGGTGTAGACGCCGAGAGAGGCGACGAGGATGGGGGGGCTGCAATTTCAACCAGTCCCGACACATGGTCAAGTGCGGCGTAAGAAGCCAGGCGTTAGCGAGGGGGACAAGGTAGCCACAACTCTCCAAAGGGGGTCAATAAATTATTCATTGCGGATTAGGGCAGAGGCGTGGATACCGCTGGAATGTGCCACGAATCCACGACACTCAGGTCCGTTATTATGATTGACGTGGAACCAAATATGGGTACGGATCCTCGCACCACGCACTTGAGCAATAAGCCGGAGTAACAATGGTCACACGGAGTACAGTGTCCCTCAGTACGATGTACCAAGTTTGTAAGGAGGGCCTCGGAGGCTGCGCCGCTCAAAGTCCGAGCGGCGCCAATAAGCTCCGAGTCAATACTCGAAGAGGTCCTCCGTAGTCGCAAGGTGCCTGAGTCCCATACAGTAGATACTCGTAGATCACTTGAAGGGTCGCCAAGGACAGGCACCTTCTGCCTTGACCCAAAAAGGCAGGGCAGGTTAGCCGATGGATAACGAGGCTACATCATGTGACCAGGCTGGGCTATGGTACTAGTGGGAAGGGGATGCGGCGGCGAAACTTGTTGACTAACTACTGTAAGACCTGGGCATGGCCGCTAATTATTAAGTACTGATGAACCGTAACCGAATGTAAGTGGTATGCCAAGCATGCCACAGAGCTGAAATTAAGATTTTATGTTCCATTCATATCCTAATAGTCTAATTACTGGCCATCCCCAGGGTTATTGTTTTAGGTAAACCCCGTATCCGTCGAAGAACATGTGAGAAGCCTTCTTTCCTGGGTATCGATGGTAGATAGACACTGTTTGCATTGAGACCGTCAACTGAACGAGAACTGACGGAAGCACTTACCGTGAGTGGATAATGAGCAGTGCGTATTTCAGGGACAATCTTTCAGACACCTGGAAAGGAGAGGAACTCGACGAACAAAGTCGAGGTGGAGGCTTGCCACGACCATGTATACTTCGAGATCTCCAGATCACTTACATACCGCAGCAGACGTCAAAGGACCAATGAAATTTTCAATAATGTTCAAGGATGGTGGGAGCGGAGTCTAGTGCGCAACGGGAAGCCATAACTTTTTCACCCTGTGTCACCCGATGGAGACATGCAAGCCATAAACCGGCGAGCTAGCCTGTCACCTGTCCCGCCTTGATCTTTGAACAGGGAGAAAGGTGATAGCATTCGAATACCGAGAGCTTTCTCTGCTGGCGCACAAAAGCAAAGCGAGTCTGATGTGAAACCAACATGCCAGCCTGGCCTTCACACGTGAGAGCACCACATGGACATACAAGTACGTAGCCTATGATTCACCTGTCAAGGCCGTAGATACCCCACTCACTCTAAGGACCCCATGCATAGCAAAGAAAAGCAAGTTCACATCAAGGAATGCTGAGACCGATCGTCTTTTAGCCATAGTTGCTCCCGTTTGTCAACGACAGAATCGACCTCCCGGCCAACAATGTCCCACCTTTTTCAGCTGCTCAGGCATTCATGATGCTTGCAAATAACACCTCGCGAGAACAAATCGCATGCTTCGACAACAAACTGGACCTGACACCGATCAATACATACACCAAGTCGTCAGCTTTTTTTGAAGCAATACAGGACGTAAGACTCGTCGGTGCCCGCTGGCTACATTTGGCACGATCGCCTGGTTGAGAATCGCTCTAGGCCGGAATCGCACATATATTCGCCAATCTCGGATCTGACCATCCAGCCCTCATGGAGGCGATGGTCAGGGGCCAACGAGAGACGAGATAGCTTTCCGAAAGCGAATACCTGTCTCAATGAGGTAGGGTATAGCGTTACGATAGACAATATATATCTTGCCAACTTACTTCCAAGGTGGTCGCGCTTTCTATAGCCGATAATTTCGCTCGTCTGACGGGCAAACCTCTGTGTGTGCTTGTGCATGTGGACGTGGGCACGCAGGCACTAGCACAGGCAGTTCACAATTTACCATGCGGGAGAAGCCCTCATTATCGTTGGATCAACGGGGAGAAATCCTAAAAGTGTGCAGTCCTTGGTTGAGATCTGTGACAGCCCCTCAACAATCCGAGTCACTGATGCATGGTGCTGCGAGATGTCTTTTCCAGCTGACCATCCAGAGGTTCTTGTTGCTCGACACGCATCCGGTCCAAAAACCCGGGACGCCGATTCCATCCTCCTGGTGGATATTGACGTGCATTGGATACCCACACAAAAGCAGCCAAAGGCAGATTAGCCTGCCAGATCGTTGGTGACGGATCCTACCTCTTCAGCGTCCCGAGTTCCCTCTATTGGATCTCTTGTCGCTATACTTACCCATGTTGACTGTTGCCTTGGAACAATTCAGGCTGGAATGCTCCGCATCATTCAATTATTCTGATGCATCCTGACGCTGAAGGCATCAAGGTCGACAACTAGGAGCTCAATATCAGCTTCGATCCATCGCCGGACTACGCGGGCATTTCAGTCGCAGCAACCGGACATTACGCCTTTGGAGCCAAGGTCTCAAGCGTTGAAGAGCTTACATAGGAGCTTCTGGCAGCAGTAGCGGCGGTAGAAGAGGACGGACCAGCCGTGCTCGATGAAGCAATTGCCTGAGTTTCATTGTGCCTTGGGACGAGGTTGTTTCGCCGCCCAAACAGGAACCGATTGTAGGGGCTAGCGGCTTTTCGTTGCATGTCGATGATACCGTATACAGGCTTCGTCAATCGCCAGACTAGCCTAAGTACTCATACTTCCACAAGGAAACTCTCAATGGTGGATGTGGCCCATTACTATACTTGTAGCATGCATGTTCGCTTGTTCCAGAGTTAAGTGTCTCATAGCATTGGTAGCTCTTGTCAGTATCAAACAACCTGTGATATAAGTTGTCTCTTTTGTCAAGTAGGTTCTCATGCTTGCTCTGAAAACCTTCTCTAGAATAGTTCACCATGGCTATAAGCGAGCTAGATGCCTTAGTGGTGGGCAGTGGTTTCGGAGGTATCTATGCCTGTTATATACTCCGACAACTCGGCCTCAAGTTGGCCTGTGTCGATAATGCCGACGACGTTGAAGGAACTTGATACTGGAATAAATATCCTGGCGCAATGAGTGACATGCACAGCCATTTGTATCGATTTTCATGGGATGAGGAAAGTTACAAGAGTCACGAGTTATCACGAATCTATGCTTTTCAGCCCGAAATTCTGAATTACCTTCGAAGCGTAGCGGAGCGACACCGCCTGATCCAGTTGGTGACCTTCAACACCGAAATGGTGTCTGCAATTTTCCTCGAAACTATAAACAAATGGGAAATTACAATGAGGTCAACCACGACAAACATGGAACAGAGATTTATCTTGCGATACTTCCTTAGTGCTATGGGACTTCTCTCACAGACAATACTTCTGAAATCCATGGCTTGCGACATTCAAGGGTAGATTAATACACAGTTCTAAGTGGGAGGATGATATCGACACCAAGGAAAAGCGAGTTGGCATAATTGGCAACGGTTCGACCGGGATACAGATCATTAACATAATTGCACCTGAAGTGGATTCCCTGACATGTTTCATTCGCCATCCACAATATGTCGCGCCCGCAGGACTTCGCGATTTTACACCTGAAGAGCTAGAGATGTTCAAGTCTATTTACAAACAGATGTGGCGAAGCGTTCGTGACTCTGCGTCGGCCTTTGGCTTTGTAGAACCGACTCGAACCTTCGCCGAAGCGTCCCCGAGGAAAGAGGACTAGTTTTTGAAGAACTGTGGCAATCAAGAACCGCCATTCGCTTCATGATGGGTGGTTTTACCGATATCACTACAAATCTGGAAGCTAACAGTTTTGAAACTGAGTTCATTCGGCATTGTCGACCCCTAAAAGGCGCGAATCCTAAGCGTACAGACTATTATGCACGTCGACCAACCTGTGCTATCAACTACTATGGACAATTCAATCGCGAAACGTTTACCTAGTTGATCTAAAGGGAAACCTAATCGTCGAAATTACACCGGACGGGGTTCGGACTCGAGGAGAAGGTAGTAATAGCACGCACGCGTTGGATGCTATCGTTTTCGCAACTGGCGTTGATGCACTTCACGGTAACTATACTCGGCTTCATTGAAGGAAGACAGGGACACAGTATTCGAGAACACTGGTCGCAGAATATTACAAGCTTTGGTGGAGTCTCAGTGTCTAGCTTTCCCAATATGTTTATGCTCCCTGGACCACAATCGCCCTTCACGAATAACCCATCAGCGATCGAAGCTCAAGTTGAGCTGATCGAGGCCCTAAATCAAAGATCGAGTCACTGCGGAAGCACAGCGAATACAAAGGGATAGTTGAAGTTCGTAAAAAGGCTGAGGCGGACTGGGCTCAAAAGTGCGAAGATTCTGTCGAGGGCAGTCCTTTCAAAAAGACGTCATGGATCTTCCGTGCCAGCAAACCCGACCTTACCTATTTATCTAAACAATTTTATACCTATATATAGCTGAAGTCCATTAGAGGTGACAAAGGAGATAGTAGGTCTATTCGAACATGTCTAACATACTTTACTAAGCAGAACGGTAATAAAACGATCCCGTGCCTATGTGTACATCTCCTCGTAGGAATGCATCCGACGAGGGATCCATTACACTTAAGCTCTCTCCAGTCAGGTGCCGCTAAAGTGTATTTGTTGGGATCTAACAGCATGTGTGCTGGACCTCAGACCGCAAAAGACTGTAATACGAAAGGGATAGACTCCTCAAACAAAGATGATACTTAGATGGATCCGACGTAAAAGCGGCAGTCATAATTGATTCAGTTAGGAATTTGCCTAAGGACAACTACGAGGAAGGCTGGACGAGGAACATTGCTAGGGTGATTGAGAAAGCTAATAGAGAAATGTAGGCCACAGAAGCCAGAAAATGCACTAGGTTCAAATAGCAACAAAGACGGCTTAGCGAGGCCATGATACAGCGCCTTGAGCAGCTGCCATGATGTCCGGCGACGAAGAAAAGACGACCGTAAGTGCAGGGTCTAAAGTGTAGATTCATCAGCAGTTGACGTTTGACACTACCAACCAACTAGGTTGCGTGAAAAATTAAGCTAAGGCAGCGTGATAAGGAGGACAAGCCTCGGTGTTTTCCCCGGGCATGCTAATAGATTCCTCTTTCTTCTTCCTCTTTGTTCAGTTAGTGAATACTTCCTTATGCTACGAGTGATGAACTCACACTACCCTGGCAGATTGAGGTTCAAAGGTTGTTCTTACGATAGGGTGTGTACACAATGTATCTACAGGTCAATGTATCAAGCACTGTAAGGCTTTGTCCACCAACTACATTTTGTCGAGCATAATCGGGGTAAAATCAGTCCGAGAATAAGACCTCGTGGCTCTTAATTTGAGGTCGCTTACACCTAAGCATTACGCTTATGCTCGAACTACCATGCTAAGAGGTCCTTGCTTTGCGAAGATATGCCTATCAAGGACTAGAGACCTCCCCCGTTCAGTCACTTGTAGATCAACGGAACCGAAATCGATTTTTATCCCGAAATGCTACCCCTTGTTTAGTCAGCGCTCTGCTATCGTCCGGTATCTGTAGTGATTTTGGTCTCGCCCGCTTCTCGTCCGAGAGACAGCAAAAGTGAAATCGGTGGAATTTTTCCAGGCAATGTTCCCCATGATGTTTGTACTGCCTATGATTGGCTTTATGCTAACTCGAATTGGCTATGATCATCCAATGAAGACCATTCTGATCTTAAGAGTGTCTTGAAGGACTCTTTGAATCCTGTGATCGGGTGCGTCTGGCTGCTAGTACTAGGACTAGGCATGCTGAGTGGTACTTATAGTACATGATCCACGTCATCCGCCAACATAACTTGAGCCATTGATCAGTAGAGGTATTGACACCTGATAGAAATGTGGTAATTTATCTTCGTTCGATCCTTTCACTTTAATGACACTAGCCCCATTCATCATCCCTTCCCTTGTCATACATGCATACCACCTCCATGGCTTCTGCTCCTACTGCCACAACACCGCGCAGCATCGCCCTTGCCTTCTGCCAGGCGTTTGAGAAACTCGACGTGGACACCCTCGTCGCGCTGCGTACACCAGAGTGTCGCCACACAATAGCGCCAGCGGCCTCATTGAGTTTTGTTACCGATCCAGAGATGACCAATGAGCAATGGACCGCGCATTTCTCAACTTTGAAAGATAGTCTCGCCTCATTCCCCGTGACGCCGTTGGAAATTTTTGAGGGAACGAAGTGGGAAGCGAGACCTAGCGGTCAAAGCCAGGAGGTGGCCTCGGTAACAATCTGGGCATTCAGTGAAGCGATCTTTCTGGAGGAGGCCAAGGACAACGACGAACCCAAGACTGACTGGAAGTTTCGCGGAGAGTATGTCTTCGTGCTTGTCCTGAACGAAGCGGGAGACAAGATTCAGAGGATCCTCGAGTTTGCGGATAGCAAAGGCATTATGGAAGTGTCTTTACCGTTGTTTCAACGCGCAGCGAGAAATATGGCATTAAAGAAGGAGAACAAAGGACGGGTATAGATTTGACAATCGATGTGGTCTGATGGTCAGAACGGTCAGAACGGGTTAATTGAGCCTTGTCAGTGATATATGGAGCCATTCTTGAGGAAACTTAGATTTGCTAGTCATCCTGGACCTAAGATCCGCTCTTCGCATGCCTCTTAGTGCAGCAGTACCGCTGCTCGTTTCATCATTTCTGTTTGTGAGCATTTGACTGGGCGTGCTGCTGAGCTCCGCAAAGCGGCATTACTTCCCACAGTCTCGGTTCTAGCAACTACCTAACTCTGCTATCTCCGTGATTCTACTATATTGCGCGGAAGATTAGTGTCGCCTGAGGCATATCTTCACAGCTTGACTGGTCTTCGATGTGCAGTATCGTCGTTGAGATCATGGCTTCACAATTGCTTGTGTGGCCGTAAGGTTGTCGACGGATTACCTTTCTCGTCCGTGACGCGGTGGGGAGTTCGACCGTTAGCCTCCCGAGTACGGGCATCTCTCTCAGCGGGTCGAGCTCGCACAACATCTCTGAGACATCGAAAGTCTGCCGTATGACCAGGCTCCTATCTTGGTTGGCTCAGCAGGCAGTTGGAGCATTTGTGCCTATTTACTGTTCAAGCGGCAGAGACAGACAGCAAACGAGAATAGTACCGTGATGCGGGTGATAGGGCATGTTGTATGGCCGCAATGGCTCCCCGCATCAGTCGACCACTGGGCTTGGACAGTATTGGGAGCCTGACTAGCCTAGTAAAGGCCCGGGAGGAACGGTGGCGCCGCCTACGACCAACTAAGCAGCTAGACACGTGTCGATTACGAGGCACCATGAAGTTTACCCGATCTTCACCCAATTTGAAGCTAGCCTCGCTGTCAAGTCCCATCTCCACACTCCGTCCGTACTGTAGATCCAACATTCACTACCACCCCCTGCACCAAAGCCTCAAACTACTGCTAACCCCAACTTCTTCTACCCTTATCCTCTCGCTCTTTTCTGCTCTTCTTGCGAACATAAGTCCAGCGGTTGCAGATTTCATCTCTCGTCCACTTCACATCAGAAGCGATGTTGTAAGCCAGGCCACCCACCTCACCTGATTTCCACTAATCGTCGCTTCATAGGCCATCCCGCCTCCTCCACGATATTCGACCAATGCTAGCTTGGTCGCAACGACCCTAGAAATCGTAAATACTCTTAGTGTTCGCGAAGGCCCTGATTATACCTTTCAGGCGAGGAGGGAAATGAGATGAGAATAAGTTTCATAGATATCTCTTAAAGCTACTAAGGCTTCCTATGCTGGGGAGTCTACTTAGAACGTACATAGGCCCCTCTCCTCGGGGTCTTATTCGTCCTATTTTATACTCGCTCTTTGAGGTGCTCTATTCTTCATCTATATTTTGGCCCGGGTGGCCCGGTAAGCCCTGGGCTGCTGTGGACTCGCAGCGCTGGGCTATAATAGATGCTTATCGTGAGCTTGCACGGTAAACCTTAATTACTATAGGCTTATACAGCACATAATTTCCACTATAGGCTCCTTTAGTATAACGTATTATTCTATAAGCTCTTAATACTAATCTCCTCTACGCATTAAGCTAGAACTTCTTTTAGCTTCTAGTATACTTTTAAGCCCTCTTAATTAGGGTTTAGTATTATGATCCGAGCTGCAAGTAGTTCTAACCAAGGTAGGGTTCCTTGATAGAGTAGGTACTAGAGTGTTGACCAAGATAACAAAGGGAATATATAATCGTCGGACTATATCCTAAAACGTAGATATAGGATTACTAACGAAGTTAACTACGAACGATCCTATCTAGGGTAAGGAGCGTATATATATAATGCTAGTCTAGACTATAGACTTACTTAGACTATCCTTATAGTCTATCCGAGGGACAAGTTTTAGGATCTATAGTGGAAGTAGCCGAAGACCGTAGAAAGAAAGAGTAGAATCTATAGTCGCTTTCTATCTTATTAAGTGACTTGAGATCTATCTAAGTAAAGGAGTATAGGCCTGTTTTATATAGGCGTAGGCTTCGTTATAATATCTCGTAAGTACGAGAGTAATTGCCGAGTATTCGTAAATACGAGTTAACTCCTAGGATGCTTAGAAATTAAGTTAAGTAATTTCTAATCCTATAGAATAGAATGGCGTTTTATAGAATCTTCCGTAAGGCTTAAGTATAGCCTTACTAAATAGATACTACGTGATCCTAGCTTATATAAGCTTAATTACGTAACTAGGCGTTAATAG